GAGGCCGAGGTCATCTCGCGCGGTTACCCTGCCTACACCACCTCTGTTGGCTGGCTCGGCTACGACGACGCCAAGGTCGAGCGCCTGACCAAGGAGTCGCTCGCCCAGGGCTTCAACCACTTCAAGCTCAAGGTCGGTGCCGACGTCGAGGACGACCTGCGTCGCGGTGGCATCATCCGCCGTGTCATTGACGACCCGGCCAACATGCCCGCCGGCCGCACCGTCGACCCCAAGACCATCGAGGGCAAGAACGCCGGCCCCACCGGCTGTGTGCTCATGATCGACGCCAACCAGGTCTGGGACGTGCCTCAGGCTATCGAGTACGTCAAGAAGCTCGAGCCCCTCAAGCCCTGGTTCATCGAGGAGCCCACTGCCCCCGATGACGCCGTGGGCCACTCCAACATCCGCAAGGCCCTCAAGCCCTACGGCATCGGTGTCGCTACCGGCGAGCACGCGCACAACCGCATGGTCTTCAAGCAGCTGCTCCAGCTCGACGCCATTGACGTCTGCCAGATCGACTCGTGCCGCGTCGCCGGTGTCAACGAGATCCTCGCCATCATGCTCATGGCCGCCAAGTTTGGCGTCCCCGTCTGCCCCCACGCCGGCGGTGTCGGTCTCTGCAACATGACCCAGCACCTGTCGCTCATCGACTACATTGTCGTCTCGGGCTCGATGGAGCGCAACGTCCTCGAGTACGTCTCGCACCTCCACGACCAGTTCGAGCACGGCCCCACCATCAACGCCGACGGCCGCTACAACGTCCCCCAGGAGCTTGGCTACTCGGTCGACTTCACCGAGGCCGCCATGCGCGACTATGTCTTCCCCGAGGGCCCTTACTGGGTCGCCGCCGCAAAGGGCGAGGAGTTTGCCGGTGCCCCCATCCACCACTAAATCATTCAAGACTATAGTCTATTGTATATTTCACAAAACCGCTAGGTTGTTGCACGCATGCATAGGTACAGAAAAGAAAACAAGAACCACACAAGTTGCAGGAAGCGAGCGAGCGAGTCTTGGTGGTGCAGAAGCGTGAGGCTCAGACACTCTTGATGCCACACAAATAAATGTTCAGTGGCGCGTCAATCACTCTCACCGGCCCGGCGATCCGGCTGCCACGTTCCCATATCTCTGTTCAACACTCTCACACATGCATGGGGGGGCTCAGATAACAACGCCTGGGAGATGGGGGATAGATATACCGGGGAACACGCGAAATTAGGCAAAAGGGGAAAAGGGGACAGACATCATCAAACGCTCTCCTCTCTCTACTGGGGGTTGTCGAGCTGGCCCGAGAAGAGGAGCTCGATGGCCGCCTCGACGTTTCCGCCCGTCGAGCGGAGGGCGCGGATGTTCTTGGCCGAGTCCCACAGGCCCATGGCGCTCAGCTGGCCCAGCTGCGTAGCGTAGATCTCCTCGGGGGGCCGGGTGTCGCGCGGCGCCGCAGCAGCGGCGGGAGCTCCGCCGAACGGCGAGCCGCCGCCAAACATCATCGACGGGTCCATGCCGAATGGGAACGCGCCGGCGCCAGCGCCGCCCGCGCCCGCACCGCCGAACATCGAGGCCCAGGGGTTGGCGGCCGCGGCAGCTGCGGCGTCGCCAGCTGCCGGGGTCGCTCCAGTGGCGGCACGGGGTGCGGCGGGGGGCGCGCCGGTCGCGCCTGCGGCCTGGGCGAAGAGGTTGGTGGGACCGGTCTCGGCGCCGGGAGCGGCGGCGGCGCCAGCACCAGCAGCACCGGGAGCAGCACCGCCGAACATGCCAGGGAAGCCGCCCATGCCGCCCATACCACCCATACCACCCATACCAGCCATGCCGCCGGGGCCACCCATGGCCTGCTGCATCTGCATCATCTGTTATGGGTCAGCATGATGTGTGAACTGTGTACCCACCCGGCGGAGCGTCTCTGGGTTGCTCATCATCTCGCGGAAGAAGGGGCTCTGCATCATCTGGCGGACTTGTGGGCCCATGGCCTGGAGCTGGGGGTTGGAGGCGATGATCTGACGAGCTGTCAGCATGGCGCTTCAGTCAGGCTGCTCGCACTCACCTGGTCAAGGACCTCGGGACGCGCCATCAGGTCGCTCATCTGTCGCATAAAGTCCGGGTTGTCCATGAGGCCCATCATCTGCGTAGATGTCAGTGTCAGTCCGGTCCGGGCTGCGCGTGGAGCCGATCAGGGAGGTGGGGGGGAGCACGTACAGCGTTGGGGTCGTTGAGGTTACCAACACCCATGCCCTGGAACGGGTTGAAGCCAGCCATGCCCTGCTCAGAGTCAGCTTGGTAGAGCACCCGACCAGCTGCGACAACATACGTGGTGGTAGTTCTCGACACCGTCAACGACATTGCCCGCGGCAAGACCGGTTCCCATGTTCTGGGGCAGCCTGGGCGCCTGGGCAGCGGCGGCCTGGGCGGCAGGCGGCTTGTTCGACTTGACCATGTGGATGGTGTGGCCGTTCTGGATCTTGTAGCTCGTGATAGTCTCCTCGTCCTTGAGCACCTTGCCTGAGAGGGGGGGGGGAGTTGTGTCAGCAAGGAAGGCCGCAGTGCAGTCCCCGCGCCACCGTGGATATGGACCATCACCACGGTAGACGCCAGCAGACGACCGACGTACCAGAGTAGATCAGACGCTGGCTGTCCTTGGGCACGTCCGACTTGGCGGCGACGGCCTCCTTGAGGTCGCCAATGGTCTTGGAGGGGTCGATGGGGATCGAGAGCTTGAGCTCGGATGGGCCCTTGACCGTGCTGTCGCGTCGGTCAGCGTCTGGGGGCTCCGGTGGGGTTGGCTGGCGGCGCCAAGGAGGACGCCGAGGGGAACACGTACATGGTGATCTCCGATGCGGAGGAAGAGGAAGAGGCGTCCGCCATGGTGTCTAGTCGAGGCGGTTGTTGGTGGAAAGGTGGGGAGCGACGGTGTGTGGTGGATAAGAAGGAGAGAACGTCGAGGAAGGATGCCGCCCGTGGTGGATCGGGTCCGTCGGTGGGTGGTAAGCGTTGCGGGGGTCCAGCGCTCTGGGCCGACCGACCGGACGCAAGTGGCGCGTGGCGCGTTGCGGACCTGGCCGTCGGTCTTGATCACCCATATGTCGTCCCCCATGCATAATGCCCTCCACAGACACCGTCTCGCTCGCTCGTATTCATAATCAAAGGTACCCCAAGCATGCATATGGCGTCGTTCTGTACTACCTCATCGCATGACTTGCTTCTATGGAACCCAAGCCGCCGCGCGGGCGCGCCCGCGAGCGTGACTAGGCGTCTTCGCCGTCTTCCCCACACTCCCCTCTCCCTCTCAAACACTCGCTGCCCCTCTCTCCGATGAGGGCAGCAAGGATAGTCCGGTCAATCACTTAGTCAAAGTTGCTGCGGTCGTAGTTGGCGCCACCGGCACGACGCAGGCGGGTAACAACCTCCTCCTGTGGACTGTCAACATCGAGCTAAACAGAAAGGCGAGAGGCTTAGCTCCGCGACACTCACCTCGTCAAGGTCGTGGAGGTTGGAGGCAGAGATCTCGATCGAGTACGAGCGGATGACGTTCTTGACGTCGGCAGAGTGCACAGAGACCTGTATGTCCGTCAGCAAAAGGGGGAGGGATCTCGGACAACCCGTTTCGGACAACCTGGACACAAACGCCCAGTCCTGCCCGTCTGACTCACCTTGGCACGGCGCATAATCTTCACGCCCTCTCCGATCCAGGTAACAAGGGCAAACTTCTCGCGGAACGAGTGCTCGTCGTTGGCGTACTTGACGCGAATGAAGCCGAACGAGGCCTTGGCGGGGTCAAGCTTGCCCTTGAACTCGTCCAGGCCACCCGAGCCAGTCGCCGAGAGCACGAGCTTGTCCGAGCGGTCCGACTGTACCAGTTGTCAGCGGGCGTCTTTGCAAAGTCGGTAGTAGCTGCAGCTAGTTTGCGATGCAGAGGCGCTCCTGGCGGGCGGGGCGATCGGCGCTGGACGCCATGAACAGGCATATATGGTATAGCCGGGTCTAGCAGGAGCACTCCTGTACTCCTGCTTTCTGGGATTTCCCGACGCGCAGAATGTTTTTCAAAACGCACCTCGTAGTCAAGGAGCAGCCAGTTCGAGTCGTCCTTGTCCGAACGGACGAGCTCGTATGCTGACCGACGTCAGCCTTTTGTCTTGTGGTCTTGTGGGCGTTCCGGATAAAGTCCGAGACGTGTTTGTGTGCGTGTCCAGGTGTTACTCACCCTCGGCGATCTTGGGGTCCTTGCAGTCGGCCATTGTGGGAGAGGAGAGAAGCGAGGGAGGTCTATGGGGAGGGTATCGGTGTGTTATGTGAGGTGCCAGCTGTAATCTGTAAATGTGCAGAGCGATTCAAGACTCGCTCTGGGCGCGGTGGAGTGGAGTGCCTGCGTGGAGGCGGGTGGGCGATCGCTGCCCAGGGTGTAATGCACGTGACTATTAGGAAATGGGGTTAGAGAAACCAAATTGGGCCAATTGCGTGATTAGAAAAGGCGTCATTGAAATGACACAGCCAGAGCGACAATGTGTGTGTGTGGGCCATATGGCCAGGCACGATACAACGGGGTCCACCTCATCTGACGCCTTCTCTTCCTCTTCCTCGACCTTCCACTCCCTCCTTTTATCCTCGTTCCCAGCATCCCACACGGTTCAAGCATGGACCGCGTAGAAGAAATCCAGTCGGCCGCTCAGTCGGCGGCCGCTCGCGTCTCGGACAAGATCCTCGAGCTCAGCGAACAGCTCGGTGCTCACCCAGCCGTCAAGAGCGCCCTCGACCACCCCATCTTCCAGCACGAGATCTTCCAGCATCCCGCTTTCCAGCACCCCTTGCTGCGCGACCCCATGGTTCTGGCAGCGATTGCTGGTCTCCTTGTGATCCTCCTCGTCTTCTCTTGTGAGCTAATGTCACCATGTGCTTGTCAAGCTGACGTCCAGGTTTCCCCTCGAGCAACAAGGCGACTGTCGCCCGCCGTGCTGGTACTCGGACGGTCCTCTTTGTTGGTCCTCCTGATAGTGGAAAGACGGCCCTCTTTGCAAAGGTGAGCTACATTTTTATGGTACGCAGAAGCTCATCTTTTAGCTCTCGCAAGACGAGCGGCCGCCGACTCACACCTCCCTCCTGCCCTCGGTGTCCACTGTTGCCCTTCCCTCTGACGGCGGCAAGCCCAAGGCCATCCGCCTCGTGGACCTTGCGGGCCACGCCCGTCTTCGTGACCAGGTCGGAGAGCACGTCGAGACTGCGGACGCTGTTGTATTTGTTGTCGACGTGGTCGCCCTTGTTCGCAACGCTGCTGCTGCTGCCGAGTACGTTCTTCTCTCCTCTGTTAACTGGTGACCGTTTCTAACAGTACAGGGAGCTTCCGCCTCTCCTGACCCAGCTCGCCGGCTCGGCCTCTCGCCGTGGCCTCTCTGCGCCGGCTCCCCAGCTCCTCATCCTCGGCAACAAGACCGACCTCCTCGCCCGCGACGCTTCCAACACATCCCCTCCCGAGCTGCTCCCGCAGTCGCGCGCGACGGCCCACGAGCGTGTCCAGTCCATCCTCACTCGCGAGATGGACCGCCTGAAGACGGCGCGCGGTGCCGGTGGCGTCGGCGGCCGTATCGAGGGCATGTCGCGCGTGTCTTCTGGCGGCCGTGGGTTCTGGGCTCGTCTGTTCGGCGGCGGCGGCGCCAGCACCGAGCCCGAGGCCAGCACCGAGGACGACGAGGCCCTTGTGTGGGGCGGTGCCGGACCGTTCCGCTGGGAGGACATCGAGGGTGTCGATGTCTCGTGGGCGGTGAGCGGTGTCGGCTCGGCCAACTGGACGGCGGTGACCGATGGTGTGGGCAACGGGCTGGACGAGCTCACGGACTTCCTTGCGGACCTGTAGAGTGATGCAGAGTGTTCGGGTTTTGGCCGTCAGGTGGCAGCAGGTGGCAGCAGGTGGCAGCAGGCTGCAGACCTGCGAGTTTCTTACCGTCAGATTCGACTGAGCGAATGCTCGGTGCCCCCCACTTATCCTCTAGCAGCTGCTGTTAGCCTCTTAGTACATGCGCCTCAAGCGCTCCCTACCTTTTCGCTGAAATTAAGCTTGCACGCCTACCTATTGGCATGTCGCAGGCCGCGCGTCGCACCCTTTGCACTTGCACCATTGCACCGGATCGCCACAGCTTGGGGGGAGATGGGGGGAGAAGGCCGATGCGCGCGGGGGGACTGACGTCACATCCACAATTTGCTCCCGTTAGCCGCCCGTCCAGACGCCACCCAGCTGTGCCGTCGCTGTGCTGCGCGCGGCCGTTTTGTAGTCACCGTCGCGCACATGTCATTGTCTTTCTGCTTCTCCCTCTCTCCTCTTGACAACACAAAGAACACACCACATCCACCATGGCCAGGGGTTCCGACATTGTTATTGCCGTCATCGCCATCCTCTTCCCGCCCGCCGCGGTGGCGATGCTGACTGGTATGTCTTACGCTGGTGGCCTCGCGGCCACTCGCTCGCGTCCCCACCCATTAGTTGCTGACTCCCAACAGGTTGCGGCTGTGTATGTCTCCGGCGCCGAGATGGTTTGGAGACGTTTGCTGACGGGTAACAGGACCTCCTCATCAACATCTGTCTTACCCTTCTCGTAAGTGACACGATTGTGATGGGGCAACGTGAGATACTGACAGTTGCAGGGCTACATTCCGTGCGTCTTCCCTCCATTGATAGCTGTAAGCGACGCTGACGCAGGTATCTTCGAATTGTCCTTACCTGTACATCAATCGTCTGCCTCTCTCAATGTCTCAATCTCAACCTTGACCGTGCAGCGGCCACATCCACGCCTTCTGGATCCTGTGGAAGAAGGTATGCGTTATCGCGCCCCCCTCTCCCCGCCAGTAACCATTCCGCTAACACCTCGTAGATGAAGGCCGAGGAGCTCTACGGCGTCCAGGGCTACCAGTACCTCGGCAACGGCGAGTTTGTCGCCGTCGCCGGCGGACCTCCCCAGGCCAACCACCGCGGTGAGTATCTCGCTCAGCAATCATCGTCAATGAGCGAGACCCTAGACTCCCAGGCTCCGCAGCACCACCTGTACTGACGCTCCCAGCCCCTCCTCCCCCGCACTACGGCTCCACCCGCTAATCGCCTTGTGGACACGGACAGCGCCCGCCCAACCCGCGAATTCTAGCGACGGGCGCACGCGTCAAGGCCGCAAACGGTCACCGTTTAATTTAGGACCTTGCGTGCCCTCTCCTTCGGCCAAAGCCAAAGCCTTACGAACACGAAGTGCCTCCTATGACTCGTATGAACTGTTTTTATTCTTCATTTTCCCTGGCCGGTGTGGTGTTTGTGTATGTAGCGGGCTGCACGCGATGAGGTTCGAGGCGTGTGGGTTGGTGTGGTGTTGACCGAAGGATCGGTGGAGGCAGCCCGGTGTGAGACACTAATCTCGGGCGGGCCTGACACGGCTGGCATTCATGGCCCTGCTTGCCGCGTTTCGTTGCGGCGCATTTCACCGCCGCCACTGCAGCCATGTTCGGGCTCTCAACGTGTGAGGTTTATGCAACGGAGGAGGAGGTGAACGCCTTGGCTGTCTGCAGCCGGTGGTTTGGGCCATGCGGCAGAGACAGACTGGGAAGCTGGGAATTAGGCCAGATTGAGGTGTTCCACATTTCAGCACTTTTGTACGGGTCATAATTAATCACCTGTCCTTTCATCTGTTGACCATGTGTGTATCACTCCCTGTTATGGACAAAGGCGCGGTGAACCTCATATCTATGATCCCTTGTTATTTATGGGCATTGTAACGGAGGCAGTTATTGAACGTCTTAATCGTGACTTCAGCCCGCCACCAGTTTGGTTGCGAGTAAAATACATAATAACAAGAAATAAATTATTCATGTCATTTGCTTGGACCCTCCACAATGAAGCGGAAGACGGCTAGAAGAAACGCTGGGAACGCTTCCAAAAGTCCTCATAGCCCAGATACTTAGCATATTCGGCACCCCGGATACACCATGACCGACGGTATTGAACCCATGTTGAAACAACTCGCACATGCCATTATGTTGTCTGACGAGGTCAAAGCCCTCTCACATCGACAGAAAGGTACGATTGAAAGCGATGATTTCTTCGATTTCTTGCTCGCTCACCTATATTGTCAAATGTAGTGCAAAATTTTGAGTTGTCCCACGTATGACCGCTCCGCTGTCTGGCCGTTTGCGTCTTCCATGTTTGCCACATCTCGTTCATATTGAGCGCGGCACTGTACGCGAATATGCGCTTGTTCACAGTCCGAGTTTCGGAATGCCACATACTTGCCGATGTCTCCCATCTCGCTCTCTCTCTGTCATGTGAAATACCCAGTACGAGCCAGACGGCGGCCAACATGAGCTGCCCACAACTAGTGGAAACTCTCTCGAATTTCTCATAATGGGTCCCCATCGTCTGACTCCAACGGCCAGTGTGAATGGTCAGACGGACGGCAAGCGTTGAATCCCATCCTCCACTGCCCCTGTTGTTCATACAAACATAACACAGGGCGTTGGCGGGCTACGTGAGGTCCATGTACCCATGATCCGAAGGTCCAAGGTACCATCCGTGGGTACCTCACGGAAATGGCTTCCGGAGACGAAGAGACTTGCCTGACAGCACATACCAAGGGTTGCTGTTGCTGATGCCGTTCCTTGGCAGTCACAAGTCCGTCCCGCCACTAGCCCCTGTGTACTACTCCTTGCGTCGCTGTTGCGCTCGTGTGTGTGTGTCTGTGGGGGCATGCTTCGCAAATAAAGGGACTAGGTATCGTGGATGCAAATGAAAAGTCACGCCTCAGTTCTCAAACGTACTGTCCTGGCCTGCGCTATCATCCGAGGTCCCGAGATTGAAACAAGAGATCTCAGGTTGTTTGTAGTTCTTGCCGGGACTGATGCGACAGACATCCGAGCGGACTTGTCCGCCCACAAGGGCCTGTGAGCTGTGAGGTCCTGAGGTCACGAGCCGACGAGAGATAGGGACATAGGGATGAGCAATATTCCTAACACCCCGTCTTGCTTGGCGGATCGGCGGTTTCCTGTTCCGACACAGTCGGTGCCTGTTGGTGACGCGCCGCGCATACCAACCCACCACCCACCAGCGTATCCATTCCAGCTCGTGTAAATTCCTTGGGATCCAGGTCAGATTTGTGGGAGTTAGCGTCCTTTGGTCGTGAGGCAAGTCGGCAGGGGCCGCGGGGCCGAGTACTGTAGTCATGGGCATACGTTCCGTCCAGCGGGTCATGCTCCCCGAACGATGTGGGAGAAGAAAAACTTGATGGCAATGAACAAACAGTCTTGGCGGCCTTGTGCTCGTGTTTATGCTGGTGACCAGGAATGGTGTGTTCGAGAATTCTGTACGCTTCGCGGCGTCGGATCGTCTCTTGGGTGTTGGTGTTTACTATAGGTTCTTCAAACCTGCCGCGACCACTTGTCTCATTCTGCCGGCTCCCCCCTGTGTCTTCCTTCTTGTTGAGTGTCCCTAGTTGCAGTTGCCAGTGACGAGCGCTGTATCTGTTCACCACGTTGTCTTTTTGCTATCCAACGTCGATACAAACACTAGCGACGTATTTCGCATACAGTACATATCCTGGATGCCGTTAAGCCAGTAACGTTCGGGACAGTGGTTGACGGCACAGACGTTTCAATGGATGGCTATGCGAAAGGCGAATGATGGTGCCTCAAGTCTCAGGTTCATCTTCGGCACCAGTCGTTATCAGCCATCCGCCCCACGCCTGTATGTTCAGTGCGTGGCAATTCCATGTGTGCATGTGGTGCTCTTCGGACCTCCAGACGACCGGAATCCCACTTCCCGGTGCTAAACACGGCTTGTGGTAACCAAGGCACTTGACTGTGTTTGTGTGTGCTGTCCGAGATCCTCGGAATGGTGCTCGACATCCCAAAACCAGGACAGAAGTGTCGAAGCGTATCGCATCTGGAACGGTCACTTCCCTTGTTTCCGACTGCTGGCGCTCCGCCACAAAGGAATGGTCCAGCTCTGCACAGAAGCTCAGAAGATCAGAAGCCGTCACGGATCACGGGCTCAAACGCGTGAATCTGGGACGACGCGACCGGCATTCCAGCCAGCAGCCGAAATTGTCTCACACGGCACACGTCAATTGAACCAACCTTGGTGCACTGACGCGCGCGGAATGCTGACCGCTTTCACCTCCCGAACTTTTCACACAGTAGCGTCTTGTTGTGCATGAGATCTCTGATATCTGATGCTTGGCTTCATCCCGTCGGAATCTACGGTCAGGTTAAATTGCAGTCCGCGGTGCCCGCCACAGTACGCGCCACTGTTCGGATGTGAGGCACGTGAAAACGATCTACCCATATACCGAGAACCGTTCTCGTAAAACCGCGTCCAAGGTGAACGCATGGGTTTCCTATGCCTGACATGTCGTTTAACACGGCAACAAGACTTTGGCTGCATGGGTAGTCTAAGCTGCTTGGTCCAACTAAGGCCACCCCTGGTGTCTGGCGCCTGATGGATCCCGACGGCCCCTGGTAACTGAGGGAGAGACATTGTGTCACTTCCGAAGCACCTCGAGGCCACATCACATCACACGAACACTCGGCTGATCGGCAGTGGCACAATCGACCAAGGAGTACATGCACGTTCCTATTGTGCATCCGGGTACCCGAGAGAACGTGGAGCGAGAGCAGAACTGTGTCGGATGTGGAACAAAACTCGAGTGGCGCGAGACAACGCACCCCGAAGCTTACCCACACTTTACCCTCCATCACCAACTCAAACTTCGAACCCCGCCAGTTCTCGCGTCCTCAGTAAACCGTTCGAGGGAATTTGGAACTTCAGAGGCACCCTACCCACCAGGCATCTCTTTGAACTCGCACATCTCTTTGTTCGTCGCATGGCAGGACCAACATGAGCACCTCCACAACATCCACGGCCGTGGCCACCACCGCGATCAAGATATTGAGTTCAACGATTCGGAGCACAGGGACTGCAGTCTCCACTGCTACCTCCAAGGCACTGTCCTCTGAATCGCTGTCCAAGGCAGCTACCACCACGACAGCCAAAGTCGCCAGTGTTGCCAAAGCAGTCTCCTCGAGCACACCGGGTCCGTATACCCCCTGCCCCGAGTGCCGCCGCTTTACTGACACCCCCCAGGGTCACTAAGCTCGACATCACTGGTCAAGGTGATCACCACCTCATCGTCAAAGCTTTCTACCACCCTCGCCACCACGTCCACCCTCACCACCACCTCCACAGGTACGCAAGGGGACCACCGGACTCGTCATGCTCACTTCTCAGGGCCATCTGCTGCTGCTGCTGCAACCTCATCCATCCTCTCCTCCATGACCAGCGCCGCCAGTGCAGTCGAGACGGTGAGTCTCAGCTTCAACCTCAGCCTCATCAAAGCTGACGATGACAGGTTGAGACTGCCATTCCCTCTGGCAAGAAGGCCTTTGCTTGGGCGTACATTCACGCACACCAGTCCCTCACCACGTGAGTACAAAAACACGCGGCACTTTCTGTGCTGATCTTGCAGCGACCCCACATATCGCTATGCGTACCTGTTCTGGATCCTCGTTGGCGCCTTGGCCATTGTCTACGCCATTGCACACCACTTTCGCCTGTCGGGAGGCTGGCTCGGTGCGTGGTACAACAAGTGGGGTATGAAACGCGGAACAGTCCGTTACGGTCCCAAAAAATCCGGGAGGTACTTTGTCCTGCCTTCCAACAGCTACTTGGTGACCATGGGCGTGTTCGTGTTTATCATGCTCATGCTGTTGCTCGCGGGTCCCGACCACATCGAGGAGAGCAAGGGTGTGTGGGAGATGAGGCGGTCGCTCAGTGACCTCAAGCGGTCGTTGGAGGAGGTGGAGATCATCAAGCCACTGCACAAGGAACATGTCGACAAGTCGGTGTGGACCTTGGGGAACCGCTTTGGCTTTATGGCGTTTGCCGCCATGCCCCTCATTGTGGTACTGGCACTCAAGTCCACCCCTTTTGCCCTGTTCACCATCCCATGGTTCACCGCGCTGCACTGGGACAAGGTCGGCACATTTCACCGTGCAGGCGGATGGTTTGTCTGGTGGATGGTCACGCTTCACGTCATCCTGTGGGTCATCCAGCTGTTCAAGGACCACTACGACAACCGGCCCATGTTCTTTGCCATGCTTGTCATCTACCGCTTCCGTTCGGCAATTGTCGCCTACGTTGCCATGACTTTGGCCATGCTCTTGTCCCTCCGCAAGGTCCGCAACAAGAGTTACGAAGTGAGTGCCACGAATGAAAAAAAAGGGTGGCGATAATTGACACCCATTTTTTCAGCTTTTCTACTTTTCGCACGTCATCCTCATGTTCATCATGCTCGTCTTCGCGCTCCTGCACCATGCGGTCATCTGGTACTGGATCGGTGCGGCACTCATGCTCTGGGGTGGCGACCGCGTGTTCCGGTGGACGCGAGGGGCGTGGATCAATGGCTCGTTTGGTTCCTCGCAGGCAATCAAGAGCGCCAACCCTCGTCTGGACGCGTACATGGAGAAGAACGGTGCACCTGTCCCCAGCATAGTGCCTCCGGGCATGGCACATGCCCAGCTCCTGCCGTCCCGTACTGTGCGGTTGTCTATCCGCACCGCTCGCCCGATCAAGTGGCAGCCGGGGCAGAGCGTCCTGCTCAACATCCCCGATCTGTCGCTCCTCCAGACCCACCCATTCACCATCTCCAACAACGACCCGCACGAAATGGTCCTGGTCATCAAGGCTCGAAAGGGTCTCACCCGCCAGCTGTATGACCATGTGGTGGCCATGACCAACGCCCAGGTCAACTCCCACGACAAGCGCGGCTCGGTCATTTTTAGGACTGAGCCCGTCCTGATGCGTGCCCAGATTGACGGTCCTCTGGGTTCCGCGGGCCGCGTGCCATGGACCGACTTTAGCAATGTGGTCATCATGTGTGGTGGTTCTGGGGTGACCTTTGGCCTCGCCATCTGCGACTACCTGGCCACGGTCATGAGTTCGCCCCAGTTCAAGGGCAAGACGCGCCGTGTCCGTTTCGTGTGGATTGTGCGCGAGTACGCCGAGATCACATGGGCCGCGTCGGCCATGTGCCGTTTCGCACACCTCCTCCAGGGAGAGCAGCTGCAAATTGACATCTTTGTGACCAACGGCGAAAAGTCGACACGGCCACAGCGAAAGCGTACTCCGGCCACATCGATGATCAGCGTCCAGTCGCCGGCGGACGCAGACGATTCCGAGTCGTCCGACGACGACGACGACGGCAAGGCGGCCGGTACCAACACCGGAAACAACCTCCGCCCTCCCCGCCCGTCCTACTATGAGCTACCTGGCCGGGAGCGCAAGGCGTCCACCGACACCGTCTCGTCGGCGTTTAGCGTCACCCCGCGCAGTTCGCAAGAGCGCGTGACGAGCGACATTGACCCCGAGACCGGCGCCGCGTACAATGACGAGGCGGCCATCCGCGGCTTGACAAACTACGGCGACGAGGAGGACGTCGACGACGCCAAGGAGAAGCGCCTCTCGCGCGCGTTCCAGCACGAAGGCAAGGCCCGCCGAGCTCGTTCTCGCAGGGCCGCCAGGGCGGCGAGCATGCCTGGCGCCGTGCTGCCGCCTGTCCCGCCCATGCCCGACCCCGCGACCATGCCCCCACCCCCGTCCCCGCCCAAACTCATGGTGGACATCTCTGCAGACCTGGAACGTGACGAACGCCGCCGGTCCCAGAAACCGCACATGCAGACCGAGGAGTCGCGGTCCATTGTTGCCACCGACTCGAGTGCGACGTTGCGCGACACGTACGGCCGCCTCACCGGCGAGTCTGGCATCCCCATTGTGTCGTACAACGACAACACTTGGGCCGCGTACGAGCGCTACGACCCATTCGGGGAAACGGGCAAGCTCTCCCCGGGCGCGTCGCTCGAGGACCTCGCGCTGCACTACAAGTCACTGACGTCGCGGACGCACGACATGGTGCTGCTGGACGACACGCCCGACGGCGCGGGCCACAAGTGCGACCACTGCGGCCGGGCGGCCAGCGACCAGCTGTGGATCGACGAGGGCGACTATGCCGCCGCCAAGATTCTGTCCGAGAACGCGCGAACGGGCCGCCCGCCGCTGGCGAGTATCCTCGAGGACGAGATGCGCAGCGCCACGGGCTCGACAATTGTGGCCACGTGTGGGCCCGTGGGCCTCAACACCACCGTCCGCAACCTCGTCTCGGCCGCCATTGACCCAGCCAAGATTCGCAACGGCGACCCCAGGGGTTACGTCACCATGTACTCTGAGGACTTTGAAATGTAGGCCGCCAGCTGATGCAGCTGAGGAGAGGGCCTGCTGGATATTATAAAGGATATTGTGAGGCGCGGCGATAGGGTGTTAGATAATGCTGTTTAGAAAGGGTACACGGCTTTCCTTATGCAGATAATCGGTTCTGGACGAGCGTGCGTGTTTCTCGTACCCCACTGTGTCCACCGCAGACAAGCCATGGAATAGCATCATGGCAGCCTAGACCTGTTTGCTAAGGCCTACTTGTGAAGGGCGTTGAGGATCCAGAAGACCACAACTGCAAAGGTAGCGCCTCCCATGTACGTGTAGAGACGCTCCTCGGGCTCCATCAAGTCCAGGAAAGGGTAAGGGAAGACGCCGTTGATCATCGCCTGAAAGCCCATGGTCAGCGACGATGCGGGATGTGCTCGCAGGCCCTTGAGAACAACGTACAGTGTACTCGACCCAGGCGGCGTAGCCAATGCCACAGAAGAGGCCGAGGATCATGACAATGCGGGTCGACGTAGGAGGGACGTACTTGACCTCGAGGTAGAAGAAATCTGTAATAGTGAGTCATTGCCCACGAGACAGACGGAATTCCTCGCAAGAAGTTGGCGCCACACGGCCGCCGCTTGAAATCGCCACCTACCGATAATGAGCGTCACGGCGGGGACGAAGTGAAGTCCAAGGTCGATCCAGAGAGGGATCCAAAGAAGGGCAGCGGAGGGGTCCATGCCAAGGGCATTAGTCGCGGCACCCTCCACGGCCTTGGGTGGGAGCATGAGATGCGGGGCGCAGATGACGAGCGGCCACTGCAGGCGGTTAGCTGCTGCCTACCTCTATTATCCTAGCTAACGCACGTAGATGGCAGACACGGTAATCTCAATAGGGAGCGCGATGAGGGCGAACATACGCTTCAGGACGTAGATGACTGTGAGGAGACTGTCAGCAGGCACGCGTACGAGAGGCAAGGCTTCTGAGAACGAGTAGTGCTCACGCATCTCATCTGGCGCGAGGTCCCTGAGCGCCGACAGCACCATGGTGGCAGTGGTCACGATGAACCTGTGGTCTGTCAGATATTGATCAACGAGCGCGTGACGACGGAGCGTGTTCATCGCGACACCACTTACGCGATGATGGTAAGGAACCTCAAGTCGCCGCCGTACTGGGTTGTCAGTTCATACCTTGTGTGGTTAAACTCACCATCTCCTTTGTCACGGGGACATTGGCCATGGCCTTGCCCAGGCTAAAGTACGATGCGAGCATGTACGCCGAGGCGAGCGAGTGGAAGACGAGGCGGTTCCAGCGGACAGGCTGGGGCTGCTTCTGAGCCGGCGCCGTGCGCTGGCGCGTGTCCGATGCGACGGGGGCTGGGGCAGTCTGTGACGACATGTTTGGGAGTGTGGCGAGGAGAAGGGAATGTGGTAGTGGCCCCCACTTGACTTGTAAAGACGGACAGTGGACAGACAAAGAAAGAGCAAACGTGGTGGTGGGATGTTGCGCGTGGTTTGTGGTGGCTTCCCTCAGGAACATCCGCAACTGGGCCCCCGGTCCATCCCGGCAACCAAAATGGCCGTCGAGTGACGTCGATCCACTCTGTCATAAATGAACTCTTCGAACTCTACTCTCACCCATCGTGCACAGTTACACATGTCCCATGGGGGAGAGTACGAATCGCAGGCTGCTTGCAGGCTACCCCGCCGCCGCAGGTGACGTCGAGGCTAGCCACAGTGACAAGGAGATAACCACGAAACAATAAGGGTGGGTTCTCTTTTATTTGGGTTGGCGCTCGCACCGTCCCCGTCATGCTACGCACCCATCCTTGTGCACCCAGAGTCATACAGGGGCCAGGCTAAACCTCGGGGTCTGTCTGTTGTCGGGAACGGTCAGCACACCCCGTCAGCGGTGACTTGAAGCGCTCAGGCCGTCGAGATGAGGCCGATGGCCATCGTTCGCTTAAGGCTTGGCACCGGACTAGTGCAACGCACATACCGTATGTGCGGCCCGCGGCCATCGCCGGCACTGGACAAGAAACATAAAATAGCCGCGACACCCATCACCACTTGTCCCCTTTCTTCCACGTACTGTCGGTCCACACGTCGCAACATGGTCGCCTTCTCGCTGTGAGTTTCGAGCAAGGTGGAAGGAGGAAAGGAGGAAGAAGGGTCAGGAAGGAAGACACCGGAAGGAAGACACCGACCGCGAGGGAAGACGCACCAGCTAACATCCCAGCACCAACCTCATCTCCAACCCAGGCTACAACGCCTCGTACCCGCTCCTCATCGTCGCCTGGGGCCAGAGCATCGCCGCCTCCCCGCGCGGCGCAATGCTCCAGCTTGGGTTCCGGGACAATGCGCAGCCGCGCGAGCTGCTGGCCAAGATTGAGGCCAGCGGCAAGCTCAAGCCCGCGACGATCGAAAAGCTCAAGCGCCGCCTGGCAGCACACCAGAACTGTCTCGAGGGCCTGCCCATGCTCGTGGCTGCTGTGGTGAGTAAATAGGGGGTGTGGCACATGAGATGCCACGACAGCGGACAGACCCCAGCTGTCATTCCAAGCACACACAGCTGACGTCCCAGGTCGCGGGCAACTCCGCCGGCCTGGACGCGGCGTACATGAACAAGATGGTGCTCGCGTACGTCCTCAGCCGCTTCGTGTTCGTGCACATGTACATCAAGGCGACGACCCAGCGCGCCTCGCTCGTCCGCTCGCTCGCGTGGTGGGCCGGTAACGGTAAGTCGGGCCCCTCCTCCTTCCGAGTGCGGCTGACAGGAGAACAGCGTGCTGGATCATGACCCTCATCAAGGCGGGCAGCAAGCTCAACGCTTAAGACGAAGAGCGAGGGGGGGTGAGGTCAGCAGAGGTGCATTCCTGGGACTCTGGCGACCGTTAGTAGTAGCCTCGGTACTACCTTTTGAGTGATGTCAGACCGTGGAGACAAATCTGTACACTCTCCAGGCCCGGCACGCGTCGGCATGGACCTGTTTTCTGCACGTCTCACGGTCTGCTCATCTCGGCCTACGTGTGCCGGCGCGTACGGAATGCGGGGGTTGGGCGCGCGTCCACCTCACGTCCTGCGTCCTGCGTCCTCTGTACCTCTCTCTGTACGTGCACAGACAGCTGCCGGCCTGCCCGGTCTAGGTTTTTGCTATCGCGACTGAACGAGCACTCGTATGCCCCGCCCCCGAGACCCGACTGAACGCCACGGCGCTGGACGGCATCAGGTACATGTCATGAACTTTCCGGGCCGTAGGGTAAAGTACCAGGGTTCGCCTGCTCTTTGTCCACTGTCTGTACTGCTGTCTGTAATGGGGGGTCTACATCTCTGGGGAGATATCGTCTACTCGTCTCGGTCGTACGCATCTACTCGCCCTCTCTCATCGCCCGGAATCTCCCGTCTCCCATCTCGCCATCTCCAATCTCCATCTCCTACAAAGCGGGACACTCGCGCTAGGTGCGGCGCTTGAGGCCCTGGGCGTGTCCGTTAATGGCTGTGGTGTGCACTGCCGACGTTGTCGCGTTGGCGACACCGTTTGTCTTTGTCGTCCGGTACTCGTTCTTGTTGGTCACGTCGTCCGAGTCCTCAGTGTCCTCGCTGTCGTCGACGAGCTCGGTCTCCTCGTCGTGGACGTTCTCGGCCTCGGCCTCGGACTCTTCTGCCATGTCCTCGCTGTCGGAGCGCGAGTCCTCGGCACCCTCGCCGCGGACCACTCGGATGGCCACACGGAGGGCCATCCAGAACCACAGAGAGCACAGGACGAGGAGGATCGACAGGAGGATGGTGAACGTCCAGTACATGAACGGGTTGAAGTAGTGGCCGGTCTGGTGGTTCCACTCGTACCGGATGTACACGGGCGGTCCGCTGACGCCGGTCTGGTACACCAGGCAGGCGAAGGCGATCTGGCGTGTGCCGAGCCACGAGAGGAGGAAGAGGACAAACGTCGCGTCACAGGCTGTCTTGAACTCGAGGTAGCGCAGGAGCTTGGCGAGCTAGAGAGGGATGGTGTCAGCCGGGAGGCGCACGTGCGTGTGGATCGTAAGATATGGCAACAACTTACGGGAAGGAGAATGTCGCAGACGTCCATCAAAGTGTGGATGAGGGTGCCGACACGGGTATAGTTGCCAACGTACGACATCATGACCAGGATGATGGAGACAAAGTGGTGGAAGCACATCTGCCAGTGGTCCTTGCGGCGCTTCTCCATGTTGATCACGTAGACCTGGTGGAACCACCATCCAAGCTGGCCCAGATAGTAGAACTTTGTGAGCCATGGGAGAGGGTGGTACGGGTAGGTACCCCACAGCTCCTGGGGAGAAGTCCTGTTCGGGATGCGGTAGAGGATGACCTGGACGAGTTAGCGCGAAATGGCTTTGGTTCTTTTTTATATAAAGCACACACCAGTCCGAGTGCCTCCGCCATGGCAAAGTAGAGCATGCTCCATCCCTGCTCGGCGAATCGTGCTGCGGCGTGTTCGTGCTTGCGGTCATGGGCGCGCAGGTGTCGCTTGCGCATTGCTGGGTCGTCGTACGCGTGGTTCAACTTGGCTCGGGGAATGTATGCGCGTGCAAATGGTGACAGGATGTACTCCATGACGATGTGGCGCGCGACTGTGAGGATGATGGCGGCAGTCACGACGAAGAGGACATCGTCGTAGCCCTTTTCGTACATTGTTGCTGGCAAGCCGTTCTCAAACCCGTCGATGGGGTACGACATGGTCAAGAACGGCCGCAGTGCTTGTGGGAGTGCGACAGGCATGGTGGGCGGGAGGGAGGGGGGGATCGTGAGCTCGCGGAGCCTCTAGCGTGTTTAAAGACGGAAAGTCGTGGGGTTGGCGTTAAGGCGTTCCCACTTGGGAACGTGTCCGCTGACGACGGAGCGACTGGTGGGTCGATGGAGGGGCGGAAAGAGAGTGGTGGGCGAGGTGGTGGTGAGGAGGAGGCGGTGGTGGTGAGGGACGCTACACGGGTAGCGATGAGACGAGAGCTGGTCAGAGGAGCCTGGCCTGTTTTTGTGTTGTAATTTTGTGGGGGGGTGGGCGAGAGAGAGAGATGCGATGGCAAGGATGTTGGGATGGTTGCCCGTCGCTAGAGTGTGTGGATGATGTGAAACGACCAGAAGGACAATGGCCCGCCCCGCCGGGGGAGACACCCACCCCCGCCACGCAGATCCAATGTTCGCCAGGCTCTCTCTGTCGCTACACGCTGCCTCTCTCTGCACTCTGACGCACAGCCCACGCGCTGCCAGCGCTGCCCGCCAGCGACACGTTTCTGGGGCAGCGAAAAAGGTAAGGGGACGCGCCTTGAGCTCGCCGTGTGGCCCTGAAACCATCTCGCTACGGGGGGGTATACGGGTAAAAGGGGAGGATCAGTTAAATAAATGACAAGGACCACATCTCTCTCTCTCTCCATCAGAGTCGGGAGATCATCCACAACCGGCGTCCGTTTATTTGCTTCGTCCGCACACACCCCAGCTGCATCCTCCTATCCGGCTCGTTCCTCTCCGCTTCCCAAATAGCCATCGAAATGGCGTTTGCTACTCCCTCGCCCACCCTCTTCATCGGCAACCTCGAGACCAAGACGAAAAAGCCAGAGCTCAGGCAGCAGCTGTACGCTCTCTTCACGCCTTTCGGCAGGGTGTGAGTAGTTTGTTTGTCCCATGGGCAGCGTTTGGCCGTCCACCCCTGCGTTGGATCTTGACCAGCCCGGACTTCTGAGAGTAAGAACTGTCCTGCTCACACACTCGCAGTATTGACGTGGTGGCGAAGAAGCACGATGGCGGCCGCGGACAGGCATTCGTCGTGTTTGAGGAGCAGGCAGCAGCGACCGCCGCGCTCCGTGGTCTGACCGGCGAGACCTTTTACAGCCGCAAAATCACCATTGCGTACTCGAAGACGGCCTCGAACGCTACCCTGGCGCGGATAGACCCGACCCAGTCGCGCGATGCCAAGGCTGTCGAGGCGGCCCGCTTGGTCGTGTCGCGTGCGCAGGGCGAGTACGAGCAGCTCGAGAAGGAGCGCGACGCGGCAGGCGGCAAGCGCGAGCTGGACGACGGCGAGGAGGCTGGACCCGCTACCAAGCGTGTCAAGCAGGAGGACGACGAGGACGAGATGGAGATTGAGATGGAGGACGACGACGATGGTGAGCTCGCGACAGTTGCGCAGCAGCTGATAATCAGTGGCAGGAGGAAGCGTGAACGTCATCTGCTCAAACTTGCCGGCCGAATGCAACGAAGACATTATGGGCGCCCTCTTCTCACAGTGAGCCAATCCCTTCGCAAGCGACATGGCAGCAGCTGACAGACTCAGATACCCCGGCTTCTCGCGCGCCACCCTCGTTCCCCCTACCTCTGTCCCATCATCCCACCCCAAGCCCAACGCCGGCGCAAACACCTTCCGGGCAGTGTTTGCGTCGCGCGCACAGGCCGAGGCTGCTATTGCGCCGCTCAACGGCTACCTCATGCAGCCAGGATGGGAGATGGGTGTTTCGATCGAGTAAAGGTGTGTTTGTTAGATACAGAGAGAGGGAGAATAGGGGAGTACACAGAGAGTATGTACATGCATGGAGCTACAGGATCATTGAGAGAGGAGTGTCCGGGTATGTCTCGCCTCTTCTGCCTACTCCTCGTCAGAGGACGCGAGCTGGTCGCGGGCCTCGGCCCTGAGACGGAGGTACGACCTCATGCGCTTGACGGCGCGTTCTGGGTACGTTAGGTGGGGGAGAGTTGAGGCGCATTCTTGGTGACCACTTAACTCACCCTGCTTGCCTTCCTCGGTCTGAATGGCCTTGACGGTCTCCTCGAGTTGGATGCGCGTCTCCTCGGTCTTCTGGTACATCGCGCGGCTGAAGTCGTGCACGAGCTTGAACCTGTGTGGGTCAGAGCTGCCACAGAGGAGTGACCCACGCGTCCGAGAGGACCTGCTCGCTGAACGCTGGCGTTTGTCAGTCATGGGTCCTTCTGGTTAGTTGGCTACCCACCGCGGACGTGCGTCGCCGTCTCGACCTGCAGCGCCTCCCATTCGGCGACCAGCTCGCGCTGCGCGTCGTAGTGGATGACCTGTGTGCTTAGGACCGGCGCAGCCGACAGCACATACCTCGGCAGCCGCGTCAAACTCGTCGCGCGCCTGGTTCTCCATGTCGTGGGCCGGGGCGACAGTCGGGTGCGCGGGGCTGGGCTGGTTCGTGCTGGCGTCGGTGTTGATGTCCTTGTTGGTTGTGGGGGAGGGGCAGGGAGGCGCCAGAGGAGGGGAGGAAGACGCGTCCTCGGGGTTGCTCGAGCTCGAAACGGGGCTGCTCAGCGCCTGGGAGACGCCTTCAAAGAACGAGGGGGGCATGTCGTTGAACACCTTGAGCATATCAGCGGTGGTGGATGCAGCGTCGTCCGTCATTGCGGGCGGGTGTATGAGTGAGTGGGAGAAACGAAGATGGGGAAGGAAGGCAAGGAAGGCAGTTATAGTGGGAGGGAAGGCGAGGAAGGTGCAAGGTGACTGGACATTGGGGGAAGGTGAGCCACACGACAACGCACGACAAGTCAGAACCACCGACGCGCTTGTGAGGGGTATCAGATGTGCATCGAGAGAGGGATTGCTAGGTCAGTCAACTGGGGGGCCCAGTCGAGGTGCACCTGCCTGCAGGTATATGTTCATAAATCATGCACGATAACACGCCTAGTCAATGAGGTACTTGCGCTTGAAGAACGAGCGAAGGTGGAAGAGCTGCCAGGCGCCCAGGGAAATGATACCAATGGTAATGATGACGGCAAACCACTTGACGCGGGCGTTGGTGCTCTCTGCAAGCGGGGTCAGCGCGACGCTCGCAAGCATTCTACGCCGGCTGGGAGCCATTTCACGTATGTTCAGCCGCCACGTACCGTTGGTGTCACGCATACGCATCTCACGGCGCTGCAGGTAGCCCATCTCGTCGACAATCTCCTTGACCTGAGCCTCGAGTTTACGCATCTCAACCTCGATCAACGAAAGAGACTCCTGGTTGGCAATGGCACTGAATGTCAGCTTGGGACTAGGACACAAAGCTCACTTGTAGTCAACGGCGTCGGCGCCAATGTCGACGTCCAGGTCGACAGTGCGGAAGCGCTGGGTGGGGTTGCCTGCAATGTCAGTTCGAGGTAAACCGCCTAACTCACTGTCCATGAGGACGTTCCTCATGCAGACGCCGACGTCGGCAGACTCGTGGGTGGTGATTGCCATACGGGTCTCACCCTTGAGGTCCTGTGCGGGTTAGACATGCCGAAGCTGGCGGAGACCCACCTTCTTGGCAAGGTAGACGTTTCCACGGTCCGAACCGTCAACAATTTCAACGTCGACGCGCATTCCCGGCACCATTGGCACGTTGGTGGTGACGATCACGAGGGTGTGCTCATTGGCGAAGTTCCAGACGCTGTGGTTGTGTCAGAAACACTGCTTTGAGAACGGAGGGGGTCATTGCTGTCACTAGGCACTCACCAGTCTGTGCGTGGTGGAGTGTAGTGGTAGTTGAGTGACGCGTGCAGAGCATGTGTGAGAGGGGTAAAGCGTCAGCGCGCTGGCGACGAAGATGAAAGCGACAAGCATGGAGACGTACAAGGCTCTGGGGAGACGTGGAGGTCAAACTTGACGGCCGCGGTCAGCGGTGCCTGCCACAGGAAGGTGAACACGAGCGAGAGCGCAAAGAGGATGGAGGTGGGACGGAGCGCCATTGTGGTAGCGAGGAGAGCGGGGTAGGTTGGGAGAGAAAGAAGCAGAGGACCTCTGGCCCAGGTGAAGTCGTGTGGCAGGTGTCGTCCGCGCTCGGCGCGTGTTTTGTTGGCTGCTTGGGCGTTCGTCAAAGGTTCGTGTCTGGGGGAGGAAGAAGCACAGGTTGTGTCGGTCGGCGTTGTAATGTCCACGACGGCGAGAAGCGCAGCGCCTGGATCGACCACGAGACCGTTGCGTCCGTTCTCCACACGCGACGTGGCGGGCCCAAACACGGTCCGCATCATGGCACCGACTGGCCGGTCCACGCCGGCAAGCTGCAAACTCAAATGAGCGGCAATAGGCATCCAAAGATAATGTTACGCAGGCCTATTAGGATTAGGCGTAATCCAAAGCAAAGATCGCTGTGTATCGGCACCTGGAAAGGTGCCTGGAGGCCCGTCGACCAAAGTCGTTTCCAGAGACCACTGACGTGCTTTTGCGAGTCGACAAAGAAAGAGGAGCAAGCTGTCTTGATTGTTTCTTCTCAACCCCTCACAACCCAACGCACGCACCCACCTCCCTCGGACCTTGGCCACCTGTATGGCCTTAAGGCATCGACTCGTCTCCCCATCCTCCCCACTCTCCCGCCTCCTCTCACCAACCTTGCGGCGTCAGACTATCCGTCTCGCTCACTCCTTGCCTCCGCCATCCCCGCGCCTCCACGTTCGAGCATTCACAATGTCCGCCGCTGCTTCTGGCTCGAACATGCCCGAGTGGTACCAGCCTAACAAGCAGGTCGAGGACCCCGTGCTCCGCGTCTACAACTCGCTCACCCGCTCCAAGGACGTCTTTGTCCCCACCAAGGGCCGTCAAGTCGACTGGTACAACTGTGGCCCTACCGTCTATGACGCGTCCCATATAGGTCATGCTCGGTGAGTGAGGTGGCTCGTAGTCAGAAACTAACCTCTACAGCAACTACCTCACCCAGGACATTGTTCGCCGCATTCTCCGCGACTACTTTGGCTACGACGTCAACTATGTGATGAACGTGACGGACATTGATGACAAGATCATCATGCGTGCCCGTGAGGGCTACCTCCTGAAGGAGACTGTTGAGAAGAACCCCGCCCTCACTGCCGAGCTCATCCAGACCGCCCGCAAGGCCTATGCCGAGTTCCTGCCCAAGCTCGTCAAGTCGCTCCCCTCGCCGGTCGAGTCGGGCAGCGACGACGCGCTCGAGCAGTTTGCCGCCATTGCTGCCAAGGATGCGTCTGATGCCGAGTTTGCTCGTGCTGGCCGTGAAAAGGAGGAGAAGTTTGGTCTCTACATCACCTCGCTGTCCAAGGCCCGCCAGGCTATTCTTGATGCCGAGAAGAGCCTCGCGTCCGGCAACACCCAGGGTGTCAAGGAGCTTGTTGACAGCACTGCCGACGTCCTTGGCCCCTACCTCGGCACCACGCTTGGCGACACCATCGCCGACCCCCGTGCCGTCTCGCGTGATCTCGCTGCCTACTGGGAGAACCGTTTCTTCGAGGACATGGACCGCCTCCGCGTCCTCCCTCCCGACACCATCACTCGCGTGTCCGAGTACGTCCCCGAGATTGTCTCGTTTGTCGAGAAGATTATCGACAATGGCTTTGCCTACGAGGCCGACGGCTCGGTGTGGTTTGACGTCGCCAAGTTTGAGGGTGCCAAGGCCGACGGCTTCACCCACGAGTACGCCAAGCTCCAGCCCAACTCGAAGGGCAACAGGAAGCTCATCGACGAGGGTGAGGGCGCCCTCACTGCCAACAAGGGCAAGCGCCAGGCCTCGGACTTTGCCCTCTGGAAGGCTCGCAGCAAGCCCGGAGAGCCTGCTTGGCCCTCTCCCTGGGGTGAGGGCCGCCCCGGATGGCACATTGAGTGCTCGGTCATGGCGTCGGCTATCCTTGGCCAGAACATGGACATTCACTCGGGTGGTGTCGACCTCATGTTCCCCCACCACGACAACGAGCTCGCCCAGTCCGAGGCATACCACGGCTGCAAGCAGTGGGTCAACTACTTTATCCACACTGGCCACCTCCACATTGAGGGTCTCAAGATGAGCAAGTCGTTGAAGAACTTTATTTCCATCGACGTGGGTGTTGCTTTTGTTGAACCGAGAGAAAAACCTAACCTCCTCAGGACGCGTTGAGAGACTACTCGGCCCGCCAGCTGCGCATGGCCTTTATGCTCCAGCAGTGGAATGCCAAGCTCGACTTCCGCAAGGACCTCGTTGCCGACGTCAAGACCAAGGAGGAGACCCTCGACAAGTTCTTCGCCAACGTCAAGGCCCGCATCAACGAGGCTGCTGCCCGTGGACCCAACACTGACGGCAAGCACCACTTTGACGAGCAGGAGAAGGCTCTCCTTGAGGACCTCCACAAGGCCCAGTACGACTTCCGTGTCGCTCTCTGCGACTCGTTCAACACGTCGCAGGCCCTCACTGTCCTCCTCGACATTGTGGGCAAGGCCAACGTCTACTTTTCGGGCCGTGCTGGCGAGTACAACATTGAGCCTGTCAAGGTCATTGCCCAGTGGGTGACCCGCATGCTCAGGATGTTTGGTCTGGCCGAGGGCAACGCTGTCGCGGACGCGACCGCCGTTGGGTGGGGCAAGGAGGGCGACTCGAACGACTCGGGTGACTTTGAGGCCAAGCTTGACAAGTACATCCGTGCTCTCTCGTCGTTCCGTGACGACGTCCGCAAGCTCGCCATTGACGGTGCTGCCAACAAGGAGATTCTCGCTCTCTGCGACCGTTTCCGTGACAACGACCTGGTCAACCTCGGTATCCAGCTCGACGATGGCCAGGGTGCCAACGGCTCGGCACTGTACAAGATTGTGGACCCCGCCGTCCTCATCAGGCAGCGCGACGAAAAGGCCGCTGCTGCCGCCGACAAGGCTGCCAAGAAGGCTGCCTCTGCGGCTGCTGCCGAGGCCAAGCGTATTGCCCAGCTCGAAAAGGGCCGCGTGGCGCCCGAGGACCTCTTCCGCCCCCCACAGGTCGCCGAGGGCACCTATTCGAAGTGGGACGAGCAGGGCTTCCCCACCCACGACGGCGAGGGCGCCGAGGTCAGCAAGAGCGCGACCAAGAAGTTCCAAAAGGAGCGCAAGCTCCAGGAGAGGCTCCACGCAGACTTCAAGGCGTGGCAGGAGAAGGGCGGTCAGTAGTCATCTCATATCCCCCATAATGCATCTACAGGAGCCCGTGAGGGGCTTCACTTGGTGATCTTTAAGATTGAAAGATTGTTAGTAGCGCGAAGCACGGAGGATTGGGCGACGCGCGAATGATTGGCGTTGATCGTCGAGCGTGGCGGATTTCCTTGTAGACAACAAAAACGCACCAGGAACAATGGTCTTCCGGTCTTGCCATCACCCACCCATCAGACCCCATCACCACAGTGCCCTCCAATGGTGGGAAGGGGTACAAGCCGTCAACAGGCCGTCAACAGGGGGCGGACAAGAGCTTGAAGGCGTTTCAGTCCATACAACCACCACAGAAAGACTCCGCTGTCAGTGTGATTGGCCAGGCTGCCTTCAACGTCCCATCGAGTAACTAGTGAAAGCAACCCATCGTGATGGAGTGTTGACAGCGGCTGCATTGGCATATAGGACGGGTAACATGGAGGTCTACCAGTATCACTCACAGCAGCAGCAACAGCAAACAACAGCACCACCATGACCAACTTTTACAACACCCGCCGCCTCCAGTACGTGGCGCCAGACCACGTCTTCCGCACAGCCGTCCGCGTCAACGTCGCTGCCATGTACGCGACGCCTCGCCTGATGAAGTTGCGCCACGTGCCCACTTCCGACACGGCGTTCTACTGCTCAGAGGAGAAGATGGGCTACGAGCTTGCCCCCAACGGCACAGACATGTTTGCCGACTGGGAGCACCACCTGGCCTGCCGCCAGCTGGGCCTCCCTGTGCAGCTGTCCAAGTGGAACCTCGCGACTCACCGCCGCCTGTCTGCCGAGGCTTCGGGAGAGTCCATGTCCGTGGCCCAGACGACCTTGCCAGAGGAGAACGAGGTTGAGGTTGGCGAGCTGGTCGAGGTCGTCATCAGCCCACCTGAGCCTCGCGACAACTGCATCATGCCGCCCGAGGAGGTCCGCAGCCTGTACCCCATCCGCCGCATGGTCGTGGCACCCCAGTTCATCACAGCCCCGACCACCCCGCTGCCCAGCATTCCCGCCACCCCTGCCACCCCGACTTTTCTCCCGTCCAACGATGACAGCGACGACGCTCCTCCTCGCCGCGTCTCCTCCCCCAACGCGCGCCAGAACCGCCGCGCAGCCCTGTTTGGCCACGAGGGCGTGATCGTCACTCCTCCCGCGTCCCCCGAGCAGCGCTCCCCCATCACCGGCGTGTTCGAGGTGCAGCCCAGCGCTGCGGCGTTCACCGACCCGACCGCCATCCCGCGCGCCGCGGCCCGCAAGCTCGGTCTCGAGGACAAGGAGCCGGCAGCTTGCGCCGCGGCGACTGAAAGCCTCGCCAGCCGGTACTCGACCGAGTCGTTTGCTCGCTCGGACGCAAGCTATGACCCGCGCTTCCCCAAGAGCCTGTGCGAGGACGTGGTGGACGGCGACTCGGACTCGTGCAGCAGCCTCCGGGGCCTGCGTCTGCGCCTCAAGGAGAGCGAGCGGCCTCGCACGCTTGACATTGAGGTGATGCTTGCCAACCTCAAGGACTCTGCGCTGCTGTAGAGAGAAAGAGCGAGAGAGAGAATGAGTAGAATCAGAAGAGCACTGTATTAGAAACTGTATCCCTGGCAGACCGCATGCACTGTGTCAATAGATCCTGTTCAGTTGTTGCTGTTGGGTGCATGGTGCTGCATGGTTGCATGCATAAGACCCGTCGGTGCGCCTGGCTTGTCGATGCATAACGGGCTCGCCCTCATTGGATTATGGTGCAAGTGCCACACGCGGAGTTATGTGCGCAACGGGCGGTCGCGGGTTGGCTCACTGGGCCTGTGGGTGTGGGCGACGGTGGGTGTGCAGCCAGCCCCTCCTGCTCCCTCCGTCCTGGCTGCTGGGCTGACCGCTGAGCTCACCACGTCGCTCTTCACAAACGACACCACAGTCAACACCACTCCACAGCCATGCTCCGTCGGCTCGCGGCTTCCCGCTCGCTCGCACGCCAGATCCCCGCCCCTGGTACGCGTCCACCCCCTCCCCCCATCCCGTCGTCGTCGACTGCTCGCCCACCGGAGAGAGGACAATTGTCGCTGTCCCTTCCGAGCGGCATGCGGATTCGCGATTTCGACATGCACCATCACCATATCCAAACACACACCCAATGCTGACACCCCTGCGCAGGCTCGCGCCTCTTCTCGTCGTCCCGTGTGGCTCGCGCGGACATCACCCTCACTGTCGATGGCAAGGAGGTCACCGTCCCCGCTGGTAAGTAGCAAAATGGACGAGGGACGGAGATTAGAGGTTTCCGGAGCACTGACCACACCTACTCGTATAGGTACCGCGCTTATCCAGGCTTGTGTGAGTTTCATTTCAGTTGCTCGCAGTGTGAAACATAGCTGACACCATCTACAGGAGGCAGCGTACGTGTCTATTGCTGTTGAATCCCCGAGAAACAAGATGCTGACCTTGCTCTAGCGGTGCCACCGTCCCCCGTTTGTGAGTTTGAAGTGAACGACGAGTGCCCGCCACACCCAGCTGACTAGTCCTCTCAGCTGTTACCATGACAGGCTAGCCATTGCCGGTAACTGCCGCATGTGTCTCGTCGAGGTCGAGCGCGCACCAAAGCCCATTGCTTCGTGTGCCATGCCCGCCATGCCCGGCTCCAAGGTCTTCACCAACACCCCCAGGATCCACAAGGCTCGCGAGGGTGTCATGGAGTTCCTCCTTTCCAACCACCCTCTCGACTGCCCCATCTGTGACCAGGGTGGCGAGTGTGACCTCCAGGACCAGTCGATGCGCTACGGTTCCGACAGGTCAAGGTTCCACGAGATTGCTGGCAAGCGTGCCACTGAGAACAAGGAGTTTGGCCCCATTGTCAAGACTTCGATGAACCGCTGCATTCAGTGCACGCGTTGTGTCCGTTTCGCCAACGACGTTGCCGGTGTCGAGGACCTCGGTACCTCGGGCCGTGGCAACGACCTCCAGATTGGCATGTACGTTGAGAAGACTCTCAACTCGGAGATGTCGGGTAACATTATCGACCTCTGCCCCGTCGGTGCCCTCACCTCAAAGCCCTACCAGTTCCAGGCCCGTCCTTGGGAGCTCAAGAAGACTGAGAGTGTCGACGTCCTCGACGCCGTGGGCTCGAACATTCGTGTCGACTCGCGTGGTGTCCAGGTCATGCGCATCCAGCCCAAGCTGAACGACGACGTCAACGAGGAGTGGATCAACGACAAGACCCGTTACGCCTACGACGGTCTCCGCTACCAGCGTCTCACCACCCCTCTTGTCCGTGAGGGTGACCGCTTCGTCGCTGCCACCTGGGAGCACGCCCTCGAGACCATCCGCCACGGCCTCGAGAAGTCGGGTGCCAAGGGTGACGAGATCAAGGCTGTTGCCGGTGCCCTTGCCGACACCGAGTCGATTGTCGCTCTCAAGGACCTCGTCAACCGTCTCGGCTCGGAGAACACCACCTCGGACAACGCTGCTGCCACCGGTGCTGACATTCGTTCCAACTACCTCTTCAACACTGGTATCGCCAACGTTGAGGAGGCTGACGCCGTTCTCCTGATCGGCACCAACCCCCGCCACGAGGCCGCCATTATCAACACCCGCTTCCGCAAGTCGTGGCTCAAGCTCGGTGCCAACTTTGCCGTTGTCGGCGAGGACTTTGACTCGACCTTCCAGTACGAGTCGCTCGGCAAGTCGGCCGCCGACGCCGTCAAGTTCCTGTCTGGCAAGACCGACTCTGCGTTTGCCAAGCTCTGGAAGGACGCCAAGAAGCCCCTCGTTGTGATCGGCTCGTCTGTCGTTGAGGGCAAGGACGGTGCCGCCGTCCTCAAGGCCGCCTCGGAGCACGTCCTTGCCAACTCTGACAAGTTTGTGACCCCCGAGTGGAACGGCTTCTCGGTCCTCCAGCGCGCCGCTTCGCGCACTGCCGCTCTCGACGTTGGCTTCACCCCTTCGGCGTCGTCGTCCAAGACGACTCCCAAGTTTGTCTACCTCCTCAACGCCGACGACATTGACCCCACGACCATCCCCGAGAACGCGTTCGTCGTCTACCAGGGCCACCACGGTGACGTGGGTGCCCAGTACGCCGACGTCTGCCTCCCCGGTGCCGCCTACACTGAAAAGGCCACCACCTGGGTGAACACTGAGGGTCGCTCGCAGCAGGGCCGTACCGCCGTCCCTCCTCCTGGCGCTGCCCGTGAGGACTGGAAGATCATCCGTGCCCTGTCCGAGGTCGTTGGCCAGCCCCTGCCCTACGACGACCAGCTCGCTCTCCGCGACCGCATGTGGGACGTTTCGCCCACCCTCGTCCGCTTTGACGAGCGCGAGGTCCCCTCGACCGAGGTGCTCCGCGCCGGTCTCGAGTCGCTCGCTTCGGCCCAGGCTTCCGCCGCGTCGAGCGACGTCCTCCGCAAGCCCATTGCCGACTTTTACCGCACCGACCCCATCTCGCGCGCATCCGTCACCATGGCCCAGTGCTCCAAGGCCTTCTCCAAGGGCACCCCATTGGACGCGGCAACGGAGGACGCCAAGCAGGCGTTTGCCTAGACCGCTAGATAAAGAAGCGCGCGCGGCGCTGGTTGTTTGTACGCAGAGGGCATGCAGGATACATTGACACGGAAACCATGATGTGATGCTAATGGGGAGGAGGAAGAGACCCGAAATGGAGGGAGAAATGTGCCTAAAGAAAGGAAAAACTAAAACTAAACCGGAGCATCGCGCGGTGACGGTGTACGGCTGCGGTCGCTGCCGTTCCACGGCCGGTGGACGGGTGTGTCGAGGATGTCGTCGTCGCCGAGGGCCTTGAGCGCCGCCTCGCCGCCCGAGTCGTCGAGCGAAAAGACATTGTCGCTTGCAGCGGCGCCAAACTCGCTCTCACTGGAGAAACTCGGCTTGTGCGCCGCGTGCACGTACAGGCCGCCGCGCTTGGCAGTGTTGAATCCGTTCCCGTTTCCGTTTCCTTGTCCGTGGCCGTGGCCGTGACTGGCACCGCTGCTGCCGCTGCCGTACGCCTGGGCAAACTGCACGCCGTTCGAGGGCGGGAAATAGATGTACTCGTTGGACGCCTCGGTGCCATGCCCGTTACCGATGCGGGGCAACGACGTGGTGTCGGACCCGGCGTGCGAGTGGCTGTCTGTGCTCGTCGCATAGCCGCGGTGGTCAAAGCGCGGCGGTTCGTAGCGATGCGGTTCGAGTGAGTACCCTTCGACCTGTTCGCTCAGATGGCTATGGCTGTGGCCGTGGCCCGAGTGTCCGGACATGGAGTGGCCCGAGAGACTGGCCGAGGGGCTGCGGACCATGCCGCGCGCCATGATGCGCGCGACGCCGAGCGATTCCGAGCTGCTCCCGCGCGCATAGTGCGCCATGGCGGCGGTGCGGCGCGGCGCAAGCGGAGACGTGTTGCCGCCGTCGAGGCCGTCGTCGAAGAACTGGTTGAGCGAGTGGAGCGCGCCGACGAGGTCGCCCATGGATGCATTGTCCGGGACGGACATGGGCGGGGAGGGCAGCTCGAGGCTGACCTGGGACGGGTTTGTGGGGCCGCTGCGCAGGTCGGAGAACTGGAGGACGGAAAAGTGTGCCGACGCAGCGCGCGATTCGACGGCACACGTGTTAAACACGGCGTGGACATTGTTGCGCGTGACTTCGGACCGTTCGTTGGCGTTCGGGATGCTCCAGCCCGACGACTCAAAGGGACCAAACAGCTGGTCGCTGGATTCGGGGACCGCAGGGTCTGGTGTGCTGAACGGCAGGTCGAGGATCTCGAGCGCCTGCGCGCCATGCTTGGTGGAGACGAGGCGGAGGAGGGGGCGCACGAGCTCGCGGCTGTGAGGAGCGAGCGGGGCGCGGACCTCGGGGAACGACAAGAGCAGCTTGAGGATCTGCAAGGCCTTGTCGCGCATCCAGTCGTTGCGGTTGAGGACGAACCCGAGGAGCAGCGTGACAATCTGCAGCGCATGGGTGGCGAGACGCTCACGAAGGAGGGACGCCGCCTGGCGAATAAAGTCGTCCTTTGTGCGGAAACGTGCACGGGCAAACGAGGTCAGGAGACGAGCGATACCCGCCTGGCCCTGCTGCTCGGCAATCTCGGCCAGGTCGGTGGCCATGCATGCGAGCTCCTCGTTGGGCTCGCCAAGGTCGGTCGAGTGGAGCATCCACGGAAGAGCTGCCACAAACCCATTGACGAGTCTGTCGTCTTGCGAGTCGATGAGCTCCGAGTTGGGCACGGACGTGAGGCGGCGGATAACGTCAAACGTCATCATGTCCGTCTTGGAGGAGCGCAGACCGATGAGCAGCAGTGCCTGCAGGTGGGGAGGCGGGCCCGTGAGGTCCTTGGGGCGGAACGACATGAGCTGGGTGACCACGGCTGGGTCGGCGAGGTTGGTCTTGTCGAGGACGTGCGAGAGAAGGTCGACGACTTCGTTAAACTCGGACTCGTACGGGGTGGTGAGACACGTCATGGAACACCAAAAGATCTGCGGGTAGTTGTGCATGTCCGCCGGCGAGATGGACTGGACGATACACGCAAACGTGCGCATGACCTCGTTGTTGAATGCCTGGATCTCGGGCGATGAGCTGGCAATCGTGCTGGACAGACGTGCAAGCACATCTGAGACCATGCGCGGGCCTATGTCGGGCGACAAGATGCGGAAGACCTGGAACGAGCGACACGCAAGGTGGCGAATGGTGCACGACGTGGCCCAGTCGAGGGCAAGCGCACCCCACTGCTGGCGAAGCTTGGGCTGGAGTTGCTGGAGAGATCCAAGAATCTTACCAACCATTGACGCCATCTTTTCTGGCGCATGGAAGACCGTCTCGGGACTCCCGGCGTCGTCTGTCTTCCAGAACGCGGTAGCCCTGCTACGCGCAAGCGCAGTGGTCTTGAGCTCGGCAGCAGCCCAAATAGCCGCCTGGTCGCCCGCTTCGGCGGTGTGGACGTTGGTCAGGTTACACACCATGGCACGGAGTACTTGGAAGAGCACCCTCTGCGCCTGGTCACGCATAATGGCGTTGGAGTCGTCGCAGAGGATGAACGCGACATGCAGCAGGGTCGGCAAGCGTGACGAGAGCGCTGGGTGGCTCAGGCGATGAGGGAGCAGCTCGCCAGCAAAGAGGAGAGCCATTTGACCCTGGGACATTGGCTTTGTGCTGCGCTGTTGTGACGCGCCGAACAATGCGTCCAGGTTGGCGAGCGACGTGGCGGGACTCGAGGGCACATTGGCCTGTGCCGACGTGGCCATGTCCGAGGGGTGGACAAAGCCGTAAATCTCCTCGAATGTAATGTCTGCTGCGGGCGAGTTGGCGAGACACGAGATGATCTGCTGGGCATGCTGCACAAAGTCCGGGCTGCGCTTGGCACCTTGTTCAAAGAGAAACTTGACAAGGGCGGTGGTGTTGCGCGCACGTCCCGAGCCCGCAAAGCTGACGATAATGTCGCGAATATCGTCAATGTGGTCGTCTGTGAACCGCACCACGAGGTAGGTGAGGTTGGACAGGGCCTCGTGGTCGCGTGCAATCTCGTCGGGGCCGAGCTTGGATGTGTCCGCCTCGAGCTCAAGGACCTGAAGGAAGGGGGGCAGGATGCTGAGGGTGGCGTGGCGACGGGGTGCCTCCAGCTGGCCGAGACGGGCGGTACATTCCGCAAGGAAGGGCAGGGCGAGGTTGGGGTACAAGTTGGCGAGACGGGTGGCCATTTCCAGCTGGGCCTGGCGGTACGCGTTGGGGGCGGCAGATCCGACAGCAGGCAGGAGGGCTCCGACCGCAAGCTGGTCGGCGGCATCGTGGAACAACCACACTGCAAGCTGGAACGCACGGTGACGCACGTCGGACACTGGGTGGCCCAGCTTTGAGAGGGAGAGGCAGGCCAGCTGGGCCGGTGGCAGCTTGATGGTACCCTCGCCGATCATGTCGGCGACGACACCGAAAAAGGACGAGTCGAGGGAAAAGTGCTCGCCTTCACCAAACGCCTGATGGAGCACCTCGTCGGCAAGACGCGCGACGCCCCAGTTGTACTTTATCAATGCGTGGAGGGCCTTGCGTGCCGTGTCGTGGTGGGCGGTCGACGACGTCTGGAGCATGCCGCGGACCCAGCGCAGGACAGTCAAGGGGTCGACGACATGCTCGGATGCCTGGCCGGCCGGGGTCGAGTCGGCGGCAGTGATGAGCTTGCCGAGACACAAGCTAGCCATGGCCTCTGCCGCTGCGGCGGACAGGAGCTTGGTCTTGGCCTGCAGGTCGTCGAGGTACTGGGCCTTGTCGCGTTCGCCGCGGTACGAGTCTGCGGCTGCCTGGAGCGTGGCCGACTCGCGGGCCTTTGCCACGTCGGGACGACGGCCGACGTGGCACCAGTCGTAGCAGAGCTTGAAAATGGCGCCACGGTGCTCCTCGCCAAGGAACCGGTCGCTGCTGTCGAGCTGGCCCAGGGCGGTCGTGAGGTTGTCGACGACAATACAAAAGTAGCGCCTGAGACTCTGCAGCTCATAGTCGTCGCGGTAAGCCGGGTCGGCCAGGAGGCCGAGTGTAATCTTGACAAACTGGATGAGCGACGAGAGGTTGGTGAGGTATGCTGACGAGCGGCCCTCGAGGATTAACGGCGAGATGAGGCGGAACACGTGCGCAAACGCAGTCCATAGCGCGCCCTGGGCAGTGGGTCGACGCGTAAAGTTGCCTCCTCCTTGGCTGTTAAAGTTGCGGTACGAGTCGGACAGACGGCGGACGTGGGTGACGAGGGCCTCGGACAGGGACCGGAGGGACGACTGGCGGATCGAGCCCAGAGCGTAGACGGCTGCGTCCTGGAAGCGACGGTCGTCCCAGTTGAGTGTCTGGACGAGATATGGGAACAGTTGCGGTGTCATGAGCAGCTCGGCAGAGAGTGTCTGGTCCTTGCGGGAACCTTGTGTCACGACGCCCGCAGAGTCGACCGTAGCGCACAGGACGGCGAGGTACTGGCGCCACTGGTCGGCAAGCATGGTACCATCGGACACTGAGCGGTTGACAGTGACACCCGTGGGACGCGCCTGTGGCTTTGTGGACGCCGTGACAGCGACGTGGTTTTGTAAGCGGACCACTGTCTGAGCAATGAGCAACTGGAGCTCCTTGACAGGTTTGGGTAGCTGGTCGGCAGTCTTGGCAATGAAGGCCGGAAGCAGACACGCCCACAGTGCCGAGTCCTTTGGACTGTCGCTCTCTGCAATCTTGCGCATCAGCTTGGTCGCCGCCTTGTGTGTGTCGAGACGGTGGCGGTCGTTGCTTGAGAGTGTGGCAATTTTGCGCATGGTGACCAAGTCTGCTTCTGTAGTGTTGCAATCGTACACTTGCAGGACGGCCGAGATGGTCGGCACGTCGATGACAAGACGGCTGTACCTAAACGGCGCCGACGGCTCGCGGTTCTGGCCGATGAGGTCGCTGGCCGCAGTGAAGACCTGGTGGGCGAGCTTGCGGAGATTGACGCTGGACGAGCAGAGGAGGAACAGGCCAGTGGCTTCCACCTTGTGAACAAACGAGATGTCTACGGGCTCGGGCTTTTCAGCTGTACGCTGGTGGGCGGCAAGGGACTCGAGCATGTCGACCCAGAGCGTGACGACGCGGACAAGCTGCGAGTCGAGCAGTCGGGTGCCGACAAAGTGGTCGCGGAACACGTTGCGGGTCTCAAAGACAAACTGGCGGTAGTTGTCGACGAGGACGATGCAGTGTGCTGGGTCGTCTGCGATGCGGCGCATGGTGCTGGATGCGACCTCACATGTCATGGGATCGGCAGAAAACGTCGATCGGCACAGAATGTTGATAAAGTTTGTGATGTTGGGGACGATTGGCAAGAGGGAGCGCACGGCATCGAGGAGGGCGGTGAGGAGGCGGAATGTCGGGTTGAAGCGTTTCGGGTACGCGACGTGAACGTCGCCATGCTTGCAAGTGACTTGGTCACCGCTACTCTCCCACGAGGCGCTGGACGCGTGGGCCGACAGCGTAATAAAGTCGCTGGACAGCAATACGTTGCCGACCGACCGGTCACAACTCTGGAGGACGTTCATGAGCGTGGGGCCGCATTTCTTCATAAACTCTTCAGCCTCGGGGCTGTCGCTGATGGTCGGCTCGTCGGGCTTGCAGCTAAACTTGTCGAGGTCAAACCGCGAAAAGTCTGCACTGGTCGGGAACACGACGGCGCGCTGCTCGGCAATGCACCGTAACGTGTGGGTCACTGCGCGAACGGCAATAAACGCGCGCTCGGCATGGAGAATGTCGCCCGGAGTGCCATCAGCCGTGCGGCTGGTGACGCTGTCGCGCAGAAACTCGGTGACAAGCTCTTGTCCATAGTCGAATTGCCGTGCCAGGACGTAATGGAGCATGGTCACAAACGGCTCGACACCGAGGTCGTCCGGGTGCAGTTGGCGGGTATGGAGGGGGAAATAACCTCGCAGCAGCGGTTCTAGCCTTTTTCTCGTCGATGTTGAACTCTCGGGGCATCGGTTGAGGTAGATCCAGAGCAGGCGGATGAACGCGTTCATGCCAATCAGTCGCATGCCACGGTCCTTTGACTTTGCGGCAATGATATCGATGCAGCCCTGCCAGTGCTCCATGAACACTTCGCGCGGGGATACGCCGAGCGCGACGACGACGAGCGGGAACGCCACGCTCCAGTATCGGGGTTTTGTCGCCATGAGCATGGCACGCTGCAGGACGACGGCGATGGCCTTGGACCACACTGGGTGGTTGACCTCGGCGGTGGCCGACTCGATGACTGGGTGCAGGAGGTAGGTGAATGTCTCGGCATAGGCACACTTGAGCGCGCTACCGTGGGCGTTGGCAAAGAACGCCGAGAGGTCCTGGACAAAATCGGCGGCCCGTTCTAGGTCGGGTTCCGGGTACACTCTGAGCTTGAGGTGGCGGACGCCCTTGAGAATATGCTCAATCTTGGCCTCTTGGTCCTTTGACGATGCAATGGAGCTGAGCCCACTCAGTTCCCGCAAGAAGCGGTCGCTGACGGTCAGGAAGCGGGTTTTGGACAGCTCGCCGAGGAAATCGACCAACAGAGTCGATATGGGGCGGCGGTGGGTGTTTTCGTCTGACCGCTCCGAACGGAACAAGGAGAATGCGGCGTGCTCGAGGTTGAGAGCAACGTCCTCGCCAAGCACGTCGGGCGGCACGACACGGACAATCTCGATCAGTGCACGGTGATAAATGTACCTTGCCGACGCCGACTTGCGCGCACCCAGTGTCATGGCGGCGTCTTCTGTCCGCAACTGCAGACCCATCGACTGTGACAACAGGTTGCGCACCTCGTTGGTCTGCATGGGTTCACACTGCTGGCGACACCACGCGCTGAGAATGTCGAGGACCCGTCGTGCGTGGCGACGAGCGCAGTTTGCGAGCGATACCAGTAGCTCGTCAAACGCCGTGTCGACGCCTGGTTCCAGCGCCGCAGAGAGGGACACTGCAGAGTTCAAGGGCTTGGCCAGCAGCTTCTTGATCTTGCTATCGGCGACCTCTCTGAACGCATTGAACAGCACTTTCAGTGCCTCTTCTGCGGGTGTCTTGCCAAAGTTTTCCAGCGTGTCGTCGCCCGAGATACTCGTGTTGCGCCCAAAGCTGCCAAACATGCTCGTGTCGCTCCCTTGCCTGCCGGCGCGCGACGGCGTCGACCTGTTGGGGATGCGGGGCATGGCCGGCATCGGGTAGTCTTCTGCACGAAACGTCGAGCTCGCCTCGGACCGCGTCGAGCGGGCGCCAAACGAGCGCTGTGACGAGTGCATGGTGGCCACCGACTTGTTGCGCTCGCCATAGTGTGTGATGGACGACACCGACGCCTTGGTGTTGGCTCGTGGCCTGTTGCCAAAGGCGGCGATCGCAGTCGAGGATGTCGGCGACGCTGGCGGGGCCATGGAGAAGGGGTTCTTCAGCGTCGGGTAGCCGGCGGAAGGGGGCTTTGAGTCCCATGATGGGACAGGCGGAGGCGGCGGTCCTCCCTTATCGGTGCCCTTGAAGACATTCTTCAGAGACGCAAACGACCGGCTCTTGGAATTGAGCAGACCCGAGCCGCTGCCTGACGCATGTGCGTGGTGGTGGCTACCCAGCGACGTGACAGACCCATTGGACTGTTTCCCCAGGCGTGGGGGTGGGTCCAGCGCTGCAAGGTCGTGCGACGATGCCGAAAAGCCCAACGAGCTCTTGGGCACAGGTGTTGGCCGCTGAACGGACCCGCCGCCGCCGCCGCCGCGGGGCACTGATGGCAGTGGTGACTCTGACGAAAACGAGTGGTCGCCGCGATACCCGTGGATCTCTGACGAGTCGGGCGATCCTGCTGGTGTGCCGAAAGCGGCCCTGCTCAGTGGCGGCATGACAAAGTCGTCATCATCGTCGAGGTCTGCAGAGACAAGGTCAGTCGGTGGGTGGCACGGCGGTGTGGCTGTGGTGGCTCACCTGGGATCACAATCTCCTCCATCATGGCGCGGCGTCGTGGATGGTCAACACCCAGGGGGGGGCTCCAGTCGGGGATGTGGTTATAGAAGGGCGTAGGGGTGGGGCTTGGTGGTGCAGAGCGAAGCTTGGTGGTCGTCGCTGCTAATGACCTTGTCGTCACTGCGGGGGAGAGCACATGGAGAGATGTGCGCCTTGAACGCACGCGAGTGCCACATGGGTGTGTGCGGTGACTGTGGGGTCTCCATTGCGTGGGATTAATAACTGAAAAGTAATACAAAAGACTAATATCCCCCTGCCCACCACATGCCACACACGCACGCACTGGGTGACACGCAGGGCGTACGCTGGCGGACGCTGGGGGCGACCCCAGAACTGAATGGAATGGGAAAAGGCGCCATTATGACGTCGCCAGACGCGCCAGGAGCGCGAGCGACACGCCCACCCACACGTTCCATCACCTTCCGCCCCCCCGCACCCGCCAGCCAGCCTCCCCCCCTCCAGCGTGTCCACTTTGTCCTTTACTCCATCTCTCTCTCTCTCTCTTACCACAAAACCCCCATCCACATCAGCAACAGTGAGTGCCGCAGAGAGCCCCCACCTCTGCCAACAGGCAGAGCTCGGCGCGGATTTCTCCTCAGCCCCTATAGGCTCATGCTCACCAGTCCCATCGCGGATTTCTTGAACCCCCCCCACCCCACACTCTCCGGTTGCCTCCTTTTTTTTTTCGCATCGCACATTCATTCTTTCGCTTTTGCATCAATCACCCGTTTGCATCATCCACCATGTCCTACCTCCGTCGCTTCATGTCTACCGGCCGCCAGATGTCGTGAGTATACCCTCCCCCCACAACACAGTCGCACATGCGTGGCACTGCGCGTGCGTGCCTAGCGGTGGTTTTGGGCCAAAACGGCCGTTTCGCACGTTCCGACCTCGGACCTTCGTGCACTCGTGCCCTGTTCAACCGTCGCCTTTCCCGACCATTCAACACACATCCACAACCTCCAGCTGACGCTCCTCTGCAGCAACGTGTTCTTTGACGTCGAGATTAACAGTGAGCATTTACGAGCGTTTTGAATGCAGTGGAGGCCTCGTTTTGGGGTGGAGCGCTCAAAAAATGGCCCAAAATCAGTGAAAATCATGTTTTGTGGCACTGCCTCCAACCCCTTCTTGATCGCCCATGACGCTTCTCTCGCTTCTCCTTGCCCGTAAAGCACTTACTAACGCCTCTGAAGAGCAGCCCGCTGGCCGCATTGAGTTCCGTCTCTTCGAGTAAGTTACAATAGCCCTTCAGTCTAGTCTGTCCAACGTCCAGGTACTGACCCAAACAGCGACGTCGTCCCCAAGACCGCCACCAACTTCCGTGCTCTCTGCACTGGCGAGAAGGGCTTCGGCTACGCCGGCTCGGGCTTCCACCGTGTCATCCCCGACTTCATGCTCCAGGGTGGTGACGTGAGTACCAGAGGCAGTTGGTTGTGTGCCAGCTGCACTCCATTTAAATGCCACTGAGACCATTGCTGACCATTCCACAGTTCACCCGTACGTTCCTTTAATTCCCATGTTGCCCATTATTCTAACCCCCCACTCGCAGGCCACAACGGTACCGGCGGCAAGTCGATCTACGGTGAGAAGTTCGCCGACGAGAACTTCAAGCTCCGCCACGACCGCCCCTTCCTCCTCTCGATGGCCAACGCCGGCCCCAACACCAACGGCTCGCAGTTCTTCATCACCACCGTTGTCACCTCGTGGCTCGACGGCAAGCACGTCGTCTTCGGTGAGGTCACCAAGGGCTCCGACCTCGTCAAGAAGATCGAGTCGCTCGGCTCGGGCTCCGGCAAGCCCAAGGCTGAGGTCAAGATCGTCGCTTCGGGCGTCGTCGCCTAAGCGAGTCTGTGTCCCACCTTGTAGTAGTTGCGCGTGTACAGTCACTACGACTGTGCATGCAGGCGAATGACTAGGAGTGATAAAAGAAATGAAAGTGTTTTAAGGAGGCGCTATACATGGTTGCACGGTTGCATGGCTGCTTGAGGCGGGTGGTGGTACTGCATGGTGCCATGTACGGTGACGTCGGTGTGTTGCCGCCAAAAGGACACGCGGGGTCCCATTTCGCCGTTGTCGTGTTGTCGCATTCCCCGGTCCTCCTCATATCCTCCATCTTTCGTCCATATCAACACCGCGATACGTGCCCACCATGGATGTCCTCAAGGCAGTCCAGACCTACGTGCTCAAAATGATCACGGAGGTGCCGGGCATGAAGGTGTTGCTGCTTGACGCGCATACGGTGGGTCGATCGATGGAACTGCACCGCAACACGCGCTAACTGCTTCACATTAGACTCCCATCGTCTCGCTCGTCACAACACAATCCGAGCTGCTGTCCCACGAGATCTATCTCACTGACAGGATAGACAAGTGAGGTTTTCCTTCTTCTTGCTGTTGCTAACCTTTACAGCACCTCGCGCGAACCACTCAACCACTTGTCGTGCATCGCCTTCTTGTCACCGACAGACAAGTCCATCGAATGGGTCAAGAAGGAGCTCGCCAGCCCACGCTATGGCGGATACTGGCTCTGTGAGGCTCTACCTGTGACACACAAGTGCTGACCGCAGTCTTCTCCAACGTGCTCACAAAGAGTCAGATTGAGGAGATGGCCATGGTGGACCAGTTTGAGGTAGTCAAGGAGGTGCAGGTGAGTTGAGATCACGCTTTCCCAGCTCACACCGCAGGAATTCTTCGCAGACTACCTCGCGCCTCACCAGTCCCTCTTTACGCTTACGCAGGACGCACTGGCCGATGGCGGTGCGGGCCCTTCCAACGTAGGTGCCCACAGTATATGTGACAGGAGCTAACCCACGCAGCCTCCCATCTACCTACCCAGCCCCGACGATGTGCCTCCGCCCGTCCTCGACAACCACCTGCGCGCCATCATGTCCGTCCTGCTGAGTCTGAAGAAGCGCCCAGTGATCCGGTGGGAGCGCATGTCGACGGCTGGCCGCAGGCTGGCCACAGAAGTCAGCGCGGCCATGCAGCACCCACCGTATCGCGACCTGTTTGATTTCCGCAGTACGGCCGGACCAGCACCCCTGCTCCTCATTCTCGACAGGCGCAATGACCCCGTCACGCCGCTCCTTAGCCAGTGGACGTACGAGGCCATGGTGCACGAGTTGCTGGGTATCAACAATGGCCGTGTACACATTGGAGGCGAGGAACGGACAGAGCTTAGGGTAGGTGCAAATGATCTCAAACGAGTTACTGACAGGCCGTGTAGGACCTGGTGCTCTCCGCGTCATCCGACCCCTTCTTCTCGCAAAACATGTTCTCCAACTTTGGAGACCTGGGCGCTGCCTTGTCCCAGTATGTGACCGATTACTCGGCCAAGACGGCCTCGATCGGCCCCGGTTCGTCATCCCGCATCGAGACCATTGCCGACATGAAGCGCTTTGTGGAAGAGTACCCCGAGTTCCAGCGCCTGGGCGGCAACGTCACCAAGCACGTCACGCTTGTCGGCGAGCTCTCGCGCCTCGTCGAGCGCGACGACCTGCTCTCCGTGTCCGAGGTGGAGCAGTCGCTCGCGTCACAAGAGTCCCACGCGACCGACTTGCGCAGCGTCATGACGCTCATCGCCTCTGGCCGCGTCCCGCCCGCCAACAAGCTCCGCCTCGCCATTCTCTATGCGCTGCGGTACCAAAAGTTCCACGGCAACCAGATCACCCAGGTCGTCGAGGCGCTCATCGCGCACCACGTCGGCGCCGACCGCGCGCGCCTCGTCTACGTCATGCTCAACTTTGCCGGCGCCGACGTGCGCCAAGACGACCTGTTCATGAACGAAAACTTCTTTTCGCGCGGCAAGACGGCGCTCAAGGGCCTCCAGGGCGTCGAGAACGTGTATACCCAGCACACGCCGCACCTGGCCGAAACGCTCGACCTGCTGCTCAAGGGCCGCCTGCGCGAGACGTCGTACCCCTTCATGGAAGGCGACGAGGGCGCGCGGACCCAGCGCCCGCAGGACATTATCGTGTTTATGATAGGCGGCACGACGTATGAGGAGAGCAGGAACGTAGCCCTCCTCAACCAGCGGCTCGCGACCGATGTGGCAGGGGGGCCCGGCGGGACGCGTATCCTCCTCGGCGGCAGCACAGTGCACAACTCGACCAGGTGGGTGCAGGACTGCGTAGACGTACCCATGACTAACAATCTTCCCTCAGCTTCCTCGAAATGGTCAGTATGGCAGCCGAGACCTGGCCCGAATCCATCTATCAGCCCCCCGCCAACCTCGGCGTGCCCTCGGGTACGTCGAGCTACAACCCGTCCCCGGTCCCCAGCGGCGCCGGACCGAGCCTCAACTTCCGCGCCGGCGGCTACGAGCTGTCCGTGGGCGGCGCGGCGGGGTCGGGGCTCTTCCGCTCGGGCCAGAGCGACGTGGGCGGCAACGTCCAGCTCGGAGGCCAGCTCGCACAGGTCAGCGAGGGCATCCGCGACGGCGCCGGCAGGCTGTGGGGTAATGTCCGCCAGAGGATGGAGGAGCGCGCCAGCAGGTCCAACACGCCTCCGGCACAGTAACGAGATATGGTTCTGTTTTTTTTTTGTTATGGGGAAGAACACTAGAGGCTATTATGCATATGTGAGGCTACCCCGGGGGCGCGCCTTTGAGTGTGACAAGAGAAGGTACAACAGGGTTGAATGATGGGTGTGCGTGTGGTGAACTTTGGGTCATACCTCGGGCCGCGCCTTGCCGACGTATATGCGCTCTACACCCTTTTCGTCGACTTCAACAGTGAATTTGGAGCGTGGCGTGGCTGTTTTTGTGGTCCTGACCTTGCGTGGTCGTGCAACGATGAGAGAGTCGAGAATGGTTTGGGTAGTGTCCGTGGGGGACGCCGGTATTTGCTTCCTGGGACGGCCAGGGCTGCGCCTGGCAGGTGCTGGCGATGCTGAGAGGACTGGTGAGGCAGTCTTGGGTGGACGGCCCACTGACCGGCGTACAGGTGTCGGAGAGGGTGGGGGGGTGGGCTCTGGTGACGAAGGCTGCTCGATATTCTCCACAACCTGAGGCGAAAACAAAGTTGTCGTCCGGGGCCTTCCGGGTCCCCGTTTGGGGGACGCAGTGGTTTCGATAGCCGGGGTAGACTTGCGCGACCGGCCTGGGCTACGCTTGGGCGGAGTCTTCTTGACCAAAGTCTTCTTGGGAGACGATTCCTTGGGCGGGGCCGGAGAAGACGCAACAGCAGTGACGTTGTCCGCTGCAGACGCTTGGACGCCCTTGGGCGAAGGCGAGCGGCGAGGACGGCCAACAGTGCGCCGGGGTTTCGGTGTCGGCTCGCTGTCCGAGTCGCACAAATCGATCGGGTCGTCTGCGTTGCCACTCGTCGCGGACTTGCCCAACACCGGCGTCGAGGGTTTCTTAATGCGAGTGATCTTGTTCGGTTGGCGACGCGGTGACCGACCAGAAACAGCGTCGGGTGTAGCTTCACGCGTGCTAGCAGAAACTGCTGAAAGCGACCGCTTAGAGACCTCGTCGAGGTGCGATGTAGGGAGTGGCGGAGAGGACGAGACTGGGGCAAGGATGCTGGCGGCATGGACACGGACTGGAGCTGGCGCAACGATCGGTGAAGGCGATGTCGGAGGGGACAATGTGGGTACAGCTTTTGCAGGCGCCTTGGCGGGGCTGCTTATGAAGAACTGGCGGAAGGCCTCGGCATTCTCGGTTGTGACAGCCTGTTTCTTCTTTGGAGAACGGCCATGGCCCTTCTTTGCTTCCCGCTCCAGTAGCTTTGCCTCTCTCGCCAGTCGCTTTGCCTCCAACTCTGCTTCCTTTGCTGCCTTCTTTGCCTCCTTCTCAGCCTTGCGCTCCGCCTTTTGCGCTGCTTCATGGGCTGCTACTGCAGCCTTAGCAGCTTCCTCCCCTTTGTAGACGTCAATCAACGCAGGCCAGGCGGCGAGTACGAGGTACTCCGGAATCCAGGTCCTAATTTCGTCTTTGGCCGTAAACACCTCGGCATCGGTAGCCTCTCGGTCAACAAGACCCAGGTTTCCGCGACTGTTAGGCGACATTGTAACAGGGTCCCGGCGAAGTCCGTCCATTGCGTCGTGGCAGCGTTCAATGTATGCGTCTGGCTTAAAGCCCAGGCGATACTCGACCATGTCGTCCGAGTGAGGAGAATCGCGTGCCGAGTGGATCCTGAGCAAGTGGGCCGGGACCTCCGTGGAGAGGTCAGACGGAGGCTCTGCAGAAGTGCTGGCGCTGCGAATCGTAATGTTGGCAAAATGGGAGGTAATGCCGTCGACTCCACCGTCACCGTTGGAGTGTCGGCGACTAGCGATTGCTTGCTTCATGACACGCTCACGCGCCTCATGAACAATCTCGCCACAGAACAAACTCCTTTCGACCGCAAACTTTTTACACACTCCGTCCGGTGTGGCCCATTCAAAGTACTGTTCACAGGCTCGCGCGGCGCTCTCCAAGTGCCAACGACCACCGTACCGGGCCTTGCCGCGAGTCGAGGACGCTTCACCGAGACCAAACCCGGGCCACCCATGACCCGGCTCCTCGGAGCTGATCACAGGCTTGAGGTAAGACTCGAGAGGGAACGAGGGGAAGACATCCTCTGGAGTCTGATCGGCCAACTTGTCGGCACGCGCGGGGTTCTTGCGTCCAATAAATGTCGAGTTGTTGGTGCGAAGCTCCTCGATCATGCGGCCGTGGACGTCAACAATCTCCTGGGCAAAAGTCCGAGGTTGGGTGTTGTACAGCTTTAGGACATCCGAATAGCCGGCGTGGGCAAGGCCCATGGCAATGGTCGGTCCAATATTGGCCACGCCATCTGGGTTGTAGTCTCCACCGCTGAACAGACCGATGAGGACCATGGCCATGCGGCAGTCCTCCTCCGTGCGCAGGGCAGAGTCCTCTTTGGACCATTCAGCACAAATGCTAGAGGCCCGGTAAACTTCGTAGTGGCGTGGGTCGAATTTGGGACCACCAGGTCTGGTCGCCATAGATCCAGACAATGTCGGCGAGTTGCTGCAGCAGCGTGAGCTTAGGTTACTTTATGCGAGCTCACTTTCTCAGAATACACGTGGCGCCAAACAACAGGGCGTCCACGTCGTCTGAGAGCACTGCGTCAATCTTCCCTTGTCGGTTCATGAGAGCAAGTTCGGCCTCTGCTTCGCCCGGAGCCTGGAATCAGTTGTAGCCTTCTCCCCAGTACCCACATTCCACCATTCAAGGCCACAAGCGTCGAGGAGCTCCTTGAAGCGCTTGCTGTAGGCGTCGTTGACACCAAACCGGCCACGGATGTTGCGGCCGCGCTTCAGGACCGGCTTGTTTGGTCCGTCTTTCAAGTCAGCTGTGGTCCCCAAATTTAGCTGCTCACCGAATACGAAGACTGGCAACACGGGGTGCTGCAGCAGCTGGGCGATCTTGAAGAACAAGGTACGAAGGAAAGGGTTGGAGCCCGCATGTGTCTGTTGGGCGTGAAAGATCCAGATGCTGCAAGATGTAGGTTCAGCTGAGGAAGCAAAACGTTCCGCTAAAGCACGCACGAGGCATCGATGCCAATGGTGTAGGCTCGCAGGCCGTTGCGGTTGGCGAGGAAGGCCTCTCTGGCAAGTGACTGGAGGGACGACCGGACCGCTGCGGGACGCAAAAGCTGTTGTGTGAGCTAGGCGGTAGAAGATATAACTCACGTCCCAGAGGCCTGGCACGCCCATGATGAGATGGGACAGGAGTTGTTGTTTGCTGTTGTTGTTGAGGGGGACGACCAGGAGGAAGACCGGTTGACGGTGTTGTTTTCCAGTCTGTCCCATTCCCAGGCACCGACGCGCCCGATAACTGCACACCTCATCCACACAAATATACTCCCGCAGGCACGTGACTTCGAGGCGTCCTCGTTCATGTCCTCAAGGTTGTGGATCTGTGGCACACACATATGGGTGTGTGCTGCTGAGCAGACGCATTTTCGTTGCTGTCATATCCAGGTGGACGTCAGGATTACTGGAATAGTGGAAATAGTAGACGAACGTCGCCCGCACATACCGGAGTCCCAGACGATGGGTAGGCAAGGAACCCCGACGGGTGGAGTGCTGTTGCCCATCTCCATGCAGGCCGACTACAGCAGGACGTGCAACCAGAATCAGGAGGCTTGGGGTGGAAGATTACCGTCACGTCCCGTTTGAGCTGCACCTTGAGGCCAGAGAAATTAGGGAGCCGTCAAGTTGCAAGTGAGTGCTTACGAGGCCTCGCGACGATATAACTTTCATAATGGCAACTGCAGCTTGTTACGTTTTCACGTTGAACCAGAGAGAAACATATCTACATATTTCTTCCCCAATAAATTCGGTTCATAGCTTTGGTACCCTGCCGTGACATGCATGGCAGAGAACCTGCTCCACAGCATGCACAATGCACCAGGCCACCTGTCCCCAGCTTCACCCACAGCTTTCCGCCACTGTACTGAATTTGCTTCCGTCTGACTCATGTTCTTGCTACTTACGTAACCCAAAGTGAAATCTTGAGAAGTTGGTCCACTTGTTCACCACCACAAGCGACGCCTCCACCGTCACATCCACCGTATACACCACACCCGCACCATGGCTCCCCAGACCGAGGAACAGCGCAAGCAGGAGGAGGCCGCGTCGCGCCGCCACGCCAGGCTCGACAATGCCGGCGTGCTTCAGATGTCGGCCAACGTCGAGCAGCTCGAGAAGATCACTATTGTGAGTAACCGCCGGCATGTCGGATGCCGTTGTTGTTTGTCGAGCAAGACACGAAAGAGATTATGTGGGCTGACAGGTGTTAGCTCCCCGGCCACGAGCCAGACTACTCGGCCTGCACCTTCTGCCTGTGGGAGGAGGACCACACCCTCGGCAACACCCTGCGCTGGATGATCATGAAGGAGTGAGTGGTGACGCATGACCAGGCCCGCCGTACCGCTCGTTACAAGCTGGCCAGATGTCTTCCAAACCCCCGCGGGCCCCATCTGACACACACAGCGCCGACGTCGAGTACTGCGGTTACTCTGCCCCCCACCCTTCCGAGCCCAAGATCCACCTCCGCGTGCAGATGTACGACGGCCTGAGCGCGGTCGACTGCCTGCGCCGCGCGCTCGCCAACCTCCGCTCCCTGTTCGAGACCATGGGCTCGCAGTACGCCTCGTCCCTCCAGAACGACAACTACCCGCGTGAAAAGGACGTCGACGTCCACGAGGTCGTGGCCGAGACTCTCCGCGAGAGGGGATTCGGCGTTGAGGGTGACGCCATGGACGAGTCGAGCTAGAGGCCTCTTAATCTCCCCCTAGGATATCGGCCATCTCAGTACAGTAGAGGGCGCTGCCTCCCAGCGAGGGGTAGCCATTGTGTTATGCATGTACTCTTAGACCTCGCTATTTCTTAAATTTCTACCGCGTCATGGAACATCACCAGTCGTCGTCCGGAGGCGGAAGACCGCTACGCGGGGGCTCGTCCTCGTCGTCACTGCTCAAGTCGGCCTTGGCACGCTGGAACAGGTCGTCCATCTCCTTGCGTTTCTTCTCCTCCTCGCTCATGACATTGGCGGCAGGCACAAACTTTGTCCTTGCCGCGCTCGTGGTGGCGGGGGCTTGGGAGAGGAGCTCCATGTCCGCAGGCTTGAGGTCGACATAACGAGGCGAGGCATTGTCGCCCGCCAGCCACTTGCTTGCCGTCGTGGTAGCAGCGATCTCGACAGTGGGCACGTAAATGTCGTCCTGGAAGAACGCAGGCTTGTTGCGAGGGATGCTAAAGGAGACTTCCTCAATGCTCTTCGACGTCAAGCGCAGGCACTTTGCCACCTCAACCTTGCGCACATCGACGCCGGGCTTGGCGAGGAAGGAGACGGCAAGCTGCGGGCTGCTTCCCGTGTATGCCGGGAGCTTGGCAATAGCCTCCTGCTTGCCCGGGTGCACCTCGAACGCCTGGATCGCGCGCTCACCCTTGCCCCAAACATACAGAATGTTGGTGTCGACATCGTACACAGGGAAGAGGACACCGGGGGACACATCAATGGTCTGAGTGGCCTCGGTCGTGATCTCGCCGTTGCCAATGGCGTACAGGTTGATCTTGCGCATCGAGCCGCGTCCGAACCCAATGGACAGGAAGTGCGTCTCGTCAACCCAGGCCAGCTGACAGCCACGCGGCGAGTCGTGCGCCTTGCCCACGACCATGGTCGAGGGGTCACGAGGGTCGAGGACAGCGACCTTGCTGTCCTTGGTGGCCACAGCAATCCGGCCACCAGCGGGAGCGATGGCAAACCCAGTGATCTGATAATCAGCCAATGTATCGTATAGTCCCTCAACTCACGCCTTGGATGTCCAAGGTAACCTGTTTCGCCTCAGTGCCCGCCTCGAGGTCAAAGAAGCGCAGCGACGCCTTGCCGAGATCGTTGGTGGCGGCCACGAGCAGATCCTTGGCAGTGGGGTGGAACGCAATCTGGGAAATCTTGTCCACATGGTGGCCTGCGGGGTAAGCAAAGCACCCAGTCAATCCACTCACCTCGAACAGTCTTCTCAGGCTCTGGACCAGGACCCTCAACACCCTCAGGACCCACGCTCCAAACACGCAAGACGCCGTCCTCACCAGCCAACACGACACCGCTGCCGAACGGGTCAGCGGCAAAGTCTGCAAGGCCGACACCGCCGGACAAGTAGCCTACGCCACCGACAGGCAGACGGCCCTTCTTGGACAGCGGGTGAACGCAGATACGACCGCCGGGTCCTTGAATTGGGAACAGTGCCAGATGAGGAGTGGTGCGCAGGACCACACTGTCCTGGTGCAGCGTCACGACGGCGGGGACCTGGTCGTATGTGGGGTTGAGAGGCGACTTGCCAGCCACATACTTGCGCGACCAACCAGGGTTGTAGCGATCCCCACTGGGTGCTGCAGCGGAGGTGGCAGCGGGAGTGGTGGGTGCTGGCGTGGCGATCTCCACGGGTGCAGGGGCCTTGGGAGTGGGCTCAGACTTCGGGATGGCAGCTGGGGCCGACACAGCAGGAGCAGCATCGACAGGGGCAGCAGTGACAGGAGCAGCAGCAAGAGGGGCAGCCGCAACAGGTGAGGCGACAGCAACAGGCTCCGCCTTGGCCACAGGTGCCGGCTCTGAGGCATTCTGGGTCTTGGGAGCGGGGGTCGTCGCCTTCCTCGACTCGGGGGTCTCGAAAGACAAGATCTCACGATCCTCGCCAAACCCGAGGCGCACGACGTGACCCGCCCAAGGCGCATCAGAGTTGAGCACACCAGGGGCCCAAAGCTCGTACGCAGGCATGTAGCGCTCCACAAACTGGTGCACCTGGTCGTCGGTCATGCCATTGCCTCCATTGGCAGCCTTCATGGCGTGCTCCTGCTGCAGACGCCAGCGGAAGACGTACTCGTAGGTGGTGGGCTCGACCTGGACTAGAGCAGAGAAGTAGGGGTATACCTTGGCAGCAAATGTGGCAAGGTAGTCGTTGAGCTCCTCGAGCGAGGCGAGAGAGTGTTGGGGGAAGTACTTGCCGTCCTTGGCGGCATAGCGTGCCTCCAGCTCGGCAAGGGTGACTGGGGCAAAGCCAAACGACCAGCCTTCAAGCAGGAAGATGTCGAGAGGCCCGTCAACGGGAACAGTCTTCTCGCTACGGTCACCCTCGCCGTTGCACAGCGACTTGTCAAAGACCGGCAAGTCGACGTGGCCGCTGTTGATGTTCTTGACAGCCTCGAGGATGGTGGTTGCAAGATCAACGTCGTGTGTGCCGGGAGGACCACGGCCAGACAGCAGCGAGTTGTTTGGGTGGTCCGAAGCGACCTGTTTCAAGCCGGCGTGGGTACGGTACAGGTCTGGAATGTAAGCTAATACCGAGGACTTTTTGAGCTCACCGTCAAGAGAGAGGACTGCCACACGCAGGCCCTCAGTACGCAGCCAGTCGAGGAAGGCGTCGCACAGCGTGGTCTTACCACAGCCCTGGGGGCCTTGCAGACCGACCATGAGTGGGCCCTTGATACCCTTCGCGACGTGCTCCTTGTGGTAGCCAAGCACGCGTTCGCCAATGTTGCGAATCTTGTACGAGGTCGAAGCGTAAGACTCTCCAGGCTCGAGAGGCGGCACACCGCTGGTGACGGATGCCGGGAGGGAAGGTGGAGGGGCCTTGGCGGGAACTGAAGCTGGCGTGCCGGCCCGAGGAGGGGTGGCAGAAGGAGGAGTGACAGGCTCGACCGCCTTTGTCACGGGAGGAGGGGTGGGGACCGAAGCCGCGGCGGGTGCTGGCGCCGGAGCAGCTGGTGCCGGAGTCGAAACGGGTGCAGCAACCGCGACTGCAGCGGCCGGAACGCCAGAGGCAAGCTTCTGCTTACCTTCCTCGACGACCTTCTGCCAGGCATCGCGACGTTCCGGGTCCAGGCTGACTGGCAGCGGAGCATTATCACCACCCTTGAACCAGTCTGCAACAGTCTGCTCGGGCACACTGCCAACCACATCGGGGTAGAGGTCACCGTGGTAGTCGATGAGCTGACGACGGGGAACCTTGATAGCGAGCGGGAGGATGGCCTCGCCGTCCTTGTCCTGCGTCGGCAGGAGGACCGTGGCCACCTGAGCCTCCATGACGGGCAACGTGGACCAGTGGGAGAGGGCAATACTGCCGCTCGTGACCTGAGAAGGGAGGACGTGCGGGACCTCTTGGTATCCCAGAGAACCAGTGAGCTCAATCTGGCGGAGACGCATGTCTCCGCGACCGATCGTGTACACAATCCCGCGCTCCTCGTCGACGAGAGGAACGAGCGGGCCTTGGCTGTTGTCCACGCTGGCAATGAAGGTGGCACTCAGGCCTGCCGAAGCGGAGAGGAGAGAGTATTGCCTTGACCTCGTGCGAGAGAACGAGGTGACGAACAGGTCACCGCCGACGAATGCCACACGGGCAGGCTTGAGCGGCTGCATGGAGACGTCCTTGGTCTGCACGGCGTCGGAACCGGCACGCGCGTCCCAGATGTACGCCTGGCCCTTTTTGCCGACACCACCCACGAGACGACCATCGGCACTCCATGTGGCCGCCCAGAGGGCCACATCGCCGGTGGTCTTAAGCGTGATTGCGGGAGTCGAAGCCGCGACGTCGTAGATGGCGACGACAGGGGAGGTCGAAGTCACCAGCGCGAGGCCGGGTGTGGTGGGGTGCAGCGAAATGTTGGAGACGCGTCCTGCCGCCTGGAAGGAATGCCTCTTGGTAGGCGCGGCCACTCCATCGACAGTGTAGTATGAGACCTGGCATGAGCTTCACAGCGATCGAGCTAGCTCACGTTTCCGTCCGATCCAGCAACGACAATGCCGCCATCCTCGAGCCTGCTAACGTCCCAGTCGGCCACGTTGTTTCCAATCTTGCCGCTCCAAACCGCAGACTCATTCTCGCCATTGGCCGAGTACGAGCGGACACTGGCCTCTCCGCCAGGCGTGAGGGTGAGGACGCTTTCGCGGTTGGTCTTGAGGACGCTGGAGAACGCCGACGTGTTGGAAGGTGCGTCGCTGGCGAGACTCGACAGACCGGTACGGTACCATGCGTCCCGGTGCGGGACCGTAGGGACCGCATTGCGGAACTTGGTCGCCCCGAACTTTGGGGCCATGGTGGTGACGGGTTGTTGAGATGAGGACGGAAGATGGTGAGCTGGATGGACGACTAGGTGCCTTGTTGGATGTCCATTTGAATTGTCGGCTTAATGACGTGCCTATGACGTTTGTAATTGCGAGGTTACCAATGCTATTATGGCATACTTTCCTTATCGTAAATGGGTCAAGCCGCGAATCAGTGGATCCGCGGGGTCTCCGTGTGCGGCATCTATGGACAACTATCGGCAACAGCGACCAGCCCCGTTGCATCGTAACGAGTCGCAAGACAGGCGGTCTTTAACAACACTGTTCATCACGGGCCACTACTGGCATTTGACAGTACACCACACAAAAATGACCTTCTCGACTCGTCTTGCCTCCCGTATCTCGGGCATGGCCAGCCGTCGCTTGACGGCCGCAACGGCCAACAACCAGCTCCAGCTCCAACTGCGCCATATGGCGAGCAAGACCCCCAACTCGAGCGTGTTCAACACCAACCAGTGAGCTGTCGTAGTGTTTGCATATAGCTGATGACAGACTGGTGGGCAAAACTGGTGCGCTGTCTTGACTCGCTTTTGCACAGCGCGACTGACACAACCTTCCTCCAACTCCAACCATGACCATACCACCACGTCCCTTCCCTCCCTCCCCCTTCCTTGCCCACTAACCTCTCCAGTCCTCGTCACGGGAGCCTCCAGTGGCATCGGGGCCGCTACCGCCGAACTATTTGCTCGCGCTGGCTCCAACGTCGTCCTCCTCGCCCGCCGCCGTGCGGCACTGGACCAAGTCGCCGAACAGTGCCAGCAGGCATACGCCGAGTCGGGGCACGACGGCAGAGTCGTGGTCATCCCGGCTGACATGCAGGACCGCAAGAGCGTCGGCGGGGTCCTGGACCAGCTGGACGGGTTGACACTGGACATGTGAGTCTGCTCTTAACCAGTTACATCTTCATCGAAAGGGAGGCCATAGCTGACTTGCAACTCCGGCAGCCTGGTCAACAATGCTGGCCTGGTCCGCGGTCGCGAGCATGTCGGAGACGTCACGGACGAAGACATCGAGGTCATGTTCCAGACGAACGGTACGGTGTCCTACGACCTCCCAGAATGACACGTTGTGCTGACGCTCAAAGTGTTTGGCCTGATACACTTGACCCAGTCGGTTGTGCGCGAGTTCAAGAAGCGCAACCAAGGCGTGGGTGACAGTGTTGTCTCGTTTAACGCTCACCCACTAGATGATCATCAACCTCGGCTCAGTGGCTGGCATCGAGCCCTATGCTGGAGGTAAGCTACATTTCCGCCTATTTCACAGGTCTAGGTTCCTAGCTGACACCCAGGCTCGATCTACTGCGCGACCAAGGCGGCCGTGACGGCGTTTAGCGGCTCGTTGCTGCGTGAACTGGTCAACACCAACATCCGCGTCGCCGAGATCCAGCCGGGCATGGTCGAGACCGAGTTCTCCGTCGTGCGGTACCGCGGGGACAAGGACAGGGCCACAAACGAGTATTCTGGCATGACGCCTTGTGAGCTTCCCATTACTGTTCTTAGAGCTGACTCGCAGTGACGGGTGCGGACATTGCAGAGCAGATTGTGTGGGTTGCGTCCCGCCCAGCACATGTCAACATCGCCAACATGCGTAGGTGGACCTTGGCGACTTTGTCGCGCTCACCTATCAGTCATCTTCCCCGTAAACCAAGCTTCAGCGACAATCAACTGGCGCAAGCCCCAGGAATAAGGCAAAAGGGTGCAGCTGCAGCAAGAGTGGTTGTTTGTAGTAGAGATCCCAATTGGATAATGATGACATGCTGTGTGTGTGGAATACATAATTGCTCTAGAGCGCGATCACTCGTCGTCGCTCTCCTCCTCCTCATCCTCGCTCTCCTCAGCCTCGACATCCAGGAGAGCCTCGTCGTCCGAGTCGAGCGCATCGTCGTCGCTGTCCTCATCGTCCTCCTCCGAGTCGTCCTCGTCAGACTCGTCGTCCGAGGAGCCGGCCATCATGTTGATGTCCTCGATGGCGTCCTCGTCGTCCTCGCCAACCTCGATCTGCACCTCGTCGTCGCTCTCGCCCTCGACGTAGTGCTCGCCCTCGCCCTTGTCGTCGATGGTCTGCTCGGCGGCAAGGCGGCGCATGTTGATCTGCGCAAGCGCAAGGTCAAGACGACCTGAGAGCGAAAGAAGGGGCTGGTAAAGCTCCATACGGGTAGCGAGAAGGTTGGAGAGCGCCGAGAGCTGGGCAGGGAGCGAAGGCATGGTCATGAGAATGTTGCCACGCTCAATGAGCACGCCCTTGACCCACTCGACAGTGCCGCGGCCCTGCTGCTCGTTCTGAACATTGCCGCGACCGCCGCCACGGCGGTTCATGCCCTTGCCCTGGCCGAGACGCTCAACACACGCCTTGAGGAGTGGCAGAGCGAGCTGGGCGGGGAGCTTGCGCACCGTGTTGCGGATGAGCACAGGGTCACGGTGCGACAGGCAAAGGGTAAGGAGGGCGGGGTCCGAGGTGTGGAGGGCCTGGACGAGAATACGAACGAGCGACGCGGCGTTGGCGGGCTCGGCGGCGGCGGCAGTGCCGTTGGCCTGGGCGGCAGCGGGCACAGCAAGAAGACGCTCGCCAAGCGAGAGGTCGGCCATGTCGACGTCCGTGGGGAGGGCGGCAGCGGGCTCCGAGTCCTCATCGTCGGCAGCAGCCTGAACGGCATTGGCGGGAGCCTGGAAGCGCTGGAGGGTCGAGCCGTTGGCCTGGGCCTGCGAGGCAATGAGGTCCTGAGCGTCGCACTTGACGACAGTCGACGATCGGAGACCACCCTCGGGCAGCTCGTAGACGGCCTTGTACCACTTGACACGACCACCACCGGCCATGCGGCCGCACACAAGTGCGCCCTGGGCACCCTCGTCGACGACGGCAAACTCGGCGCGGGCAATGCGAGCGATACGCTCATCCTTGCCCTCAACAAGCTTGATCTGCTTGGGCTTGGAGTCCGACTTGGGGCGAGCAAAGTCGAGTTCCGAGGGGATGGGGAAGAGAGAGATTTCGCCCGAAAAGTGGAGAACCGAGAGGAGCTCCGACGAGATGGCGAGCGAGTGCACAGGCGAAAGGGTCGGTGCGGTGTAACGGTACGACAGCTTTGGTGTGGATGTGGGCGACTGCAGGGTGTACTGCGACACGGTGCGGTCGTCCTCCGAAACGACGAGGAACGACGACCCTTGTTGTGTCAAGGGCAATGGCTGCAGCGAAGTGACCGAGGTGGTCGAGACCGGGAGGGGGGAAGAGGTGTGTGTGATCGAAGACGATGCCAAGGTAAGGTGAAGGGCAAGGACCGAGAGAGTACCGACGAGCACGTGGAGCACTTCGGCAGTCGAGGTGGGGAGAAGGGCGACAGCGGCAGGCGACGACACGGTCGCGGGGAGAGCGACAGTGTGGGCGATAGCCGAGGCGTCAGGGCCAAGAACTAGGAGGTTCGAGGCCGTAGACAGAATGACACCGTTCTCATCCGACCAGGCAGCAGTGACCTGCGAAGGAAGTGGAAGGGTGCGCTGAACTTCCCCCTTCAGAGGTGCGTAAAAGGCGAGGGTTGAAGCCTCGCCCTTGTTGGTCGCAAGGATAAGAACATCCTCGTCACCGCCGTCACCAGCAAGCGACTTCCTCTTCCTGCGCTTCTTGGCCGCACCCGAAGATGCGACGGAAGCCCAGCAGAGGGCGGTAACCTTGGCGGCACCGGCGACCTCCCACTCGGACACGACACAGTCCGCCGTAACGTCCCAAACCTGCACCTTGTCGGCCGCGCCAAGGACGGGCAGAGCAAGGGCGAAGTGGGTCCTCGAGGGGTTGAATCCCGAGACTGAGGGGGGTGGGGGAGGGGCCTGAGCGGCACCCTTCTGCCTCGAGGGGCCAGCAACGGGTTGTCTAGGAGCCATTTCTTATATCGTTAGCTCTGATTCAAAAAAAAAATTGTTCAAAAGAGCAGGAGATAGAATGTGATTCAGATGGGGTGCCCGGGAAATGGGTTCGGGCCTTTGCACCATATTTTTTGTGATGTAAGAAGACCGTCGTGTTGGGATCATCAGATATAGAGATGGAAATAGGAATAGTGGGGTTGTGTATGGGAGGGAGAGCGCCGCGAGACTTACTTATTGGACAGACAACGGGTTGGTGATTATACACAACAAAAAATCTAGTGTAGCACTACGCCTGTTAGCCATGGCCAGCTGAAACCAACAAAAAGAGTGAAAGGAAGAAGTTTTGATTCAGTAGAAATAAAACAGCCATGTTTCGTCTACATCGCCCAACGACCACAACCGGCAATTAAGACGGCCATGGCCGCGGGCTCAGGCGGTAATTCCCAAATGGGACATCATTATGAGGAGAAGTGGAGAAAGTTTCGGGGATGATGCTGGACAAGACACTCACGAGGAAACTGGGGGGCCCGGTGCAAAGCAATCGACAGGCAGAGTAGTATTGGGGAAGCGGGAGATGCTAAATTATCGTCAGCTCGCAGTTTCGAGGAAATCAAGAAACAAGAGGGAGGATGAGGGGTTCAGAGAAGTGCGTTTATGTGTCTTCGGCGCTTGGCCATAACAGACTCTAGTTTGAATTGATACACAGAGTCATCCCGTTGAGATGGTAGTCTGAAGCGCAGCGTGGAAGGAGATGGAACCTCAAACCCAAAACTGGCGCTACAATGAGGGGGAAAGGATGGGGTGGGAGGGGGTATGTGGTAGCGAGTGGATGACTTACCTCGATGAGCTATGCTCCAGGCTCTTTTGGGGAGATGTGTAGAGGGTTGTTTTGCGACCGTTGGGGCCGTTGGATGGCCGACGATGTGAGAAAGAGAAATTGTTGCGAGTGGGGAAAAGCCGCTTGAAATATTGTTTCGCAAAGGCAAAAGGGTGCGAGCGGGGGCGAGGGCGCGAGCAACGGGAGTATAACTATCAGTTGTACCGACCGGCCATCTTTGCCTCCTTCTCCACGTCATTACTAAAAGTTGAGAATCAGCGCGCGCGCCGGCTCTCTCTGCCTGGGGGTTGGCCACCCTGCAAATGTGCTTCACAAAAGTTCGGATCTCTCAAGTCACACCCACAACAACCCAACAAAACATGTCCGCCCCTCGCCCAGACGGCAAGGTTGCCAAGAAGCGCAAGCGTCCCTCCAAGGGTGCTCCTCCCGTTGAGGAGGAGTCGCCTGCCCCTGCCGCCGTTGAGTCGGACGCCGAGATGGCTGAGGAGGAGGATGTCACTGCCCCCGAGCCTTCGTCGTCCAAGGTCACTCTCGATGGCCCCCCCACAGCCTCGACCGACTATGAGCGTGTCCCCTTCTCGTCACTCCCCCTGTCGCCTGCTACCCTCAGCTCGATTGAGCGCATGGGCTTTGAGACCATGACCGAGGTCCAGGCGCGCACCATCCCGCCTCTCCTTGCCGGCAAGGACGTTCTCGGTGCTGCCCGTACTGGTTCGGGCAAGACCATGGCGTTCCTCGTCCCCTCGGTTGAGATGCTTAACCAGCTTCGTTTCAAGCCTGCCAACGGTACTGGTGTCGTGATCATCTCGCCCACGCGTGAGCTCGCGCTCCAGATCCTTGGTGTTGTCAAGGACCTCATGCAGGGCCACTCGCAGACGTTTGGTATTGTCATGGGCGGTGCCAACCGCAAGGCCGAGGCCGACAAGCTCGTCAAGGGTGTCAACCTTCTCGTCGCTACCCCCGGTCGTCTGCTCGACCACCTCCAGAACACCAAGGGTTTCGTGTTCAAGAACCTCAAGGCGCTCGTCATTGACGAGGCCGACCGTATCCTTGAGGTCGGTTTCGAGGAGGAGATGAAGCAGATTATCAAGATCCTGCCCAACGACAACCGCCAGTCGATGCTGTTCTCGGCCACCCAGACCACCAAGGTTACCGACCTGGCGCGCATGTCGCTCCGCCCCGGTCCCCTGTACATCAACGTTGACCAGAAGAAGGACACTTCGACTGCCGAGTTCCTCGAGCAGGGTTACGTTGTGTGCGAGTCGGACAGGCGATTCCTCTTGCTCTTCACCTTCCTGAAGCGCAACCTCAAGAAGAAGGTCATTGTCTTCTTCTCGTCGTGTAACTCGGTCAAGTACCACGCCGAACTGCTCAACTACATCGACGTGCCCGTCCTCGACCTACACGGCAAGCAGAAGCAGCAGAAGCGTACCAACACCTTCTTCGAGTTCTGCAACGCCCCCACTGGTATCCTTCTCTGCACGGACGTTGCCGCCCGTGGCCTCGACATTCCCAAGGTCGACTGGATCATCCAGTTTGACCCTCCTGATGACCCTCGCGACTACATCCACCGTGTCGGCCGTACCGCGCGTGCCGGCAAGGCTGGCAAGTCGCTCCTCTTCCTGCTCCCCTCCGAGCTGGGCTTCCTCCGCTTCCTCAAGGTCGCCAAGGTGCCCCTCAACGAGTACCAGTTCCCGCAGAAGAAGATTGCCGATGTGCAAAAGCAGCTCGAGTCGCTCATCTCCAAGAACCACTACCTCAACGTCTCGGCCCGCGACGGCTATCGCTCGTACCTCCAGGCCTACGCGTCGTACTCGCTTAAGAAGATTTTCGACGTCAACGCCCTCGACCTCGCCAAGGTCGGCCGTGCGTTCGGCTTCTCGGTCCCGCCCAAGGTCAACATCTCGGTCGGCTCCATCAAGGGCAAGAAGTCGTCGGCCGGTGACGACGACGACAGCGACGACGACGCCGTCCGCGCCAACAAAAAGTCTCGCGACGACGACGACGGTGTCGTCAAAAAGGCCTACTACCGCAATCGTAAGCCGCAGGGCAAGGGCAGGGCATAGGTGGTTTTGTGCTTGATTTTGTACTAGGATGATGCCACGGCTATAGACTATGGTGGTGCAGCGGCAGAGAGCGCAGTGACAGCGAGCCTAGCGAGCCTTTGCGAGCGTCTGCACCGTATACACATATTAACTAAACCTGGAGGAGCCATTCTGGCACCGGCTGACGTATATGCCTCGATTGAATCGAAAGCGGCGAGCCTGTTCGCAAATCAGTCGGTCAACCTATAACCGCACGTTTCGCCTATATTCCAACACAGTCCGTAGGGCAATAGGGTCATAAATTATTGACACTCTGGGGGGTTGAGGTTCGATTCCTCGGGATATACCGACTAAGTATTCCGGAATGAAGAACCAACACTGGTAGGAATGGGGTCGACGGCCGTAATGGGCAAGCCTCAACCTTTTGCATATCCGGCCCCCAGCCACCCAATCCGCATTACAATTTGTTTTCTAATTGATGCGAACCAGCAAGAGCATTTAATTCCGTCGCAGCTCCTCTACAATCCAGTCTCATTTCTCTTGTTGGTTGTCAAAGCCTACCCAATAGAGACCCCGTCAAGAAACGGGGTGGGAAGGGATTGAGTGTTTGCAATATCAGTGTGATTTGTGGGTCAGTTGAATGTTCGTCTTTGGTCTCTGTCATCTGCGTCAGTCCATGTCCCTGCAGCAATCTCAAGTAATGCCAAATGGCAAAAATAATGTCATACACATGCGTGGTGGGCTATCTATCTCTACATCGTAGCGCTACTCTCAATCCCTCACGCGGTCTCGGAGGCCACCACGGTCACCGGGAACCGCGTCGTTCGGGCAAGCGTTCGCAAAGTGGCCGTACTGGTTACACCTCTGTGTGGAGAGAAACATTGTCAGCTGGGGTTTCTTTAACAAAGCGCCCTTCTCAACTCACAAAGCACAGCACAGTCGACAGGTCCTTGACCCAGCGACCACCGTCGCCTCCTCCGCCGCCGCCATGGTCACCGCGCCCGCCGCCACCACCGCCGCGCTGGCCCGAGTATCCGCCCGCGCGCCAGCCCTGCAACGACCCGCCCTCGGTCCACGCCGCTGCGGGGGTGATGACGGCGTTCGGGTCATACTTGTACTCGCGCCAACGGCCGTACCCTGCCGGCAGCTGCGGCGGGGGGGCCGCTCTTGGTCGGGTCGGGCGGGATGGGGTTGGCGTACGTCTCTGGTTCGGGCAGGTTGGGTGATGGGTGCGCGAGCTTGCAGTCGGGCCCATCGGGGCAGAAACCGGCCATGTACGCCTGGCACAGCGTGCGGCGGACGTGGCGGCGCGGACACTCGGAGCCCAGGCGACAGAACCCGCGGTTGTAGTCTGGACACTCGACGCGGCGGTCGCGCGGGTGGTAGTACAGGCATTCGCCGCCCAGCTCGCACTTCCCCAGCTTGACAAACCACACGCACACGGGCATGGTGCGCAGGTTCCAGTCGTGCGTGTACTCGCAGTTGTCGCCGACCTTGCACAGGTTGCGCAGGTAGTGCTTGCACACTGTAGTCTTCTTTTCGCGCTCGCGCGGGTGTGTCGGGAGTGGGGGTGGGGGTTTGAAGTTGATCGGGGCCGGCGTGGTGTGTCGCAACGGGCAGACGGTCGGGCCCAGCGGGCATCCTAGTGGGGAGATGTTCATGCGGCAGATCTGGTCATCTGGACAAGTGTTAGTATAGGAGCAGGGACACCATCATCATCGTCAACACGTACCGGAATCGAGCTTCAAGTTGCGCTCTTGCTTCAGGTATCCCTCAATATCGAGGTTGACCTGGTGGAAGTCGGGGCGCACAAAGTCGGCAGCGCGGCCGAGGTTGGCGGTGGTGGTCATTTTGGGCGGTGGTAGATGATACCTCTGTGGTTGTTTTGTGTTTATGCAGCAATGTGTGAATGGCAGAGTAACATGAACCAAGTCTCTCGAGTGAACTCGGCGGCAAGAATGGGATGGATCACAGGCACCGTAGGGCCCACTATTATATATTAGAGACGGGACTATAATCTGGCACATTCCATTTGAATATGTCCGCACGTCGGCGGGCTGGCTGACTAAGCGGGTTTGTAATGCTAAATGCTCGCTCTATCCATGCGCGGGGTCTACATGCTACCACGGCCCAGGTCTTGGCCGTCGTCGTCCCTGCCGAAATCAAACGGATTCTCAGCCTCCTTGGCCTTGCCCTTGTCCACCTTGCTCGAGGACAGGTCAATGTCCACTCCTTCCTTCAACGCCAGCGCAGACATGAGGAGGGACAGCATCTCGCCCTGCTTGTCGATCGTTCGTCGCAAAGACTCGATCTGCTCGAGCAGGACATACTGGTTCTTGGCCAGCTTGATGTTTGTCAAGTCCTTGTCGCGCGATGCCTGGCGTTGCGATATGGACTGGGAAGGGGTGTGCGTGTGCGAGTGGCCCAGGCCATCCTGGTGCCACATGGGAGGCTGCTGCTGGCGCACGGCAGGGGCAAGAGACGCCGCTGTGCTCCTTTCCTCGGTGACTGCCATGAGTGGGTTGGGCGAGGCACGGCCGTTGTGTACCGGGTTGGCGACGGGAAGGAGCGGTGTGTCTGCGTTATCGCTGACAGGGCTGATATTAGATGGACGCTTTGGTGTAGGTGGTTCAGAAATGGAGTCGCGGGGTGAGACAGGCTTGAGAGTTAGTGTTTTCCTTGGATGCGAAGGTAACTCACTGCATGCTGTTGGAAGCTGACCATTGCGTCGTAGACAATGGCAAAGTTGCGGCCGAGAACAAAGGATGGCAATGCGATGAGGAGGAGACCGAACATGAGGAGTGGGACCGACATGATCTTGCCCAGCGCACTCTTGGGCACCACATCGCCGTAACCGGCCGTGCTCATGGTGACGAGCGCAAACCAGGCCGTCTGTGGGATAGAGTCGAAGAGCGACACATCGCCGTCGCTGTCCACAAACGCACCAAGGGTCGCGTCCCAGGTACCGCGTTCGGCGAAATAGATCAGTGTCGAGAAGAGGACGAGGACGAGGACGATAAAGTACGAAATGGCGATGAGGGCGTCCTTGGACCGACGGACAGCCACGTACATGACCTCGATGGTCAGGAGCATCTGGTTCTCATACTTGAACGCGCGGAAGACACGCAGCAAGCGCAGAGTACGCAGGATCGAAAACCTGAATAAGATGCTCGTGTCTTCTTGTCTTGCCACTTCGATGTAGTAGGGCAAAATGGACAGCAGGTCGAGAATGGCAAAGAACGAGGTGGCCCAGTTGTAGTACATGGACCACGAGTCGGAGTGGGCCAGCGAACGTGTAATGTACTCGACAGTGAACAGGACAACCAGAGTAGTGTCGAGACCAAACAGTGCCTTGACAGATGCAGGGGAGGTGTGGAACGACGGCAAGGTAGATAATGTTGTGAGGACGGCGCTGGTGGGAGGTGTCAGTCAGTAGGCTTAACGCGACACGGCGTTCTTCAACTCACCTAAACAGGATGGCACCAGTCACAGCCACGTGAATGAAGAAGGCTTCACGCCCGCTGCTGGGCTCCTCCATCAGAGATAGAGCTTTCGCTTCCATCGACTGCGCATGTTGGCGGCAATCGAATGGTGGTCGTCTCCCTCGCTAAATCCCAGAATGTGGCCAAAGTCCGGTACCTGGACCTCTTCATTGTCGGGGCCGAGCTCGTTGAGGTCATCGCTGAGAAAGTTCTGAGGGGAGAAGACACGCCTCATGGACGTTTCAGGCGATCCGGGTGTGGCGGCAGAACTCGCTCGTCGCCTGTTGCGGGGCCTGCTCGTCGCTGCGCCTGGGGCGGCAAACAACAACGAGCTCGAGGCGTTGGGGTGGAGGGTGAGCTTGCGGGGCCTGGACATTGAGGCCCGGGGCTGTGGGTGCTGGTTGGGGACGGACCCTGCAGCGGTGAGCTCGTACTCTTCGCCGGGTACAGGCATGGCCGATGACGACGGTGGGTACGAAGACATTGCTGCGGATGGTCGAGAAGCTGGACGGCGAAGCGCGTCGCGTTGGATGATGACCATCTCGTCGAGATCTGATCTTGAGTTCTGTGCCTCTGGTGGCCAATTTCAGGTTTACGTAATGCGGGACGAGGTGGTCTTGGCAGGCGAGACGTTGCGTATGGTTTGGTGCAGCGCCAAGTGGCATGGGGGAAGATGAACAGGAGGCCAGGAGCTTGTGGATGGCCGAGCAGGATCGTCAGTGATGGTGATGATGGTGATGGTGATGGTGGTGGTGGTGGGTGTGATGGGAGGTGTGAGTTTGCATGGAAGCGCAGCATTTGGGCACACTGGGATCCGGATGCGTGTGCGTGTGTGGGCTGTGCTTCGCGTGGCGGTTACACGCGCTCCCTCCTAGCCGGCCAATGGCCACATTGACGAGGGGGCAGTCTGAAGAATAGGAAGCTGATTGAAGAGAACCTTCTCGCAAGCAATTGGGTTCATGGAACATACACAAGCTATGTTGTGGCCTGTGGTATGCACACCATCAACCGTCTCGCTGTGCCACTCGATTACTCTCGCTCTCGCTGTCGCTGGTGTCACTCACTGATATCACTGCACCGTCCCAACGGAACCTTTTATTTTGGGTGAGTCCTCGAATCGCCACCCAGCCAGACGCCGGAAAACCCCGCTGGCTGGGCTGGCTGGCTGAGCCTGGGTGAGCCCGGGTGAGCCACCCGCCCAGTCTCGCTGCCCAGTCGCTGCCACTGTGTACGCACTTGTATAGGCACACACACAAAGTGAACGACAGAGACTATTAGCATCTCGTCCACATCGTCCTCCATCCCTCCTCTCCCGCTCGCCACCAACGGCGTGTAGTAGCCCACCCCCCTACTACCACCACCACCACTGCCCTGGCCTCCCCCCCGGACAGCTCGGCGTGCCAATACCCCCCCTCCCCCCCGGCCACAGACGGCGTGCGCTCGACTCTAGAGCCCCATCACCTAATACTCCCTCGCTCCGACTAAAACACACCCGCCATGTTCGGATCAACCTGGGGACAGAACAACCAGCAGCAGCAACAGCAGCAGCAGCCCCAGCAGACTGGTGGCCTGTTTGGCTCGACGGGTGGCGGCTTTGGCCAGACCGCAGGTGAGTACTGCACGCAGGAAACAAGAGGCAGCGGCTAACTTTCACAGGTGGGTTTGGTCAACAGCAGCAACAGCAGCCGCAGACGGGCTTTGGACAGCCTCAGCAGAACACGGGCGGTGGCCTGTTTGGACAGGCTGCCGCGCCCGCTACTAGCTTTGGCGGCGGCGGCTTTGGACAGGCCGCTCAGCAGCCCCAGCAGACCAATGCCTTCGGCGCGCGCCCCTCGTTTGGTGCGACCGGTACGTCGCCGTTTGGTGCTACCAACACTGCGGCTACGACCGGCGGCGGCCTCTTTGGCAGCTCGGCTCCGACCTCGACGTTTGGCCAGGCCGCTGCCCAGCCTACTGGTGGCCTCTTTGGCTCCAAGCCGGCCACCACTGGCTTTGGCGCGACGACCAGTTCGGGCCTCTTTGGCGCCAAGCCTGCTGTGACGGCCGCTCCCGGCAGCTCGAGCCCCGCTCCTTCCAACCAAGTGTTCCAGTACACCAACAACCCCCCTCCTCCCATCCCCCAGACCGGTACCGCCAACCCCCCGTACCAGCCCACCTGGCAGCGTGACCCCCCTCCCAGCATCGGCAGGGATGCGCCCCCTCCGCACCTTTTCCATGTCATCAACGCCATGGAGCCTTACCGCGGCGGCAGTTTTGAGGAGCTTCGTATGCTCGACTACCAGCAGGGCCGCAAGGAGCCGACTGCTCAACCTGCGCCTGCTGCCACCGGCTTTGGCCAGCCCGCCGCCAGCGGTTTCGGCACTTCTTCGGGCGGGTTTGGCCAGCCAGCCGCGACCCCCTCGACCTTTGGCCAGGCCAAGCCCGGTGGCCTTTTTGGTTCGACCGGGGCCACCAGCACGTTTGGCGCACCCGCGGCCACGACATCGACCTTTGGTCAGGCCCAGTCGACCGGTGGTCTCTTTGGCCAGCAGCAACAGCAGCCTACAACCTCCACTTTTGGCCAGCCTGCCGCCGGTGCGACCACTGGTGGTCTCTTTGGCCAGCCTGCCGCCCAACCGGCTGCCACTGGCGGCCTCTTTGGCAGTAACCCCAACCCCTTCGGCCAGACCAGTGCCCAGCAGCCCCAGTCGACCGGCTTTGGTGGATTCGGTGCCGCCGCTGCCAAGCCTGCAGGCTTTGGCGCGACCCCGGGCACCACCAACGCCTTTGGCCAGACCGGCACCACCACTGGCTTTGGTCAGACTCCCGCTGCCCCCGCGCCCACTTCATTTGGCGGATTTGGCCAGACTCAACAGCAGCCTCAGCAACAGCAGCAGGCGACTGGCGGTCTGTTTGGCAACACCACCAACCCCTTTGGCCAGACCAGCGCTGCCTCCCCTGGCACGTCGCTCTTTGGCCAGACCAACACCCAGCAACAGCCTGCCGCCACTGGTGGTCTCTTTGGTAGCACTGCTGCCAAGCCTGCCGGCGGTCTTTTCGGCTCGTCCCCCGCGGCCTCGACCGCGACCGGCGGCTTTGGTGGGTTCGGCGCCGCCGCTGCCCCCGCTCAGCCCGCTACCACCGGCCTCTTTGGCTCTGCCCCAGCTGCCCAGCCTGCCGCTACCGGAGGTCTCTTTGGCCAGCAGCCCGCCGCCGCTCCTGCAGCCGGCGGTCTCTTCGGTAGCAACACTGGTGGTTCATCCCTGTTCGGTGCCAAGCCTACAGCCCCTGCCACTGGTGGTCTGTTTGGTTCGGCTCCCGCGGCCCAGCCTGCTGCGACTGGCACGTCGTCGTTTGGCGGTTTTGGCCAGACCGGCACGGGCGGTGGTCTCTTTGGCAACACCAACACCGCCGCCGCCGCTCCTGCGACCACCTCGCTCTTTGGCGCCAAGCCCGCCGCTCCTGCAACCGGTGGTCTGTTTGGCTCGACTGCTGCCGCTCCCGCTGCCACTGGTGGCCTGTTCGGCAGCCTCGGCCAAACGCAGCAGCCCGCGTCGACCGGTCTCTTTGGTAGCACCACGCAGACCCAGACCCAGGCGCCCACAGGCGGTCTGTTCGGCAGCACTCTTGGCCAGTCGACCGCTCAGCCTGCTCAGAACCTCACCGCCTCGGTCGACCAGAACCCTTACGGCCGCAGCGAGCTCTTTGCGTATCAGGGTCAAAAGCTCGAGCTCGGCAGTGTCAACAAGAAGCCTGCTCTTCCCCCACTCACCGCATCGTCGTACCGTGTTACTCCCACCAAGGGCCGTGTGACCCAGCTCCGTGGCTTTGCCGCCCCTCTCAGCGCGTCGCAGAGCAACAGCCGTTCCGGCAGCCCCGTTGCGGCTTCGTCCAACAACAACCGCTCGGTCATCGGCTCGCCTGTTCCCTCAGAGCGCTACAAGGGCCTCACCGAGACCTCGCTTTCTCCCAACGCCTTCATCCCCCGTGCCAACGTCAAGAAGATTAGCGTTGCTACTCCCAAGCTTGCCAACGGCAGCGAGGACCCCCTCGAGTCTGTTCTCGGCAAGTCGGCCCTCAAGAGCTCGACCAACTCGCTCCCCCCTACTCCCGAGCCCGTTCGCAGCCCTGCCTTCAACGCGTCTGGTTCCACCCGCTCCAACATTGACGACACCCCTACTCGCCGCCCCCAGAGTGTTCAAATTGAAACCTCGATCCGTCCTGTTGCCACCGAGCGTCCCCTCAAGCGTGGAGACTACTGGTGCAAGCCCAAGCTTGAGAAGCTGCGCTCCATGTCTCACGAGGAGCTCAGTAAGATTGAAAACTTCACTGCCGGCCGCAAGGGCTATGGTGAAGTCGTCTTCCTCGAGCCAGTTGACCTCACAGGCCTTGCGTCCCTCCACGACCTTCTAGGCAAGGTCATTGTTGTCGAGGACCTCGAGCTTGCCGTCTACCCGGAAGATGGCCCCAAGAAGCCTGCGCGTGGCAAGGGTCTCAACCACCCGGCCCAGATTTCGCTTGAAAACTGCTTTGCCCGTGACAAGGCTACTCGCCAGCCGGTCACGGACCCCAGGGACCCCCGCTACCAGCGCCAGGTCAAGCGTGTCAAGGCCGTCCCCGACACTGAGTTTGTCAGCTTCACCGAGGACGGTGTCTGGACCTTTATCGTGGACCACTTCTCCCGCTACGGTATTGCCGGCAGCGATGATGAGGACGACGCCGACGAGGGTGTCGCTTCGCCCAGCCCTCCCAAGTCGGGTACTCTCGACCGCTCGCTTTCCCCTTCCATTACCGAGGAGGAGGAGACAGATGAGGACGACGACTTTCTTCCGCCCACCCGCAGCATTTACGACAACATGATGACCGCCGACTACGACAGCGGTCTCGACGGCGATGTGACCGACGAGTCGATGGAGGAGGACCTTGAGACTGAGCGCGAGGACAATGGCGACATGGACATGCAGCCCGACTGGGACCGTCCCATCAAGTCCAAGCTCGGTGCCCAGGGTATGCGCAACATGCGTGCCATGCAGGCGTCGTTCTTTGGCTCGGCCGAGCCCAAGGCGCCCAAGCAGTCTGCGCTCGATGTGAAGCGCGCCGCTGCCGTCGAGGCTGCCCGTGCTCTTGAGCGCAAGCGTGTCGAGTCGGGTTTTGGTGATGCCGAGGAGGGTTTTTCTACGCTTGACAACCGGGCCGTCAAGCGCGCCTCCTTCGGCGAGCCCGCCCGCCCGCCAAAGCTCCGCCAGCCGCGCAAGTACGCCAAGGTTGCCCTTACCGACAGCAGTGTCGCAGGTGGCGAAGGTGTACGTGCCGACGCGGGTCTTTCCCTTGGCCGCTCGTTCCGTGCGACCTGGGGTCCCAACGGTCAACTTGTTCACATTGGCAAGATTTGTGCCCCTGGAGCCAAGTTTGCCTCGTCCCCTCAGCCGACCGTCTTTGTTGAGCAGGTCGAGCTGCTCGCCGACTCCAAGGCCGTCGAGAGCCAGCGTGCGTCGCGTCTGCTGTCGTTGCTCCTCCAGCACACTGCCGTCGAGCTTGTCGAGGGTGAGCCAGCAGCGTTTACCGAGACTGGGATCCGCTTCCACCAGTTTGCGGACCTCTTCGACGCCGCCGACCGCTCGCACGAAGCGTGCGTCTGGCGTCTTGGCAATGCACTCTTTGACGAGATCGAGCTCGGCCTCCCGGAGACCACTTCGTCCGACGTTGTCCAGCGCATCACCGAGGTGCGTCGCAAGCTCGCCCTTTCCAAGTGGCTCGAGGACGCTGTCGCTCCCGCCGTCGACACCGACCTCGCCAAGGCCGGTGACAACCGCCCCGCCAAGGTCTTTTCGCTCCTCACGGGCAACCAGATCGACCGCGCGGTCCAGTCGGCTCTGGACGGCAACGACATGCGTCTCGCCACGCTCGTGTCGCAGGCTGGCGGGCCCGAGATCTTCCGCGCCGAGGTCATGCGCCAGCTCGAGGACTGGACCAAGTTCAAGTCCAACTCGCTCATCGGATACGACTACCGCAAGCTCTACGCCGTCCTCGCCGGTGTGACTGACATTGTCGCCGGCGACTCGACCCGCGGCCCCGACGCTGCTCCCGATGTCCTTGTCGCCGAGGGTCTGGACTGGAAGCGCGCCTTTGGCCTCCAGCTCTGGTACGGCTGTCCGTCTGAGGAGAGTATTGCAGATGTGCTCGACCAGTATACTGCGTCGCTCGACTCGGCTCACCCCCCTGCCAAGTCACTCCCGCCTTACCTCGAGAAGCCTGACGGCGGCAGGACCTGGGACCTTCCCCAGCAGCCGACCGACGTGCTCTTCAATCTCATCAAGGTGTACGCCGACCTGACCGTCCCGCTCGACCGTGTGCTTGCGGCTCGCGACTCGTCGCCCTCGCCCACCGACTTCCGTATCCCCTTCCACCTCTACCTCCTTCTTGGACACGCGCTTGCCAAGCGTGACTTTGAGGACCGCGAAGACGAGGACGAGAGTGGTGTTGGATTCAGCGCCACTGCCAACCAGATCACCTCGTCGTACGCTGCCCAGCTCGAGGAGGAGGGCCAGTGGACATGGGCCGCGTTCATCTTGCTCCACCTCGAGCGCGCTGAGTCGCGCCGTGCCGCCATCCGCGACCTCCTCTTCCGCCACCCGGACCCTACCCAAGTCGAGATTGCCTTCCTCACGGACAAGCTCCACGTTCCCTGGGAGTGGCTGCACGAGGCCCGCGCTGCTCACCTCGCCGCTGCCGGCGACGCGTACGGCGAGTACTTTGAGCTCATCCCCGCCGGCCTGGTCGACCGCGCCCAGCGCACCCTTATCACCAAGCTCGCACCCGAGGCTGTCCTGCGCGAGGACCACGCCCTCCTCCGCCGACTCTGCGAGGCCCTCGAGCCCACCCACCCCACTGGATGGGAGTATGGCGGCAAGCTCTTCCTCGACTATCTCGACCTCATCTCCGAGGTCCGCCCCCTCCTCGCCAGTGTCCTCCGCGCCGGCGCCAACCCGGACCCGACCGAGGCCCACGCCCTCACCGCCCTGGCGCGCAATGTCCCCCGCGTGCTCCAGCTCCTGCCCGCCCTGTTCCCCGACAAGGAGGACGTGCAGCAGGTGGCCAGCCTCAGCGACATGCTCAGCGACCTCCAGGCCCTCGCGGGTGTCCTCCACCCTGCGGGATTCATCCCGCGCCCGCCCGTCTCCGACCTGCTGGTCGACAAGGACCGTCTCCACCTTCTCCAGGCCGCGGCGACCGAGAGCTTTGAGCACTCGCTCCAGGCCCTCACTGCGTAAGGAGTGCAAACAAAACGAGTGCAAGCAGTGAAACCCACCCTCTCTCCACTTAAATCCCCCCCTGTTCCGGTCTCCTTTTTTCTTTTTTTCCATAGCATGGCCACGCCTCCCCTTCATAGTTTCATAGATCGTGAGTGAATTTGTCATACAAAGATGCACTGTGACGTCCATATGCGGAGCGAGGGCAGTGGGAGGGTGGTGGTGGTGGTGCGAAGTCGGAATTGCACGTCGTGTCTCGCGCTGGGTCAAACGTCTAGATCATGCATATATGCCTAGCCTCATGCCGTCACCCCGTCAAAAGTCTACTACAACACCTCTCGCCCTAGGCCACGCTCAAGCAGAAGGGGTGGGCTTCTCGCCGCGCTTGACCGCCTCCACAAGGGCACGCACGCCCTCCTCGCCCTTGACCTTGTACACGCGGCGCTTCATGCCCTCGAGCTGGGCGAGCTGCTCGGGAAGCACGTCCTTGGCAAAGTTGAAGGCCGGGAAGGCCTCCTTGGTGAGCGCGAGCTCGACGGCCTCAGAAAACTTGGCCGGGTGCGCGGTCGACAGGGTGACGTACGTCGCCGAGGGGTTGGCCTTGGCGACGCGCTCCTGCGTGGCGAGGCCGACGGCAGTGTGCGGGTCGACAACGTAGGGGCCGTAAGGCGCCGGGGCCGAGTAGTACTTCTTGATCTCGTCAAGAGTCTACCGGCGGATGTCAGCTATGTTGCGCAATGGGGATTACAATAGCTGCACACTCACCTCCTGGTCCGAGACGCGCTCGGCGCCAAACTCCTTGCTGGCAATGTCGCGGACGGCGGTGCCCATGTCGGCCTTGCCGTTCTTCTTGAGGTCGTCCATCCAGCCGTTGAGGGTGGCCTGGGCGGCGGCACGGCGTTGCTGCTCGGGAAGGGCGGCGGTGGCGGCGTCCTGCGCGTCGTGGGCGAGGTACCAGAGCAGACGCTCAAAGTTGGACGAGAGGAGAATGTCCATCGCAGGCGAGTACGTGGCCTTGACGCCGCCGTCGGTGGTGGGGTCGCGCTCGTAGCGGCCGGTAGCGAAGAAGCGAGCGAGAATGTCGTTCTCGTTGGTAGCGACGGTGAGGCGCTGGACGGGGAGGCCGAGACGCTTGGCGAACCAGCCGGCGAGAATGTCACCAAAGTTGCCGGTGGGGACGACAAAGTTGATGTCCTTGCGGGCCTCCTTGGGGAGGAGGAAGTAGGCCTGGAAGTAGTAGACGATCTGGGCGAGGATACGGGCCCAGTTGATCGAGTTGACGGCGCCGAGACGGTGGGCGTCGTTGAACTCGCGGTCGCCAAAGCAGTTCTTGACAATGGCCTGGCAAGTGTCAAAGTCAGAGTCCTCGACCGAGACGCAGTAGACGTTGGCGTCGGGGACAGTGGCCATCTGGGCCTCCTGGATGGGCGAGACACGGCCATCGGGGTACAGGATGAAGATGGTGATCGAGGGCTTGGAGCGGAGACCGTAGATGGCGGCACTGGGAAACGTTAGTGCAAGCTCGACCAGAGTGGGGTGGGGGAATTGGAGGAAGCGCCGTCGCTGCCCACACACTCACGAGCCAGTGTCACCCGAAGTAGCGCCAAGAACCGTCAGGTGCTCGTGCTCCTCCTCGCTCTTGCCCTTGTTGGCGCGCTCAAGGAGGTAGGCAAAGACGTTGCCGACAAACTGGAGGGCGACGTCCTTGAAGGCCCAGGTAGGACCGTGCCAGAGCTCGAGGACATACTCGTTGGCAGCAGTCTGGCGGAGGGGAGTGACCTCCTCCGAACGGAAAGTAGCGTACGAGCGGTCGATGATGTCCTTCAGGTCGGCAGTGGGGATCGAGTCGGTCGGGACAAAGAGCGAGAGGACAGCGAGCGAGAGCTCGGGGAACGAGAGGTTGGCCCACTCAGTCTCCCAGTTGGCCGGGAGCGAGGGGATCTCGGTGGGGATGTAGAGACCGCCGTTGGGGGCAAGGCCCATGAGCACGGCCTGGCGGAGGATGTCAGCGGCGGCGGCAAGGTCAAACGTGGGTCCCAAAGCAAAGCATAATAGGGTCGAGTCGAGCGTCGACGGCGCCGGCCGGGGAGGGGACTCTTGCAACTCACCTCGTCGAACGAGAGGGTCTCGCTACCGCCGCGAGTGGAAAAGTACCTTGTCTGGGACATTTTAGTGGTGTTGTGTGTAACGTATAGAGTTGTCTAGAACGACTCTTCTGTCGTGCTCGCCGGGACTGTCTTGCTCCTCAAAGTGGCCCGCCGCGCCGACCCGACTCGAATCCAACGCGCAAATGACTTTTTGATTCCGCTCCGAGGGTCCTTTGGAGGCAGATCCTGTGGCGCACTCAGGAGCAGACGGTAGGTCCCCCAGGCGTCGCTCAATGGTTCTGACGGGGCTGCTGCAGAACGGCCAGGCTGTCGTTCAGGATGAACTGGAGCACGTAGGAGTAATAATTCTGGAGGGTTTAACAATCCAACACCTCTGCAGGCAGAATTTAGTAACGAACAGCGCGGCATTCCCTCTCTGCACTGCGCTTCATGGCAATCGTCCCCGCTCCTGGATCCCAGCTACTGCAGGACACCTTGGTAGTCACAGTCGAGCTCATACTTTGCAGACGGATGTCATTCAGCCAACGACTGAGACAATATGCCGCCATGGACTGGCCTGTTGCGGCTGGAAGCATGTTGAGTTGGGTGGAGTTCAGGAATACGGCCGCCACTCCCAACTGCCCGACCTCCAACCCTTCCAACCCTTCCAAAAAGGATGTCTCAACCGAGACAATGGTAATGGAGCCAGAGTGGATTGAACACCCGACCTAGCGATAAACCCAAGACAAGACTTGAATCTGATGACTGAACTTCAGTCGCTCGCTCTCCCAGCTGAGCTATGTCTCCGAATACGTAAACAGTTTTGGTGGCGCGAAGATGAGCTGAGGTGGCCATGGAGCCATACACATCTGCGGGAGGCGGCAGTTGACCCATCGGGGGTAGCCTTGAGTGGTGAACGTCTGCGAGATCGGAGAAAACGAGGATATCGAGCGAAAGTGCCACCCGCCACAATGATCCGCGGTCCACCTTCCGGGGGTTGTTCTCCATCTTCTCCATGTTGTCCACCATCCTCCGCGACACCTGGCATGCATCTGCACCCCTCCAGGAGGCCAAAAAGGTCACGACGGGGATCGAACCCGCGATCTCCTGATAACAGATGCTGAATCGTAGTCAGACGCCGTACCATTTGGCCACGCGACCGGATGATGTTGTTGTCAGTGCACGCCCCGCCGCGGTCCGCGGGTTCGTTTGGGTTCTGTTTCTGACTCTGTTTCTGGGCAGCAACAGCACCATGCGCTCCTTGGTCATGGGTGATAGGTGAAGAAGTCAAGGATGTGACGGCCGCAGTCAGTTGGAATCCCAGCAGGATGACCGGACGGCCAGAAAACAGCGTTTGCGCGAGTGGAAAAAACAATCTCAAAAAAAAATCAAAAAAAAATTCCGCCACTCGAATCCATCAGATCTGCCTTTCACGAAATAGTCACCTTTCGTCCAGGATTTCCCCTTATCCTAGTTACTGCGCGTCCCAGAGCATGTATGGGACACCCTTCCGTCTATGCGTGGTCTCGGACCTCATGCACAAGGTCGGCAGGCGCCGCTCTAACCCCCAAAACACGAAACGAGACTCCCAAGCGATTTGTCACCTCCGGAACACCTCCTCGACATCTACATCTCCTCTCCCATGCTCCTAGACCTCTCCAGTGCCTCCAGAAGGCTCCAAAAAGGTCACGACGGGGATCGAACCCGCGATCTCCTGATTAACACGATCGTAGTCAGACGCCGTACCATTTGGCCACGCGACCGGCGATGTTTAGTTTTGCCGACCCGCCGTCGTGTTCGTCGCACTGAATACATGCCAACGCGCTGAGCAAGGACTGCAGGAGCTACAGGTAATAACATTTGATCAACAGAGAAGAAAATGATGTCCATGTGCAGGGATGAAAGTGTTTTTGTGGACAGGTGGACCGTGGAACGTGAAAAATGGGAATGAGAACTTGCCCACGTGTCCGCACTCACCACTCTATGTTATTTTAACAGCAGCTGGCAGATGATGGCTGTCTTTTCCCGAAGCGCCATGGAAGTAGCTAACGTACCCTCATGTCCTTCCTTCACTAAGCCTTTCGCTGAGCGCAGGATCTGCATTGCCATTCTGGACCGATGTCCCTCTTTGAACTCTGAACCGTAGAGAACGCTTCACCCATCTCTGCCTCTTCCTAGGCCAACATCTCATGCATCTCAATAAACATTAAACATTTCACGAGGCCTCAACACCCCTATCGCCCGACAAACAAGGTGAGATGTCCTGGCAGTGACATGCAATACTATGTGGCGACACCATTTGGCCTCGCCACCGGAACCGATTAGGTATTGTTTGTCGCTGCTGCTGTACGGCGGTATGTGGGTCCATGTCGCAAGGAAACGACACGTGCAGCAACTGCCGAACGAATAGCACCTCAAACTGTAGCTCTATAGTTCATTGGGGAAGAGAACGAGCTCGGGGGCGCGGGCATAGGTAAAAAAACGATAGACGGAACGAAAACCACCGCCACTATGATCGGCATTGTGGCGGATCGGCACTTCCACCAAAAAACGTCAACCACACTGATACACTGAACTTTTCCGTCTTCCTCGTGTCCACACTTCACAATGCATGCCTGACAAGCTCCAAAAAGAAGTACTTTATCGCCACCTCGTTTCGATCGAGGGATCTCCAGGTGATCACAAACATATGAGCCTGGCGCTTTCCCACTAAGCCATAGCGATGTTGATGTTCAAGAGAATCGAAATGTCGTGTTGCCGCGAGCCGCCTCTGCTTCTGTGAAACTGTTTTCATCTTGTTTGTGTTCCTGCGCACTGTATGGCATGTTCTGGGCACTGTATGCTGATGTAGTCGCTCCGGCTGCTCCAACTTCAACGAACACTTGTGATCCTCCGATCAACAGTCTCAAGACGTTCACAGCTGGCATTACACGCCCACATATCTCCGACACGGCCATATGTGGTCCTCCTGTCACAACCGCATGGAACTGACAGGCTTATCGGATAGTGGGCTTAATGAGCAAGTCATGCTCTGATTTATAGGGATAGTAGCGGGCGTTTATTGAAGACGCGGCGATGGAAGTCGCCAGTCATGTTTAATTGACTTGGGACTGAGACTTTGGTCTAAGGTGGCACTTATTGTCCCCATTACGCGACACAATAATACCACAGGTGCCCATGAGACTTGTCTCACTTGTGACACCAGGTTGTAATCGCCAACTGTAATTTCAGTGACTTTGGGACTCAATTCCCTTCGCCATGCCCCAACTAGTTTGTCATGTCTGACGATTGCGCAACGGCCGCATATTTACTCTCCATGTGTCAGATGTGCGGCAACTCTCCCTAGGAGCTGCTTGCACCGACACTCAAAGTAGTCCTCGGTTGAGCATTGATCCTTCTGCCAGTGCCACCTATCACACAATTGCCTCTGAGAATTTGTAGGTCCGTAGCTTGTGCTCCGGCAGAGGTGAAACCCCTGGTCTGCTGTGGCCTAGAGGTAACGGCCGTCAAAGCACTCTATTTCTGGCTGGTACCAACCGCCGTTTTGTCGCGGAACACCCCGTAGATAGCCACATGCTCCAGTTATGCTGCGCATCTCAATGACTCCACGTGCTCTACCTACATGCGTGCTAGTGCTGATATTGTACTGAAATATGCCATCTGCTCACCATCTGCTCTCACCCATAACAACCCACCGACCGACACCGACTGGCCCGCCCTCGGCCTGTTGCCCGCCACAACCACGTCTAACATCCTCCCGTGCAGTAGCCTCCGCCACCGAGCCCGCATCCAAAGCAGCTCACGGCGCCATAACCCTTGCTGGCAAGGGTAAGCGTCAGGATACTCAACACGCCTTCGCCGAGCACAAAGCCCGACGCGACGACAATCGCCAGCAGCGGCGTTTCGCCCGTGACGCTCGTACGCGCGGCGCGGTACGCAATGTATCCGCCAATCAGACGGGCGAGGGAGAAGGACGGTGAGTTGAGGAACCCAATGGCGAACGCGACGCCCGAGGGGAGGTAGCTGATCAAGTCGGAAATGTGCGGGTTGCGGACGCGGGGGGCAAAGGCCTTCAAGCCGGCAATGAGGGCGAATGCGCCGCCAAAGACGAGCATGAAGGGGACGACGTTCTCGGGCAGGTGGCCGTTGTTAAGCAGACGCGCAAGGCTGAGCCACACGCCGGCGCTGGGGACGGCGAATTCGGGGCCGGGGATCTGGTACACCGAGGTGTAGAACTTGTAGCCCGCAGTGGAGACAAAGACACTCGCAAGGGAGCCGATGAGCTGACCGTAGAACTGGGCACGGGGCGAGGCGCGGAGCAGCTGGCCAGTCTTCATGTCTTGCATGAGGTCGCCTGGGGGTGTCAGCGAAGGCCGCGTAGTATGGTTCGACAACGCGGTTGCAACCTGAAGTGGGCAACCGCTCGCGTGAACCTACCAGCTTGTTGGGCTCCAGCCTCGCTGTTGATGTTAGCTCAGGACCCAGCTGCACGCGGATATGAGCTCACCTGATACCGCCAGCGATCACATTGGCCACAACGTTGCCGGGCTGAACGACGGCGAAGAGGAGCTGACTGATCTTGCCAATGCCCGAAACCTGATGAGTTAGAGGATACCGCCTTTACCTAACTCACTGGGTTGATATCCGTTTGTCCCAGAGCACGAACACCGATCAAACTCAGGACCTGTACACTGTCAGTCATGATATTTCACATGTTGCAACTCACCGAAGCGAGAACGAGACCCAGAGCCGTGGCCCACGGGTGAATTCCCTCCTTGCCAAACACGATCCACACAAGCACCACACAAAGCACCGAGCTGGCCACGAGACCGCTAGTGACCCATGAATCGGGCACGAGACGCTCGGGCGGCTCGTCCTCGGGCTCGTCGTCGTCGGCGGGCGGCAGGTCAAAGTACGCGTCACGCTCAGCGGCATCGTAAGGCGAGTCGTGGGTGACAAACGCCGACTCGGCCGCGCGCTCACGTTCCTCCTCGACGCGAGTGAAGAGATGCCTAAAGTATTCGACGACCATGGGGCTCAGCGAGACGAGGCTTTCGGCAATCATGATGGCGAGCGCGACCCAGAGAATCCAGCCACGTGCGCCGTCGGTCGTAGAGGCAACGCGACCGGGAGCCCAGCCCGAGTTCTTTGAGATGGGAGAAAGGACGGCCCAGCCGACAAACATGCCAATGTTCATTGACACGGTCACGGGCAAGCCCATGATGATGCCTTGGCCAATGTATGAGAGCGAAGGCGTGAACCACCACATCCAGTGCGCGGCGAGGCTACCGCCAAAGGGAGCGGAGATAATGTCGAATACGGGGAGGGCAAAGGCGACGGGGAAGAGGAAGCTGAGCATCTGCACGTCAGCTGTGATGTGGGCCGTTTATGAGCTCACTGTCATGGAGCCGCTTGCGACAAAGCTCCACCCCAAGGCTGCCCAGCCGGGCCCGCCGGAGAGGTCCTTGATGGTGTCCTCGTCCTCGTTGGCTGTGGCCTCTGACGTGCGCACACGGCGGTATGGGCCCGACGGCTGGGGGTTGAGGCTTTGGAGAGGGGGAGGCGCCTTGTGGAGGAGCGCAATGAGCTGGCCAGTAGCGGTACCTTGTGTGCGTGTCAGCTATAGCAGTGACGTGACCCAGCTGCAACTCACCCGAGGGGAACACGAGTTTCTCCTTGACAATAACCTGTCTCCTCAAGGGAACCGCAAGGAAGACACCAAAGAATGCCACGGCCAAACACCACATGACGAGTTTTGGGTACGAGAGGACGATGGGATCACGCCCGTCCTCTTCCTGGTTCATCATGCCCAAGGCAGGGATAATGCCCACCAGACCAGCAGCCAGGGGCATGGTTCCCGTCGCCACAGCTGTCGTCTGGAGAACGACGTTCTCAGCCGTGGTTAAAGGCTGGAAAGCTGGGAAGAGGCGCGGGAAGAGGGGGCCGAGCTTGAATATCAAAAAGCCAATCAAGGCGGATTGGAGCGACATCATGGACACCCAGCCTGTGGTGTGAGCTTGGACCAGTGAGGCAGATGTAGCTCACCTGTCTGCAGACCAAAGTAAATGTTGGTAAAGCACAGCACACATCCCACCAGCAACCCTACTGCGACAGCGCGAAAGGTGAAGTCGCCCCCAACCTCCTCCGGCTCGTAGTCGTAGTCGATGGAGCCGTAGCCGGTGTCGCTGCCTGATGGCGATGGGATAGAGTAGCGCAGTCCACGCCCGCTGGGGGCAGACCTGTCTGTAAGCTTTCTGTCTCTGAAACGGCTCTCAGCTTACACTGGGTTCATGGTTGCGCTTGGGACGGGCGATTGGGAGAAGAAGAGAAGAGACAGATGGCCAGATTGGTGGTCCTTGTGGTCTTGTGGCCTCATGGGCGATTACTCACCCCCCGTTGCGCAGCCCTGACGTCGTTTCGGCCATGCCCGCCGTTTTCCGCACTTTGGCGACGGCAAACCGAAATAACAAATCCTAATGGGCCATTTGATTACGTTCTGCAATCGATTAGGAAAGCACTATAACCTAAAACACTGCGCGCCTTTGTTGACACGAAATCACTGATCACTGATCGCTCCGCCCCCTGTTGCAACCACACCATCATCGACCAGACAGTACCGACCATGTCGTCCGACATCGAGTCCGACGACGGCGGCCTCACATCACTGCTGCCACAGCTCCCCGAACTGGGGCGTATGGCACACTGGTCCGTCTCGAGCCACAAGTATGGCTTTGGCGTGGACAACTTGCGCGACGGCAACGAGAATACCTTCTGGCAGTGAGTTGCATGAATTCGACGTAGTATCGCAACTGACTATCACACCACCAGGTCAGAGGGCCCCCAACCGCACTGCATCGATCTGTCGTTCCCAAGACGCGTGTTCATATCGGTACGTCGGGCGTCTCGTCTTGTCGACCAGAGAAGGCAGTTGCTGTGAGCTGACCCACCTTGCCTTCCCAAGTCTATCGGGCTGCTCACAAGTCACCCACGAGACGACAGCTACACGCCTAGCAAGATCTCAATTCGGGCCGGTACAAGTGTCCATGACTTGCAAGAGGTGCGTGATCGGTGGTCTGTGGGCCCCAGGTGGCAGCAACGTGGGCAGCGATAAACAGCTGTTCAAGTCGATTTCTTCAGCTGTCCTGCGCCGCCCCTCGCCTTCCTTCACCCACTCCCACTTCCCCTCTCACTCAGCTGGGATGAAATTGCCCTTCAGCTGACACCCCCGCAGGTCCGGTTTGAAGAGTTCAAGCAGCCAGACGGGTGGATGGTCATCCCCCTCCGCCCCGTCGACAGCGACACGCCCGATATCGCCGGCCCGCCCATCCCCGCCCACCACCTGCGTATTGTGATTGTCGCCAACCACTTGAACGGCAAGGACACGCACGTGAGAGGGCTGAAAGTGTTTGGACCGCCAGAGTGAGTACCGTCACAGCACCATGACAGCTAGACGATGCTGTTTGTATGCCAGCTGTGTGGTGCGCGGCGATGAGAGTCTGCTCGCATTTCTGCGACTGGAAGCTGATTAAACGCAGAGCGTCCGCGGCGACGGCAGGGGGCAGCGATGCCGAGGACGACTTTCCCTCTGGCCCGGCACTCCTCGCGCTCGGAAACGACGGTACGTCCGGGTTCACGAGCACGACATACAAGATGCACGCTGGGATCCGGTAGTTGCCCCCCTCCACCATCTCCCTCCCTCCCTCCCTCCCTCCCCACGACACTCCCTCCCATTTGTACACATAAAACTGCATGCATGACTTCCCTCTTCCTCTTCCTCTTCCTCTTCCTCTTCCTCTTTCTACACCCCTCTTTTAAACACGCTCGTAAATGTACAGATACGCCAGCGAGCGCAGGTCGTCGCCTCCGCGCGCCGCCGCCGCCGCGACCTTTTCGTCATTGAACAGCACCCAGTCGTCGGGCGTCTCGTTGCCGCCGGCGAGACCGGCCTGGGGTTGGCGAACGGTGGCGACGTAGTGGCCCGAGTGGACCGAGGGGCCCTTGTGCGAGATGAACGACTTGAGGCGGTACTTTGCCGGCGGCGGGGTGCCGCCGACGTTTGGGGTGGCATCCGACGCGGGGGCCGGAGCGGTCTCCTCGCCGTCGTCGTCCGGGTGCGAGAATAGCCACTCAATGGCCTGTTCGGTGTTGCCGCTCTGGAAAGTTAGAACAACGAGGTGAGGACAGCAACTTACAGATTCGCGGAGGGCCTTACGAGCCTGGGCCGGGGTGAAGCCCATCTCGGAGATCATGACAATCTGGTCCGGGTTGGGTTCGGGAGCACCACCGCCAGTGGAGATGGGCGCGTCAATGTCTGCTGGGTTAGAACTGCGACCAGGCAGGGCAGAGACAAAACCCACCAGGATCATCCATGTGCTCAAAGAGCCATCCGGTGGCAGCATCGGCGTCGCTGTTACCCGTGGCGAGCAGCGCCTTCTGGCAGCGGACAGCTGGGAAGCCCATGGCCTCGAGCTGGGCCATGGCGGCGGCGTTGAACTCGGGCTGCTGGGGAGCATCCGTGTCCAGCTCCGCCTCGCCGGGCTGGCGTCCCTTGCCCCAGACGCCGTCGAGGGTGAGGGTCTCGGGCACATTGACGGGGACGTCTGAGTGTCAGCAGCATTCACAAAACGGTAACCCACCAAGCTTGGTAGGGAGCCAGTTGACGAGCTGGAACTTGCGCATGTGCAAAACGAGAAGCTGAGGGAAGGTCTTGAACGTGGTGGTCCTGATCGGTCAGTGGTGCTAGGTATTGCAAGACCTACTTGACAGCCTTGACACGCTTGTTGCAGTTACCGCAGGCGTAGTCGTCCAGCTGCTCAGGAGCGGCCAGCGACTCGATACACGACTCGAGCGTCACACCCTTGTAGAGTTTCTTGCCGTCCTCGGTGACGCCTTCCTCAACGGCGTCAACGGGGAGGCTGGCCAGGTCCACCGCGTCTACCTTGTAGCCTACACGGTGGCACTCGGTACACTCGAGACGCTGCTCCATGCCGAACCTGAGCGCGTTGGTAGCCTCAATGTTCTCCGAGCGTCCCAGATACTTTGCCTCCTGGCGGAGACGCTCAATGAGATGCTGAAGAAACTCTTCCGAGTCCTGCTGCTGCATGGTGGAAAACTCGGCGTGGCCCTTTCCGATCAGAGCCTTGAACTGGGCTGGACGGATACCGTCCTGGAACTTGGGAGTTTCGGCGACCTCAAAGTCGGAAGTGGCGATAGGGGGAGCCTTGGCGGGGGTAGAGTAACGGCCAGAGATGAGACCGTCAGCGAGCTTGAGCATCTGGCACTCGAGGCAGTCGGCAGGCAGGGCCTTGTCGCAGGTCTGGACGTGGGCCATGGCCTCGTCCGTGTAGTAGCGCTCGCGGAAGGTGGTCTCCGCGAAGAGCGCCTGCATGACCGAGGCCATGTAGCAGCTGTTACCCAGGTTCTTGAGGCCGGTGAGGCCGACGCCAAACACGGGCTGGAGCTCCTTGCCTCCCTCGTCGGTCATCGAAAAGTCGTACTTGAGGTTTTGCTCGAGTTGCTAAGCCGTTAGCGGGTCATGGCTTCTGGCTGTGGCACCCACCAGCTCAGTCATCGACTTTTCAGTCTTGGTCTGGTCCATGACGGCAATCCCGAACGTCTTGAGGTGGCGAGCGAGGTCGGGGTCGACCTTGGCGTCGTCACAGCTGTAGCAATAGATGTCTGAGGTCAGCTATCGTCCTTCCCAAAGATTCCAGCTCACCTGCAGTGCCCTCCGGGGTGATGGTTCCGAGCTTTACGCCAACAGCGTGGCCGGTGTCCTTGAAGTGCTGCAGCGCGTGGCCGTTTCCGCCCGTGCCGCCCCACTGCTGGCGACCGCAGTTGGCAAAGCCACAGGTAAGGCAGAGCCAGAGGTTCTCCTTGAGGTCGCACTCGGTGCACTGGGTGGGTACTGCAGTGGTTAACAAGGATTCAACGAGTCACCACCCACCTTGACCGGGGACGACGAGCGGAATCTGCTCGAGAGTGAGGGTGTGCTCGCAGGGGGTAATCTCCTCCTCCCAAGCCTTGACCTCGGACTGCTGTGCAGACGAGAGCGAGTTCATGATGCCGGTGGTAGTGGCCACGACCTGGCGTCAGCTGTTTGTCTTGGCGCAGGAGCTCACATTAGGGTGGTCGGACCGGACAGCCTCGCCCAGCGGCGAACAACGGAAGCACCGCAGCGACGTGGTGTACTCGTACGTCTCGTTGTCTGATGGTGCCGTGATGGCGAGCTTCTTGAGCGGGGGCTCAGACTCGTCCTACAGTCAGAACAAACCATTGACAATGCGAATAAGGGTGGGTGGGGTGTTCCAGAGGTCAACCGAGTTCGAGGGGGCCAAGGGGCCAAGGATTCACTCACGCGTTTCTTCTGCTCGCGGCGCGTGCGCTTCACGACGAGCGCGAGCGGGTGCGAGAGCTTCTCATAGTGCAAGAATGCGTGCTTGCGGTCGTCGCCGACACATCCGCCGTTGAAGCACTGCAGGCAGACGAGAACGCCATCGGGGCCGTCCTGGCGGTGTTAGCTGGGAGGAGTAGCGCACAAGTGTGGACAGCTTACCTGTCCATCAAAGCACAACGTGCATTCTTCCCTGGTGGCCGCTGTGAGCTGGGTTCTGTGGCAGGCAGCACCCGAGCTTACCTGTGGACGTGCTGGGATGCCGTAGGAGACTTGAGCCTTGGAGCCAGCTCTTCGATGTGTGTGCAGGCCATGGTGCTTTGTGAGGTGAGAATGAGAGAGCGATGGAGCAACAGTTGCGCGGTCTTGTACACACAGCGTCATCATTGCAGGCGTTCAGAACGGAGATGGAGGGGGACAACTCCGTAAAACCACGTGACTTAACACGTGACCACACACGTGACCCCGGCCATTGCCATGCATGTACCGTCCACACGATGGCCGAGGCATGTGGGCATGTGGGATCTGATCCCCAATCTGCTTCCGCTTCGATCGACGGGGTCTATGTTGATTTCTTGATCTTAGTCACCGACAACCTCAATCCTGCCCAGTCAATCCCATTGTCCATCACCCCGCCGGGCTCGCGTGTGGTAAGCCAAGCGGGACAGGAAAGCGGGCGAGGACAAAGGCCGTCGGGCAGCTTGCTTTTCCTGGCGCTCGCACGAGGTATATATGGAGGGAGACTCACGTCCAACAGCACATCACTCACCCCAACTAAACCAGCCTCACTACCGAATTCTTCGGTTAACATCCGACACCCCCACCCGCCGACTCCCACGCCATCCACCATCCTACTTTTCAAGTCCACCCACCACCCACCCCGTTACATCCACCATGTCCCGCTCCATCCTCGTCACCGGCGCTACTGGCAAGCAAGGCGGCGCCGTCATTGACGCGCTGCTCAAGCCGCCTACCTCGCAAGCCGCAGAGGACTCTGCGCCATTCGACATTCTCGCCGTCACACGCGACCCGTCGTCGGCATCCGCCACGCGCCTGGCCGCCAAGTCGTCCACCATCAAGCTCGTCAAGGGCGACATGGACAACGTCCCGGCCCTGTTTGAGAGTGCGCGCGCCGTCTCCCCGAACGGCCAAATCTGGGGCGTCTACTCGGTCCAGGCCGTAGCGACGTCGAGCGCCAAGCCCGAGGACGCGCCCGAGACCAAGCAAGGTGTCGCCATGGTCGACGAGGCTGTCAAGGCTGGCGTGCAGACGTTTGTCTACTCGTCCGTCGACAGGGGAGGCGAGGAGCGCAGCTGGAACAACCCCACCCCTGTCCCGCACTTCAAGACCAAGCACCTTATCGAACAGCACCTGCGCAAGGCCGCCGGCGACAAGATGGGCTGGACGATCCTCCGCCCCGTCATCTTCTACGACAACTTGGCCCCGGGCTTCCCGACGGCCATGTTCCTCACGTACCTCCGTGACAAGATGGGGTCCAAGCCCATGCCGTGGATCGCCACGTCGGACATTGGCGCGTTCGGTGCCGCGGCCTTCCGCAACCCGGCCAAGCTCAACCACCGCGCCCTCAGCCTCGGCGGCGACGTGTTCACGTTTGACGACATGAACAAGACGTTCCAAAAGGTCACGGGCAAGCCTGCCCCCACGACGTTCTCGTTCCTCACGTGGCCGCTCGGCCTCGTCAAGGACGTCCGCCTCATGGTCAACTGGTTCAAGGACGAGGGATACAAGGTCAACGCCAACGAGCTGCGCGAGATCCACCCCGGCCTGCTTGACTTTGAGGGATGGCTCCGCAAGGACAGCAAGTTTGACAAGGTCAACTAGATGTCTTTTTTTCTTCTTCTTATATATAGTTTCTGACTGAAATGCTACATGCGTTTGCTACTGCTACTGCTACTGCTGCCGTTGCTGCTAGATGACACGAACCCATGCATGCTATCATGATACTCATTACTCTATCTACACGGCCCATGCCCAAAGTCCATACCCCAACAGCGACACACGGGGGGAGCCAGCGCAGCGCTGCGTCTAGGGTCTGTCACCAGACCGCGCTCGCGCGGGCGCGAGCCTGCCTACAGGCCGACCCAGTAATGTTGGCCGGCGGCATTATGCAGCATCGTCTGGCCAATTTTCACCCTGCCGACATCGCCCATCTGGTCGTGGTGGGGCGGCGGCATGAGCGGGGAGAACGGCGCGTCCATGGTCGGGCTGGTGGGGTTGATGTTCTGGTGGGGGACCTTCAAACCCGGCGAGACGGGCGCGGCGTTCGGCGCCGCGGGCAGGTATGCCTCGGCACTCCACTCGTACCACACTTTACGGCTGCGCTGGTCGACCAGACGCCAGATGTTGACGTCCACCTCGGCGCCTGACGGCAGGTACAGCGGTGTCTTGAGCGGGAAGAAGAGCGGGAACCAGCTGAACATGTCGGGACTGACGCGGTGCATCGTGTCCGGGTGGATTGACAGGCCGACGTTGCCGTACAGGTGGGCCTCAAAGTATCCTGCAAAACCGTGGCAAGGGGATGCGTGAGGGATGTGGAACGTGAGCGTCGCCGAACGCGTGTTGTGCGAGTTTGTGTAGGGCACGCCGTCCTCGTCGACCACCAGGTCTCGGCGCGGGTGCTCAAACTGCCAGCATTGCTGAATACGCTCGCCACACCGGCCAGCGACGCCACCGCCGTCGCCCGACAACAGGTTGACCTGCTGCATCATGACAACGTAGGGAGTCTCGGCAGCTCCAGGCGAGCGCGAGGACTGGGTCACGTCGTGGTACAGCTTGGCAGAGGCGATGGGCGCCAGCCAGGCGGTGTACGAGGTGGGGATCGACACGCCCTCCGCTGGACGAGTTAGCCGTTTTTCCAAGACCCTCAACTCACGCTTCAGGAAACGCATCGCGCCGTCAATGCACTCGGGACTGAGCTCGTTGTCGCCAAAGCTGCCGAGCAGCTCGGACACGAGAATGTCGGCCTGCTCACGCACAGGTAACGTGCGCATGTCGCCAAACACAATCTCGACGCGGTCTCCCCACTCGAGGTCTCTGCGCTCCTGGAGGGTCGTGAACGCCGAGGGGTTCTTTTCGACCGCATACACGCGAGCAGCGACGTTGGCGCGGTCAAGGGCCTGCAGCGCGCAGCTGACAATGGGCCCGCGGCCGGCACCTGCCACGACAATGACAATGTCGTCTGCCACCTGCGCGCGCTCCATGACGGCGAGGTAGAGCGCCTCCTCGTACTGCCTGTATTTCACTGGATCGCGCTCAAAGACGTCGTACGTTGCGCTCCCCAGGTCGTCCATGAGGGGCTGGAGGGGAGCTTGCAAGAAATCACCATAGCCCGAGGCGACCTCGGCGGGGCCCTGTGGGGAAATGGTGCTGTTGGGCGATGCCTGCGAGGTAATGTGGCGCACGTACTGGAGGTACGCATTCTGGCCCCCCGACGTGTGGCGGCCAGAGTCGGTGTCGGCGAGGATGAACGTAGGGCTCTGTTTTGTCATGCCGCGGATGAACGCCTGGCACGCCTTGGACAGAACTGGGTAGCCCTTGGCGTTGGGGATGAACGCGGTCGCAGGCAGCCAAATGTGCTTGACGGGCTCGGCGGTCCAGCGAGACAGAGCACCCACAGACGGGGGTAAGGGGTTAGTCAGGTCGAGGGCTGGGTGTGAGCTGGTTCATGATGGTGCTAACATCAACTCACTGACGGTGAGGCGCGGGTGGTAGCCGCACATGGACCTGATGCAGTCCCACATCTCCCAAGTGCTGCTAGGGTCCGCGTGGATCGCGCTGTGAGTGACTGTGCGGCCCGACGCATGGCTGGGCGCAGCACTAGCCTGCGAAGCGACACTAGTGACACGGTTGCCTGGGATCGGCCCCGAGCTCTGCGGCTGCGACAACTGTCCGAGCTGGGTGAGACTGAGCTGGTGCTGGTGCATGCTAGCGGGTCGTGACGACAGCGAGCTCATGCGACGGTGGTGCTTGCTGTCGCCCGATGCTGAGCCGTTGGGCGGCGCGGGGCCCTGGCCGATAATCTCCAGCGGGTCGGACACGGGGATGCGGATCGAGATCTGGGTGTACGCGTTGGGCCCACCGAGCTGGAGCAAGTTGGAGATGGCGCGAGCGTACGAAGGGAGGCTCGCGCGGTTGGCCAGGCTGGGCGCAGGAATGACCAAAGTTGGGAGAGACAGGTAGAGCGCGTGCTGGAGCTCTGCGCGAAGGCCCTGTGCACACACATGTCAATACAGATCCACCAAAGGAAGCCATGGCACACAAAGAAAAAAAGACATCAAAACACGAGGCCACACGACACCACCACACTCACGAGCTCCGAGTCGAAGCGGATGCCCTCGTCAAACGAGTCTAGCTCGAGCCAGTCGCTCGCCAGTGCAATCACAGCCTGTCCTTCCTCGAGACGCGTGATGTTGCACTCGTCGCGGTTGAGGTTTGGCTCTCGACGCCAAATGTCGGCTTCCCGGTCCGTCTCTGCCGCGTGACCGTTGCGCTGGTCCATTGCATCGTCGTCGTGGTCTCCGCCGTTGACGTAGGGGTCCTCGTCGTCGATGGGGCGCAGGCAGAGACGCTCCCAGCGCTCCATCCAGCGGCGGTTTGTGAGGGGCACGCAGACGGCATCATAGTCTGTTGTGCTGACCGTGTGGCCGATGTACTGCTGGAGCGGGGAGGGAGCTGGGTGTGGCTGTGTTGGGGGTCCTGGGAGCTCCTTTGGGGAGAAGGCGATGGGGAGTCTCGCCATGGTGTGTGTGTGTGTGTGTGTGTGTGTGTGTGTGTAGGAAGGCGCGGAGGTGGACAGAAAAGAGAGAGAGGGAGAGAGCAAACTCTAAAGTCGGGGAGAGAGTGCAGACGAATGGGCCAATTCAGCTCTCTCTCTTCTTTCAAAAGACACGTCCAGTGTTGAAATAGCTGCGTGCGCACACACGCGTGGGAGCAAGCTAATGCAATGCATCCACAACCCCTGCGCCGGACGCGTCCTTAGACGCACGCGGCAAACAGGGCGCAAGGCGGGGGGGGGGCTAACCGTGGGAAACCAAAACGCACCTAAGGTGCTGGGCGCGCACACCTATTGCCACGGTGTCAAATACTAATGGGGAGGTTTGTAATAGATTTATTAGTAACCCACCCCCACCCATTTGTAACAACACGTCATATCCCCCTGCTATCACGCGCGCGGCCGTCGTGTGTGTGTGGGCGTGCTCCTGGCTTGTTAGCATTAGCACCAGCAATCTCCCATCGCCATCTTCCCATCTGTGCAACAACAACAACGGTCAGCTCATCGCGAGCACAACCAGCACACCCACCCACACACCCCTCCCCCGTAGGCGACAGCACCTCCCCACGCCCGCCTTCTCTTCCTCTTCCCCGCACCTCTCTGCCGACAACCCTCGCCACCGGCCAGCAGTCTTCGCCACCACAAAAGGTGTGGTTTCAACCGGCCTCGTCCGACAGCACCACCCCCCGTCATACCTCACACCCACCCTCCCATTCACCAACCATGGGTCTCTCAAGGCAGTCGAGGATCATCACCTTGCTGGTGATAGACACGGCCTTCTTTTTCCTCGTACGTGCTCCCCCCCCCCCCCACCCCATATCGCGCACGCACACACGCACCCACGCCGGCTAGCCGCCACCCTGACCAATCGGTCCTCCACCCACCACCGTGCCCACTCCGTTCCGCAGGCGCCATGATCACCAAAACTGACCCAGCGACCAGGAACTTACCGTGGGATACGCCGTGGGATCACTGGCCCTCATCGCCGACTCGTTCCACATGCTCAAGTGAGTAGCAGTTGCTTTCAGCAGCCCAATTTTTTCGGGCCTACTGAGGGTCGCTGCAAGGAGAGAGAGAGAGTCCTTTTTACTGACCCCGGCGCTAGTGACGTGCTTTCCCTGATTGTCGCTCTTTATACCATCAAGCTGGCCACCAGCCCGAGCTCGGCACAGAACTCGTACGGATGGCAGCGTGCTGAGATCCTCGGCGCACTCATCAACGGTGTCTTCCTCATTGCCCTCTGTGTCAGCATCTTCCTCGAGGCTGTTGGCCGCATCATTGCGCCTCCTGGTATGTCGTCATGGCGCGCCCATCATCATCATCATCACCAGATCATCATGGGCGCGCGCCAACTTTTTTTCGGATTCAACGGCAGCTGACCATTCTCCCCCTTTACAGAGATCAGCAACCCCAAGCTGATCGTGCTCGTCGGATCGATGGGTCTGCTGAGCAACCTCGTCGGTCTCGTCCTGTTCCATGAGCATGGCCACTCACACGGCGGCCACTCGCACGGCCCTCCCAAGAAGACTGGTCCCATTGCCCTGCCCGACGACGACGACGAGATTGCCGAGCCGACCCCGATCCCTCGTCCTCGCGCCGACTCGATGAGCTCGCTGTACCAGCACCCAGCCGAGACCCGTGCGCAGATCATCGAGGCCGCCCGCCTCGGCACCTCGCTCGACGACGGCAGCTTCCTCGGCTCCATGGCCTCGCCGCCCGTCTCTACATCCACTCGCCGTAACAAGCACTCGTCAATGTCGTCTCGTGCTCGCCAGAGCCTGAGCATGCGGGCCCCCGCGCCAGGATCGAACGAGACCATTCCTCCTACCCAGGGTTCGACGACCGACGAGGTCCTCGTTTCGCCCAAGGCGGTTCTTGCTGTTCCCCATGACCATGACCACGACCACGACCACGCCCACGCTCACGCCCACGACCACGACGACGCTGAGCGCGGGCACAGCCACGACGACGGACACGACCACGCCAAGGAGAACGGTGCCGGCGGCGGCCACGGCCACGGTCACGGCCACATGAACATGCACGGTGTGTTCCTGCACGTCCTCGGCGACGCCCTCGGCAACATTGGTGTCATTGCTGCGGGTCTCGTCATCTGGTTGTGAGTAACTTTGAGTAGGAGCACCGCCAAGCTAACCGTCAGCTGCAAGGGCCGCTGGACGCTCTACTTTGACCCCGGTGTCTCGCTCTTTATCACCTGCATCATCTTTTCGTCCGCCATCCCTCTTGGTGAGTTAACGGGGTGTGAAGAAGCCACACTAACTCGTCAGTCAAGTCGGCCTCTGTCATCCTCATGCAGGGTGTGCCCAACCACGTGTCCCTCGAAGACGTACGCGACGCCATCAAGGGCGTGGACGGTGTCGTCTCGGTGCACGAGCTGCACGTCTGGCAGCTGTCCGAGACCACGTCCGTGGCGTCGGTCCACGTCCTCATCCTGCCGGGCTACAACTACATGGACGTTGCCAACAACATCCGTCATGTTATGCACTCACAGGGCATCCACAGCGTCACCATCCAGCCTGAATTCATCACCACGGCCGACGAAGCCGGCGGCGACTGTTCCGACTCGGACCCGGCCGAGCGCTCGTGTCTGATCAGGTGCCCGCCCGACCAGTGTGTGGCCGACACTTGCTGCCCCCCAGCGCCGAGCACCGGCACGGCCATTTCCAACGTGTCCGAGGGCGACGAGCGGTCCAACCATTCCGCCGGGTCCAACCACTCGGCGCACTCGGGCCACTCGCACTAGATTACGCAAAGTGCCTCACACACACCACACACCAACACACACAAACACACACAGACACACGCGCGCGCGCAGAGGAAATCAAAATCAGTCCTCAACGATGTGACACCTCCTCCCGCACCATACTCTTTCTTCTTCCCACTTCCGCGCTCTCGTGAGCATCCTGTAATGATACAACCCTTGCGAACCCGCCCCGCCCCCATAGACTCCCTCTCCCTCTCCCCGTAGCCAGGCCAACGTAGTGCTATGCATCCCGAGGTTGTGGTAGGATATAAATCTGCTGCTGCTGCTGCTGTTGTTTGCTGTTTGCTGTTTGCTGTCCATGACCCATGACTTGCGCGACACCCTGCGACATTTGCGTACCTTAGGTGCGCGACCAGCGGCCCATGAGAGCGCTGAGGACCAGTGTCAGTTACTCATTTCGTTGGCCAGCTACCGCCTTCCTTGTTTCCTTCCTTTCGACTCACTCAAAGACGGCCATGATGGTCCACTTGCGGTTCTCAGCCTCGGGGAAGACGAGCGAGCGGTCGCCGTAAAAGACCTCGTCGTTGACCTCGTCCTGGTGGCGCGGGAGGCAGTGCATAAACTTCCAGTCGGGCTTGGCGCCCGAGCCCTCGATGAGCTCGTTGGTCAGCTGGTAGCCCGTGAACGCCTCGAGGCGGGCCTTGGACTCTTCCTCCTGGCCCATCGAGATCCACGTGTCGGTCACGATAATGTCCGCGTTGGCAATGGCCTCGGCGGGCGTGTTGGTGAAGGTGATGAGCGATTCGGTGCCGGCCTCGGTGCTGTGTGTGTGTGGGTATGTGTGGTCAGCTCTTGTAGTCTGGAATGAGGAATATGGGCAGCGTGTGGCAGTTGGGTGAGAACGCGGTCGTCACGAAGAACGACCACTGCTACGCAAACGCTCCCTTGCAGCGACTCACACCCTGGCCCAGACACGCGGGTCGACGGCGTCGTAGCCCTTGGGGGCGGCGACGGCGACCTCCATACCGAAACGGGGGAAGGTGACGAGGAACTCGTTGGTCATGTTGTTGGTGTCGCCGACCCAGGCAATCTTCTTGCCCTGGAGCAGCTGCTGGACGTTGACAGTGTCGTCGAGCCACTGCTTGATGGGCACCCAAGAACGGCCGGTGGGCTGGATCGCCTCGGGAATGACGAGGGGTTCGGGGATGTAGGTCTCGACCATGGTCACGAGGTCGGCGAGGATCTGGGTGGGGTGGTACAGGTCCGACAGGGCGTTGACGATGGGGACCGGCGAGTACTTTGCCAGGGTCTCGACCTCGTCGTGGCCACCCACACGGGCCATGATGCCGTCGGTCATCGAGCCAACGACGGTGGCCGTGTCGCGCAGCGACTCGTTGACGCCCAGCTGGATGTCCTGCGAGCCGAGGAACATGGCGTGGCCGCCGAGCGCGGAGACCGACGTCTCGGACGCGACACGCGTGCGGGTCGAGCGCTTGCTGAACATGAGGGCGACGGTGCGGTTAGAGAGCGACTGGCGGATGTACGAAGGGCCAAAGGTCTTGAACTGCAGCTTAAACTTGATGGCACTGAGCACGAGGCTGGAAATGTCGTCGACAGAGTAGTCGGCAAGCGTCAACAGGTGCTCGGGAGGCGCAGTGGCGCGGTGCTTGAGAGTCTCCATGATGCGCCCGCTGATAAATGCCTTGCGCGCTTCGGATTTACTGTACTCGTCGCTGACGTTTTCGACACGGGTGGTTTGGCCTCGACGGCGGTCGCGCGAGTTGTTGTGGTGGATGCTGCGCTCGCCGTTCTGGACGTGGCGGGGAGGTTTGGCATACTCCTCCTCGTACATGCGGAGGGGAGCAGTAGCGGTGTAGGCGCGGGCCAGGCGCGGGCCAATGGGCGCGAGTGCGCGGGCGCGGACGATGGACAGCATGGTAAGAAGAGAGTGCGATGGGAAGAAGAGATGCCCGGACGTCCGCCCGAAATCACCAGTTGCGATATCTGTCTCCTCCATCTCTGAATGGAAGATGAGATCCGGGCGACGGGGGGGTGGAGGCGGATTTCACACGTCATTTATTTTTTCAGATGTTATCAGCAACGCTTCATCTCGTACTCTACCTCGCTTTCGAGTTAGCAAAGAGTCATCACAAACCTCCTCGTACGAGTCAACTACAACAACAAACTACTACTACTGCCGCTGCCGCCGTCCCGTCGACTCGCCATGTTCCCCACCCTCCGCACGCTCTCCGCCGCGCCCGCCTCGTCGTCGTCGGCCACGCACTACCTCATCACCCTCGTCCGCTCTGCCCGCGGTCTGCCCCCTTCCTCGGCAGCCACTCTGGACTCGATGGGTCTGCACCGTCTGCACCAGTCCGTCCTGCAGCCCCACGGCGCCACTGCCGCCGGCAAGATCCTGCACATCAAGGAGCTCGTCACCGTCCGCAACGTTACCGCCGAGGAGGGCGCCGCCTACCTTGTCCGCGGCAGGCCCGAGGGCGCCGGTGTCGTGCCCACTGGCCGCGTGTATGGCGGTAGCAAGAAGGACACCGCTGCGTCCATTTAAGATGGAGGGAGGAAGAGAGAGGGAGACTGAGGGGGGAGACTTAGAGAAAGGAGAAGGAAGGTCAGTTTTGCGTTGGTGGATCGCGGTGACGGAACGGTGCTGACCCTTTGACAGATACCACAGCATACATACTACCCCATGCAATTCGCACATCACCTCTGAACGGCCCGTAACGCGTAGGCCGGCTGGCCCGCCGGCCGCTGGTCGCTGTATCGCTGGCCGTCTTGGCGAGGAAGGTCATACTGACAGAAAGTTGGGTGAAGGGAAGGCAGCTCTTTGCCGGCGGAGCCGTCCTCGTCATTTCTTTTCGTCCGTCGGCGAGGGCCGCGTTGCGTTGACGGAGCTGATACCAGTTTGCAAAAACGACGAGAGACTGCAGACGATATGGGTTGAACCAAGACGTCGAGACAGGTCCATTACAGGGTACCTGTACTTGAATGAACAGCAGATGTCTGCGGGGCCACTGATCCACTGAGGAACCCAACAACCGCTGCCAGTCGGGCACGATCCACTCCCGTGGCTTTTATCCCGGACCGTCACTGGATCCAATGTACTGTATTCAACATGAACGCGGCCCGCCAGCCGCCAGGAGGGGACTGAGGGCAGGAGATACGGAATGTTGCGCAGATGACACAAAACCGCCACCCCCCGAACCCCCGGACCCCTTGTTACCACGGCCCGGACAAAGTCCGGTGTCGCTGTTTTACGTCTGGTTACCCCGCGCGTACAATTTACAACTCGACGACATTGCGGTTTCCAGAAACCTGGGCGCTGTGGTTGTGCAGAACTCTGATTGCTGTCGCTCTAGGCCCCACACTGGCAGTCCACACTGTCAGAGGATCAGAGGGACCTGGCGGCCCAGACAACGTACAACGGGTCCATTACTCCTGGCACAGTTACCAGAACTGCAGCGGACCACCACCATGATGGCTGCGACAGTCTGCGAGAGCCTGCGACCTGTGGGACGGAGGGGACGTTGGCGCCAAAACGACGAGTGAAGACTGCGACTTGCAAAACAAGGCATGAAACGCACCAACAGAGAATGTGCGCTAAGAGACGTGTGAAAAGAGCAAAGACTGAGACTGCGATACTGCGATCTATGAGAAAAGGAAAAGACCAAGTGTGGGCAAGTGTGGGCAAGTGTGGGCAACCGTGGGCGAGTGCAGCACTACTAGTTACTGCGACATGCGAGGACTGAGGCGATGCAGTCATGCAAACCACTTTAACCCGTTTGGTCTGAGAGACCGAGAGAAACCGTCATCGCGCGCGTGTGCTCATGTGCTCATGTGCTTGGCTTCACCAAACACATGTGGCACACCAGAACGCACACGCAGGCACCGGTTTCATCAACAACCACTTTCACCCCACGCGACCACGGCCGCACGGTGCTCTCGTTGATGGCACCAGTAGTAGTATGTACACCCCGAAGAACAGAGGCCGGAGATGCCCCGGCGATGCCCCGGAGGCTGGCAGGAGCACGCTAGGAGTATAGGAGAATGCAGGAGACGCGCGGCGCGGAGGCTCGTGATCTCGTCAGAAGGAAGGGTCTTCGGCGCTTTGTGCGTGGTGGGGACGTGGTGGGGGGGCCGTCGAGCGCGTCGAGGAGATGTGGAGGCAGGGATGTTTACGCTCGTACCGCCTGTGCTGGGACAAGTGTTGACCCCAGATCGGAACAAGCGCCGGTGCACTGGCCGGCGCAGTGATCGCACTGGTCGTCATTCTGAGCAAACACCTTCTGACCGTCGTTCCAAGATCAGGTTTGATATCATTTGCACCACGCGCCAAGCACCCACGGGTTCCTTCTGGCGCGCAAATGCGCCTTTTAGGCTGGACATGCGACAGTGGATCGATACCAGTTGGCCAGTTGGCCAGTTGTCTCGTCACTGCCCTGGTTCCCGTGGAAGAAGTAGCGGGCTAAAGAAAGCATTGCCCAGAGTTATAGGTCAGGACGACGGCTGGGCATTTACCCTCTTTGCCACACTTCGTGGGCCAAATGGACCCACGAGAATGAGTAGAGAAAACGAGAAACGTGCAGAACCCATCCGCAGACGCAGGGACCCCACCCAGGAGCGTTGCAGGAATCACACAGGGGTGGGCGGGGGCAGCAGGGTTCCTGTGCGGAGGAGGTGTGAGCGAAACATATGCATGGTCTATTGCTCCTAGCTCGCCGTGTCAAAGGGGGCAGTTGCAGGAGTGAGGAGAGGGAGAGGACGAGCAAAAGGGAACAGAGGACACACTATCGCTGCATATGGCAGGCGGAAGCTGAGCGGTGGTGCTGCGCAGTGTGCACATTCGACTACGTCAACCTGCTCACAACTTGCGACTGCCAGTGGCCAGTGGCCAGTGGACGGACGGTTGTGGACGTGGTGCCGCGGGGTAACGAGGCCGCCGAGCGTCTGCGGCGCACTGACCATATGCGTCATGCTTGAGCGTGTCAGCATGTCAGCACGATCAGCACCTAGCCAAGAAGCATGAAGTGAATATTGGGGTCTTGTGGCGCATCGTGACAACCACCGGAATGGCAACCCAAAGCTGTTTGAGCGCTGTACGGCTGTCGCTAGCGTGTGGATTTCCACCCCTAGATTGGAACACACTCTCCCCATGACAGCTGCACCACTTGGCTGCTGGCTGGCGCTTGCTGCTGCTGCCGCGGGCTTGCACACCTAGCCGCCTCCCCCACCCTGTCCATGCACGCCGCCGCCGCCGTCGTCGTCGTCGTCGTCATGGCTTGTGTTCCTGATAATGAAAGGAAAGGAGACAGCCTTTGCATGCTGCATGTGACGAGTTGGAAACAGACGCCATGCGCGGGGTAAAAGTCGAGCGCATGTTTCGGGTCGGGGGTGGTGGGGGAAGACGAGGGTGGTGTGTCCCTCGGGTCGTCCTGGCCTCTCTCTCCTGGGTGCATTTGCTCTGGGACCTTTGTCTCTCCCATAACCCTTTTCGATGATACAGCGAAGCATGGGCCCACAGCTCACAGCATGCACACCCACGCCCGTGTCCTCTCACAAACACACAGGGTCAACCCCACCCCCCTCGCCTCTCTAGCCTGCAGACTAAAAGACTCAAAGAACAGACACTCTGACGTTGACAATGCGATTCTTGTCTCTAGCCCACTTCCACTCACTCCATTCACACCCAGCTCATAACTAGCCCGACAGGTCGTGTCTAGTTCTGCACCTCCCCCCCATCCCCACTCTCCCTTCCACACCTGTTTCTCCCCTACTTTACACCCCCCCCCCCACCACCACCAAAGGACTTGCCGGCATGTTCTCCTTCCCCCGCCTTTTCGCACTTGCCGCTCTGGCCGGCACCACGTTTGCCCAGACCACCGCTGCTCCCGAAGCGACGACCACCAACGCCTCGGGTGGCAGCATGAACCAGGGAGCCTTGGCCAGCATCCAGGCCGCTCTGTCTGCGTCGTCGGTGTCCGCCGCCGCCGCTGCCGCTGCCACTGCAACGGGCGCCGCCGTCTTGAACGGAAGCGGCAACGAGGACGCCTCGACCGCCGTCTCCATCTCCGACTCTGCCATCTCGTACGAGGGCTCCGTCATGACCGTCGCCGTCGACTCGAGCGACGCCGAGGAGAGCCTCGTCATGGCCACCACCTCTGCTACAGCCGCAGCAGCTGCAGGCACCACTGTGACTCAAGTGAGTTGAGCAGGCACATGCGGCGTCCACCTCTTGCTAACATTGGCTCCTCTTCAGAAGTCGGCAGTCACTCTCTCGGGCACCACCGCCGGCCTTGTCAGCAGTTCCAAGGCGTCGGCCAGCGCAGCCAGCGCGAGCACCACTGCCCAGTCGTCTGCCGGCCGCATGGCCGTGTCGGCCGGCGCCGTCGTCGCTGCTGCCGTGTTCGCCGCTGTCATTGTCTAAACCGAGTCCTTCTTCACACACTCGCCACACGACTTCATTCACAAGGGTCTCGCCAGCCGAGCCACACCCCAGCCACCCCCAGCATACATTCACCCGCATACAGCCCATCTCTTCTCTTGCACACACATATACACTACTAGTATCACCCACCCTCACCCATCTCCCGCGGCACCTCCTCCCGTTCATGTACGCACACCCAGTATGCACGGCAGCTGTGCTGCCACCCATTTACTTAATACCAAAGAGAGTTGAACCTTGACGGCCGACGGCAAGGCGGCGCTAGACTGAAACCGGCTGTTTTCGACACATGTGCGTAGAGTTTGGGACCTTGGAGCACAGTATATTGTGCGGAGGTGCCTCGCAGGAAAAGCACATGAGCTGGAGGACAACAGCAGGCGTGTTTCGTCCGAGCAGTCGGGTCGGGCAGACCGACGAGTGCGACCGTGTGAGCTGGTGTTTCGTTCGCAAGAATAAGCGGTATCACGCCGCAGCAAGCCAGGCCACAAGAGGGCCATGTGCGCGCAGTCTGGGGCTAGTGCGAAACGCATACGCAACGAGGATACCGCACCACTCTCCAGATTATCACACGCGCGCGCACTCGCGCGGGCCCCAACGTGCCCAACGAGCTTCTGTCGGCTGCCAGCTGCACAGCAAAAACGCCACACAGCAGTAGTGTGTGAGACCCGGGGACAGCCCAAAGCGTGTCAGCTTCATACCATCTTTGGATATCCGTCGAGTTTATGTGGCTCGTGGGCTGTAGCGTCGATCGCCCCTTCAACCACGAAACAAGCATGTGTCCATGCTGTCACGGTCATAGATCATACATGAGGCGGTCGGCAATTCGGTAACCTCACGACGTCACTCAAAACATGCCAACAACGTCACCAAAGCGCCCATACGCAACAACCAGGGACGCACGCAAAGCGTTCCAGTAAACTGGTAATGGCCTACGTTGTCAGGCTTGGGGGTCGTGTGTTGTTAAGTATTGGGTTGTTGTCCAGTTCGACTGTCGTCGTGGCCCTGGCTGTCGAGGTGTTTCATACATGGGAGGTCGCTCAAGGGTGTTGGACTCGACGACCGTAGGAGAATGAGGGCGCTGCATGCAGTCTGGGGATTCCCGTTGGATGTGCCGACAAGTGTGTGGCATGTTGCGTGTTGCACTCAAAAGAATCCAGCGATCCAGCGAGCGGGCGCAAGTGTTCGAATACGGAGTGGCCCGACGACGGCCACGACGGCCACGACGCCCCCAAGCCGAAATGTAGCCAATCTGGCCCGAAACCACAACTTGAATGGCAGTGTCACCCACTCTGCCCGCACCGAGGACGGGGCATGGCAGATGGCCCGATCGCAACATGAGATCCATGCCGTGAGCGTATTCACGCATGTTTCCTTCCTCCTTGCAAGAAACACACTATGTCCCGAATATCAGGCTTGCCATCGAGAATCTGTATGGACTGTGCGTTTCTCGGCCATCACGTTAAACACACAACGCACGTATAGTACGCCTGCCAAGGTGAATCTATCCTGCCATATGTGTTTCTCAAAAACACAGTGCGCCCCGAAACATCCTTGGCGTTGAGGATCTTGTGTGGGTAATGTGTTTCTCGACGGCCCCTTCACTGCTGGCCGCCGACCGCTGGCGCACGGCGGCCTGGTGGGACGTGGGTGGCATGGGTGGCACTTGGGCATGCGGCCAAAAATGGTGCCGCCGTACGGCATACGAGCAAGGAGTGACTTTGCTGGCTCACAACCGCAGCATCCAGCGAGCAAGCGAGGTCGGAGCGGCGACGAATAGCAGCAGCAAAGGTGCCGCTGTATCCCGTACAGGTGGGGTGGGGTACTCACCCTCACCGGATCACCGCATCACGGGCACTGATCGCACTGACCGGAAGAAAAACACACTAAACACCACAAGATCACGCTTACCACGCAGAATCTTGTATGGCGTATGTGTTTCTCGTCCCCGTCTAAAACACATAGAGGGCCGTAAAATCACGCTTGCCATTGAAGATCTTGTATGGGCTATGTGTATCTCGCGCGCCCGTCTGTTGCCCTTTCTCCTACCCAACCATCCCCTCCAGTCCGAAACACAGTAGCGATCGTAGCGACGTGACATGCATTGTACGTCGTGGGCCGCGTACGGGCCGTTCGTCGTCATACCACCCAACCCTCCCAGCGCCAACCGGGCCCCATAGTCAGCCGTCACCGGCGCAGTCAGCGCACCGGTGCGCTGGCCACTGATCCACTGACCACTAGGGCGCGGGTGGTGGGGCCACTTTAGGTGGAGCCGTAATTGACGCCTCGACGGCGCGCACGGCGCCCTTCGACCCACATTAACAGAGATCAGAGACATGAGACAGGCAAGGCCCTAACAGCAGTACAGCAGTTCATGGCCCCGCAGACCTTGTCCTCCTGTGCCGGCACCGTACACCATACCAATGCCCAATGGCAGCATGTCTTGTGCATGCGCGCATTAAAGCACAGACGGGTTCCACAAGGTAGTGTTGCTGTCGCTAACCGGCCTGCGTTGTGCACGCACACGGAAGAGCCAGGGAGAGCAGGGAGCCGAGGGTGTCGCAGCGCCGCCAGCTGCTGGACCGAGCAGTGCCACCGGCTGCTGTCGCTTCTGTCGCTTCTGCGGCGTGCGGCTCGTTCCTTGTTCGCGTGTCGCACGCCGTCGCGTTCGCTTCATCTTCACGCCTTTCCATTGCCTGCAACATGTACGAGTCGGCTGTGTATCGCACTGTCAGATATGCAGCAACGACGCTGCCACGGACATTGCAAGCGTCAGGACCCCGTTCCCAGGTGTGGTCAGGTCGCCCGTGCGCACACGCTCCATGCCCACATTTGCTCCCTGTCCTCGTCATCACGCTCATCTCACACCCACCCACGTCACACGCGCAAAGGCCCACAGCCCACGAGCCCCACGACTCAAATGACCAGCACGGCCACCACAACCACGGCCACAGTCATATATCTCTATTGTTTCATCTCCCGCCGGGCCGTGCGGATCAGTACAATACATCGTCGGGAAAACGAACGATGGGCGCGCGTCGATAGAAGGAAGGAAAAAGAAAAAGGGCGGAAAGGAAAGTAAGGGGAAGGGGGGAAACACAAGTTGAGCGAGCTGGCTGCGGGCAATGCTAGGTCCGTGGGCGGGGGGGAGGGGACTTGGTGGAGAGGGTCATCAAGCTTGGGACAGCGCGTCGTACGGTGGTGTCCAGTCCACTGCCGCCATTAGCCACGAACAACCCCACCTGCGTAGGGTCCTGTGGAAACAGTACGAGAGGGGAGCTGTTTAGCAGCAGCCACCGCTCTGCTGGCCGTTGGCCGGCTTGTTGACGTTGACGCCGCGGTCGGCAGCGAGGGCCACTGGGGCCTCTGCCTGGGGCTGCGAGTCGATCAGGCGCGTCTTGATGTCCCTAGAGTGATGGTGATTAGCCAGTGTCGCCATCACGTGTGCGTCGCGCGCTCGACTACTCACCTGGCAAGAGTGAAGAAGGCCTCCTCGACACCCTCGTTCGCCTTGGCACTGGTCTCGAGGAAACGCAGGCCAAACTCGTCTGCGAGAGCGCGGCCCTGCTCGAGGGTGACGGCACGCTTCTCGTCCCAGTCGCACTTGTTGCCGATCAGAATCTTGTTCACTCCTGCGGACGCGTGCTGCTCGATCTGCGAGTGCCAGGTGCGGACATCTGGGGGGGTAAGCGGAGTGTCTTGTCTGATGGCGACCACAACTTCAGCTGTACGCACTGTTGAAGCTCTTCTCGTCGGTCACGTCGTACACGATGAGGATACCCATGGCACCGCGGTAGTAGGCGGTGGTAATGGTGCGGAAGCGCTCCTGGCCTGCGTTGGATGTTAGCTGTGCCATGTGGACCGGACGCGTCGGTATTCGGTACTTGCCTGCAGTGTCCCACTGTAGACTGTCAGCATGCGCCTTTGCTTCTCCCTCCCTTGTTCCCCAGCACACTCACAATCTGGAGCTTGATACGCTTGCCGTCGAGCTCAATCGTCCTGATCTTGCTGCGCACAGTCAGCACGGCACCACCACGCGGGAGCCTGCAAGTTGCTAGAGATCCACTCTGACGACGACGCCAGGGGGCACACATCTGGGGGCACACGTACAAGTCAATGCCGATGGTGGTGATGAAAGAGGGCGTCCACGAGTCATCGCAGAAACGGAGCAGGAGACACGACTTGCCGACGCCTGGTGGTTGTTAGTGTGCGTCGACGTAGGTGGTTGTCAGTGACGGTGGACGCACCCGAGTCGCCGATGAGCAGGAGCTTGATGAGGCTGTGAGTGGTGAGCGTGTGGTCTGTGGGAGCTGCGAGAGGGACCGAGGCCAGGCGACGGCTGCGACGTACAAGTCGTAGTGAGGACCGGCCATTGTGCAGGGTGTGTGTGTGTTGGGGGGGGGTGACGAGGGTGGGGCTAAGCGCGGGGGAGGTGGGTGGTGGTGGTGGTGTTGATGTTCGTGCGGTCGTGGGGTGCGTGGCGAGGAGTGTGTGGGTGTGTGATTAGAGGTAAGTTTGGCTGGTGTGTGTTGTAACGAGGAGAGAGAGAGTGACGAGGGGTAAAGAGTTGAGAGCGTCGAGAGTGTTAACGAGGGATCATTCGACGTAAGTGGTGGCGGACACACTACACGCCCACCGTACGACCCAGGCGGCGCGGCCAGCACTCTCCCCCCCTCTCCCCGGCCGACGCTGGGGGGGAAGGGCCTGCACCGCTGTGTTGTTTTGAATCCGCACACACACCCCTGGGCGGGGAACAATGGTGACGCGCCTACTGAAACCTTCACGGCGCCTAATCAACTCCTTGAGGCATGCGGGCACGCGCCTACCTCATGAAGGGGGATCATATAAACGCATGACCCTCCACCACACGGGTTATGGCAATGTCGTCAGACTCAGAGAGGGACAGAGAGACCCCATTGCAGTCCACTCAACCCACCTCTGTGCGTCAACAACAATCACCCTTCCTCTGCCCACAATGAACAGTGGAGAACAGAGCAACGAGCCATCGCCATCGGCTGGAATCTCCATGGCCGCACTCGACACCCTCGACCCAGACGCCTTTGACTGGACAGCCTACAGCGGCACTTACAAAGGTACCGCGTCCTCGTCACCCTTGGCCTCACGTTTACTAACAACCCTCCGCAGGCCGCGCTCTCATCACCCGCCTCACCTTCATCTCCAACCTCATTGTCCATGCCTCCCAGTCGCCTACACCACGCACCCTCGTACTGGCCCGCGCCGCTGCACTCCAGGCCATCCCCTTGCTCAAGGAGACCCTCGACACGGACCTCTACCTCCGTATCGTGGGCCTGATCGACGCTACGCTCCACCCGGACAAGTTGCCCCACCCTGCTGCTGCTGGTGGCAGTGGAAACGCCGACGAGCCCATGGATATCGACTCGGTGTACGCACGCAAGGGAGCTGAAAAGGACGGCCGTCCCGACGCTGTCTGGATCGAGGAGAGGCGCGCCACCCAACAGGCCGAGGAGAACCGTCTGGGGGTCGAGCTCAATGGATACATCAGCAACCTCTACAAGGAGAGCATTCGAGTGAGTTGTTTGCCAACCTGCAAGAGTTCAACTGACAATCCAGCTCACGTACCTCGACATGGCCAAGCTTGACCTCAAGGCCGGCTCGCTCCCCAAGGCCGTCACCGCCTTCCACCACGCCCGCGAATACTCGTCTGGTCCGGCGCACCACGTCGAGCTCGGACTGCTTGTCATCGAGGCCGGCCTTTCATTCAACGACCCCACCCCTCTTGGCGGCTACATTTCAAAGGTTGAAGCCATGCTCGACCGCCTTCACCCACCCACCTCGACCATTGCCGGTCCGACGACGTCTACAATGACCCAGCTCCAGGTGCAGCAGAACCGCGACGCCGCAGCCCACAACCAGGCCGTCCGTCGTGACGTCGGTGTCAAGCTCCGCGTCGCCCGTGCCGTGGCCGCCCTCGCCCAAAAGGACTATCAGCGCGCTGCACGCGAGCTGGGCGAAATCTCCGAGGAAGGCGGTCTGCAAGACTGGGAAGGCGAGGTCATCTCCACTTCCGACGTGGCTCTCATCTGCGCCATCTGCACGCTGGCCACGGGCTCGCGCGACCACACCCGTCGCGTCCTCCTCGACCGCGCCAGCTTCCACGCCGCTGTCGGCGACAGCCAGGGATGGATCTTTGACCTCGTCCGCGCCTTTGTCGACGCGCGCTACGGCGAGGCCCTCGGCATCCTCCGCAAGGCCGAGCCATACATGATCCTCAACCCGCTCCTCTCCCCACACGCCGCCCAGCTCATCTCCATGATCCGCACGCGCGGAATCGTCCAGTACCTCTCGCCCTTTTCCTCTGTCCGCATCCCCGCCATGGCCGACGCGTTTGGCGCAGACGAAGACGCCATGCTGGCCGAACTGTGCGACCTGGCCGAGAGGGCCGAGATCCGCGTCAAGGTCGACCTCGTCGACCGCGTCCTCACCATCAAGGAAGAGGATAAGCGCGCAGACGCGTTCCGCTCGGCCCTCGAGGGCGGCTCGGCCATCTCGGCCACCGTCCAGGCCAACACGTTCCGCATGCGTCTCAAGGAGGCCGGCGTCGTCATCGACCCTGCGCCGCGCGAAGACAGGGACGGCAAGAAGGGCGGCGGCGGCGGCGGCGGCGGCGGTGGCAGTGGCGGCGGCCGCGACCGTGACCGTGACCACGAGCGTGAGGGTAATGGTGGTGGACCAGCGTGGAGCACCAAGCTCCGCAAGGCTACTGTGTCATAGACGGCTCTTCGCTCCCCCAGTGTTGTATATACGTAGAAAGGACAGATGAGACGAGACGAGACGAGACGACATGTGAATAACAGTATCGCACATGGCATGCGTTCAGGGAGTGTAGGTACAGAAATTACATAGAAGGAAGGGGGTTACAGGCCAGAGAATGTGCCGCGTCTTACACAAACGGCACCACGACGCTGCCCTCTCGCCACACCCGCGCGTCATCGCCCACTTCCTCGTCCAAACCCCATTCCAGGCCCTCGTCATCGTCCATGCTGGCCGCAATGTACTCGAGGTGTCGCTCCGTACGGCTCTTCTTGCGCGGGGTGCTTGCCGGAGTTGTGCGCGAGTAGACGCGCGCACGGCTCGGCGTGCCGGTCACGGTGCGCGAGGAGACGGACACCGACCGCGAGCGCGACCGCACCGGCGGTTGTCTGGGCACCTTGACCGTCGTGGTGAATTTCATGGGGGCGGGCTCGTCGTACTCGTCGTCATCGGCATACGTGCTTGCACGGCGTTTACGCGGTGTCGAGTTGGTGGAGGATGGGGCAGGCGGCGCCGCGCGACGAGTCGGGACTGGCGGCGGGAGCATGAGACCCAGGGATGTAGACGGACTCGAGCTGCTGCCAGCCTGTATCCGCGAGGGCGCAGAGACGGTCTCGGCGGGCCTGGTGGGGCACGGAGGAGCTGGGAGGGTGAAGGCCCCGTTCACGGCCTGGGCCAGCGTCGGCTCGCTGGGAGGAGAAGCTTGTCCTTGGCCCAAAGCAGGAGCAAGCGCGCTGAGCATTGCCGTGCTTAGGCGGCCAGTTGGAGCTGGACCGAGCGCAAAGCCCACATCGGCGGCGCGCATGGTTATCTCAGCCGAGAACGGCTCATGAGGCAATGTGCGGCAGGGGTTGGGGGACGGCGAGTTGGGGATCTCGTCCGAGTCGGGTTGCTGAGCAGCGTCCGAGCTTGGGACTTCAGAGATCGGAGATGGCAACGACGGAACGTTCATCTTGCTTGTGGTGGTCGGCCTCGTCTGCTTCGCCGTTGGCGCACTCTTAACCACCTCGGGGGTCTGCGAGGACGGTGGAGTCATACGGCCAGCGGCAATGGTGACGGCGCGTACGCGCGGAGGCGACGCGTCCGTCCCCGCAGACGAGGAGCGAGGCGGAGTCGGGTTCATTGTCTGCGCGCGTGCGGGCGCTGGGCGCAGCCGTGTGGCGGCTGCAAACCGGTCGGCCAGGGGAGATGAGCCAGGTAGCGACCCGTCCAAGGTCGTCTGCTGGTATGGGGGCGATGAGAAGAATGAACTCAGCTCCGAGCGTGGCGCCCCAAGGACGGGTGACGATTCGAAAACGGCTGGCGAGCGGTATGCCGTCGGCGAGCTCATGTCAATGTCAACGGGCCCTGGCGAGGAAGGTGCACCAGGCGAAAACATGTCGCGCACGTCGTCCATGAGGGATGAGCTCGCGCGCTCGCGACGTGACCTCGGGCCCATGAAGCTGGCACCTGCGTCCGAGTACACGCTGGGAGAGGGAGGGGCGCTGGTGGGCCACTCAAAGCGGCACCGGTCACCCTACTCCGTCCGTGGCACCACATGGCAAGCTCTGCTCGGTCGCCACCCTCCTCCAGGCATAGGTCGCACATGTGCACGCCTTCACCGTCGGCGCGGAAACGTAGGTAGGTCGAGTAACGGTCGTCATCGTCTGGCGGAGAAGTATAGTTGGCCACAGCCTCCGAGTCGTGCTCGACAATGAACTGTTGGTGATCAAACGGTGCGAGGGAGCTGGCATTCCATGGCGAGGTGGGCACCTTTATCGTGACGCTGTTGCTATCGCTGCCAACCGACTCGTCGTCGCCGTCGTCGTCTTCAGATTCCAAGGCCACTCCTCTTGCAGGACTATACTCGCTCACGTCCGAATCCGAGGGGTCGACCAAGGCGTCAAGAACCTCCTCCAAGTCCTCGCTAGAAGCCTCTGACTCGCTATCCGATCCTTCGGTAGCCGAGTGGTAAGACTCGTCGTCGGAATAGTCTTGCTCGAGAATCACTGGGCGGGCCTCGCGTTCGTCCTCGACGTCATCGTAGTCTGCAGCGGTTGGTTCGAATGGCTCCGCCACGTCGCTCTCTTCACCAGAGTCTGCAGCCGCGAGATCCAAATAGTCCGCCACGTCGTTCTCGATCTGCGGGAGAACAAATGGCTGAATGTCAGGCTGTTCGTCGTCAGACTCGGAACCGCTGTCGTCGTCTTGGGGCAGCTGCGGCACCTCAAACCGCTGCTCGTCGGCAACAGGCGAGCCCAAGTCGGACGGGGCCTCGGATGCCTTGGATGCGAGCACACTTGCTTCCCTAGCTGCGCCAGGGTCACACATGTGCTGTCGTGTTCTTCCACGGCAGAAATGGGCATTGGCCTGACGCTCACCACCAGCATCGACACACGCAAGGCAACGCCGCAGGCGACGCGATTTGGAATGGGTCGACGCGGTGCTGAACTTGCTCGAGCTGCAGTCCTGGGGCGTAGTGTTAAGGGAGGACACAGTTGAGCGGAGGCGACGAATAAGCTGAGTTGGCGACGATGGTGCGATGGAGGATCGGCGCGAGGAAGGCGGTGGTGATTGAGGAGATAGCGAAGGGGGGCTTGCCGAGTGTTGTCGGACAACCGAGGCGCTGAGCGTCACCGAAGAGGCCCGCACCGAGGAATCATCATCCGCATCGTCAGACGCAGTCTCCTCAAACATACAAGCGGACGGACGGAACCGTCCCTTGCAGTACTTGGATCGTTCTTCCCGTAATCCACCATCTGCACGACACAGTTTACAGTGTTGGATACCGCCGCCGCGGACAAAGTGCAGACGAGGATAATAGCGAGGATCATCGGGATCGGGAAGCCAGTCATCTGGGAGGGGTTGTGCTCGCTTTGGTGGTTGCGTCTTGGGCCGTGGGGCTGGGCCCTTTGGAGGCGGGGTGACCTTCTCAGTCCAATGTCTCTCTGTGACAACAGTGGCAGGAGCGCGGGTCTGGGATCGCAGCGAGCGAGTCCCAGGTGTCGTCGACGCGGAAATAGTAATGGCACGAGGTTGCCGGCGCTGTGATGTCCTCGGAGGAGACGGAGACGGAGACAACAACAGCCGCGTTGTCGGCGGCGACCGTCCAGGAGACTGGGGTGGAGACGAGTGGTCAACGAACACGGGCGAGGATGAGCGGAGAGATTGCTCTGGCGAGGAATTCCACCAGTGTATTGACTGCAAGCTCGTGTCTGCCTGTCGATCCTTCTTGGTGACAACCTCGTATCGTAGTGTCAGGGGTGATGACGAAGGAGGAATGGAAGGAGGCTGTTGGTCGTCAAAGTCTTGTACTGCGCTCGAAAAGTCCAAATCCAAGGCGTCAGGAGTCGACGAGTCCGAGGCCACCTCCTCAGAGCCGGCCCGTACGTCCGGGTCATAAGGAGTATCCAGTCCTCGTTTAGGGCGCTTGGACATGACGGCTTGCAGAGCCTTGGACGTGTTGAGACCAGCGGGCCGTTCCAACACGCCACCAAAGACGTCCGTGGGTCTCTCGCCCAGCATGCGCTGCTTGCCCTTGTCCAGCCTCCTTGTTGGCGACACGGGGATAGTCACAGTGCGTTTCTTGGCACCTCGGATCTTGGCCACACGAGCAGGTGTGCCATCCCCAGGGACAATAATGGCATCGTCGGCAAAGCGGACGCGGGGAGCCGTGAGGTCCCATCGTGAGGGACCAATGTCGCGAGGCGGGGTCCCGAACAGGTCGTCGCGGACTTGCTTGGGCTGACGTATAGCCGAACGGAGGTTGGGGAGCGACTGGGAAGTAGTGAGAACACGTTGGGAGGTGTTAGGATGTGGAGGAGAGGAACGATGGGTGGTGGAAGCGGCGAGGGAAGTCTGGGGGAGACGCTTGGTGGTGCTCGAGGGAAGGCTGCGCGGGGCGGGGGTCACGCGGCGTGCTTCTTGGGCGTCTTCATCGTCTGCAGCGAGCTCATCGTCGCTCAGGTTGAGGTCCTGAAGACGAACACCAGGGGAGCTCTCGGGTGATGGAGTCGCAGATACGTCGTCTTCACCCGCGCAGCTGTTGGCGAGCAACACGGCATTGGCCTCGAGGAACTCCTTCAGGTCGTCAATGTCCACCTGAGTTCTAGGCTGCTGAATGACCTCGGTGGGCACCTGTATGTCGAGACCAGAGCGGTTGTCCCAGTCGCCCAGTTCGTCCTCATCCTCGCCAAACATGACCATCTCGGGGCCCAGAGACATACCTCCAGGCGGAGGGTCGTCCGCAAACTCGACATCTGCATCGTCTTCTCCGGGGAGAGGGTCCGCAAACTCTCGAGGCTCGAGTAGACGGAGACGTCCACGGTCTAGCACAATCTCGCCAGTCACAAGGTCAATCTCGTCGTCCTCTTCTGGTGGGATTGAGCCGTACTTGTCCGCAATCAGGTCAAAGGTGCTACGGAGCTTGACACTGGACGCCAGACGCTTCAGGTGTAGCTGTTCCGAGTTGAACGCTGGGGTAGTGTTGCGCGATCTCGGGGCCGATGCAGAGCGGGCACGAAAGGACGGTCCTGGAGTTGCCGACGAGCGTAACGGAGCTGTCTTGGACGAGATGGAGGCCGAGCTGCCGCGTGCACCATCTGGCAATGGTCGAGGGGCCGGAGCGCTTAGGGCACGCAGCTCGTTGGCCCGCTCCATCGCTGTTGTTGTGGATGGGGGGGTGCTGGTATGCGTGCCGCGTGCTCTAGGCGGCGCGTGTGCGCCAGCCGGTGTGGACGATGGATATGCTGTGAGGGTGTGTTGGATGTAGATGGGGGGTGGGGAGGGAGGGGGGGGATGTATGGTTGTTGTTTGTGTTGTGATGGGAAGAGCAAAATCAATACACTTCAAGACGCGTGCCAGGGAACTGAACACCAGAGAGCCTGGGTGGCGCGGTCGGCCAAGGCGGCGCGGGGGCATGGATTACGAGTGCGGGGACCGCCGGGGATGGAATGGACGACCACATTCAAACGTCGCCGCCTGCATCATCGTCCTCTACACACCCCCATCCAACAGAGCGATTCTCTTCCGCATGCTTCCAAGCACACGGTAACCTCAGTCCCCACCAGCTCATCACAGCCTGTCCGACCAACCTGCATCGGCGGCAAGAGCAACCCCCCACAATGGTCTACGCACCACAACGGCGTCATGCCGTTGGCTCGGTACGTCCACCTACACGGACCGGCCGGCCACCCATAAGCTGACTTTGCTCTGCAGATGTCCACCACGCTCCAGGCGCTTGCACTGATGCAGCACCTGTACAGTCCCAACACCATTGTACTCATCTGCCGCGTCGTTGCTCAAATAAGTGCGTTCCCGTGACGCCAACTGTCGTTCCATAAGCTGACACGAAGCACCTAGACATTCGTGCACCCGCAGCAATCCAACCCACTCGTTCCCTCTTTGCACTCTTCTTCCTCGTCGCGAGCACCAACCTTGCCGCTGTCTTGTTCCATCTTTTGGACTTTGCAGGTGGCCAGAACGGCGCGGCCGGCCTGGTCCTCGACTTTGTGGGGCAGAGTAAGTGTCGACGTCGGTCCTGTTCTGGAACTGAGCCGTTGGCTGACTCTATGCAAAAGCGAACCCAGCGTCCCTCACACGCATTCTTCTTATCGACTTGGGCATCTTCATTCTTCAGCTCGTCACGGTCGTCGTCTCATACGTCACCAACTATGGTCCCACGGTCCCCAAGTCGGAGCTCTTCCCTTACGATGACCTCCTCCTTGCCCCGGCAGCGGCACCAAGAGCACTCACAGAGGGTGACCTGGACGTCGAATCTGGCGACCAGCTTCGTCAGCGTAGATACGGCAAGGGCCCGCGTTATCACGGCGTGTCGTCGGATGCGACCGAGCTGTGGCTCGAAGAGGAGGACGAAGACGAGGGAACAACAGGCGGTGAGCATCCATGACTAGCATGACTAGGGGTTCAACTAACATTGCAGCGGCCACACGACCTCGAGTTTTCCATGCCGTGTCGACACTTCGTGGAAGGCGTGCTGGAGGTGTGCCCATGATCTTCAGCCTGTCGCTGTCCCACCTCGTCAACCTCATCTTCCGCTTGCCAGCACCGAACCCTCCACGATCGTTCTCCGGAGGCACCCCACTCAACACCCCGCCAGTAACACCCCGGGCAGCCGCCCAGCAGGCCAGCCTCAACACGCTCGTAACTGCATTGGCAGAAGCGCAGGGACGTGCCGAGACGACACGGAACACGAGTGTACAGCGCTTGGCAGCCAGCAACGCAGTCATCACTGGTGCCGTTGACCCAAGGCCTGCCGAGGAAGGCGTTGCCGGGACAACACCGCGCAACGCCACCAACACTGAGGATGAGAGGCAGCGCATTCCTGGTGACTACTGGACATCTAGAGCATGAGAGCATCTGGGTCGAGTCCGCATGCATTCGTCTGTTGTGTATTTGGTTGCATGCGCTGGGCCCACGCTGGGGCCCATTTAACGGACCGTTTAAACAACGTGTATCTCAGGCATCGAGCCCATTAGGAAATGTAATAAACAGTCTTGCCCTCCAGCGGGTGCCAGAGCGGCTACTGCAAGCAGCGAGTAAAAAGTCCACGTCATTTGAACTTGACACGTCCCAACGGCCGGGGCCATGAACCGAGGTTCGATTCTGAAGCAGTCCTCGTGCATAAAAAGTTGCACGGGCCCCGGGGAGAACAGCTGTTCTCCTGTCTGAGTGATCGAGTGACCAGTTCAGAATCTCTCGACTGGGACCTTGATCCCTTGACAAGGATGCCCAGCCCCAGTCCCCCAGGCAAAACACCACACACAGTCTTATTATTGATGCGCAGCGAGGGATGCAGAAAAGACAGCAACAGATGTGCTCGTATGTTTCTAATATTGTCATTAGCGGGAGTAAATGTGCGCCTCCGTAAGGAAGGTGGAGGAAAGTTGGAAGATCGAGTCTGACATGTTGTTCGCAACTCTTGTCTCATCACCCCATTTCTCACGCAGACTCGCCACAGGCAGCTTGCTGAGTAACTAGGAGACTCTTATTTTGGACACCTCACATCCATCACCCACAATGTCCGTCTTCACCATCCCCTTTGCCGCCAACCCCGACTTTGCGCTCGCCGCGCTTGCTGCGCTCCAGAACGCCGAGATCGTCTGGGACGTTACCTCGGGTGACGCTGGTGAGCCGTCGTTTGACGGTGTCAAGGGTGCCGACGCCGTCCGCGCCAAGCTCGACGAGAAGGCTCCCGCCGGCCCCGCCCTCCCCACCCTCCCTGCCAAGTTCGACTCCAAGACCCCCTTCCAGGACGTCTCGGCCGTTCTTGACGTCCTTGACGACTTCCTCGCCTACCGGTGAGTTTGCACTCGGGGTTCTTTGTCAATGCTGACGTCCAGCACCTACTTTGCCGGTGCCACCTTTGGCTGGAACGACGCCATTATCTGGGGTACCATCCGCTCCAACGCGTCTGCTTCTGGCTCGGTCCGCAAGCCCGGCCGCCCCCACATTCTCCGCTGGTACACCCAGGTCGAGACCACCCCCATTGCCAAGGGTCTCCTCGAGTCATGGGTCAAGGCCCGCTCGAACGCCGACAAGAGCAGGAAGGTCAAGCGCGAGGAGGGCCACATCGAGGCCGAGCTTAAGAACGCCGTTCCCGGCAAGGTTGTTGTCCGCTTTGGTGCGTTGACAGAGGTGCTTTCGTCTTGCTAACGCAAACAGCCCCCGAGCCCAGTGGATACCTCCACATTGGCCACATGAAGGCTGCCATTCTCAACCGCTACTTTGCCGACAAGTACAAGGGCAAGTACATCCTCCGCTTCGATGACACCAACCCCCTCAAGGAGGAGGGCGAGTTTGAGGACGCCATCAAGGAGGACCTCGCCATGATCGACGTCTCGTTTGACAAGGTTGTCCACACCTCGGACCACTTTGGCAAGATCAAGGAGTACACCCTCCAGCTCATCAAGCAGGGTGACGCCTTCATGGACAACACCGACGCCGAGACTGTCAAGGAGCAGCGTCGTGCCGAGATCCCCTCGAAGAACCGCGAGGCTTCGATTGAGGACAACCTCAAGCGCTTCGAGGACATGTGCGCCGGTACCGCCGATGGCCGCACCTGGTCGCTCCGTGCCAAGATTGACTACCAGCACAAGAACGGTACCATGCGTGACCCCGTCATCTACCGCTTCGTCGACGCCGAGCACCACATCACCGGCGACGCTTACAAGGCCTACCCCATGTACGACCTTGCCTGCCCCGTCATTGACCACCTTGACGGTGTCACCCACGCCCTCCGTGCCAACGAGTACGCTGCTCGCCACGAGCAGTACGCTTGGTTCCTCGAGCGTCTCGGCCTGCCCAAGATTGAGATCTTCGACTTCTCGCGTATCGACTTTGTCTACACTGTCCTTTCCAAGCGCAAGCTCAAGTACCTCGTTGAGAAGGAGGTTGTCTCGGGCTGGGCCGACCCCCGTTTCCCCACCGTCCGCGGTATCCGCTCGCGTGGTATGACCGTCAAGGGTCTTACCGACTTTATGGTCAGCCAGGGTGCTTCGGAGAAGACCCTCCTCATGGAGTGGGACGTCATCTGGACTGTGAACAAGAAGGTCATTGACCCCATTGCTCCCCGCTACTGGGCTATTGCCGAGGACAAGATGGTTGCCGTCACCGTCACTGGCCGCGACACTGACGCTGCCGTTGCCGAGACCAAGCCCCTCCACAAGAAGAACCCCGAGGTCGGCGAGAAGAAGCTCGTCTACTCGTCCAACCTCATCATGGAGCAGGACGACGCCAAGACCTTTGGCGACAACGAGGAGATCACCGCCATGGACTGGGGTAACGTCTTTGTCTCGGAGAAGAAGGTCAACGCCGCCGGCGACGTCGAGGCCCTCAACGTCAAGCTCCACCTCGAGGGCGACTTCAAGAAGACCTCGAAGAAGGTCACCTGGCTCTCCGCCCCTACCAAGGAGAACCCCCTGGTTCCCGTCACCCTCATCGAGTACGACTACCTCATCACCAAGAAGAAGCTCGAGGAGGACGACAACCTTACCGATGTCGTCAACCCCAAGACCGAGTACCGCACCAAGGCCCTCGCCTCGGCCGAGGTTGCCAACCTGAAGAAGTGGGACATTATCCAGTTCGAGCGCAAGGGCTTCTACATCGTCCAGGGCACCAAGGACGCCGAGGGCCGTCTCGAGTTTGGCTTCATCCCCGAGTAAGTGACGCAGGTGGCTTGATCCGTTGTAATGTTCTGACCTGTCTCCTCAGTGGCCGTCTCCAGACTGTCGCCCTCAAGGCCACCCCGGCCCCCGAGGCTCCCAAGGAGAAGGTTGCCGGTGCCGCCAAGGGCTCGTGGGGCAAGGTCGCTCCCAAGGCCAAGGCGGCCGCCCCCGCCGCTGCCGGTGAGGACAAGGTCTACCTGTCCAACGCCTCTTCCGGCTTTGCCATCCCCATCAAGACCACCATGTTCGAGTCGGACCGTATCTACGGCAACGAGGAGGTCAAGGCCGAGGCCAAGGTCAACATGTTCCCGTCGACCCCTATCTACGACCTCTAGAGCGATCGTGCGTGGGATAATATAGTTGCTGGTTAGAGCCATGGGGTTACATCAAAAAAAAGCACATGCATCTGTCAGTCTAGCTGGAATGAGGAATAAGAACACAACGGCTACAGCTCGCGACATGTGGGCCGTCCAGCCGCGACCTGCGCGTTGCACAGCGAAATCTCCACAGGCATGGAGATGAGGGACGCGAGGAGGATACCTGCTGGGTCAGCATGTGGAGAACGTACAAGAGACCCACCACACGAGTCGGCCGCGCCCGTGGCACCGATACGAAACTCCTTCTCCATCTTGCGCTTGACCTCTTCCGGGGTATTGGCGCCGCCTTCCACTTCCACTTCTTCCCCACTGTCGCCCTCGTGCCCGACGTGGTAGAACGTGTTGACGTATGCGCTGCCGCCACAAAGCCCCTCGAGGCAAGTGAGCAGGAACACAAACGTAATAGCCCTGTCGACGCCAGTCGCAGGTTCCGGGAACGGAGGGGTGTACTCGGGTGTGCTGAAGATGAAGCGTCTGGCCTGGAGGAAGAGCAGGACGAGGACGAAGAACTGGGTAATGGTCGGGACGGGGAGGTAACGCCTCGGAATGGGAGGCAGGCCGAGGGAGAGGGAGGAGCGGGAGAGGAACACGAATGACTGGTCTGCGTGGGTCAGTTACTTGCTTCAGGGTTGACAAAAACCCACAAGTCAGACTCCAGAATGGATAGTAATCCCTCGGATTCTTGAACAGCCACGACCACGGACCAGACGTCGGGATGGGGAACACGAGCGTCGGTGCAATGCCCTGGACGGGTCAGCTTTGAACACCAACTTTCAGCGACCCACCGAGTTGATCACATACTCCTCAATGTATACCAAGCACAGAGGAAGCATGTATCGCACCACCAGCGGTTTGAGGAGATCCAGCTTCTCCCTGGGAGTCAGATAGACTTCGGGGTGTCCGGGCTTGGCCAGGGCATCATTCTCGCTCGGCGGTGCGCGCTCAATGTCTGACGAGGTGGACGCTTCGTCCTCGCCAGTAGACAGGGCTTGGTATGGCGCCGGCCCGGTGGTGTGAAGAGCATCCCATGGTGGGAGGACGTAGTAGTATGTGAACGGGAAGAGCAGGGGCAAGAACTGGGTAGCAAGTAAGCACAGAAGTCTCGGGGTTGCGGACGTACAGAAGATAACCCGAGTCCAACCTTCACACCCAACCCGCGCAGCAGCCACCAGATGGAAGCGCCAGCCACACCAGCTGCGCCAGTTCCGCTCGCCCAGGCTCCCAGTGCGGTCCTGCTGGCCGCACGTGTGGGCAGGGTCGTGGTGAGCTGGAGGAAGGTGAGCTCGCCCAGGCCACTGGAAAAGGACGCGAGGGAGATGCCGAACAGGCGGGCGTGGACACTGGGCGAGAGCGCGATGATCTGAGAGACGTGTCAGTACGCGGGTATGCAGCTGTAACGAGGAAGGGGAAGGGGCAAAACAGCTGCTACGTACCACGATACCAGACCAACTGATAGCGGTACAGAAGCCAACACGGCGGCGATACTGGATTTGGCCAACGGATATCAAGGGCCAAAAGACTTTGGCCTGGAGGATGTCAGCTATTGACAGTACGCGCACTGCAACAAGCTGAACAAAGATACTCACCAACAGAGCTGGGAAGATGTTGAAGAATGCAACAATACCCTTTGGTGTTGTCGCTGGGACGAGATCCAACGCGGCGCTCAGGATGATGACGTAGAGGACATTGTTGAGCAGCCCAAACACGAGGAACGCGACGAAGAGACGCACGCGCGCGCGATGCGCTGGCTCGTGGTCTTCCGGAGACGGGAGGTCATTGGCTGCGCGCGTGGGTTGTGAGCTCGGTGTCCATGCGGTCCAAGTGCAAGCAACAGCTCACCAGCAACAAAGTCGTCGACCTCGTGGCCAAACGCGCCAAACTCGGTCGTGTTCTCCCGCATCTCGAATGCCTGTGCCTGCGTGGGGAGATGGCTGTACGTATTGGGCGGCGTGGTTGCTTGCAGGGATGTGCCGGGCCCAGTGGTGCCAGCGTGTGGGCTGGACGGACTGGACGCGCGGCAAGATGGGTGTGTTGAGTGGAAGAGTGGGTGACGCGCAGAACGATCGGGTGGCGTAGGTTGCCGGATATTGATATCGCGGACCGGGGGGGTCGTCCGCTGAACCCAACGAGAGGTGGCGAATGGCGATCTCGACGTGGTGCTTCTTTCCGTCACTGCTACTTTGTTGATGCGAGAAGAAGGAGAGTTGTGTGGCCGTTGGGTAAACATGTGACCATCACCTCATCCTTGAGCCTCATACACACCAGCCAGCATGCTGTTCGTGTTGTTGACACGTTGGGCACCGGAGAGAGGCTGCTTACTCCTGAAATGTTGGATGTTGCTGCCTCGGACCGATGAATGCGTGCGTCTGACATAACAAGGTACATTCGCTGATCTGATCATAGGAGACTCGGATGCCTACACACATACATGAGACGATGGGACGATGAAATGGGGGGATTCGATGATGGGCCGCCAGGTTGGCAACCCTCATGACGATTGTGGGGTAAAGGAATACACATTACGGAGGCTATACAGGTCACACGTCAGATCATGGGCTCCTACATTTGGGAGCGGCGGTCCTCCCTAACCCAACCCAGTCTGGGTGGCGCAACGTGGGTGGGCTTCGGCAGCGCTTGGGCGAAGGACGGGAACGACGACCGGATGCGAGCAGAGATGGTTTGGGCTGTAGATGGCGGTGGCGGGGGTGTGGTATTGAGGCGGGTGGGTTGCTTGAATTCTGTATGGGTCAGCACACGGCCGCGTAGGAAACCCACGAGTGAAGACTCCGCCAGAGAAGGAACTGTCACGCTTGAGAGATGCATTGGCCGGTTGAGTGGCTGCTGGCCGGGAAAGGACGCGCACAGGTGTGGCCTTGGTTGGACGCACTGTGGCCCCCTTAGATGCAGCAGGACCGTTCGTTCCGGGCGCAACCTTGTGAACGCCAAGGGGGTTGGAGCGATTCGTAGGCGATGTGTAGGGCTTGACCGCCGGTTGGGTCCCCAACGGCTTTGCGAACGCAGTGGCGGCAGACGAAGGGGCACTCCAGACGCGACTCGGGCGCTCAGGCTCGGTAGCACTAATGCGACGGGGGGCTGATCTCTGGCGCACCTTTGCCATCCTTCGACCTCTGGCATCATTACGGGCGGTGCTCTTGGCAACACACTCGGCGGTCATCCGGTCAGCCAGGCTAAGCAGGTGATCGGTGATCTCGACACCCGAGAGATAGCGATTAGGAGCGGCGGCAGTCGGGGTAATGTCCGCCAGGGCGGGACGCTTCTTGGCCTGGGTCTGGGGGATTTGAGTGGGAGGCACCTGGGCGGGATTGTGGCCCGATTGCACCTCCGGTGCGTTCTCCTGGGCAACGAGAGCTTCGGTAGGACCGTTGGTGACAAACTCCTCTTCAAGATCGGCGAAACAATTGGGGGTGTCTTCCTCGACCTGTTGCCAGAAGTTGAGGAGAGATTCTGTGTCCATGGAGCTCGCTTCGGACCAATATGGGGATGACAGCCTTGCGGAACGCTGAGTGACACGGCGACTGTTCTCCGTTCTCTGCGTCTGTGTGATTGTAAACACAGATGGTTGAAACTCTTGTGCGCAAGGCGGCGGCTCCACCAGCGTGCCGACAGTGATTTGAGACAACGGTAGCCTGGGGCCATTGTCGAGCGACTGGGAGAGTCGACGGGGTTGAAGATGGGATGGAGTCACGGACTGACGTTGCAAGGGTGGCGGTCTGGGCAACGACCCAGCAGGGTCAACAGTGAACCTGAGACGGGGATAGGGTTGGCCGTCACCATGTGTTTGAGGAGAAATGCGACAGCGGGAGGGCTTGGATGGCCAGAATTGAGTGGCGTAGGCCAAACCCGATTGGGAAGGAGTATTGCTCAAAGGGACAATGTGTGTCTCCGCAGCTCGTGTGCGAGGGTGCTGCTTACTAGGTGATGCAGTCTCGAGAGCCGCACGGCGAGTGTATTTGAGCAAAGTGCGGTCGAGTTCAATAAAGCTGTAATGTTCCCGAAGATCCACCACCGAGATCCTGCGAAGGGGCTTGAGAAAGCGATGGGGAATGCCCTTGATGCTGTTTTCGGTTGATCCACGAGGAGACGACATGCTCTTTGGTCTGTTTTGAGCGCTGTGGTCGCTGACGAGTCAGAGTTCCACAGCGTGGCGCGAGCTCACCCTCGACTGGGGGACTGCATCGTTATCCGACTAAACCGTAGACGCGGAGGGTGGTCTTGTTCAAAGACGGCGGGGGGGTGCAAACCATTGACCCCCTCGTCGTGGACCGTAGAGCCAAAGGACAGTTCATGACGAACATGATGGCGACTGGCGTCGAATGCGTCGGTCATAGGGATCATATTGAACTGGCTGGAGGGTTGACTCTGGTAGTTTAGGGCAGTGACCGAGCATTCGGAAGGAGAGAGACTCGGCTGTCTGGGTCAGAGAAGATCAACACGCCCTAACCCACATTGTGTTTTCCTTGCTCCTCGCACTCGACATCATTCGCGTAAGCGGCGAGATGTAGATGATCTTGCTCTCGCTGAGAGCTCAGTACATCGAGGTAGTCAAAGGCTTGAGGCGAAACTTCAGGAGTGCGGGTATCGGGCTCAGGAGGGGTGCTGTAGCGCCTCATCCGTTCGCTTTCGGTAATTGCTTGACGATAAGTATACCCCAAGCGCTTGGAGTATGTCTTCTCCTTCAAGAACCTGCTCTGTCGGCTCAGCCTAAGAGGTTCGCTCGCTTCACCCTCGCTGCCAGAATCAGATTCGGAGTTTGAATCCGAGTCATCAGACACAGGATAGAGTGGTGGCTCCAATAGCCGGTTGCCAATCAGAAACCTGGGTGGATCCTTCGTCTGAGGAGGCTGTGAGGAGTCGTCCACGTCCATGTTGTTAGAGCTGGAGAGCTGCCCTTGTGAGTTCTGGGATGTTAAGGTACGGTGCTGCTGAGATTGCTGGACGAGGTCTTCCCACTCGTACTCTTCCTCGCTTTCCTCTTTCCACTGGTGAACAAGTGGAGGACCTGGTGGCGGGTCTTCCTCCATGCGCTCTGAACCGACCTCGTAGAATGCCATAGCCGACTTGGGAGAGAGGGTGTGAGCTCGCGGGATGTCTGCGGTACGGCGCCGCTTGCTGCTTCCGCTACTTGGGCGTGGTGGTGGCAACACTGCCAAGTCAGCTCCGTTGCGGGTCGTTGTTGCTCACTGTCGTCCTTGTCTTCTTCGCCGGACATGCGAACATCTTCATCTGAGTCGTTTGCCACCTCGTGCTTGACCCAGGTTCCGCCTTCCCAGTGGCCATCCTCAGGACTGTCGAGGCGGATGCGCACATCTTGCTCGGGGGAACGCTCCTTGCGCTTGCGTGCGGCGGTCTTGGGGGCGACAGTGCCTAGCTGTCGCATGCTTGAGAGACGCCTGGACGACGAGGGCTTGCTGCGAGGAGGGACAGGATGGGTAGATTCACTTGAAGATACTCCCATATTACTCTTTACTTGTGTTAGACATATGTGAACAGAGGAAGTGGGGACGAGGTCGGTGGAGGGGGCATACCATTGTTGGTGAGTCTTGGGGGCCGGACATGATCTGGCGCTTGTGCCGAAAGTTTGAGGTCATCGTAGCGTCACCAAGCGTTGCTCGGCTGTGAGTTGTGGGGTCAGAAGAGGAAGATGGATTGTGTGAGAGGTGTGTGAGAGATGCAATTGGAGTTGGGATGGGACGAAGAGTGCGAAAGGAAGACACACAGAGAAGCAAACACACTCACCTGGATCGACGTCAGTCCGAGTCAACCTCCACCGGCCAACTCTCCCACGGTCACGTCTCCAACCCCCGCCACCCAGCGGCCACAGGAGACGGAGGATGGTTGCATCAGCTCGCGTCCAGCTCGTCTCCTCTTCTCTTTCCCAACAGACACCTCACTCTCAACACCGCATCGCGCTTAGGCCACACCAAGCGCGCTCCTTTCCAACACTCTCAAAGTCCACATCAACCTCCACCACCATGATTCTCAAAGTTAGGGTGCGTGTGCTCGTCCCACCGCCGTGGCCTTCTCGATGACAGAGCTGACCGCGTCCAGACACTGACCGGCAAGGAGGTATGTCGAGTTACCCCCGCCGCCTATGCGATTCCTTCTTTCTAACAACTATCAGGTCGAGATTGACGTGCAGCCCGAGTGGCAGGTGAGCTGGTGTTTTCATGGAGCGGTACACAGAGCTGACTGGTCAGATCTCCAAGGTCAAGGAGAGCGTCGAGGAGAAGGCCGGCATTCCCCCAGTGCAGCAGCGTCTCATCTTTGGCGGCAAGGCCATGTGAGTGTCCTGTGTGCACTGTATCCAAGTTGTCCAAGCGGCTGCCCCCCCCCCCCCCCCCCGCGAGTGACTCCTGTGATGCGTCGTGCTCGGCGGTCCTCCGCGTCAACGCCGCACACCGTTCTCCGCCCCACCCCTCAATGTCGATCACTAACTCTCCCAGGGGCGACGACAAGACCATCCAGGACTACAAGATCACCCCCGGCACCACCATCCACCTTGTCCTTGCCCTCCGTGGCGGCCTGTAAGCTCGCCGAAGCTTGCACGAGCGATTGGCTGCTCGTTTGTCACGCCTTTCCACTCCTTCCTTCGCATCTCGGAGCAGAACATCCGATGCATTATACATTACGACTCTTCGACCTACTTGACCAGATGTGCGGGCGACTCGTACTTGTGTGGGAGAGGTGGTGCTGTCGCTGTGGCCGTTTTGACTACAGGTTACCTCGTGATTGCCGCCCTGGGACTGAATGGGTAGAACATTGTCCACCGGTGCCAAACATTGATCCACTGATGACGTATGGAGTGAATCTGACGCAGCTACTGACCAAAACAGGTATTTCAATGAAAGGCATGACAGTGCATCTGCGTCTGCATCTCGAGCTACAACGGCCTATCTCAGTGTTGCGTGTGACCTTGTTGACGCTCCCGCGCGCGTGCGTTAATCCGAGCCTGCACTTCGGCCTCAATCTCCGCCTCGCGCTGGCGGTCCTCCTCATCGTCGTCGGGGAGGCGGATCTGGCCCTCACGGCGTCCTTGGTGGATGGCATACGCGTTTCCGCCGACAAGAGCGATCGGGTGGAGCACGAGGCAGACGATGATGGTGACGAGCAAAGGCACAGGCTTGGGCAGCGCCGATTCTGGGAGCGAAGGGGTGATGCGTACCGAGGCGAACAGGAGGGTGAAGAGGAGGTACTCGTTTGCGACGGCCAAAAGGCTAGAACCGGTTAGCATACGGAAAGGGGGCAAGACAGCAAGGCGGGACGTACTATTGGCGAGCGCCAATCTCCCAAAACACTGAAATCAAGTTGGTGCCCAAGACACAGCCGACGGCCTGCCACGTCCACTTGTGCAGGAGGTCCTCGTCCTTGATGACCCACTTGAGAGCCACAAAGCCGTTGTGTGCCCATGTGAGGTTGAAGAGGATGGCGAGGAGGAGCGAGGTCGTGCCGTGGATGAAGATGGCGCGGAGAGGGTGCATGATAGATGCCGGGTACTTGAGCAGGGTGATGTTCATCCAGACGCTGGGAGCTGTCAGCCCAGGACGAGTTGTTCAATACGTACACTGTGATGACATTGATGAAGACGCAAATCTCGGCTGTCTTGAACATGCGCAAGGTCTAAGGAGGGTTAGGTGTTATGCCAAATGAGAGACGTACCCAGCACACTGCCCAACCTGCAATAAGCCAGTTGGAGACGGCAATCTTCATCCCCACACCATGGACAAATGTATCCTGTATTCGTCAGCAAGAGCTACAGAGGCAGCTTGCCCGTACCTTGGTGTCATCCGACTGTGCAAAGATGAGCAGGAGACAGAATCCAACCTGGATGGCATAGACCGCGCCCCAGTACACGCTCAGCAGCATGCCGTTGGGCGTGAGGAGGGTGGGGTAGAGCACATTGATGCCACCTGTAGGTCAGTTGATAGCGAGGCCGCCGCAACTTACGTAGACCGGGGTCAATGACTGCCCCGCAAATGAGCATTGTGCCGAGTGAGACCAAAACTGTGTGTTCCATCAACAACGGACACTCGACCACAGCCACTGAACGTACTGGAGATGGGTACCGAGACCTGCAGACGCACAATGGACATGGTGCGGCGATACTCTGCGAGCGAGACGTACTCGCCCGGCACCTCGCCGCAGCTCGGACACGACGGATGCGAGTGAGATGGGGGCTCCGTCGAAGGGTGGTGGCTGGCGAGCGTTGGGGTGCTGGTACGCGGCGGGGGTGCGGACGTTGCTGCTACCGCCGCTGGCGCTGGGGCCGTCGCGGCTGGCGCTGCGGGATGCGGCGGAGTGTGCGGCGGGGTACTGATCTGGGCCTCTTCGTCGGAGGGCATGGCGGGGATGCGGTCGATGAGAAGAGATGAGAGGGAAGGTCTCCATCTTGCCATGGCTTGTCGTACGGCACACCATGCTGGGACGGGCGGGGCGACGAGGCACGGCGGCCAGCGGCGCGTGACGTCATTCACGTTACAGCGTCATCCGCCATGACTCTCCGGGTACTGGGTTGTGGCCTTGTGGCAGTTTTCTGTTGGAGCTGGGTGTTGCATGCAGCATTCAGTATAGACGCAAATGTACATGCCACTACGTACAGTACAGGTCGAGGTGACATCGGGTATCTCGACATGTTGAAACTCCATCACCATCCTCCAACCTCACTGCAGCGGACCCACAGGACCAGGGTTGCGCATCTCAAGCGCAACATTCTGGAGGTCATCCACTGCCCTCTCAGCCTCCATCATCACTGTCCAGAGATCAAAACGCTGCTTGGTGTTCGTGTCCACGACCTCGCCAAACTCGTTGGGAGCCAAAAACGACATTGCAAGCATAATCATGGCCCTCGCATCAGTCGCCACCGCCTTACGCTCGAGGTACCAATACTGGCTCTTGGTCCACCCATTCCCGTACCTGTCGGCCGAGTGGGGCGCCTGTGGACCAAGACGTTCGCACGCGAGGATACACTGCATGGCCGTAGCCATACCAGAGTTCAGGATTGCGAGCAGGTTGTTGCGTTGGCCGGCATCGCGGAGACATTCCTGGTAGACGGGGATGCGAGCATACGCTTCCGCCATCTCGCTAGGCGTCAAGGTCCAAAACGGGTTCCATTCAATCTCTTCTGCTGGGGTCAGCATTGTGGGCTTTGGGTCGGAGAGGCATACCAGGAAGGGAGGTGGCCATTGTTACTGGATATGGGTGGAGAGAAGTAAGTGTGAGGAGATGAGAGAGAGAGACGTTCAGTCTCCTACAGGGGGGGACTGGTCTTGAACATCTCTGGCCCATCGGTCACTGATGGATTCGAAGCTGGAACAATGTGACTTTGCCATGACTGACTCCTTGGACGCCATCAATACCCACGCCTAAGGTTTCACTTGTGTCACTACCTCATTGGGTGCATCCACTCGTGTCGCTGCGGATACAGATCTCACATGTGTGGTGTAGCATGCAAAAGTATGCTAATAATCTGCACCGCCGACTCCCACTACAACCGCCACTACAACCGCCACATTCAACCAAGGTCACTCAACAACGGGACCCCTGCCTAGTTCCGAAGCACAGACATCATCTCCTTGAGTGCTGAAAGTGTCCTCTCGTCGTGCCCGATATACCCAATCAGCTGGAGACAGAGCGGCGCCTGGCATCAACGATAGCTTCGTGGGGGCTTACTCACTCCAACAGAAACGCTCGGGTCGTACGTGTCGAGAACATATTTCTCGCGCTCGTTGCGCGCCTTGTACTCTGGGTCCTCTTTGTCCGACTCCTTGCAAAACAGGCCAGTTGGGAACACTGCCGCAGGGTAGTCGACGAGGTTCCAGAAGGAAGTGTACTGAGAGTTAGCCCAACATTGCGTGCGTGTGTCCTAACTCACATTCCAGTACTTTGAGGTGCCATGCTGTGGGGCTGGCGACGGCCCGACGGGTGAAAGGACGACATCAACGCCCGAGTCTTGCCAGTGATGAGCAAACGCGAGGCGAAAGTCGTCGCGCTCAGCCAGACACTTGACGAGTTTGACCGTTGGAGCGGGCTTGCCACCCCATCCACCTTCGTCGATGATCCATTTTGTGAGCGGGATAACGGGCTCGCCAGAGGGCTTGATGTTGTCGTACACTGTCGAACCACCGTCGGCCGCCCAGTATAGCTTGCTCTGTGCATTAGCTTTGAACGCGGTTCGCTGCAGTAGCCGACTCACGATGAGGCTCCACGCCCTGGCGCCATCGTACGGCGTATAGTCGACAATGTCAAATTGCCCCGACGATCGCAGTTTGTCCACTGCCCACCCGAGCGCGCGCCGAATAGGCGTCACGGGGCGGACGACACCGTCCTCGCTGAGAATGCCAATACGCAACTTGCGACCCAGAGGTGGTGCGGGACTCCAAGGTCGAAACTGAGTGCTGGGATCAGCGAGCCACGGACGGCTGTCGAGGATGATCCTCATGTACAGCTCAAGGTCGTCCTCGTGACGTGCCATCGGGCCGTGGGTGCCCTCGATACCGTCCCAGCCGGGCGGAGACGCTGGTTCTTGGCACCCGAGGTAAGGTATGCGACCGACGGTCGGCTTGAACGAGAAGATACCGCATGCACCTGCCGGCGATCGTACCGAGCCGCCAATGTCCGTGCCGACGCCGAGGGGTGACCCTTTCATACCAATAAGGGCACCTTCGCCGCCTGAAGAACCGCCTGATGTCAAGTCACGGTTGTATGGGCACACCGTGACCCCATAGTATCCGCTTGTCTCGAGATGCATAATGCTTTGTGGGTTTGTACTTTCTGCTGGGTCAGACACCAACAGGGAAGATCAACCCACTGCAGTAGAAGACGGCCCCGGCGGCGCGCAAGACCGAGACCATGTACGCGTCCTCTGTGGCCACCATCTTGCCCACCAGACTGAGGAATCCACACGGCGAGTCATGGCCCTTGACATCGATGTGGTCCTTGATCGAAACCGGCACTCCATGCAGGGGCCCGACCGTCTTGCCTGTTCGCTCGAGCTCGGCGTCAAGCCATTCAGCTCGCTCATGGGCCTCGTCCGGGAAGATCTCGATGAGACAGTTGGTGGCCTGCAGCGCAATCGATCCCGCTTTGCAGTATGCCGTCGCGACTTGTACGCTTGTGTACTGCGTCGAGGCGATGGCTGCGGCCAGCGCCGTTGCGGACAGCTCTACGATCGCGAGCTCAACGGTGTCCATGATACCTGACGTCATAAGGAGCGGTGTCGAGTTGCGCGGTAGCGTGCCGGTCAATCGCCATGCTGTCGGTATAGCGGCATCGCGCTTGGCGAGCGCCTCGTCTGCTTTCTTCTTCCAGCCCATTGATGTATGGGTTGATGAGTTGGTGTGCGAGATAGATGGAAGTCGACGGCTTCTGTGATGTGAAGGGTGTGTCTGACCTGCCGGCCCTAAATCTCCGTGGCCCAAGAACCGGCAATTTAACCGTGTACGCCCGTCTCTGGATCTCTGGAAGGAGAATCAAGTAACCGAGTCTGCACATACACATCCCAACGCGATGCGACCTTACGCAGGCTACACAGGCCACGGAGACGCTCTCGACTCGTCAGACATAAAACCTGCCACTATTGCCTATCTCTTTCATAGACACGTCGTATTTAACGCTTTTCTGAACCTGCGACACTATAGCTGTTTGTGACCGAGGAACCAGCGACAGATGACCCGGTCCCCCTTGTGGCCCACTGGGGGTCGTACATGGGAGGAACATACTCGACAGGCTCATCTTCGGCCGGTTCCAGCCCCCCAGCGTCGGATTCCTGCTCTACGCCCCCTTGGCGACGAGGACGGCTAGCTGCGGCGGCTGTGCCGGCAGCAGTGGCGCCACCAGCCATGCTTATCGCAGCAGCTTGCTGAGCTTTGGAGTCAGCAGGGCTGTTGAAGCCCATGGCCTCGGGTGAGTATCCTCCAGAATTGTCGACCGGGGTTGCGCCAGAGTTGTTGGCGTATGCCTGATGAGTCACATACGTGCCATTCGTCATGTTCATGTCTGCCGTTAGTACATGTACCTGTTAAGAACTTACTGGCAGTAACACCGCGGGAATCGTCCTGCAGGAAAGGCTGGAGCGATGGCTCGGGCCCTTCGTCTATGACAAAGTTTGGGTCTTCAGAGTACTTTGTGCGCGCGCGCTTGCGGTACCAGAACCACGCAATGGTGGCAATGACGGCGCCGCCCAGCACGCCGCCCACGACACCGCCGGCAATAGCGGCCGTGTTGGCCTTTGTCTTTCCCGGATCGTGGATGACGACCGTGTTGTTGATGGGGCTGAAATCTGGCCAGGTGCTGTTTGTGACTCCCGCCCAGTACTTGACGCCGCTGATGACGATTGTGTTGGACGAGCCAGTGGCCCCGGCAATGGTCATGTTGTATTTGACAGTCGGGTCCAACGAGGTCATTGCCATGGTATGGGGCGCGATGTAGTAGCTGCTTCCGGATCCAGTGGGCTGGTTGAGCTTGGCGGGGTACAGGTAGTTGTACTGCTTTGGCTCAATATCCACATAGTAGGTGCCCTGGAACGTATCCGTCGATCCATTGACCATCACGTAGCTGGTGTTGGCCGGTATGTCAATGACGACCTTTGGGCTGGCGAGGCCGTTGAGGACAGTAGAAAAGTTGTCGGCGGCCCAGTCCGAGATGATTTCGGCGCTGGCTTGATCGAGAGGTGACTGCACCTCCCACTTGCCACCTGGGTACGACCAACGAGTGTTTTTAGTGCCATTGACGACCGCGTATTCGTCGTACGTTGGAACAAGCGAATAATCCGAACTGCGAGGTTTCAGCTCTCCGTGGCGTTCCCAAGTGCCACTCACGCCGTGGTCACCAGGCCCGTCTCGATAGTGACCGACGATACGCTCCACCACCCCAATCCCGATGTGGTGAACACCTTGACATCGTGGTGCCCATATTCTAGCTCTCCAGAGTCGGCAATGATACCTTCATTCCCAGTCGGGTCTGACGGCGGAGTTAGAGTTTCGGCACTGGTCGTGGTCCAGTTGAGCATCATTTGCGGCGTGCGACCGTCCGTGCCCCAGGTGAAGTTGTCGTACCCGCCGTATAATATGATCCGGCTGCCGACAAATGTACAGAACACAGCTGTGGGGGATGTTGAGGGCTGGGCGTAGTGGTACGAATTGCCTGCGACATAAGTCACCCCGTTGGAGCCCGGCGACGTCGTTTCCCATGACTGGTTCCAGACTTTGGTGTTGTTGGAGGTGATGAGCAGGCCGTCGGGATAGTACCAGAGGAACCCCGCAGATGACAGCGACGTCACATTGAAGGCAATGTTGGGCGGCGTCAACTGTGCAGCGGCAGTTGCTGCAAACACCCATGCTGTCGCGACTGCAGCGACGAGGGAGAACAACATAATTGGTTGTCTGTTCGTGAGATTGAGGGATGTCGAGCAGACTGCCAAGCCCCACAGATCCACAGAGGGTCTATAAACGGAGGACGACTTCACGGCGCATGTCCCGCTGCTCAGCTGACTTGCAAGAGCGGTGCGGAGAACGTTTCAGTTCAACGAGTCGCATGAACTGAACCTCTGTACTTGAAAGCATGAGAGTGAAGCTCATCGTGAATGTGAATAATCAGCACGCAGCGGGTTTGGCGGCTCGCGGATGGCGATATTGGGCAAGCGACGACGGAAGCGACGATCGTTCCTGGCAGCTCCCCCCGCCTGCACGATTAGGATTTCCGACATTGCCGCTGCAAGGTCAGTAAGCATGTAAGCATACACCATCCGCAGGTCATTTCTGGGCGAGTAGGTCCTTGTCCTTGGCCAATCAGGTGGAACACGACCATGTACAACCGAGTTTCATTCTCCGAGAGCAATACTACGTACAGTACACTACAATTAGGACAACGTCGCCACACCTGCCACCTCTACCCTGCGGCTCAGCGTGCGCGTGCAGCTTCCACCATGAACGACATCAGGGCATTGTACACGGCAGACTGGTCGTTGAGGGGGAAGCCGCTGTTGCCGCTCACGTTCGGGTCCATGCCGGTCGTATCCCACATGCCTGGCGAAGGCCCGCTGATGGTCGGGAGCGGAGCGCTGACCATGGACGAGCTTGCGGGGCTGGTGTCGGGCTGCATTTGTTGTTGCTGCTGTTGTTGTTGTTGCTGCTGCTGCTGCTGCTGGTGATGGTGCTGGTCTGGGCCCATCGACCACTGTTGCTGGGGCATGCTCATGCTCTGGAACGCCTCGGGAGACGACCCAACGAGGAAATCCATAGGCGGGTTGAGCGTTTGCTCCTGCTGCTCAGCCGACATCGGAGGAGCGTTGGTGAGGTGGTTCCAGTAGAACTGGGGCAGCTGGAAGATGGATGACACGCCGAGTGGCGGCAGGCAAGTCTTGGGCATGGAGCCGTCCGGGTTGGACAGGTTGCGACCAACGGCGCGCAGTCCATCGCTGATGGTTGGTGAGCCCACAAACGAGTTTGAGCCCGGGGAGATGGCCTGGGAATGCAGGTCGGTAAGGACCTCTGGGGACGAGAGCTTGAGTCCTCCTTGGATAAGACCTTCGAAAAAGACCTTGTGTGCGGATGCCGTTGGCCACGAGCTGGAGCAGTCACGAAGCCAGATACAGCACTGAGCAAAGTTGACTTTGGCTCTCTCGGCCAGAGCCTCGTTGGGGTCGCTCGCATCGAAAGCCTCGAACAGTGTAGCCAGACTGAGGATGTGTATAATGTCAGAACTTGTATAGTTGAGAAGCCTGTGACGGTCGAGGTGGGCGAGCATGTCAATCACCGATTCCGCTGCCTTGGAACAGATCGAGTGTGTACGGGCAGCCAGTTCGACCTCGGACGCATCCTGCTGGTTATAGACGGCCCTGCGTTTGATAAAGCGCGAGTGGAGCAGAATCTGAGTGCTGTAGTACCAGGCGAGACCGACCACCATGTGGGGCAGAGGCGAGACATTGGGCGAGAGGTCGACGTCAAGGGTTTGGGGCATGGCAAGTCTCCAGCCTTCCAGTTGATTTGAAATACGCTCGGCACTGTTTCGAATGTCGCCACGGTCCATGTGGAACGAGGATGCAAACTGCTGGACCCACGGGTGTGTCGGGTCGGTAGGCGCAGGAGGTCCGACGTCGTCGAGGTCGAGAATGTTTTCGACAACCATGGCGAGGTGGCATGTCCACACGAAGCAGCTCATGACGTATCCGCGGCGAGGGACAATGTGACGCACACTCTTGGGGAGTGGGAGAGCTGATGTCGGAAGAGGAGGCCAAGTCTCATACTCGTCGGCTTCGTTGATCGAAGGAAGCGGAGTGCTCGAGCGACGGTAAGGGAGTATGAACGAGCGGCCAGTCTCCTCGGCCAGAGTCTTGTCGAGGACATAGCAGTTCCAGTAGACGCGGGCACGCTGCTCGCTCTCAGCAGGCGACTCGGGTTGAGCCGGAGCGAGGTTGAGACCCATGTTGAGAGCCATGCAGCAAGCCCGACCAGCATAGGTGAAGGCTGAGTGCTTGTCGCCGCAGCCCGTCTGGCGAAGACTGAGGAGGATGAGGGACTGGATAATGTCGATGCGACACTCCATTCGACAGCGGTGAAGTGCGCTCTCGGCCATGTGGAAGAGCTTCTCTTTGTCAAGACCAGACCCGTCTTGCGTCTCCGGCGGTGCAACACAGGAAGCAATGGCGAGCATGGCAAGAAGGAGGGGCGCCGATGTCGAGTGCGGGTGAAACAGCGGCTTGTAGATGAGAGGCCACACATTCTGCAATGTCAGTGTTTGCCATCATGCAGCTTGGCACCTACATGGACGTGTGTGAAGTACACGGCAAGCAGTTGGTCAACAAGACCAGTTGGAAGGCCAAGGAGAGGTGGGCGAGGGCGTGCACGCGACGACTGTCGACTGGCTGGGGGGGACGCGGTGTCATCATCGTGACCATCGACGGCCATCGCTGCTGCCATTTCTGGGCCCAAGGAGGGTAGGTGGGGACGCGCATGAGGTAGCATTGGACCACCATTCTGGTTGTCCTGCTTGACCTCTAGGGCGGTGGACTCTGGCGACGACAAACCACGAAGTCGCCATCCTGGGCGCGGACCGCTGTACAAGTTAGGACGAGAGTGTTGTGCTGCAGGCTGCAGGTACACTTACCGTTTACGAACGGGTGCATCAAAGGTGCATGCTTGGCGGTTCTCGCGACAGACCCGACATGTCGACTTGCCTGTTGATGTTGATACCTGGAGGTCTTCACATTTCATACGACGGCTGTGGGGGTCAGCGACGCGCTACATCGCAGCGACGACGACGACGACAACAGCACTCACTGTCTGCAGCCCTATCACATGTCAACAAAGTGACAACCCAGGTCAGCGATAACGGATGCAGTGTGGGTAGTAACGGTCTAGCGTCAGCGCCAGTCGAGGTTGTCACCAGATCACCAGGTCCTCCCGGATGGACTCACGTCGCAGGCTCTAAGTGACCGTTTACGCGCGGGCCCGTCCATGAGGCGCGAAGAGGATGTTGTTGGAGAACGGTCCGGGCCGGTACTGCGGGGCTGCTGATCATCCATCTCCTTGGCGCACGCGGACACTTCTGGTAGAGAGTGTGATTGCCCGGTGGGAGATCAAAGGATGAAGTGGCGGGGGTGAATAACAAGACTAGAGTGGGAACGAGATGACCCGATGCCAGTGGGAGTCTGTTGGTGTCGTGATAGCAACTCTCACCCAAACGTCGAGGCCCCCGGGTGACAGCATGCGGTGGGTGGCGCTGTGGGGGTCGCTCGCTGGACGGGCGGGGGACGGCGGGTGACGTTTGTGCCGGCTGTGGGCACCGGCGAAGCATTATGGGTAATTAGAAGGGTAATTACAGGGTGGATCTGTTTACCCACCAATTGCATTGGGATCGTCCTCTCGTGTGGGCAGCCGCCGCAAACGGCCCAAACGGTCCGCACTTATCGTCCACCCCCACCCACACGACATGACCACAGACATGTCTCACATCAAGCAATGGGTCCAGAAGGCCCACCCCGCCGCTGGAATTCCCAAAGCTGACGGACACTGCTGAGGATCTCCGTTTCAAATGCGTTTTGCAAAACCGTTTATCTCGTCAAGACATGCCTGCTGCCAACGTTGGCGTGTGGCAGGGGATATCTGAGTCACCCACATCTTGACTGCGCAAAAATAGTTTGGGTCCGACGTGTTTGGGCATCCTCGACGATTGGAGGTTTGGCTATCTCTCAGCTCAATATGTGCTAGATAACGGTGATTCCGTGCAAGCGATACTATTCTGTAGTCACTTATAGATCTGACCCTGGACATTCCTGCGTCGTCGGACTCCTTTTCCCATCCCACAATCCAATATGGGTGCGGACAAGACACACGAGCCGACAAACGTCAGTCCCCTATCCAGTTTGGATGCCTTCCACTCTGCAACATGGTCATAATCGAGTGATTATCTCATGGTGTTGACCATATCGGCTATCAATTCTGCTGCTGATACCGCCAAGGGATGCCAGCGCTTGGATGTCCGGGCCCACTCTCGTGTGTAGCGATTCAGGCGGAACGTGTACCCGCGACGCGAAGACGATCCACGTAACCCACTGCGGGGCCATGTGGGGCAGAGCGTATGGCAGAGCAAGACGCCAATGACATGCCGCATCGGCCAAACCTGGGTCAAAGCAATACCTCGCCAGTGTCGCCAGCGGTGGTTGGTGGGCGCCAGTGGCCCGGCAAGTCCGTCGCAGCATGCTCCGACACGATCGGCCAGACGCACACTCCCCTTTCCCCAGTTCCAGAAACGTCAGTAACCTGTCCATCGCACGGGGTTCCGGGGGGTTCAACCGCTGCCACCCGCTGCAATTCACCTGGCGAGCCGGTCAGGCATGTGGGGGACAAGTCCAGGACCCAACTCTGCCCACTATTTGTCTCCTACCCAGGAGGCTAGGAGGGGTGGGGGGTGACGATGCCACATGCCCCGAAAAGGGTCCATCCAGGTCGTGTGCATCCACCAGGCCACCCATTCCACCAAGCATGTTGGACGCATGGCACGGTGCGCAGTCAACTAAAAGTTATTTAAGTCCCACGACAAGACCGCCCACCGGCGATTGCCACCGCACATTGTGCCGTGTGGCGCGCCAGACATGTTGGCTGGTTGGGATCGTGCACAAACAAGCTTCGCGTTTAACGCTTAACTGACACCGAGCACTACTCTGCCAAGCTGTCGAGGTCAGAGCGGGTGTGAAAGTGGGCTGGGGAGACAGATGGATGGTATGTGGCGGATTCAAACCAACAGACAGGAGGCACCCATGACACCGTGGCGGTGACTCCCGCTTCCATTCCTGTTGCCCTGTTCCCATCGTTGCCCTGTTCACATGTCAGCGTCTCACCAAGAGGCGTAACCCACTCCCCCGTAGCCTGGAAAGAAGAGAGTCGGACACGCAGACACGAAAGCTGGCTGACGTGGATAGTGATGGTGGCCACACCACAAAGGTGTTGCGCCCCGCTGATCTGTGTGCACGACTGCTTCCGAGGCGGCGTCCAGTTGTGGCAGGACGGAAAGGAGGGGAAAGATCGTCGTAGCGTTTTGCTTGTGGCACCTTTCACAACAACAGCAGTCAACTGGCAGGAGCATTTTAATGCATGCTCATCAGTATATCAGTATAACGACCGCAACCCGCTTAGAAAGATGATCGGATCTTTTGCATCCACAACGTTTATCTACACAGTGATTACCCGGCTTACAAGAGATAGCCAACAACTCGCTTCCCACATCCTCCCCCGCGCGTCTCATCCACTACCTTCCCAAGATATCCCTCCCCCCCTTACATGAAACATATAATGCAATTGCCGTCAGCCCGCTTGTGGTTGGGGCTTTGTCGAAAAAAATCGTTTATTGCTGGCTGTAAATAAAGGTGTCGGTTGGTGGCCAGTCGCATAGTTGACCAAACACACACACGACCGTTCGCATCCCATGGTGCGTCACAGTTGAGTCAGAGTCACCGGACACACGAGCCCAATAACCACTCTGAATCAACTATGGTGTCCAACTGGGGAAGTGGTTATGCTGGCGCCGTCGACCTTCTTGGCGTCCACAGAGTGTCCGTTGTAGTCGTGGGTCTCGGCATAGTCGGACGTGAGGATGTCCTCGGTGAGGTCCTCGGTCCTGGGGCCGGTGAAGTACGTCTTGCCGCCGGTCTTGGGGAAGTACCAGAAGCAAATGGCGAAGAGCCAGACGGCGACGGTGACGACAATGGCGTAGTTCATCTCGCCAGCGGAAGGGTGCATGTCGGCGGGGCTGGAAGTGTCAGTAAAGGGTGCACGGGATGTGAGTCCCAAGACGAAAACTCACAAGCAGAACAGAACAAAGGCAAACACCATCCACACAAGGGCAATGATGGCAACGGGGATGGAGAGCTTGCCGAGGTACCAAGGGCCAGGCTTGAAGAGGCTCTTGCCCCAGACAACGCGGGCGAAGATGGGGATACCGTAGGCGACGTAAGGGCCCATGATGGCAAGGGCGAAGATGGCGCTGAGGACAGAGTCAGTTTCCATGTACTTTAGTGCGTATGCAAGAAACTCACTTGATGGCAGCACCGCTCGCGGGGTCGGCAAAGCCAAGGAGACCAAGGGGGACGGCGGCACCACAGACGAGCCAAACGGTGCGCACGGGGGTGCCCGAGTACTTGTCAACGTGGTAGAAGAACTTGGAGAAGGGGAGGGCACCGTCACGAGCAAAGGCGAAGGCCTGGCGGGAAGCGGGAAGGATGAGCGAGGCGGTCATCGAAAGCTGCGAAATGCAGATGAAGGACCAGAGAGCAACAGTGCCCTTGGTTCCAAAGCCGAGGAAGTAGATGGTGGCGAGGGGCTGGCCGATGGGCGAGTTGTTAATGTCCTCGACGGAAGGGCCCATGCAGAGCGCCAGGACGATGAGGATGAGAGTGCCGAGAACACCGGCCGAACCGATGGCGCCAACAATGGCAGCAGGGACGGCGACCGACGCGTTGGAAGCCTCCTCAGAGATCGAGACGGCACAGTCAAACGAACAAATAGTCCAGACGGGGGCCATCATCGACATGAAGAAGGTGAATCCCTTAGGGTAGTTGTAAAGGTTCTCCCAGCCGGTGAAGGTGAACTTGGCAGTGTTGAGCTCGCCACGACGAGCAATGGGGAGACCAATGATGGTCACGAGGGCAAGGGCGACGTTCAAGATAACCGAAGGGGTCTGGAGACGCGCAAAGATGGTGGTGCAGTAGGCACAGAACAAGCCACAGAAGAAGAGGATGCCGCAGTAAAGGCCAAAAGTGGCACCGACGCTAGGAGCAAAGTTCTCGTCGATGAGCGAGCGCGTGGCGAAGAAGATACCCGCGCAAGCCCACGCAAGGGACGAGATGGCGGCGACGTTACCGAGGAAAGAGTTGTCTGGGCGAAATGTCAGCAACAGCATTCATACATTCGTGACGACCCGCCCAGCATTCTGGGTGTTGCTGTGGGGAAGTGCGGGGCGGGAAAGGGATTTGCAAGCGCCATCCCGCGCCATGCCGCCACTTACATCCGACCATCCATGCGAGGAAGTTGCGGTACTGTGTGGTGTGAGAATCGTGTTACTCCCCGTCCGTGATGGTCCATGCATGATGCTTACCTTTGCGGGGGAGAGGCGGTGGGTCCAGAAGTAGAGACCACCCGAAGTCGGCATGGACGACGCCAAGTCTGCCTGGTTGACCGTTAGCATTGGAGACCTTATCTCGCCGTTGCGCGGAGTCAAATGTCAGAGCACAATGAAAAGCCAAACAGGGCTCGAAGCGGGTTTGTCCTTTTGCTTGGCTTTGTGCTTTGGAGACTGGTAAAACCGGCCGGTGGGTCTCACTCACCATGGCAAGACCAATAAACATGATAAGGAAGGCGGACACGGCCCAGCCCCAGATCATTCCAACAGGACCACCGTATGGCTGGTGAGGAGGTCAGCATGGTGTTGTGGAGACTGCAGGCGCCGTAAAGCAGCACCGACGAACCAGGTTGTAGAAAATCGTCGAGGCAATGGAAGGGACAACACCCCTGCACGCGCATGTCAGCACTGGCCTTCACTTGTAGGTTGGTCGTCGCGACGCGCGGATCGCTTCACGCCACCGCCCAACACATACATGATGGAAAAGGCGACACCAAAGGTCTCCATCTTGCTAAAGTTGCGCTTCAGCTCGGGGCGGTAACCGAGGTCCTCGAGACAGACATCGTCGCTTGTCAAGTGGTGGTGCGCGGCCTGCTCGGCGTGCGAGCCGTCCGTGGGGGGTGGGTCGGCGATGGTCATGGCGAGTGGTGGAGGGGGAGGGGGCGGGTGGTTGTGATGGGGGCTCAATCTGTCATAAAGTACGATGGGAGGTGAGACCTTATACAATGTCTGTGGATTTCGCTCAAGCCGGTGTTCGGTTGGATCGTGTGGGTCTGGCCGCCGAAGGACCCTTTCCCAATCTCTCTCTCTTCTGCCTTGGACCGGCTGCTCTCCCGCGCGCGACAGACGACCGCCGACGACGCCAGAGCGGCACATGCCCTGGGTCCCCGCCTGCGCGCCTGACCGTATCTCGATGCGTTTTTCCATTGCACCCGGGCCCTTTGCCCGAGACTTGCCGGGCCCTGTGGCCTGTGGCACTTGAGCCAGTCAGTGGGCAGTGATCCAGTGACTGCCAAAATGCCTGATTAGACCTGCTAAACTGCACACTGACGCGGGGGCTCCAGGTCGCAGCAAGCCGAACAGTGCGGTTGCGGTGTTCTCCTCTCATGGGCTGTCGCCAAGACCATTGGACAAGATCAGCTGACAACAAGTGCCTGCGCAGGCAAGGCTCCATTGCTCGGCAAGGTATCTGGGAGGGATAAATGGAGGGGCCTGATTATGCGCATGATCACAGATAGGCGTAACCGACCTCGGAGGAGACGACTCTCCCCTATCGCACCGCTGATCCAGATCACTGATCAGCTGCGCACAACGTAGAGCATGCGTCGTCGTCGTCCGCCGCGGCGGGGCCGGTGGTCCAGAGGATGCCGATAATGCAACAGTAGCCACGGTCTGGCCCTCTGTCTCACCAGATCTACAGTTACCAAACTATGTAACTTTGCTGGCAAGGCGAACAGGCGCTCATGACCGAACAAACGCCGGCCGGCCAACCGCTGGCCGCGGGCCACTGGCCTCGTTGTGTCCATGTCCTCACACCGGATAGCCGTCCAGTGCGCCAGTGCTGACCCGTTGGACATGTCGCGGCATGTCCGGCACCTAGACATCCTGAGCAACCAGTGCGTCCAGTGGCCACTAGTGGTGAAGACTGGCGGTGCCAGGCGATACCGTCCTAATTACCCGGCGGCCTTTGCGCGATTAACCGTGTACCCGCCTGTTACCTGTTACCACCCCCCACTGCGATACGGTGGGCATTGCCTTTCATCTGTTGGTTTCTAGCACGATACGAAATGATTGAAGTGGGCAAGTTAACACACATGCGGAGGCGACCGTGGGCAAGAACCACCGGGTATTCAATCCGCCTGATTACTCTTCGATACGGCCGCGTTCCGTTGCTGGATGCCCGACTGCCTCGCCTCTCAGCTTGTAGCGACCGACTACATATGCACACGCAGGATGCTCCACTTGTCTCCATCACCCACCACTTCCTCAACACACCACCATGGTCATTGCTACAAATTCCAACACCGCGGCCGTCAAGCCGGCCGCCACCATGGCTCACCCCTACGACCCCCTGTCGATTGCCGAGATTGAGAACGCCTCGCAGGCCGTTCGCAACCACATGGCCAAGGGCGGCTTCGCTGGCCACCCCGCTACTCCTCTCTTCAACTCGATCTCGCTCCTCGAGCCGCCAAAGTACGACGTGCTCCGCTGGCAGGGACTCTTCTCCGAGAAGGAGCTCGCCTCGGCTCGCACTTCGCCCGCCGCGCCCATTAAGCGCCAGGCTGACGTGAGTGGAGATAACGTTCAAGTTAATTGAGCGATTGTGCTGACCCGGTCACCAGGTTCACATCATCTGTAACGAGTCCCAGCAGGCGTTTGAGGCCGTTGTCGACCTCCCATCAAACCTCCAGGGCGAGGCCGAGGTCCTCGAGGCTGTTGTTTCCTCGTGGACCCTCCTCGCCGAGGATGTTCACCCTTCGCTCCAGACCGAGGAGCTTCTCTGGGCCGAGGACATTTGCCGTGCCGACGCCAAGGTCAAGGAGGCCTGTGACGCTGTTGGTATCGACCAGCAGCTCCTCTACGTTGACGGCTGGTGCAATGCTATTGACGAGCGCTTCCCCGGCCGCCGTCTCCAGCAGTGCTTCTGCTTCACCCGCCTTCGCCCCGGAGACAACCTCTACGCCCACCCTTGCGACTTCATTCCCGTTATCGACTCGCACACCGGCGAGGTTATCACCATCGACTACCCTCCCCAGAACCCCACCGAGGAGAACCCCATCCCGGCCTCGTCGGCTGAGGCGTACGCCGAGGCCGCTCCTCGCCCCCGTTTCCCTCCCCCTGCCGCTGCCCAGAACTACCTCCCCGAGCAGATTGTCTTGGACGAGCCCGACTTCAAGGTCCGTGACACCCTCAAGCCCCTTCACGTCATCCAGCCCGAGGGTGTTTCGTACAGCCTTGCCGGTCGTGTCATGAAGTGGCAGAACTGGACCTTCCACATTGGTTTCACCTACCGTGAGGGTCTCGTTCTCTCGGGTATCACCTACGACGACGGCGCGTTGGGCACTCGCCCCGTCTTCCACCGTATCTCGGTTGCCGAGATGGTTGTTCCTTACGCCAAGGCCATTTTCCCCCACCACCGCAAGCACGCCTTTGACACTGGAGAGTACGGAATCGGTGCCCTCGCCAACTCGCTGGCTCTTGGCTGCGACTGTCTCGGCTCGATCACCTACCTCGACGCCGACTTTGTGACCCGCAACGGTTCCGCACAGACTATCAAGTCGGCTATTTGCATCCACGAGGAGGACGCCGGTATCTTGCACAAGCACACCGACTTCCGTGACAACCGCGCCCACGTTGCCCGCAACCGCAAGCTTGTCATCTCGTCCATCTGCACCGTCGCCAACTACGAGTACGGCTTCTACTTCAACTTTGCCCTCGACGGCTCGATCGAGCTCGAGGTCAAGGCTACTGGTATTGTCAACGCCTACTGCCTCGGCCCCAACGAGAAGTCCGACCCCCTTCACGAGGTTGTCGTCGCCCCCCAGATTGCTGCCCAGCACCACCAGCACATCTTTTCCCTCCGTGTCGACCCCATGATCGACGGTCTCAACAACCAGGTCGCCATGGTCGACGTCGTCTCTGACGAGGCCGAGGTCGGCTCGCCCGACAACTACTACGGCAACGGCTTCCACACCGTCAAGACGGTCTTTGAAAAGTCCAAGGAGTCCCAGACCGACTATGACGCCAGCAAGACGCGTACTTGGGCCATCCAGAACCCCAACAAGCTGCACTACGCTACCGGCGCTCCCATCGGCTACAAGATCCAGTGCAAGGACATGCCCCCTCTCCTCGCCAAGCCCGGCTCCATGGTCTGGAACCGCGCCCCCTTCGCCCGCCACAACATGTTTGTGACCAGCTACAGCGACGAGGAGGTGTTCCCGTCCGAGCTCCACATCAACCAGAACCCCGGTGGCCCCGACTTCGGTCTCCAGAAGTGGGTCGACCGCGACGACGACATCAAGAACAAGGACATTGTCGCCTGGCCCACGTTCGGCGTCACCCACATTTCGAGGCCAGAGGACTGGCCCATCATGCCCGTGGAGATCCTCAAGGTGCACTTGAAACCGTCGGGCTTCTTCGCTCGCAATCCGGGCCTCGACGTGCCATCCACCGCCGACAAGAAGTCGCGCAACGCCGACGAGGCCTTTGTCGGCGGCAACCCCGCCGCCAACGGTGTCAACGGCGCCAACGGCGTGCACACCAACGGCACCAACGGCACGACCAACGGCACGACCAACGGTTCGTGCTGCTCTGGTAACTGATTTTCATTCCATCTACCGCCACACCGTGAACTGGCTGGTTGTGATATCGTGAGATAGTAACAGGACTGTCTCTGTGTACTCTAGTGGGCGGGGCAGAAGTCGACGACACTGGTAATCCCCAGAGGGGAGCTGTACATAACATTTAGGAAGACAAATAAATGACAACAACATGCAATGGGCTTTTTTGAGAACGACGTCGAGCATGGAACAGCCGTTTGCGCACACCTGTGCCTTATTGGACAGGCAAAAGTTGGTTTGGTACTGGTAAGACTTATAAGACTGCTGACAGAGTGTGCAGCGTCGTCACCACAGGCGCCACTTGCAAAAGAATATCACAGTGGTACAGTGGTACAGTGGGCCTTTGACTGACGACGCCCGATCACTGCATGGTTCATTGAAGTTGTGCGGCAAAATGGTCGGCTCATGGTGCCGGCATTGAGAGGTACGCACGCGTCCTCGGAAGCCAAACCGTGCGTCCTGCATCGGCAACCTCGGTACCCTCGGCATGCCTGTAGCATAATTATGCAGGGATTGTTGCGAATTTAAGGTAAAAGGAAAAAAGGTTACTGTTAGTTATGCCGTCTATTACACATTGCCACACACTCTTGCTCCATGTTCTAACAGGCTTGGTCAATCTGGAATGTCTGCATGGACGGGCCTACCTACCAGAGCCATACCGTCAGATTCAGACGAGTGTGAGGGCGGCCAACGGGTTGCTTTGCACTACTGGGATACATCGTACATTACGGCTCGACAGACTATACTGCCACAACGCAAACTCTCTTTTTCGTCGCTCTTTTCTTCACAAGTATTCGAGCCGGGGGTAGGGTGGGGGGGACTATGACGCTGGGATATGGATATGGTATTGAGAACGGGGGGGTTGCGGGACACACGCAAGAACCCGAGTTAGGGAACGTAGCGGAAGCCGGGGGCGAGGTCGTGCTGCTCGATGACGTCGAGCGGGGTGCCCTTGGCGGGGGGGCCACCCTCGACCTTGTCGCGGCGCCTGTTCTCCCAACGGTACCAGAAAGAGATGAGGCAGGCGAGAATGAGGCCGAGGCACTGGAACGCAAGGTTGACAGTGCAGCCCTTGGTGAACTTGGGGCCCTCGACGCTGGGGAAGAGGAACGAGGCGAGGATGGAGAGACACTGGCCGATCGCGTTGAGCATGCCAAGCGAAGTGGCACGCTGGCTCTGGTTACCGGTGTTGGCCGACTGCCAGGCCATGATGATGGGGATGTTGCAGTAACCGCTGACGACGATGCAGATGCACGCAAAGTAGCGACCGGAGAACTGGGCGTGTGTGGCGCCCGAGGCGGGGACAGTGAGGAGGACGGCCCAGCCGACGATGCCGAGAGCAAAGATGCCCATGGCGGGGATACCACGGCTCTGGCGCCTGTCGGAGATGTTGGTGACGATGAGCATGACAGCGAGAGCGACGACATAGGGAGGGACAGTCATGAGCTGAGCGCGAGCGTTGGTGAAGCCAAAGCCCTTGATAATGGTGGGCAGGAAACCACTGACGGAGCCGAGAGTGAGGTTCATGCAACTTGGACTGTCAGCACCGACTCTTGTCCTCGGGAGTGCTTACCTGTACATGATGCTGACGTAGTACGTCTTCCAGTCGGTAAGGCAGCGACGGACACCCCTCCAGTCAATGCCGACAGTGGACTCCTGGAGGTTCTGGGCGTTGAGGCGGGTGAGGCACAGGGTGCGCTCGTCTTCGTTAAGGAGGCGTGTCGACTCGGGGCGCGAGGGCATGAAGAGGAAAACGCAGATGGCAAGAACGAGCGAAGGGATACCCTCGATGAGGAAGAGGACACGCCAGTTGTCAATCTTGGGGTGCTTGATGGAAGTCACGCCAAACGAAATGAGGCCACCAAAGGCGCCCGACACGGCACCGGCACTGATGAAGAAACCAATGCGCTTGGCAAGGTCGTGCTTGGTGTAAAAGTAGGTGAGGTAAAGAGCCATGGCCTGGCCGAAGAAGGCCTCACCAACACCAACAAACAGACGGCAGACAAAGACGCCGGCACGGTTCTGGACGGCAGCCTGGCATGTTGCGGCAATCGACCAGATGAGGGCACCGCAGGCGATCGACTTGGAAGGGTCAATCTGCTTGGCGAGCAAGGTACCGGGAATCGAGAGGATAATGTAGGTAATGTAGAAACAGCAGAGGGCGATACTGTAGTTGGTGTCCGAGTTGTCGAGGGCGTCCTTCAGCAAGCCAGCAAGCTTGGCGTTACCGAGGTTACCACGGTCAAGATAGGCCGAAAGGTAGAGCAGGACGGCGAACGGAAGGATGGCAAAGTCTGTGGCGTCAGCGCGCTGATTTCTGATGTCCAAACGGTACACGGTGGGGCCGTTTTGTCTGCACCATGCCAAAGACCCAAGCCACACTTACCAAGCTTCCAAATGAGGCGGCGCTCGGCGCGGCGAAGCTGGGCGCGGTGCTCATCTCCCTCGGCGCCGTGTGAGGCAATACTGCCCTTCTCAGTGTCGGTGCCACGGGTGCCGACGGGGGCGAGAGCCGAGTCGAAGTCACCGGTGAGGTGCTGGACGTCGTGCTTCTCGCCGATGGCTTCAACGTTGTCGTTCATGTGAACCTGCTTCGGCATAGTGGCGAATGTCTTGCAGAAGGGTTGAGAAGGGGGGCGATGGGCAAGAGTTTTTCTATCACTCTCTTTGGGTTATTTGTACGCGATGCGAAACTCCCCCGTCACCTCATCCACTCCTTGATCTTGAGCTCAAAAAACCCTCAGTTTAACAGTTTCCTGATCCCCTCCCACCTCCCCCCTCCCCCAACCCCCAACCCCCCCGCTCGCACACGCGCGCTTCGCTTGCTAACTTGGCCTGGCCAACGGAGCTCCGACTGCGGGGGCGTGCAATGGCAGTCGGCTGTTCGGTCAACCTGTGGAGAGCAGGAACGCTGTCAAGGGCGGGAGTGCAGGATGACAACTAGCGCAAAGCAAGGCAACAGGCAGCAGGCACCTCAAGGCGGGCAGACTGCGCAAAAGGTGCACCATCTGGCGTTCAGAACAGCAAGTGGCTTTGGGGTGCCGTGATATTGGAGGCCGGAGGTACGCGGGGGCCCTCCGTGATGCGCGCGGGTATGGCCGTGTATGGACGGGTATGGCCCACATGGGGCCACCTGGCCCTTGCCTCCAGTGCCGCATGCCCCGTCTGTCCCTGCAGAGCGCTTCTGTGGGCATATCACGAGGGCATGCCAAGATTCCTAACAGTGTATTTTCGAATGCGGCAAGCGAGTTCGCCCTGACTGCTGACATGTCTCCGGGTCGACGAGGTTGAAAGATCGGTCAACGTCTGCAGCCGAGTCGGAAAGCTGCCGGCGACTCCGCTGGGACAGACAGACAGATACACCACTGTCGCCGCGAACATGACAAGTAGAGACACTCCTACTGAGAACATGGTCATTTCTGACAGGTTCGCACACTGTTGCATCTCGTTGGTTTGTACGGTGTTGGCCCAAAGAAACATTAGGAGAGACGGAATAAACTCGGCAAATGTCGTTGTTGACATTTTGGGCACCTCTCGCAAACGGGGTGTTCCAACGTCAGGCGCTTTCAGCTCGTCGTGTTCCCCTGACGCAGAATACGCGGTGCGTAATTGGTGGGCCCGGTCCTATTTTTATCCCCAAAGGTGGCCGACTGCAAGCGGAGTAGAGTTGGACCGTCTGTCGACTCTTGGCCTGCTGCGAGCCGACACAGGCCGAGAAATAAAACTGTCCGTGCCCTGTGGCCTCCAACACAAATACCAACAGAGGGCCGACTCGACCGCGAACGCCCGGGGAGTACGACAACCAGTTCTGCATGCACTGTATATGCCACTACAGGGTCTAGTGTTGTGAACAGTTGCTTTACACACCGGTGCTGGGGTCGGTATTATCGGCAGAGCCCACTTGTGCCTTGCACGCGACGAGGTTGATCTTAGGGTTGGCATCTCAATTATTCCACAGCAAAGTTGCCACGTTGCCGGTCCGACGGTCCGGCAGGGGCAAACCACTCCACACACCTATCAGAACGGCCAGGACTATCTGCGGCAGTGGACGATGGGGCATGCGGGGTCGGCGTTGTGCGCTCGCACCTTGATCATCGTTCCTTTCTTTTCGAATTGTGCTGAAGGGCCACTGTCCCCACAACTAAGGTGTCCCCTGTTGCCAACGTCGAGGCAGGTAACGCGGCCAACCACCCTGGGACCGTTCTGTCGTTGTTGCCGGCGCACGCAGCCTTGACACATGCCGTCATGCTGCCAAAGTGCATCCGCGCTCCGACTTCACCAGGACCGTAATGTGCGTACTTTGCAGAGTTGGTCATGATGTTGCCCACGCCGGTGGGCACGACGGGGTGGCGCAACATGCACCAGCAAGTATCGGTAATCACTTGTGCGCCAAACGCCTTGATGGCCGCAAGGTAGCCCGCCGCCTCAGCCTGCGAGAGGACATGCTGTCCACATGTCAGGAGGAGTGGAACCGCAGCAGTACGGCCCGCCACGAGGTGTGCAAGCTCTTCAAACTCGTCCAGGGACAGATGAGGGTTTCCGAGCGCTACGAGGTCGACCCTGTCGTCTTGAGCCGAGTTGAGCTCTGACCAAGTGTCGGCGAGCGTCGCCACACCAACGTTGACTCTACGCAGTGTTCCAGCATGCCAGTGTTCCGCCTCGGGAGTGATTCCCGCCAGATGGAACATGGGAGACCCGCTGGTGGTCGCAAACGCAGCGCCAAATGCCTTGAGATCGGATACGGTGGGCGAACGCTTCTCCAGCCCGATCACAAGCACCACTTCGCGGCCAGCAGCCTCGCCGACGGCGTACCCCAACAATGGCCAAAAGCTCGGGTCCTCGACGCGTCGCAGATCGGGGTCGACACGGATACAAAGTGTAGGTCGTCTGGGTTCGTCCAGGTGGCACCCAGCGGCGGGCGCCCGACCGGTGATGGCGACCAGAACGTCCAGCATGTCTGGATACTTTTGCGTTCGCGCTCCGATGACACTGTTGGCGTACACCACGGCGTTTGACTCGGCCCACACCACATGTGCACCGCGTTTCGGGGCATTGGGAAGAAGGTACGGAGCACAGGTGAGCGAGCCGGGGTCGGCTCCCATGGAGAGATACGCGTCGGCGAGGCTGGTTGCGGCCTGACCGAACTCTGGGTCGATGCCTTGCGCTTGCCATTGTCTGCGGTCGACGCTGATGGCGTTGAGGGTCGTTTTTACAGCGAATTTGGCGCCTGTGGTTGCAAAGTGTTTGGCAAATTCAAGCGTTGCGGGGCCGACATAGATGCAGGCGTCGATATGGGCGGCCTCTACGTCCAACAGCCGTTCCGCGCCCTCCAGTCTCGCGACGGCGGTCACCAGCTCCATGGCCTTGCGTGCTCCCTCGCCACGCTCGCCGGTGAGAACGGCGCGGTCCTCTGTGCTCAGCTCAAGGTGGCGGTCGACTGAGGCTGGCTGAAGAGGGATTGCCACGGTTGATCCCGGTGCACTGGCGTTGAGGAGCCCAGGCGAGATTGTCGCGACGTCCTTTGCTTCCAGTCGGGCGAATGCCTCATGGCCCAGGACCACTACGGGTATTGAGCGCGAAAACACTGCCTGGGCGACGAGCACACCGAGGGCCAGGATCGGATCCGGTTCTGCGAGCACGATGGCGACCGGTCCGTGTCCGCCAACAATGAGCTCCAGCATTCCGAGACTTCCCGAGCACGAGCCGCGTCCGTGCGGGATGGCGAGGACACCTCCAGCGATGGTGCGGCCGTGTAGTGGGTGATGCACGTCGAGGACGACGCCGTCTGATGGCGACACGCCGCCCCATATTGACAACGGTGTGTTGCTGTAGAGCAGAGGTCCACTGGCCCGGCCGGGGACTAGAAAGTGCGGGGCATGGTCGCGCCGGGAAGGCTGCGGTGTGTCCGAAGGGTGGACGCATTGGACAACCTCCTCGAGGCTGCAGTCGGCGTTTGGGCGTTCGACTGTTTGTCAGAAACGTGACTGCAAGCACTGTCGTTGCAGCGACTCACCACACCCCGTGCAAACCATTGTTGACTGTGAGTTATCAAGACGTGGTGGGTTACCGATTTGCCCACCTATGGCGGTCGTGGCACTGGGACCTTTCGGGCCCGATCGGCAAATTCCGGGATCTACCGATCATTGTCTTCGTATCAGATATCAGGAAGACCCAGTCCACTCGGCCGGTGTCAGCGCCACGATTCTGCTCATGCATTCTGTCTGCTGGTAGAATAGCTGCGCTCCCATGTTCTGTGTGCTGTTTGCATGGCAGATGGCTCTGGACGTTCGTCAGTAGTGACACATGTCTCCTCTTAACTGTGTCGTTTGTCGGGCGTTTCGGGCGGAATTCACATGGACCAGTCACTTAAGAGAAGCGATGTCGAGGACCGGTAGACGCTAGCAACGAGTATCTCCAGACATTTCGCGCGCAACCCGGCCAGTTACCGCAATTACATGCTTTCTGTCTCTGCCGTGGAACTAACCTTGGGTTTGGGGACGCGTTCCTGTTTCGGCGGTACGATCTGCGGAGCACACGAAAATGCCAATAATTCCAATATTTTTTTTGGGTGAGAAAACATAAACAAAACAAATGCATGAAGCGACAGGTGGCAAGACCAGCATGTTGGATGACTCAACACACGATCTTGACCGAGTCGATGCCACATTGGTCAATAACGTTCGATAGCTCTGTGTCTACTATCCCAAAGAGAGGAGGCTGTTTGAAGTGTATACATTTGCATAGCTGGGGACAGCGGTGCTCCCCGTACAGTTCACTAAACTAACGCAATTGTCTGTGGCACATAACAAGACCCTCAATACTTAACAACGACCCTCCTCAGTTGGAAAAGAGGAAGCGCCAGACGCGCAGATACAGCGGCGCGGCTGCACGGTCGCGGCGATACGCACGCATCTCGTCGACCGAAAGCCACGACTTGCGGCCTGTGTCGAGATCGATTTCATTCGCCCTGGTGGGCACGGTCCGTTTCCAAAAGTACCCGAACACCCAGAACCCGAGGACGATGGGCACGCACAGGAACACGAGGAAGAAGTGTTCAGCGGCCCTTCCGGGACTCTCGCTGCCGCCGACGGGCCAGAGGGCGATGTAAAACTGGGCGACGATGACGAGGCCGATGAGGACGGCGCTCACGACGGACCCCCACATGCCGCCCAGGGCGCGGAAGGGGAGTTCCTCGACCGAGTGGCCCTGGACCTTCCATGCGCGCCGGAAGCGGACGTGCGTGATGCATATGGACAGCCACTCGAGCAAGACGGACAGGCCTGTGAGTGCCATGAGCCAGTTGAAGACCTGGGTGCCGACGTCGGCGCAGTTGATGTAGGCGAGCGGGGCGAAGCATAGCACAAAGACCACAGACCATAGGGGACGCCCGGACTTGTCGACAAACTTGAAAATGCTGGGTGCGTAGCCGTTCTCGGCCAGGGCAGTGAGGGTGCGAGACGCGGCGAACACGGCCGTCAGGCCGATGGACAGGACCGAAATGCAGATGGTCGCGTTGATGAGGTGGCTCATTCCGCCAATGTGAGCCTTCTCCATGAGGATGACAAACGGCGAGAGGTTGGCGTCCGAGCTGCCGCCGAACAGCCGCGGGTCGTCGTAAGGGATAGCAAGGCCAATGACCGTCAGGGTTGCAACGTAGAGGACGATGACGCGCCAAAAACTCTGCTTGACGGCGGTGGGCATCGACTTGCGCGGGTTGGGCGTCTCGGTAGCGGCGAGACCCACGACTTCGGTGCCCGCATACGAAAACGCAGCGTTGACAAAAACGGCGCACACGCCCTTGAAGCCGTTGGCGAAGCTTCCCGGGTTGTGCCAGTATTGGCCCCCGATGTAGGTGCTGTATTGGCCCGATTCCGGGCCGCCGCCACAGATGCAGACGATGCCGATGAGGATGAAGATGATTGCGACCAGAAGCTTCAAGGAGGATGACCAGAACTCTTCCTCGGCGTAGCCCAGTGTACCGAGAATGGACATGAACTGAAAATGTCAGGAAATCGACATTCGCGCGCTACTTACAATAATGACGAGGATGAATATTGTGATCCAAACAGCGAGCGGCACGTCCTTGGTCCAGTATTGTACAGTCGTGCTAGCGACCGTCTGAAAAGACGTCAGCATGATTGGCACAAGTATGTGAATGACTCACAAGTTCCAGAGGCAGCACCAAGCACCATTGCAGGACGTCTGGTGCAACGTCAGTAAAGTGGTGGTGGATCCGATTCAAGCCACCCACAGTTAGTGCCGACCGCAAAGGCGAATGCCGGGTCCAGCATACGAGACGACAGCGTGTAGAAACCGCCCGAGACGGGGAACACAATGGCCATCTCGCCCAGCGCCTGGACGACGTTGAGCACCATGAAGCCGGTAATGATCCAGGCAATGAGCACACCGGCGGGGCCACCGACGCGGAGTGCGGCGCCAGAGCCAATCTGTGTCGTGTGCGTCAGCCATGTTCTTCCGCCCAGGCATCCATCCCGCGCGTCCCGCTAGGCGGCGGCGGATGCATCAGTGTCCCACAACACTTACAAAGAGTCCAGTGCCAATGGATCCACCGACAGCAATCATCTGCAGATGCCGAGGCCGCATCTTCTGCTGCAGCAGCGGACTGTCGTATGGTACATAGTCGGGGACATCGCCGTGGGCGACCTGGCCGCTGGCGGCGGGTCAGTACATAGTGCCACCTTGGAACAACTACTCACCGAGTGACGCCTGGTGCCTGCTTGAACGATTCGCGCGTGAGACCGGCTCGCGTCCACACCGACTCCTTTGAGGGGTCGTAGAAGCCGTCGTCCAGCACCGTCATGCGCGAGGGTGTGGAGGGTGTGTCGCCACTGTCGTGCGTGTAGCTGCCGTCCTTGTCCAGCTCGGACATTGCGTTGTGCCAGTCGGTCTGGGCGAGGTGGATGGGCAACAGGACAGACTCGCGCTTTGGCTGGGGTTCCATTTACGGAAAGAGAGAGTATGAACTGTCCCCTCGAGGTCCAGAGTGGGGTGTCGGGTGTGCGCCGGGCTGGCCTTTGTGCGATCTGTATTCTGGAGGACTGACCAGGATGCATGGCGCGTGGCCCACCCGCCCGCCCGCCGTGCAGCTGGCGTCGGCGTGACTTGTTGCGAGGCGGATGTCCCTTCCCGTAATGTGCACAGTGGCCATACACACACTCTACCCGGGCGACCCGTTGATCCAAGACATTGGAATGGAATACATGTGACAGGGTGGGATGAACATATGAGCGCCTTGGCGCCACTCACGCGCGGGCTAGAGCAGCAAGTGACGACTCACTGGTCACTGATCGTACACATCCCAGGTATAGGTTCTCTGTGGTGGACTATGAGGATCGTACGCACTTGGCGTCTTGCATCCAGGTACGTATGCAGGGGCCAAGCACTCCCCGTGTCTCCTGTCAGGCAGCCCGCTGCGTCCTGCCTGTCTTGCGGGCTGGTTCCAATTCCACTCGTCCCGCTGACGCGGGCCGCGCTGGGTGTGGGAAGGGAAGCCACGAATGGAATTAGGTACTTTGCGGGGACACTGGAATCTGGCCTTCGAGGTCAAAAGGCACTCTGATCATCTGCTGGCTAGCAGCTCCTATCCAACACGATTGTGTCTGGGTAACGAGAGACAGGCGGTACGCCTGCGTCCGCGAGGCGGCAAACATGTCAACATGCCACCCTCGTCTCCAAAAACTGTGCAAGGTTTCTGATTCCAGCAGAGTGTGTGGTTGCGCATGTGGCTTGGGAACCCGTGCCCGAGACAGTTACCCGTGGCGCTCGAACGTCATCGTCCACTGATCACTGGTGCCGGCCCGCAGCGTTGGGCTGGCCGTAGGAGGCCATAATGTTGTAATGCATGTCGCTATCAGTGCTTGGCCTTGTCGGAGTGACGCAAGTCCAGAGTGCAGTATAGATCATCACCAAGTTACTGGGGGACACACATCGTCTTCCGCTGGCGTTGTCTGAATCCGAGATGGCGATCAAGAACGACCGACCACATGCTCTTCACGCATCTTTACGCCTACAGGTTGGCGGTCCGTCAGAGTACCAGAGTTTTGATCCTCTGGGCCTCCATCACATCGATATATGCACACCAAGATCCCAACGTTCTGCTGTATTGGGCTGACACGGTTCCACGTTTGCACTGAAGCTGTCGCGTGTTGTCTGGGTGAATTGCCCGCGGAGGGCTTTTGGTGGGCAACGTAAACCGATATGACGCGTTGCCCGCACATGGTTGTGCCCAGCGCACCAGATAAGGTCAGGTGGGGGCTGTTCACATGCACATGCACACCGCGTCGACACGAGACCACTTCATCTTCTGCACCAACACGCACCCCACGACCCCCCACGCATCATGACGCTGGGGCCAGGATACACCCCTCGCCAGCTACAGATCGACGCGGCGCGCCTCAACAACACCCTGCACGAGACGTGCAAATGGGGGTGTGCACACCGCTGGGGCGACCGGCCGACCGAGACGGGCATGTGCCGCCTGGCGCTGTCGGACGACGACCGTAAAGTGCGCGACTGGTTTGTGGGCGAGACGACGCGGCTGGGTTGCAGCGTGACGGTGGACACGATGGGCAACCTGTTCGCCATCCGCGCCGGCAAGCAAGGGGGCGCGCCCACGGCGATGGGCTCGCACCTCGACACGCAGCCGACGGGCGGGCGGTACGATGGCATCTTGGGCGTCATGAGCGCCGTCGAGGCCCTGCGCACGATCCACTGTGCTGGGTACGAGACAGAGTACCCTATTGCAGTTGTCAACTGGACAAAGTGGGTTTACAACAGAGAGCAGGGCGAGTGGCTGACGGTATGTCAGTGAAGAAGGCGCTCGGTTCTCAAAGTCCCTGCACGGCTCTGATGTATGGTCTGGCGGGTACACGCTCAAGGACGCACATGCGCTCGAGGACGTGGCGCGGCCAGGCGTCACTGCTGCGTCAGAGCTCGAGCGCATCGGCTACGACGGGGGCACGCCGTGCTCGCACTGGAACAACCCGCTGGCAGCACACTTTGAAGTGCACATTGAGCAGGGACCCGTGCTCGAGGCGCACCGCGAGCGCATCGGTGTCGTCCAAGGCGGCCAGGCGTACAAGTGGTTCAAGATCCGGATACAAGGCCGCGACTCGCACGCCGGCACCACGCCGTTCGACTACCGCGCCGACCCGATGCAGGCCGCGGCGCGGTTCCTGCTCATGACCCACGACGTTGCGCGCAGCCACAACGGCCTGGCCACCACGGGCATCTTCCGCCTCGAGCCGGGCAGTGTCAACACGATCCCGAACCATGTCGAGTTTACGCTGGATATCCGGCACGTCGACGACGCCGTCTTGTCCGCGATGGAGGCGGAGATGCGCGCACGCGGGGAGGGTCTGCTGCAGACCGACAGCCGGCACCAGTGTACCATGACGTGGGAGTTTTTGCAGGACAATTCCGCGACGCACTTCAACGCCGACTGCAAGGCTGCCGTCAAGGAGGCTGCTCTGGCGTCCGTCTCCCCCGCAGAGGTGCGCGAGATGGTGAGTGGTGCGGGCCACGATTCGTGCGCAACGTCGCGCACCGTGCCCACTGCCATGATCTTTGTCCCCTGTGCGGGCGGTGTGTCGCATAACCCGTCGGAATATGCGACGCCGGAAGACTGTGCCCTGGGTGCGCAGGTGCTGCTTGATGCTGCGCTGTTGTACGACTCGCGCAGGACAAGGTGACAACACCCGGCGGAGGATGGTTGTCAAGCATAGTGTATAGGGGAGGGAAGATGATGAGATGGTTCCTAGGTGGATATAAGCTTCCGGCAAAGGATGGAATGTTAGCAAAGGCGTGTATGATGCGGTGTTGTTCCCATTGCACACTCTTTCTTTTTACGCAAGATCATGTCTACCGCTGTTTACTCAAGGTGTGTGCTGTTGTCGATATAACGAGGTCCAACGGTGGAGTTTATCGGGATGGTAAATATGGATGACGTTGTGGGTCTCCGTCCCCACTCTACGGCCCGAATACATCAGGGAACATTGAATGGCAGAACTGTGAGCCAAAAAAGGAAAACTCTGATAGACTGACGCGTCCATCGTTGTGCACACTTACGGTAGATGCAGAAAAAGCACACCATGGTCTCTTTCGTCGCGTAATGGGCTCTCCTGTAGCGAACAGTCGGAGCTTTGGGGGGGGGGGGGGGGTGCACGCGCCACTTTACGGCAAACCGATCAAGGAAGCGAGACGACGAAAAGGGCGAAAAAACACTGATGATTCCGACACGAACAAAAAGAGTCCCTTAGGATGTTGTCTGTCTGCATGCCCATCCGGGGGATAATACACTCTGGACATTGACTGCTGCGGTGCACAAATGAAACGGTGCAATTGACATGCATGCTGCATGCATGCAGGCACTGACGATGGCTGAGCGCTGAGAGCGTGTGGACGGTGGCGAGTGCCGCCTGGCTGCCACCCCCTGTGATATACAGGGCCATCCTACCCGGAAGCGGCCGTTGGGTGTGTCTCGATTTTGCCCCGCGCGCCCAGAGTTATAGCCGTGGGCGCGGTGGACGAGACATTGCTCGACGTCGGCGTGTCTTGCAACGTCTTTCATCTCTCACACACACACTCTCTCTCTCACAGATACCCCATACACCATGCTCGCGACACCTGCGTCGCCCTCAGCACACCAGCGGCATCCCAAGACGTTTGCAGGCATGCCCAGGCCACGGCAGCTGTGGCGTCTCGCAGTCGGCGCGGCTATCGCAACAATACTCTGCTTGATACAACTGGTACGTTGCGCCGCGGTCCCTCATGGCCGCATCGTGCGACCGCGCCCCTCTCCCCTCGCCATGTACTGACAAGCAGAACTGGCAGTCAAGTGGATCTGTCGCCAACCCCTCGGGCGTCAACTGGGCTGCAGTTGACCTCGACGCCGCACACGGAGGCCCCACGGTCGTTGCCAAGAGTCGCGTCCTCGTCACCGGCGGCGGTGGTATGATTGGTGAGTTGAGCAACTGCTCTTTCTGTAACTGACCACCACCACAGGCAAGCGTGTCGTTGCCCGCCTCCTCGCGTCCAACACCCGTGTCACCGTGCTGGACACCATCTTCTTTGACAATGAGCTCGCCGCGTTGCGCACCGCGTTCCCACGCGCGGATCTCCGAGTGGTCCACGGCGACATTCGCGACCCTGCCAAGCTCACAGAGGCCATGGACGGCGTCGGCGGTGTCGTCCACCTCGCCGCCGTGAGCCGCGTGCTGTGGTGCCTGGAGAACGACCGCGACTGCTTCGACGTCAATGTACGCGGTACCCAGCTGGTCATCGAGGCCCTCGGCGAGGGCTGGTTCATCCAAGCCTCGTCCCGCGAGGTGTACGGCAACCCCGACAAGCTCCCCGCGTCCGAGACGACACCGCGCAAGCCGGCCAACATTTACGGCGAGTCCAAGTCGCGCGCCGAGGATGTCATCACCGACCACATCAAGAAGAACAGCGCGTCTTACCAGATCAACGCCATCATGCTGCGCCTGTCAAACGTGTACGGATCGTCGGCAGACCACCGCGAGCGTCTCGTCCCAGCCATCATGACCAATGCCCTCGCCCACCGACCTATCCAGATTGTGGGAGGTGACCAGGACGTGAGTGATCGCACCGTGTGTGTGTGTGCTAACCCATGCGCAGCTCGACATGGTCTTTGTCGACGACGTTGTCAACGCCATGTCGCTGGCCATCAACCGCTTGGAGGAGAAGCACCAGAATGGCGAGACAGGTTCGGTGTCGGCGTTCAACGTTGGCACGCCCAGGTCCACCTCTGCCATGATGCTTATCCGCAAGATTCTCTGGCTCACAAACTCGTCGTCGCCACTCCAGACTCTGCCTGGAGACGCACGCTTCCCCGACAAGTACGTCGGTGTCACGTCCAAGGCCACCAGTGAGCTCGGGTTCACGGCCAAGGTCGGTATCGACGCTGGCCTGCACTCGCTGGCCAAGGCATACATCACCGAGACGCGCGGCTACCTGTCCGCCAAGCGTGACGAGTTTGCCTGCGACACGCCCAAGGCGTACCTCGCTCGCGACCTCTTGGCTCTGGACGGATGCTCCGGAACGCTGGCTGCCAATGTCGACGGACAGCCATTCTACGCCACGTATGAGCCTGCCAGGGACGGCAACCCCGATTTCTGGGGCTGGAAGGACGACGACGAGCCGCACCCGTGGGACTTTGAGGTCAAGAAGGTCAGCGGCGAGATCGTTGTCCAGCTCTGGCAGACACACGACGACAAGCGCATCCCGTTCGAGGTGCCAGGTGATGACGTTCTGAAACGCCACACCTCGTTCCACGCCATCGTTCAACCCGGCACGGGCTTTGTTTCGCTCACGCTGGGCAGCTCTGGGATGCCTCTGCAGACGTGGAAGGAGAACGAGGTCCCCGCCCAGCGTGTCTTGAAGGCTGGAGAGGCAAAGCCCGTGGCACCGTTTGCCTTCCGTCTGACCCCCTTCTGCTGTGCCCACAAGCCGGCCCCGTGGCCATTCTACCGCGACGACCCGCTTGCGTCGGGCATCCTCGACGCGCGTGCCGAAAAGGTCCGGTCGTTCAACGCGTCGCAGATGACGACGTTGTGCTCTCGTCTCAGCGCCGCCGATCAAGTCGCCGAGAACCGCATTGAGAAGCTCAACGCAATGCCCCAGCCTGTCGTGCTTGACCAGGCACAGCTGCCCACCGGTCGTCCTGCCGACTGGCGTGTGCGCAAGCTCGACACATGTACCAACCTCTGCGACCACCCGACCATCTGTGTGGACACGGGCGACTGTGCGTGCGGTCAGGCGACCTGCTCGCCCATCCAGCGCTTCCCGTTCGCGGCGCAGGCCAACCTGCCTGGCCTGTCGTACCCTCCCGAGACCTTTGACTGGGACGACGTGACGGCCAAGGACCCCGCAGCGCTCGTTGCGGCAGTTGAGAAGAGCACGTGGCTCAACGTCCTCCGTCCGTCGGCCCGCCGATACCTCTCTCGCACGCCTGCCTTCCCCGCCACTGCCGTCGCCAGGTGTCCCAACGACGTCGAGGAGAAGAAGAAGAATGACGCAGAGTCGTTTGAAAAGCTCCAGACCGAGTGGCACGGCTGTTTCTCCGCCGACTCTGTCATGGAGCGCGGCGCAAAGTTGATTGCAAAGGACTATAGCCCTGGTTCGCTGGTCTTCCTGCCATACTATGCCTACAACGGCGGCCTGAGGGTGAGCTATTCGTGCTGTAGGTTGAAAGCTGACAACAGTTCCCCGAGATCCCACCATGGGTTGCGCACGCTGTCGAGCCCTACCCCAAGGACTTTGACGTGAGCGACCTGATGATGCCGTTCACGTTCGACTGGGGCCGCTGCAACACGATCCTTCACAACCTGTACCGCGTCCGCGACTGGAGTTCCACCCCGGACGAGATTGTGCGCGCGTCGGCCTGGCAGCCAATGGGCGACCTGAACAGCCCTTGCTACTTTATGGACCAGGACGTGGTTATCCCCGCACGTACCTGCCTGCAGGACAAGCTCCGTGAGCGCTTTGGCGCCATTTCGCATGTGCCACCGTCGCGTGCGCGCTCGGTCCTCGTCACATTCAAGGGCAGCCCGAACGGTGCCGGATCGTCTGTCCGCCAAAAGCTGTCGTGTGACCGTGTGCGCAGCACCGAGCCGGCCAACCTGCTCGGCGGACATGCGCTCAAGGCGTTCTGGAACGAGCTCAAGCCCGGAGCGGACTACCTCGAGACCATTGCCGACACGGTCTTCTGCCCCCTGCCTCGCGGTACAACCGGCTGGGCCACGCGCATGAATGATGTGATCTATGGGTGAGTTGAGAGCTTTTGTTGAACGTCCAACTGACAACCCCCAGTGGCTGTATCCCCGTTCTTCTTGGAGACCAGACCCACCACCCGTTCTGGGACATTCTGGACTGGTCCAAGATCAGTGTCACCGTGCCCGACTATGAGATTGAGAACCTCGAGTCCATCCTCATGTCGTACACGTGGGCCGAGATCCAGCGCATGCAGACCAACCTCATCCTCGTCCGCGACGCGTTCCTCTACCCGTCCGAGGGCGACATGTTCTCCAACACGCGTGACCGCGGACCATTCTTCTTCGCCATCCACTCGGCATCGCTGCTCAAGCAGACCAAGTTCCCCACCTAAGGAAGGAAGATGGGAAGATGGGGGTTTCCATGGCTTGCTCGGCCTCTTCCAGTCTCCACACACACACGCACACAACACCCTCGAACAATGGACCATTTCACACCTACAACCATCATCCAATACCATTACCATACACCGTTGTACCAATAGTTTACGTTCCATGTCACTGCTTGTTTCTGGGCCCCCACCCAGCCCAAGCAGGCTCTGCTGGAATAGACCGAGAAGCGCACACACCCTCGGCAGATCGGCAGAAGGCAAATGGGGGGTTACCTCGCCGCCCCGTTTTCCTTGCCTCCACTTTCCCATATTCTCATCACCGGCGCCAACCGCGCCAACACCGCCGCCGCGGACCGCTCCGCCACCTCCACACACACCCCCGTGCTTGAATTGACCCTGTTGGCAAACATGGCTGCACAGAGTGGACGCCAAGAGCCTTGAGCGGGGAGACTAAAACCTGTGGCCTGTGGCATTGGTATTAAGACGAGTGCAGGGGGGGAAGGGAAGGAGGGTTCCAACTGCCGGTGCCTGCGTTGGTTGCTGCCACTACTGTACCACCTTGTTCTGGCCTGTTCCGCCAAGCACACCTCCACAGTCGGTCTGGAAAGCGTGAGCAGAGCAGAACGAAGACAGTGTGCGCGCAGTCTGTAGAGTGCAGTGCCATGTATGACGGGGAGCAGGACACAGCCACTGTATAAACAGCCAGGAAGCAGCCCGTTTTGATCTCGGCCAAAAGCCAAGCCCAAGCCCAAGCCCAGCGCTTGCCTATGTGGTCATCGCCGAAACCCATGTTTTTGCGGGTGAGTCATGCGCGCAAGAGTGTCGCACATGCCCGTCGCCAAACGACATTGCGCTCGATAGCGAAATGTCGGTGCAAGGACGCCGAGATGGGTGGTGGTGTGATACCCCACAGTGTTTCCAGCAGCGAAGCAAAAAGATGCACCATGAGCATGGCCATGTCTGGGAGTGCGGTCGATGCATATGCTGTCGTCAACCACCAACATGTATACCTGTATGAGGCAGGGGGTGACCAACTGTGCGTGTCTGACTGGTGCGCCGGATTCTCGGTGCATCTAATATCCCCCCAGGCTGTGGATCTCGGCCACCACCGGGTGTGCCGTGCCGTGCCGTCGCTTGCCGGCTGAACCGCACCATCCCGCCGGGCCGACGGCCGGGAGGGAGGGAGGGAAGGCGACCTGGGGTGGGCGACCAAGAGGGCGACGGCGATTACTCGATGGGCAAAAGGCAAACGGGCAGCAAGCACAGTACTTTTACCCACTCACTCCCACTTACCTGGACCCTCGTCCTCTCTCCCTCTTCTCCATACACAGCTAGATAGCTACTTACCTCACCATGTCCTCCAACAACAACGGCGCCTGCGAGGGCTGTACCTGCGGCCGCGCCGAGGGCGGCGCTGCTCCCGAGGCGTTCCCCGTCAACGGCGTGGGACCCGCAAACGTCGCCGACTACGAGTCGTTCCCGCGCGAACCCCGCTCCTTTACCGCTCCCCCCGAGGGCGTGTATGCGCCTGTCGAGACCTCGTCCGGTCCCAAGGTGCCCCTGCGCTCCAAGAAGTGGTTCAACGACCTCGAGGACCCAGGTGAGTGCACAAAGTTAGATCGCTCCCCGGTGATTGCTCAGCTGACACACACTCGTAGGAATGACGTCCATCTACCTCGAGCGCTACATGAACTTTGGCCTGACGCTCCCCGAGCTCCAGGAGGAGAAGCGTCCCGTCATTGGTATTGCCCAGACCGGCTCAGACCTGTCGCCCTGCAACCGCCACCACATCGAGCTCGCCAAGCGTGTGCGCGACGGTATCATCGCTGCCGGCGGTACCCCGCTCGAGTTCCCCTGCCACCCCATCCAGGAGACTGGCAAGCGCCCCACGGCATCGCTGGACCGCAACCTGTCATATCTGTCGCTTGTCGAGGTGCTGTACGGCTACCCTCTGGACGGTGTTGTGCTGCTCACTGGCTGTGACAAGACGTGAGCTTTCAAACTCCCTGACACGTGAGCTAACAGACCAGCACCCCGGCCATGCTGATGGCTGCCGCAACAATGAACATTCCCGCGCTGTGCTTGAACGTCGGCCCCATGCTCAACGGCTACAGCACCGACGGCAAGCGCCTCATGGGCTCTGGCTCGGTGGCGTGGGACAGCCGCGCACAGTACGTGACGGGCAAGATCACTGCGCAGGAGTTTGTGCACAACATGGCGCTGTCGGCGCCCAGTGTGGGCCACTGCAACACCATGGGCACGGCGTCGACGATGAACGCCCTCGCCGAGGCCCTCGGCATGGCTCTGCCGGGCTCGGCGGCCATTCCCGCCGCGTACCGCGAGCGTGGCGCGTGCGCGTACCAGACGGGCCGCCGCATCGTCGACATGGTCCGCCAGGACCTCAAGCCGTCCGAGATCCTCACCAAGGAGGCCTTTGAGAACGCCATTGCGTGCAACACGGCCATTGGCGGCTCCACCAACGCGCCCATCCACCTCTGCGCTATTGCCAAGCACATGGGCGTCGAGCTCAGCACCGCCGACTGGGAGCGCGTCGGCTACGAGCTGCCCGTCATTGTCAACGTCAAGCCCGCGGGCGCCTGGCTGTGTGAGGAGTACTATCGCGCCGGCGGCCTGCCATCTGTCATTGCCGAGCTCCTCGAGAACGGCAAGCTGCCGCACCCCAACGCCCTGACGTGCACGGGCAAGTCGGTGTCGGATAACTGCAAGGGCGAGTTCTCGCTCGACCGCCGCGTGATCATGCCGTTTGACAAGCCCCTCAAGTCGCACGGCGGCTTCCTCAACCTCCACGGCAACCTGTTCGACAGCGCCATCATGAAGACGTCGGTCATCTCAGACAAGTTCCGCAAGCAGTGGCTCGAGAACCCCGAGGACCCCATGGCCTTTGAGGGTGCCGTCGTGGTCTTTGATGGTCCCGAGGACTACACCCGGCGCATCAACAAGATGACCACCATTGACGCGCGCACCATCCTCATTATGCGTGGCGCCGGCCCACAAGGATACCCGGGTGCCGCCGAGGTCGTCAACATGCTCCCGCCCGCCGAGCTCATCAAGCAGGGTCTCGAGCTGCCGTGTATCGGCGACGGCAGGCAGAGCGGCACGTGCGGCACTCCGGCCATCCTCAACGCGTCCCCCGAGGCCGCGTCCGGCGGCATGCTCGGCTACCTGCGCGACGGCGACGTGGTGCGCGTCGACCTCAACAAGCGCACCGCCAACGTCATGCTCACCGACGAGCAGATTGCCGAGCGCAAGGTGCAAGTGGGCTCGTACCAGGAGAACAAGATGCCCAAGAACCAGACACCCTGGCAGGAGATCTTCCGCGACTCGGTCAGCGAGCTCTCGGACGGCATGGTCCTCAAGCAGGCCACAAAGTACCAGCGTATCGCACAGACCATGCCCACCCCGCGCCAGAACCACTAGTGTATTTATTTGTTAGGCTGTACATTGCACCATGTTACCGATGAAGAGATCTGACAGGTGGGAGGTACTGTGGGAGACGCCTGTGAAAAGCGTAGCGCGAGTTGGATCGTCTGCCGCGGGAACACAAGGCAAGAAAGGCCAATGTTCCTCTCCAAGTTTTACACCACAACGATCCTATCTCCACGACATTGTCGATGAACATCAAGGCGATTTAGCTCAGTTGGTTAGAGCGTGTGCTTAACACTTGGATCCTCTGGATCGAGCGTTGCGCACAAGGTCGGCGGTTCGACCCCGTCAAACGTCATTTTTGGCTCTCCGTACATGTCCCAGAGGTCCCCGTCCATCCCCCAAGCATCGGGACGGGTACGAGGTACATGACGGGGCAGGACGAGGCGTAGCAGCTGCGTTCAGGGATGAAATGGCATGGGAGGCGGAGAGAAAAAACTCGCCGCAATCACACCGACGCGGCGCTTCTCTTGCCATTTTCTCAGTTGCCCTTGTCCTGCAGCCACGCAGACGTCGAAAGCACCCACTCTGGCACTCGACGCGGCAACCCAGGCGACGTGGGGACGCTCTCATCGAGGTGCAACCGCCCAAATGACAAACATGATCGGCCGCTTAGCTCAGCTGGTTAGAGCATCGTACTAATACCCAGAGCCTTGGTTACTAGTCCATGCGGAGGTCGGCAGTTCGATCCTGTCAGTGGTCATCTCTTTTGCCTCCCGTGCCACCTGCACGGCGCCGGGCAGCGTTTTTGGACGGTTGGTGGACGCGGGGGAAGGTGAGGTGGTTGGTGGGGCTTGGGGGGCGCCGGACGGGAAAATGTCGAAAATTCTGGCGAAAAAAAAAATCTACTTCCGCGCTGTTCTGTTTTGGAGGCTTAGCCATTTCAGTCTGTCTGTGGAGGAGGTCTCCCGTGGTCATGGCGGTAAACCGAGCCGCGCGCGTGTGGAGGGCATCACCCCGCGTGCATGTACGCCCGCAGGTCGCTGAAAAGGGCCGTTGGGAACGCTCGCGCTCGACACAGAAACGCTGTTGATGTATTCGGCGAGATGGCCGAGCGGTCTAAGGCGCTGTGTTAAGGTGACTCCCTCCTTCGAGCATCAAGGAAGAGCTCATCCGCAGTCTTCGGACGTGGGTTCGAATCCCACTCTCGTCAGCAGAGGATTCAGTTCCTCCCAAGCCAACCTTTTTGGCGTTTGGGGGGCCAAGGACGACGGTCGGAGGAGGAGGCGATGGCCGACGACACAGTGCCACATTGGACGGGTATATTGCGGTGCTCCAGCGCTTGCGTGCATGCCACAGCCCCTGGTGGGAGACCCGGAGGCCTGTGGCTGTCGTGCAGGCCTGTGACCGCCGCAGGTGTCGGTTGGAGGGAGCCATGGTGACAGGCATCTTGTACGAGGTCATAGTTTTCAGCGGATCGTTGAGAATGTGGCGCCGGCCGATTCATTATCTACGCCCCGCCCTTTTCGCCCCCGACGGCCATACCTCCCACGCTTTGGCAGTCAAACGTCTGGAGCATGCAGGAAGGTCTCACAAGACTGGCAGAGATGAGTTGAGGACAGAAGAAGGGGAGGTGCATTGGAGTACGAGGTCGAGGGTCAAGACAAGCGCGCTCCGAATTTTGCGCGCTGTATAAAAGTATAGACATGAGAAAGCGGCTGTAGTGTAGGTGGTTATCACTGTTCGTTGTGGCTGATTAGATCATAACTGAGCCAACCGCTGTTCGACTCAGCGCAGCCGCATGTTTTTGCCTGCAGGCATATGCATCTGCATGTGCACCACTTTCTTTTAGACCTCTGGTAGCTCTCCGGCGAGAGGTGTGGCATGGCGAGTTGATGGTGCTGATCACTTGGGACGTGAGTGGCAATCTGTGCGCCTCGGAATCACTGGTGTGTATCCCTTGCAGAGCGATAGGCTTGATGCGCTTGGTGATTACAAAGACATCGTTGTGTTAGCCCAGGCTGCTAGCGAGTCAGCATACGCGATCCACGGCCCACGGCCACACTATTGCTCGTCCACGAAATGCCTGCAGCGAGTGCTACGTTAATGGCAGCCATTGTGTTCGGCAAGGTGGTCGGCACAGGCACACTGTTACTCCCCGCACCCCAACGGTCTAACCCCGCACGCCACTACAGTAGCTTGGCGTGCGTGCCCACCTCTTTGGGTTCCCGCAGCACTCCTCTGCGACCATGCGTCCAGCTCGTCATCAGTCAGCCCCCCCCCCCCCCCGAGTGCTTGCTCTGAATCATGCAACAGCCGGCCTAGATGTGTAGCGCGTCCGTGCTCGGCCGCGGGGTTTAACGGATCTGCGTTCACTAGTTGAACGTTGTTGTCAACGCCAGCGGCCAGCGGCGATTAGGTCCACAAACAATGCCTACCATGAACGCCGCCGGCAACCAAACCTGGTTTTGACGCAAGATGATATACCCAGTTTCATGGTGCATCCATGGGGCCCAACCTTTTGAGATTGCTTTGACTACCATGAGCGACTCTGTAGGCGTACACGCGCCTACAACAACGCGTGAGCCCTCGGTGGCAAGAGTGGACGACTACACCTACACCAAGACCACAAAAGACAGTCTCTACGGTGGCGACAAGTTGGGGGATTCAGCAGGGAGCGAGTTGCCGGATTCCGAGACTGCAACACGGCTGTCCCGTGTGACTTCCACCACTGTCCATGAAGATGCAATTGTCGGTCACCATGCAGAAGTCAAGGAACTCGACGGCGAGGTCGTGACGTTTCCCGACGGCGGTTGGCGGGCGTGGCTCATCGTCATCGGCGCAATGCACATTCTGTTTGCGACCTTTGGCTTTGTTGTGAGTGGACACATCGATCTGTAATGTAACCCGCGACTAAACGTGCAGAACGCATGGGGCGTGTTCCAAAACTACTACAAGGAACACATGTTCCCCGACAAGACGACCAGCGACATGTAAGCCCAAGGTGCTCGAGTCATCATCAAGCTGACAGGCAGTGCATGGATCGGTTCACTGCAGTACCTGCTCATTTACCTGCCGTCGGCGCCGATGGGCCGCCTGGTGGACGAGTCCAAGTTCAAATGGCCATTCTGGACCGCATCGTTACTGTACCCCGTATCCATCTTCCTCACCGCCCAGGTCAAGACATACTGGCAGGCCATCTTGGCGCACGGTATCCTCTTTGGCACTGCCGCCGGCATCTTGTTCTGCCCGGCCATTGCCATCGTGACACACTGGTGTGAGTGGAGCCGTCGCTTACAATTTGCCGAAGCCGAATGGCACGTTTGCTGACAACACTACAGTCTACTACCGCCGCGCGCTCGCCCTTGGCGTGGTGGCCATCGCCAGCTCCCTTGGTGGAACCATCTTCCCTATCCTAGTGTCAAAGTAGGTCCAGCTGACTAAAATTCTGAAAAGCACCCACCAGCTAACACGTTCCCAGCTGCCTGAAGACACTCGGCTTTCCATGGACGATGCGCATCTGCGGCTTTGTGCTGCTATACTGCTGCACGTTTGCTAGCTTTGTCCTCCGGACACGTCTCCCTCCAAAGGCCGCTCCGGGAGGCATGTTCAACTGGCCCGCGTTCAAGATCCCGTCGTACGCATGCTTTGTGTTTGCGGGCTTCCTCATCCAGGCGGGCCTGTACACTCCGCTTTCGTACATCGATGTAATGGCGACGCGAGAGGGCCTGGGCAGCTACAGCACATACCTCGTCGCCATTGCCAACGCGTTTTCAATGGTGGGACGTATCGGCCCGGCGTTCTTTGCCGACAAGACTGGCGCGCTCAACATTCTCATTCCTGGGTTGATAGGCAGTGCCATCACGACGTTTGCCTGGCCGTTTGCGCACACCAAAGCGAGCCTCACGGTCGTGGCGGCCATCAACGGCGTGTTCCAAGGCTGCTTTGTCTCGCTCCTCGCCCCGGCCAGCGCCGCGCTGGGCAACATCGAGGATGCCGGCCGCAGGTTCGGCGTCCTGTCGACTGTCGGCGCGTTTGGATCGCTTCTCTCCGCACCAGTGTCAGGCGTCCTCCTGGAAAAGACCGACTTCCACGGCGTGTCATATTATGCTGGCTCGATGATTCTCGGCGGCGCCTTGTTCTTTGTGTTGGCGCGCTACTTCCACCTGGGAGGGTGGAGTGGGCGGTTGTAAGATGGGTTGTGGAGAGATTAGAAGAGATAATAGGAGTGGTTAGACATCGCATCGGACTTGTATCGTATTGCACAACCTTGAATGCACCGCACTGTCAGTAGCCTGGTGAGTTGCTGGAGGGCGATGACCTGTTGAGGGGCCGACCCAGCACAAGGCAAGCAGTAGGCCCCGGGGGGCTGGTCTGTCACTCGCGAAGCGGCTCGTGCCTTCCCCATCACCGTGGTTGGCCATGGCCTGGATGTTATGCCCCGTCGCGTCCCCAAGACAGGCGGTGGAGAGTGACATGTCAGTATCCGTGACGCACGCGTCTTGCCATGCCTAAAGGTCTATCATCACACTAATGCAGCCATCTCTACTTGCGGGCGCGGAGCATCTGGACGAGCTGCACACGCTGGCGGATCTGATACCGTCAGCCATGGCCCGGTTCTCTGGCTCTTGTAAAAAGGACTCACCTCCTCCTGGAAACGACGACGGAAGCGCAGGCCCTTTGTACGCCACCTCAGAACGTTGGGCTTGATGTGGTACTCGCCCGCGCGGATATCCCTCTTGGCGCCGGTGCTGCCCATGATGCCGTTCACGGTGCGCTGAGCAATAGCGTAGGTCTTGTGCATGACGGCCTCGCTGCGGCCCGTGAACTGGTTTCCGGGCCAGGCGTCGTTCTTGTTCAACGACCCGTCGTCGCGCCACCACGCGTCGGGCTCGGTGTCCTTCTCGGGGATGACGTTCTGTCCAAACTCAAACTTTGGCAGGCCTCTGAAGCGAGAGGTCGAGGTGGGGCCCGGAGCAGGAGCGGCGGCAGAGTCCCTGGTGGTGAAGCCCTGGTCGACGAACGAGGTTGGCTTGGACCACGAAGACGAGAAGCGGACAGCAGAAACAGTCGACGAGGACGAGGCGACGGGAGAAAGGCGGAGCGCCTGGGCGGCGAGGCCGGACTGGCGGGCTGCCGGGGTGTTGACGACGCTCCTGGCGGCGTAGAGTGTGCGGAAGGCGGCCGACATGGTGTGGGATGGAGACGAGGTGGAATCGAGATTGATTTCAGTTGTGCGCGCAAAGAAAACGGCCAGAGCGATCCATCTTTCGTTCCGATGCCCTCCCACAATTTGCTTCCGTCAATCCTACCTCGCCCGGTGGAGGGGGTCCGTTCTGTTGCTTGTTGGTTGCTCCTGTTCCTTCCTACTGCGGCAGCGAGCTCGCATTCTTGCATGTGCAAATGCGTCTGGCAGCTGCTTGTTTGCCTGGTGTACTACCTGCTTGGCCATCTGACAAGCGAGTTGCTTTTCGGTGTTTGCTACGCCGCTCTGTCCGAGAAACCGGAGAGACACCTGTGACAACCTCGGCTCACCGCGGTTGCTTGTGCCGTCGTCGAGGCTCTCCAAGTCCAGCCTCTCGCCCTCACCATTGATCCATTGAATTGGGGGAGTTACAAGACAGGAACAAAGTGCAAATGATTACAGATCTGTAGCACAGCGTTTGGAATAGATTGCCGACCATGACACGCACATCAAACAAGGCGGCGAGCGGCAGTGCCCACTGGACCTGATGGCTGTCGTGGCTGTTCCCCCGTATGCACGCCCAGACACCTGCTGTAAGCCAGTGGGCCTTGACCATGTCAGCATGTGGCCGGTGGTCCTATCAGATCTCGCATTCCAGCACGAAGAGTAAGTAGGTCGTGCCAACGGCGCTAAGCTAGCAAGCGAGCGAGAGCCTGAGAAATATCCGACTAAAATGGACATCCGCGGTATCTCAGCGACAGCATTGTTCCATCATCAACCCATCAGCAATCTAGCATTAGATCGATCATATCATGAGCGACGACCTCGCGTCGGAACGAGTGATCCGACGCCGGCGGGGTCCATTCAAGCGGTCACGAACAGGATGTGAGTGAGAGGGTGTGGTGGCAACGCTGATCCATTCACAGGCCGTACTTGCAAGAGGTTCGTTGGCGGGTGCAACTGGATCTAGGGCGGTCGTGTTTTGCTGACTGATGACAGACGAGGTAAAAAGTGCGACGAGATGTGGTCGCCCGAGGGATTCTGTCAGCGTTGTCTGGCTGGTCCATGGGAGTGCAGTGGTCGCTCGTCGGGACCCTCGCACGACATCGACGGCGGACCTTCCCTCCCACACATCAACAACAACGCGGTCGCCAGTGGATCAGACCCCCTACATCACGTGCCTTCTGCGTCAGCACCACTGATCGTGTCCTCGACACCATCGATGAGACCCGTGTTGTCATCGACAAGTGTCTTCGACTCGAGCGGTTCGGGGAGCGTCACGAGCGGCCCAAGTCCCCTTCTCCCCGCATCTGTAGGTACGGCTGCCCCCCCATCCGCACCGCCTCTCGCCCCACCTGCGTTGAATGGCTTCCAGAGCTTTACTGGTCTTCGTCCGCCTGCGACCGGTACAAGTGGATACATCAACCACACCGCTGCTCCCGCCGAAGTTGGTCGGGTGGCGAATGGCTTTCCGCAGCCGTTGTTTGACTGGCCTGGGGCCGTACCCAGCGCCGTCCTCACGACATGCCCCGATGGCACGCTCGCAATCGACGCGCCGTCGTTGCCACTGCCGATGGATCCAGGGGTTCAAGAGTTCTGGAATGAACTGAGCACAACGACGTTTACACTCGACCCGCCAAACCAGTCCTTCAACTCGAGCTCTCGCGTTCTGTTCCTCAATTCGGATCGGCCGATGCGCCAAGGTGTCTCTCTCGCCGAAATCTACGCCAGAGTCGTAGAGTCCTGGCTCGTGGGCTTGCCTGGACCTACGCGCGACTATGCACGAGCTCGCATCCTTGCTCTTAATGACAGTAACAGTGAGTTGTGTGTTCCCCGCGCGCGCCCGCTTGATCTAACCCACAAGACGTTATGCGTGCAGTACGCTACGCCGTGGCAACAGCCTACATCTTCCTGTTCGCTTCGCACCCACACGGCGAGATCCCGAACCCACGTCCCAAGCTGGTCGAGCTCGCGTGCCGCGGCGCGGGTATCCTGGACCTCAACGGCGAGAGACGCGGATCTGGCAGCGACGAGGACGCCCGTGGCGGCGGAGCCACCCGTAAACTGCGCCTGTACGTTGACCACGTGTCGACTCCCTTCGCCGAAGACCTCGAGAGCACCAAGTGGACCGAAGACGCCGTGCGCGAGCTGCACATTACCGTGGTAACCACGCGCCAGCAGCTGAGTGACCTGCTATGGGGCGTGATTGACCTGCAACTGGTTGAATTTATCCGTGGTGGCGCCGCACCGAGCTACAACATGCTCGCGCTCGGTGACCGCCTGGTCCGCCAGTACTTTCAGAGCGACCATCCAGAAGTTACCCTCAATGACCTGCGCAAACCCGAGTCTTTTTCGCTTCGCCTGTACGCTCTGTCCGACATCAGCAGATGCATCGTGCAGCGCGGTCGCAAGACCATCTTTTCCTTCCGCACCGACCCCAATGCCCAGGAGACGTTGGAGGACGAGCCATGGAGCACATACCTCGGCCTACCCGACTCAATCGTCATCCTCCTCGCGGAAATTGTCAACCTCGGCGCCGACGTGGCCACCGAGTCGGTCGAGCATGTTCGCCGCCGCGCCGAGGAGCTCGATACCCAGCTCTTCCAGTGGCAGCGGCCACCCACCAACCCCTCTGGCGGGGTGGACAGCTCGGCCCTGGTATCGCGGACGATTGCAGGCGAGCTGTGGCGCCTGTGCGCCATCGTCCTGCTGTACCAGAGCGTCTACCGCGTCGGCGGCCTGCACCCAGTCCTGCGCCGCGCCCAAGGCGAGATCCTCAGTCTGCTGGCCAGCGTCACTCGCCTCCCCAACGGCGACCTGTGGGGGTTCATCGCCCTCCCGGCATTCCTCGCCGCGTGCCTCAGCGTCACGGACGACGACCGCAAAGCCTCCCTGGGGTTTCTGAACCGTACGGGCCCCGAGCGCGTTTGGCTCGACAACATTGCCCTTGTGGAGAAGGTGTGGGAGGAGACGGACAGTACGGGCCACCTGGTCGATTGGCACGACAAGATGGTGCGCGAGGGCTTGTCTGTGGCGTTTTTCTGAGACAAAGAGTCAAAAGTAGTCAAACCTGTAGCAATAGCATGCCAGTTACCGCCGTGTGTACATCTACCAGGGGGAGGAGAGCACGGCGACGCAGGTGTTATTCTCATGGCGAAACGGAATCTGGAACACTGGCGCATCGCAGGCCGCCCATTTGATGTGTCGGCAGGCGGAGCATTGCCAGTCGGACATGTCAACCCGAGATTGTGTCTCGGCCCGTGGTGATCGCCCAGTTTTGGCAAGTTGGGCCCCCGTAACAGGACAGCTCAATGACGGGGCTTTGTGGCATTGAACAGTGTCAACAAGAGGTGTCCCAGTGCGCAGCCTGTGGCGCACCACACCCCGGGAAGATGGCGTGAAAGTGTTGACGCGGCAACACGGCCTACTGTAAGTGCAGCGGGACATGCACTAGCGTCGGGACGGACGCGTTTTAGTGGCGCGACGATGAGTCATACATGCCCAGTAGCACCAAGCTGCGAGCAATCGAGAGACCGCGAGAGACCCACCAGGCGACAGACAGCCCACGGACGGATAAACGGGCCTGTGAGTCATAAGACCGGCAGACTACCCTGACCAAACCCGCCGTACCCACATCCACCGGTTTGGAGCCTCTTAATGAATTAATGAATTTCGCCGCACGTTCCCCAACGACACACCCCACAAAGTGCCTCGCAACTGCCGCACACAAAGTTTATCGGGACTGTCTCTCCCTGGTGTCCTCCATGTATCTTATCATGGGTATGTGGTTCGTAGGGCGCCACGTTGGGTTGGGTTGGGTTGAATCTCCAAGTCGATTCATAAAGGCGCTTCCGGAGCACACTAGAAAACATAATCTACTATAACGGCCGTGTATAGCAGAGCAAATACATAAACGTTTATGTTTGTGTTGGGTAGGACGTTATTTCACGAGACGTTGCTTTTCGTCTTTTCTTTTTGGATTTTGTTTTGTTTGTTTTTTGGTATCGAGAAAACCAACCCCTAAAACGAGCTTGTCGACCGTCGTCCAAATGATACACTTTTTGCGATACAAGAGAGCAAGAGCACCACACCCACCGCCTTGGTGGGGAGGGGATCGGGATCGCGGCCCCCCTCAGAGCGCTGTCCTGCCGTACGTCTCCACGGGGAGGAAGCACATGATGACGCCGGTAGCCACAAAGATGCCGGCCGCGGCGAAGACGGGTCCGTCGGGCGTGGTTGCGGCCGCCGAGTAGATGGCGATGATGGGCGAGAAGAAGCCGGTGATACGGTTGAACGACGCGCAGAGGGCGTCACCGGTGCCACGGACTGGGGTGGGGAAGAGCTCGGGAGCGTAGCCAAAGAGCACACCGTAGAAGGCGTTCTCCATAAAGGCGGCGATACAGGTGAGGGCGTTGATCGTGGGGTAGTTGCGCGCAGCGGTGAGTCCGAAGAGGAAGACACCCGCGCCGGCGGTGAAGAAGGCCATGGAGAACTTGCGTCCGGCGCGCGACCAGGTGACGAGGTACGCGGCGGCCATGGATCCGGGGACACCGCATGCGGCCTGGTACGTGTATGCCGAGTAGGTGTCGTTGACGGAACCGCTGCCGAGCTGAGCACCCTTCTTGGAGAGGTAGCCGGTGAGGAACTGGTTGTAGAGAGGGTAGGCAAGACCGACAGCACCGTAACAGAAGATGATCAGCGAGGTCGAGTATGCGAGACGCTTGGTGCCGAACAGAGTCTTGAGCTTGTCACCGCTGACGTCCTCCATCGAGTTCTTGATGAGCTCCCAGACTGAGAACTTTGTGTCATACTTGGCCTGGTTGGCGCGGTCCTGGTCGTCCATGTACGGGGCAGCGGCGTTCTGGAGGTCCTCGACGGTGAGGGTCGATGTCTTGCCGTTACGCTTGGCGAGCTTGTGGATGGTCTCGACGGCCTCGTGGTCCTTGCCGACGGACGCAAGGAACTTGGGCGACTCGTAGACGGGGAGGGCATAGATGCGAAGCGCCCAGAGGAACAGCATCATGGCGCCGAGGGTGTAGTAGGTGTAGCGCCAGCCCGAGTTGTCGGCCTTGGTGCACCAAGCGGCGCCAGTAGGGGGAGGGTTCTCCGAGTCACGGACACAGCCGTACTTGGCAATGAACGCCCACGAAATGAGGGACGCGACAACCTGGCCGATAGCCCACCAGAGGGAGAGCAAGGTCAGAAGCCACTGGTGGCTGCCGGGCATAAACTCGAGGAACATGGTGCCGTCGACAGGCAAGTTGCCGCCGACACCAAAGCCGATCAGTGCCACAAAGGTGCAGAAGACGATAAAGTTGGGCGCGGCACCGGCACAGATGCCAAAGAGACCACCGATGAACAAGGTCGAGTTCCAGGCAATGCGGCGGCTGTGAGGGAGATATTAGTACCAGTGATTTGGTTGGAATAGGCACCCGCATTCCTAATCGTTTAAACAGACGTACCCGATAATGTCCGCGGTGATGCCCCAGAAGGTAGCGCCGCAGATAAGACCAGCGTAGAGGGCCAGTGTGGCGAAACGAACGTTGGGGTAGCCCTCCCACTCGTACGAGACCGACTGCATGACAATGGCGACGGCCTGGAGCCAGCTGTAGAAGAGCGCACGTCAGCATGCTGTTGGGTGGCGTTCCGGAGAATCGGCAAATATTTGGGCCATTAGGAGACCGATGAGGACATGGAAATCACACAGCGGGTGAATTGAGCGTCCGAGACATCCCCCCCCCCCCCCCGGCGACCTGCCCGCCACACAGGCCACTCGACATGGCCTTGCCAGTTGGTAATGCTCGCAGTCGTCGCAGCCGTCGCAACCTCTCTGCACGACCTGCCTGCAGAGCCATATAGCAGAGCGGGGGTACAGGTGCACCACCGCGGAAGCAAATGGAAGTACGTATCTGCAGCATTATCGCCCCCCCCATGTGACTGGAAACGATAATGGCTCCAGACGGGTGGATCTGCGGTGCCGCACCGTAAATTGGCACCACTATCGATCCCCCCATTCCAGCGTGTTCGGTGGGTCCTCTCCTCCTCTGCCTTTCTCACGTCTCCACCGGTGCGATTTGCCTCCCATTCTGCCACTCACATGTTGTCAGCAAACCAGCCAAAGCCGCCGCTGAAGAACAGCTCGTATTGGTAGCGTCCCATGCCGATGTCGGCAATGGCGTTGTTGAGAATGTTGGCCTTGGCGAGGAAGGCAGGCTTGAGGCCCTCTTGCTGGGCGATGAGGGTCGTGTCCGAGATGAGGGACTCAGTGTCGACGTTGTAGTTGTGCTTTGCCTTGGACCCGTCAATGTCGTTGACGGAGACGGTGGTGTCACCAAGTGGCGGGGTCACAGAGCCAGAGGTGCTGGGGCCACTGACTACCTGGTGGTGGTCCTTGGCGCCGATTGGCTTCTCCTCGTAGTCGGACATGGTGCGGTGGGGCGGTGGGGTGGCAAAGTGGCGTGCAGTGGCAAAGCGGGGGGGGCAATGTGAGGTGCAAGTCGTGGGTCTCGTGAGTCGTTCAAGCTGTACCAGCCAACTCTTTTCGCTCGTGTGATGAGGAGAGCGATTGAAAGGAGGTGAAAGAAACGGGTGGGATGGAGAGGGGAAGAAGCGCTGGGTTCTTGGGTCCCCCTTTTTGGGTGCTTGGCTGTCGATCCTTCAAGCACACCGCGCCTCTGAGCATTGTGTGTGTGTGTGTGAGTGCTGGCTGTAGACGCGGCGGCGCGCTGCCTTGCCCAAGGTGGGTAGGTAGGTGTGGGATGGTTCTCCTTGCGAAATGCTTGGGTGGTATGCCACCTGCGTTGGCCCCCTCTTCCGCTCCCTGATACTCGTCCGAGGCTACCTGAGGTATCCTGCGACGCACTCGTGCTTGATGGCAGTTTCTGCCCCCTTTCTCCCTCCTCCCCTCTCCTTGGCGACCTCTGTGCGGGTACTCGGTGCACATTGCATGGCACGCACGCGGGTGGGTGGTTAAAAGGACGTCCCTCTGCTCGTCTGCCCACGACCTCTGCTTGAGTGCTGTCCTGCGCTTGCTGCTGCGTGTGGCGGCGGCATTGACCGAGTGCCCTGACGGTAATGCGTCAATAACACCACCCACCCGAACTACGTCAAGCGTCCAAACTCCCCCCCCCTGCGTCACAGATGGTCCATCTGACCGGACCTGGCAACCCCCAGGCGACGACGACGCACAAGGGGGAAAGAGAGGGGGAGTAAAAGACCTCAGGAGTCCGTGATATATCTCAGATTGCCGACCGCTGATTCGATAACACACACCCCCACCACGCTGCTCCACCTGTGGCCTTGTGGGCAATCACCGCGGGGCAACGTTGGAGCCTCTGACCTGCCATGCCGGTCTGGCAGCGACATCAGTGGCTTGAACGATAATTCGGGCTTGTCAGCTAAAGTGCACACTAGTAGGCTCGTGGGTATGGACTTTGGCCTTTGGATCCGACGATGTAGAACAAAAAGTCTCCAGCTTGATTCTTCTCATCGGGCTTGCCATCTCGTCCGACAGCCGCATTGCTCATACTAAGGGATGCCACCTCATGGTGGCGATGGTGGCGATGGGTGGCGTTGAGCGCGTGACGCCAACGGTCATGCACCCCGCTTTTCCCATGCCTCTTCGCTGTGTCCTGCTGCAGGCTTGGCAGTGCACAAAGGTGGCGACGACCCAACCCGGGTTGACCCCGTGGCCCCCGTCGCCCTCCACGGGGGTGGTCACGTTCCCTGGGTGGGGCGGGCAAGGACGAGCTGAACGGGTCCCCGGCGACGAGCACAGAGTTCTATACGACTGCCGCCGCATCAATGGTCGTGGGTTCCGCGTACCGCGGGCATAAAAACCCATATAGGCACCCCCTTGTCCACTCCAGGCCTCGCGAGGCGGGCCAGGCCACAAGCGCACACAAGCAGGAACCACCATTAGCAGCAGACGCGAGCCTGGCACTTTGGCACCGCATAATCAAAAGCACGTCGGGCACACGATCATGTAAACGGCCCCCCCCCCCCCCCCCCCCGTCGTACACATGACATTGCAAACCGCTGACCGGTCTTGTGCCGCGCATGTTCACGCAAAAGGGTTGAGAAAGCCGCCCGCCCGCCTCAGATGATGCACACTTTTTACTGCGGTGGATACAGGAACAGACGCGCTGGTTTCAGGACACATAAAGTGGATCCTCTCTGCTCTTGGCAAGACCCAAAGGGGTGGTTTGCTGGTGCACCGCAACGGTGGTACACTCTCTCTGCCGGCAATCCAACAAAAGCAGCGAGAGAGACGCCCGCCCGCCGGGGCCTGGGAGGTGTCGGGCCCGTTGCTCTCCCGTATGTGGCTATGTGGTGTCTATTAGCCGCCCGCGTTTGTCCGCGTAAACCGTAAAAAAAGGTGTCAGTCTCGTCCTTGTTATTTTGCTCGTTCCTAGGTTTTGCACTGCAAACCTATTGGCCCTTTTTGGATCGATTTTGAAAACCACCGGACCGGTGAACAATTACTGGGTCAATGTGCGCCACTGCGTGGGTGCGGGGGTTGCCATGTGCTGTCAGGCGGGGGGGTGACGCCGCACCTTGACGAGGAACGAGGGGGACCCCTCTCGTATTTCACCCTGCGTGGGCTACTGTACCTCGTCCTCGGTCTCGCTCGCAGCTGTGCAGCCGCCTGCCGTGTTGCTCGGAGCGGCGGCGGCAGGGGCTGTGGGGGAGAGGGAAAACACAGGAGAAACCGGAGTAATCCAGTGGGCACTATCTTGCTTTGCATTTTTTGTAGGGTGAGCTTCCGAGCTTGCTGCTTCGCAGCGCCGCCGACGTCAGCTCTACAACCAGGGCTGCAACTGTATCCAGCTCGCCGGTTCTCCCACGGCAGCAGCAGAGACGCAACAGGCAGTAAGAGGTCGCAGGCAGCCTCAGGCCACAGGCCACACAACGCGGGCTGGCTACAGACGTCACCCAATCGACGGAAAGAGTACGACAGCAAGCGGCAAAGTGTGCAAAGTGCACGTCGTGGGCAAATGCCTGGCTGTGACGTTGGTACTGGCGGGGTCTTTTTGGCCACGGTCCTTTGCCTCTGCAGCGCTCTCATCTCCTCCCCTCCCAGCCGAAGCGAACTATACAGACCCGCTGGAGCCAACTCGTTGCGTGTTTTTGTTCTTCCTGACAACGGCAATGACCCCATGAAGCTGACATCAGCACTGCAAAAGACCACGACAGGGGGTTGCAGTACTGTACCTTTGTGCGACAAGGACGAAACGCACGCTGTCGCAGCTTGCGTCAGGGGAAAGCGAGCTCGCCCTCCCCCCTTTCAAGACCGTTGCAATATCTAGGTTTTTTTTTTTTGCCTTCTTCTTCGCAGGGAGGGGGTTTGAGGGCAAGGCCTGCCACGGTCAGTCGGTAGGCCATGTCTGAGCCCCGCGCGCATATTTGGGTGTTTGTGCTTGTACACTTGTGGTGCCAGGCTTGGCCCCAGATTCAGCAGCCTGAACTGGCCCCATTCTCCCAACAGGTTTGCCCACCATGGCCCCGCGTGGCTCTTGCAACATCTCCTGTTGCGCGGCGGCCCGCACTGCGCAGACATCCCAGTCGCGACACAAGAGTCTTCGGGCGCCGATCCGGAGCCTTTGGCGTCACTGGCTCCGGACCCACGGATCAGCAAGGCAGACACGAGCCATGCTGGGGGGCTTCGTCGCCACACTCGAGGGCGGAGGTGTTTATCAGGGGGGACAAAACAAGGAAAACGTTAAAGTGAGAGGCCCTAACAGGTAATAAACGCCCGCACGGTGGATATATCCCCCACCACCACGCGGCCTCCACGTGGCGCTACATCCACCGGCCGTTTCCGGCGCCGGATGTACGTTGGAAGACGGAGGTGGCCGTGGGGTGGTGTAAACGACGTTCTCGCTTTGCCCACTACACAATTCGTGTGCGACAGCAATATCCATGGTATTACCATCCCCATGCTCGGGACTGGAGGATGTAGGCCTACACAATACCATTTCCGGGCCTCATGTCATGGGTCTACGCTTCTTGTACACGCAGCCGTTCGTGTATATAGCGCGCGAAGCTGGGGCCCAGGTCGGGTACCCCCACAGAGCCCCGCAGCCACACCCCCACTCCCCCTTTCCCACTGAACAGTAACAACAACAATCAAACCACCCATATCCCGCCACCATGCCGTTCGAGTACAAACACCTGTCCGCCGAGGAGCGCGCGCATTTCGTGGAACATGGCTGGCTCAAGATTGAGAATGCCATTGACCCGAAATACCTGAATGAATGGATGGAGAACCTCTGGGTCCGCCTGGGCATGGACCCCGAGGACAAGTCTACCTGGATGTACGAGTACCACAAGCTGCCTCGTCACCGCGAGGTGCTGGCGTCGGAATTCGCACCCGAGGCGTGGGCCAAGATGTGCGAGATTGTCGGCGGCGAGGACAAGATTGATCCTGTGAGGGAGCGGTACTATGGCGACCAGATGATTATCAACTTTGGTACCGAGGAGCAGGTGGGCAAGAGCCACACTCCGCAGGACCTGGTCGGCTGGCACACGGACAATGACTGGTGAGTGGGAGCCACCCAGTAGTAGGTGGTGGTGGTCTGACGCCTCCAGGTATCGCCAGTTCCTCGACTCGAGCGGCAACGCGCTCACCGTCATCTGCTGCTTCACCGACGTCCCGGCCAACGGCGGCGGCACCAGCCTCTGCGAAGACGGTATCAAGTGTACGTCCCGTACTTATACTCTTGCCGCTCTTTTTACTGACAACGACCTAGCCCTCGTCGAGCGCTTCTACGCCAACCCACAGGGCCTCGACCCGCCGTTCGCCAACATCTACTCGCACTGCAAGACGGCGTCGTCGTTTGCCGAAGTCGTCGCCAAGGCCGGCGACGTTCTCGTCACGCACGGCATGCTGCCGCACTCGCACTCGCCCAACCACCTGCACTACGCGCGCGTCATCACCAACCCGCACGTCAACCTGTCCGAGCCGTTCAACCTCAACCGCCCCGACGGCGACTACACGCTGTGCGAGCAGGTGATCCTGCGCAACCTCGGCCGCGACTCGGTGCCAGAGTACAAGCCCACGCGCGAGCGTCTGGCGTTTTACCCGCGCACGGCGTTCTTCAAGCGCGAAATGGTCAAGGACGAGCTGCAGCGCATGGTCGCGCACGCCGAGGCGCAGGGCCTGCCCGCGTCCAGTGTCGACTCGGTCTACTTGAAGGGCGAAGAGGCGATTCGCGAGCACGAGCGCAGGAATGGGTACGACAAGGCCTGGGGACCTACAGGTGTGGCGGTCACCATGAGGGATGACGCGGTCAACTATATGCCCGAGCAGAAGAAGCATGTGCTTGTCTAAGGGTTTTGGGGTGGTGGGAGGGGCAGGGTTATGTAGTGTCGAGTATAGCAAGCAGCAGGTAAACAAGGAACGATATGTGATGTGAGCAGTTGTGAACGCCGCCGGTGCTGTCCGTCCCAATTCGCATCACACACGGGCCAAATATTGCATTATAAGCGCTGAGAATGCCACGGTAGAAGAACATCCACACTCTCTCCGCCTATCTCTACTCTTGCCCCCCCCCCTCTGCGGCCCGTTCTGCCACCCACCCTCCCGACGGACTCCCGGCCTACTGCACCACACACCGCGCATCCAGCCCCGCATCTTCGAGCTGCTCCTTGGCAATCTCGTTCGCGTTGTCCCTTTGCTTCTCCCGGACCTCCTTGGGGAACCAGTCCTTCATAAAGTTCATGAGCGTCGTGTCCAGCGAGCCTGCGCAGTGGTCAGCTAGCCGATCGATCACGGAGGGGTGCCAGCTCACTCTTGTTGGCTAGAAGCACACTGGGCGAGCGACACAGCGGACACTGTTCCTTGGCCCGCTGCTGCATCTTCACCAGGCAGCGGACGCAGAAGAGGTGGCCGCAGCTCAGGCGGATCGGCTTGAACGCGATGGACATGCAGATCAGGCAGGCATAGTCGTCCAGACTCGGGAGGATGCTGGGTCTCCGTCAGCTACTGGTCAAGCTTACTGAGCTGCAAGGGACTCACGGGAGAAGGGTGTCGGTCAAGCTCGCGAGCAAGACGTGCGGCAGAGACGTGTTGTAAAACGTCCACGTGGACATGTTGCCGTCGACATCCACATGCGCCGTGAGCGTGGCACGCACAAACGCCGCGAGACCCGTCGAGGCCGTGAGCGCCGTCCGCTTGTCGTGCTTTTTCAGAATCTTGCGCGCCGCGTCAATGTTGGCCATCTGGAACCGTTTCAGGTCGAGAAGCAGCACGTTGAGGCGCAAAAACTCTTCCCACGCTTTACGCGTCTTCTTGCCCTTTATGCTACGACGGTCGCCCAGGCCGCGCTTGACGACCTCGTTGGCAAACACTTTCAGGCGCCGTTCCGCCTCGTCCACTGTCCGCTCGCCACGGTCGCGTTCGGCGTTCGACTCGAAGATTTGCGATTCGACCCACAGACTGAAAATCTCACGCCACGCGTACAGGTCCTTCTGCGACGGCGTCGACGACTTGTACTCGTACTTCACCATTTGGTTGCTGTTGTTGTTGTCTGACGGCGCCGAGTTGAGCGGGGTCGGGAGCACAATGGGGGAGTCGCTGGGCACAATGGATGAGGAAATCATGTGGCACAGCTGCGCGACGGCCCCCCGGAAATGCTCCTGTTGCTCCTGGTGGAAGGCCGAGAGCGACTTGAGCGCAGCCGTGAGAACGTTGAAAAACGCCATGTCGGACTGCAGGGGGATAATAAACTCGCGGTCACGTTCAGTTGTCGGAAAGCCGTTAGCGAGCGCCTGCTTGGCATGAGCGGTGCCGTTGGCATATCCGTTGGCAGTGCCGCTGTGGTGAGCGGCACCGTTGGTGAGGGGCTGCGCAGGCACCTCGGCACCCGAGTCGTCCAGCGCAATGACCGAGGCAGGCAGAAGCGGCGCCGACGGCCCCATCCTTGGTGTTGTGAGGTCGATAATGTCCTCTGCCGCCTCGCCGAGACTCAGCTCGCGCATCCCATCCGCCGGCGCGCCACTGGCAATGGCCCAGATAGGGGACGCGACAGATCGGAGCCGCATCAGGCTTGGCGACGGGGGTAAGACGGGTGTCTTGTGGTCGTCGACGGGACGCCCGAGGTCATAGTAGCCGTCGGTATCGTCGTCGTCGTCGTCGTCGTCATCGGTATCGGTCGTGGCCAAACTGTCCAACTCCAACTCCAATAGCGCACTTGTTGACGCCACGGGCGGTGTTTCTACTACGGGCTCGGTGTGGGAGACGTGCAGTCGGATCTGCGGCACGGGGTTGGCCTCGTCACCTGAGAGATCAGCAATGCTTCTTACGGCCTTTGTGGTGGCGTCAGAAGCGCCTGGCCCGGTTCCTCCGGATGGAATGCCGGCCGCGGCCGGTAACACTCACCAGTGAGAACGTATTCTGCAGTGACGCCGCCATGCTCTGTGACTGCACGCTTCGTGACGCGCCCACGATGCTCGCCTCCAACTCCGACTCCAGCGATGGAGCTCGGTGCGGGACTGGAAGCGCGCGGCGACACCACAGAGCTCGGGCTGGGGCTGGGGCTGTGCGACCGGATCATGTCGGCCACACTGACGGGTCGTGGCGAGCTCGTACGTGCCAGCGGTGGCGGTGGCGAGGATGATGTCCTGCGCGACCCGGCGTCTGCGCCCACCATGCGCAGTCGGAACCGGTGGTGGTTGGCCATGGCCTCTCCGTGGGGCACGGCACCGTGGCCGATACTTGCGTCGTCCTCGTCTTCCAGCACGGGATCGACAAGGACCTCTTTGGGGCTCTTGCGCGTCTGCGGGGCGACGCTGGGCGAGTCCTCGTCCACCTCGAATTCAAACTCGAACACCTCCTCGGCGTCGGAACTCGCGGCAGAGGCATCCGGTGCGGGCGACTCGCTGTGGAGCCTGCCGGTGGCGGGGTCCATGACGAGCAGTTTTTGCAAGACGTTGGGCGAGAGGCCCATGCCCTCCAGCTCGGCGACGACATTCTTGATCAGTTTTTTGAGCTGAGAGGGCCAGTTAGCCGAGCTGTTGTGTGACGTTGTTGCTTATCCACAGAGCGCTCACTCACCTTGCCGTACTCGATTGCCGAGGTTTTCCAGTCGTCTGGGAAATCGGACGCATCGAGGAGATGCTGAAACTCTTTACCAAACTTCATGGTTGGTGGAAGAGATGGAGATGGGTAGAGGGTGGAGCGCTAAAAGCGGCTGGGCCAAGGTGGACGGGGGACGAAAGGATAAGGGGAGGCGAGTGAGGACGGATGTGGACCGAGATACCTCTGGCGGCGTTGGACTGGGCGTTCTCTGCCAAGTCGCCGCTGGGGGCTGGGGGGGTTTACGGTCGATATGGGGAATGTGAGACGCAAATATGCACACACGCGCGCAGGGCTATGTGGGGTGCATGGCGGTGTGGGGGGTGGTGGGTGACAGACGATGGCAGAAGAAGCATGTATTCAATCGACGAGCAACGCGTCGGGACTGGTTGCTTGGCAGACAAACGTGCGCAATCTTTAAACCGGTGCCCCGCTCAGTCTCGATCGAGTTTCCCCTATGGACTCATTTAGGATGGAACCAAACAAAGCCATTAGCAAATTTAGTATTGGCGTTTTATTAATTAGCCTGGCGTGGGCACAAGCTGTTTTGTCTTGCGTCTTGCGGCAATGGCCTTCAGGCAGATGCACAAGACTGACCTTTGACGACTCTGGAGCTCGGCGATGCCTCATGCCTCACCGGCCGTCGCACGTTCGTTTGACTGTGAGGACGGCTCTTCGCGGGTGACAGTGCGCAGCAAAACGTCATGTGCCGTTGCCGCTCTCACATGGCGCCATCTACGTTGTGGTATCGGCTCTTGCAACCATGATGGCGCTGGTATAGGTCTGGCGAGAGACCCAGAGATAAGCACACGACACCGCCGAGGCATTCTGCCACCGAGACTGCACACGACAATGCGCAGCGGTGCAAGAACCTGTGAGATCTCCCACGCCACGTCCCAAAGCGTCTCACCCTGATGGGCAACCACTCCCTTGTCTTTGATGCTCGACGTTGCTCACCACTTTTACTTTCGAATCAGCGCTGCAGCAATGTGCACGGCACACCAAGTCCGCATCCAGTAGTCTCCTCACGCCGAGACGGGATGCGCTGCTACACACACACACACTCATAGCACCGTGCGAGAAGAGGTAAGCCAAGAGTCGGCACCGCAGCCTCGCGGGCGCCCGCCGCCACCATGCCCTTCCCTTTGCCATCCGCCCACCCCACGCGTCCAGGTAACATGCCATGCATGCAATGTCGCTCGTACGACGAGAGACGGCTCGGGAAGGCGGCCCGTAGGGCCAAGCAAGCCTGGGTCAGAAACAGTCGAGCTGAGCTGGCTGCGCTGCGGGCCGACGGACGGACATGCACTTACCACCATTGAGAGCTGAGACCGGAGGGCAGAGAGGTGTGGCAGAGATCGCAGTCCGGTGAATTGGGCATGTGTCTGGCCTTGATCTGGGCCTGTCTCAGAAACGTCCATGGTTTTGCCTTTTGTGGCTCAAACCGAGAGCAAGGGACGTCAGCTGTGCAGCTGGTGGAGGAGGAGCGAACAGAGTAGAGGTATGGATCGTCGGCTGCTGAATCGCTAGCTTGTCGAGATTGGATGGAACGGCCGTGTCCCGCCCTCACTTCTGCGTGATTGACGGCCGTGATGCTGGTGCGCTGGTGGTGTTGCGTTACATGTTGCCCGACTGTGAGGACCTGGCGTATGCCTTGTGTGAGCGAGGTTGATGAGTTGGGTTGTGGTTCCCACATGAGGAAGGTGGTGTCGGAGGGCAAAGGGCAGAACGGGACGGGCACAGACCGTCATCCCATTGTCAAACACTCTCCCTGGACCGTCACCACCATCAGCAACAGCAGTAGAGCAATCAATAACCTCCCCCTCCCCGGTCAGTGTGGATCTGCTACATTTGACGCACGATCGGTTGTGTAGAGTGGGGCAGGTGTGCTGTTGCAGGACCGTTCCAGTGTTCCAGCGTGTTACCAGTGTCGCAGCAAAGACGGCAGACACAGGATGGAATGAATGGCAGACGAATGACGCGGGGAAGGCAAAGGGACACCCAGGGCAACAAGGTGCCATTTAGGATTGAAGTCAAAATGCCAAGAAACAAATACATGATACTAAGATGCATTAACTAACAGTAATGACGTGTACATACTACACTAATATGTATTTGATTCCGGTTCTAATTGACCCACCGAGTGATGACGCGCGCACGAGCCAGCTTGCCCAGCCCCGCCCCGCCCAGCCGTATACCCCCCCTGCGCCGGGCCCACCGCCTCTCACCTGACACCCAACCCAACTGACACCACCACCACGTCTCCTCTCTCTCTCTCCCACCATTCACTCATTCTCCTCTCTCTCTCTCTCGCTGCTTTCGTCGTCGTCTTCGCCGTCTTCGTCGTCGCTCGCGCTCTTCTCTCTGTGTATCACAGTCAGACAGTCCGTCGACCGCACACACACACACACATACACATACACAACACAGTCCTCTCATTCCCCTCTTTCACTCTCTCTCCTTACCCTCGCTGTCCTCCATCTCTCTCCTTTCACCTCCAACCACACACCACCACACACGATCAAGTCCACAAACCTAAACGCCATAACCCAGTCCTCCCCGACCCCTTGGTGTCTGTCAGTGGGTAACACCCTCCAGTCGGTGAGTGCCTTGCTGTCCCTCCTCCGTCTATCCATACACGTCTTGCCATCGTCCATCGCATCTCTTCCACACTTCTGTCGGTTTCGTGACGCACACCACGTCCATCCACCCGCGTGTCCGCCAATCAAACATTCCGCCGCCATACGCCTCCTCTAGATATACTCTCTCTCTCTCTCCCTCCCTCCCCACCTTTAATGGCCCGAGCGTCCCCAGCTGATGCTTGACCCCTCCTTCACACAGAACATCGCATAGGCCATTGTGAACACTACACCACCCGGAGCCATGTCCGAAGCGGCCGCCCCTTCGGCGGACACGCTTGCGCCGCCGGCCAAGGAGCGCTCCAACTCGGCCGCCTCCAGCCGCAGCAACTCGAGCAGGCGTGGCCACCGGTCGCGCGACTCGTCGGCGTCCGTGTCCCGCTCTAATTCGCATTCGTCCGGTGGACACAGCGACAGGCGAAAGAACAATGGCAACACCACCACCATCTCAGGGGGTACCTCGCTTGGTGGCAACAAGGCCGCTGCCCTCATCATGGCCGGTGTCACTGGCACTGGTGACTCGAAGCAGCAGCAGCAGCGGACAAGGACAAAGGGTGACGCTAGCAAGCAGTCCATCAGTCGCAGGTCCTCTGTAAAGGCCGCGCCACCACGCCCGTCGTCCGCCAACAAGGACAAGCAGCAGCAGCAGCAGCAGCAACAGCCGGGCCCTGCTGCGGTGGCTTCCACCGCCGTGGCGGTTCCTATTGCTATCCCAATCGAACCCACCGCAGAGCAGCAGGTCCGTTCGCTCCACACCACCACCTCTCCTCCTGTCACTGCCATGGAGGCGGCCGTCACTGCTGCCACCAAGAAGCACGTCGAGACCCACGGGGGTGACGCTCTCAGCAGCCTGCAGCGGATGATCTCGGACCTCAAGGCCATCTCGCCCACCAGCTCGAACCCCGGATCGCGCAACGTCAGCGCCAGTGGCAAGGACAAGCTCGACAGCGCTTCGTCGACCTCGTCTACCCATGCCGCGTCCGAACCCGTCTCCATCCCTTCCCCTACGTCCAGCACGAGGCTCAAGGCCGACGCGCCCAGCTTCACCCCCGGTTCGTTGCGTAGCGGTACATCACCCACGACCTCGACGACGGGAGCCGCTCCGCAGCAGCCTGGCGGCTCCGGGCGCTCGGCTCGCCGCACGTCCAACGCATCTGCCACTGGCTCGTTCACGGGCGCCTTTGGACCCACCTCGCCCCTCCAGGCGGGCTACACTCAACTGCCCCACTTCCCGCTCGCCAGCGCTGGGTTCCAGAACCCTCAGGACGGCGGCGAGGGCTTCCCGTACTCGCAGCACTCGGACATGTTCCAGCAACAGCAACTCCTCGCTGCCCAGCAGCTTCAGCTGCAGATTCTCCAGGCACAGATTGTCCAGCAGCAGCTCGCGGCCCAGCAGCAGCAGCGCGAGCAGGGCTTTATCGCTCCCCGCTTCCAGGCTCTCGCAGCCCAGCGTGCTGCTCTCCAGCAGCAGCAGCAGCAGACCGCGCAGCTCGCCGAGGCCCAGCGTCTCTTTGAGATGCACCAGCAGCAGCAGCTCCTGTTCGCCCACCAGCAGCAACAGCAGCCTGGCGGCGACGGTGCTCGTCCCGACATTCCCTTGATTAGCCCGCCAGCAGTCTTTGAGGAGGACTCGCCCGAGCCCACTCCTACTACCCTCGGCCCGACCGGCAGGCCCCAGCTCAACCCTGGGTTCACCTTTGGAAAGCGGCGAGAGAGCGGCAACGCCGACGACAAGAGCCGTCGGAGCGAGGCCGCTGCGACGCTCGGCGGCCTTGCGGCCCGTGCCCACAAGCGCTCGGGCAGCGAGATCACTCCTGCCATGGAGGAGCAGCTCGAGATCCAGAGGCAGATTGAGGCTCTCCAGATGAAGCAGAAGGAGCTCATCAACCGCGACCTCGCACCTGGCGACAAGGACCCTCGTCACCGCCGTACCATGTCCAACGTCTCGTCGGGCTCGGCCGCCGGTGGGCCTCCCGGTCTCGACAGCATCGCCAGCTCTATTCTCGCTCAGCAGCCCGGCCAGCCCGACAGCAAGATGTCCCGCTCGTTCCAGGACGTCCAGGCTTCTGGAGGCTTCAGCGGCGCTGGCAGCCACTCGCGCCGCCACAGCATGTTCACCAAGGGTGCTGGCTCTGGTGCCGGTTTCGGCGAGTATGTCATCGACGACGGTGGCTCGATCAGCATCCCCGCAGGCGCTTTCGGCCACCACCGCGGCGGCTCTCGTGCCGGCATGGAGTCTGGCAACTGGCGCAACGGCGGCGGTGGTGGTGGTGGTCCCGGCGGCAACACTGGTACCACTGCGGACCTCGCGTCTGCCCAGGCCCAGCTTGCCTCGCTCGCCCAGTTCCGCGCTGCTGCCGGCAGCGGTCACGCCAAGATGGCCTCGTTCAGCTTCCCCAACATGCTGCCCAACTTGCTCGTTGCCACGACCCTCCAGAACCCCTCTGGCCAGTCGTCGCTCTGGCAGCAGCAGCAGGCGTTCCAGATGCAGCTCCAGCAAAACGCCCAGGGTCCCCAGCGCAAGTCGCTATTTGCACCCTACCTGCCTCAGGCCTCGCTGCCGCCTCTTCTCTCGGCCGGCAAGCTCGTCGTCGGCATCCTCCGTGTCAACAAGAAGAACCGTTCCGACGCCTACGTGGCCACCGACGTCCTCGACGCCGACATTTATATTTGTGGGTCCAAGGACCGCAACCGTGCCCTTGAGGGCGACATTGTCGCTGTCGAGCTCCTCGATGTCGACGAGGTCTGGACGACCAAGAAGGACAAGGAGGAGAAGAAGCGCAAAAAGGAGGAGAGCTACGACATCAAGCCCTCTGCTGCCAAGAAGCTCGAGAAGAAGAAGGACGACATCGAGGTCGAGGGCCAGGGCCTGACTCTGTTCGAGGACGAAGAGGTCAACGACGACACCAAGCCGACTTATGCCGGCCACGTCGTCGCTGTTGTCGAGCGCATGCCTGGCCAGCTGTTCTCTGGCCAGCTCGGCGTGCTCCGCCCCTCTTCTGCTGCTACCAAGGAGAAGCAGGAGGCCGAGCGTCGCGAGCGCGAGGGTGACAAGAAGTCGAACGAGAAGAGCGAGCCCGAGCCCCGTCCCAAGATTGTGTGGTTCAAGCCCACCGACAAGCGCGTCCCGCTCATTGCCATCCCTACCGAGCAGGCCCCCATCGACTTCATCGAAAACCCCGAGGCGCACACCAACAAGCTCTTTGTGGCTACCATCAAGCGCTGGCCGATCACCTCGCTCCACCCCTTCGGCACCCTCGTCGAGGAGCTGGGCCCTATTGGCAACGTCGAGGTCGAGACTTCGGCCATTCTCAAGGACTGCAACTTCCCCACCGAGGAGTTTACCGACGTGGCACTCAAGTGCCTCCCGCCGCTGCCCTGGACCATCCCCGACCGCGAGTACGAGGTTCGCCTTGACCTGCGCGAGGACTGCGTGTTCTCCATCGACCCCACGGGCGCTCGCGACCTCGACGATGCGCTCAGCATCAAGACCAACGAGGACGGCAGCTACAGCGTCGGTGTTCACATTGCCGACGTGTCGTACTTTGTCAAGACCAACACGGCGCTCGACCGCGATGCCCGCAAGCGCGCCACTTCGGTCTACCTCGTCCAGCGCGCCGTCCCCATGCTGCCGCCTCTCCTCTGCGAACAGCTCTGCAGCCTCGTCCCCGACGTCGAGCGTCTCGCGTTCTCGGCCATGTTTGTCATTGACAAGGAGGGCAACGTGCTTGAAAAGTCGTTCCGTCGCTCCATCGTCAAGTCGACTGCCCAGCTGTCGTACGCCGACGCCGCCGCCGTCATTGCCGGCAACGAGCTCCCGGCCACTGCCAACGTGAGCATTGCGCACCCGGCGTCCAAGGTCGAGGGCGACATCAAGCTCCTCCACGACCTGGCCACCAAGCTCCGCGCCAAGCGTATGGACAATGGCTCCATGTTCTCCAACCGCTCCAAGCTGTCGTTTGTCCTCGACGACACTGGCCGCGCGATCGACACGTCCGTCTCGGAGCGCAACGATGCCAACAACCTCGTCGAAGAGTTTATGGTCCTCACCAACATTGCCGCCGCTGCCGTCGTCGCCAACGCGCTGCCCGAGCAGGCCCTCCTGCGCCGCCACGAGGCCCCCGCCGAGCGCCGCATGGACGCGTTTGTCCAGCGTGCCAAGCGTTTGGGCTACGCCATTGACCCCAAGAACGCCGGCACCATCCAAAAGTCGTTCAACAAGATCACCGACCAAGAGGCCGTGTACGCCCTCTCTGTGCTCGAGAAGAAGTGCATGCCCACGGCCCGCTACTTCTGCACGGGCATGCTCGACATTGCAAAGTTCTCGCACTGGGCGCTCAACGCACCCCTGTACACGCACTTTACCTCGCCCATCCGCCGTTACGCCGACGTTCTCGTCCATCGCATGCTCGACGCCATTGTCTCGAACCAGTCGTCCAACAGCGACGTCAAGTTCCACATGGACCGCGACCAGGTGGCCAAGTGCGCGCAGCAGTGCAACATTAAGCGGTCGTCTGCCCGTCTCGCCGAGGACCAGTCGGCCCACCTGTACCTGTGCATGCTCATCTCCGACCTGTCGGAAAAGTACGGCCCTGTCATTCGCCACGCGCGCGTCACTGCCGTGTACGACCAGGCCTTTGACGTTGTCATTCCCGAGTTTGGCCTCGAGAAGCGTGTCCACGTCGACAAGATGCCCCTCAAGACCTCGACGTTTGACGAGCACAAGAACGTTCTCAGCCTGTACTGGACCACCCAGGATGTGCTCCTCTTCCTGACCCAGTCCAACGAGGACGAGCACCTGCTCAAGATCAAGCAGCGCGTCGAGGGCCAGGCGACGGGCGCCACACAGGCTGCCGACGCCAACGCCCTGTTCGACGACTCTGACGCTGTCACCGTGGCCGAGACGAGCGCGCAGTACCAAAAGAGCGCGGCGCACACCCCGCTGGTCTTTGAGGGCCTGCGGGACGGCGGCAACCACCGTATCCAGGACGTTAAGGAGTTTAGCTCCTTGCCGGTGATCATCACCGCGGACATGTCCAAGAGCCCGCCCGTGCTGGTCATTTATGCCTGTAAGTGGTCTCTGGCTGGTTGTGTGTAAAGTGATTAAACATGGCTGACAAATGGTTCCAGGCAACCCGTACGCCGCGACCTAAGGTGTGGCACAACCCCTACCTACCGCACGAAGCAAAACAGAATCAAGCAAGTCATTTTTTTTAACGCAAACATGCACACACACACAACACACACACACACACACACACGTAAACCAAGCAACGCCATCCCCCTCAACCCCGACGTCATCTCTCTTGTCCGCGCATCACACTCAACAGACCGTACCCGAACCCTCTTGTGCCCTTTCTCTTCTTCCATTCCTCTTTTCTTTAAGCCAAAACCAAAACCACAAAAAAAAAAACAACTACAGCAACAGCCTTAAAAAAACGCATTTACCCCCCTGCGCACACACACACACACACATGGAATGGGGGAGACGGGACGGGAGAGGGCGGCGCAGTGCCTCTGACTGCTTCGCAAGGGAAGTGGGTTTGGAAAAGTACCTTTTTTGATTTATTTCTTTGTGTGTGGGTGTTCACGACGGAGGTGGAGGCGTGGAGGAAGGAGGACGGAGGGTGAGGAGAGTGGGAGTGGGAGTGGGGTGGGAGGGCGGCCGGGCTGGGGCTGGATACGGGATAGATAGGCGAGAAATAATGAGAATGTAGGATGTAAGAACCTATTGTCTGAACGTACAGTGCTGGAAACGGTGCAGGTGTGGGTGTGTGTCGGCTGGTTGGTGTGGCGTCGGTTGGAGTGGAGTGGAGTGGCGCCACATGGGTAGTGGCAGTAGGCACTGGGACAATGTGCCGAGTGCCAGGCGGAGGGGGCGGCGATGTGCGTGCAGAAAGCAACAGCGGCAGCGCCATCGCCTCTGCATCTCCTGTCCGCGTTGTTTAACATTTGGGAAACGTACCTGGTGCACGACGGAATCCGTCGAGACGCGCACAACGGCGAGCAATCCTTTGCGGCCTTGGCGCGGCCACACCACCATTTTGCCACCGAGCGACGCCATTGTCGCTTGTCTTGCATCCCATGCAGTATGTAGTGAGCTTGCGGAAGAAGTTAATGCAGCAGTCAAATGGACGAGGGTACGAGGAAGCCGCCTGCGACATGGTGTCATCCTGGGGGGTCCACTTATTGCATCCGTTGCGTCCGTCCGATTGATTACGCACCTTCTCGCCTCCCGCGTGCACACACATGCATTCTCGTCGTCGTCGTCGGCGTCGCTGTTCTCGTTCTCGTTCTCGTCGTCGCCGCCCATCACATCAACCAGTACCATATCCCAGCATCCACAATCCACACTCACACACATCGCTACCCACCGTGGTACCCTCCCCCACACGCACGCACCCTCCGTTGACGCCTTCGCCACCCGTCCTGCCCACCTAGTCGCCACCGGGCCGCGCCTTGGCTTGTCCTGTCGCGACAGATAGCATCAGCCCAACCCCCCCTTTTCACACCTCAATCAGACAAACACAACCTCCTCCCTTCCCTTCCCCCCCACCTCACATCCTCATCACCTTCACCCACCCGCCGCCATGGGTGCATCCCAATCCCAGCCGGCGCGCGACCGAACAGGCGACGATCCTCCGCATTCCCATCACGCGACCGGCGCGTCATCTTCGCTGCCCACTGCGCGTGGTCCCAACGGCAACGGCGGTCTCCAGCTCGGCCGTCGTATCTCGTCCTTTCTGCGCAACGGCCCCGACGAGAGCGCCAAGCGCGAACGCTCCAACTCGGTCCACCCGTCGCCAGGCAGGCCGCTGAGTAAACGTCGTCGCGTCGAGCCCGAGGACGACCTGCCCACTGTCGCCGACGACGATGTCTCCACCCTCACGCAGTTGGGTACGCCTGGCGCCGGCTCGAGCAGGCTCGGCTTGACTGGCGGCGTGTTTGGGACGGGCCTGGCGCCGCCTGGGTTTGCTTCTTCACACGCCAGTTCAAGCTCGGCGTCGGCGTCGGCGTCCGGGTCCGGGTCCGGGTCGACGTCGGCAGGCCGTTATCGCCCGCCACCGCCAATGTCCCTCTCGTCATCTTCGGCAGCGACGGCGACAGACGCCGAGGCAGCTACACCCAGCCCGACGGATGAGATCCTCGCCGACCGGTTCCGCTCCATCTCGACCATTCGCGATGCGCTCGGGCCAGACTGGACACCCGCAGCGGCGAGTGGGACGAGTTCCATGCCGGCCCCCGTGGACCGGTTACTGGCGCGTTTCCGTCGCCGTGGCACCTCGGCCGCTGTTGCGCCAGGCAGTGAGCGGGACGCTGTGCGCGATACCGCTCGCACCGGACCCACGGGCAGCGCGCGAACTACACTACGTGGTGACCGCTCGTCGCGGTCGGTGGCCGGGTCGGACCGCGACGCGCTCTTTGCACCCCCTACGCCTCCTCTTTCGTCTGGAACGTCGGCAACGTCCACCACTGCGTCGTCTGCCCCGCGATCCATGTCCCACCGCCTCAGCGCCATCATGGGGTTCGCAGCCCCCGGAGGCGCGCATGAAGAGTGGGCCGATGCAGAGGGTGGTGGTGGCGACGCGCAGCCCCAGTCACAACCTCACGCACATCCCTCTGCTGCTGCTACTGCTGCTGCTGCTGCTGCTGCTCCTGCCCAGGCGCCGGGACAGCCCACGGACGACAGCGGAAGGATACCCGTCGGCGCAGTGCTCGTCATCCAGGGCCTGGCGCAGACGCACGCCAACCTCGACGAGGAGGAAGGCGGTGGCCTCCCGGGCTCTGCGGGCCGCAGGCGCGCAAGTGAAGGAGCCAGCACTCGTCCTCGTATCGATGTGCCCAACCTCGACCAGCAAGCCCGTATGATTGGAAACCTCTTGACGTAAGCTTCGCGAGGGAACGTCATAGCTGACAATTACCAGAGTCGCTGCTGCGGCAACCGCGACGACCCTTCTCTCCCCCGAGAGCCTCGCGGCAACGCCTAGCCGGAGCACGGCGCAGAGCGCCATGCAGACGATTATCGACCGTCTCCGTCCCTCGCGCCAACGTCCGAGCCAGAGCGTCGAGTCGACCCTGGGCGACTACCTTCGCACTGTCCTGCGCGACAACCGCCGCTTCGCCGAAGCCGTTGCTGGCGACGCAACGTCTGCCAACGTGCCCGCCGAGTTCCAGGACTTCCTCCACAACCTCCAGGAGGACCTTATCCAGGCTGTGCGCGCTTACGCCGCGCCGGACGAGGATGAAGGCGAGGAGCATGTCCAGGACGAAGATGAAGCCATGGACATTTCGCCCGATGCCTCGCCAGCGCCGACCGCAGCCGCCGAGCCTCCTATCCCTACTTTCCACACCCAGCGCCAACAGAACCTGCCTGGGGCCACACAGAGTGCCCTCGGCGTGTCGGGAGGCTCGGATGGCCAGCCCCGCCGCCTCAACTTCTTCCGCGCGCACCTCTTCCCCCCCGTGCGCGCCGACGGTACCGCACTCGAGGCCGACGAGGACCCCAATGCGGTCGTTCCCTCCATCTTTGTCGGTGTCCGCTCCGTCGCTCATGACCCTGGCATGACCACCGAGGACCTCGTCGGCCACCCGGGCTTCCCCTTCCTGGATGGACAGGTGCCCGAGCAGGAGGACGGCAGCAGCGCCGCCGCCACCAACAGCAGTACCGTTGTTTCCGACGATGAGCACCTCTTCGACCGTGACCTCGAGCGCGAGCTGCGCGAAGCGCAACAGCATGGCAGCTTCGGCACCGGAAGCGCAAGCAGCGCAGCCAGCACGGCCTCGGCGCCTACAACACCCCGTCGCACACTCCGTGACCGCGTGCTGGAGCGTCTTGCCCTGCGTCGCGAGCAGCGCGTCCCCACCCCGCTCAACACGTACCTCATCTACGTCATTGGCGGCAACTATCCCCGCTCACACCCCGTTCTCGCCATCCCGGCCTTGGTCTCTGGCGGGCCGCTCTCGGCAGATGACTTGCAGCTCGTCTCCGAGCTCCTGGGTCCCGCAAAGCCGCCAACTGTCACGGCCGACGAGATTGAGCGCAGCGGCCTCACCGTCGTCCATGGCGCCGCGATGGGCGCGCTCGTGAGCACTGGCGACGTCCTCGAGGCCAGCCTCGACCGCTGCATGGTGAGTAGCTGGTAAAGACTCGTTCCTTCGTTCGCAGCTGACCTTTTTTCCAGGTCTGTCTTGGTGACTATGAGCCCGACGAGGACTGCCGCGTGCTCAAGTGTCGCCACGCGTTTCACAAGGAGTGTGTCGACCACTGGCTTAGCCAGGGACGTAATTCGTGCCCGACGTGTAGGACAGAGGGTGAGTACCAGTTGGCCGATGGAAGACTCTGGTTGTGACATCTCGTGGATCTCTGTTACGGTAGGCCTTAAGCATCAAGCTGACCCTTCAGCGGTTGACAAGACCAACCTCTCTGCCGTCGACGCCAACGCCAACGTCCACGCGCACGCCCACACCAACGCCGACGACGACGTGACCATGGCTACTGATCCGCCCCCTGGAACGGCCCTCTAAGTGACCTTGCCCAACACACTGCACACAGCACACATACACCCACCTCAAGACCCATACCGCAACCACACATCATGCCCATTTCCCCGGTACTCGCAGGACCTCCATGACTCCATTCGTCTCATATGGCCCCATGGCCCACTCTCCGCCCGACCGACCACAGCCGCCACACTCCCCTCATATCCTCACACCCCATCACCTTTATACTCCCTCTGCCTATAGTAATCAGTTTGGCAACGTCGTCTGCGCGGTCTCTCCCGTCTCTCGCTCCATGCATGTTATACATTTTTTCCCCTTGTCCGCCCCGAGCGCCCCCGAGCGCCAGAAGAAGGTGATATGGTGGGGTGGGGGTCTATAGGTTCTTGGCGTACTCGTAGTACTTGGCAGTGTCGACGCCGTGGTTGTTGTGGTTGACAAAGTTGAACCTGGAGGACAGTGTCAGCTGTGTAGGAAATGGGCAGCTGATAGGACCGTGGAGAAGGGGAAGGGAAGGAGGGGCCGATGAAGGAGGTGTGGCCGTGGTGAAAAGGACAGGGCGGGACGATTGTTGGGTTCAACAAAGGCTGAATGAAGAACCCAGACGTCACTGCAGTTCATTGACGATGGCGAGGCGCGAGACACGCAATGGTCGATGCGAAGTGCTCAGAAACGCATCGAGCCAGACAACTCGTCCTCGTCCTCGTCCACCACCACCTCGCTCCCTCTCGGTCGTCGTTTCCTCCGTTCCGTTCCGTGCCACTATCGTACACGCCGACAGTCCACACCATCAGAAACGGCAGGCACACAACTCACCAAGGAATGGTCTGCAGCTTGAACACCGAAAAGGTCGAGTTACGCGAGGCAACGCCCTGCAAGTACTCGCTCAGGTCGGTCTCGCCGTACAGGGGGAGGCCGGCCTTGGCGCGGGCGCCGAGCTCCTTGAGGTCCATCTCGGCTTCGCGCTCGTTCTCGGTCACGCCCAGGAAGCGGACTGGCGTGTAGGGTCAGTATATATGTTCTCTCTCGTTGGTGTGGGAGGCGCGGGCGGGCGGGCGGGCGGGTGGGAGGTGCGGCGTGCACGGGGGGGGGAATGGAAGATGGAGACGGAGAGGTGCGGTGGGCCTGTTCAAGTGGAGGCAGGGGCGTGCGCCTGCCTTCATGTCCACCTCGGATACGTGAGGACAGCGCCCGCTGGCAGCACGACAGCGACGGCGTGCAGCGCTGCTGTCGTGCACGCTCCATTCCCCGCGCTCGCGTGTGGCCATTAGGCCATGACCACGTCTCCGTATGTCCCATCTCCACTTCGTGTCCGTCCCTGCAGCTCGCTCGCTCCTCGGTGCCGCACCGCCGTGTGCCGCTTACGCACAAGACGACCTCTGGTAGGCCAGGAGGAAACCACAGGTGAAGCCGAGCCAGCCGCCGACACGCAGGATGGATTTTGCGCCAGTCTTGCCGTGGGCGGGGTCGATGCGGTTCCAGAGGCTCAAGGCGAGGGGGAAGGCGCCGGTTGCGCCCGTCCAGACGAGGTAGTCGTTGGGGCGCATGTACCCGACGACTCGCTTGAAGTGGGGGTCAATGTCGATGACCGGGTACGGGGTGTGCAGCTCCTTGGCGGGCATGGCTGGTAGATTGTGTATGGGGTGGGTTGCTAGAGAGAGGTGTGGCTCAAGAGTCGTCGTCTGTATTGCATTAGCAGTGGTTGGAGGGAAGGCGGCCGGCCAGCCAGGGGGAGGCACACCCAGCCAGGCAGCCAGGCGCGCGCCGGGGGTGGTTTCGGGAATTGGCGGCGTTTGGACCAGTGTGGCAGATTGCTATACGGTGGGTGGATGACGTCCGTCCACATCGGTATGTTTTGATGGTTTCAAATGACTTCCTTGCCATCGACAACAACAACAACAACCATGGCCTCCCGTGCAGCCTACGCAGCTCACCTGCAAGGCACTATCCACCCGTCACTCGCCGCCACAAGGGAAGCCATCGCGAGGGTGGACGCAGACATCGCAGACTAGTGCGTCCACAGCAGCTGTTTAGGCCATGGTACCCTCGCAGCTGACATGACCCTTCCTTCCCTCCAGTGAGCAGGTCGCCCGCCGTCTGAGCGCCGTCAACCCCGAACACGGATCGAGAAAGGCCCCCGTCGAGATTGGTGCGGGTGTTTGGGCCGATGCTGTGGTGTGAGTATGGGGTCTATCGTTCAACCTGTCTGCATGAGGCAAAGGGAGGGAAGGCAACCTGCGGCTGTCAGAGCTGGAGCTACCACTCCCTGCTGTTCAGCTCGTATGACTGCCGTAGTCGGTGCCTTCCTCTATTCTCCTACCGTCTATGCGTGCTTCTAATAAGTGATGCCGCATCTGCGTCTGTGTGGCCGAGCCAGAGCTGTCTTCATGGACCTGGAGCTCGCATGGACACGGACAAGGCAGAGTACCTGTGTGACTGAGCTGTGAGCCACGGCCGCTCCAGCTCATATGGCCGCACTGACAAGGAACCTGTTCTTCCTCCCCAACGTCTTGAGAGCTCGTGACATGGATATTGCGATGCTTGTCTTGGCGCGTGAGCTATGCTGTGCCGATGGCACCGTAGCTCGCGTGATCGCCAACGCAGTCTGTGGCAATGTCCCACGACACGAGCGTTCTGCACGGGAAGGCCAGGTGTCTAATGTGTCTGAGCTGGGCAACCTTCCTATTATTATATCAGCTAACTGGATACTACACACCTGCCCACCCCTTCTTCGCTTCAGATACTTTCTTGCATACCCGGTATCTGACACCCACCCAGCCGCGACACATCCAAAGTCACCCTCGACCTCGGCCTCGACGTCCACTTCTCTCTCCCCACCCCGCAGGCAGCAGAGTACGCCGCCAAGCGTGCCGAGGTGCTCAAGAGGAAGCGCGACGCATTGGCGCAGAGGGAGGAGCGGTTGGCATGGGAGGTGGAGCAGGTGAGTCGGAGCCGGCGTTGGGTACTTCTGTCCTTCAGCTGAGATTTTCTCTTGTTGGTAAGCTGACGCGGACCAGTTCGAGGGCGTGCTCAATGCCATGACCGAGGCAGAACAGTGATATGTCTTTGCTTTCGCTTTCCTTGTTGATCGATACCTGTGGACCGACTTCCCGCACGCGACTACGTTACGGCCCAACACGCTGTCCCCATTCTACGGATGACCCACCTGGCACTGCACCCGCCTTGCCGTCTTGCACACCTCTTGCACATACCTTGCACGCGCCGTGCCCCCACCATGCCATGCCCCTTCCATGCCATGCCCCCTCCATGCCATGCCCCCGTCATGTCTTGCACCCGTCATGCCGTGCACCCTCCATGCTTCCCCCCCCCACCCCCCCCTCCCTGAACCATCTTGCAACACCCCACCTTGCACCCGTCTACCCCACACAGCATCTCCCATTGGGACCTTTTCTGTACTTTACATGTATCAAAGACACCTCTAGACTTTTCGCACAGAGCAGTATCATAGGCGTAGTGCAGAGCGTGCACGAAAATACAAAAATCGTCCAATAATCTGGAGGAAGGGGGAGGGCCGCTCCCCCTCCGCTTTCTACACACACAAAAATAAAAACTAATGGCTAGGTCTAGCTAGCACCTAGCACATACGTCCGCTGGTTCACCTCGGTCCTCGGTCTGTCCTCCATCTATCGCCTCCGGCGGGGAATGTTGCCTCCGCCATCACCCAACACGGCGCCCTGTGCCCTCTCCCTTTCCCTCTCCCTCTCCACCGCGCCGCCGCCCTTGTCGCCCAGCCCGAAACTGTCAAACTTCTTGGCCCTGCTCGGCCTCCTCAGCGCATTGAGCTGGGCGGCTGGCGGCGCGCCGGGCGGGGTAGGCGCGGTCATGTCCCTCACTTCGGTCGGGGGACGCATGAACCCGCCCATACCTGCGGGCACGGGCGGCGAGCGGACGGCGGCGGCAGGCGGGGGCATGGTGTGGCTGTGGCTGTGGTACTCGCTGTCCTCGTCGACGAGGCTCGAGAGAGAGGCAGACGACATGACCGCGCCGATGTCGGCCTCGCTTGGGGCCGGGGAACGGATGGTCGACGAGTCGGACTGCGCCGTGATGGTGCTTGTCCCGCTGAGGCGCGGCGCCATGATGGCGCTTTCGTAGACACTGTCACCCGTGCTCGAGGCCAAGTGCGACGACGTTGCGGACATGGCAGAGTCGGGACGGAACTCGCGTAGCCGTGACTCGGGGCGGTCGCCACGGCGCAAGCTGTCGATAATGGCGTGGCGCGGCTCGGTGCGTTCCCAAGTTTGAGGAAAGTCCCAGGCGCGCTTCCGTGGTGTCGACCCTGTGGGCGCGTCGACCTCGATGTTGTCCAGGAACCGGCGGGTTGAGGACGCCATAGCCTTGAGCGTCTGCTGGGCCGTGACCTGGGCGCGGGACGAGGTGTCGGAGCTCGACGTGTGCTGAATGTCAGCTAGGAGCGAGTATCTGGTAACTCACAGAAGCAAGGAGTGTGGACGTGAGCCTGGTCACATCTTCGGCGCCAGTCTTGACGCGCTTGGCACTGCGCTCGTGCGCATCGGCAAGATCGTCGCAGAGTGCAGCTACAGTTGACGCCTGCTGGCGCGAGCGTTTGGCAACGGTCGAGGACACTGCAGTTGTCAGCTTGTGGAGAACCTAGAAGCTGTACTCACCCAACTCTGCCGCGTCTCCAATCCTCTCGCAATGCTCGTCCACGCTGCCCACATGGCCCTGCGCGTCGGTCGCCGTTGACTCGGCATACGCTTCCAGTCGGCGACGCATACCGGTCGTGACCTCTCCCAGGGCCTGTTGCCCTGCCCCGCGCTGTCGCTCGACAGCCGCTGACTGTGAGGCAAGCTGGCGGCTAAACTCGTCCGCGGCGCTGGACCCGGCACCAAGTACGTCGGCGTGATCGTTTGCGTATGTCGAGACGGACAGCAATCGCTCATCGTTACCTTGCTGCACGCGGCCAATGGCTGTTTTGAGGCTCGCGTCCTGGGCGTCCGTAAACCCGACGATCATCTGGGTAACGTTGCCAATCAGGTCGGTGCGGAGTTTGGCCGACTTGGCCTGCTCGTCGGCGAGAAGGGTGGTGAGGAGGGTGTTTTGCTCACGGAGACGAGCGAGCTCGGCGTCGGTTGCTGAGGTAGACATTTCCTTTGCGCGAGTGAAAGCCGCAGCCTGCGAGGCGAGGTTGTCTCTTGCGGCCGAGATGACGCCGTCGAGTAGATGAGTGGTGGAGTCGAGAACGCCGCCGACGACAGACAGATGCTGCTCCTGGTGGCGCAGGAGCTCGTCGACCATGTTGGTGCTGCGCGCACTCACGCCCTCGGCCCATGCACGCACGCTCGCCTGCACCTCGTCTTTGACAGCGAGAACTGCGGCTGCCGCGTCGGTCATCTCCACATGGCCTTCCTCAATGGACGTGGACAGTGAGTTGGCGAGGTTGTTGAATGCTGCAAACGCATTGTCCAGCTCGGCCATGTGCTCTTGCGATTCCTAATGTCAGCTGGAAACGGGGAACACTCTAGCTCACCTCGTGACCCCTGGCAGCATACTCCTCCATATCCTTCCTCAGTGTGCGCCCAAAGTCACCGTGGACCGTGTGCAGCTGCACAATGTCCTGCTTGAGGTCGGAGGACAGGTTCTGCATGGCCGAGCCAAACTGGGTAGCAGCGTCGGTGTTGGTCTCGAGGACGTTTGTGACACGGCCAAGCTTGTCAAACAGCCCACCGACGTCGCGAACCGAATCGACGGCGACGGCGTGCAGCTCCCCTGCCACACTGTGCAGGCGCTCCTCGCCGACCTCGTACGCCTCGCTGACGACCCGTTCCTCTGCGAGCTTGGTCCGCGCGTCATCGGCCGCCGTCTTGGCATCGGTGAGCGCGTTGCCAAGCTGGCGCTCTGCCTCGCGGACGGCAGCGAGCTCGTCGGTGGTGGTGATAAACCGCGCAGTGAGGGTCTCAAACTCGGCTTTGCGGGTCTTGAGCTGTACCTCGACCTGGGCGACGCGCTGGCGTGCGTCATTGAAGTCTGTCTTTTGCTTGGTTGCCGTGTCGTTCATCTCGCGCCACTGGTCTTCGGGCACGTAAATGCCATTCTTCTCGCGGGTGGCGTACAGCTCGGCCTTGAGACGCTCCATGTCGGCAACATATTCCTTGAGCAGGCCAGCCTTGGTGAGGTGGGCGTTGACTTCGGGCTTGTTTTTGATCGACTTGGCGCGAAGGGCATAGTCGAGCGTCGAGATGGTTTCCTCCATGTTGGATTTTGTTGGCGAGACGGTGGCGATGATGCAGGTTTTGGTCCTGCCACCCAGCGAATCTTGCAGCAAGCGAGTGAGTTTGGACTCGCGGTAAGGGATATGGGTGCCCTTGTCGACCAGAGCCGAGATGACGCGGCCAAGGGTGAGGAGAGACTGGTTGATCATGCCGGCCTCGCGGGCGCGCTTGTTCTCAGCACCCGAACGACCAATGGCCTCGGAACCAGCCAAATCGACAAGGTTGAACTTGCCAATACGCAACAGGTCCTCGCCGCCCTTTTCTGTCGATGTCTCCTTGACGTGGACAGTGAGGGTAAAGATGGAATGGGAGCGGGACGACTGGTCGTTCATCCTTGTCTCGGCGGTCTGGCGGCGCATCGCACCCTTGTTGAGAACTGCAATGCCGTCCTTGAGGTTGCGCAGGCCCGTCTCCTCGACGCCAGAAACGGTGACACCCTTTTTGGACGCGTCCTCGAAAATCTTGATGTTGGCCGACGCCCCGTCCTTGTACTCTGGCGCCAAGAGGTCGCGAAGCTCTTCATTGTAGATTTCAATGTACGAGCACTTGACAGCGTACTCGGTGTTGTCCTGGGCTTCGAGCAGCGAGAAGAGGCGATATAGTACGCGCGGAATGATACCGGCCTCGTTGGACGGCTCCATAAGTGGCGTGGGCTTCAAGTCGCCATGCATCGTAAACCTGCGCGACGTGCCGTGTCAATTGCTTTTCGTGGGTCAAAACAACAAACAGCCTTCCGGCACTTACGTCTTGCCTGTTCCCGTCTGGCCGTACGCAAAGATGGTACAGTTGTAGCCCGCCAAGACCTCGTCGAGCATGTTCTCCGCCACCTCACGAAAGACCATTGTCTGGTCCGCCTCGGGTCCAAACACCTTGTCAAACGGGTACGTTTTGGTGGTTGGCTGTGATCCTGGGCCGAAGGCACTTGGAGGAGCACCGGGCATCGTCTCGACCGTGATGGCCTTGGACAGTGGAGACTCGGTCGTGGTGATGGCGGGAGAACCATCTTCTAGCTCTTGCCTTGACCGTCCACGGCAGCGGACAGCTACACGGATGCTGCTCTCTGGTACATCGGAAGGGACGCGGACGGACGAGGATGAGGGAGCGAGGTTTGTTGTGCGGCGGGAGGGGAGATGGTGTTGTTGGTCGTCGGTACGTGACGAGGATGCTGTTCTGGACAAGCGTGATGGAGGGACGATGGATGGGGCCCTTGATGGTGGACGTGGGAGGCCTGTGGATGGAGCCCGCCGTGACATGGTGGATGGGGGATGGTGGTGGATGATGGATGATACACGGTGTGTTGACGTTAGAAGTCAGTCGCGGTCCCACCAGTCTCCCCGCCGTTGTTGACAAGAAACAGGCGACCGTCCAGGGCAGGCGCTGGAGGAGCGGAAGCAAATTGCACTGGTGGGTGGCGAGCGGGATTATAAGTGCATGTGGCGGACACAGGCGGGGCGGTCCACTTGTGGCCTTGTGGTCCCCATCGTTGTCTGCACGTCATGCACCGACAACATGCCATCATGGCATAGGAGCTTCAGCGTGTACATTAGATTGTGGTGCAATGCTTTGGGTGGCGCGGGAGACAGACCCATCGGTGGTGGTGGTTTACTCCCATTACGTAATGTGACGCATGATTGCCGTCCCCGGTTACCCCGCCTCGTCGTCCCCGCACTCTCCACCAATTCCGAGCAATCCGACGCCAAAGCGAGAGGCGAGCGACGGCAACGACGACGACGACGAGCACTTGTTGTTGGGCCCGCGCTCTCTCTCTCCCATCTCTCCCTACCATCCACGCTCTCGTCTCTTCCGGCACAATGCCCACCAGACACATCCTCGCACGCGCAGCGCGTCGTGCAGCCACCCCCATCGCCGTCCGTCCACTCGCCCTTTCCGCAGCCTCGCTCCGTGCTTCTGCACTCGGATCGGCGTCCGCGTCCGCGTCATCGTCCATCACCTCCGTCAACTCTACACCTTCGCGCACACGGCGATGCCTGCACACCACCGTCCAGGAGAATGAGGAAGGAGCCCAGTCGGCGGCGGAGATGAAGGTCAAGAAGGCAGAGGCTGCGGCGTCTTTCCAAGGTGAGTCGCTCGCTGACCACGCCGACGACGACGCCGGCGGGCGCGGCAATTGGGTTCCGCTTTCCGCGTGTACAGCTGACCCATCTAGACCCCTACACTCGATACACCTACCTCGTCAACACTGGCGTGCTGCGGCCCGACGAGCACCAGAAGGGTATCATCAAGAAGCTGAATCGACTGTACGACGACCTGGTGGACTATGACCCCGGAACAATCCCCCCAATCGAGTCTGTCGAGCCCAGCTTTGTGAGTGTGCCCGTCTATATATACACACCACAGCTGACATGGCAGTTTGGCAAATTCTTCACCAAAACGACGACCGACTACAAGCCCACCGTGGCCCGCGACGACGTCCCAAAGGGCCTGTACCTGTACGGCTCGGTGGGCACCGGCAAGACCATGCTGATGGACCTGTTCCATTCGACTTTACCCCGCCAGTTTGGACCTGGATCCAAGTACGGCTCGAAGCGTATCCACTTCCACTCGTTCATGATCGAGGTGCTTCAGAGGCAACACAAGCTCAAGGCACAGTACGCCGCCGAGGGAGACGAGAAGCGCGACGTCATGCCAGAGGTGGCAAGGAGTATCGCCGAGGACGGCCGCGTGCTGTGTTTTGACGAGTTCCAAGTCACCGATATCGTGACGGCCATGCTGCTCCGCAGTCTCCTGGAGCGCCTGACTGACTTTGGTGTCGTCATTGTCATCACGTCCAACCGTCACCCGGATGACCTGTACATCAACGGCATCCAGCGCGAGAGCTTCATCCCCGCCATCGACCTCATCAAGGAGACTTTCCAGGTCGTCGACCTCGACTCGGGTACCGGTGAGTAAAAAGAGAGAGAGAGAGAGAGAGAGAGTTACGTGTAATGTGCCACTGTACTAACCGCCATAGACTACCGCAAGATCCCCCGCACGCTCACAAAGGTCTACTATTCCCCGCTCAACGAGGAGACGTCGACGGAGATGGACAAGCTCTTCCACGGCCTGGCGTCTGCCGACCCCGACCCGGAAATCAAGCTTGGCCGCAAACTTCCCCTGTGGGGCCGTGAACTGACCGTCCCCGAATCGAGTGGCCATGTGGCCCGCTTTTCGTTTGACGACCTGTGCAACCACCCGCTGTCCGCCGCCGACTACCTTGAGATTACTGGCACGTTCCCGACCGTCTTTGTCGAGGACGTGCCCAAGCTCACTCTGAGCGAGCGTGACCAGGCGCGCAGGTTTATCACGTTTATCGATGGTGAGTTACGACCCACGCTCCGTAGGCAAATGTAACTCACACCCCCGTCCCTCCCTCACAGCATGCTACGAGAACAAGACCAAACTCTTCATCTCGTCCGCCAAGCCCATCTACTCGATCTTCTCGGACGAGGGCGGCTCGGCATTCGACGACGACCAGATCAAGCACATGTCCGACCTGGGCATCAACACGGATGTCGTCGGGTCCAGCTCGTTGTTTAGCGGCGACGAAGAGCTGTTTGCGTTTGCGCGCTGTGTGTCGCGCCTCACGCAGATGGCAACAAAGGAGTGGGCAGACGAGAACGCCCTGGCGCACCGCGACTCGACGCCCAAGGACGTCTAGACGAGAGGAGTAAGGGTGTCTCTCAACTCTTTACTCTTGCATGTCCCCTCCATCGTGGCCCTGGCAGTTCGCCTCGACACACACCACACACCACCCGGCAGCATCCCCCCCCCCCCCCCCCCCCCCCCCCCCCCCCTCCGGCCGACGACTCGCTAGGGCGACGGCCACAAGAGCACATATATCCTTAGACGCACGCTCCGGGAAAGCATAATGCATGATCATGGTCTTGGCCTGATATATTGATGTACGGGGTAGAGGTGTGTTGGGTTTAGGGGGGTTGTAGATTTGTGGAATGAGATTGTTCATGGAGGAGTATTGGGGATTAATTGCTAGGGAGGGACAAAGGCGAGTCTATCCGTTCCGTATGCTTGATAGGTGAGAGCCCTCGGGGTGCTCAAAGCCTGTTGAGTTTTCTACAGTGGCACAACACTGATGTAGCCAGTGCCGTGTGGTGTTGAGTGGTGGCAGCGGCGTGTCGGTGTCGCTGTCGGCGGCGGCGGCTTGCGTCACATAGTTGGCAGTGACGATTCGGGTTCCGGCGCTGCGGGGGTTGTAAACCGTGGTCTCCCACACACAGCACAACTGCACGACTAGCCGCTGGCGCGCTGTGCATTTCAACCGCACCGCGCCGTTTTTGTAACGGCGCCGGTGCGTTGAGAGACGGCGGTGCACAGACGCTTTACGCCAACCGCTCGACTAGCCGCTCACAAGGCTTGGTATTGATATACGACCCCGTCCAGTCGATAAGGGTCCAGAGGAGACCGTGTGTGAGCATGCTGCGGATCATGCTCACTCCCAGACCGCGGTACAGGCGTGCAATGCCCGTCAGGAGAGGCTTGGGGTGGTCTTTGTCTGTTCCACGGACGAGACGGAGGAACTGGGTCAACGGCGTGCGCGGTGGGAGGCCGGCGAGGGAACGTTGTTGCGCCTTGGTCTTGATTGCCTGGGAAAGAGGGTTAGTTTAGCTCTCACGACCGATCAACTCACGTCAACGGGATAAATCAAGGCCCAAGAAGTCACGCCTGCGAGCGAACCACACAGGAAGGGGACCAGCTGTGGTGGGAGCCATCCCCTGGCCCAGTCTGGCAGCTCGCCCTGTGCCGAGCTGGCGCCATACTTGTCGTCTGGCGCAATGCTGTCGTCGCGCTTGCGTCCAAGGAGGAAACGCATCACGTCGTACTCTGCAAAGTAGAGCGCAGTGCCCATGGTGTCACGAACAAAGTGCAGCCGGAAACCAGTCCACAGGCCCAGAGGACCCATCTTGGACACGATCATGCGCACTGCTTGCAGCGTGGTCGGAGGCGCAAAGGCGGCGGGTTTGGGCTTGCCTGCTGCATCGGCGGCTGCATTCGCTGCGGCAATGGCGGCAGCAGAGCCGTCTGCGTGTCGAAAGAACTCGGGGTGCGAGTCGCGGTAGATCTGGTACTCGAGTTGCCGCCGGACCTGCATTTGTTAGAGCTGTTCAGGTCGGGTTTCATATAGCTCACCTTGACAAGCTCAAATGGTGCGCTGCCAATGCACACAACGGCGCCACTGGCGGCACCAGCAAGCAGACTGGTCATGGCCACATTGCCTGCCGTGTCCTTGTTGAAGACACCGAGATGGAGGTTGATCCAAGGTGGCTTCTCTCCGGGCTTTAATGGTTCGTCTGTTGTCGAGTTGAGTATGCGCTTGGTGGAGGTATAGATGGTGAAGCTAATGGTGCGGACAATGGAAATGGTGATGAGCGGGAGTCTGCGAGGGTCAGCAAAGAGTGTCCAGGCCATCGGCGTGCCGAAGCGGTACCCACGGGAATCCTCGCCAAAGGCTGTTCAACGTCAGCTCCGACCGTCACGTTGCCGCAGCAGCACTCACCCTCCCACACCTTCTTCCTTGATGACCTCGGCAGCGAGACGTGGGATAGTGAGGTTTTCGCGCGAGCTCTGAAGACGGGACTTGAGCGAGTCGAGCTGGGAAGGCAAATGTCAGTGACTGTGCACACTATTACTCGTGACGCCATTCGGCAAGGCAGTAACCAGCGAGGCACGCATTTTGGCGGCGCGACCACCGCAGCTTGTGAGCAGGTGACAATGAGCCTGGTGTTCGGCGGAGCGGAGCATCTCCATTCCACCGCCGCCGTGCACACCCGGCAACTGGTACCACCACCTCGCCGCGGGTCGCGCCACCATCGCCCCGCCCCGCCCCGCCCCGCCCATCTAGCTCCCATGGAGGAAGCCTGCTTCCATCGCAGCGCCCCCCATCTGGTCACGCGGGCATCAATCGCGTTCCCTCTCGGCTACTCACTGGGAAGCCTGCAAACGTGGATACGAGACTCGCTGTCGTCGCCGACACCACCTGGTGATGTTAGCTGCTGCACTGTTTCCCAAGAGTCCGCCACGGGAGGCCCTCCAGTTGGCCAGTTGGAGCCGAGCTAGTGCCGAGTTTTGTGGGTCGCCGACGCCGATGCGGAACACGGAGACCCCGGCCCCGACACGTGCGGAGCTGATAGGCCGCCGTCTCGCTGCACTCACGACTTTGTGGTCTGGAGCGTTAGCATGCTGTGGGAGAGCAGTGCAGTGTGGTGGTGCTTGAGAAGCGACTCACTGGCTAGCCAAGTGTCTGCCTGTTGTGCTCGGCGAGTCCACGGCCCGTCATAGGGCGGGCCCCTGCAAAGAGAGAGTCAACATGGGAGCTAGATGTATTGCCTGTGTGGGAGCTCACCCCGTCGCCGCCATGGGGAAGTGTCAGAGAAGGATATACCGTGTGGGGCAATAGAGTCCGCCCGTGGAGCGTGTGAGGTGTGAGGGGGTGTATAGATGTGTTGGACGGGAGAGAGGAAGACAGAAAGAGAGGATGTGCGGTTGCAACAACCCATCTTGGTCGGACGGATGAATGGCCATGTCATACCCACCAGTTTGATTCCGTTTCCCACCGTACGCTCCCGGCAATCTTTTGGCCGAAATAACAATAATTACAGTTGATGTCATCGTCGTCGCCATCATATCCCATCCGGACAAGAGCCATGAACAGAACAGCAACACGTCTCACACGATCCATTCACACCTCCGCCATCACACACGCAGAGAGAGAAGCATTCGGCCTGCCCCCAGTGAAACCAAAATGGGGACCACGACCCACAACACCGCCACCACCCAAATCCATCATCCTCGACCCAGCATACCGTCACCACCGGCAGCTGCAACGCGAGAGGAAACAGGCCAAGGACGACGACCCAGACGCAGCATGGAGGCTGGACCCGTTTGGTGAGAGCTGAGGTACCCTCCATGTCTATGGAGAAACCAGCTAACCCATCGTCCGTCCTCCAGGTCGCATGGCAGCCAGTCCAAAGCGCGAATGCATGCTTTCCCACGAACTGTTACCGAATGGTAGGTTCGGGAATGCCTGATAGTCACCTGTTCTAACGCATCAGCATTCATGCTCAACCTCCGCCCAGGTCTTGCAGGAGACAAGGGAGACAAGGCCTACCTCCTCCCGGACCGCCTGCAGCACCCGTCCATCCAGCCGAGGCGAACGGGGCTGGGCGGCTGGGTCTCGCTCCACCCTTCAGCAGTCGAGGTCGTCGCCGCAGACCCGAACGGTGAGCTCAATGGCCTCCTCGGCTAGGTCCCGAGTTCATTCTTTTGCTGACATTGCCGCGCGTTCCAGAAAAGTCCAGTAGAGGCCTCATTGGGCCGCTGTTCAAGGGCCTGAGCGCCATCGTCCAGTCTGCGGGACTGCACCCGAAAGACCTCCACCGCCCGACAAAGCTGAAGGAAATGGTCGCGGACGGGCTGCGCAAGCGCGTCGTGCAAGAGCTGGACATTGTCCGGTCGGCCGTACGCGGTTTCCCGGGCCCGCACGCCGTTGTTCCGCTGGGTATCGTCGCGCACGAGGCCGTTGCCGCGGGTAAAGTGCCCGAGGTGGCGGACGGCCGCGTCGTGGCCGTGTTGGACATGGACACCAAGCCGGCCCCACACCGCGCCGTGGCCGGCATCTTCCTCACGACACAGGAAGGGAATGCCAACGTGCCGTATTACCGCCTGCACGACCTGTTCAAGCACAGAGAGTACGCGGCCCAAGTCACGAGCCATGTGCGCGACGTTGTCGCCGCGGACAGGCAGCGGACGACCGTGGACAAGGAAGACGCCGTGGCGGCAGAAGGGTACGTCCCACAGGCGGTCGTGGACCACGTCCAGACGGCCACGGAGCAGGTCGAGGCGCACGCGATGGACGACGAGGCGCGCCTCGTCGCACTGGTGGTGCCCAACACGGCTGCACCTGGCCGGCCGAGGGACCTTGTCGTCCCAACGGTCATTGCGCTCTGGCGCGTGGCGCTGTATGAAGGGATTGGGTGGGAGGTGGACATGCCTGAACGGTATGTGCAGGGTCTGGAAAAGATCAAGGCCAAGGGACAGGCAAAGGTCAAAGCAGGCAAGGGACAGGCCAAGGACGACAAGAAGAAGAAATGAATGAGACCCCACGAGGTAGACGGTAGAGACGACACACCTGTAGCGATGTATCTTGAGTTTTCGAGACACTGCAGGATGCACCTGACTGGGGTTTGGGACGTGGGGCCACCGCCCGCGCGATAAACCCTCTCAGCTATGTGCTATGGGCGGTTGATTCTGAATGGACCAGGTCGGACAATCTCGTCGATTGTTTGGTTCGACACCCGAGTGGTGAAGGCCCCAGGCGCCACTGATGCCAGCTGCCACTCTACCACACACCGCCCGCTGCCTGCATGGATCTCATTCATACGAGATTACCTATAGGTACCAAGTTCGTTCCTCATATCACGACGACGCCTACACGTCGCGTATACTCTACTGCTCTTATGAAGCGGGCGTGCCGTGCCGTGCGGGGTGGCGGGCGGGCTGTATCATGTCCGGATCATATTTTTCCTTTCTCGAGCAAGAATCTCTCTCGTCCTCCGCCTCCACGTCTCTCTCACGCTTCCCTTACGCCATTCCCCTCCCCGTCTACACCGACGGGCGGAGACCGCTGGCAGGGAGGCCGACCTGCGTGATGCTGTCGACGACACAGACAGTGTTCTTGTACTCGGGCAGGTAGCGCGCGCCAGTGTACGCGGCGACGACGGCGGGCGAGCCCTGGTAGATGGGCGTGAGCGAGGCCGGGCACACGTCAAAGGTCGTGAAGTGGTCGTAGGCAATCTCAAACGCGTCGCGGGGGTTACGGTCACCCTGGGCAAGGACGGCGCGGGCCTGTGAAAAGAAAGTTGTCAGTTGGAATCCTCCCTTGGGTCGCGTTTTAACTCACCCTGGTGACGACCTTGGTGTCACTTGGCTTCATGTCGATAAGACGACGGGCAAAGACGGCGGCGGTGGCGTGGTTGCCGGCCTTGGAGAAGACACCCATGGCCGAGCGCAGCGCGAGCTGCTGGTGGGCAGGCTGGAGGTTGAGGTGGGTAAAGTACGCGGCGAGCTCGAGGTTGCGGATGTGGTTCTCGGGGTCCTCGGTCACGAGCTTTCTCCTCTCAGTCTCGAGGGTGAGACCGATAATGTACTCGCGAGCCGAAACAACCAGGTCCTTGACCTCGTCGGCCTGGTCGGGCTTGACGACAACAAGGAGGAGCTTTTGCAGGATCAAGCGGAACGCAGCGAGCGACTCGGCAAACTTGCCGCGCGAGAAGAAGCTGTATGCCTCGGCGAGCTCTCCGGCCTTGAGGTCCTCGTACTCGAGCGAGACGGCAGGGAGAACCTCGCGCAGCTCGGTCGTCTCGGGGTTCCTCCGGACGTGGAACTCGAGTGGCGGCAGCGACGCGTTGGCGGGAACGTGAACGTGGGCGGAGCGGTAGGCGGTAAGGAAGAGGGGTTTGAGGGGGGCAAAGTTGACAGCAGCCACTTGCCTGTTGAGGAGCTGCATGGCCGACTCGAACGCGCCCGCGGCAGCATGGTCTGCTGCCAATGGCGAGTTGCGAACCCACATCTCGTTCTCGTCGACGCCTGGCGAAACACCCTCTGACAAGTCGGCCTCGCCAATCAGGTCCTCCTCCACAGCAGCCTCCTCGGGCACCTCGATGACCTCGGCGTCAAGGTCCCAGCCCTCGTCCTCGTCAACGTCGTCACCGTCCTCGTCGGCAGCCGCACCATCGTCGTTGGCCCAAGCGTCCAGCTGGTCGCCGTTGGCGGCCTCCTCGGCGCCCGAACCACCAACAAGGCCCTCGACGCCACCGCCGTTGGCGAGGGCACGATCGAAGAAGCTCTCGCCGAGGTTCTTGATCGGCCAGCTCGACTCGGCCTGCGAAAAGACAATGGGGGGAGGGGCAAGCGACGAGTGACCAGCGTTCTGCGGGGGAGGGGGCAGGTCGTCCTCGGTCATACCGGCCTCCTCGAGAACATCGAGGGCAAGGTCGTCGAGGCCGTTGGTCTTGGCAGTGTAGTAGGCCAGGGGGTACTGGCCAGTCTCGCGGAGGACGGCCACACGGCCGGCAACGTCGCCGAGGTAGAGCGAGTTCTGGAAGCGCGACATCTGGTCGCCACGCTTGGTGGCAATGGTCTGCATCATGGCGAGACGCTGAGTGTTGCCGGTGACCAGGTAGAGGAACGAGAGCTTGTCAAAGCTGCGCGTCTTCTGGAAGCAGGTCTCGACAATCTGGTGGTTGCCCTGCTTGAGAGCGGCGTGGCCAAGACGCTCCCAGACCTCGGGACGCTCGACGGAACGAGCCATGTCGAGGGCAACGGTGAGGTTGCCGCACTCGATGGCCAGGTCGAAGCGGGTCTGCGGGTCCTGGATAAAGTGGAGAGCAATCTCGGGGTAGCCCTTCTTCTGGAGGTAGGCGATGATGCTCTGGCCGACAAGGTTGGATGTGCGGATGATCTGGAGGACCTCGTCAAAGTTCTTGCGAACAAGCGCAAGCTTGAAGCGGTACTCGGTGGGGTCAATTGGGATGGTGCGAGGCTTGGCCGTGCGGTCGAGGCAGTGGACAACCTGGCCCTTGACGCGAGTGAGGTAGACGGGCTGATCGAGGGTCTTGATGATACCGTTGTCACCCTGGGGGAGGGCATACTTGATGTGGTTCAGGGTGGTGTAGACGAGGATGCCGCTGTCGTCCCAGGCAGCCGACTTGATGCGGATCGTCTCGTGGATGAGAGCGGTCTGCTCGAGGGCCTTGTTGGCAATGGTAATGGTGTGCTTGCTGAGGAGCGCGACCATGTTGCCGTCGTTGCTCCAGACAACGTACTTGACGGGAGGGGTGGTGATCTCGTTCAGCACCTTTTGCTGCTGAATGTCAAAGAGGATGACCGAGGTGGCAGTGGCAAGCAGGAGCGAGGCGGTACCACCGTAGAAGATCTCCTGGACAGTGACGGGACACTTGACGGTCTTGGTCAACGAGTTGGACAGGTCGCGGATCTCAATGTTCTGCGCAGTCTTGTCGAGGACGGCCAGGCGGTTACGGGCGACAAAGAGCGCGCAGAGACCAGTGCCCTTCTTGCCGTCCGAGGGAGTGTCCTTGCCGTCACCAGCAACGGGGCCGGCGTTCTTGGGCAGAGTAATGAGCTCGTAGACACCGCCCTCGGAAGTCGAGGTGACAACAACAGCGCGCTCGGCGGGGTTGTAGGAAAGAGTGCGGGGCTGGATGTACTGCGAGCCGAGGCGGCGGACCGAGCAGATACCCTGGCTGGTGCCAGTCGTGAGGTCGGCCATGCGGATGACCTTGTCCTTGATGTAGAACAGCTGGTTGCCCGAAAGCGAAAAGGCGGGACGCTCACGCTCCAGCTTGAAGACGATGAGACCGTTGTCGTGACCGGCAGCGAAGAGGTTGAGCTCGGGGTGGGCAGTGAGAACCCAGAAGCGGTCGTGCTCGCGGCGGAACGTCTGGACAGCGGTACGCTTGGTCATGTCCCAGACGCGGATGGTCTTGTCCTCCGAGGCCGAGAGAATGAGCTCGTGGCGGGGGTGGAACATGGTCATGGACACGTTGTTGAAGTGGCCGCGGCACGAGTCGACCTCCCAGGCCTTGGTCTCGGACATGCGCCAGAGCTTGATCTGGCGGTCGTCACCACACGAGACGATCAGAGGAAGGGTAGGGTGGAACGAGGCCCAGTTGACACCGCGGTCGTGGCCCTCGAGGACATACTTGACGACAGCGTCCGTGTTGCCGAACAGGTCGGCCTGGCCTTGGTTGGCGCGCACCACTTGCTCCTCAAAGGACATGGGCGCCTGGTGGGCCTGGTTCTTCTTGCGGAGACCGGAAATGTCCCACACGCGAACCGTCAGGTCCATGGACGCCGACACGACCAGGTCGTCCCAAGGGTGGAACTGGGCGCACATAATGTAGTGGTTGTGGCCCGTCAAGATGGCGATACATGTACGCGACTGCCAGTTCCAGATACGGATGGTCTGGTCGTCGGACGCCGAAATGATCCAGGGGTACTCGTGGTGGAAGAAGACGGTGCGCACATAGTCGAGGTGACCAGTGAGGGTGAACAGGCACTTGCGCTGCTTGTAGTTCCACACCTTGATCTTGTAGTCGTCACCACCCGAACAGAAGATGGGCTGCGTGGGGTGGAAGCAGATGCCGCGAACGGGGCCTGGTGGTGTGAGCTACAGCGTGACTGCACGAAATAGCTTACCATCGTGCTCGTCATACCTGTCCACGAGCGTGCCCATCTGGTAGTTCCACAGCTGGATGGTACCATTGTGGAGCGAGGCAGCGAGGAGGGGCGTCTTGGGGTCTGTGCTACGTTAGTCCTCGCTCGTGTGTATGCAGATTGTGCTTGTGCCATGCCAGCGAGCAGCAGGCGCGGTGTGGCTCGCGGCGCGCGACGTCGACAACCCGCAATTGAATGCGACGCGGTGTCATGGCTCTGCGCAACCTCCAACCGCTGGCCACTGGCGTGTAGCTGGATACTCACGGAACGCGATGCCCTTGACCCTCGGGCTCTTGCTCTCAAACTGGAATGCGAGGTCAGCAAACGAATCCACAGGTGGGTGGGGGCGAGGCGGCCTACCTTTGTGAGCATCTGCATCTTGCTCCGACCGCGCGCGCGGGATTCCTAGATGACCGGTTGCCGGGGGGAAGGGGGAGGAGGAGCGAAGGGGGGGAGGTGGGGGGAGGAGGGATACGCGGGGCGACCTGATGCTGAGGGGGTGTTGTGTGAGCACGCGGGGCCTGCGTGAGAGTGGTAGACGGTGTTGTTGTAAGACGAGGAGGAAGGGTGGTCGTCGTGGATTGTGTCCTGTGCTCTAATTGACGCCAATGGTGCGTGGAGGGTGGCCGCGGTGTGCGTCTGGCTGGCGACGTGACGATGCCGCGCGTGCAAAAGGGGGGGACCGTATATTACAGAGCACGGGATCAAAATGCCACGTGATGAGGGGGTATTTCACCGCGAAATAACGCCGCCCACGAGCGTGGCATGAGCATACGACGAGGAGGAGGAGAACAGTATGCATAGTCTACTGCCCACCGCAAAGAGCATCGTCGTCGTGTAGATACGATAGGGGGGAGAGAGGCTAGGGGAGAGCCAGAGCTAGAGCGAGAGCGAGAGAGACAGAGAGAGAGAGCCTAATAGGATGTATACTATTATTACTACCACCATTGTTCCCTCTCTCTAAAGCTCGTCCTTGGCAGCCACCTTTTGCTGCTTGAGCGCGTCCTCGACCTGCTGCTGGCTCTTGCCAATGAACGGCGCCTGGGCCTCACCGCCGGCATTCGCAGCGTTGTCGGGCACAGGGAGAATGCTAACACGCTTAGGCTCGGCAGACTTGGGCTTGGAAGCAGCCTCAGCCTCGCTGGCCTCGCGAGCAGAGATACGCTCAAGAGCGAGCTTCTTGAGCTTGAGCTGGTGTGTGCGGAAGCCCTCAAAGCGGTCGTCAAACGCAACGAGAACCTCGGACATCAGGCTCTGGGCCTTGTTGATGCTGTCCTTGAGCTGGGTACCGGAAGGCTTCTCTGAAACGGCCGCGTACTTGGCAACCCAGGTGGCAACGTCTGCAGGTGGTTAGTTGCACTCTTGTGACAAGCCAAACCCACCATTCTTGAGACCCTTGTAGGCCGACCAGTCCTTGGACGAAATGCCATCGACAATGGACATCTGCAGTGTCAATTGAAGCTCTCCCACCTGTTCAGGTCAAACAACTTACACGCTTGCCAATGGCCTCGTAGTCGGCACCGAGAAGCTTCTGGAGCTCATTCTCAGCCTGCTTGATGGCGGGCTCGACACGCTCGTCGACCTGCTTGCGCTTGTGCTGGACACCGGCACGGACCTGGTTGTACATCTTGGCAACCTTGTCCTCGGACATCCGGATCGACTCCTCGACCTGGGCGCGGGTCAGGGTCTTGGACGAGGTGTAGAGACGGTCGAGACCAGAGAGCATGCGCTGAATGTCACGCTCCATGTTCTCCGAGCCAATCTTCTCGACCTCGGGGAGGAGACCAGTGTAGTAGTCAAACTGCTTGATGGCAGCAGCCTGCACACGCCCAAAGCCAGCCATGCCCTGGAAGTTGACCTTCTTCTTCAGAGACTCAAGCGAGGCGAGGACATCGGCCTTGGCATCAACGTGCTGGGCCTCGGGCTCAGTGGCAGCCGACGCCGACGCCAAAGTCGAGGCGGAAACCGAGGTGGTAGCGTGAGTGGCAGTCTGGGGCTCGCCAACGTCGGCAGGAATGTCGACAGTGGTGCTGTCAACCTTGGGCTCGGCCGACTTGGGCTCGTCAGTCCGGGACTCCTTGACATTGGTGGTCTTGATCTCGGCAGGAGTGGGCTCGGGGGCAGCCTCCTGGGGCTTGGCCTGGTGGACCTTGGCCTCGACCTTGGGCTTCTCGGCCTTGGGCTTCTCGGCCTTGGGCTTCTCGGCCTTGGGCTTCTCAGCCTTGGGCTTCTCAGCCTTGGGCTTCTCAGCCTTGGGCTTCTCAGCCTTGGGCTTCTCAGCCTTGGGCTTCTCGGCCTTGGGCTTCTCGGCCTTGGGCTTGTCAGACTTGGGCTTGTCGGCAAACACCTTCTGGCCGCGGTTCTCAGCAGCGTTGCCCATCGAGGGCAACTTGTCCGAAATGTGAGCCCAGAACGACTTGGGAGGCTGCTGGACAGGAGGCAGAAACGAGACAACAATAGGGGCAATGTAGGGCCTGTAGACATTGCGGTGGAAGGCAATGCGGTAAGGCTGGAGAGTGTCCTGAGCCTTGTGGAGGTAAGGGTCGACGTGCTCGGCAAGGTGGATCTTGTAGAGCTCGTGGGCGTGGCTAAATGTCAGCTGAGGTTTCTCTGGACAAACTCACCCGTTAGCCACGCCAAAGAGGCGGACAATCTGCTGCCAGAGGTGCTCGAGGGCCTGGAGAACACGGGGAAGGACAGTGTGCTGGGCGTGGTGCGATCCGACGTTGTACGCGTTGATGACGTGGGGGCGGCTAAACTTGTACGCCTTGTGGGAGTGCTCCTTGCCCAGCTTGAACGCGGTCTGAGCGTGCTTGCCAGCCTGGGCAGTCAGAGGGTGGCCCGCAACCTGACGGTAAGCGGCCTTGCCCTGCTTGGCGGCAGTGCAGGCATGCTTCTTGGCAGCGTTGACGTGGTGGGCGGCGTGCTGGTTGTAGAGTGCCTTGACACGCAGAATAATGGGAGCGGTCAACTCGGTAAACTTGGCCTCAATATATGGAAGGCGAGGCTGGACGTAGGTGAGGTGGAACTTGCGGGCACCGCGGCCGATGCGGTCAACAACGGGCTTGACGGGGCCGTTCCAAAGGCGAAGGCAGGCGTCCTCGTATGCCTTGAGTGCGGGCTTGACCTGCTGCTGGAAGACGGGGTGCGCCTCAATCTTGGCCGAGGCATCGTGAAGGACGGGGAGAACGTAGGGCTCGAGGACCTCCTTGTGGTAAACGTTGGCCGGGTAACAGAGGGTCTGGTGAAGGGTCGAGGGGGGGTTGGATTGGCCAAAGCCGAGCGAGCCAAGGGCGAACGTTGAGAACACTGAAGGCTTCGAGCTCGGGGGAGGGCACAGAACGGTCGAGAGTAACGAGAGGGAGATGATGAAGGGAACGAGGGCGATGAAGCCAAAGATGGACGTGCCCTTGCGCTTCACCGTCTGCTTCTTCGAGTCGGGCTTCCTGGAGGCCGCGGGAGTCTGTGACAAGACATTAGCCACCAACTACGGCCTGTGACTGCGACAAGAGTTTCAGTTCACACACTCACCGCGACCGCCTGCACCTGGGTTCCCTTGCTCGAAGGAACAGTAGGGCCGTCCTATCAACGTCAGCAAACGCTCTCATGTGCAACATCACCAACAAGCAACGCACATAGAACTTGGGCACCGAAGAGTTTTGGGCTTTGGTGGAAGTCGGCTGGCTAACGTTGCGAGACGGCGTTGGCTTCCGCTTTGAGCCGGACGAAGATGTGGATGAAGGGCGAGCAGGCTCAGAAGCCCTAGGCTTTTGCTTGCTCATTGCGAGAACAATAAAAGGGGGGGTGGGACAGAGGTCTAGTGAAAGACCTAGCCTGGAGAAGTGGGCAGGAAAAGGAGTGTGGGAGGAGGGTGGGAGGAGGATGAGAGAGAAAGGGAGATGTAACAAGCGATGTGCTCTCTCTCGTTTACCGTCGTCCGGCCGGTGACAATGGGCCATCCATGCGAATCGCTGACACTTGTGGGCGGCCATCATCGTCACGGCGCGCGCTGCTGGCGGGCGGTGACGTTGTGAAGGGACGGAACCAAAATAGTCATAATAGGAGATCGCTGCTATTGTTATTTAATTATCACGCGCCTTTCTTAATCAGCCAGCCGATGCGCGCCTACCCAGAAGAGGTTCATTGTGTTTACGTAATGAAGTCTGGCCCTACTAGGGCCCCGCAGCGTCACCACCAGCACCGGTCGTTGCCGCCGACGCGGTCGCGGTCGAGAGAGACACATGCTGTGGGTGCGCTCGTCGTCGTTCTCTCATTGCACACATCCTACAACTGCACCTCACACCAACGCGGGCAAATGTACTGGCCAACATCGGCAGCCCGTATACTCGCCGTCCCGCCTCCCATAGGCGACGACCCAGTCCTCAAAGTAAAGCCCTCCAGACGCGGCAACCTCTTCGCAACCCTCACAGAGACAGGCATCGGCATTTGGGATGTCAGAGTGAGTGTGGTGTGTGCCTCTTGCGGTCGGGCAGTGGCTCACAGCTGAACGCGACCGTTGGTTCACGCAACCTGAAACTGGCTGGCGCTGACATTATGTACAGCCGACCGTACTGCAAACTGTTGTCGTGCGCACAAAAGAGAGCGTCGACCGCTGGGGCTCAAATGAGAACGTGTTCTGGGCGTCGGACGGCCGAGGGCTTATAATCTTGGTGAGCTGCGAAACTCCTGCGCAACTGACATGACAGACCACAACATCAAACCTGCTGCTGTACCAACTCGTCCCTACAGCTCTCCCTGCATATGAGAGTGCAGCAACACCCTCCTTCCCTCCTGGCGGTGGGCCTGGGGAAGGTGAGGTGCTAATGGGATGGGAGCTCTTGCCCCAGGGAGTCGCCTTCGCCATGGGCAAGTGCCAGAGTATCCTTGCCCAGCCGCACAGCCTGCTCATCACTCTCAAGCACCCGCCATCCATGCTCAAGGTACCCTACCCCCTTCCACCACAGCTTGTGACCCAAGCGGGCTCTCATTTCCCCCCATTGCCACTCGATGGCGAGACCGAGGAGCAAATCGAGTGTGAGCTCTGGGACCTCACAAGAGCTAGGGAATGGATGGATCAGTCTGGTGAGTGACATTCATTTGTTGAAACTGGCTGACAGAAGCACGCGTGCCCGTGCCCACCGCTATGACGGCGACGAGGATACCGGGTCTGCCGGTCACATATTCATTGCTTACAGACGACGGGCGGGTGCATGCAGTGTACGCATCGAACCAGATTGAGCTTCTCCGAACGGAGGTACGTGGTTTCTTGTCTGCGCGGCTCAAGCTAACCACTCTCCAGATGGTCCGTCGTGGATCTGTTTCAAGCAATGTCCCCTCGGTAAACTCGGAAGGAAGGTGGCTCGGAACTGTCGTCTACCCACCACCACCAGCTTCAACAGAAGGCATCCGCAACGGCATGGCGAGTCTGGAACTAGAAGATACCAGCAAGACGCCCACATTTGACAAGGCCATGGACGCAGTTGTCAACGGCCGTTTTGGATTAGTGGCCGTTGGTACAGAAAGGTGAGGTTAACTTGGACCATCTGGCCTAACCTCTTCAGCGGCTTGGTGAACATCATCGTTCTCCCACCTTACCCCCAACAATCACGTTTCTCGCACAAACTCGACTTGAAACACTCGGCCAACCTCCGAGTTCAGCCCGGCAAAGTCACGTCAATGGCATGGACCTCGGATGGATACGCTCTGGCAGTGGGCTACGAGAATGGCTGGGCAGTGTGGAGTATGGGCGGTCGTCTGGACGGATGGGGTGTGGCAGGACAGGATGATGACGAGCCGGCCGCGGACGCGTTCATGAACGGGGCATCAAACTTGGTGAGTTGTTCGCGGTTATTGTCAACTGACTATCCAGTTCTGGTCACCAGGCAACCTCGACCTGTTTATGACGGCAAGAGCAGAGACGGACCGTATCTACGCCATGCCCTTTGTCAAGAGCGCTACAACGGGACAGCATTCACCTGTGAGATTATCTGTTAGTCCCGATCTGACCCCAGGACAACACTCGTTACGCGTTCCTGCAGATGGACGACCGAGTCCTCGTGTACCGCGGTGCAGACCAGCCGGACATGAGTGTGATTAACCCGGAATCGGACGTGTGGCAACACATTCACGTGAGCTCAATCATTCCGTAATAAAGCTGATAGCAGATTCCTAATGTTTACATTGCCACCAACTGGCCCATTCGCTACGCCTCTATCTCAAACGATGGACGCTTCATCGCCGTTGCCGGCCGTCGTGGTTTGACCCACTACTCTGCCGCCTCTGGACGCTGGAAGCTCTTTGCCCATGAGCGTGAGGAGCGTGGTTTCACTGTCCGTGGAGGTCTACTGTGGTTCCACCATGTACTCATCGCCGCTGTCGAGGTGGACAAAAAATACCAGGTAGGTTCGAACTCACCGTCGCTGATCTGACCCATCAGATCCGCCTGTATTCGCGCGACTTGGACTTGTCCGACACCAACGTGTTACATGCCCAGAGCGTGCCCTCGCCCGTCCTTGTCATGACCCTGCTGGATAACTCGCTCCTGGTTTACACAGCCGACAGCATGCTGTACCACTTTGTGATCATTCCAACCTCCGACTCGATCCGCATCCAGTTATGTGGCAGTATCAGCTTCCGTGGTCTGGTTACTGTGCCAGCGCGCGTGAGGGCCTTGTCATGGCTGATTCCAGAGGCCCAAAAGCGTGAGCTATCGTGTAATGGCAGAGCTGACATTAGGCCTCGGAGACCCCACGGACGACCTCATCGTCGCCACTATCATCTTCCTCGTCGATGGCCGTCTTGTCCTTTTGCGTCCGCGCAGGGTGAGTTGTCTCAAACGCTCGCAAGGAACTGACCAACCAGGCCGGAACGGATGAAGTTCGCTATGACATGCAGGTGCTTGCCGACCGCATCGAGTCGTACTGGACCCACTTGCACGGTGTCGGCACGCTCGAAAACTCGCTTTGGGGCTATGACGGACGCAGCATGCGCGTGTGGCTCGACGCACTGACCATTGAGGCTACCCGCGTGGACCTTGACCTCGACACATACGAGAGCGTCAAGGAGAGCATCAATCTCAGACTTGACTTTTACCCTCTTTGTAAGTTGTCGTTTTCTTTCCTGAGCTAACTTTTCAGCCATTCTCATGGACAAGGGTATCATCATTGGCGTGGACTATGACGTGTCCAGCCGCTCTCTCCCGTTTGTCATGTTCAAGCTCCAGACCTCAACGCACCTCTTCCTGCCCCCCTTCCTGCGCTACCACCTGGACCACAAGCAGATGAAATCCGCGCTCGCCTTTGCATCCAACTACCAGGACCTAGTCTACTTTGGCCATTCGCTCGAAGTGCTCCTGCACTCTGTGCTCGAAGACACGGTAGACGCACGCTCTGGCCTCGAATCCGAAGCGTCCCCCGGCGGCAGCACACTCGCCCTCGTCGCCACCTTCCTCGACCACTTCCCCGAATCGCTCGACGTCGTCGTCGGCTGTGCGCGCAAGACCGAGGTTGAGCACTGGTCCCAGCTGTTCGACGTCGTCGGTCGCCCGCGTGACCTGTACGAGCGGTGCCTTGCCGCCGGGACACTGCGCACTGCCGCATCCTACCTCTTGGTCATGCACACGCTCGAGGAGGCCGACGACGCGCGCGACACCGTCCGTCTCCTCCGTCTGGCCATTGACGCAAAGGAAACCCAGCTGTGCAAGGAACTCCTCCGGTTTTTGCATTCCATCGACGAGACGGGCACCGCCCTCCGCTCTGCCATTGCCGAGGTCGGTATCCTCCCGCCCACAAAGCTCCATCTGCCGGGCACAAACGGCGGCGGCGACAATGCCGTATTCTCACCCTCGCCGCTTTCGGCGCCGGACTCGCACTCGGGACGCAATACCCCAACCCAGGCGAGCTCACGTACCGCCACTACGTCTCAGGAGACCACCCGCCCCTCGTTGCACTAGAGCGGCAGCGTCCGAATGCCCAAATAGATAGATGGGTCATGAGTTGCTGTCCCTCGCTCTTTTATCTCCTCCCATTAGAACAAACATTGCACCTTTTGTTGTACCTCTGGAATGTGAAGGGAAAACATGATTTCATGGGTGGGAGTGTGCAGCTGAACAGTGCCGCGGATGAGAATGAAGAATGGTGGTGCGGGGACACGTGAGGGTCTATGAACAAAGGGGAAGAAACGGGTGACATCTACGCTGCTTGGGTTAGCTCGACAGTGATGCGGCGCTACCCACGGTCACTTGTGCCGACTCCGCGGTCGACCTTGGTGGCAAAGATCCTCTTGTACACAAACCTCCTGTCATACTCGCGCATGACCTCTGCACTGAGCAACATGCGGTCTTTGACGAGCTGCGCATAGTTGGCAGCGAGCTGCGTGAGGAAGAAGATGGACATGGCGTGGATGACGGGTGTAAGGAACGGGTGCGGCGCGGTGATGAGGTATGCGACGACCGGCGCCGAGGGAGCGTACGCGCTGTGAAGGAGTTAGAGTGTGGTTTCGCAATGAGAGCACGGTAACTCACCAGAAGAAGGCGAGGCAGAATTCGGGAGGCTCCCAGACGTGCAGAGACTGGATGCGGTCGTCGCCGCCACCCTCGCCAGAGGTACGGGGTGGGCGGGCGCCAAAGGCCGACAGCACGGAACGGCTGAGTTTGTCAGCTACAGCCGATGGTGGTGTAACTCACGCAGCCCATTTCGTAAAGATCCACAGCCAGTGAGCGGCGATACGCGCATACTTCTCCGCGGGCGAGGCAGTGGAGGGAAGAACGACGTTGTCGTCAACTGGAGCTGGAGAGGTGTGCGTCGACGTGCTCTTGCGCGCAGTAGGGGACGGGGCCGGGGAGGCGTGAGGGGATGAAATAGGGTCCTTGGCCTGATGGGTTAGCGAAAGAGGAAACACGGCGAACACCCACTGTGCGCAACAGAAGGTCATAGTTCCTGAAGCGGGTGAAGAGCCACACGGCGTTGGCGGCCGACAAAGTAAACAGGAGGAAGGTAACGAGGAATGCCTGCGGTGTTAGCTTTCCTCACTGTAGATAAGCTCACAGTACGAGTGCCGACAATACCACGACGGGCCTTGGGTTCCTCCTCGTACCGTCCCCAGCGGTCATCGACGCCAGAGCGGTGGCGGATAATACCACCGTCGTCAGCTTGGGGCGAACGCAGGGGAGCAAGGAGGAACCAGTGGATGATGTAGAGGGCCAAAGCAATGGGGTTGGCAAAACGGGCGGGCGGGAGAACGTCCTCAACCGAGTTGGGCATCTGGATCAACGCGGTATCAATCACGTTGCTAGGCAGCTCGACCATGCTGTTTGGATGTTAGACATGGATGTCTAGAAAATCAGTCACGTACCGTTTCCACAGTGACTTTTTGCGCACGAAGCGCTTCTTCTTTCCCGAGGTGGACTCATACACAGGGTTGAGCGATGCACGACGAGCCTCGCGTTTGCGCTCCTCCTCGTACTGCTTAGCGGCACGGGCATTGGCCGCCATGTCGAAGGGGATGGACGAGGATTTGGACAGACCCGCAGGCGGCGTGGTCGCGTAGGGCGAGTATGTGATGTGCGCGCCATGCGGGGTAATGGGACCGGGAGACTCTACAGTGCCGACGCCTACACCGACAGCCGATGAGCGGTAGCGCGGACGCTCACGTTCCGTGTGGTCACGGACTGGCGTGGCAAAGGCGTTCTGGTGGGATGACGACGACGTTGGGGTCGATGGGCCGTCGTCCAAGTCGCGGGTCGAGCGGGAAAGCTGGGATGGGGGTCTTGCAAATGCGCTGAGCGACTTGCGAGACTGCCTCGCCAGCGGAGACGCCGACATGGCTGGGCGATGATGTGTGGGTGGAAGAAGAAGGAAGAACGAGCATCACAAAACAACGTCAACACGACGTCTTCCACAGTGGCCGTGTAATCTATTTAAACGAGCCTTCCCTTTTCAGCCACGTGGGCTTTCTGGTCGATGACGATCTCGCACCACCACAACGTCCACAACACAACAGTCGCTGGCGTCACCCCTCGTCTGTCCTCACTCCCCAAACGGCCAAGCAACGGCATCGACATTAGAGATACCATGGTAAGGCTGAAGCTTGGGTGACAATTCAGCTAACATAACAGGCCACAAACTTTCTCGCAGTGCCGGGCAAGCAGGCCAGCTCAATTCCCGATCTCAGCTCCCACTTGCTCGCCTACATCTCGAGCCATTTCCGCGATGCGCACCCAGACGCATTCAGGCGCGATGTCGACACGCTAGTCGGCATGCGTCGCGAGTGGGTCAACCCCAAGGCTGAAGCCCATCCTGAAATTGCAAAGGGCCTCATCAAGTGGGTCAAACCACTGTTACCTGTGGTGGCGAGAAAGCATTGCTGACCCAGTGGCCAAGGTACCATGCTCAGCTGGCGTTTGTGGCGACCAAGTTTCCTTCAGACGTGAGTAGCTGGCATGTCGCACACGAAGTCAGCTAATGAACAGATTGGTGTATCGTTCTCGTACAGCCTCCCCTTCCCTCCGCCGTACTCAATCTCTCCGGATGCCCCCATCGCGCTGCCGTCATTCACCTACGAGCGCGCAGCAGTGCTGTACAACATCTCGTCCATCTATGCCACTCTGGCCGCCATGGAGCGCCGTGCAGAGGCAGAGGGAATTAAGCGTGCTTTAGGATTCCTCACTGTAAGCTACAGCTTTTGTTGCCGAAGCTGACATCAACAACAGCAAGCCGCCGGTATCCTGAATTACCTGATCACCGCCGTCCTGCCGACTTTGAAGAGCGAGGTGTCATCGCCCCAGGCTGCAGGGTACGACATGAGCGAGAGCTTTCTCACCACTATGCGCGAATTTGTTCTCGCAGAGGCACAGGAGTGTTACTGGCAGCAAGCTGTCCTTCGTAAGCTAGCGGGCGGTGTACAGAGCTAACAATCACAGAGGGGTCATACAAGAACGCTCTCATTGCCAAGCTGTCCATGAAGGTTAGTAAAGAAGCAGGCACCCCACCCTCCTTGTACTAACGAGATAGGTCTCCGAGTACTACAAGTCTGCGCTCAAGGCGGCGAACAGCATGGACATGCCTTCGGCCTCGTACTTTCCTCAGGTACGCTTTTGCTGACTTTGACCGGGCTCACACCTCAGGCGTGGACAAACCACATGACTGTCAAGAGCATGCACTTTGAGGCGGCGGCCCAGTTCCGTCTCTCTCAAGAGGATCTCGAGAAGAACCGTTACGGTGACGAGATTGCCCGTTTGCGTGTTGCCGAGGGCCTCGCCAAGAAGGGTCTCGACATCGGTAAGAAGGGTGTGAGCGACTCGGTTATCCAGGACCTCAAGGTGAGTTGGAGACGCTCTAGCGCACCTGACTAACTCTCAGAACCTGTCTGCCGCAGTCAAGACCTCGCTTGACCGCGCTGTCCGTGATAACGACCTTGTCTACGTTTGCCCCATCCCCACCGCCTCCCAGCTTGCCCCTGTCGTCGGCGTTGGCATGGTCAAGCTTACCACTCCTACCGAAGTGTCTGACCCTGTCGCCTGGCTTCTGAGCGGCGGCGCTGGAACTCCCCCACTCTTCAGCGGTCTCGTCCCTTATGGTGTTCATCTTGCTCTCAGCATTTACGACGACCGCAAGGACACTCTGATTCGCGAGATGGACGTCAAACGCGAGGAGCTGGATGGTGTGGCCGCAAGGTGAGTGTTGCCAGAGGGTTCAAAACTAACCCTGTGCAGCACTTTGCAATCTCTCAACCTCCCTGGCTCATTGCAAGCCCTTGAGCGACCTGTTGGCCTGCCACCCTCATTGCTGAAGAAGGCCGAAGAGGTGGACGCGGCTGGTGGCGTTGACAAGATCCGCAGCTTGCTCATGGATGCCAACAGGCTAGCCAAGTCCAATGCCAAGATTCTGTCAGAGGTGAGCTACCCTGGAACCGTTTCTCAGCTAACATCACAGGCCATGGACATTCTCGACCAAGAAGCTCATGAAACTGAGCAGCTCATTGAGAGGCAGCCCCACCTTGCCGAGTCTCGTCCTCCCTCACATGTTGCCAACCAGTCACTCATTGCCAATGCTGGACAGTATGATGCCACCCTCAAGCAGGCAGCTGGCAGCGACGCGATGGTCCGCACCAAGTGGGAGGAGTGGCGCAACATGATTGAGATTCTTTCTGGCGGCGAGGTGAGTTGTCTGTTGACCCTCGGACCTAACTCCTCCAGGATATCATCTCCGACCACGTCCCGTCCACCACGTCGAGCGGTAGCGGTTTTGCCCCCCTGCCTTCTTCTGTCCGCCCTCTGCGTGCGTCCCTCGAGGACCTCGATGACCGTATTGCGCACCGTGCTGCCCTCGTTGCCGAGGCGCGCCAGGTCTCGGAGCAAGACGATGTGCGTCCCGCAGTGCTGCAGGAGGCAACTCGCTTGGCCCATGGCGGATCAGGTGATGTCAAGCCCGAGTGGTTTGAGAGCATCTTTGAAAAGGCCCTGTCCAAGTATGACCGTCTCCGCGATGGCATGACCGCCGAGGCAGACTCGCAGGACCAACTCCTTGAACAGATCAGGGTGGGTTCAATATCCTCGTGTTTTTGCTAACCCAACAGCAACAGAACGAAACCTTTATTGCAGAGCGCAAGGAGGACCCTCGTGTCAAGGAACGTGAGCGCCGACTCCAGGACATGGACATGGCATACTGGAAGTGGCGCGAGATTGTAGACAATGCCGAGGAGGGCATCAAGTTCTACAACTCGCTCGCCGACATGCTGCACCAGTTCCAGGAGGCATGCCACCAGTTCCTCAATGCCAGGCGAGTGGATGTTGGGTGAGTTTTGTGCTTGGAGTGCCCCGGCCGTTGCTAACTAACCCATCAGCAATTTGGCGTCCCAACTGCAGAACGTGTCTCTCGAGTCACACTCTCCTGCTCAAGCTCAGTCACCGCCACCGGCACAGCAGCAACAGCAACAGCAACAGCAACAGCAGTACTTCTCCCCTCAGACGTCCTACTCGCTTCCCCCGCAACAGCACTATTCTGCTCCTTCTCCGCCCCGCGCATCCCCACCAGTGGTCTCCCCACCCCCGTCTGTAGCTGCGGCTTCAGCGCCCGTCCTCTCCCCTCCTCCCAAGACCTTTGGCTTGCCCCACCCCAACTCGGCACAGTGGCAATCAGGCTCAGACTTCTTGCCTCCCCCTCCTCCCCCGCCCGTCATTCGCTCCGGCGGCGTCCCCACTCGTCCGGCCCCGGCACCGCCCGTGACTGTCGACTCGCCGAGGCGCGTCACCCGCGCCAGCGTTGCCAAGGGCCCCATTGGCGACCCCAACCGGAACCCGTACAAGAAGGGATCCCGCGGTGGTGGTGAGGGTGTCATTTAGGTAGGGAGGTTGATAATATGATAGAGACTTTTAAGAGTGTGGTCCAAGGATGCAGTGAGGTCACAGATTGGACTTGACAGATGCTGGGACGCAGGTTGAGGCAGGTGCCGGGAAATGACATTTCAGTCACAAGTGGTTATTGTCCTGCAACATGCACGGATTTTGTCCCACCGAGTAAGCACATAGGCTGCTGCGTTCTCGTAAAAAGTGGTGAATTTTGCAGAGTTGGGGGGACAGCATGCAATGAGAGATGCTATGGTTGGCACAGAAAGAACATATACTCTCCCACAATTAAAGCCATTTGTTGGAGACATTTAACCTATGATAGTTTGTCGTTGACATAAAACCGCTATTCTGGAAAGGAAAAGAGAGAGGCATCATGGTTTCATACTACCTGCACTGCAGCTATCAAGATCCATATGCATGTCCAGTGTCAACACGGCTGCAGCGGGCCCCATCGCTTGCGGTGGGTACAACACACGCCATATGCCACCCACCGCCAAAACATATGGGACGGAAGCAAATCCTGCAGTTCGCGATCCCATCACACACACACTCCCACAAACACTCCAGGTTACAGCCGCGTCTTTGAACAACCCCGCCCTCTCCATCCCCATCCCTCACAGGTCGACGAGCAGCGCAACATCGCGCTCTGAACAGGACACATACAGCACGTGTATACCACTCGCGATCCCCTCTTGCCCGCGTCACCAGCGGTAGACAGCCCCAAGCGATCCCTCTTCTTGCGCGGGCGCAAGACCCCGCCTTCCCTCCCCTTTGCTCCCCAACTCTGCAGGCCGCATCCATCTTCCCTCCGCCTTCTTGCCACCCACCCACACTCCAGCCGTGCAAGTCTTGTTGAAAATGGCGCGTTCAGTCTCGAGGAGCGCTGCGCGCAACACCGAGTCGCCCCCCCAAGACGTCGAGATCATCGATGCCGACGACACCGAGGCCGAGAGCGAGGACGAGTACGAGGTCGAGGCTATTGTCGCCCACAAGCCCCTGGTAAGTCTTGTGTTCCTCTCCTGAGTTGTTTTTGGCGAGTGTGTGCACGTGTGTGTGGGGGGGTCAATCAGCTGAGCAGGTGGGCTCTGGCATCCCTTGCGATGGGGCTGCTGCTGCTTGCTCATGGGCCTCGATCGAATGGCGAGCAGGCGCATAAGGGGGGTGGCCGTGCAGAACAGCAGCCAAGGAGAGTGAGGGTACACAGTCAAGTACTGGAAGCACTCCACGCCTCTTGCCAGTTCTTCTCTGTGCTTGGTCTACAGAGGTCTCACCTGGCCCGAGATGGATGGTTCAAATATGGCATCCACCCAAGGTCTCACCGCCGGGAAGCGATGAGGCCAACCCGGGACACTGCCGGTAATGGCCGTGCCGTTACTCACCGTGAGATGGAGGCGATGTTCTTTCGTCGTCTGCTCTGCATTCACTGCAGGCGCTGCTTGGAGGAACATGGACTCTCTCACTGGTAGCGCAGGGTTTGGGTGTTGGCAAAAGTGGAGGCCCGCCCGAATGTTGTTGTCGTGAAATGATCCTGCTAGCCGGTGGCCGGTGGCTGACCTTTTCCTCAGCGCGGGGGAAAGCACCAGTGTAAGTCCCAGGTCATCAACCACAGCATCAACAAGAGCATGGTATTGACAGCAAGACCTCGTTTCATGGAAGGGTTACGGACCTGAGCACAACACTTGGGAGCCCCAGGCCAACGTGTACGTTCTTTTCCAGGTTCCTTGGAGTGGTGTCAACAGTGGCTGACCGTGGTGCCTTTCCCAACTCTTTCGAACACCGATGTCAATCACGGCAACTGACTCCGACTATCCCGTGGCCACTCACCATACCCCGCCCACCTGTGCCATGCCATGGTCCTGCATACCGTCAACGGACAACGGTACCTGGTGCACTGCCTCCACATGCTTACCGTGCTCGTCAACAGTGAGCACGCCGAGGACATTGTCAAGAACTACTGGGCCAAGCAGCCAAAGGACCAGATCGGTGACGTGAGGAAATCCAAGGCCGCCACGCCCGACTCGACGCAGAGGAAGACCAAGCGTGCCCGTACTTCCGCTGCGGCGCGTGCTGCCACCCCACCAGAGGACGACCTCCAGTACGCCGACACGCACACCGACCCGATCGGCAAGTACGAGAAGGTTCGCGACTGGGAGCCCCTGGTCAAGTCTATCGACACCGTTGAGCGTACATCCGACAACAAGTTGCTCGTCTACATGACCATGTGAGTGTTGACGTCTAACGGCGACAAGTGCTTGCGCGAACCCATGCGGTCCAATACCAACTTGTCGTCGGTATGAGCCGGTCCAGGGCGCTGACATTCGTTATAGGGTTGATGGTGACCAGCTCGCGCAGTCGACTGTGGTCACAAACAAGCGCTGCCCCCAGGCCATGCTTGCGTTTTACGAGTCCCACCTCAAGTGAGTAGCGTAGCCCGCGTGACACGTCCACGGCGCGGCCGTCGGCTTGGGCTATTCTTGCATTCTTGGCGGAGCCAAGTGCTGACCCGACGTTCCAGGTGGCGCAACCAGAACTAGGAGAAACTAGAGGACATCCGCCTTCCTCCCGCTGCTCTTTTCACGTCGTGGTCTCTCCATTCGTTTCGTGCATAGGAAATTTTCTCTCTTCTTCCCTCCCGACCTTTTTTTCCCCTCCCCCATGTATTGTGTATTCGCAAGGCCAAGGTGTGTCCATGACGGCCGGGACGAGAGTGTGTGTCGTGTGTCGTGCTCTGGAGGAGGGACCACGGTCCCGGATTAAAAACTAAAACGGCGCAAGTTGCGCAACACACCTGCCGTCATTGATACCGCGCGCGTTCGAGTGTGGTGCGGATGAACGTTCTTAGCTCAATAGGTCGAAGTGAGTGAGATGAATCCTGTGATCCTATGAGCAGTACGTGCTGTGGTGCTGTGGCTGTGATTGTTTGGGCCCAAGGGCGAATAATACCGCATGAGGTCAGCCACGACGATCGGACAAGACAGCAACATGGACGCCGCCCTGTGAAACACCAGTTCAAAACCAATGGACGATAAAGTCATCCCACCGGCCATCGGCCACCTGGTCACAGCAACAGCAACAGCAACAGCGACGGCAGACCCACAGGTCCCACAGGCAGACGAGACCACGCTCCCGAGCAGTAAAACAAAAATGTCGCAGCCAAACGTAGAGGCGAACTGTAACGCGACCAGCCGTGGCGCCACGCGCGCGTGAGAGGATATTAATGCGATCAACAAGGTGGAAAGTCGCTGCCCTAGCCCACTGGGATGCGAACAACGGCCGCGAGCATCTGCCACTGGCCCACTGGCCTACTGGTCCGATAGTGAACGGCATGCTGCGCGTGCGCGCAGTAGCAGTCCGCCTCCCCCGATTGACATGGGGGTGCGAACAGCCGCCGCACTGGAGGGAGGGTGAGCACCTCTGAATCTAGTGCGAGCGAGTCGCAGCAGCTTACAGCCAGCCCAAGACCGAGACGAGGTATGTATATTGGGGAGGAAAAAAAGGCTTTGCCGCCTCTGGCGCTTGTGTGAATACCGACCGACCGAGCCAGAACGCCGGTCGCTTGCCTTTTTTCCCTCTCTGGATCTCTGGAAGCTAGCACAGAACGTACAGAGACACACACGGTACTCAGGTATGGCACAGACGTGACGGTGTCTCGGAAAAGAACCAGAAACCAGGGTCTCTCCAAACACACGCGTGTTCCATTATCCGGCTCCGCGGCGGACGCGGGTTCGGCGCGGGTGATCCTGGTCGGGATGGGGATCGATGGGATCTCGGGGAGCGACCAAACGGGGCATTCTGCTGTCATGTTGATCCTTTGCGAGCGTACCCCCCAGCGTACCAGCGTCCACCCACTCCGCTAGCGGACATCCAGAAGGATCCACCCCTCACCTCATCTCACCTCACGTCACCTCGCCCTCCGTTCGAAGGGTTTCTGTCCCCTTGGACGCGAGGCAGAGGTGCGTGCGTCATATGGTGCGCGCGGGATACCCGTGGAACAATGCTTCCCGCGAGCACCAGAGCACCAGAGGATCAGAGGATCAGAGGCAGGCGAGGAATGGAAAACCCGAATTAAATCGAAACGTCAAACCTTTGGCCCATGAATCACTGGCCACTGGCCACTGGATCATTGCCTTGACGGGCACTGCACTCTAAAGGGTGTGGCCAGTGTGGCTGGATCCGCGAGTGGCCGGGAATCAGGTAAATGCCCGCCGCCGCATGCCTGCAGGGCAGGGCATGGCCACAAGCGCAAGGCCGGCATCAAGGCAACCAGGTGCGCTTCCGAGAGCCAGGACACGCACAGGAGCCCAAACGGACGCGAAGAGGCGTCACGAGCCAGAGCCAGCCTGGGACAAGACAACCACCTGAACAGGGCCCGCTCGGCGTCTCTACTACCCCCACTGGCCACTGGCCGCTGGCCGCTGGGATCATGCGTATTTTGTGCGGTATTGCTATCGTGACCAAAACACGGCAGCATGCAACAAGGGTACAAGGGGCAGCCAGCTCGGGTGGCGGCGTGTTGGACTGGTACTCGCTGGACGCTGGACGCTGGACGCTGGCTGCGCGGCACGCACGCCACTCTCCGCGCGCCGGTTAAGCGTCTGGCACCTGGCCACTGTACCACTGTACGCGTATGAGAGGAATGGGGAATGGGCAAGTGGACACGAACACGAGACGCGGTCTCAGTTGTGCGCTCGTGGCAGACGCGCAGACGCGCAGACGCGACTGGTGCCGAAACACGGATAGAGGCGGGACGCAGCGGTAGGGAAAAGTACCTCTTGCTGAAAAAAAAAAAACAGCAGCATGGGACCAGGGAGCGCAGCCCAGGCCGTGAGTCTATTAGGCATACAGCCATGCATGCATGCCTGGGCCGCTTGCATGCAAAGGCAAGGGCCAGAGTGGTTACGACACTGCGCGGGGACTGTCGCTTGCACTTGCTTTGGCGACATGTCCCGAACACGTCCCGCACCGTAGTAGCCAAAACGACCAACCCGCCATTACAGCATGCCACCTGCTGCGGGCCAACATGGGGACGTCCAAACATGGGTTGGGAGCGAGTACCGCGGGGAGCGCGGCGAGCTTAATGGCCATGTGGCCCAATGCACGGGTCCGACATGATCATGGCGATGCAAAAGGCGCCTGACGACCGGCGAACGGACACGCCGCGGGGGTGGCGGGGTGTCCGTTTCGTTGCGTTTCTTTCCATCATGACACCTGCAACCTGTTTAACCTGTTTGTTGTTTGGGAATGCAGTGTTTGCAGTTTGGTATGTTGAGGGAAACTGGCTGCTGGTGTTAACTTGCCCCTTGTGGTTTAGCGTGCTGTGTCACACAGACACAACGGCTGGGTATTCCTGCAGGACCGACATGGGACATGTGTCTTGCAAGTCTTTTGATCTTTTGGGGAATGCTGCGAATGCGACACGCGCGCGCGCCTGCCGATGGCACCGCGGACCGACGGGAAGGCAAAAGAGGGTAAAAAAGAACGCTAGCTTGCGGAACATACTCATCCATGCCACACTGCCTGTACTGGTGGGAGGAGCAAACGAAGCAGTTTTTTGCCCGTCGCTGCTAGCACAGCTGGCAGAGTCCCTACACTCTCTCGGAACGCAAGGACACAGGATTGCTTGCAAAAAGGGAAGGGCCGAGAGAGAGAGAGGGACGAGCAAAAGCGCCACGGGATCAAGGTTAGAACGAAAGGAAAGAAAAAGGTGTGCCGTTAATCAACGTCCGTGTGTGCCTGGCCCGACAAGCATACCGAAAGGGACCGAGCACGGCAGCGCAGCCAGCACTGCGCGTCAGATTCCGACTGTACACACGTCTCGTTGTGGCTGTCGTTGCTTCTTGGCCTGTGAGCTTTTGTATTTCGACGGGGGGGAGGAGGAGGACGAGGGGGGGGGGAGGAGGAGAGGAGGTCTTATACTTTTGAACGTGCTCCCGTGGTGCCGCCTTTTGGACCTGTAGGTCACACCGGCCAAGGGGTGCAACGTTGTGTTGAGCAACACGACGCAACACCACCACCACCACCACCACAGAGACCAAAGACCGCCGGCGTCCACCTGTGCCTCGTGCGGTATCGTCATTCACACCCCGCCATTTGTCCACTTGCCGGTGAATGGCCTGACCGGTCCCCAAGAGGTCCCAAGCGGGCTGGCGCTTGCCCTCCTCTTTGTGTGCAATTCGTGGGCCATGATTCGTTGCTGCATCTGGATTCCTGTCTTGCTGTTGTCCTGTATTCCTGGCGTGTGTCCTGCACTAGCATAACGCCGGTGGACCGCGGCCGCAGCAGCAGTAGACAGCAGGCATGCAGGCTGGATCGACGCCACGGACGGAGGATTGTGTTGCAGAGAGCCCTTTTGGCATGGCGCTGGGGTGAGCGAGCCCGCCTGGGCTACCGAACGGACGGCCGTGCTTCTTGGGGGGAGGGCAGAACGCAGAACACTGTGTACACCGGCCAAACACGCTCGCTCGGAAGGTGCAGTGCATAGGTGCAGATGCATATGCCTGTGCTGGGGAGGGTGGGGGGCAGGCATCCAAGCAGAAATCCGCCCCCCTTAGCAACCCGCCCTTCCCGCCCCTGTAGAACGCCTTTCCGCCTCTGTCGATCGTCACGCTCGCTGCTGGTGAGGGCGACGACGGGTGGTGGGTGCATGCGGGTCGCCATGACCTCCATATATACACACGGATAACCATCCTCGCTCATCACTGTTCATCCCCCTCCCCCTCCTCCTCCGTCTCCTTCTCCCGCACGACCTCTATATAGGTCTCCCGGTCACCTCCTCCTCCTCCTCCTCCTTCAACTCTCCCTCCCTCCCTCTCTCCCTCCTTCCTTTTATTCTCCGCGACACCTTCCTTCGCTCCCCTTCTCCTTCTCCAGCTCTCCACTCGACGTTCGTTCACCTCCCTTCGTTCCTTTCAAGCCCCGACTCCTTCCTTTTCTCCGCCTCCATTACTACAAGTCCGCTTCCTCTCTTTACTGTAAGTGTTTTGGTTGTTGCTTGCTGTCCACTGTGCCCGCTGGCCGTTTGGTGGACCCCCCCCCCACCCCGCGTCGACGGCATGCGCCGCACCCAAAAGGCACCCGGTTCCGCGGTCCGAAGCCTTAAATTCCTCGGCCCACACCCGGCGCGCGCCATTCGACGCGTCTGGTGGCCACAGCTGTGGGCGTGCACTGCGCACTGTACCCACGCACACATATCCCACATGTCCCACTCGTATCCACCACTGTCCGTCATCGGTTGGAAAGCATGGGGCTAAATGCGGCACCGTGGCACTCGGCACTCCCTGTCATACCGCGCGGGAGTCACGGAACGGTGCCGTTCCGCGCCGTGCGACATCGTCCAGGTGTGGCCAGCATGGGTGACTCTGTCCTTCAGACACACCATTGAGAGCTTGGGCGTTTGTCGTGCGCGTCCCAGCGCAACGCTCAAGCCCTCCTTCGTGCTCCTCGTGTGACCGTTGTCCTGCGCCCACACTACTGCCTCACATGTGTGCTAACACGGACTCACAGACCGTTTTCCTTCCATCTCCGGCCCCACCATGCGCATGCACCTCCCCCTTCTCGCTCTGGCGAGTTTGGCGGCGGCCACTTCCCCGGTCGCCCGTGACGGCAATGCCTTGGCTGTCGACGCTGAGCGCGACCTCTCGATCCTCCCGGTTCAGGACGTTGACAAGCGCTGGTGCCTCCTTGGCTTTATCGGTGACTCTTGCTTCACCGCCAAGACGACGGCAAAGACTACCACTACCGCCAAGACCAGCTCCTCGAGCACGGCCAAGCCCAGCTCCTCCAGCACGGCCAAGCCCAGCTCCAGCACGGTCCAGCCTACTTCTTCGGCTGCCCCGTCGTCGGTTGACTCTTCGTCGGCTCCCACCGCTACGGTCTCGAACCCCGCCACAACCGTTGACAACTCGACCGCCACTGCCACTGCCACTGCCACTCCTACTGCCGCCACAACCTCAGCTTACGCTACCACGACCTCGTACTCGTACTCGCAGCCCCCCCTCCCTGCCAGGACTGTCTCGGCTCCTGCATCGCTCTTCACTGCCTCGGGTGGTGACTACATCTCGCCGTTTGCTCAGACTCGCGTGTACGACTTTACCATCGACTATGCCACCGGTTCGCCTGCGGGATTCAAGCGCTCGATGATGGTTATCAACGGCCAGTTCCCCGGTCCCCTCATCGAGGCCAACCAGGGCGACACCATGCAGATTACCGTGCACAACAACCTCGACATTCCCCAGTCGATCCACTGGCACGGCATCCGTCAGAACCACTCCAACTACGCCGACGGTGTCCCCGGTATTGCTCAGTGCCCTATTCAGCCTGGACACTCGTTCACCTACACCTTCACCCTCGAGTCTGAAATGGGCACCTACTGGTACCACTCGCACTATTCAAACACCATGGCCGACGGCATTATGGGCGCGTTCATCGTCTACTCGAGAAAGGACCCCCTCCAAAAGTTTATCAACTATGACTCTGAGCGTGTCATGTACCTCGTGGATATGATGAACGACCAGTCCGAGACCATTGTCGACGGCATCCTGGACGCGACGGTAGGCTACCGTGGTTCGCCCATTGCCCCCGACCCGGACGCGATCCTCATCAACAGTGTTGGCCAGACGGACTGCAGTGAAGCTCAGGCGGGTGTCCCATGCGTCACCAACTCGCCTGCTGTGGTCAAGGCGGTTATTGGCCAGAGGGTCCGCTTCCGCATCCTCAACCCCAGTTCGCACGCCATGATCCGTCTTAGCATTGACAAGCACACCCTCAACATTGTCGAGGTCGACGACACCCCTGTCAAGACCGTTTCCGTCCACGAGCTCCTCATTGCCCCTGCCCAGCGCTACTCGATCATTGTCAACATGAACGCCGGCACTGTTGGTAACGCCTTCTGGATCCGTGCCACGACTGCTTCTTCGTGCATGAACCCGGACCTCGTTATCCAGTCCAAGGCCATTCTCCGCTACACCGACCTCTTGGGCCTCACCTGGTTCGGCACCGGTATCCCCACCACCTCGGAGTGGGCCGACACCGCTGACCCGTCCACTGCCGCTTGCGAGGACATGGACCAGCTCCACACCTTTGTGCCGCTTCAGGCCGAGAACGCTCCTGCGACGGCTCTCGAGACCTCCGTCATGGACTCGTCGTTTGGTCAGTTTGTCAACCGCGCCACCGGCAAGGCCTACATTGGCTTTGGCTACAATGGCGTTTCCTACACAAACTACATCAACAACCCTCTTCTGTCCCAGATCCAGAAGGGCCTTACCCTTGACCCTACCGTTGTCGCTGCCGTCACTTACACTGCCTTTGGCGGTGTCGACCTGATCATCAACAACCTCGACCCGGCAACCCTCTCGCACCCCTTCCACCTCCACGGCCGTCCCTTCTACATTGTGGCCCGCGGTACCGGCTCCATCACTGCCGCTGATGTTGCCAGCCAGAAGCTCACCCTCACCAACCCTCTCCGTCGTGACACCATCGTCATCCCCGGCGACCAGTGGGTCATCCTCCGCATCATGACCGACACTCCTGGTGTTTGGCCCCTCCACTGCCACATTGGTTGGCACCTTGCCGTCGGCAAGCTCGGCGTCGTCGTCATCCGTCCCGACGAGGTCCGCAAGCAGGCCCAGCCCAGCGCCTGGTCGGGTCTCTGCAGCGGCCTCGACGCCAACGCTATCGGTCCCGCTCGCCGCACCCTTCCTCCCCAGGCCCGCGCCCACCACGGCGTCCGTGCCGGCCACCACGGTCACGGCAGCCACGCTGCCCGCGTCCTCCCCGTGGAGGTCGAGCAGCGCGACGAAATGTTCACTGGCGGCGTGCGCGACTTTTCCGCCGTCCCCGAGGGCCTCGAGCGCAAGGAGTTCCGCCAGAACGCGACGCACTGGTGGGTCCCCGAGACGGTGTACCACGGCCTCCTCAACCCCGAGGTCGTTGCCGAGAACGCCCGCGAGAAGCGCTGGCAGCTCGAGACCCGCGCCTTCTTCATGAACGAGACCGACTGGTGGGTCCCCGGCACCATCTTCCACGGCAAGGTCGCCCACCCCCTGGCTTCCGGCGAGGCCTACCCCACGCCCACGGCCGCCGTCGCTGGACCGGGCACCGCCATTGCCGCCGTCGACCTCGACGCGGCCGGCTCGGTCATCCAGCCCGTCGCGTCGACCTTCGTCCAGTCCGTCCCTGCCACGTTCACCCCTGGCAACTCGGGCAGCTCGGGCGTGTACATTGACCCCACCACCGCCGTCGTCTCCGCCGCCGCCCGCGCCGCTACCTCGGCGTAGGTGACCCCTCGACTGCGCTATAGACACAGGGCTTGGGACCAGGCGCGCCCCTCTGGACACTCTTTTTCACTGTTTCTTCAATTGGATTTTCTGTGCTTTTCTTCTCCACTTCACGGCGGTACCACCCCGTGTCGGACCGTTTATCCCTTCAATCTTCAACCTTCGGTTGTTGGACTATTTTTCCCCAACATCAACCAACACCTTGTGGAAACGGACTCTTTGAACGGACATGGACACTCTCCCCCCATTATATATCTCCTATGTAACCTAGTCGGAATCTCCTGTAATGCACTGGCATTGTGCACGAAAACGATGGAACACAGAACACAACACAGGAGCGTGGCGCCTCACTCGCCCGAGCTCGCTGGTACACTAAAATTCGGGCCTTGTGGCGGACGGTGAGCAGCATTGAAGTTTGCCACAAACTTGGTCGACCCAAGCCCATGGATTCGGTCTGGTACCGACACGGCCAAACCTTACCATATGCACATGGAACGGTGCGCTGCGCACTGTCCAGGTCCCAGCCCAGACATGTGCTCCCGACCCACGACATGTGTGTGTGACAATGAGCAAAATGCGCAGCAGGGCGGGTCACGTATGGATATTCTCCCCGCGCCCACGAAATGGTGACTGGTTACTCGTGACTTGGTCGTCTGACAAGACAAGACGGTGCGGGACGCTGCGTAGCGACACGAGGCCACACGCGATCCGTACTTTGGAGAGCACAGTAAGCATATGGGCATGATACACGTACATGCGCAGCGTAACGCGTGGTGGGGGCGAGACGGGCAATGCCGGTTTGTTGTTTGTTGTTGTGTCTGTGGCGCGCAACCGCGTACATTTCTAGTTCTACAGTCTAGACCCATGATGAGAGACGGTACATGTCTTTTTTCACACACACACCCCCTTCTTCTAGAGCTTGGCAGCGACAGGCGCCGCCTCGCTCGCCACACCGACGGTGACGCAGATGTCGTCCACTTTACCGCCACGGAACGCGTACCGGGGGCCGAGCTTGCTCGACTCGACCTCGAAGGGCGTCTTCCAGTCCTTCTCCTGGCCGGTACGTAGCATGGCGCGGCGGCCAGCGGCGACGAGCACGTCGGCGAGGAGACGCGCGTGCTCGGCACTCCGCTCGGCGCTGGAGAGGTGCGCGTTCTCCTTCTCGCTCAGGAGGGCCAGGACGGCGTTGGACAGCGCGGGGATGTGCGAGGCAGGGAGGTTGTCCGACAGGCCGTCCGTCTGCGTCACTTGTCAGCTTACAGCGCGCAAAACAGGTTTCTGTGGGCTTTGGAGAGGGAGGGCAAAAGGGCCGTCCAACGCGGTGCAGCGGACAATGCCAAACAGCTCTAGGTTGACGACAGCAACCACAAGACAGGGGCATACTGGTTGCCATGAGACAACGACGAAGCCACCAAAGGGTGATAGATTGCGGTGGCACAGTGCCCACCTCGGCACGGACGCCACAATCCAGTGTTCGCACAGACGCGGGCAGTGTAGGTGTAACGTTGTCTGTGCGCCGTTGCAAAGGGGGGAGAGGTGGCGGGCAATGGGGGTACGTTTCGCGCAGCAGTCGACCACCGCCCGGGTTCTAGCTGGTCACTGGAACCGGCCCAGAATGTGGTCGACGCCCGTATCGAGTGAACGTAAGCCACAGCATGAGACATTTGTCTCTGCTTCTTGCGTTCCACCCATGCTGGCGCGCCACACGCCAGTGCGCATATCAACGACGCGATCAACGACGCGACTAGGCGGCCGCGCCGCCACCACCACCACAACCACCGCCAGCTCATGCGAGCACAAGGCCCAGCGTTTGTCGTATGCCAGTGCCGGGGTAGCCGGAACGACCTTTCTCGGGTTGTTCTAGCGCGGTGCGCACAGAGTGCGTGAACACCCGCTCCAGTGCCCGTCTGCCATTTTTGGCGTCCGGTTGCTCCAGCCTTTAGGTTGTACGCCAGACGCACATCGAAAGAGTCTTGGACGGAATGCGAGCGAGCCGTTCCGAGCGCCAACGCAGTCATCCTTGTCCCCGAGCCCCAGCATCCTGAACCCAGAACACAGGTTACACCCCAGAGTAGAGAAGAGAAGAGAGAGAGGGAGCGGGCAGAGGTACTCACATAAAGAATCACCACATCGCCGGCCTCGAGGTCAAACTCGAAGCGGTCACCGCCCGCGGGGACATCGGCGATGATGCCCTTCACAGCCTCGGCGGCGGGGATCTTTGAGAGCTGGAGCTTGAGGGGTGTCAGTGTGGGTCCAGAAGGAGGTCCAGGTGAAGTGTGTGGGAGAGACTGATGGTGCGAGGGGGCGAGCTGGTTAACAGCGGGTGATCACCGCAACAGCGGTGGTCCGCTACGCTGGGTCGAGATGGGCCGTTGAGTCCACGGGCTGCATCTCGCCTCGCCCGTCTCAATCCTACGGTCGGTGACCCGCAAACTTACAGGGCAGTTGAAGTAGTGCGTCTGGGGCTTGGTCTCGAAGACGGCGTTGCCCTTGCGGAGGATGGTGAGGCCCGAGTCACCGAGGCTGCGATGGTCAGTTCCATTCTGTCACCAACAATGTCGGAGGGGAGAGGAGCTCAACACCTGTGCGGTCCGCGACCCCACCGCAATGTACTCCTCCCCTCCGGCCCCTCCACCTGCACTCACTTGATAGCACGGCCCTTGCCAGTGTCACTGAGGCTCACGCCCACGGCAGTCGCGCTGCCGGCCACAACGCTGTCGTCCTTGCCCACGGCGTCGTAGGCCTTTTGCAGCGCGTCCCACGGCGCCAGGCTTGGGTCCTCGGTGAGCGCGTTGGCGTAGTGGAACATCAGAGCCTGCGAGTACAGTGCTGGGTCGTACTTGGGGGCCCAGCCGCCGACACCGTCCGAGACTGCGAGGTGGGTCTGAGCTGTTAGCGGTGGAATGTCGGGGGTGCTGGGGGAGATAGGAATGATGCGCAGGTTGTAGTGCATCGGCCATGGAGTTCAAGCTGGCCAGCGTCCGCCTGCTTCGCGTACAGGTCAAGCTTGCACTACGCATGTAGCACATGTATACGCACTACGCACTCTCCACTCCACTCCACCGTCATGGGTCACTCACAAAGCCACCGCCGTCCACAACAGCGAAAAAGTCCTCGCCAGCACCCCACTTGAGGACCTCGTCGCGCAGACCCGCGTCCCAGCCTCCGTCCTGGTCAGTCGACGAGGGGTGCAGCTCGCCACGACCGGCAGGGAGAAACCTCATCGTGTCGACCCATTTGCCGAGCTTGCCTCCCGACCCGGCAAACCCCTTGGTCCCCGGCGGCGCGGCGGCGGGGATGAAGGGCGGCGAGTGCTTGGCGGCATACGACAGGCCGAGGGAGTAGGTGAGTGTCGAGCGGGCCATGCCCGAGGCGGGCGAGGGTGCCGAGGAGAGGACGCGGAGAGAGGCGCGCATGGTGTGGAGGAGAAAAACATTGCCGACGAAGGATGTTGATTTAGGCCTCGCAGCCCAGGGGTGGCGCGCGGAGGCAGGCTGGGTGGCACACGACGTTCACCGCAGGCTCCGTCCGTAACTGTGCCTCTCGTTTGCGTTGCCATGCAAGTGCCTATGCATCTAACTATCTCTCGTCTACTTGAGAAGCTCAAAGAACATGTCCTTTGCACGCTTCGCATCCGCCGCACCCTTGCTCATCTTCATGACCTCGCCCACAAGACGCATCACAACCTTTTGGTTGCCCTGGCGGATTTTTTCAGCCTCCTTGGGCAACTTTGCAATGACAGCCTCACACGAGGCCCGGAGGTCGTCGGCGGACGCGGACAGACCGAGTTCCGAGACGAGCGTCTCAAAGTCCTTCGAGGTGTCCCCCGTCATCACAACATGCTTGAGAACCGAGCGGCCTACAGTGCCCGTCACCTTGCCGCCCTCGACGGCACTGACAATTTCGCCCAGCAGGCTGGCGGGTACCACCTCGGGCGACCACGTCTTGTTGTTCTTGGTGAGCCGTCCGAGGAGCTCGTGCGTGACCCTGCGAGGTTAGGCCAGTATCTGTTCGGAACACCTACCAGTTGGACGCCTTCTTGCCCAGCTCAGCGTTGTTTCCAACAACTGCTTCAAAGTACGCGATGCCTGCGCCAGTGTACTCGTCCAGTCCAATGAGCGTCTCGACGTCACGGCGGTCAACACCAAACGTCGACGTCAGACGAGACACCGTCTCCCATGGTAACTCGGGGACGGCGGTGCGGAGGGACTCGAGGAAGGCCTGTATGTCAGCTTCAGGGGCACGAGAGAAAGCTCACAGGAGCGATCGCGAGCGCGGGCAGGTTCGAGTCGGGCATGTAGCGGTAGTCCTCGGCGTCCTCCTTTGAGCGTAGGCTGTACGTCTCGCCTGTCATCTCGTTCAGACCGCGAGTCTCCTGACGCAGGGGGACACCAGGTTGTGTCTCGTAGTGCTCGATGTGACGTTTACGCTCCGCCTCTGTGCGGGTTAAAGGGCTTGCTTCCTGATAAAAAACCCACCAATGGCTTGTTGCAAGAATCGGACAGAGTTGATGTTCTTGACCTCACAGCGGGTTCGGAAGGGTTGTCCGGGGCGGCGAACAGAGACATTGGCATCGACGCGGAGGTTGCCCTGCATGGGTCAGACAGTGGTCGCAGCGCAAGAACGGTACCCACTTTCTCCATGTCACCATCACCCGAGCCAACACGCCGCAACAGACCCTGGAGCTTGCGGACAAACGCACCCGCCTCATCCGAGGAACGCATGTGGGGCTCAGTGACAATCTCCATGAGACCCGTACCGGCACGGTTGAGGTCTACTAGCACCTCGGAAGCGACAGTCTGGCTCTTGGCCGTGTCCTGAGCGTTAACATCGACGTTCTGGGCACTTTGCAACGCACCTGTTCAATCTGAAGCTGGTGGATTCCGACGTCGAATGTCCTGTTCACACCGGGTTCACCGGCCTCAAATCGCAGCGTTCCATTGCGGGCAATGGGGTCTGATGTCAGCTCAATATCAAGACGGTAGCTTACTGTAGTGCTGTGTGATTTGGTATGAAGGAGGGATATCGTGGTAGAAGTAGTGCTTCCTGTCAAAGGTCGAGCGAGGGTTCTGCTATGAGCTTGCTGACGAAATGCCACTCAGCTCACGATGTTACAGTTCAGAGCCATGGCTGTGAGTAGAGCCAGCCTGACAGCCTCCGGGTCGATCACCTGGGAGCTTGTTAGCAAGATAGAGGGCGGAAGCTCACTGGAAGCGTTCCAGGGAAGGCAGCGTCGAGCAGCTGAACGTGGGTGTTGGGCATCTCATCATACACAGTCTTGGCACCTGTCATTAGTGACGTCTCAATTACATACCGACTCACGAGAGAAGAGCTTGCTGCCCGTTCGGATCTGGGCATGGATCTCGAGACCGATGATGAGTTCCCAACCTTCCTCAGAGGAAGACGCGGTTGTTGCCGAGGACGAGGCAGCGCGGGAAAATAACGGAGAGCGGAGGCGTGATGGGCCTGCGGAAATCGACGTTCCCGCTGACCTTGCGACGTGTATCCGTGTTCTGAGGAACGAGGCCATGGAGGACGAGGTTGTTGTTGTTGAAGGCTGGGGATATGCCTTGGAAAGTCGAACAGAGGACGAGCTCTGGCCGTCATTGGAAAGTGGAGGTCCGCATAGGTTCCGACACGTCATTATTTTGTTTACTATGGGCATCATTGATAGCAATACCCCCGTCGATGATCCACGCTTCCTGTGCGTGGGGTGGACGCGCACTCGTACGGTGTGTCGGTGCTGTGTAGGATGTTGTTGTCAAACTATACACAACTCACTCCCCTTGGCCACCCACATAACAAGTCCTCTGTATCACAATGAGTACGTCTACTTTACCGCAACACATGGTCCTGCAGCTGACCAGTACTCAGGTGCTTACCGCGCCGACGCAAATCCATTCGACGACCCGGGGTCCAACCCCTTCTCACAGTCCAACAACTCGGCATTCTCCCTCGACGATGTGGGCGGAGGTAACAGCGCGCCCTCGGGCGGCATTGCCAACATGTCCGCCTACGTCGCCGACCACGACCGTCGCGCACGCGATCTCGAGGCAAAGCAGCGCGAGCTCGAGGAGCGCGAGCGCAACCTGTCTGCGCGCGAGGCCGAGGTTGAGCAGTACAAGGCCAACTGGCCGCCTTGTGCGTATCCATGCAACGTGCAGTGTTTCCGGGTGCTTTCTCGCCCAGTCACATCTCGCACCCCGCACGCGTTCTGTTACTGACCCTCTCCCCAGTTATGCCACTGATCGTCCACGACATCAAGTTCGTCCCCACCGAGCACCAGCGTAACGCTCGTCTCATGTACTTTTACTGGCTCGAGCTGGCGGCGACCCTCGTGTTCAACTTGCTCGGATGCCTGTTCCTGTGGATTTCCGGTGCCATGGGAGGCTTGTGAGTGTTTGCTCGGTACACGAGCGCAATGAACGTCGGGGCCCACGTCAACATTACATTCTGGCCCTCGATGACGACATTTTGACCCCTTGGCTAACGGACCAGCTCGTCCTTTATCTCCTCGATCTTCTACCTCGTGTTCATCCTCCTTCTTTCGTTTGTTCTGTGGTACTACCCCGTTTACAACGGCTGGAGGCGCATCAACAAGCGCGGCGCTGCTATTCTCTTCTGTGAGCTAAGGTTACCGAATCCTTGACCAAGCTAACAGTCCCAGACTGCTACTTTATCTTTGGCGGTATCCACATCATCTACTGCCTGTACATGGCGATCGGTGCTCCTTACACCGGCTCGTCGGGTCTTGTGAACACCATCCGTCTCCTCATCGGCGAGCACAACGTGTCGGGCATCATCGGTATTGTCTTTGGCATCATTGCCTGCGTTGGCTGGATCGTCCAGCTCCTCGGCGGTCTTGTCCTCTACAAGCTCGTCTGGGCCTTTAAGAACAGCAACGCCGAGATCAACTGGGCCAATGCCAAGACCGAGTTCACTGGTCTCAAGACCATCTTCAAGCTCTTCAAGGGCTCGTCGACATAAAACGAAACATGGTTGGTCTGCAACGGCCAACTTGATGATGACCTGCGAGACCCACATGACCCGCTACCTTCTCGTCTTCACCAGGCGCGATGATCAAGGGCGGTAGGCCGTCCGCGACCTCAACTATGGGGACAGGCGGGTTAGGCAGCACCGAAACGAAACAACACGCTGTTTTGCGTATGACTCATACTGTAGCCTGCAGCGTACACCGGAAGACGCTGTGCCTGTACGAATGAATGCAGACGTATAGACTAATGCTCGACTTGTCCTCGTTGCTTATCGTCTCCCGTTGTTGACATCCACTGGTGCTCATCGCACTGGTCACAGGTCTCCCATGGGGCGGTCAGTATGTGAATATACAAGCTGTGAAGGAGTCCACCCAATGGCCGAGTTACTGAACCGAATGAAAACACAGCAAAAGTCTTTCGACTCGCCCTGCTTTCACTGAGTTCGGTATACTGGCTAATAGGCGCCTTCTTCCTCTTTTCATTCCTCCCCAGAACAGACAGGGTTGTTATGGAACGTCGCGATCGCGTCGCCCCCCCAATCAGAATCCGCTCACCCAGTGGGGAATCTGGTCGACTAACAAAACAGGCATCCTGCCAACCAGGCCACGCTCATCCAGTGGGCAGCCTGGCTGAGGCACAGGATGCCAAGCTAAAGTCTTTGGACTCGCCCTGCTTTTACAGAACAGAAAGGGTATATCGGGACGTCGCGAGGCGACCTCCAGCTGACCAGACTCACGCTCACCCAGTGGGGAGACCGGTCGATGAACAGAAAGCAGATACTAGAACAGATTGGGGAGGTCGAACAGACGGCCTGTCCGAACAGAATACTGAACAGAAGGGGTTGAACAGACGGCGGGTCCGACCAGAATCGCTGAGCAGAAGAGCTTGAACAGAATCGCCCGGAATGTCAAGGTTCACAGTGTGCCACGGTGGACCGCTGTCGAGTTTGAACGATGTCGAGTTGAACAGAATCGGCTGAACAACATGGCTCCGAGTGTCAAGTTGGACCGCTTGTCAAGTTGGACCGCTGTCAAGTTGGACGGTTTGTCAAGTTTGGACCGCTGTCACGTTGGAACGCTGTCGGGTTGAACAGAATCTGCTGAACAGAATTGCGCGCCGTGTCAAATTGGCAAAAGTGTGGGATGGGAATCCTCGACCGAACAGAACCGCTGGCACCAGTATGTCAGGAAGCTGGGAGACTTTGGGGGAAGTGGGAGCAGCACCAATTGTGCTGCCCGGTACGTGTCAATGTCCTTTTGGAAGTCGTGGTCGACCCTGTCAACAGCAAACAGTAGGGTGGTGACGACGCAGCGCGAGGCACTGCGTCTGTCACTGTCATCTTCGCGGTTTCGCTGGGTGCTGACTGCTGGGTCCTGCTCCGGCTGTCAAATTCCGCCGAGTGCTGTCAAGGAGCGATAGAACCTTCGCCATTCGGCGAGATTCGGTCACCGACCAGATTCACGCTCACTCAGTGGGGAGTCTGATGGCGCCCGTCGAAACGATACTCCGCGAGGATCGCCTGTCACTACCTGATTCACGCTCACGCAGTGGGAGAATCTGGTGTCGCTGTCAAGAATCGAATGGATTGGAAGATGAGTTGAGTCACCTTTGTCGAGGGGCGATGAGACAGTTGAATGTCCCACCGCCCACAGAGATACAACAGGGTGAGACGGGAGGTGGCGGAGGCGAGAGGCGTCTAGTAAACTGTTACAGCACCGAGTCAAAGCAGCATTGCAAGGTTCCACTGAATGCTGCTTTGACTGAGTGCTGTAAGCAGCATATTAGGCGCCCGACTTCGAGACTGGGTTCCAGGTTGCTTGAAGGATTGCTTGAGGAGCCAAGGATTGCTTGAGGAGTCAAGGTGTCTTGAGGAGCCAGGGTGTCTTGAGGAGCCAACTTGAGGGGTCAAGTCTTGAAGAGCCAATCGTGAAGAGTCAAGTCTTGAGGGGTATTCTTGAGGAATCCGAATTCTTGAAGAGGTGTCGGAAGTTTCTGAGACTGGTCCAGTTTGAAGAATGGAGGTTCTGTAGACTGGGTGGTGGCCAAGGTGACTGCAGTCGTCGATGGTCCACAGGGACGTTCAACAAGGACCACAAGGTGGCTGTTTATATAGACAAATCTCAGACGATTCTTTGGGGAATTAGGGCGGAGCAACACCGTCAACTTGCACCCAAATACACATGTGATGTTGTGCAGCTGGGGCGTTTCAAGTGCGCTCCTCGGGCAGTCTGCCTGTGGACGGGCTAAAAGTGTGCGCGCACATGATCGGCGGGGTGCGCGCACATGATCGACGGGTGTGCGCATAGGATCGACGGGTGCGCGCATAGGATTGACGGGTGCGGCGCGCACACCCGTGTCATGTCCCCAACAGCGCAAGCAGCACCGCGCCCCCGGTACAGTCACCTGGGGAATTCGGCCGGTGGCTGCTGACAAGGAGCGGCCATAGGCCATAGCAGTATTTTGTTTGATTTAAACCGAATTTTATGCCGATCCACCTGCGCTGGCTTTCCGCCACACAACCGCACAGCACGCAAGGCCATGGTGCTTGGACCTGATCGGCAGATTGAAAGCCCCCGAGGTGTCTACTGCCGCTATGCCTGCAAACCCTCGGGTGTCCTGCCTGAATGTGGCAAACAGCGATGTGCTCGCCATGAGGGGTGATCCAGCTGTGCTGGTTCTGCAGCGCAGCCCCGTGTCACGGATGGCCACCCGACACCGTTGCAGTGCGGCCCGCCGCACATATATAAGAGCAGCGTTCCCTCCTTTTGTGGTTATTTTCTCCATTCTCTTCACCCCTCTCTTCTCTCCAGTCCCAGGTGGCAACCCCACACCTGCGGACACTCCTCTCCCCCTTCCCCCTTCCCCCTCCCTCTCCCCCTCCCCCTCCCCCTCCCCCTCCCCCTCCCCCTCCCCCTCCCCCTCCCCCTCCCCCTCCCTCCCCCTCCCCTCCCGTCAACCAACCCAGTCTGGGAGATCCGAGTCCTGACTCAGCCTCAGCTCAAGGTGGGGCCTGTCTCAGTTCTCGAGGATTCCAGACTGGTCCTCAACCACCGGCTCTGACGTCGGCCAGTGGCACCCCCAAGTCGACAAGACAACACTGACAATGCGTGGTGCGGGCCGCGTCCTGCGGACAAAGCCTGCCATTGCAGTCTTGTGGTTCCCGCGTCTCACCGGTTGGGTCGTCAGTCGTTGGTGTTCGCCTGCTCGTCAGCACGTCAGTACCCGTTCCGCGGCGGAGTGCCGCCTCCAGCGTAGTCCACGGTGTGAGGCACAGAGCACACTTCTCTCGGCGGCGTGAGCGTGCACCCAGCACAAATGTGTAGCAAGCAGTCAGGCGCTTTGCGAGTTCTTCCACGGACGTGTTCGACGACCTTCTGGACGGACATGGGCGGCTGTGCAACACGTTGTGATGGGGACCACATCTCGGTATTCCGGCAGCCTTCAGCACTTTGTCACTCTGTCTCGACTTGGACACTTCCTCCCGAGGATCATTCTCCAGCAGCATCGACTTCTCCGACACCGTCAGCGGGACGATCGACTGATTGGGGTCCTCGGTACATGTCTATACAGCCTTCTACCTGAACTATGCTATGTAGGGCGGGGGAGAGAAAGGCGCCTCACATCCTTGGCTAGCACTCAGTCAAAGCAGGAGGCCGGGCGGAAGCTTGGGTCACTGCTTTGACTCGGTTCGAGCCATCGGGTTTGCAGAGTCCTCAATCAATCCTTTTCCAACATTACCTTGTGGGCGGGCCAGTGAGTGACCCAGGGGTGGTTGTAGACCATAAAAGGAAAAAGGGAACCCTCAAGAGATGTACTCTTCAAGTCCACATGCGCGTACGCTGAGTCGAACAGCGGTTGGCTCAGAATTGCGATTGAACACCACAACGAACAGTGATAACCACCTACACTATACACGCTTCCACGTGGTCTTTAATGCGAGCGTGGAGCAATGCCTTGGCCCCCGTGCTTCTGCGCTTCTCAGGGCTGCCAGCGTCTCGAGGTATCGTGGCAGGACGCTTGGAGACGTGGGGACGAGGGAGAGGGAGTCTGAGCAGCAGAATTGGGAACGCGCGGCATCTGGGTGAAAGACGAAGGGAAGGCTGCCTCCGATCCGGTGTTCACTCGAGGAGCTGCCAGTGGTCCTGTGTGCTGAAGTTTCTGTTTCCCGCAGTCTCCCTGTCGGCTCTGCGGCGAACAAGCGGCCTGCATATAACAACAAATGGGACTTTGCCTAGGTGCTGCAGGGCCGAGGAGTGATGCTGGGTAAGAAAATGCTGCTCGAGTAGGACACAGACCAGCCCACACTAGCCCACCCTCGTGCAACCTCCACAGACATGATCATTGTTTCGTACCAGTAGCTATATCGTTAAAGAGAGCTAATTTCACGCGATATTCTATAGTAGTTGGACGTTATCCACAAGAGGTGCGGCCGGTTGAAGGCTTACAAACGAGTAGCTCATTTTTTCCAATGGGGAGGGAGCGAGAGAGACAAATATTAACGGAGGGCTCCAGTGTCATCGTCATAGCTAGGCGGGGGGTTTTCGTAGCCATGCTGCTCGGTGATGAAAGACGAGGTAACGGGCGAGTCGGTACCGGACGAAGGGGCTTGCGGAAGGCGACGCGGGCCACCGGCTGCTGCGCCACCAGCCGCGTCGTGGCCAAAGCTACCGCTACCGTCATCCGACATCGAGTCATGGCTGACACTCGGCCGCTCGCGGCGGTTGGTACGCCTGAACGCGGCTGCCGAGATGGTGGGTCCGGCGCCTCCGTTGCTGGTCCCGGCACCCTGGATGGTGGCGATAGAGGCGTTCGAGTCTTGCGACTGGTGGCTGGACTGCATGCGTGTGTGCAACGTCGGGGTGGCGGTACGCAGCGGCTCGGCGGGGATGGTAACGACAACAGCATCGTCTACGGCCGACTGCACACTGTCACGCGGGTTGAAGGTGGCGTACGACTCGCGGTAGGTTGCAAACGAGTCGCGCCCGCTGTTCACCGAGGCGGGCATGGAGTCGCGCACGTCGCGGGGAACCTCGTGAGGGACGTTGAAGGTAGATGTGCTGATACGAGGATTATTAGTGTCGGGCGCGTAGAATGACTCGTGCTCGTTGGAGACGGAGCGGTCAAAGTGTTCCGAGTTGGGCGAGAGCATGGGAGGTGCAAGGGGAGGCACATAGCCGCCTGCCGCTGGCAAGGTGGACGCCATGCCGCGGGGCGTCTCATGGCTAGTCTCATGGCTGGGGTCCTCGAATGACACGGTCGGGATAGGAGGGATGATTGCGCTGGGAGGAGACTGCGGTGGGCTGTTCTGGAGAATGGGCGGGGTTGTGACCTGGATCGACTCGCGCACGTCGGACGGGACCGAAGCCTTACGCGGGTTGTTGCCTTGGTCCTCGTCAGGTGTAAAGTAGCCCGAGTTGGAGCTGTGGGGCCGCTGGGCATGAGGATCGGCAGGCGCAAGCCACGAGTCAGACGACAAGGGTTCGAACGCGTCCTCATTGAGGCCCAGGGGCGGGCGAGACTGGTGGCTCTGGATAGGTCCGTCGCTAAGGCTGGTGCCGGTCGCCGAGCGCTCGTGCTGCGAGACGCGGAGCGGCTGCCAACCGGGGTTGTGCGCGGCACCCGAAGCCTCGGCGGCAGCTGTGGCAGCCGCGGCCTCATCCATCTGGCGCTGCTGCTCATACTCGTAGTCGTGGGTGTTGAGCTGTTCGTCGGTGGGCCCTTGCCACATGACATTGTTACCAGCAGGTGGGGACTTTGAAGCGCCAAACTCGTTGTAGTTGTACCTGTCCTCGATACCGCCATAGGCCGCGTCGCCGCTGGCGGTACCAGCAGCGCCCCTAGGGAGGTTGACGTCCAGGGTAGGGGGCGAGGTGGGAATCCCAGGGAGGTTCTCGTATGCCTCGTGGTCGGCAACGCTGTGCGATCCGCGGTCACCAGGGGCGAACGAGTTGCCACCGAGCGAGCCAGACTCGCTGAAGCGAGGAAGACCGGGGGGCTTAGGCGCGGCCGAGCCAGCATGGAACTGGACAGTAGCGAGCTAAAAACAATGTCAGCCCGGGGTGGATTTCAATAGTCGTGTGCTTACACATTTCACGGCCTCGGTGACAGTGTTCTCGGTGCGGTCTTGGGCAGTGTATGGCGCGCGACCGTATCCTGGAGGGGTCTCCTCGAGAGGAATCTCCTCGAGAAGGAGCTTGCCCAACTCGCCAATGATGCACATCTTCTCGCCGAGCTCTTCGAGACCGCCAAACTTGAACGACAGGGCCTCCTTGATTGCTTGGCGCTTATAGTCGCCGAGCTTGGCCTCCTCGTTGACAATGTCCGAGTCGAGCTGGCGCATCTGGTGACGGAGAGACTCGAGCAGCTCGGTTTGGGACAGGAGCTGCTTGTTCTCGGGACCCATCTTGGCGAGCTTGCGCTCTGCAGATTCGGCCTTTTGCCCTGTCGTACGACGCCGACGACGGATCTCGTCAAGCGTCCTCCTCTCGTTGACGCACACGCTTGAAGCAGGTACGCAGCGACGCCTCGTGTTGGGCAAACGTGCGGAGCGCAATAGAGAGCTGGTTGAGGAGAGTGCCGCTGTGCGTGAGGACGTCGCGGAGGTCGTCGCCCTCTGCAGTACCGTAAGGCTGCAGCTTGGTGGCCGCGGTCTGCATGTCGACGGCGAGCTTTTCGGCAGAGGTCATGACGCCCTTCTCCGACGAGATCACACTAAGGGCAGGTCAGTTCCCCAACTCTCCTTTCACACTTGTGGCGAGTCTGTTTTACTCACTCTTGCAAGAGCCTCAAGTCCTGGTTTCCCAGTGCGGGGATGAGGCTGGTGTGTGCGAGGCTTTTGCCAAGCTTGCGACCGATACCGTCGAGACGGTTGGGGCCGCCGCCATCGGCGCTGCTGGTGCCGCCGCCGCCGCTGGTACCCCCAATAGAGAAGTGGGATGTGCCGCGCGGCGAATGCAGGCTGTCATTGTCGCCACCCCCGCCCGATCCGACCCCGGTTGGGTATGTTCCCGAGGTCACGCGAGACTCTGGTGGGGAGATGGTGGTGTCGACCTGGGGGTTGGTGGAGCTGGCCTTGCGACCAAAGGGGAGGGAGAACTTGCCCGACGCGTTGCGGAGCGTCATCGTCGGGCTGTGGTGTGTGTGTGGGGGGTGTTGACTGGAGGAGTAGAGAGTGGATGTGAGAGGTGTGTGTGAGTAGGCTGTGGGTGGCAAGATGGGAAGAAAGAGAGAGAGAGACGACGATGGATGAATGGGACGACTGCGAGACAACCCATCTTGGCGTGTAACACCCTTCTACTGGCGTGCGTCGCTGGTGTGCCTCTGTGCCCCTGGGGGCCGCGGTGATGATGCAAGAGGCGGTGCCGCATAAAAAGTCCGGGTCCCTTTTTTGTTTTGTCTTTTTTATTTTTTTTTCTGACCGTGAGGGGGAATCGATCCATCGTCATGTGGTCCACAGGCCCCAGGCCACAGGGTGGCATTGCCACCCTGTGTGTTCGGCCCGTCCACTGCCGCTCGCTCGTCGCCTGCTGCATGTACGTCCTTGAACAGACAGACAGACCCGCAGTGGCCAGGCCATGGCAGAAGAAGACACTCGTCGCTGGCCGCTGAGACATGGGACTGTGACATGCTGCGTCCACGCACGCACCCACACCCACCCCCCCGGTCGTCGGGTTTTGCGTTTGCTGTGCGCACGGACGTCCTTGTTTCGCTGTTTCTTTTGACGCCACCTGCGAGCCACCCGCGCGCACCCACACCGTACCCCTCGTTTCCGTCGCTCTCTTACAGCCTCTTTCGTTCGCATCTCTACCTACGCCACCCATCCTCTGGCCTCTGCGTCTTCATCTCCATCCATCCATCCATCCACACCACCCCCACATCCATCCCCCCAGACTCCTCGGCAACAATGGTGAGCTCTCACCCTGGCTCTGCCTCCTGCTCCAAACGCTCACCGTAACCCTCTCTCCTCGGAACACTACCCACCGCGCTCGCCCGACACCCCCGTCCATCACACCCCTTTCATCACTGATGGCGCACGAACCCATCTCCCCATCTCCCCCTTGCCTCCCGTCGCCTCATCTCTGCAGAACTACGGCTACGGCGGCTACGGCGGCGGCATGGGCATGGGCATGGGCTACGGCGGCGGCATGCCCGTCATGTCACAGTCCTTCTACCCACCCATGGCATACCCTGCCGCCGGCATGCCCATCGGCGGAGGCATGTACCCTCCTCCGGGCTACATCGGTGCAGGCTATGGCGGAGGCTACGGTGCAGGCTACGGTGCAGGCGCAATGGTATGTCGCGTCTTGCTCATACAGTTAATCTGATGGTCACTCAGGTTCCATACCGCCAAGGGTACATGGGCGGCGGCTACGGCGCGTACCCGTGAGTTGCTCTTCTTCGTCCCAAACCTCGGAAAACGAGCTCACACCTTTTCGCCAAAAGTGGTTATGGTGGTTACGCTGGGTATGGTTCACCTCCTCCATTGGCATACGCTGACGGCAGCGGCATGGGTATGGGCATGTACGACCCATCGATGGCCTACTACGGTGTAAGTAGTCGTGGGACATTACTCCTGGAACGCCGCTGACGGAGACTAGACGCTTTCGCGGAACGCGCTATACGGAGTAACCCACTGACACATTCCTTTTTGCAGACCCCGCAATGTGTCCACCCGGCGTCGACCCCAGGATGTACATGTGGTCGCGCGGTGCACTCAGCTACCAAGTGGGTTTTGCTGCAAACCACCGCTTCTTCTTTCGTTTTGATCACTGATGGGAACACAATAGGGATGGTATTACTAGTAGTGATGGTTGTGCAGCCACCACTCTGCGCCACGCCGTCAGAAGCACCCAAACGGCCCAAACACACACCACACCCCCGCGGGCCCGCGTCGCCGCCGAGTGCGCCGCCGCCGTCACATACACAGCCACCACCGTCCGCAGTCACACCGCCGATTCCCAGCCCTCCCAGCTCCCAGAACAGACCGCTGCTGATCCATCTTTCGTCCCCACCCCCATTCGACACACACACCTTCGACACCCTCCACCCAGTCCTCGGCCCTTCTCGGGTGTGCTACCCACACATCCCGCGACGTGCTGTCCCACAGAACTCCGCTGGACGGACAACGGCAACAGCGTTTGTGGCGACGCGTCCTCCCATTCCTTTTCTTTTATCAGTTGTATAGTCCATGAGTCATGCAGTGGAGTGAAAAGTACAGTACAGTCCAGTAAGTACTTACATGACAGTTTCGCAAGGAACCATTAGCAAGGCAACGGTAACCCCTTCCAACACACCATGCATTGGTACGTCCATTCGCACCTCAACTTCACTGCCTGCCTTTCCATCTGGGCATGCCATCCGTCCTCCACATGTTGTCGACCACGTTCTTCTCCTGGCACAGTTTCTGGCAGCTGCCTGGACGGCGGCGTAGCTCTTCTCAACCTTGAATCTTGTGGCGGGACGACAACATCTCTACATAGTCCACCTGTACTGGTCAGGAAAACAACAAGTGACAGCACCAGCCACCTACGTCCTCCCCCAGGAGCGCTTGGCGGGGTGCCATGTCGCATGTGCCAAGGTAAGGACTGGACTGGGTCAGCAAACTTGTCAGATCTGCCATCACTTACTACGGTCGGTGGTGCAGATAACCCGCACGGCGCTGCTGCCTTATGGCTTCGGGGTGCAGCGGCACAATGGCGGGGCCGGTCATACCCATGTCGTCGTCATGGCAGAAACCCAAAAGGGACAAGGGCACTGCACGAGGTCAGCCTTGGTGGTTGGCGAAGACAATCCAAACGTACTCTATCTCTTTCTGATACACGTCGTAACAACGACGCGCGGACCAGTGATCCAGTGATCCATTTCAAGCTCCATAGAGCCGTATGCCGTGCCGGCAAGATCGAGGCGGACTGCACCTGACCGTAGGGGAGTTTGGGGTGTGAGGTCGCGGACACCCATGATGTCGCCGGCCGCGTGCAGCGACCACCGCAGTTGGGTGGCCGGCTTGAAACCTGGGAGAGGTGAGCGCCAGCACATGCACGGACCGAACTTACCTTCCGCCGCAGAGACCTCCTCCTTTTCGTGGTTGACAGTGGGTTGCTGAGGGGCAGTCGATGGTGCACGCGCACCAGTTGAAGCAGCCTGGTAGGTCCGGGACTGGTGGCAGCCACGGCTGGAGTGGCAGGAGTGGGGTGGTGGAGTATCTGGAGGGCACCGTGAGGGAAAGTGGGGTGGGACATGGTGGTGAGGGTTGTTGAGGAGTAAAGAGGTACGTCAAGCCGACGTTATAACAAGGTCGGCGTGGACAGCCGCGTTGCAGCATTGCAGCGTTCCCATGGTGTGCCCCAAAGGGGGCGCAGCCGCTCTGTGTCTGATCACACATGCTTCGGACCCCATCGTCCCACCCAGAGACGACCGGACAGTCACAAAAGCGACAGGAAGAACATAACAAGCTCCTTTTCCTGGCAAAAGACCAACATACCTAGCCTGGAGTCTCATGGCGAACGGGTGGGACTGTACAGTACCCCTGTCATTCCTCTCAAACCTTTTGCGGTCGTTGTTAGAACATGTTCTAACATGGCACCACATTTGGTCGGAAAGTCGACAATTCGAGCGCGGGGTATCACATCCGGATTACACGCACAGCATGCACAGGATGAACGCGCCGCCTGATCCGTCACGAAGCCGTTGTGAAGCATGTGAAGCAGGTCAAGGTGCTTTCGATCGGCAGAGTGCGCGAATAAACAAAACTAGCAAGACGGCTTTCACAGCTTCGGATGAAAAACACACAACGTCCTTGTCCTGGCCCGTCAATTTGAACGTTACGCGTTTCTCGCCCCCCCCCTCGCAATTCGCCACTATCGTCCCAGATCATGCGGAGACGATCATCGTATCGCTCTTACCATTCGTTCAAGTGGCACGTATTGAGTGGTGCTCCTCTAGGTACCTCTTATGGATATGGGGGAACGCAGAACGCGCGGGGACAGAAACAAGGCGGCTTATGCTCGTTCCATGCTTGTTGATCGTTGACCCCGCGCGGCCAGCACGGGGAAGGCGCGTGCGAGTGTGGCACTTTGGGTGGCACCTGGGGGATTACGTAACTGGTTCAGCTACTTCCTGGAACACTTCCAACTCATCATCCCTTGTCCGCCTCGGGCGAGGTCATCACCGTCCACCTTGTTCTGCAAGTAAAGCTTAAAGACTTTGAAGAATCGTAAGCGCCACACTCGTCGGAGCTTCAGTTGACATGCCTAGCTTTACTATCGGTTTTGAAGAGCCGTTCATCGTCAGGACCTCAAAGACGTCCCCGCTCAAGTCAAGTCTCCCAACTTATGACTTTGTGACGCTCAAGCTGCATTGGACGGAGTAAGTACTCTCTGCCGGGGGTTCAGGTAACCCCGAAGGGTGACCATGTGGGTCCTTACCACCTATCGTGACCAGAGGAGCCAGGCCAACCTGTTCTGTTTTGAGAATGAAGGCCGTCTACCCAAGAAGGGCTCAGTGACTTTCAGCGCCATCATTGCCGACCTTGACCGTCGAGTCCGTGACTTCGACGGGCTAACCGGCCTGGAACCGAAAGACATTGCGCTTCTCTTGTTCCCCCTCAAAAGAGGGCGGATAGGCTACTTCGATGATATCGGAGCCGCCCTTAGCCGTACGTTCTACTGAACCGTCACATCGCTGACCGAGTTTAGGCCACGGTCGCAGCGGCAGATCGGTCCTGAACAAGGTGGAGCCCTTTCTTTCTACCGCTCCAACACCGTGCGCTACGCGTTTAGCGATGACGAGCTGGTTTCCCACAGATCGTGAGCCCAAAGCAAAAAGCAGTGCTAACACCGATGCAGGCGACGTGGCACTATGCACAGTGGGTGTGCTCTAAAGAGTATTGCTAACAGCAGGGCGTACCGGTTGCTGGGACCCTTCCATCGACGCCCCAGCACTTGCGCTGGCGCGTGACGTCGCCGCCAAGGTACGTCGTTGTCTCTGAATATGTGACAGCGCTGAACGATTATTCAGTTCCTCGGCCTGTCATCATCGGCGATTGTCACGCTCATGGGAAATGATGGCCTCAACAGCCTCTTCTACCCGACCATCGACCACCCGCTCCACGGCACGCTGGATGGGTTCCAGATCGGAGAGCCCAAGACGATGCTCGTCCGCGGCCTGTTCGGTGAGTTTACAAAATGGGTCTCCCTAAAGCGATCCTAACAAATCCACCAAGCTCTGTATTCCGGTCGATTGTCACCGTATGATGCCCACTCGTTCGGCAGGAATGCCAACCAACAACACTGTCCTCAACGACCAGCGTGCCGTAGAAGCTCTGGTTGTTAAGCACATTGTCGAACCGGGCCAAGAAAACGAGTACCAGCCTCTCTTGTGGCACGTGGACAGCAACTGGATGGCCGGTGTCGACATTCTCAACACCCTGGCCGCCTCAGACGCAACCCCCTTCTCCAACCTCGGCTTTGGCGACGATGACTGGGCTGGCTGGCAGCGCCTTTGCAGTAAGGAGAGAGGCCTCAGTGCTGTGGAGCAGTCGGCGGTGTGCAGGTTTGGTTCGTGGCCGAGCTTGCGTCGATGTGCTAACAGACCAGGTGAGGAGGTCACCAGTGTCTTCCCGCACGCCCGGCTAGTCTTTAAAGATTACCGTAGGGTTCTCACGCGACTCGTTGACCTTCTGATCTCCACGCATGTCGCGGCCGCTACCGGTACCCATAACCGGACCGATCGGGTGTGGAGTAAGAACGAGATCGTTATCATTGCGAGGCAAGTTTCTTAGCGTCCATGTCTTGTACGTCCGTGGCTAACACTGACAGCGTGCTCTACGTTCTCGGTCTGCGCCCCCCCCCCCCCCCCCCCCCCCCTGAGCACGAGGGCGCGTATCCATACAGCGTGACCGCTGCCATCCACACGAAGCTTTCTCACCGCACCACCTCTTCCATCACATGTGCTTTGACCGACAAGGCGACCGCCATCGAGGAGGCATACCACATCGTGGAGGAGATCTTGGACAAAAACCCCTTCGGTGCGCTGCGCCCAGGATTTGACGCGTCCCATGTCTGGCTCGCGTACGAGATTGACCTCCTGGTGGACAGGGCTGGCAAGCTGGCCATTGACCACGAGTGAGGTTGACACCCTGAGGAGACTGTACCTGGTAACGAGAGAGAGAGAGAGAGAGAGCGCTTCAGACAAGGAACGAGAGAGTGAGAGCTTCATACAGACGTCTCTGCTTTTGTGATGTACGGTTTGTCTGTCGAAGCGGCTCACTGCCCATGCACGGTATCCCATCCAAGGGTTTGTTGCCACCTGGCAGCGATGAATTGTGGCACATTTTGACCTTTCGGCACATCTTTCGGCACATTTTGACCTTTTGCTACATTTTGACCTTTTGGTACGTGCCTCCATGGCTACAACTGCAACACAGCTCCTAGCGACAAGTTTGATATCCAATGTAGTGTAGATGCATGGTTCTCAGGTATATACTGCTCACACCTCGTGCCCTTGGGCCGTCCCCAAACGAGTCAAATTACCTGCTGCTGCGACCTGGTTAGCTACCAACTCATGCGTCTGGGCTTTTTCTTCCTGGATCTTGATGGACAACTCACTTTCTCAGCTCAAATCTCAGCGGGAAAATGAGATGTCATCGATTCTCAGCAGAAGAGAGACCGTCTCAGTGGCGAGCTCGAGAGCAGAGGTCGAAACAAGCAGGGGCTGCACGACACCCTCGGCGTCAATGTTCGAGATGATACCCTTCTTGACGTTGATGCCCGCGTTGGCGTCACCAAGGGCGTGCTTGTTGCGGAGCTCGGTGACAATGGCGATGGGGTTGAGACCAGCGTTCTCGGCGAGAGTGGTGGGGATGATCTCGAGGGCCTCGGCAAAGGCGGCGTAGCAGTAGGCCTCCTTGCCGGTGAGGGTCTGGGCGTACTGGGTCAAGAGACGCGAGACGTGGATCTCGGGGGCACCGCCGCCAACAATGAGGGCACGCTTCTTGACGAGGCAGCGGACGACACAGAGGGCGTCGTGGAGCGAACGCTCCGACTCCTCGAGGACGAGGGCGTTGGCGCCGGTGCAAATGACCGAGACGGTCTTTCCAGGGTTCTTGACGCCGGTCACCTTGACAACCTTGGAGCCGCCGCTGGGGAGAGTGGCCTCCTCGACGAGGTCAGCGACACCGAGCTTGTCCTCGGTAAAGGCCTCAATGTCAGCGACGGGCTTGGCGCCGGTCGACTTGGCGATAAACTCAATCTCGTCGCGCTCAATGTCCTTGATGACCATGATCTTGAGCTTTGCGAGGAAGTGGAGCGAGAGGTCGGTGACGGCGTCGCGCAGGATCGACTTCTGCACGAGGAGAACGTTGCAGCCAGTCTTCTTAATCTTCTTGCAGAGGTTGAGCAGGTACTGGCGCTCCTCCTTGAGAATCTTGTCCATCTGGCGGTAGTCGTTGACGACGATCTGGTTGTCCATGTCGGGCTTGGGCGACGAGAGCTGGAACTGGATAAGACCGATCTTGGCCTTCTCCATGCGAACGGGGCCGCCGGCGTTGGAAATGGCGGTCTGGTTGAGGGCGACGCCCTCGACGAGCTCAGTGTCCTCAATGGTACCGCCGACCTTCTTGACGATACGAATGTCACGGAGGTCAACGTTGGACGAGGCCGCGTTGACGAGACGGGTGACAGCCGAGACGGCAATGGGGGCGAGGATGGACGAGTACTGCGAGACAATCTTCGAGTTGAGCGAGGTCGACGCAGCACGGAGGAGGGCGTCACGGTCGTTGAGGTCGACCGGGGTGGACATCTGCTCCAGGAACTCGACAGCCTTGGAAGCCGCGCCCTGGAAGGCCTGTGCTATTGTGGTCGGGTGGATGCCCTGGGTGAGGAGCTTCTCAGCAGCAGACAGCAGACTACCGGCAAGGACAACGACACTGGTGGTTCCGTCACCGGCCTCAATGTCCTGCGCCTTGGAGAGCTCGACGAGCATGCGGGCAGCAGGGTGGAGGACGGCCATGTGCTGGAGAATGGTAGCACCGTCGTTGGTAATGACAACCTCGCCAGTGCTGGTGGTAATCTAAACGCGTTAGCTCACGGAAGGCAATGGTAGCTCACCATCTTGTCCATGCCCTTGGGACCAAGCGAAGTGCGCACGGCGTCGGCAACGGCTGATCTGTCAGCACATTTCAATAACCTGGCTAATACACACCCTTGGCAGCATTCATGTTCGACAGACGGACCTCGGTAGGCTTGCCCTGCAAGTGTGCGTCAGCATGCGCGCACGTCACATACATTGTTGGTCACGGGGGGTTGCCACTGACCTTGTCGTTGAACGACTTGTCCGAGATGCCCGCGCCCGTGGGGGCGTTGGGGGCGACAGCGGCCATGATTGCTGTGTTTTGCTTAAAGGTAAGGTAGCTAACTGCGGGACTGCTTTGAAGTCGATCTGAGTGCCGCGCTGGCGATGTTTTGTGTTGAGGAGTATAGGTGGAAGGTCGTGGTGTCGCGACGAAAGTTGGGACGCGCGCGGCCAGCAAGCAGGCGGTCGTCGCGAACACGCAGCGTGTATGACAGCGGAACCTTTTTTGGGCCGACAGGTATCGCTGAGCGGAGACGCGGAGGCAAAAAGATAATTAACACGTGCTTATCGCGTGCTTATCACGTGGGTTTAAACATGTACACACGTCAACCCACCGATGATTACACGTCAACCAACCGACCCAGTCTCTCTGATAAGCGCAACCCCGTTGTGTTGCTGACGTCGTGTAAGTGGAGGCCATATTCCTCAACAACATCCCCGTCTCGACTCAACCGTTCTGCTCAGCATGAGGCTGTCGCACTTTGTTGCGGTCCTCTCGTCGGCGGTCTTAGCCTCGGCTGGCCCCACCTCTCCGCAGGACGCTTTCCACGAGGTCCTCACCCTCCAGCCCCTTCCTGACGGCAAGTTGTCCGTCCTGTTCGAGTTTACAACACACTTCTCGCTGCACAAGGGTGATGGACCATGTAAGCTCATTCCATGATGTCATAGGCTTACATAGCAGCACAATCTCACCACTCCCTGACGCCGCCGACACTGCTTCTGCCGCTGGAGAAGAGCAACGTGTCAGAGCTCACCATCTCGTTCACGTCTGGGCAGTGGAACCAGTTACGACACGGCGAGAGTGGGCCACCCGCGTATGAGGCTGGCGGCGGTGGCGGAGAGGTGCGTGGATGGCTGGAAGGTGGGGACACGGATACCGCCTGGGACGACGTGACGCACGCGTTCGCGGGCCTGTTCTGCGCTACCGTTGGAGCCGAGCATGTCGGTGAGAGCGTGCGCACATTTGGCGACTTGTATCCTCCGGCACGTCAAGGCAACAGTGAGTTTAGCTTCTTGGCGCGCAAAACTGACATCAGACCTCTCCCACTATCTCGTTGCGTCGCCGCACCTCCACCTCTGCACCGAAAACCTCACGCCGTTCCTGTCGCTCCTTCCGTCCAAGGGCCTGTCTGGTCTGAGTGCGCTGCTCGCACACCCAGGCAACGTACTCGGCTGGGGCTTCAAGACGGAGGGTATCGATGTGGTTATGCCCTCTAAGACGCAGCAGGGAACGTGGACAGGATGGTGGGGTGGTGTTGTCGACCTCGTTCCCGAGCGTGGCGGCACAAGAGGGTTCACTCTCAAGACGATCTTTGGAACCAACCTGCCGCGTCCCTTCCCCAAGGCAGCGAGCTCGACTCTCCGCCTAATTGCTCCCGAAGGAGGCCTCGCAGTTGACCCAGCACCGCAAAAGGTCAACAAGCGTTGGGTGGACGGCAGGCGTCGCGAAGTCGCTGAATGGGATCTCTTTACCGAGGATCTCCAGGACAAGGACTTCGGGTTCTGGTGGCACGAAGAGGGCCCTTTCAAGCACCGTGGGTACTTCAACCCTGCACATGGAGCTGACCGTCCACAGCACTCCACTTTGAGCCCCCTGCGGTGACCATTTCCCGCGTTGCAGCCGACCGTCACGCGTCGGACGCCACGTTCGTGGTGAACATTGCCAACAATGCCGACGTGGACCGCGAGGCAGTCTACAGCGAGGTGTGGCCCTGGTGGGTCAAGGGGTGGCTGAGCGAAATGTCCGTCAAGGTCAACGGTGCGGCTGCGCCAGACCTTATCCACTCGATCGACTACCACCCATCTACCCCACCTACCCCTTCCACCACCGACCTCCACCTGCGGCTCACCCTGCCTGCGCGCAGCACAGTGCAGCTCTCCATCCCCTTCACCAAGCTTACACTCAAGTATGACGACCACGTGCCCGACGCCGAACGCGGCCGCGAGATCCCGGCGTCGGTTCTGACGCTGCTGGACGTCAAGGGCGAGGAGGAGCGATATGCCGACAAGGCGCTCGAGACGGGCACAGTGGACGTGCAGCGTACGTCGCGTCGCCGGGTGTACGGTCCCAAGCTGTTGCTGGACGTGCCGACACCCGACTTTTCCATGCCGTACAACGTCATTATTATGAGTTCGACTGTGATGGCCGTGTTCTTTGGCTCGATCCAGGGCCGCATCATCCGCCGCTGGGGCTGGGTGGAGGCGAGCAAGTAGAAATGAGTGGCTGGGCCCATAGCCAGCGCGCATGTGGTAGAGATCTGGGATACGACGATGATGCCATTGGAATTTTCAAAACTCCCGAATTTCGGGCCCGTTGCAGTCGTCCGAGGCACCTGCCCGCGACAATGTCTCTCTCGAGTCGGATCGCTGTCCTGCCCCCCAGCAGCGCAGCAGGAGACAGACCCTACTCTGTGCGCCTACGCATGTGCGGGGCAAACCGATCCAAACGAGTGCGAGCAGGATTGCGGGGGCCCTTGGGTGCTGCTTGGTTTGGCGGCGGCTGTGGCTGCATGCGATGCCACCATCGTAAAAATATTTTCCAACGATTCTGCTTTTCCAATAATTCCTTCAGACCTCTCGTCCTGTTCGTTGTTGCCGGTGTTCCTCGGTGTCCGCTCCGGTCCCCCCTCCCCCCAGCGCCACGGCCCAATCGCTCTCCTATCTTTCTTGCTGGTAGATAATGTCGTCGCTCCTCTCATCCTCGCTTCCTCACTCGTGCATGCGCATCACCTCGCGTTCCCCCATCCTCGCACGGTCACTGTCGTCCTTGCACCGCTCCACCAGGCAAACAGCAATCTCGACCAGCCGGCTGCAATCGTCGGTCCTTTCCTCCGCCGGCACACACATCCCCACGCGCACGGCTTCGCTCGCTTCTTCTTCTTTGCGCGCATTCTCTAGCTCCGCCCCTTCCACCAACGCACTCTCCACCATGGCCTCCAACACCGCCCAGATCGTGGACGGCAACGCCATTGCCAAGTGAGTACAAATGCCTCTGGAACACATGTAGAACACGTCGTTTTTTTTTTCTCTCCTGGCTCTAAAAACACGTCTCTCTTGCCGAGATTTTGGAACGTGTATTTTTCTCGCTTGGGCCCAGTCACAACCAGTCGTCCCATGCCCTCATACATCCATCCATCCATCCACGTCTCTCCCCCCACATCCTCATCTTCCATGCCTCCACGTATATGGGTAGCTGACGCTGCGCTTCAGGGAGATCCGCCAGTCGCTCCACAAGACCATTGGCGACCTCCAGGCCCAGAACCCCACTTTCCATGAGCCGGTTCTCAACATCTTCCAGCTCGGCTCCAACCCTGCTTCGTCGACCTACATCCGCATGAAGCTCAAGGCTGCCGAGGAGTCTGGCATGAAGGTCAAGCACATCCAGGTCCCCTCGGATGCCGAGGTTGAGGGTGCTGCCCCTGGCCAGGGTGTTGCCAAGCTCCTCGAGCTCGTCCAGAAGGCCAACTCTGACGACTCGGTTGCCGGTATCCTTGTCCAGCTCCCCCTCGAGGGTGCCTCCAAGGAGGCCGAGAAGGAGGTTGTTGACGCTGTTGACGTCTCCAAGGACGTTGACGGCTTCCACCCCGAGAACATTGGTCTCCTCTCGAGCCGCATCTCGGAGCCCTGGTTCACCCCTTGCACCCCCGCTGGTATCCTCCGCCTCATCGACTCGACCGGCTTTGACCTCGAGGGCGCCAACGTTGTTGTCCTTGGCCGTTCGGACATTGTCGGCTCGCCCGTCTGCGCTCTCCTCCGCAAGCGCAACGCCACCGTCACCCAGTGCCACTCGCGCACCCAGGGCATTGACCAGATCATCAAGAACGCCGACGTCGTTGTTGCTGCCATTGGCCAGGCCCAGTTCGTCAAGGGTGACTGGATCAAGCCCGGTGCCGTTGTCATTGACGTTGGTACCAACTTTATCCCCGACGCCACCAAGAAGTCTGGCCAGCGCATGGTCGGCGACGTCGACTTTGAGGGTGCCTCCAAGGTCGCCTCGTTTGTCACCCCCGTCCCCGGTGGTGTTGGCCCCATGACCGTTGCCATGCTCATGAACAACACCTACCTCGCCGCCAAGCGCCAGTGGGAGAAGAGCCGTGAGCGCAAGTTCACCACCCTCCCCCTCCAGCTCAAGGAGGACGTCCCCTCGGACATTGAGATTGCCGTTGCCCAGACCCCCAAGCCCGTGGCCGACATTGCCCGCGAGATGGGTGTCCAGGCCGACGAGATTGAGTCGTACGGCAAGTACAAGGCCAAGCTCGAGCTCTCGATCCTCCAGCGTCTTTCTAGCCGCAAGGACGGCAAGTACATTGTTGTCGCCGGTATCACCCCCACTCCCCTCGGTGAGGGCAAGTCGACCACTACCATTGGTCTTGCCCAGGCCCTCGGTGCCCACCTCGACAAGGTTGCCATTGCCTGTGTCCGTCAGCCCTCGCAGGGCCCCACTTTCGGTGTCAAGGGTGGTGCCGCCGGTGGTGGTTACTCGCAGGTCATCCCCATGACCGAGTTCAACCTCCACCTTACCGGTGACATCCACGCCGTCACCGCCGCCAACAACCTGCTCGCTGCCGCCATTGACGCTCGCATGTTCCACGAGTCGACCCAGTCGGACAAGGGTCTCTTCAACCGCCTCTGCCCCCCCAAGAAGGGCGTGCGCTCGTTCTCCAAGCCCATGCTTATCCGTCTTGAGAAGCTCGGCATCACCAAGACCAACCCCGCCGACCTCACCGAGGAGGAGGCCGCCCGCTTTGCCCGTCTCGACATTGACCCTGCCACCATCACCTGGAACCGTGTCATTGACTGCAACGACCGTTACCTCCGCAAGATCACTGTTGGCCAGGCCCCCACCGAGAAGGGCTTCTCGCGCGAGACCCAGTTCGACATTGCCGTCGCCTCCGAGGTCATGGCCGTCCTTGCCCTTTCCAAGGACCTCCGCGACATGCGTGACCGTCTCGGCCGCATGGTCGTTGCCTCGTCCAAGAACGGCGACGCCATCACCGCCGAGGACATTGGCTGTGCCGGTGCCATGGCCGTCCTCATGAAGGACGCCATCAAGCCCACTATCATGCAGACCCTCGAGGGCACCCCCGTCCTCGTCCACGCCGGTCCCTTCGCCAACATTGCCCACGGCAACTCGTCGATCATCGCCGACCGCATTGCCCTCAAGCTCGCTGGTGTTGAGGAGGGTGACGACGAGTCGCGCAACGGCTACGTCATCACCGAGGCCGGTTTCGGTGCCGACATTGGTATGGAGAAGTTCTGCAACATCAAGACTCGTGTTTCGGGCCTTACCCCCAACGCCGTCGTCCTCGTTGCCACCATCCGTGCCCTCAAGATGCACGGTGGCGGTCCCCCCGTCTCGCCCGGCAAGGTCCTTGACGCCGTCTACTCGTCGGAGAACCTCGAGCTCCTCGAGAAGGGTTGCGCCAACCTCGGCAAGCACATTGAGAACGCCAAGAAGTTTGGCCTCAAGGTCGTTGTCGCCATCAACGGCTTCACCTCGGACACCCCCGCCGAGATGGAGCTCGTTCAGAAGTACTCGCTCTCGGTCGGTGCCGACTACGCCGTCCCCTCGAACCACTGGGCCAAGGGTGGTGAGGGTGCCGTCGAGCTCGCCAAGGCTGTCATCGAGGCGTGCAAGGACGAGTCCGAGTTCAAGTTCCTCTACGACGTCAACCTCCCCCTCGAGGAGAAGATGAACATTATCGCCAAGGAGATGTACGGTGCCGACGGCGTCGAGCTCTCGCCCGAGGCCAAGGAGGAGGTCGCCCGCTACACCCGCCAGGGCTACTCTGCCCTGCCCATCTGCATGGCCAAGACTGCCCTCTCGCTCTCGGACGACCCCAACCGCAAGGGTGTGCCCACTGGCTTCACCTTGCCCATCCGCAACGTCCGTCTCTCGGCCGGCGCTTCGTTCGTCTACCCCCTCGTCGGCGACATGTCCACCATGCCCGGCCTCACCACCCGCCCGGGCTTCTACGACATTGACCTCACCGAGGACGGCGAGATTGTCGGTCTCTTCTAAACACATAGAAGACAGAGGCCATAGCCCAAAAGTAGTGTGAGGGAGAGGGAACAATACACATCTATCTCTGTCTCACCTTTTATCCAATATAGATCGGGAGGCGGCAGGCGCCTTTCAACAGATCATTCATGTACAACAAAAAAAATGCATGCCTCAACGGCCCATGAGATCCAACCAGTTACGTTTGTGTTGCAACAAGCAGATGTCGAGATTACGAGTGCGTCGTCCATGTCCATCGGTGAACAAGATGCGAGTGTGCGTGCGATGAAGGTGTCGTCAGTTTGGCAACAGGGTACCGCGGTGTGGATCCTGTAGGGGAAAGTGGTAATTGTTGGAAAAGAAAAATGGGCCTGTGGCGCTGCTTTCTTTTCCAACGATACAACGTGCACAAACCACGAATGTCGACGTAGATCCTTCATGCACGCGTGCACGTACATATGTACCCATATGGGTACCAGGTGCGTCTATAACCCAAGGCCCCGCGGAGACCGTGGGTGCATGGGTGTCGAGTTCCTCGGGGTCTCCAGAAGGGAAAGGGGACGATAGAGCCCCCGGTGGCCGGCAAGACGGTCCTTTTTTTTGATGCCACGAAACCTACACGCCCTCGTTAATGACCAGCTGTGAGCCACGACGTTCTCACGACATGGCCAGTGCGCGTGTGCAGGGATTACTGGCGCTTCGCTTCACGACTGGCGTCTAGAGACAGTGGGCACGCAGTTGACGTGCTGAATGTAACCGCTCGACGCACAGAGCTTCATAATAGGAGCCGGCAACTTGCAACTTGGTTCTACGCGCCAGCCCCTAGGTATATGCCCGGTGTCCTTGGATGCCTGGGTATGAAACCACCCAGGCCACCTACCGTGCTCATCTTCCCCAGTCTCTCTGCGGCACAGTGAGGACCATCGTCACACTAGAGGTGCAGTAGTACTGCCCAAGCACCATAAATGCAGCTTCAACCCACGGTACCAGCCAAAAGCCACACCCACCGCAAGGAACAGTATTGACTCCATTGCCGCCGGCTTCAGGGGGTGGGCTGCAATACGCTGGCTGGACCCGGCCATGCAGGGGGAGGTCGATAAGCGAGCGCTTAAGCGCGCTTAGCAGAGTTGAATGACGTTCACGCATGCCGCAGCAACGAGCGAAAGAGACCGCGCAAGCAACACGGCGTGCCCATGTGATTGAAGAGGCCGCCGCCCACCCATTGTAGGTGTGTGGTGTGTGGGACGGGGACCGAGTGGGCATCCGGAGCCTGCCACAGCGCTGCTGGGGTGGTGGCCATGGTGGCGTAAGGCTCTGTCTTGCTGCTGCGGGGGCAGTAACCCGAGATCTCAAGAGGTGTCCGGCACGAACGCGTCGACCGTCGAGCGCGAGGAATGCCGCAGCAGGGGGGAGTGTGGGGGCAGCAGGTTTATGTCTCGGTCATCCATGTGGCCCCGTATTCCACTCTCCCATCCTTCTCCCATCACTCTCTCTCTCTCTCTCACACACACCTTCTCTTCATCTCACGTACCTCCGTACCAACGCGTCCACACATGCGTCTCCCTCGCACCTCCCTCTCGTCCGTCACCGCCGCCGCGCGCCAGGCCATCCACCCGCGTCTCCCCCAGGCATCCCGTCCCCAGGCATTCGAGCGCGTCAGCAGCTCGGCCCAGACGCGCCACCTCGCCCGTGGAGTGACTGCCCAGGCGCGCGCGCGCCCGTCGACCGCCGCGGTCAGCTCGGTGCCCCTGCGCGCCGCGGCTGGCCAGGTCCGCACCCACACCACCCGCGACGCGCACTACTTGAAGGACTTGCCCGGACAGTCGTCGCCCACGTTCGAGTACAAGTTTATCGCGGATGACCCGTCCACTGTTTCTGTGAGTTGGAGAGGGTCTCGAAGGTGGAAAGGAGACGGAGTGTGTGGAGTGTGTGCGATGTGGGATCCGTGAACGAGAGTTTGGGGCAGTTGTGTGTGGACAATCAACTGACCACAATCCCAGGTGGTCGGATACCCATTCTCTGGTGGCCAGCCGCGTCCCGGTGTTGACGAGGGACCCGAGGCGCTCGTCGAGGCCGGCCTCTTGGACCAGATCGCGGCCCTGGGCTGGGTCGTCGAGTTTAACAAGGCTGCCATTGCCGAAGTGCGCGAGCTCGCCATGGCCGACAGCGAGACCGACGCCGACGTCGGCAAGCTCCACCGCCCCCGAGCCGTCAGCGCCGTCAACCAGCGTGTCGCGCAGGACGTGTCGGACATCATTGAGCGTGGAGCCATGCCCCTGACGCTTGGTGGTGACCATTCGTTGGTGAGTGGCGATAACGGAGCCGGCGGGAGCCGTGCCGCTATCACTGCTGTGGGTCGGTCAACTGACGGTGACGCAGGCCATGGGAACAGTCTCGGGAGTCAAGTCGCAGTACCCCGACGCAGCGGTCATCTGGGTAAGCTACGCGCTTGGTGACCGTAGCTAACGCTTTCCTCACAGGTCGATGCCCACGCCGACATCAACACGCCCATTACCACTGACTCTGGCAACCTCCACGGCTGCCCGTTGTCGTTCCTCCTCGGCCTCGAGGGAACTGACATCCCCCCCTTCAACGTCTGGCTCGAGCCCTGCCTCCGTCCCGAGGACCTGTGAGTCGACTATAGCATGTGTGGAGGCGTTATCCTTGCTGACACCTTCACTAGGGTATACATCGGCCTGCGCGACATTGACGCCGGCGAAAAGATGATCCTCAAGAGCCTCGGTATCAAGGTCTTCACCATGCACGACGTTGACAAGCACGGTATCGGCAGGGTGATGGAGATGGTCCTCGCTCACGTCGGTGCCAACCGCCCCATCCACCTCAGCTTTGACGTGGACGCGCTCGACCCCACCGTCGCGCCCAGCACGGGTACGCCCGTCCGTGGTGGCCTGACTTTCCGCGAGGGTGAGCTACGTATCGGATTTCCAGCGGCGCAAGCTAACGACCCCAGGTCACTACATTACCGAGGCGATCGCCGAGACTGGAAACCTCGTCGCGATTGACATTGTGGTGAGTAGCTGGCTGGACAATGTTGCCAGGAAGCCAGAGCACTGACACCTCCCAGGAGGTCAACCCCACCCTCGAGGACGGCGCGTCGGTCCAGCAGACCATTGCTGTCGGTTGCTCGCTTGCGCGCTGTGCGCTCGGCGAGACTCTTCTGTAACGAGACAGAGGCAGAGAGGCAGAGAGGTGCACGCACACGTTTCATGAATTAAGAGAACCGAGGTAATGCGAACATGTATCATCACCAGTTGCAACCGCCCACATGATCACATGAGAAACACATAACGGGGTTTGCCCCCCGACTGGGAGTACTATAAAATGGGGCGTTACGTGTTTCTCCAGCTGGCCACTGGGACTACTTCTGACAATTAGCTGCATTGTTGACGCCTATCTCTGGATCTTGGATCTCTGTATTGCCCGTCACTTCAGCGTGATCAAAGGCCAAGGCCAAAGATCCAACGATCCAAAGAGGACCCGGTTAATCGTGTACGGAAAACGCATGGTGTCAAACAACCATTGGGTGCCCCGTTCCGGACCCATGAGCGCTCCCTCTCCATGGCAGTCAACATGGTGCCCGGTGCTTGCAGGTTGCATGCTGGCTGCAGCTGGACCCGCATGCGTCTTTTTCGAGTGACCCACATGGGGAGCTGTGGGTGATTGTTACTGGCTCGGTGGCGATTGCTTGGCACACGATAGCCTGCAAGAACGAGGTGCATCGCCTCCCCCGCGTTTTGCGTCTGGCCCATAACGTCACCTTTTTTCCGGATAATCACTCATCCCCGCCCCGCACATCCTCGTCAGTCGTCGTCGTCGTCGTCGTCGCAGCTGTCGGTGTCGGTGTCCCTCTCTTTCTCTCTCCATCCCATCCTCCTCCTCCAGCAAACACACTTCGTCTCTTGTGCTTACCCCCCGCGTCACAACACACCGCCGCCGCCGCCCTCGCAGATAACGCAGCCCTCGCAGCCTCTGGTCTCTGGTAAGCACCCCGTCTGCCCCAAGCATCTCCGCTCCACCATCATCTACGGCCTCTGTCCCGCCGTTCCTTCCCTCCGCGCCGCTCGTTACCTTGAGGACGGCGTGCATTTCGGCCATCATGGGCACAAGTGTATATACATGTGCGCGCAGTCATTGGGCATTGCAGGCGTGGAGACATGAGCCCCACAGGGGTGGCGTCTGCCATCCTGCATCCAGGCTTCGTCGCCGCCTGGCCCGTCGCCGCCCCTTTCCCGATGCAGATGCAGCCGCGCAGCGCGAACGCAAACAGGCAGGCCGCTCGACGCTGACCATCTCCAGTCCCAACCCGTCTCGCCCCCATCCCACACCACTCCCCACCGTCCAACACCCACCCACACCCATCAATCGACAATGGGTAAGAGCCAGAGCAAGCTCAGCGCCGAGGACCTCGCCGAGCTCCAGAAGAACACGTACTGTAAGTCCTGTCTCAGCTGTGTATCGGTTTCGGCGAAGCTGACACCGCGCCCCAGTCGACAAGAAGGTGAGAGAGCGCGCATGATGGACGCCGCTGGAGGTGGCCGAGATGGACCGGGCAGGGGAGGTGGTGCTACCACCAAGTCGTCCACGCACGACGTCAGCAACGCCGCTCGCGTGCCCCCCATCACCACCCCACCTCCAGGCGCACATCCCGCCAGCGAGATGACGAGATGACCTTACTGACGCGCCGTATAGGAGCTGCAGCAGTGGGTGAGTGCCCCGCCTGTTCTGAACCATGCGCACAATGGACTTGAGCTGAACTTTGCGCCAGTACAAGGGATTCCTCAAGGACTGCCCCAGCGGCCAGCTGAACAAGGACGGTACGTTTTTCGGATTTGACAAGAGTGGAGGGCGGTGCGACGCTGCACCCAAGCACCTTGGCGCGTGGCCTGCCAAGGAGGAGACGCAGGTGATCGAGGTCGTTGGTGGACCCCAACCCTATGCGCGTTGCGTGCACTCTGGAGCCTCCTGCGTGTTCGTCCGCTGGAGCTCGTGGAGGTGCGCAGCTGTCATTTCGATCGATCAACCCCTGCGTCTGCCCATGCCTCTTATTGTCACTGCATACATGGGCTGACTTGTTCGCAGAGTTTAAGAAGATCTACCGCCAGTTCTTCCCCTTTGGTGATCCGAGCCAGTTTGCCGACTACGTCTTCAATGTGAGTGACAGCGCAGCGGCTTCGGCGACGAAAGAGCACAGCCTCCGAGCTCCGCCGGTGTCCTCGTTACTCTACTGACGCACACACACATACAGGTCTTTGACGAAGACAAGTCTGGAACGATCGAGTTCAAGGAGTTCATCTGCGCGCTCTCGGTCACGTCGCGCGGACGACTGGACGAGAAGCTCAAGTGTGAGTCGGAGCCCCGGCCGGCGGTGCGAGCAACTGGCGGTTCAAGGCACACTCTTTCATGAGCTGACAATGTCACCAGGGGCGTTCCAGCTGTACGACATCAACTCGGACGGGTTCATCACCTATGACGAGATGCTCCAGATTGTGCGGTCCATCTACAAGATGACTGGCCAGATGGTCCGCCTCCCCGAGGACGAGGACACACCCGAGAAGGTGGGTAGCGAGCAGTGCCGTTGGGTGCGGTGGACGACGTGGCATCGGACCAGACGGTGCTGCTACGTTCAGTTCCACCGCTATCAGCGGGGCGTGTGCAGGAAAAAGCATCACCAGCTGACATTACCCTCCCTTCCCTCCAGCGCGTCGACAAGATCTTCCGCACGATGGACCTGAACAAGGACCACAAGTTGACCTTTGAAGAGTTCAAGGAGGGATCCAAGCAGGACCCAACCATCGTCCAGGCCCTGTCGCTCTACGACGGTCTGGTCTAGGCTTGTTCTTCGTCAGGCTTTTGTGTTCTGGTTCGCAGCTAGAAACGTGGTGCGTTCAGCACCTGGGCACACTGGCTGGCATTGCCGCCTGCTGTGCTAGGCTCGCAGGCCAGCCCAGTGCTGCTCGTCGTCCGTATCTTGGAGGGTTTGGGTATAGAGAGATCAATGTATGCGTTATCACCGAACACAGATGCAGCACGAGGGGGATGGGAACGCCAGGGGTTGCAATCTCGCGAGGTGTGTGCAAAGCGTCGCAGTCGTATGGTTGATTGGGGTAAAGGGCATCGTGTCAGTGGCACGGGCAGAAGATGTTGGCTAAGATGTATGTATGGTCCAAGTCATGGATAGCAGCTGTCGTGGGCGCTGTGGGGATGTTTCTCCGGCTCTTCCATCGATCTGAGGGCACGCTGAACATCCCAGCTGCGGCGTGTCTGTGCAGCGCGTCATCTTGCGGCATTGCTGCCTCTTGCTGGGGTGGGGTAGCGGCTAAAACGGCTGGGTCGGCAGATGGTCGCCACAAGGCCACCAACTAAGGCTCAAAGGCTGCTCTGTCACCGGATCGCAGTCGTGCCCAAATGGCTTCCTCGTTGACCATCCACCCATGCACTCACCAGAAAAGTCTCATTGTCGCGAGCAAGCCCCGCGTACTCTCCACCCTGCATTACACCCCTCTTCGCACCAAGGCCGGGATCCTCCAACGCGTACCGCAATGTCCCAACCCGCCCTCGCCACCAGGCCCAAGCCCCTCGTCCAGACAGGCATCATGTCGTCCCCTTTGCAGTCAACCTCGTCACCTTTGCAGACCACCTCGTCATCTTCGAAGGTCCCCCGTGCTCAATCATTCCTCGACTTTCTCCACAACGGTCCCCCTCCTCCTCCTCAGGACTGGCCGCGCCGCGACTGGTCAACCACGGGCTTTGGCGTCCCCATGTATGCTGGTACGGTGGCCAGCGCGGATCAAATTGGCTGGGCGTGCAAGAATGCGACCGTCGCCATCATTGAGGCGGGGACCAGTTGGGATACCATCAAAGACAAACCCCTGGCAGTCTATTTGGCCATCGCTGACAAGGTGCTCGAACTGTAAGTGCTGCGGGAGGAGGCGGCTGGACGGCCGACGACGCCGCTGACAATATCAGCAATGACCATGCGCGTGGGGCCAGAGGACACACAGGATGGTTGAAAGAGTATGAAGCCTGGAAGGCGGAGCGCACGGCGGACATTGCCAAAGTGTTTGGCTGGGTGGGTGTCAGTTGAGGAGGACCCACTACTTACGGACTGCAGGCTGTCCGAGACTGGCCAGACGTCGACGTCACGCTGCCCAAGGCGACAGAAGTGTGTCTCGGCGCCCTACACGCCGGGTTCGATCTGTGCGACTCGTATCAATCCCCGCCCACGGACGCGGAGACGCTGCCATCCTCGTTCTTTGGCGAGTTTTCGCCCCGTCCATCAGACCTGTCGCGCTACGGCATGTCCATCATCTGTGGACAGCTCGACTTTGATGACCCGGATCTCGAGTACAAGCTTCTCAACAAGTGTGCCGATCTGGAGGACAAGGCAGTGACGCTCGACTCGAAGCCTGGTCCACTCAGCCGCCTGCCTCTCCTGCCCAGAGACGATCGTGATCCTTCCGTGTATGGACCTGCGACCAGCCGCTATCCGGCCAACTTTGTATGGCACGACGACCCGTAAAGGGCTTGCACTAGGGGATCGGGGAGTGGCACTGCGAGGAGCGAATGCTATGACGAGGAGCTGCAGCGAACGGCAGCAGTAGTGTACCATAATGCTCATTTGTACACAGAATTGTATGATGGCCCCGAGCCAAGCCGTGGCCGAAGGGTACCTGTTTGTATGAATCTGTTGCGTGAGTATACCACGGAGCTGCGCTCGTGAGGTGCAGTGTCGCGCGCTGCATCGCGCATCACATGGACCAATAGGTTGCGTGAGCACCCCTTGGTACGCTCATGTGCAAGCAAGTTCTGCCAGACGTACCGCCAGCTCGTACCGGTATAGAGATACACCGACGGTCAAAGGTCTAGTTTACTCGTCTGCATAGATGACAGTAGCCGAAGGGATATAATTAGGTGATCAAGCAGGAATTGGTTTCTACATGAATGTCTAGTGTTGAATGATGGTTTGAAAATTAGCAAGAATGTAGGGCTGGCCAGAGAAGGCGTGGGTGGAAAGGTTCTAAAGAGCGTGGGCGGCCTGGAGAGGGTATCGAAGTTGAAGAAGGGAATGTTGTTGTGGAAAAGCAAATGTCTAGCTGATCTGGGCTTGGGGGGTATCGAGGCTGAAAAAAGGGAATGTCGTTGTGGGAGAGCAAAATGTCTAGTTGATCTGGGCCTGTTGTTGGGCCCAGTAGGCCCCGTGGTCACCATCAGGCTCCTCGCTCCAGCGGGCCGACAGGGCACGCATGACATCGCCGTGGGACGCGCCCGGAAGGGCAGCTTTGGCGGCCTTCATGTTGTCCTTAAGGAACGCTGTATCACGCGTCAGCAAGGACTCATCCCTCCAGCTTCCCCCCCTCGAGGCCCGTTTCTCAAACTCACCCTGAAAGCCAGTAGCCTGGCGGCTCTCAAACATGGGCTCGAGGCGGGACCGACACGCGCCACACACTTGGCGCGAGGTGTCGATACTCTTCGAGTGGCGGTTGTACACTTTGGCGCAGGAGGTGTTGGAGCACCGCCACGAGTACTTGTACTGGATCTCGTAGTTGTGCTTTGTGGTGACGACCACATCTGGACGCGCACGCATGACGCGGCTGCCCCACGACTTGAACACTTTGCCGTGGGGGTTACGCATCTCTTTGCTGATCACCCAACATGCCAAGTGACACATTTCGTGTGCGAGCGTGCATTGGATCTGATCTGTGGTGGAGAGGACCTTTGTGGACAGGTTGATAGAGTAGGAAATGGCAGTAGAGGTGCCTTGACGTGTCGTCTTGCGGGACGCATTGCCTGCAGACGAGATGAGACGACCGGACCAGTCAAGAACCGCGTTGGCACCATTGGAGCCGAGCTGCGAGTTGAACACGGCCATGTCCAGCTCGTCAAAGAAATCCTGGGCAAACCGGACGCGGTACACCTCCCACTCGCGCTTGCTCATGGTCTGCTCCGTCCTCTTGTTGCTTTTGGGCTTGGCCGTCCTGGAGACCTTGGGAGGCGAGTCGGGCGATCCGACATGGAGCGTGCTAATGTCTGGCAGCATCGAGGGACGCGGCGGAGGAGTAAAGTGGAGAAGCGCATCGTCGTCATTGTCGTCGTCAACATCCTCGTCCTCGGTGTCCGAGTCAAGAACCTCGATGACAGCGCGGTCACCAGTAGCGTGCTTACCAGGTGACGTACCGGGCGAGGTCTCGAGAATCTCGACAACGTCCTCGTCCAAGGCGGTGGCGCCATCCTCACTCGAGTGGTCACTTGCAGACTCATCCAGCGCGTCGAGCGTGTCTTCGGCAGCTTCTGCATCGTCCGCATCCTCGGCGTCTTCGTAGTCGTCTGCATCTTCGTAGTGGGAGGGATCGTCGTCGTCGTCAGAGTCGACAATAAAGTCCTTCAGAGAGCCAATCGACTCTTCGTCGGTAAACTCGTCCCTCGAGTCATCGATCGAGTATTCCTTGCGCGTCTTGGAAGGTGTGGTGCGCTCCAGGTCGCTACCATCGCTTTCGCGGTCTGACATTTCGTCGAGGATCCGAATAGCAGCAGGTGTGCGTCCGCGCAGTCCGCCCTTTGCTGCGCCCTGTGTGCGACGGGGCGGCGCTGCAGCGTCGTCGCTCTCGCTGTCGGACACGACCACGCGACGGCGACGAGAAGCCGTGGCTGGGACCCAATCGCTCCTGTCTGAGGCGTACTCGTCGTCACCACCACCGGGGGTTGCGGGCATCGAGGGCATGGAGACAGGAGGGCTGAGGCGCGAGGGCGAACTCAAACCCACTGACTGGGCCGGGGAAAAGCCTAAGGGTGGGGGGATGACGTCGGAGAGCGCGTCTGAGAATGCGTCGTCGGCGTCAGAGGCTGGCGAAGACGGCATGTCGGGTGTGTGCAGCGAGATGGTCGGTCGGCCGTAGCTGAGGTTGCGGCGGGGTGTGAATGCGTCGTCGAGGTCGTTGCTGAGAGTTAGAAATGAAGAACAGGCGCAACTCACAGAATCTCTTTTGGGGGCGTACTCAGATCAACAATGTCCTCGTGTCGGGGCGTCATGGGGAGCGACGGCTCGATGTCACTGACATGTTCCCGGATCGAAAGACCGGCACTGAGGTTGTTAGCACACTTGTGAACAAGCGTCACTCACAGGTTCACGGCGAGGTCGACAGCGTCACTGCTGGTGGACGAGTTGGCCTCTGAGATGGCTGTCACAAACGATGTTTCGTCAAAGGTCCGTTCAAAGCTACTGCTGTGCTCGTAGCCTCGCTCGAACTCGAACGCATGGTCCAACGTCGCATGTGTCTGGTGACTGCGATGACTCTCAAAGCTGGTGTCATATGTCGGGCTGTCGATATCGCCCAGGACCTCTTCGTCGAAGCCGTCGAGCGAACCTCGATCAATGGAGGAGGCCGTGGAGTTGGCCGAGTTGGCCGAGAGAGAGTTGAGCGAGCTAACAGAGCCGGTCAGAGAAGCGTCATACGCTGCGAGATTGTTGAGGCTGATCTTGCGGCCAAGGGCGAGACGCGGACGGGAAGGTGTAAAGTCTGCAGGCGGTGCTCGCGGCGTAAATGCCTTGCGAGCAGTGATCGGGGTGCTGACTTGGCTAAAGTCAAGACGCGGGAGAGGAGCTAGAAAAACGCGAGTCAGTTCGAGTTAAAGACATGGTGAACTCACTCCTCCGCGGACTCGGACTCGGGCTCGTCCGGCCATCACTCTCATACTCGTCGGCGCCGGGACTGGGACCAGGACTGCGGGGGACGCTCCACCCAAGGTCACGCCCACGCGGACGGGGCGGCGTGAGGGTTCCACCATACCTCGCCGGCCCGGGCGAATCATAGTCGCTGCTCCGCAAACTCGTCGTCGTATCGAGGCTCGCACGAGATGGAGACGCGGTCGCGGACGTAGACGCAGATGCAGGCGGCATGAACATGTCCACGTCGCTATCAGTGCTGGGGGCTCGAACATGCGAGACGTAAGGTGATCGCTGGAACCGCGCGCGGCGAGGAGGAGGGGTGCTCGGCGTCGGGGTGGAGGGTCCATCGGGCGGAAGTCGACGGCCCGGCGGTCCTGCAGTGTCGGTCCCGTGGTTGCTGTGGCCGCCGCCTGTGGCCACGGTCATGGCGAACAAGCCTGCTGGGAGCTTGTCCGAGAACGAGACCTTGCGCGGCTTGCTGTATGGGTCGTGGCCGTGCATGGAAGACATGAGAGTGGACGGGACGACGGTCAAAAGGACAGCAGCTTGCAACTCGCGACTCGTTGCATTCGGTGGTTGTTGACAAAAGTCACGCGCGTCCGTTGAATTTGCTTCCGCGCGCGCCAATGACCGCCCGCCGACGCGCCGATACAGTGTTCCCCTGCCTCCCCCTGGTCGTACCCTTTGGCTCTTTGAAGCCGGGTTGCGTCCCATGCCGTACAAGACGCGTCCATTCGCTGCATCTGGTGGTCTGGTGGGAAGGGGCAAGTACCTGTTTCCTACATACTCCGCTCCCGCTCTTCGGCCAGACGGATCATCTCGAGAATCTCGGCAAGGTCGTCTGGCGCGTCTCCTTCATCATCTCCTCCACGCTCATACTCTTGCACTGCGCGGATCGCCTCGGTCTCTTCGTCGGACGCGTCAAAGCTCGAGTTGTCCGGCGCGCTGCTCGCCGCCTCCTGCGCTGCCTGCCGACGCTCAAATTCCTCGACGGCACGGATCGCCTCGGCCTCTTCGTCGCTCTCTTCAGAGGGCGATTCTGGACCGGGAGTTCTCGTCTCTTGCTCTTGCTCTTGCTCCTGCTGTGACAGCATCAGGGCATACTGCAGGGCAGCATCTCCGTCCGCGAGGCCCAGGTCCTCCATTGCCGCGAGATGCTGCTCCTCATGAGACATCTGTGGTCGGTGCGCGTCGTTCTCGGCCTGGATTTCGTAGTGCGAGTCGACGGCATCTTGGTGCAAGTCACGCAAGTCTTGGAGGGATGTCAGTAGCGTCTACGGGTTACCACTGTTGCCGATACCACTTACCAAGTTGACGGTGCTGGCGGAAGTCTCCCTTCCCACCAGATGTGCCTTTACGCGGAGCAGAGTCTTTACCCGACTGGCGGCCCTTGCCCGTACCGGCTCGCCAGGTCTGCACATTGCGCCCGATGGCGGCCAGGATCAGGTCATTGTCGAGGATGATGTGGTTGACATTGTAGTAACGGGAACGGAACTCGTCAGAGCCAGCGAGCATCAGGTCGCCTGGAGTGAGGTGTCCCGGAGGGCGGAAACCGCGCAGACGCTCAGGAGGGTTGGGAAGAGGGTCAAAGACGTCGTAGTGGCCAGAGTAGCTGGATGTCAGCTGATGTTTACGACCATTTCAACCAACCTGCCAACGGCAACGAGACCACACGAATAGTCGACTGCTGTAATCTTGCCGTCTTGCGCAACCCAGTCGCGCATGGGCATCACCACGTCGTCGACAGTACGTCCCTCCCAGTCCCAAATGTAGGCCTGACCATTGATATCGCCTCCAACAACGAACCGGCCAAACTCAGGCTCGGTCAGCTTGCGCGGGAGGTCGTCGAGTTCGAGCGGGGTAGGGGTAGTCGAACCCGACGTCGGGGTCACAACAGTGAGGGTAGACTCCACACGGTGAGGCTTGGCAATAGGCAGAGCTGGCGAAAAGTATGGCTGCACAGTGCTGAGCGGAATCTCGCCGTGGGTGCCATAGAAGGTCGTCTTGACGGTACCGTCGCCGGCAATGTCGTACCGGCCAAAGTTGGGGTGCTTATCATGGTGAACCACGATGGACGCATTGCCATCGCGGCAAGTCATAAAGAGGCGCTTGACACCGCCAAAGTCTGCTGCCGCCCCGACGTCCACGCGGACCTCGCGAGGTTGTTCGCCGGCTACGTCAAACCACACGCGCATGTCACCGTCTTCAGTCACGCCGCAGACAATGTCATACTGGACATCGCAGACCACTTTCGTGATCGGGTCGGGCTGCAGAGTCTGGCGCAGACGGACTTCTTCAGAGCGGTTGAGGAACGTTGCCTCCACCACCTCAGAGGTGAACAAACACGTGATCGTCGCGGGATCGGTGGGCGTCTTCTTGCCCGACTTGGCTCCAGGGTTGAGGCGCCAGTACTTTACACGACCGTCTTCACCAGCAGTTGCCCATTTCATAGGGTCGACGCCGGTCGACTCGGGCTGGTGAATGGAGAAGATGGCGCCCAGGTGCTGGTCGTTGGGCTTGGAATAGACATTCACCGAGTTGGGGCGACCACCATGCGTCGCGTGCGAACGAGACTGGATGGTGGTGTGCACGGTCGAGCCTGTGAGCAGACCCCAGAGCATATGCGTCTGAGACCGCCTGGGGATGAAGGTGGCCGATGGTGCAGAGCTTGGGTCCCAGTGGGGGCGAATGTGGAAATTGGCTGCGAGTTAGTTCTGCGACAGTCTCCATAACTCACCATCCTGGCCAGGACCCCAAAAGCCCTTCGACACCTTGCCCCTCAGAGGGTCACTCTTGACGAGGGCGCTGACCTCGAGGCCAACGCTGTACAGGGTGGGCGGGGAACGCGCCGAAACCGCCTGCGTAGCCTCGTACCTCTGGCGATGGGTCATTTTGCCTGGGGTGGCTGCCGCAGGTGACGAGGTTCCAGATCCATTAGCTGCCTTGGTCATCTTGCCGACAACAAGGGGGCCTTTGGCATTCGGGAGGTTGGGAGGGTACGCGAGCGACATGTCGTGGACGAGAACATTGACTGGGTGGTGTACCACATTGGACGTGCGGGAGGCTGTCCACCGTCTGCAAGGGTCAGCAACGTCACCAACGTATGGGCTCACTCAATCATCGACTCGCGAGACAAGGCCTCGCGCTTCCATCCACGACCGCCAGTACCCAAACATCCTTGAGCAAGGACCTTGACCTCCTCGCGAGCTCGGCCGTCGGTGGCGGCGCCATCCCAGAGAAAGTGGTTAATGTAGCATTGACGCCACATGGCCTCGCCCTTGAGTGCATTGTGGAGCAACTTGCAGGTGGATCCGATCTGGAGGAGTGTACGCGGTGGAAGGCGTACGAGGAGGAGGTGCAAGACATCTTCCGGGAGGTCAAGAAGGTAGCTGGGAATTAGCACGTGTGTGGTTTGCAACGCTGCAAGCAGGCCATCGAACTTCACAGCGGTCGGACTCACCAAGGGGCACCCTCAACGGCCTCAAGGCGAGCCTTTCCCTTTAACCCAGAGTGAGCAAACTTTTTGGCTCGGCGCACTGGCTGCGTGTTGGCCTCTGAGGACGGCGGTTCAAAGAAGAGGTCGTCATCTTGGACTGTGAATTCGGGGCCGAGTTCTGAAGATACGGGGTGGGTTGTTTCTTGTGGGACTGGAGTAGGTGATGAAGGCATATAATAGGAGCTAAAGTAGCGGTTACTGAGAGGTGCACTGAGTCGTTACAGTGCGATAAGAGCTGTTGCTGGAAGTTGGCGAAGAGATGGATGCGTAAAGATGACGACCAGGCCGCTGGAGATGTCTCTCTTCCTCGACGCCCTCCACTCTTCGGTGTTGATAAGATCTCGGCTAATTACGTGTAAACTAACTCATTGTTATTGTTGCCGATCCCGGAGAACGAGCGAGCGGAGAGAGCGACGAGCAAGTGCGGCTTGGTGCGACTTGCTTTCCACATTGCACTTCATTTCGTCTCGCACCATGGCCCCATCAGCCAAAAACGAAGAGCCAGAAACATGCGCTCTCTGTCCGGGATCTGTTCCGCCCAAGCCCGCTCGCGCATCCGGCTCCAGCAACACGCCTGAGCTCTCCTCAGCTGAGGACGCCGATGGCCCCGACCTGCAGTGGATCGCGTGCCACAAGTGTAACCAGTGGTTCCATTCCGCTTGTGTCTTCCTCTTGGAAGCGTTCAAGGAGACCATTCCAGATGAGCTCCGCGAGCAAGCTGAGGCGAGTGGCCAAGGCGCATTCTTTGACTGGCCCAAGACAGTGGACCGATGGTGAGTAGGCCGTTGTCTTCACATCGTGCGCGGCTAACAACGGTCACCAGGTTCTGTAAGCCATGTATCGACTTTTCTTCGTCGCCAGAGAATCCCCGTCCCCCTCGTCAGCCGTTGGTTACCACCCTCAAGAAGCCTCGCAAGGCGCGCACTACGTCTGGCTCGTTGTCGCCTGCTAAGCGTGCTCGTCTGTCGCCTGCACTTCCACCACCACCTGTTACCAATGGTGCCGCTACGGCAGGAGACGCGCCTGCTGAACGTAGACCAAAGCGCAAGGCGGCGCTCGACAGACCTGATTACTACAATATGCACCACCACAACGCCACGCCGACCAAGGGCTGGCTTGACCTCATAAAGGACCCGGCAAAGCACGGTCGTGTAATCAAAGAAGGTGGGTTCGGCGTTCGAGGGGCCGTGCTAACCCATAAGATGGGTTTCCTCGTGTCCCAGGTAGCCTACTCTGCAAAGAGTGGGTCGAGTCCGGTAAAACCGCCTCGGACGTGGCCGTTGGCACTTCGCACTTCCCTCCCGAGTTGCCACCCACCTTGTTCTACGGTCCTACGCGCGAGCCGCTCGTGGTTGGGCCCGAGAACGGCGGCCTTACGTCTATGGGCGGCATGATCCCCGACCCAAGTCTCACAGTAGACGATGTGTCGCGCCTCGTCGGACCAGACAAGCTGGTCGATGTCATCGGTAAGTGGCTCTGCCCGCTAAGTGTTAGCTGACCCACAAAGATGTGGCGACACAGACGTCGGCCCAGTGGCCGCTGTCCAAGTGGGCAGCGTACATCAAGACCCGCTCTGATCCCTCGGCGCCCGGATCGTCCAAGGTGTACAACATCATCTCACTCGAGATTTCGGGCACCGAGTTGGCCCAGATGGTTCGTCCACCACGAATCGTCAGCGACGTCGACTGGGTGGAGAACTTTTGGCCGTTCCCGCAAGGCAAAGAAGCGACGATGCGGGCGGCTGCAAAGGCGGCAGATGGGCCTAGCGACGATGCTCCAAAGGGTAGAGCGAAGAATGAGTGGCCAAAGGTTCAGCTGTATTGCCTGGTGGGTGAATTGGTATTATCTTGGATATCGCTGACCTGCTCAGATGGGCATGCAGGATTCATGGACTGTAAGTTAGAACAACCGCCCACGTGGTTTTAGCTCACATTCAGGACTGGCATTGCGACTTTGCTGCCAGCTCGGTGTACTACTCTGTCCACACTGGCTCCAAGGTGAGATTTTTGTTTGAGCCTAATCTCACTCTAGGTCTTCTTCTTTATTCGGCCAACCGAGGCGAACCTGGCGGCATATGCTCAATGTAGGTTGTTGGCTTCTACAGACGTAGGCACTGACCTCCAGGGTCCGGCTCAGACGAGCTCCAGTCATCCACTTGGCTGCCCGACATGTGCGATGAAGTACGCAAAGTTACCCTCAAAGCAGGTGATACTATGTACGTTGATCACTCACTCCTGGGATATGCTGACGGACAGGATCATCCCAGCAGGCTATATCCACGCAGTTGTGCGTCCAAGTAGAGTGGCTAAGCTTACCCGCAGTATACCCCTGTTGACTCGATTGTCTTTGGCGGCAACTTTGTCCACTCGTGAGCGACCGTTTTGGAATGCGAGCTCACGATAGATATGATATCCCGACCGAACTCCGTTTGCGACAAATTGAGATCGATACCAAGGTCCCGCAACGATTCCGTTTTCCCTTCTTTGACAAGTGGGTTGGCCAGTGATTGGACGAACTGACTTGCCTGCAGGCTGTGCTGGCACGTGGCTGAGAGTTATGTGGGCAGCCTCCGGCAACGACGCTCGTACCGCCCAAATGCCAAGTCCGCTGAGGCCACAAGGGCGCCGGTTGAGCGTGTTCTCCGCGGCCTCGTCGTCCTTGCTCGCTTCCTCATCGACGAGGTCAACTCCATGGAGGACAGCAAGACCGAGGACAAGCAGCGCCGTTTAGTGTGGAACCGTATCCCGACCCACGTCCACGACCCAGCTGGGCTCGCGCATGAGTTGCTGTGGCGTGCAGAACAAGAGCTCCCAGATGTGTGGGAGGACGAGGACGAGGTCAAGGTCGGGGGCGCAGGCAAGGGGAAGAAGAAGGCTAGCGGGCCCAAGGCTCCGGCCGCCAAGAGTATGCGACTTCTCAATCGTCCGACTGCGTCACGTACATGGAAGTTTTCTCCATCGTGAGTTACATGCCTTTTGCGCCGCTAACGCTCAGCCCATGGGAGCAAGATGACCACCCCGTCTCGCAGGCGACCACGACTGTCATGCTGCCGCGTCCAGGCGCAAGCAATAGTGAACCTGAGGTGGCCGAGCAGATGACCGCCACCTACCACCAGAGCAGAAAGCGTACGCGCCATGAGGGTGAAGAGACTGTTATGGAGGAGCAGGACCTGGTGTTCACCGAGCGTCGTGTCATTTGGCGATCAAAGGTCAAGGTGGAGGACGGTAGCGGTGTCGATGATGCGTGAACGGTGCCGGGGCTGGGTGCCCCTATCAGGTCGACATCACATAGTAGAACAGCTGGACCCGTCATAGAGAGTACAATCGCGCATGGAAAAAAGTGAATAATGCCACACCCCCCCAAGTCGCAATGTGACATGAATTCCTTACATGCAATACAGGGCTTATTCCTTCTCCCATGCTGGTCATCCAAAACCAGGTAACTATGTCTTCCCCACTCTCATGCTACATGTACAGGACGTAAACAAATCTACAAGACATCGTTATGCACACCAGAAACCCTACGTGCGGGTCGGAGGTGACGTTCCTCCGTGTCTGCGGTAGCGGCAGGCAGTCGGCTTGCGCTTGGAGGGGCGATACCCATCACCGCCGTCGTCGGACGTTGTACGTCTCTTGGGGGGAGGTGCGGAACTGCCAGAACTCTGCGTAGGAACTTCATTGCGCTCGGCGGCCGGCGACAGTGTCGACTTCCTTGCTCTTTCCCTTGCCCTTTTTGTTCTGGGCAGCTGGCGTGACCGAACTGGCAGCAAGCTCAGTGCGCTTTTTCCCTTTGGCGGGTGCCAGTGTGCTGTCGTGGCCCTCGGCCCACTTGTCGACTTCCACATCGTCCTCCCACATGATCGTAATTGCAGCGGACCGCCCTTTCGTTGTTGATGGCCGAGCCTTGTAATGCTGTCCATGACGAGCAGTGTGGTGGTTGAGGAGCTGGGAACGGCTGTCAAACAGCTCGGGGCATCCCGGGGCAGCACACATGATCGAGCCAGCGTCGTTGAGGAGGAAATGGTGCGTGTTGGCATCCATAGCGCGCTTGAGGTCACGCATGACCACCCGGGCACATACCACAGCGTGCACAAAAGCAGGACGATCTGCGTGGACCTGGGGGTTGAGGGCTTCGACAAGAGGGAGGTCTGGATTCGCGATGCACATCATGCAGAAGAAACCTTTGACTGTGCTGCCGAAGGGCCCACCAATCTGCTTGAACCTTGGATCTTGGTGTGGCCCGCTAAGTTTGCCAAATTTAGCGATGGCGGCATCGTCGACTCCAGCCCAGTCCATGTCGTCGCGGAGGGCAAAGGGGCCGGTGTTGGCGTTGATTTGTGACATTATTGCTTGGGCACGTTCGTGGAGCAAGCTTGGCGATACTGCCCAGTCACCGTAGGCAACGCAGTAAACGGGGTCGAAAAAGCCAAACAAGTCCGATGATTCCATGGACCATGGGCCCTTGGCCCTGTCATCGGCGCTGGCCTTGTCGCGCCCAGCAGACGGAATGAACCGCAGTGCCAGTGCCACTGTGCAAATTTCCGCAGAACGTCGCCCTGGTTGGCAGGAGTCGTTGCACTCGGAGCTGGGCACCACCTGCAGTATCGTTCTTCGCCCCTCGCGTTGGACAGCGAGTTGGTGATCTTCTTTGACAATACCCAGTTCGGGCTCTTAATGTTGGCCGGAACAGGATTTGGTACTCCTTTTGTTTTGCCAAAAAGAGCTGCGCCGTTGTGAGGGTTGACTGGGTTGCCCACGAGGGTTGTGGAGTGGCTTGAGTACTCTGATGTCATGTTGTACGACGCCTTGAGGCGTGATTTGACACACTCGGACATGTGAGTCGTGGCGAGTGACTCTGTGCGGTGGCTATCGTGCCCTTGCAGCGTTGCCCTCCAAGGCGCATTTCGGGCATGTGCATACCAGTCACGGGAGCATGGCCAGGACGGACCGAACAGCAAAGCCTGTCGTCCGAGGGTGGCCCGACGAGAGCCTCGTAGGCCGCGAGGAAGGTTGTGTTGGTGTCCACCAGCAGCTCCCGAATGGCCTTGAGCGGTGTGAAGTCGATAGCCTTCAGAATAGAGGGTGGGACTGGTGCAGTTGCTGGTGCACCGACGGAAGTAGGGGGCGTCCCAATGGTAGATCCGAGTACGAGCGAAGACGAGGCAGCAGTCTTGGGAGGTGGGGCGCGGCGTGTCAGGGCAGTTGCTGAGTTGTGGCCCGAAGCGGTGGCGACCATTGGAGCAACTCAGCTGATCAGCTGCTCGCCTTGGTGGCGACGTCGGGGGCGGCGTCGGCAGCTTGGGCTTGCTCGGGTTGTCGGAACCACTGTTCATAATCTGTTCCCATAGAGCCGAGAAACGAGCGAAGGTCTTGTCGATGATGGTGCACGCGAGGTGGTGATCATCGTTTCGGAGGGGGGTGGGAGCTGAGGCAGGGAGCCCTTGAAGAGGGACTTGCGCTGCATAACTCCGCACACATTGGGAGATTTGGCCTGCCTGTTGTTGTGTGGCAGATGGCCGCAGTGGCAAGGGGATCCAAGGCTTCCCTTCCCGCCACTGCCACAAACGTAACGAAGCCAATATCAAATTCCATGCAGCTCCCAATGTGATGTGAAATCCTTACATGCAATGCTTCTTCTTCTTCCTCCATTACCGCTCATACAAAACTAAGCAGAAGATTAACTCTTCCCATGCTAGCAGAAGATGGTCTCCTTCCATGCTACTCAAACAATGTGGTGCTCGTCGCGAGACTCGGCCTTCTCGAGCTGCTCCTGCTGGGGCTTGTCGTCGAAGGTGTCGTTCTCGTGCTGCTTGTGGAGACGCTCCGAGACGATAGCGTGGGCCTTGCGGGGGCTGACGGCGAAGAGCTCGTCCATGTGCTCGAGGGGGATACCCGAAGTCTCGGGGACGACAAAGTAGACAATGGGGATGGAGACGAGCATGAGCGCGGCGAAGAAGAGGTAGACACCGAAGCCCATGGCGGCGAACATCTGGGGAGTGAAACGGGCGATGAGGAAGGCGAAGAGCCAGTTCGAGGCGGCGATGAAGGCCTGGGTAGCCGAACGGATGAAAGTAGGCATGGTCTCGGCACCGAACACCCAAGGAGTACCGTTCCAGGTAGGGCCGTAGAAGCAGGTCCAGAGGTAGAAGGCGACAATGGCGGAAATGCCACCACCGGACAGAGTGCTGGTGGGGTGCTCGGCGGGCTTGGCGACGGCAATGTAGACACCGATCCAGATCATCGAAAGGGCACCACCGAGGGCGCCGACGAGGAGAAGGATCTTACGACCGTAGCGGTCAACAAGCCAGAGGAGCCAAACAATGGCGACGGCAAACTTGACGAGACCAAAGACACCGGTAGTGAGGAGCGACGAGCTCGTGCCGGTGACACCGATAGAAGCAAAGACGGTAGGCGCGCTAGAGGAAATGTCAGCATTGAAACTTGTCAGGGCGCAAGAAAAAAAAAAACATTTGTGGCAGTGTGGCATCGAGCCCCCCGGTGCCACAAATCCTTCCGACCGCCTTTCCTCACTCCAACACCTCTTTCTTCTCTTTCTTCTCTTCAACAACCCCTCCGGAGGAGCCAGCACTCACTAATAATTGATTGCGTTGATACCAGTTCCGTTCTGCATGGCGAAGAGCATGACACAGATGCCGAGACGCTTGACGTAGCTCTTGTTGGTGAAGAGGGCGCGCATGGGAGCCAAGACACCGCGGCCGGCACGCTCCTCGTCGTGCTCAATAGCCGACTTGATCTCGTACATCTCCTCCTGAACGTAGGGGTGCTCCTCGGGGAGGCCACGCACGTGTGCGAGGTTCTTGAGGGCCGGGGCGAAGCGGTCACGCGAGGCAAGCCAACGGGGCGACTCCCTGAGGGTGAGGGCGCCCATGGCGAGGCAGCCACCGGGGACGAGCTGGACGGCGAAGGGGATCATCCACTGCTTGTTGCCGTAGGGGACGTGCTGGTTGACGCCGTAACCGATCCAGAAGCCCACGACAGCTCCGATCTGCCAGCCAAGCTCGTAGAGACCGATGAGACGGCCACGAATGGCGGGAGGGGAAATCTCGGCAATGTAGATGGGGGTGAGGTTGGAAGCCACACCGACAGACCAGCCGGCAATGGCGCGACCGGCGTACATGATGCCGAGACCAGTCTTGTGCGACGAGACGACCTGGAGCACAGAGCCGACGAGGAAGACCATCGAGGCGGCGAAGAGACCCCACTTGCGACCCCAGTAGTAGCCAATCTGAACGGAGAGCGTTAGAGGTGAGATCGGGGACCACGTGGTAAAAACTCACAAAGTAGCCCGAAAGCGCGCCAAAGAAGCATCCAGCCTCTGTGTTCGCGTCAGCTCTGAACTCCACAGGACGTCGCGAGGGGGAGGCCAGCCATTGATTTGGCAGTGGAGCGCAACAGCTTGGCACGACAGGCCGTCGGTTGTCGGAAGCAATATATGCGGAATGTTCCTGCATCCGAGAGGGCACCAACCACCACCACGGAAAAAAAACCGCGCCACATTTGGAGCTCGACTCACGGTAACAGGAGACGATGTTTGCGGAAAGCAGTGCGCTTTCAGACTTGGACTGGGTGGAAAGGTTGAACTCGTCCTTGAAGCTCTTGAGAGCCATGGCAGAGCCGATGAAGGCAGACTACACAAAGTCAGTTTTCCGAGTCGTGTTGTTATTTTTTGAGTGCTTGTCCTGAATGTTGGACAAACTTCACGGCTGCACTCACGTCGTAGCCAATCATGACCGAGGCCCAACATGCCATGGACGCATAGAAGTAGACCTTCCAGTTGTAGACCTCCTTCGGCGTCGGCCTATCCTCGACGATGGTGAGCTTGACCATGGTTGGTTTGTTTGGCTGGTGAGTGAGGGGTGTGTGGAGAAGAAAAACACGATCAGAGCTGCCTGGTTTTAAACGCCGAGACACAGGACACAGGACTCCAACGAACTCGTCCGTTGACTGCCGGGCAGGCTGTGGGCTCTGGCCTGCTGCAGTGCACAGGGAGCGGCTCTGGGCTTGGCTCCAAAGGGAATTTGGGTTTCACGAGGGCCGGTGCCCAGCCAATGGGTGCTGGATGTATCCACGGCCCCGGGGTTGCCGCAACCCCCACTTGGGGTAGAAGCGCAGACCCACGGGACCCCCCGTGACGGTGGCTGCCCATGGCTTGGGCTCGTGCCATGCATAATGCGAGCAGCTGCCCACTGGCGTCCTCGGGCCCTCGCCTCTCGAGATCTCCACCCCTCATCTCCGGTCGCGGACGTCATGGCTGCGGGAAGCTGGCAGAAAATAATTCCACGGCGCCACCCGGGACAATGTCAGGTTGTCAAACCCCTCGTCGGTTACGAGAGGCCCCAAGCACTGTTGCCGCCGGTAGCCGGTCACCGGTCACCGGTCGTGTCTCCATCGTCTCTCCATCGCGACGTCTGCGTCTGTGTGTACCAATTTGGACGTCTGGAATGCACTCCCTGGCAGCCTAGATAGCGGCCCGGAGCTTGCTGCGCTTGCCGGGTCGGTCACCTGGGCCCATCAATATAGGGGTAGGATCACGGTCGCGAGAATTGCGGTTTCGACCATTGCCCTCTCGCTCATCTGTCAGACCGGACATCTGATCAGCGGACAGACCGACGAGCAACACACTCACAAACAAAACATATCGAACCCGTCCACGGTTGGCCCTCCACACAAGGCTGTCGCCCAAACAAAAAAAAAACGGAAGAGCCCTGTTCAAAGTCGTCTCTCACTTACCCTACCTCGCTTACAGCCACTCCACCGAACCTCCACCAATCACCCACCACCACCATGTCCACCACCCAGCACAAGGACCTCTACCTCTTTGGGTTCCCCATCGCGCACTCTGCCTCACCCAAGTTCCAGAACTTTGTCTTTGATGGCATCGGCAGCTCCTCAAAGTTTGCGATCTGGTCCACTTCCAAGGTGGACCAGAAGATGTTGGACGAGTTGAGGAGTGACAGCTCGGGTGGTGCCGCGTGAGTGCATTCTGGTTTTGAGAAACCGGTTATGCTGACCATACCTAGTGTGACCATGCCCCTCAAGACTGAGATCATTCAGCACTTGGACGAGATCTCCCCCGAGACATATGCGACTGGCGCGTGCAACACCATCGTCCGCGTCACCGGCGACGACGGCAAGGTCAAGCTCGTGGGCACCAACACTGATTTCCTCGGTGTGCGCAACTCGCTGCTCTCTGCTCTCAGTGTCCAGCACCCCTCGGTCCACATTGGCACCACTGCTCGCTATACTCCAGGCCAGGCCTCTGGTATGGTCATTGGCGGCGGTGCTACCACCCGCTCGGCCGTGCATGCCCTCTACACCCTCGGCATGAACCCCATCTTCCTGGCCAACCGCGACGCCAAGGAGGTGCACGACACCATTGCCCACTTTGAGTCAAAGTCCAAGGCCGACGACCCCAACCGCCTCCGTCTGATCCACCTCACCAGCGTCGACCAGGTCGAGAGTCTCCTCGGCCCCACCGCATCGGACCGCCTGCCCGGCGTCGCCATGATCGTCGGTGCCATCCCCGCCATTGCACCAAAATCGTTCGAGGAGCGCATGGTCTACACCATCGCAACCCACATCTTCACCCTCCCCTTTGTCGCCGGCACCGAAACCACCGCCGACTCCCTCCCCGTCCCCTCCCCACGCATCTTCCTCGACATGGCATACAAGCCCCGCATGACGCCTCTGTTGAAGATTGGCAAAGCTCTGGGTTGGCAGGACGTCGGCGGCATCCAGGCCATGATTGAGCAGGGCCTCGCCCAGCAGCGCATGTGGTTGAAGGGCACAGCCAGCGCCGCCGTCGCGTCTGACGAGTCCTTGCTGCCTGCCGAGACGGTGCGCAAGGTGAGGGAGTTTATCGAAAACCTCCCGGACATCATCCCCGAGGGCCCCGAGGTTGACAGGTCAAAGGAGTAGATCATCGTAGTCTTGAACATGGCATTACACTGTACTTTTTACCCAGCTTGAACATGTGCACGCAGTTGGCTTTGATCGGTGGATAGACGGTGACTGTACGGTGCCTGCACGGTGACTGCACAGTGACTGCATGGTGACTGCAAGGTGACTGCATGGTGACTGCAAGGTGACTGTTATCCTCCACGGGGTGGTGGTGCACCATGGGGTCGACAACGGCCCCGAGGAACTGACCGGTACGGCATTTCCAAAGGACCACTCATTGGTCAGCATAATTGTTGCAGTCAGTCGTCATGGATGGCGACAAGCAAGTCGACCCTTGCCTTGCGTGCACCACAAAAGACCGGGGACCCAGCATAATGGACATGAATAGAATGATGGCATGAAAAACATTGATAATAACTCTAAGCGACCGCAGCGTACAACCTCCTCAGACCATCGATACCACGCTGTCCGTGGTTGTCCACGACCTCGGGCTCCACACCGTCCAGACTGGCGTTGAACACCTCGAGACTCCAGATTCCCTTGTAGCCCATCTTCAGGATTGCGCGCGTAAAGTCCTGGACCGGGAGATAGCCCTCGGGCTCCATGGGGAAGACGCGCATCTTGCGGCTCCACTGCATGCGGCTGGGGAACGTCTTGTAGCCCTGGATAGGTGAGGGCGGGCGGGCGGCGTCTGCGATCTGATACAAAAAGATCTTGTAGGGAGGGATAGTCTTGACCAGCTTGTCGAGGTTCTCGGCGAGCTCCGACTCGGGAACGGCTTTACGGCCATCAGGCTGCGAGGGGTCGGCCCATGATGCGCCGAGGCAGTTGAACGAGTCGAGAATGATGCCGACGTTGTCAAGGTTCACGAGGTCGACGACCTCCCACACCAGCTCCCAGCGTGCGACGGCGGTACCCCATGCGAGGGGCTCAAAGCCGACGTTGACGCCGTACTTGTCGGCGATGCGGCCCAGCTCGGCAAATGCCACCACCAGGTCGTCGCGATACAGCTCCCAGGTGGTGAAATCCTCGGGGTCAAAGGGAAGAAGGTTGGAGCAGACAAGCAACAGGTCACACTTCATGGCGGGCATCAGGCGAAGGTAGCTCTCGCCGCGGTCGAGCGCGACCTTGAGGCGTGGGGGCAGCGACTGGCCAGCCTTGACCGCGTCGGCGGCACCGGCAAAGCCCTCAAACTGACGGAACGGCTGGAAACATGTGATTTTGAGCTGGTTCTTGCGAGCCAACCGGCCGATGGCGGTGGCGCACATCATCTCGAGGCTCTTGACATCGGTGACCGTTGCCCAGTCGGCATTGCTGAACAGATCGGCGTGGTCGCCAGTGTTGACCTCGGTGACAAAGGCCTCAAAGTCGGGGATGAAGATTTCGATAGCGTCATACCCGAGCTTTGCCGCGGCACGAATCTTGGTCGGGAGCGTGTGGTGGACGCAGCTGCCGAGCGACAACGAGGCGATGGAGAAGATCGGGTGGGGACCGGGAGTTACCATTGTGAAAAGTGGGTGGGTAACGGTGCGCGCTCAACAGGACGCGACATACATAAGAAGCGTTTTCTGTGGTGCTCGCTCTCGCCCCCGTGATGCTCGCTATCTACCGTCGGTAGCCGGCCCGGATTCAAAAGCCATCTTCCAGGCAGCTAGGCAGCAGACCCCACATACCTGGGAGGTCACCTAAGAACACGGCCAGGCCGCGACACTCCTCCGCTCCACCCCGCAGATGCCTGCGATCGGCTCCACCGGCCCCAGCTTACCTACAGCCTAACACCTCCCGACATGTGATTCCCCTGCCTGCGGCAAGTGGCCAAGTGGCCGAGCCCTCACGTGGAAGTATGGAACAATACTGCTGGCAAGCTCCGACCGAGAGTTGAACAGATAACACCTGCCCGTCGATCTCGATTGGGTCCTTGGAGTCGTGCCTGGATCATCCCTGCCACACCGGAGTCATCCTCGGGACGGTGTGTCGGATGAAGTGGTGGTGGCCAGCCCATACAGCCCATACACACGCCAGCAACAGCTATTTTCATCGCGAGACGCTTGCTCAGTGCACATGTGCATGGCGCTCCCGGCCCCAGCAATGTCCACCCCCTGTAACCTTTTGGAATCTGGTGGGAGAGAGGGTGCAAACGTGCTCTGCCACGTGCTGATCCTGAACGTTTTTCCCGACGTTCATGCTGGACCGGACGCTAGATGGCCGTGACACGATCCAAGGTCACCGACAGTGAGCAAACTGGGTCTGTATAGTAAGTAGTGATGTTGAAGCGTATGCGTGGGGAATTCTAGTCGGTGCCATCGGCCCCGTCCTTGACATGGGAGACTGCCTGGGCACCGGGACAACGCCGACACGGACCTTGGAGTCTCCGTTTGAGCCATACCGCCAGCCAGCTGCACCCAGGCAAAGAAAAACAAATAGCTCGAACACAAGGTTTGTCACGTTGACACCACACCATCAGCATCCACCATCCACATCCACAATGTCTGGCATTAACGTCCTCCTGATCCACGGCCCCAACCTCAACTTGCTCGGCAGCCGCGAGCCCGAGAAATATGGATCCACTACCCTGGCCGACATTGAGAGCACCGCAGCTGCAGCAGCCAAGGAGGCTGGCGGCTCGCTCGTCGCTTTCCAGAGCAACCACGAAGGTGCCCTCCTGGACCGCATCCACGCTGCCAGGTCGGAGGGCATTGACGCTATTATCATCAACGCAGGTAGGTCCCCTGCTCCCCCATCGCCTCGCCGGGTCATGCTGACGGTCAGGCGCCTACACTCACACCTCTGTCGCTCTGCAGGATGCCTTGACCGGCGTCGAGATCCCCTTCATCGAGTTCCACATCACCAACGTCCACGCCCGCGAGCCCTTCCGCCACCACTCGTACCTGTCGTCCAAGGCTGCTGCCGTCGTCTGTGGCCTGGGTGTGGCTGGATACCGTGAGTCCTTCCTTACAGTTGACCGGAGTTTGCTGACAAGAAGCCCTCATTGTCTCACATGTGTGCAAGACATACAAGAAGAAGGCCGCCAAGGCATAAACGCGGTATTACAAAAAGACTGCACGTCTCGGAGCAGTGGTATGAGCGTGCGACAGGGCCTGTGTGTGTACGGATTAGAACCAACAATGTGCATGGGGATGTATGTATGCTTGAGCGAGCTGGGTGCTGGACGAGCGCGGGACACCGACTTGGGGGAGGGCATGGAGAAATGGCTCCAACCAGGCACGGGCCGGGAGACCGGACCGATGTCGCGGCCGGTGACGTGAGACGAGCCCAGATGCCCCGCTCCACTGGAACTGACAACGCCAGACGTGCGTCAGCTTGTGATCTTGTGACAGATGAGAGAGCCTAGGATGCCGGCATAGAGGGTACAAGGGTGATGCGGAATAAACAGAGGGGCAGCCAACTGCCAACGGTTGAGGCTAGAAGCGCACCGGCGGTTACAATAGTCGGCCTCTTTGTTCCGCAGCCAGCAGATCAAGGTTTGATGCTTGCTTCTGGGTGCGTGCTGCCACTTGCTTCCTCGGCCGGCAAGCACAACCGATATTTTGCCTTTTCCCAGATATTCCAACACGACTATATAGACTTCAGGTCGCAGGCATGGCACATGAAACAAGTATTTGGCCCCAGGAAGAGCGAAAGTGGCCCCACGAACGCGAGAGTAAGTGCCAACGATAAAAAAGCAGGACATAAACCACCCCTCTCATTTTGTGGTCAAGGTCGATGCCGACATCGAGGAGGTGGACAATGATCGCTACTTAGATGACAGGAAGGTGGGGTAGGGGAACCGAGAGGCAGGAACACGGTCATAAACAGCTGCGTTGGAGGAATGTAAGCTGCGGAAGAGGACGATGATTTGGATCACATGGTGGCAGCTTCCGTTGTCTGTCCAGAATAAAGCAATGTGGCCATGGGATTGAGCCTTAAGTGAGGTAGACGCATTCGTACCTCACATTCTACTCTCAATGTCCATTATAGAGTGCTTGAGAGCGTTGGGAACAGGTATGTTGTCGGACTGTCTAGTTAATAGCTCTTTCTGATAAGAAATAATGAAATGGAAGTGGTCATCATCTGCCGATGCCGGCCGACACATTGTGCAACTATGAACAGGCATACTCGACGGCGAGTTATAACCATCGCAGTGCAGATTATGGCATTCAGTGCGCGATTGGCATTGAGATTGCGATAACAGCATAGCTTCTCCTCCTCGTTCTTTCCTCACTGCCACCCGAGTGCACAAACACGGTCCCTTGCCGCCAAAGCAACAATGTCGTTTAACACAAACTTACCGACACGAATTCACCGTAGCAAGCATTGAATTCCAAGATTCCAAGCGGGGATACGTTATTGGGATGCTTGGCCTTTGGCGCCGTGCAACACTTGACTAGTGGTAATATTGTCCACATCCTCGATCAGCCAGCGGGTCATTCCACCACTTGGGAACAATTAATACACTGAGGATGCCACCCTATCGTTGCTGTTTTTGGCAGAGCTGCCTATGTCCTCCTCTCTATACATAACCATCTTGAGCACGTCTCCCAAGAGTGTCACATAGGCCTCAAGAGTCTCTCAGGCTTTCGGGTAGACAGAAGCCATCCCAGAGGCGGGAGCGGAAGCAAATATTCCAAATGACGTGTATATTATTTGTATTGCCATCACGCGCCTCCCTCGCCGCTGACAACGTCATACACTCAACTCTGTGCTTCGCCTAGCTTTCATTCCTTCCCGTCAACCTTCATCCTCCATCCATCCATCCTCTCCCCCTCTGACAATCCAGAAATGGCAGACGATACAGGCGAATCACCTACAAGAACAACCCGCTCCTCCACCCGAGTCCGCAACAAGTCGGCCCGTGCGCTGGAGAGCGAACACACCGACCGCCTCCTTGCCGCGGCACGCGACAAACGAGCAACCGACCGCGAGGCCAAGGAAGAGGCCAAGGAGGAGGCCAAGGGGGAGGCCAATGAGTCCGCATCAAAGGAAGATGAGGGTCATGTAGAAGCGCAAGAGGAACAGGAAACGGCCGCGGGGCCAGGTCCTAGCACCACTACTGCTCCGAAGGGCAAGACCCGTGCGCGCGCGCCGCCAAAAAGGAAGACGAAGAAGACAAACGACCACTGTGTGTGTAAGGAGGACCGTGAGGGTTCCATGATCGAGTGTGGGACTTGCAACGACTGGTGAGTGCTTGTTTCTGTGCAATGTTGAGGAGGGGGACTGTGGACAGGATCTCGCCTGGTTGATGGTCGGCTGACACCCAGGTTCCACTTTGATTGTGTCGACATGACCGAGGAGGAGGCCGAGCGCATACGTACGTCTCCTGCACCCTCTATTGGGACTCTTCCTGACACGACTACAGACAAGTATGTGTGCCAGGCTTGTGCTGAGCGTACTGGTGAAAAGACGACCTGTAAGTACCCATACACCCAGATCCCACGGACACATCGACGTATCGGACATCTCCCACCGACGGTGATGGACCGGGCCCGCCATCGTGGCGTCTCCCGACCGCACCGTTGTGCATATGTACGGACACACCACTCATCTCATCCGTCCCACCGCTACGCGTCTGCATCTGCTTCTGGTAAACAGAAGTCTGTGCGGGTATGTAAACAGTGGAATGTGTGTGGATGTGGCCATAGTTGTAGATTGTTTTCTCTCAGAAACGCGTTACTCGAGCCGCTCTCTGCACGATTACTGCGCCTGGATGCCGTTCGCACACACAACCGGTGGACGTCACGAACCAGGGGAGGGAGGGAGAGGAGCGTGTGGGGGGACATGGCTTGCGACGGATCGAGGAGACCTTGGCCCAGCAGACGAGAGGGAGCTTGAGGCGACATGGGCTGTGCTGTTTTCACCGCGTACTCGTCGTCCTCCACCCCCTGCAGTGTTTGCTTCTGCGTTCCACCCAACGTTCTGTCCCCACAGCCAAAACCACTCTCCCGCGTCCGTGCGTATGAGACACCCCTGACGCCGACAGACCTGTACGACATTGAGGGATACCCGTCGCCTGCGCCACCAGATGACGTCGAAGTAAAGGCCGCTGAGCCACCAGCAAAGCGACGCAAGAGTGGTGGAAAGACTGTAGGTGTTTGCGAGTATGTCATGTGTGCTGACCTATACAGACAAAGCGTAAGAAGGCCAAGACGGCAAAGAAGTCCAAGAAACAGGAGGACGACGAGACCAAGGAGGAAGCCGAGGACGACGTGGAAGAGGACGACAAGAACGACGCCGACCATGCGCCCGAAGACGCCTCCGAGGCGTCGAGTGATAGCGACGAGGGCTCGGACGCCGAGGAACCACCTTCCGAGGCCGAGTCCGTGTATTCGGATGCTGCTGGCTCGCGCAAGCGACCTCGTCGCACCACGCGCCAAGCCTCGCCCAGGAAGCGTGCATCGATCGATACTTCCCGCAAGCTGTCCGCCTCAGGCCCGTCGTCAGCCGTCCCAGCCACTGCTGCCGCGTCTGCCACCACTTCTGACGCTCTTCCGCCAGCACGACAGTATGTGCTCGACAAGATGGCGGCCACTGTGCGCAGCATCTTTGGCGAGGACAAGATGGACGCCGACGCCGCTGCGACGTACGGCGGCGAAGTCGAGGCGACCATCTTCTCGCACTTCAAGGAGTTTGTCAAGGGCAAGGAGCACGCTGGTGGGCGTTACAAGTGAGTCTCCAGGCCAGAAGTGATATAGTGCTAACGGTGCAGAGCGCAGTTCAACCTGTTACATTCGTCCCTCATCAAGACCCTTCGACCCGAGCTCCGTGATTCCATCGTGGACGGTACCATCACGCCTGCCAAGATGGCGCTCCTCACTTCGCTAGAGCTTGCGACAGCCGAGCAGCTCGCGACTCTCGAGGCCGCCAAGCAAGAGGCCTTGCGACAGACCGTGCGAGTCAGAGAAGACGAGGGTGGTGTGCGTATCGGTCGCGATGGATTCGAGAGCGTCAAGGAGGGTCTGCATGAGACGGAAATGTCAGAGCTCGCAAGACAAGAGGCCAAGGCAAGACGCCGCGAGAGCGAGGCTGGTGTCGACGAGGACCCCGAAGTCGTGCGCCGACCTTCCGCTGCCGAGTCCAAAGAAGACAGCGGCAAAGACGTCATCGCTTCCCCGCACCCTCCCAAGACCCCTCTGCCACCTGCCCGCAAAGTTTCAGTTGCAACCCTACCCTCGCCTTCCGCGCGTCCAGGCATATCGTCAGCGTGGGGCGGTGAGAACGCCAAGTCACCTGCCGAGGATGAGTTGGAGATCAGCGGCGACCAGGACGCCATTGACCTGAGCGACATTGTGCCCGAGGAGATTGACTACAATGATGGACTCGACGACAGCAACCCCGAATGGGACGCGTTCACTGCCAAACCCGTTTTGTGGTCTGGCGGCATGAGTAACCCTGCCGTCGAGTCGCTGTCTACGGCACCTGTCCAGCTGCGCCAGCTTGCCGGTCGCACCACCCCGCCAGCAAACTTCTGGAAACATCTACTGCCGCACACGCAAATTTCCATCACTGGTCGCGTCCACACCTGGAAGTCACTGCAGTACCTTGCGGACCGTCGGCTGGATCGTACCCGCGAGCTCGTCGTCGTGTCGTTTACGGTGGACCCGAGCGCCACTTCCGAGCAAAAGGCGGCGTGGGCGACCAACGTCAATTTCCACATTGGACGTGGCCGCCACGGCCTCTACCACCCATACGGCGACCGCCCTCCTCCCGGCGCCGCGCGTGAGCTGTACCTCATCCCGCTCGAGCCCGACACAGAGGTGCCTGACCTCTTTGGCCTGATTGACAACTTTTCCGTCCCAGCCAAGCGGACCGAACCGCTCATGATTGGTGTCTTCCTCGTTGGGCGCGATACCCCCACATCCACGGCGCGTTCACCCGCCGACGGCGCAGCTGCCAGGCCGCCGCCGCCGCCGCACGCGTACGCCGGGCCGCCTGGCCTGCGTCCCCCTGCGCACGGCCCACCCGGTCCTCCTGGCCCGCCCCGCCCCGTTCTGCAGCACGCCGCTCCCGTCGGCCCCGGTCCAGGCCGTCCAGTCCTGCCACCCAACTTGAACATTCAGCAGCTCATGGCCAACCTCGACCCGGCAGCTATCGCCGCCGCGGCCGCCAGGGCTGCGGCCGCTCAGCGTCCCCCTACCCATGGCCCTCCCGGTGGACCAGGCGGACCAGGCGCGCCAGGTGCACCCCCACCTCGCCCAGGGTACCCACCGCAACAGGCCCCGCAGCACCAGGAGGCCGGCTACTACCCGCCCCCGCCGCCGGGGTATGCAGCTGGCCCATCGTCCGCCCCGCCGCAAGCGCCCTCCTGGGGCCAACCACACCCCCACCAAGGTCCGCCCCCGCAGGCGCCGACGGGTCCCCGCGGGTGGCACGCTGGTGCTCCGTCTGGACCTACAGGACGTGGTGGACCGCCAGCGCGGGGCGCCGGCGCTTGGCGCGGCAGGCCGTAGGCCGTAGGTAGGGGTTAGTGAAGCAGAGTCATGTGTCTTGAGCGTTGGTTCCATGTGTCAGGTTTTGGGCTGTAGGGATGTAGTCTAGTGATGATGAATATAGTGGCTACGTAACGTGCATGTTGGCCTACGAAAAGCACAGTTCTCAGTGCGAGTTATCTGTGCAGCGCCCGATGGAGACATTTTCATAGTTTGTCCTCATGGCGCCCAACGCCGGCCGGTCGTTCCGCGCCATCAGTTGGGTGTTGCTAGCGGGGTGAGACCTGGTGGAAGGGACGCGGAGGCGGTGAGAGGAAACACGGCGGCGGGCCTGGGTGGGAGGACGAGCCGGAGAACTGGGACTGAGGTGGAAGACTGGGTTGGTGGCTTCAGTGCTCGGAGGAACGGCCGTGGCAGCACTCCTGGACGTGGTTGATGAGGACGACTTGTGCGCGACTGGGGTCTGATGGCGTGTGCGACGGCGTTTCTTGCTTGGCTGCAGGGCTGTTAATGGCGGTGACGGTGCACGCACCTGGGCAGAGGGTGCTGGTGCCGGCTCGTCCTCAGCAGAGATTCCGTCAAGAGCGCTGTCCTTGCACTGTGCTGTGGACGCCGCAAGGGTGACGGGCTGGGCGGGAACGATGTGAAGGAGAAGCTGGTCTGGATACGGGCATCCCATGACGAAGACTGGGAAATCGGCCGTAGCAGTGAAGGAGAACTGCTGGGGGTGGCGGAGGGTCGTCATCTTGCTGAGGAATAGGTCAAGACTGGCGGCCGATGGTGGTGCTTGGTACAAGGCAGGTGGGTGAATGGAGAGAGTCAAGAATAGAAGGAGACGGACGTGAGTAATGGAGAAGAGATCGAAGAGAGAAGCAAGCCCCATGGCGTGTTTGTGATGTTTTTGTCCCCATCACCCATGGTGGCGCGCAGGTCACTGGCCACACCAACGCGTCACGCCTGTCGATTCCCTCCAATGGTGCGGTGCTTACCCACCCCTCTTCCGCCACAGCTCACGGACCTGGAATGGCTGGTCGCTAAAATGCCAAAAAATATCAGTTAAATTGTAGTGCTCATGGGTGCATGCATGGAATGAGGATTGTATGGATGACAAGGATATGTAAAGAGTATGCGGCAAGGTATAGTCTACAGAAGAAACCCGTTAGAATCTATAGGGCCAAGGAGGTGGATCCAAGATCTCAATGGGGAGGAATTTCCAGAGATGGCAGGTGGAATGGTGCGGTACCGACAGGTGCAGTTGGTGTGTAGCGAGACGACAAATGAGTAAGGAGTAGGGACAGTGGGTGGTGATTCAGAAGCACAAGGAGACTGTGGTCGCGCTTCCAACTCTGGAGTCGGCGAGTCTGTGGGCGTAGTTGAACGAGTGTGGGTGAGGTCGTCGGCGACTGTAGGTTTCGGTCATTGGGTAAATCTAGAAGAATGTGTCGGAGTGGTGACAAAATGGTCGGGACGTTCTGCCTAGCGCTTCTCCTCATCGGAATCGCACCAGTACGACTGCTCCGTCAGCGCTTGCTCGGACGGCGATGGAGCTGGAGCTTCCTTGGGAGGAAGGGCGGGTGCGGCCACGGTAGGCGATACGGTCTGGGAGGGAGGCGCCGGGTGGGAAGCAGGAGTGACAATACGGCGCAGCCTGTCGCGCAGACGAACGCGTTCAGCACGCTCGTCGCTCCGGTTCCGGCCCCAGCGGCGGTACCGCTGCTGGTCCTCGGCAGCGGCAGCGGCTACGGCGGCCGTGCGGGCGGAGTTGCTACGGGTGAGGGAAGCAGGCGGAAGAATGGCCGCAGCCGGCACGGTGTCGCCAGTGGAAGCCGGGGTCATGTCCCTCGACGTACGGGAGCCAGCGGTGGTGCCACGGGGCGAGGGCGAGTCATACACCGAGTCTTCGGGGGAACGACGACGGCGGCTTGATCCACGACGAAGGAAATTGCCAGGCCGCTCCGGGCTCGGCGTCGCGCTGGGCGTCAAGGGGACGCCGAGACGAGCGATATGGTGGGCGTTGGACTCGCGCTTTCCGGGAGGCGTCGCGGGCAGGTGGTCGCTCGCGAGGGTGTGGCGGTGGCACTCGGTCGGAAGGTTGAGGATGGAGGTGGGGGTGAGAGGGGTGAGGGGAGGGTTGGCGCCGACGCGGCCCAGGGACCGGCTAGACCTGGACTTGACCAGCGTCCGGAGGTTGTTGGGCCGGGTGGGCGAGGTGAAGGGAGAGTCAATGGCCGTAATGTCGCTAAACGTCACGCTCGTGCCAGTACCAAGGGAGCGGCTGAGGCTGGGCGTGTCGGCAGTACTGACGGTCTCGGAACGCAGGCGGAGACGGATGTGCCGGTCCGAGTCCGGGCGGTCGCGATAACGAGCCTCGCGGGTACCCTCTGACCTGATGCGGAAACGGGTGTGCGGACGAGCGAGCTGCTCCTCGTCTTCGTCGTCTTCACTGTCCCCCTCGTCGTCGCTAGCGTCGCGGCTCGGGGGAGGAGTGGTGTTGCGCACCGAGCGCGTCCTGTCGCGCTTCTTCTTGGCTGCAATGAGGGTCTGGAGAGGCGCCTCCCAGTGGCCATGGTCACCGATGCGCCTGAGGCGCGCGAGGAGCTCGTTCGTCTCGTCGAGCAGCGTGTCCTGCTCCTCGAGCATGTCGATGCGCCCCGCAAGCGTGCCGTTGTAGTCCTTGAGGAACTCGCGTTTGTCCTCAGCCACGGTGCGGGCCGAGGCGGCGGCAAGAGTGGCGTGCATGAGCGCCGCCTCGTCATCCTCTTCGACAGTAACTTCGGGGAACGTGTGCTTGGTCGGGCGCGAAGGTACGAGACTGGTCTCCTCGTCGTCCGTGGCGGGGAAGATGACTGACGAGGTGGACCTGGAACGGACATGCGATTTGGACTTGATAAACAGGGGAACGACGCCCACGTCCTTGTTCGCGAGGGGTGCGGTGGTCATCTCGATACCGGTGAGGGCAAAGAGCGTAAACCTGGGGTTGCTACGCTCGTCGTCGTCATCCTCATAGATATCGTCATACTCCGCGGGGTCGCGGTACGGCAGGTTGGGGTTCTGGCGGTGCAGCCACTCCAGCGACGTGTTGTCCTGGACCTGGACAGAGGGCTGGGGCTCCTCGGCCACGACGGGGGCGGGGACGGGCTCGGGCTCCGGTGTGCGAGTGTGGATAACGTCGTATGCCGAGACCTCAACAGGGGAAACCTTCTCGGGCCGGTCAAAGCTCCAGAGGCCATCACCCCATGCGAGCGTCTCCTTGATGCGGGCCTTGGGCGGCGGGTCCCGATAGATATCAAAACCGGGGGCATGGCGTTCGCGCTTCTCATCGGTGGCCTTGGCCTTGCCCTTGTCTTTACGGCTGCTCTGGGGTGTAGCTGGAGCCGGGACGTCGTTGGCAGCGGAGGTAGAAGAGCTGACCTTCGCACCAGAAACCCCAGACAGTGACGACGTCGACGCGCGACGCGCCAGTTCCTTGGTGTTGCCATTGTCATAGTCATAGATGGACTTCGGAGGGGTCGGGTCCAGCTCATCAAACATCTGGCGGTGATCCAGGCGCTTGGGGATGTACGGTTCCACCAGAGCCGGAGGACGGTTGGCAGCGGCTGTAGCCGTCGGAGATGCTGGAGTGGTGGAGGTCGACGCGGTGCTTGAGGCCAGACGAGCACGCATGTCGTTGAGATGCGTATGAGAACTGCGGTGGCTGAGAGAACCCAGCGGGTGGATGGAAGGAGCAGGCCGGTGCTCTCGAGCACGTACCAGCGGCGGGGCTGTGCAAGGTCAGCAACATAGTCTCATGGTGGCAGTTGAGCAGAGTGGCTCTCCAGCTGCCACTCACAGTTTTCCTTTTCAGACCCACTCTCGTACACCACATCGTCATCGTGGACCTGGGCTTGGCGTATATCCCGTTCCCTGGCCTCGAGCTCGTGAATCTCGTCAGGCGTGGGCGGGAGCGGCGTGATGGCATAGCGCATAGCTTCGAATGCTGACGGCTGCGGCTGGTCGCTGGTCAGTGCTGAGACCTCTTGGTAAAAACGGGATACCTGAACTCACGCGGAACGGAACAACGCAGGTGGACTGGGACCTCGAGCGGTTGCGAGGCGGGGGCTGGTCGAGCTCGGCGATCATGCGGTTGAGGATCTCCTCGGCGTCGGTGGCCTGGTCAGCCTCGATATCGGGGCCGGAGGAAGAAGTCCCAGTAGCGTGGCCGCTGGCTCCGCTCGTAGACTGTTCAGGACTGGTCACGGGCGAAGACGAGGGGTTCTTGTCGGGAGTCGAGCTCGCAGTAGCCGTCGATGCTGAACCGGAAACGGAAACGGCTGCCGTAGTCTCTCCCGCCGCGTCGAACATGTCCGCCACACTCATCGGAACTAGCCTGGGACGGCGGTCGCGAGTGGTACCGCAAGCCGAGCGAGGGGTGGGTGCATTGGGGCGCGGCGGGATCAGGTGATCGCTGGACGCATCACTGAGCTCGTGGCTGTGGTCACTCTCCACTGCAAAGGTATCGTTGCCGTTCTTGAGGTCCCAGTTGGACGTGTCGTTGTCCGCGTCGTTGGCAGACTCGGACATGTTGGTCTCCTGGTGGCGGTCACCGTCCTCGATGGCCTCATCATCGGCAGAACCATCGTGAGCGGTCCAGAGGTTGCCGCCACGGCTCCTAGACGCAGGAGTGGGACTGTCGGGAGGGCTGCTCTCCGAACTGCTCGAAGACGGTGACGGCTGCTGCGGTGCCGTGGGGGAGTCGACGCTCATGACATTACTAATATCCGCGTCCGCGCCGTCCGAGTCGGGGCTGGCCGGCATGGGCGACCGTTGAAGCCTGAGGAACGCCGGCGTGCGGTCGGCAGCCAGCAGGCTCTTGCGGACTTCGCTGGCAGTGACGCTCAGCGTTCCTGCACGAGCACGGCCGCGAGTTGCCAAGGGTCGAGTAGCTGCAGGACCACGGCTCGAGGGTGCGCTGGGCGCAGAGTTGGCAGTGGGTGCACCACGGCGGGCGAGGCTCGTGGCAGTGCCGTTGGGCGCGGCCGCCCGACCATGAGTGACATCGGGGTCGACATCGCTCTCGTCAATGACGGCAAGGGGAGAGCTGTGATTTGCGTTTGCGTTGGTAGGGCGCGCACTAGGGCCAGGGATGCGGGTGAGAGCAAAGATCTGGCTCGCGGGCGAGTTGTTCACCCCATCATCCGGAGACGGGGTGTTGCTGAGCTCCCGCACAGTGCGCGTCCGAGCAGAAGAGGCGGCGGGAGGCGAGGGGCGGTTGAGGCCGCGACGGAGTTGACGGGTGTGGTTCGGGGTGTTGGTCTGGCGGTTGGCGCTGTCGTGGTTGTCGTGGTTGCTGTTTTCGGGGATTTCTTGATTTTCGGTACGGTCTGTCTTGTTCTTGGGAAGGTCCTTGAAGCTGGCCGCGCGCGGAATGCGCGAGCGCGGCGGCATGGTGGGGGAGAGGAGGCGAAGCCCTGATCCGGTACTCTCACGGGGTCTTGGGCAGGAAGGAGGGAGAAGGGGGGAGGGGAGTAGGGACGAGGTGCAGCTATGTGTGAAGATGCTACTTTTGTTGTCAATGAGGGGTGGTCCATCGAACAAGGTCAGAACATCGTGTGCTTTTATCCACTCTTCTCTTCCATCAAACCCCATCCGTATGGGTCTGTACGGCCATTCTCTTCCCCCTCGCGGCGTACAAAAGTCAGCCGTCTGTCGCCCACACTGGATCAGCTGGTGATATCTATGTGGCAAAATGGTACCACTGATGGTACCTTGTTCCATCAGCCTGGACGTCGGATCAAGCCCCCATGGAATACGGTATCAGTACCCCCCAGGTCAATTCTGGTGCAGCCGGGGCGGTATGGTGCATCATGGGTGGATGAGCCTGGCCAGTCATCAACGACCATAGCGTCTCTGCATACTCACCGCCACCACGGTGGCCCGGGCGTCCTCATTATATGTTCATTATCTGGGGGTGTATGTATACACAGTGGTTGTGATATTATCGGGATGTCCGTGCCGGCACGGCTTGAAATGTTTTGAGAGATGACTTGGAAACGAGGTCTTGATGCGCGTGATTGGTGATCAAGCGCTACAAGCACTGCCAGCGTAAGGGGCGGGCGGGGCGAGGCGGCGGCGCGTCTCCTCGACTTCCTTTTCGATTGTGGTCTCGACTTCGGCAAGGGTAGCGTCCATGCTCGCCAGTTCGGCAAGGAGGGTATCCCTGTGAGCCATGAGCTCTGCGCAGGTCGTGCATCCGTCCGTGGGGGTGTTGTCGGCCGCATGCTGCTGTTGATGGGTACAGCGTGTCTGGGGGATTCCTGTCAGCACACAGCGGCGGTATATCCGGGTGCCCCGCCGATCATCCACTGGCCACTGGGTTATTTCCACACGCTCTCACCTGGTTGAAGCCCATGACGGCATGCGTCTTGGACGATGTAATCCTCGTCATGGTCGCGATCCAGCGCGCGTCGGCACACTGCTGGCGGTCGTGGTCGCGCGCAGGCGTGTAGCACGGGGTACGGCTTGGGCCGTCGACTGGGGATGGGGTGCGAGGTGAACGGCGTGAGCCGGGACGGTCACGGGTCGAGTGGTAGCTTGAGCGAGGTGACGAAGGGTGGCTTGTCTGTGGGCTAGCTGGGATGGGGGAGAGGGTGCGCGACTGGTGAGACGCGGTGCGAGAGATGTCTGGACGGATAGCATGCTGCTGGTCGTGGTTGGTGTCCGAGGCGACTGTGAGGCGAGCCAAGGTGTCGGGGTGGGCGACTGGAGGACAAGGAGGAGGTGTGGTGCGTGGTATGAGGGGGGCCTCCTCTGAGCCTGGGGTTGTGGGAGACGGAGGTGGATGGTCGCTGTGGTTGTCGTCGCTGGAGACCATGACGTGTGAGAGAGTGTGTGTGTATGAGAGAGAGAGAGAGAGAAGCAGGATGTCCAAAGCACCTCGTTGCGTGCATCCATGAGAGAGAGAGAGAGTGCGAGTCTCGTTTGGTGGGCGGGATTTGCCCTCTCTTTTGGATCGTCTGTCACGCTCAACAAAACGCTTTGGGACCTGCTCTGTCACCTGATGGTCTGCACGCATGCATCCATCCATCGTGGGCTGTCGACCCCACACCCGCGTGCGTCATCCATGTCTCTCAGCGATCGCACAGCATATATGCGGCGTCGACGCACGGCGAGAGAGGCTGGCAGGCCCCCCCCGCGTCGTCGGCCTCCAAACTCAAAACATGGCCCAATTCGGCGCAACATTTTGGCGCTAATCTAACACCCGCCCACATCATATCCGATCCTGGCAAAACGCTGGTTTATTGCTTTCATGGCCACTGTCGACCGCTGCCGAGCCTAACCAAGTCGTACTGCCATCCGACCACAGCCAGCGGCGGGCTTTTATGACAGGTTATATACTGTGCACCACGTAGGTACGGAGGTCTGCTGGGAGCTACAGTCTCGTGTCCAGCCCCGCTGCGCCACCATGTGGGGCGAGCGGTATTGCCCCCGCCCCCTTCGTCCGTGCTGTCGGCGCTGCTGACCACAGCATTCATACGCGACGCGCGCATATGTTGTCCGGGGGGGAAGGTATTTGAACACGATGGAAACGGGGCGACGGAATGCGGCCGTAGTAGGCCTTTGGATCCGACGTTCAGACATATGGTGACCAAGGTGGGGCAACTGTGGGGCCAACACGACCCCTGTTTGTCCGTGCAGATACGGAGTGTGGAGCGCCGCAGTACCGCAGTGCCATGGACACGGAAGAGCTACACGCGCGTGAAGGTACACCCGGGGGGCCGCCTCAAGATCTCTCGAGGCCCGAGGGTGAATGGGCGGGGATGTAAATGAGGGTATGTGGGGAAGGAATGTGGGGATACCGAGAGGGGTGGGGACGAGTGTGGGGTGTGTTGCTCTGGTCAGTCAGCGCGATCCAAGTCGTCGCCACGGTATATAAGTGTCAGTCATCTTGGACACACATATCTGATCTCCCCCCCACCATCCCCATCCTCACTTTGTGTTTTCTTGCTTCGTGATGGTGACCGCCACCGACCCCGCCTTCTCCGAGAAGCCCCTACACGACCTCGAGGTCAAGGATGACTTTGAGCATCGGGAAATGACAGCCCGTGGCACTGCCGAGTCGACGCCAGACACGCCAGACACCGCCTCTGCCGACCTCGAATACAAGGACGAGGACGAACAGCCAGTCCTCCACCATCGCACCTACATTGCGCTTGCTGCGCTTTTCCTGCTCAACTTTACGCAGGTCATTGCACTCAATGGACCCCCCGCCGTGGTGAGTTTTCTCCGTTTCAGCTGTACAAGAGCTAACGGCACAGCTCACATACCTCGCCGCGGACGTCAACGGTGCGGCGCACTCGTCGTGGATCCCCAATGCGTTATCTCTTGTCCAGGCTGTCGGAGGACCGGTCATTGTGAGTTGGAGTTTCCCGTGGGATGCTGAACCTAGTCTAGTCCTTTGCTTCCGACACGTTCCAGGCTCGCAAGACACTCTTGGTGGCAACATGCACTGTTTCTTTCATTGGATCCGCCATTGCCCCAGGATCGAAAGACATCTACCGCGTTATCGTGGCTCAGATCCTCATCGGTGTTGGCTTTGCAGCGGCTCCCTTGGCGTATGCCATCCCTTCGGAGGTATGTTTTCCGTCAAGTGACCAGCACAGCGAGACCTTACTAACGGTCTAGATTTTGCCACGCAAATGGCGACCTCGTTAGTGTAGTGCCGTTGAGGTTGCGGGTGCAATAGAACCGTCGCTTACTTCTCGCCAGTTGCCCAGTCGCTCATCAACGTTGCTGCCGGCTTCGGCACCGCTGTGGCACCTCTGTAGGTGACCCTAGTCTGTACGCCTACCTCACGCGCTTACTTGTTTTCCAAGGATTTCAGGCGGCCTCACCAGGAAGTCCGCCCACAGCGGCTGGCGCAACTTTTATGTGAGCTCTACCAATTTTAGACGATGGAAGTACCGAGCTGACAACACATCTAGTGGATCCAGATGGCAATGTGGGGTGTAACCGTACTCGGCCTTATCTTTGGGTATCGGCCACCCAAGCGCCACACGGCACTGGACCACCTGTCATTGGGGCAGAAGATTGGTCGTCTGGATTTGCCGGGAATGGGACTTGTGAGTGTTGATGACGAGCTTGTGAGGTTCTTTTCTAACCCACGGACAGCTCAGTGCCGGCTTGACCTTGCTGTTGGTTGCGCTCTCGCTCGGTAACAACCCATGGCCATGGACAAGCGCTAGGGTGCTTTCCACCCTTATTCTCGGCATCGTCTTCTTGGCCGCGTTCGGCCTGTACGAATGGAAGGGCACAAAGACTGGCATTCTGCACCACGAGCTCTTTGCTATGCGGACTTTCCATCTGTGCATCCTTGTCATGTTCTGTGAAGGTATCATGGTGTTTGCCTTGATTTTGTTCTACCCGGCTTTGTGAGTACACATTGGGTTTGGGTCTTGTCTGGAAAAAAAAAAAAGAGAGAGTCTTTTCTCGAACAATCGCTGACCCTCGCGTTCCAGGACCGTGACTCTCTTCGAAAGCGACCCTCTGCTTGCAGGTGTGCGCCAAATGCCTGTTTGGGTGTGCGGTGGTGCTACGACCGTACTGTACGGCGTGTGGAGCTCCAAGCGTCGCACAATCAGAGCTCCTCTCATGGTTGGCTTCGCCATCTTCACTGCAGGAATCGGTAAGTTGCTCTAAGCCCAGTGTCAATATCGCTGACAATCGAAGCTGCCTTGGCCACGATCCAGCCTAAAGACTCGGTAAACGCCATTGTGTTCAACGGGCTCGCGGGAATCGGCGTGGGCGCTCCACTTATTCTGCTCATCGTCGGCGTTCAACTGTCCACGCCGCACCACCTGATCGCCACCGCCACCGCCGTTCTGATTTCGAGCCGCGCTGTGGCGGGTACGGTCTTTATGGCCATTTACACTGCCACCGTGAGCAGCGCAGCCAGCACCAAGCTCCCCAAGTCTGTTGCCACCGCCGCGATTGCTGCCGGTCTTTCGCCTGAATACGCGACCGAGTTTGTCGGCGACATGTTGACCTCCAACGCTACGGCGCTCCAGTCGATTCCTGGTGTCACACCCGCCATCATCCAGGCGGGAACCGCCGGCCTTTTGCAGGGCTACGCAGACTCTTATCGCCTGGTCTTTATCATCGCGGCGCCGTTTGGTGCCGTGGCCTGCCTGTTCATCTACTTCGTCGAGGATATGTCGGCCCTAATGACCTACCGCGTCGATGCGCCAGTGGAGGAGCTTCACGCTAGGCACCACGCTCACGAGGAGGAGAAGGCGTAAACGGGTAAATTGGGCAAAATATGAGGGCAGACCCCATCAGTGGTGTTGAAGTTTGCAGCCGAAAGGGAAACAGTTATGCAGTGAATGTACGTTGGGCATGGGTTTTGTCATTCTGCGTGGGGCCATGGACTCTCGAGCCCGTGGCCAGTGTACCCGTGTGCGGGGACGGCCGGTTTGGCGGGGGTAATTAAACGTCTAATATCCGTGGGGATATGCGCTATTTATACACGATGGAATAGCAAAACTAAGGTGATGCATGCACCCATTTGCCAGATTGCAAGCCTTGCCCCAGCTGGCCAACTGCCAGCGTTGCCCGCCGTGACTGCTGCCCCACGCCTGGTAACCCCGGCGGTACTGCTGTGCTGCTGACTACGACGAGAGCATGTACTGTACCGATGGACGGGCATGTGGTATTTGCCGCAACCGTCGCAATGACGCACTAGGCTTGGGGGCTTCAGGACGTCTGTCTCCACCCGGCCACCGGCCACAGAGGTGGGGCTACGACAAGTCGACGCCTGTGTCTCTCAGTGGACGCCGCATGCATGTATGTACGTCTCTCGCGGCTCGCCGCCGCCTTGCCTCTTGGGGCCACCGGAGAGCGCGTAGTTTATCCATCACATCATCCATCAGAGTCTCTCTCATCGGCGACCTCTTGCTGCTTTCGGCTCGTGCTTCTCAACCGATCAACTCCCGCCCGTGCCGTTTCCGCTCGCATGGTGGCCGAGATTGCAGTGCTCAAGCTCGCGCTCCGGTTCGGAGACAGCAGACACAGAGCCGCCCATCGAGGTCACTGTCGTGTTTAGCCTCTGCCCCGTCTCCGATCACTTGACATGACCCAACTCACAGGTGTTGTTGCGCTCGCGTGACTCAGACATGGATGTACGACGATACGGCGACGGAGGCCCCGACGCCGCGCCCACGTCTTCACCGACGACGTCTGCCCCGGCCCACGCCTCCTCGACCTTGCGCCGCTGCGCCTCCCACTGCGCCTCGTCCGTGTGGGGCACAGCGCTGGCATGACCGTCGCCAGTGGCCTGCGCCGTGCGCATGGTACGAGGGCTCGCTGGGGTGGGTCCGTTGTCGTGGTCCGAGTTGGGAGCAGACACGGGCCGCGTGTGCGCGCCCAGCTGGCCGGGCGCGTTCGGCGCGCTGGGACCGGTGGCCGGAGACGAGATTGAGCCAGATGCGGCGTGTGTGGTATCGCCTGCGGGCATGGGGGTGCGAGCGCGAAAGTTGGCCTGGCGCGGGGACTGTATCTGGGGGTCAGCTCAAACGTCGCCCAGCCGCAGCCGCCGCCTCTTCCACCACCACCAACAGACTGACCCCGGCGGTGCTGTCGGTATCCTTGTCCTTGGATCCCGGCGCAAAGGAAATCCGCGCCAGGCCCCGGGCCTTGAGCTTTGACGGCGAGACCATGTGTCGTGGTGGTGTGTCGGAGTGGCGACTAACTCCAGGAGCGCTGGCAGGGGTGGTCGCCAGGACTGGAGAGCGAGTTTGGCTCGTCGACAATGACCGTTGTGGGGCTTGTCGGGACGGGGAGAGATGGGTCGAGTCAAGAGTACAAGAGTACAAGAGTTTGGAGTAACGGACACGCAAGACACAAGGGGGATGGGGTTGTCTTTTTGCCCACTGACCCACTGACCCACTGACTGCATCGACTGCATGAGAACTCACTCACGGCGCGTGTGCAATGACGCCTGCCCACCCTACTCGCACCGCACGGGACGCACGAACGATGCACACAGAAGACTGCATCACGCGCCACCGGGAAAGCTTCATCTCCACCATGCCAAAGAACTGTACGGTCCATGACGGACTTGCACGCCCATCTACAAATAACTCTTCCTTGCGACCGGTACACCGTCGATGACGCCAGCGTTCGCTACCGTTTGTGCGTTGCAGCTTGTTCCACACAGAACACACTTGACATACTGGGTTCTAATGGGACGGCACGCGGCACCAACGCACAGCGCCCGCCCGTCTACATGATCGCACAGGTACCGCCCTCTGGCATCCCCGTTGGGGTCCGCTTCAGACGTTTATGTGCGACGACTGTCCCATTCGCTCCTCCACTAGGCGGTTCCTCGGAGTCATGGCTGGGCGTATAGTGAACGCCGGGGGAGCAAATGGGTTCATGCCCCGTACGTCTGCGGCCGGCGTGAACACGTCGAGCGCGAGGTCGCACGGTGTGGCCTGTGCTCGAACGTCGGCGGACAGGGCGGGGGCGGTGGGCGTCGTGGGAGACACGGGAATGGCGGGGTCCAGGACGCGACTGCTCGGCCGCCTGGGTGTCCTGGCGATGGGTCTCTGCAGAGTGTCGTCGTGCGCGATTCCCAAGGCGGCCCTCTGGCCTGGCAGGACAAGTGTGGGTGGTGTGGCGGAAGCGGGCGCGGCAAGCAAGTTACGCGGGGGCTTGGGCGGGCGAGAAGCGAGTTGTGGGAACAGCGAAGCGGGAGGTTGGCCCGCAGTTGTGTTGTTTGCTGGGGAGGCGGCATGGGCCATGCCGAAAATGGGCCGCGGGGTCCATATCGGTGCCGAGCTCAGGTGTGCACGGAGGCCACGTTGGCGACGAGGAGCCAGTGTGTCGAGTGTCATCGCATCCAGAGACGAGGTGACGCACTCGACAGTCGGAGCCGGGGGTGGCGGCGGAGGTGGAGCTGGTGTCGCGACTGGAAGGACGACTGGCAATGACGCTGGGGGTGCAGAGCTGGCGGCTGTGGCTATGCGTGAGGCCCGTTTGGGGGCGACAGGAAACGGGATCGACAACAGCTCTGTTGTAAGGCAAAGCTGGCTCAACGCATCGATACCTCCCATGCCTTTCATGAACTTCTTGAGCCGTTCCGATGGTGGAAGCCTGCCTGCGATAACGCGGGCCTGGTCGAGTACGGACGACCGTAACTCTGGTGGTAGGATGGCCACTTGGTCCTCAAAGTACGCGAGACGCTTTGCAGCGCCAGCGATCACGTCACACGTCCTGCAGTGCCACTTGCCTCTCTTCGGACGGCGTGCAGTCGAGCGAGTTGGGGGAAGAGCAAGCACAGGAGGTCCCTGCCGTCGTGCGCTGTCCTTGCCCATCTTCTTGTTCCAGTTGTCCAAGATCACCTTGTTGGCCGCCCAGATCTTGCCTCCAGCAGCAGCGACGCTGGCAAAGTCAACGTACTGGTCCCAGACTTCTTCAAACAGGCCGTCACTCCTCTTGCGCAAGTCTCGTGGCGTCGCGAGATCCACGAGGGTGCGCCGCTGTCGAGCCTCGACGACGGCAGCGACGGCAGAGCGGCGTGAGGAGGCTCGTAGAAGCCGGGGGTCATCTTCAAGCGCGTCGCGGAGGTCGCGTTCCCCCTGGACGAGGTACATTGCCCGGGCAGCAATGTGCGTGAAATGAACACCTTGGCCTATAGTGTGCTTGACACTGGTCGCCAACTTGGTTTCCAGGTCATTGATCCGTTTTGCTGCTTTGGTAATGGCTTGCTCCAGTCGTCCCCGATGAACACGCTGATCTTGCATGCGCTGGCGGCCATCACAGTGTCGACACTGAGGTGCAGTTGTTGGCAACTTGCTGCGGGGCAACCGTAGCCCCTGCCAGGTGAACTTTCGAATCTTGCACGCCTCGCGGAAAACGTCCTCGGCCAGCACGTCCACCTCGCGTGTATGTGTTGTAGCGGCTGAAGTGCACTGATTCCATTCAGTGCTGAGGGACGTCTGCGCAGTACAGATGAGCTCGAGCTCGGCGGACACCTGTTCTTTGAGTTGTGCTGTAACGGTCCTGATGTGGGCGATGGTTGTCGCCGGAAGCTGCGCGTCGGCGGCTGTGATCGCCTCACCGCAGAACCTGTCGTTTGTCATGGTGCGGTGTTGTAGTGTAAGGTGCCCTTGGCATCCGACGTGCGATGCAGTCTTCCATCTGTATGAGGCGGATACCGCTGCCTTATCAAGTGCCAACAGACCCGTTGATGCGATCAGTCACCCAAGCCACCCGTCTCGCGATCAGACACTCAAGCCACCCGTCCCGCGATCATCAGTGCCACATTTACCATCAGCAGCTTTCGGCATGAAACACACGCACACCAATGCAGCTGGCCTCAAACACCAGAGACTGTCCTGGTCCACATTACTAGCTTACAATGCGTAACGTACGCAACACGTCAAGACAGATCTGCATTTGATTGCATGTCTGGAACAGCGAGAAAACACGAACGAAACGACAGCTCGGAAGGTGAACATCAGTGAAGAAGAGACACGTAGTACGCTAGACGAGGTAGAAGGACGCGCAACAGGTGTAGAGGCCGATAAAGAGATAAAGTACAAGGAACCAGTGCATCGAACTCGATCCGTATGCCGGGATTGTCGAGGTGATGCCGCACGGATTTGGCGGAGTGCGGGGCAACGGGCCTCTGCTCGATAGCCGGGTGGCGACAAACATTGGCCTCGTTGATGACAGGCCATCACAGGGATTACATCCTTGCATCCCGACCATGTCCCATCCATCTCTCTCGTTGACGTTGTCCACTTCGCTTCACTTTACTTCACTTCACGCCAATGCTGTTCCCGCACGACCTGCCGGCAGCCATCTTTGCATTCCCGCGCACGAACTGGGCCAGGGGACGCCATTTCCCTCCGCCCGCCAAGAACAGCATCAACAGGAAACGCTGTCTTCTGTATGCCGCCCGTGCAGCTAGCAAGCGTTGGGCGACACACGGCGAACCCACTTCGCAACCGAACGTGATCGATGGCTCACTCGATGGCTCACTCGATGTGGTTGATTACGCCCTGGCGGTAATGGATAAAGTGGAGGAAATATATGTCCCGCCGACTTAGTCATGTGTGTGTGTGTCTGGCTCACCCAGCTTCAGCAACGACTATGTGCGCGACATGCATCATCTTGGACGCCGTGCAGAGACGGTTTACGCGTGGCACGAGGTCATCGACGACATTACTGTGTCCGTGATGAAAAATGTGAGTCAGTTCTGGGGCCTGCGCCAAGGTGTTCCACGGGGGGCCGACTGGAGTGTGTGTGTTGAGGTCTTGTCCGACGAGGTCAAGTGATGCGCGCTGCTCAAAGATCTGAGGAGCCTTGTGCGCTGTGATATTCGCACGCTCTTAACCAGCGACGGAGCTGTTGGCATACTCCAGTGTCGTGGGCAGGATGAGAAACGGTTTGGCGACGACTGCCTGCCAGTTCCTGACGCCTCACATCCATAACCCGTGCGCAAGGGCGTGGGCTGTGAAGTCTGGCCTCGTTTCCTGTTTCCTCATTTGTCGCCATTGTCACCCCGCTTCATACGCTGACACCTACAGGCAGCACTTCACGCCACTCCGACTGCAACACGCTCCCTGATCTCCGAGCTCAACCGCACCCAGGGGCACATCGTCGCCGACTTTGTGTGTGTGTGGCGGCATGGACGAATTGTGGGAGACAGACAAGGACTCACGCGAGTTCTTTCCACACGCCCAGCGCGAGCAGTATCCTCCAGGCTTTGTGGAGCGATACATGCCGCAGGCAGCCCACGAGGCTGCAACAACCAAACTACTCTTCTATCCGGCTGCATGGGAATACGACCTCGACGGCAATCCAACAACACCAGTTGGCCCACCCATGTGGTTCACGGCTGATGGCCGACCATCGTCCCCACCTTCGGGGTGGCAGGTGGCTCCTGCTCTGCCCAAGACCTGAATTTCCTGTCTTCGAGCAGCCAGAGAACAAATGAGAAGCACAGCATGGAACGGACGGCTCGGCTCGACGACGGCGAGGAAGTGAACATCGCCGGTCGCGTGGCCAAATGGTACGGCGTTTGACTACGATGCAACATCTTCGTTTATCAAGAGATCGCGGGTTCGATCCCCGTCGTGACCTTTTTGGGCCCTTCCAGAGGTTCCCATGCATGCTGCAGGTGTTGTGGGATGCCAGGAGGTGGACTGGAAGTGTCAGAGGAGGCTGGTGGCGTGGTGGGCCGTTTTGTGTACCGAGTGCCACATTGGTGTGTGATCGTTTTCGGATTATCCTCTTGGAGTCTGGGTACGGGTCTCACTCAACAGCAGCAACGGTGAGACGAGCCGCAGCGCTTCAGCGACAGCCGATGGGCACGCAGAAAACGAGGCCATGGCCGCTGCCGCCAGAGTCCAGCCCACAGTCCATGCATATGCAAACATTGGTTATTATCTACTTCTTGCCCCAGCGCTCAAGGACGCGGTCCTCCACGCCGTCGCCGACCCAGCGGTACAGGCCGTCGGCAAGGGAGAGGTTCTCAATCTCAGACTTGAACACCTTGACCATGTCAGGCTGACCGGGACCCATGGGCCCACCCGCGCCGCCGAGCATGGCGAGACCGGACTGGTCGCGGGTGTCGGTAGCGGCTGGGGGTCTGTCAGCTTCACACCCCTATTCCGCTGCTAAGCTGGCCCCTACGCACCATTCTCATCGCCAAGGATGAGCTTGAAGACACCGTTGAGACCGAAGAGGTTGAGGAAGTACCATGACAGAGCCCTGTGCGGATGTAAGCATACCGTGAGAACATCCAACTCACGAGACCCAACGGACGCTGAGGTCGGGCATGGCAATGTCACGCGCGAACAGCGACTTGGCGCCGAGAGTGAGCGGGAAGGGGAGCTTGACTGGGAGTGTTAGTGAGACAGGTCAATGTCATCAGCAGCCCGTCTGCTCACTAAGGATGTAGCCCGAGAAGAAGACGTTGATGTACTGCATGATGAGCATGTTGGGCACCCTGCAGAGGTCAGCATGTACGTGCAGTGGTGTCATCTCACATCATGACAGCCTGCTTCTTCATGCCGTCCATCATGCTGTCCATGTTCTTGGGGTCGAGGGGGTTGGGAGTCTCCGCCTCGCCGCCCTTGTTCTGCAGGTAGTCACCAGAGGCCATGGCGGCCGAGGTCGAGGCCGTAAAGGACTTGAACTGGGCCGGATAGAGCGGAGAGAGTGGAGCGATACCGCGAATTGCGTGTGAACGGGAGAGCAGACGCCTGGAAAGCGTTAGCTGAGTGGACATGGCAGGAAGGTCGCTGAGAAGTGGAGGGAATGGTAACAGGTCAACCCACTGTTCGCGGACGGCCGCGGCGGGCTTGGGCTTGGGTGCCGAGTTGAGCAGCTGCGTCACGTAGTGTCTCAAGACACCGACGAGAAGCTGATTGTCAGCTATACCATAAGCGACGACCCCGGCAGCTTACCATGATAACGGTAATGGGGATGAGCACCCAGTCCTGTAACAAGTCAGCACTGTGGAGGATGGAACCTATGCGAGTCTCCGCACCCTAATGGACGGGTCGAGGTAGAGGTCCTGCCTGGAACGTTGTCAGCAGGGAGCTCGAGTGACTCGTTCAACGTACTCTTTAAGAACGGACGCCATCGTCGTGTGGAAGCAGGTGGGTTGATCGTCGAACGAGTTGCGATGGAGAACAGGATGGAGACGAGGACGGCAAACGTCACTCGTTCGGCGCGTGGAGGCCGACTAGGGGCGGAACCAAAATGCATTACAACACTATGCTAATGTAAGTTCCAGGCACGCTAAATAGATTACTAAATGACACCACCCACTCTGAAGATTGCAAGACGAAAGTTGGGACCATCCACCATCCATCGTCAACAACGTTGTCTCCTTCAACCATCTCGGTGTCCAGTTTGCAGCCATGCGCAGCCTGACACCCACAACAGTACAGGTCTCAGGAGATGTCTCAGCATCCTCCACAGCCCGTGCAGCACGCATCGCGCTCGACCCAGAGACCGGCATCGTCTACGCCACCGTTGAGGAAGCCGTCGAGTTTGGACTAGACGTCAAGGTTGTGCGCCTCGAGGGCCTCGATGAGGGCGCGTCATTTCCCGAGGTGAGATAGAAAGGTCATACATTCCAGATGTGGGAGTGTGTGATAGAGACAGAGCTGACGGCCCAAGGTTGTGACAAGCTTCAACACCCCCGTGCTCGCTCCGTTTGCTCTGCCCGCCGGCGCCCCGCAGACCGTCAACGTCCACTACTTTCCCGATGACAGAAGCGTCATTGTGCTTCTTGCTGGAGGAGACATTGCAGTCCTCCAGCTTGAAAGTCCTACGGAGGGTCTGGTGGTGAGCTAGGTTAACGTTGAGACCAGCTGACGCCAGCTCGACGTTGTCGGCAGCATCGACTCGGGTATCAAGGCCGCGACCTGGTCTCCTGACGACGAGCAGCTCGTCATTGTGACCGGTGAGTGACAAACTGTCATACATGCTAACCCATCAGGCGAAGACAACCTCGTGTGCATGACCCGCACGTTTGACACCATCTACGAGGGACCACTGAGGAGTGACGACTTTGGAGACGGTGGGTTTTGAAGGTTGTCCCGTGCTAACCCCTCAGACAAGTTCATCAATGTCGGCTGGGGATCCAAGACGACCCAGTTCCACGGATCCCTCGGCAAGGCCGCTCTCCTTGCTGCCCGTGAGGCTGCGGCCGCCCCGGCTCCCAAGTCCTTTTCCCACCCCACCGACGACGGCCTGCCGCGTATCACCTTCCGCGGCGACGGCAACTACTTTGCCGTTTCGTCACTTGACGCGTATCCCTCGGACGCTGAAGGTGTGTCGCCCGGTGCCAGGCGTCAAGTGCGTGTCTATGCGCGTGACGCCAGTGCCGGTCACGCCCCGCGATTGAGCGCGACCTCGGAGTCGCTCGCTGGTCTCGAGGGTCCTCTCGCCTGGCGCCCCAGCGGCAACGTTATTGCCTCGCTGGTGCGCTATGGCTATGAGGGCGGTGGCGAGGGCAGGAAAGGCAGGTGGGACGTGGCCATGGTGGAGCGCAATGGTCTCCGCCATGGAGGCTTTGAGTTGAGAGAGGCCGAGAAGACGTGGGAGGGCGGTTACGTCCATGACATGGCGTGGAACGCCGACTCGGAGATCCTTGCCATTTGGGTCAGGCGCGAGGAGCAAGATGTTGGTGAGTTATTGCGATGACGAACCCGACTGACGACCAGTTCAACTGTGGACCATGAAGAACTACCACTACTACCTCAAGCAGGAGCTTGTGCCCCACACTACCGACCGCCGCTTCGTCAGCATCAGGTGGCACCCGGAGCAGCCTAACCGCCTCTATCTCATTGGAGAGAGTGAGTTGGTGTGAGATAGATCATCGCTAATTCTTCAGAGCACGTGCAAGTCCGCTCGTTCGTCTGGGACACGTACGCCGCACACCTCCCAGTGCCCAACGACACAGCCACAGTTGCTGTTGTCGATGGAAGTGAGTTGCTTGTAATGTGGCTGCAACTGACTCCAGACCGTGTCCTCGTGACCCCCTTCAGGACCCAGAACGTGCCCCCTCCCATGTCTTCCTTCCAGCTTTCCCTCCCCGAGCAGCCGGTCCACGTCGGCATGTCACCTAACGAGGACGCCCTCGCAGTCCTGTTCGCCTCGGGCCGCGTCCAGGTTTGGGACCTTGGTATCCGACTTCCCGAGGCTGGAGCCTCACGTCTCCGCGCTGGAGGCAAGGTTGCCGAACCTAAATTGCGATGGGAGCAGCTCGCTGCCCCGCAGGACGAGTTCATCGCCAAGCAGGTCTGCCTCTCGGGTACCGGCGAGGCTGCCGCTCTCTTCTGGGCTGCGGCGGGCGGTGACGCTGTGCTGCGGATCGCCAACGCCAACGACGTCCGCGACGAGTCGGCGCTCCTCCCGTGCTCTCAGCACATTCTCTGGGACGCCGAGGCGGGATGGCTCGTCGCTGACCGTGACGGACACCTGCATAGCGTGGACGAGGCCCGTCCTGTCGCCATTGCCCTCTGCCCGCGCCCAACGGCTGTGGCCGTCGCCCACGGTTCGGGCCTTGTCTTGGCTCTTTCGGACATGGGCCGCTTGTTCGCTGCCTCATTGAACGGTTACAGCCGCGACGCCACTGCCATTGCCACTGGCGTCACCAGCTTCACCACCACCCCCGAGTTCCTCATCTACACCACTTCCGCCCAGTCCAGCCACTATGCTCCTCTGCCATCCGTCGTGCGCGTGATTGAGGGCGAGGACGTGGCCACCGTCGCAGAGAAGGAGTGGGAGGTCCGTCGTGTCGAGCGTGGTGCGCTTGCCGTCGTCGCATGCCCCAGTTCCATGAGCCTTGTCCTCCAGATGCCCCGCGGCAATCTCGAGACCGTCTACCCTCGTCCTCTTGTCCTCTCGGTCGTTAGGAGGGACATCCTTGGGTGCGTCGTGCCAAAATTGTTCCAACTGACTCGTCTACAGTGGCGCGTACCGTTCCGCATTGCTCACCTGCCGCAAGCACCGTCTCGACTTGAACATTCTCTACGATCTTGCCCCTGAGCAGTTCATCGCCAAGCTCCCCGATTTTGTGCAGCAGATCCCCGAAGTAGACTACCTCAACCTCTTTGTTACGTCCTTGAAGTGAGCTTTTTTTGTTCACATGAGCGCTCCAGCTGACAATCAGTTCCAACGACTCGTCGCGAGTCCTGTACCAGGACCTCGCTCGTGACCTTGACCGACCGTGGGTGACTTTCCAATACTTCGAGCTGACCCACCAGTGCCATCCCGGCGGATAAGGTCAACTCGATCTGCGACTCTCTGAGAGCACTCCTTGAGAGCGACCTCGTCAAATACGTCGAGACCATTCTCACCACCCACGTCTGCAAGCAGCCACCAGACTACGAGTCGGGCCTGCGCGTTCTCCTGCACCTGCAGGCAGCCCACCCCGACATTGTCGAGGAGGCAATCAAGTACATCATCTTCCTCTCGAATGTCAACGCACTCTACGACGTCGCCCTCGGCATGTACGACTTCCAGCTCGTCCTCATGGTGGCTCAGTACTCCCAGAAGGACCCCAAGGAGTACCTTCCCTTCCTTCGCGAGCTGCGTGCTCTCGATACGCATGAACAGCGCTTCCGTATCGACGACCACCTGGGTCGCCGTGACCGTGCGCTCCGTAACCTCGCTGCCGCCGGTCCTGAGCGCTTTGAGGACGCGAGCTCATACCTGGCCAGGTACGAGCTGTACGACGAAGCGTTCAAGCTCTACCGTGACGATGCGGAGCGCCTCCCTGCCATCCACGAGCTGTACGGAGACTACCTGTACGACAGGCGCGAGTTCCACGACGCAGCCATCTGTAAGTTTTCAGCGGCCAAGATCGGTACTGACGTTTTTCAGCATACTCTCTGGCCGGCAAACACGAGCGTGCCCTCAAGGCGTACGAACGCGCACACGCTTGGCGAGAGCTGTTTGCCCTCGCCCAGGAGCAGAAGCAGTCCAATGAGGCGATTGCTGGCATGGTGGAGCGCGTCACAGGTGAGTTGTTCGTTGGAGATGTCAGCTCACAAAACAGACCACCTGTCGTCCCGTGGCCGTCACGGTGAAGCGGCCCAGATCTTCGTCGACTACGCCAACGACATTGACAGCGCCGTGGACGTTGCGTGCCGCGGTTCCGAGTTTTCCGAGGCCTATCGCATTGTGAGATCATGATTGTCTACAGATAGTTGACCCCAATTCAGGTTGCGCAGCACAGCCGCAGTGATCTCATCGAGGACACCGTCCACCCGGCTCTCGAGGAGGCACAGGAAGCGCTCGTTGAGACTCTGGAGGAGATGGAGGGCCAGCTCGACAAGGAGATGAAGCGTCTCGGCGTACTGCGCCGTCTCCGTATCGACGACCCTGGTAAGCTCGCTCCTGCTGTTCAATGTGCAGTGCGCTGACGGTTTCAAGACACCTTCTACATTGTGGACAACGAGCCCGAGCTTGAGAATGTTGATGTCGCCACGAACGCTACCACCGTCGCCACCAACTTTACGCGCTACACCGTTGCGCCCACGACCGTGTTCTCGCAGACGACCAGGATGACAGGGTGAGTTGAGTTGTAGAACTGTTCGCCTGAAACAAATCGCGCGACAGCCGCACACCCAAGGCGGTTTGGTTCTGCTATCGTCGTCATCGTGCCCATGTCCTTCATCACTGTGCCCGTCCCTGCGGGCGGGCTGAAACCCTTCTCCGAGCCGTTCGGGGCAGGCACTTCGGAGGTCGGACGGGCTGGTGCCGATGCAGAATCCGGCTTCAGCGGAGTTGATGCCGCTCGAGCTTGGTACTCGGCATGCCTGTGGCCGTGACTGGGACGCCTGCCGAAAGCCAAACTGTTGGGTTTGTCGGGTACACCTGACTCCCACCTCTCTCCCACATGCGCCCCGCCGTCCTCATTCTCTCCCGTCTCCCAGAAGTATGGAAGTCTGACGCCATTTCCCAGTCAAACCTCGCGTTCCAAACACAAGGCAAGCCGGAAGCGTGCCGCTGGCCGCAAGGGCACTGTGGACGAGTACGACTACCTCGTCGCGAGTATCGGCCGTTTGGTCAAGCGTGTGGATGACAAGAGTGGTGGGTCTATTTTAAAAGAACGCCAGGCAAAAGGCAAAAACACTGACCATTGTTTTAGCCGAGGCAATCCCTCTCCTGCGCCACCTCGTGCTGGCCTCATCTACCCACCGCGACCTGGCATCCGACCTGCAGGCCATGGTCTTCAAGCTCCGCGCCCAGCTCGAGACGGCGCTGGACGAGGCGTGGGCGGACCGCGACCTCATCCTCGACGGCGTCGAGAGCTCGGGCGGTATGGGTCTGGGAGGCAACGCCGCGCCGGCGCGGGAGCTCGTGCGGCCCACTGTGGCTGCGTGGGTGGGGCTCGGGCGGCTGATACAGTGATGCGTAGAGAGGGCGAGCGGTCGTAGACGGAGGGGTTGGGTTGGGGCCACTGGGCCACTGGGAATGTATGGGCGTGCATGTGATCGGTATTTGATGCTTACCCCTCGCAACCTTTTTGGACCGTGACATCCGTGACGCGCGTGTGGGATCTGGTATCGTAATCTCGGCGAGTTGTTTTTGACACCGGAAATTGCCATGGCACTCTGTGCCGATCGGTCAACTAATGCAACTAACTGGCCAGACTGGGGCGACGGGGGTTGGTCTGACGCAGCCGTCTCTTTCGCGGCAATAGCGAGCCACTGTCTGGAGCCAATGCATAGGACTAGCGGCCGCCAGACTTTGGTTGCGTCCAAACTAGTGTAAGTGGCAGAGACTTACGCAATCGGCAGGGGGAGTGAAAAAAAAAACGTGTGTTTGGACGCCGATGGCCCCCCTCCCATTGAGATCGGCAGCCAACAAGGCGGTGGGATGCTGGAAACAGGTGTTCTCATGCTCTGCTCCGAGGACGCAAATCCACGCGCTCTACTGCATTCCACGAGGTTAATACAAATCATCAAGGAAGCACATGTGGGTCGTGACGACAAAGAGTGCCTCCCCCCCGTCGTCTTTGCACGCGCGTCCTTTCCCACCCCTTTGGGGCTGTCTTGCCACTCTGCGCAGACGCAGGCTCCATCGAAAACCTGTGCGTGTTCCCCCACTCACGCCCATTCCCTTCAACGGCCGCCATGGTCACTGGGATGGTTGCATGCTGGCGACGCCCTGTCCTGGTCAGTGGTACGACAGATCTCCCGTGGACACGAGGGTCTGTGATGCCGCCGCCGCCCACCGATTGACAGGTGACACTGGGATCGATGGACGCAGACACGGACGCGGACACGGAACATTGGCAGTGCTGGCCGCTGGGCATTGACCTAGGGAGATGGAGCTAGAAGAGGACGCGCTGTGTGTCCTGGTAGCTGCCACGACGACGACAACGGCGCATGGGCACTTGGGCACTGCACGCTCATCAGCATGGACCAGCTGATCCACACGGCCCATTCGGTGCGCCTTTGGTTGGGCGTACACCGCGACACACTCGTCACTGGGTCACTGCATCACTGTGCACTGAGGGGCACACTGGCGAGTGGGGGCACGATGGGAAGAGCAGACGCCGAGAAGAGTGGGGGCACAGCTGACACCATGGAGGGAGACGGAAAGACACGGGAAGAGAGGCGAGGAAAAACAGGTCGAGGAGCAAGCGGACAACACACATGGGCTCCACCCCGCCTTGCCTTGGGAAGAGAGGACCTGTGTCTTGTTTCTCTGACACGAGTGGAGATACAAGGAGGGGGAGGAGATCCACTGGGACGAAACCGTGTGCATGAAGAACAGAGCAATCCTTGCTCGTCACTGCTTGTTTGGTGCTCGTCGTTTCACGGACCACCCCTCATCCGCCCTCCGTTCCTCTGGACATAAACGCACACAACTTTTATCGTTTCTTATTTCCTTCTTCACGGTTCCTCTTTCTCGCAGCAAACCCATAGACGGCCTCGTCCCATTAATTCATCTATCCCCCCCCCCCCCCCACCCACCTTCCACACCATGTTCGGCTGCCCGTACCGCTCGCTTGGCCAGTGGGCGTTCTTCCCCACCTGCGACCCCACCACCCACCACCCCACTGTCCCCACCCACGACGACTGCGCGACAACCGTCAACCTCACCTGCATCCCACTGCACGCTCTCGTCTTTCCCATCCTCTCTCTAACTCTTGCGTGGCTGCTCACTGCCCGCCGCACCGCCTACCCACCTTGCAGTCCGCTCGTGCTCGTGGCCCTCCAGTGCCTCCCCCTTCTTGCTGGCAGTGCTGGCGGTCTGGTCCTCATCCTCGCTGCACAGAGAGCCCCACACGCTGCTCTGTCTCCCTTGGTTCTCGTCATTGGTTTGCTGGGCACTGTCCCGCTCGCAGTCACAATGTTTGGTAAAGGTGGGTCACAAGGTTGGCCGCTGGCGAGCAAACGGCGGCATGACACGGCACTGGCGCTGACTGGACTCTGTGCTGTTTCATCTGATCATCCGACGCGTTTCTCCACGCTACACACAACATTCTATCCCTCGCGTCTCTCCGTTGTCCATGACGACGTTTCCACTCCTCTTTCTACTCTAAAACAGTCCCTTCTGTCGTCCCCATCACACACCAGGCCACACCCGACACTATTGGAAAGGACAGCAGCATCGTCACCAACGGATTCGCCACCGGCCCTGCCATGCACCTCCACGGCGAGTCATGCCCCCACCTGCCTCACTCTTCTGCGTCGTCGGCCTGTTCGACACTGTCCAAGGCTTCAACAAAGACCTGGCCTTCGTCTCGTAACACCAACACGCCCTCGTCGGTCGACCTCACGTCCCCGATGGGTTCAGCGGACGCGTCAATGGTCTGCCTGCTCCCACTCCGGTCGTCTCTGCCCAACCTGGACATCGTCGATTCGCCTTCCTCCGTGTCCACTCTGTCGGCTTCTTCCCCCCTGTCCGCTGCCAGCTACACGCCATGCACACCGAGCAACACGCCAGCCTCGTCGGCGGCCTCTGTCTCCACTGGCTCCCCCAGCCCTATCCCCCACCGCACGCCCACGCTCGAGCTCGCTCTCGAAGACGAGTTTGTGCGCCTCGTCGTGCGCTCCGCCTCGGTCCACCACATCAGCACGTCCGCGTCCAAGATTGTCAATGCCGCCACCATCACCACCACCAGCAGCGTCCCCGACGTGGCCCCACGCTGGCCCACCGAGTGGCCTGTGTACTGGGAGGGTGCGGGCCTCGGCTCGTGGTGAGCGGCGCGCGCTGAGTCAACCGGCGGCAAGTCGACCTGGAAACCCTGAAGCACCACAAAATCAACGAAACCCAAAAGTACCTCCACCACGCGACCTCTCAGTCAACACTCGACAGTCGCCACCCACTGGCCACTGCCCCACCGCACCGGCCACCGGCCACCTAGACAAGCCACTTGCACTGTGCATGTTCTCATATCCCAGAACGTAATTACCACTCTCTCCGAAAACTCCCCCAAAACAAAAAAAAACAAAAAAAGCCACTCTCGCTCGCCACCAGAACGGCGGCCGGCGGGTCGTGGCCCCGGACTCACTCAACTTCCCCTTCCCCTCGCGCGCGAGTCTCGCTTCCTTCCCCCCCCCCCGCGACTTGGTACAATCGGTCCTGTCCAAACAAACTCTCCCCCCCCCTCCATCCAAAAGTGTCATCCCAGCACACACACACGAGTCGGAAATACTATGCATTTGTGGAAAAACGAATAAAAAAGAATGAAGAACACGGCCAGCTACTCGAGACCAGAAAAAGAGATAATTCAGATGTTGGTTGGTTGGTAGATGGAGAGAAAACGGGTGACAAGACCCAGGGGTCACTTTGAAAGGAGAAGAGCGAAAACGAAGAAGAAGAAGGGGAAGAAAGATGGTGTTGGTTGGAGATTGCTGCTTGGGTTGGGTGTGTTGCTTTGACGACAATTGTAAGGGACGAGGAAATCTTTTTTGGCTTTCGAGAACACTGATAATGCTTTGATTGGGGTTGGTGGATGAGATGACAGATGGTGCGGTGACAGATGCCTCGCGCCTCAGGCCCGCTTGACGCCCATGGGCACGCCAATCTGCGCGGCCATGCCCAGTCCACCGACGGGGGGCGGGGCGACGCCCACACCGACGCCGACAGGCGCACCGCCGCCGCTGCCGGCGCCGGCGGCCCAGTATCCGCCCGGCTGGCCAGTCTTGATGGGCTGCATGCCGAACGCGCCCATCATCGGGGCACCGACACCCGGTTGGCCAAAGTAGCCAATGTGGGTGGGGATGATGCGGCGGCGGGTGCGGGCCTTGCGCGGGGACGCGGGCTGGGCGCCAGCGTTGCCGCCGCCGCCGTTCGAGTTCGGGCCGACGGCGGTCGCAAGGGCGCGCGAGGCAATGGAGACGGATGGCGAGCGGGTACGGTCACCGCGGGACGAGACAGAGGACAACGGGCGCGAGCCGCCGAGCTTGGTGCCGCCGCCGAGAACAGTGACGTTGCCGCCGTCGTATGGGGTGACAGTGGCGTTGGCGGCAGAGGTCGCGTTCAGAGGGGTGGTCGGGGCCGACTCGGAGCCCTTGCGCTCGTCCATCTCCGGGGTGCACTCGCGCGAGGCGCGGCGCTTGTCCTCGGGAAAGAGGTCGGCAGATCCAGGACGCGACGCCGGCGTGAGGAGCTGGGTGTGCGAGTTGGAGTTGGTGTCGCTCGTGTCGGACGAGTGCGAGCTCGTGCTCTCGGTGCCCTTGTGCGCGGCACGGAACACCTGCGGCTGGGGCTGGAGGTGCGCGTACGGCAGCGGCTGGGACACGCTGCGCGAACCGTTGCGCGAGTGGCTGCGGAAATCGATCGAGCCAGGACGACCGTGCCCGAGCGCCGAGAGCGCCGAAAGAGGCTGGAGGGGCGAAAACTCGGCGGCCGGGAGGAGGCTCGGGGCAGACGGGGTGGTCATGCTCGTAGGCGAAGTGGCCATCTCGGCGGCGGCGGCGGCGAGGGCGGCTCCGGGACCAGGACTCGGTGCCGGAGACGGGGTGGCCGGAGCAGCCATGGCGAGGAGGGATGGTGCCCGGATCGGGATCGCCTTGGACGGGCGAAGCGGGGTCGTCGTAGCCAGCGGGCTGGTCACCTCGGAGCGGCCGTGGGTGCCGCTTGCCAGATAACCTGGTAAGACTCTGCAAGAGTGCGTCAGCAGCAGTCCCCAACCATTCTCGGCAACTTTTATTTTTTGCCCGGGCCTCCTTGTCTGCAACTCACCACGCGAGCGCTTGATCGGGTCAAATTCCGCTTCGTCCCAGCTCCAGCCTCCCCATCGCCACACGACCATGCCTGGGTCGCACCAGACTTCCCACTCGCGCTCTTCGTCGTCGTTCTCGGGCTTGCGACGACGACCGGACGCGATGGCCTTGGCCCAGACCCTGGGATCAATCTCGGTACCTGCGGCCTTGACCAGGATGGCAGGGAGGCCGAGGAGGTGGTCGGAGATGAGGGAGCGTGATCCCGAGCCCGAGTGGGGGTTGCTCTCGTTCCACAGGGGGGTGTATGCGGCGGTCAAAACAGACGACAGCTGCTTACGGAGCGACATGAGCGTGGTGTGTGGGTAGTGGACCGCGAGGGGCTGGACCAAGTGGTGGACAAGGGCAGACACGGCTGAACCAATGCTCATGTCGAGCTGCAAGGCCGCTGGGCCAGGTGTGGCATCGACGGGCGTGCGGCAGCTGCCAGCAGGAGTCGCAACATTGTTGTTGCCTGCAAGAGCTGGCGAGTTTGGCCTAGGGGGTGTGCGGTTGAAGGCACCCTTGGGGGACAGCACAAGAGCCGCGAGGTCGGGTGGGTCCATGGTGGGGTTGAGGATATCAGAGAGACATCGGCTGTGAGCCGTCGGGAGGGGAGGGGAGGAAAGGGGTGTGGGTCGGTTGATAAACAGGTGGGGGGGTGTAGGTGACCAGGGAGGGGAGCACAATGTTTGCGGGTGGCGAGATGTGTCGGGGGGGGGGCAGGTGTGCAGGTGGGGGGTTATGAGACAGGCTGCGTGTGTATGTTTGTCTGAGAGAGAGGGAGGGAGGGGAGAGGTAAGAGGGGAGGGGAGGAGGTGGAGACTGGCGACGGGTGGGTGAGGGTTGCCGACGATGCACTGGTGTCTCTGTTGGATGGAAAGATGCTGGCTGGCCCGCTTGCGGGTGTGGTGGGATTCGACCGACGAGAAGCGGGCGGGGCGTGTGTGTGTGTTGTGCGCGGAAACGGGAGTATTTTGCCTATTTGGGCAAGTGCGGGGCTTTTTTTTTGCTCCCGTGCCACCCCACCGCCCCGTTGCGGTCGGCTCTGTGCGCCGGCTCTGGGTGCGGGCCCTGCGTTCTGTTTGTGCATGCATACATGCGTGCAAACCTCTGCACCATCTCTGCCGTGTTCTTGCGTCTACATGCATGCACGCGTGCCATCTCATGTGGTAGTTATTGTACATTGTGCGCCAGCTGTGGATATATACACTATATTGCAACCTCTCTGGTGTTTGCGCAACGGATCTGTTTTGTGCAGTCTAGACGTCTTCCTTACTCTGGCCAGCACCTCCTCCACCCACCGCAACAGCCACAGCCGCCAGCCCCACATCCGTCTCTAGCACTTTGCCCAGTCGGTGCGCAAGCACAGCAGCTAGAAGATGCTTGCACTGAGGAACATGACACGTCAGCCATGTCAATGTGCTTGAGAGCCCCCATGTCCCCCCACTTGGGGCTCACTCACAAACACATTCCTCCCACCCGTCAACGAGTTGAACGCAAACCCGGCACACGGACAGTACAGTGCCTTGAGATACCGAACGTCGTCGCCGATACGCGTGTTCTGCGCGTCGCTGTCGGGGGATACTTCCGGCCTATCAGTCTCGGCGTCGACCACGGGTTCCGGGGCGGCAATCGTTGGTGGTGGTGGTGATGGGGGAGCGGGCAGGTCGAGATACAGAGTATATGGTGCACCGGCAGATGAAGTGACCTGTGGCGTGATGCATGAGCTTGATGGCAGTGGCACTGCACAAAGCCCACCTGGTGGATCACACGGCCACCTGGAAGGCAGACCTTGACGACTGAGCCTCAAGTCAGCTACCTGCCTCTCTGTGCGCACTAGCTGTATAGCGCTCACCGTCCCTCCTGTCCACGAGCTGGAGAGCAGACGTGAGCATCGGACCAAACACGACGTGGAGCTGGAGGAGGATGGCATCGGGCACTGTGTCACAGCGTCAGCACGGTGGGGCAACTCATCAATCCTTACCTGGCGAGGAAGGTGAGAGGTTGCTCAGCAAGGACGAGACGAGGTGAAGGAACTGGGTGGACGGGTCCGACATTGTCTCAGCGTTGGCATGTTGTTGCAATGTCACAGCCCTCCCGGGGTGGGCGCGATGTTGGGCGACGTCGATGGGATGGAGTGTGATGGCGACGATGGGAAGGCAGACACGGCACAGGTGGATTTCTGAACGCTCGTACGCCGAGTGACGTCAACTGCAGCACGACAACAGGAACGGAGGCATTTGAATCACAAATGTAATTGTATTAAAAAAGAGCATGTTACGTAACCATCCCTAAAGTCAAATCAATCTAATCAATCTAATTCGAGCCTGATTTTCCTCCCTTTCGCCACTGATCCACTGACCCTTCACCAGATGGTCGTTACAACGCTCATAACGACGACAGTGACTGTCGTTGAATGTCTTTGTCGCGTATACTCTCGAGCCGATGGTGACGCCCATCGAGAGCTTTATACGTCTACAAACAGGGCCATGACCATCGGCTATGCTTCTTCCCTCTTGACCATAACCCTGCGCCCCCGCCCAAGCTCCAGGGTGGACTTGCTATCCAAACTTCTTGATGTAGTGTGGCCTCGGCTCTCCCCACTTGCGACCTGTTGGTCCTCAGTATGCAGGTCTCACAATCCCTCAAGACTCACCACAGACCACACATGGGATGCAGTCATCACCAAAGTGTACGGGAACCAAGAGCCCCACCCTCTCCGTGATCGCCGCCTGCATAACAGAGTCATGGCGAAAGTTGAGCTCGAGCTTATCGCTCCCGAGCTTCGGCAACATGTAGTCCATTTCGAACCCTTCTGGGTCAAAATACCGCGGACGTGGCTCAAAGATGCGCATCGGCGGTGGGTTGTCGGGGAGCCGGATCTGGAAGAAACCGCACCACCATTTGTTGTAGTGACAGCTCAAGGATCTGGTGTTGTTGGTCGGGAGGTGCTGAAGTCGCACAACCCCAGGATGACCGTTGACACATATGTCCGGCGAGTCGAAAACCACCACGTCCGCAGGTGGCCTTGGCCCTTCGCGGTAATCGTCACGAACGATGGGGGGCTGCGTGAGACATAGGTGCCGTACATTCGGGAACAGGGGCGTGTTTGGGAGGGTGGCGTCCCATAGTCTCTCAACAACTGCGTAAGAAGGCGGCGGGTTGAGGCTCATGTGTTCGATGAACCCAAACGCACGCTGCGCACGGTCGCTGTATCGCGACACACCATCTGACCTCTGGGCCTTGAGAACATCGTCAGAGGGTTCCTCCTCCCCCTCTTGGCGATGCCTGTGGTCCACCCCAGCGACGAGTTTCAGTAGCTGCGCCTGTGTGAACGTCACCCGGCGATACAGGTGTGGTGCCCCAATCTCCCAGAAGAGTTGGGACGCACGAATGACGTTTGCCAGTGTGTGGGTATCAGTCGGGTCGATGCAGGTGAGTACTTGCTCCACGAGCTCGACTGGAAGTTGGGGGCCCGACACAGTGGACGCGTCGGGTGCAACGTCGTCTGGCGTGTTGACCGCGTCAGACTCTGGTCTTGGCGCCGCTGTGTGACTTTTGACTTGTCGTTTCCGGGCGCGGGCAGCTGCTGGTATGGAAGGTCGAACCGCTGGAGACGTTGCTAGGCCGTGAGAACGTGTTCGGGGAGCCATTGTGGGCTGGTCTGGTTTGCTTTGCGATGAAGCAAACGACAGACACATGGTTGGCATCGTCAAGGGACATCGGTGATGGGAGACATTTGGTTCCGTCGCGTTTCTCCGTCACCCGGCTTGTACGGGGCTGTGTACGCCACATGTTGTTGTACATACGTTGTGCGCCATGCCAACCGCAACAACGCTGATGCGCGACGTCCGACGCGCGACATCGTGTACTGTTTGTACGTACGTGACAAACTGACAGCGTGCTCCAGACCGTCGCACGGGCGGCTGACTGCGGCTGTGGGGACGCGGCAACTTGGAGAGAATCAAGATGCCGCTGCCTTTGGTGGAAGATATGATTACGGTAAACGAGTGACACAGCTTGATCCGGAAACTGTCTCGGCAGTCATCCATGGCCCCACGGAACACGACCACACCACCACTGCACCCGAATCAGGTCGGATGGGGGTCGGAACTGCTGCCCGTACTGGTACTGGAGGTGGTCAAAGCAAACCCGCAGCTGTCAATCACCTGACCCAGACGAGCTTGCCAAGAACCATCCAACTTGGCGGGTACTGACCGAAACATGACCGGCACGATGTTAGTCGTGCCAAGCTCCACTCATGCACACGGAAGTGCGTTCCGCATCCTCATCAACGTGTGGGGGACCTCTGACCGCCAGATACCGAATACCACCATGAACAAGCCGCAGCCAGGAACCCCTCAGATGTGGGCATGGTGCTCCATCTTGGCCCCGCATTGAAGTCCTGTCATTACTCTCTGCAGCCTGTAGCAGTGCAACTACTCACCTCGCACACTCCCACCATCCGCAGACCATGCCCAACGACTCCAACGGCTCCGACGCTCCCACTGCACCGCCGTAGGTGTCATCCACGGCGTGGTGGACACTTGCTGACCGCCCCCCCAGGGTCGACTACAGTTGGGCCCCGCCCCTTGTGGAACACCCACTCGGCGAGGGCCGACGTCTTCGTGTTGTGGGCATCGGCGCCGGGTTCAGCGGCATCAACCTCGCACTGCACCTCCGCGAGAACGTGCGCGACGTTGACGTTACCATCTACGACCTCGCGAGCGATGTCGGGGGTGTCTGTGAGTATATGACATGGTCCTGGCCACGACGTGACACTTTAGGCTGACGAACATAGGGCACCACAACCGCTACATGGGTGTCGCGTGTGACATCCCGGCGCACGCGTACCAGTACTCGTTTGCGGAAAACACCCAGTGGTCTCGCTTCTTTGCACCGGGTGCAGAGATCAGGCAGTATCTCGTCAACATTGTGGACAAGTACAACCTCCGACCGCTCATGAAGGTATGTATGTGGGCAGAAGGGCAAGTCACTGGGGGCTGTCTGGCTGACTGTGGCGTAGCTCCAGCACGAGGTGATCGAAGCACGCTGGGACGCCAAAGCTGGCCACTGGGCGCTCAAGGTCAAGGACTTGCTCTCGGACACTGTCATCGAGGACACGGCCGACTACGTCGCGTACGCGACCGGACTCTTGTCGAAGCCCAAGTGGCCAGACATTCCCGGCCGCGAGACATACAAGGGGATTATCCACCACTCGTCCGGATGGGATGCGGTTGCCGAGGAGGCCGAGGGGTCGCCGTATGCCGGCAAGCGCGTCGGTGTCATTGGTGTAGGCGCGAGCGCGATCCAAATCGTGCCCGAGATGCAGAAGCGCGCCGCCAAAGTCGTCAACTTCGGTCGAGCACAGAGTAAGTCTTGGCTGGGAGCTTGCGGCGCTGACGGGTGAAGCTTGGCTGTCTGGAGTGTTCGCCGCCGAGACGCTCAAAAAGGTCGGCGTCGACTCCAATGGCGCAAACCACACGTTCACAGATGTGGAGAAGACTCGGCTCAAGGACGCTGAATACTATCGCGAGTTCCGCGCAGAGGTGGAGCGCGACCTCGCATCTGTCCACCTGGTGACGCACCAGGGTCAGCCACTACAGGCAATCGTCCGCGAGGCCCTCCTTGAGAACATGACCCAATGCCTTGCCACTCGCCCCGAAGTCGCCAAGGCTATCATTCCCGACTTTCCCCCCGGATGCAAGCGCCTCACCCCTGGGCCGGGATACATGGACGCGCTGGTCGCCGACAATGTCGAGTTTGTTTCCACGGGTATCCAGGCGTTCACCGAGCGCGGTATCCGTACCACTGACGGCAAAGAGCATGAGCTGGATGCCATCATTTGTGCCACTGGGTTTGACACGAGCTTCATGCCGGGTTTCCCGATCTATGGCCTTGACGGCCTCAACCTGCAGGACATGTGGAAGGAGGATGTGGTCACCTATCTGGCCATTACGGTGCCTCGTATGCCCAACTTCTTCACTGTGCTCGGGCCCAACACGGGTGTCGGCAGCGGCTCGCTGCTTATCCTGATGGAGCAGCAGGTCGCCTACGTATCTCAGGTCATCAACAAGGTCCAGCGGGAGGGATACCGCTCAATGGTGGTGCGCGACGGTCCTGCCAAAGCGTTCACCCGATACACGGACGACTATTTTGGCCGCACGGTCTTTTCGGCCAACTGCAAGAGCTGGTACAAGAACGGCGCGTTCGGCGCGGCTCGTATCCGCTCTCTGTGGCCCGGGAGCAGCAGCCATGCATTCCTCGCCCTCAAGTACCCCCGCTGGGAGGACTATGAATGGGAACGCGACCCAGAATACACCGACGACATGGCGTGGCTCGGGAACGGCGACGTGCCCGCGGACCTTGACCCGGCATTCTACGTCGATGAGGCTCGTGATTACTACAAGGTACAGTGACTCCCATGTGGAGTGGTGGAAGCTGACAGGCAAAGGCACAGACTATATATATCAATTGAATTGGCGGCGGGCCGGTCCGTGGCGTGAGAAAGCCAGCAGATTGTAGATGTACGACGATGAGACAGAAATGTTGGAGCCATTGTCATCGGCGCGTCAGCCATCTTCCGATTCAAGGCACGCGAACACAATCGGCCTCATTGTGTACACACCCAGCGATGGCCGGCCGGTAGTCTTGTGCATCTTGAGATCCTCATGTAACTACATGAGGACCGCAGGGTCTCCAGGGGCTAGGTTAGAATTGCAATGTGCATGGATGCATGTGAGTGGTCGTGTGCGAGAGTGAGAAGATGTGATCAAGATTCAGGTGTCTTCTGGTGGACCGACGACATTGGTGGCGCAGCAAAAGGCAAGCCATCAGCGCAACTCAATGTTGTCAGCTGAGTCGTTGGTCCTTTCAACGCACGGTATGTGAGGGTACACAATTAGAGGTGCATGACTACAACGGGGATATGCCACAACATGTACTGTACTAGTGATTACTTTGACTCGAAGAGCGTGGCGACAATGCCAAAGAGCCAGCACACCATCATTGTGCTGTCCCTGGCGCTCTCATGGATGCTAACCTTGGGGTCTTGGCCCGTGCAATCCAAGGTGGCTGGTTCCTTGCCCGACTCGTCTGGGTACTCGAGCAGATAACAGCCTCGCTGAGCCTTGATTAAGCGTGGGAGGTCGATGGCGGCACGCTGACCGCGGGGGACACCGCCGTGGCCAGAGCCAGCACGGGTCACACGAGGAGTGAAGCGGCGGCGCTCGTATCCTCGGCGGCACGCAGGTGGGGTGACCAGAATCTTGGCGACACGGTGGTCGTTGGGCGCAAACGCGCGAATAATGCGACGGATGTCGTCCCATGCCTCGATCTGATAGCCAATGTGTTCGTCCAGGATCATCTTGATCTCGTCGAGACGCCAGCGTGGGGTGCCGACCGCAGACTCGAAGACGTACTCGGTTCCCTGGGTGAAGAAGACGCGAGTCGGGACGTGCCACTCTGGGAGTTTGGGCAGACCGCGCGGGGCTGGCAGCTCGACGTCGACAATGCCACCGTGCTTTCCCACTTGGCGAACCCTGATCTGGCTGGGGTGGAACGAGAGCATGCGCAGCTGTGCACGCTCCATGGCATGCTGGGCCTCGGGTGTCGCTTTCACGTCGGTGCCCATCACGCGCTTGAGGGCATGCACAAACATCGTGTTCATGGTGGCACTCCGAAAGTTGGCCGCAGCCTCGGGCCCAACGTGGATCATGCTTGCAGTGTCCCCGCGGCTCGCAAGGTCAAAGACCACACCGGCAGGAACCCAAAGTGCACGCCGGCCAGTGTCCACATACTGCAGGACGCGGTAGGTGTTGCGGAACGGGTTGGGGAGCGTGAGGCGAGGCAGTTCAAGCGGCGTTGGGAGAACCGGAGTGCGGCCTGACCCCACAAACTCTGACCGACGCATGTTGGCGGCAGGAGGCGGTGTGATAGGCTTCAGGGGGGCCAGAGAGTAACCTGGGAAGGAGTGGCGGATCACCTCGGTGACCTCCATGAGGCGCTTGCGCATGGGGAAGTAGAGCTCGACGGCCGTTTGGATCAGCCACCGACGCTCCTCTTCCGGTGTCTCGTTGTGAATGTCAACGAGGACGCGCTGCTCGTCTAGAATGTGCACTCGTGCACAAGCCAGCCACACTGTGGCAGGGTCCATGGTTGGTGCGTCCCACTCGAGGTTGACGGCATTGATGTCGGTCATGACGACGCGCACCGAACGTGGGTGTTCGGAAGCGAGGGGACCCGACGCTGCCTCTGCCTGGGGCGGCGCAAGAGTGATGACGGCTGCAGGGACTGGCGAGTCATTTGAGGGGATTGTAATGGGTGCAGGAACCGGTGCCGACACTCGTGTCTGCGGTTGAGGTGCCGCCGGAGGCGCAGTGGACGCGACTTCTGCTGAAACCGCACGGCGTCCTGCACTCGACGTAAACGGCTGTGGCTTCACCACCCGCTGGCGGGACGGCGGCTTGGCAAGCACGGGAGGTGCCGCCGTGGAACACGCGGGGCTTGGACTTTTGGAACGTTCAGATGAGGGTACCGGAGGCAGTGGTCGTTCGGGCGAGGCGATTTTTGATGAACGCTGTGGTGAAGAAGACTGCTGCGGCAACGTCTGCACTGGAAGCTGGTCTGGGGTCCCAGGCATGCTCTCGCTGTCCGCATCGTCGCTGTCATACATCTTGGTGAGCTCGGGCGTTGCACTGCACAGTGCGTTATCGGCAGAGGTCGTATCATAGACTGCCTTTGTCGACGGCCTGCGAAAGCGCGAGGCCATGTTGCCCAGGTGCGTCATGATGGGCGATCCGAGACTGCCCTCGGAGGCGAGGCTCGTGGATGAGGTGGACGTGGGAGAGACGGAGACGGGGCTGGGCGGTGATGTTGCTCTTTTGGCTCTGAACGAGGTCTTGTTGTTGCCCCGTCGGTGACCATATGGTGGCCAAGGGATTGTGGCGATGGTCATGGTGGTGGGAGAATGAAGTGGTGGGAAGGGGGGTGTTGGGGGTTGATCGTCTCACGATAGCAACGCATTTGCACCTTTTTGAGACGAGCTGCCCCAACAGATGTCCTGTGCTGTCATTGTCTCTCTGTCTCACTCTGTCTCTCTTTGGTCTCCTAGCTCACTCTCTCTCTCTCGTCAATGCTTTCCCATCCAGGCAAAAGGATGCGTGCTACTGCGAGCTGCCGCCCCCCCAACTCGAGTGCTGGCCGCCTGCACCGGTCGTTGAAACCACGGGGCAAAGGGAAAGCGGCGCGGCTGAGGGGAGATGGGCGATAATATGCTTATGGCTGACGGCGAGCGGGCTCAGCGCTGCGGGCTGTGGGTATGCAAAGGCAGCGGCTGCGTGCGAGCAACACCACGCTGCCATGTCCCTGCAATGGGTGCAATGGCGGGCAGGTCAATGCTGTACGGAGGAACGGAGCATTTTAACCCGCGCCTGTTCTGATGGCTTGCAGCGGCCTGTCAGTTGTGCCGCCAAGGAACACCAGGTCGGCTGGCGCGGCTGGACCGTTTGAGCGTTTTGAGCGTTGCGAGCGCACAAGAGCGCAACGACACCGTTGATTGGGAAACCTCGGGAAGCCGCCGGCCGCTGGCCGTTGGAGAGCGACACACTCCTGTTGCCCTGGACAATACATGTACAGCAAACTGTGCAGACAGATGGATACACGCGGCTGGCTGACGCGCCCCCAGTCTTTAGTAACGTCTTGGCTGTTGGTTTTGAAACAGTAGTGAGAGTGCCGCCGCTGCGCGGTGTGCACTGCCCGTGTTGCCGATAGCGCGTAATGTACTGCACTTACGTTGGCTCCCTCAATCCTGTACGGCCTGTACCCGACCGTCCCGTGTTTCGGGGGCTTGGCATTCGATGGTGTGTTGCAAAACGCGCGGATTGGTGCAGCAGCAAGCACACACACCCGTACTGTACACCGTGCAACACGGACGTGCACTGCTACATATCCAGTGGCCAGTGGCCAGTTACAAGGAACAGCCAGTACGCTCTCGTGAGACAAGACACACGCGCCAGCAACAGCAACAGCCGTTGGGTGGTTGAGACACGACAATCCAACCGAAGAGGGCATGGCAACACCGACGGAAGCTCCATGCATGCCTGCGCATGTCTTTCTGCGAACATCGAGGATGGGGAGGACGCCTCTTGGCCTCTTGTCAGATGGTGACGATGGCGGTGAGGGATCCTCCCTCCCACGGCGAGTCGTCTCAGTTCAATGGCCGAGACGTGAAACACTGCAGTCTTGAGAAAGGCAATGCATGCATCGTTGCGACTACTGCACACACCACAGAACCACAGTACGGCATTGCGCGTCGCGTTTCAATGCATCCACCATTTCCGAGAAGCCGATGGAACCAAACAGCTCGCTGATCCCTGGTGGTTGCCGGGATCGGCCGATGATGACAACACCCGTCGATCCCCGTCAACAAGTGGTCGCATGACGGTTGAGTTCGACCAGTCTCTGTCTGTTAATGTCGCCAATCGTCCACATCGATTTCAGTCTTGCCTGTTGGGTGTATCTTTTGGCTGTGATGACGAGCAGAGGCCCCGTGGTCGCGTGGACAAGAGGAGGCAGGGAACGCACTACCCACTTTCGAGTCAGCCATGTCCCCGAAATCTCTCCATCACACAATGTCCCGTCCAACTGACCTCTCCTCACTGCGAATGCCAGCTGCCTCGGATGTGGGCTTCAAGCCGGTTCCAGAAGGTCTTGTCGCTAGCGTCCACGTTGTCCGAGCGGGCGAGATTCTCGTGCCCACAAGCCGTCTGATGGCTCGCCCACCCATCGACGGTCCCGCAAGCATCCCACTGCCCGTGTTCGCTTTCGTCATCACCCATCCGTCCGGCCGACGGGTCGTGTTTGACCTGGGGCTCAAGGCTGACATCAGTCTTTACTCGCCAGACATCCTCGAGTTTGTCGCATCCACAATGCCCTCCACACCACCCCGCGCCGACGTCGCACACCTGCTCGTCGATGCTGGGATGGACTTGGCCAGCGTTGAGGCTGTCGTCTTCTCACACGCCCACTTCGACCACACCGGTACCATCGCCCTGTTTCCTCCTTCGACATCTCTCATACATGGCCCAGGCGGTCTGTCCTGTCTGCCTGGATACCCCGAGAACCCAAACGCATCCCCCATCACCGTAGACATTGCCCCGACTGACAGGTCGGTGCGGGAGCTAGGGGCCTCCGACAAGTGGGTCCACGTCGGCGCCTTCCGTGGGGTCGACTACTTTGGGGACGGGTCGTTCCATATCCTCGACGCACCAGGCGTGAGTTTAACTGGACCTCCCCGGGATCTTGATCTTGACTTGACTGACCGGCAGCATATGCGCGGCCACCTCACAGCGCTTGTGCGCACTTCCACGGCGCCGGACACATTCCTCCTTCTGGGCGGCGACGCAGCACACATGCGCGGGCTGTACTCGTGTCCGTGCTCCATGACAGTGGGCATCTTCGATGGCGGATGCATGCACGCAGATCTGGCTGTGGCTTACGACACCATGGCCAAGGTTGCACGCATGGAACAGGAAGACAACATTTGTGTGGTGCTATCGCACGATAAGGAGTGGGCCGAGGTGCTGGGCGCTGGATGGCAAGTGGCGGACATCTCCGACTGGAAAGCCAAGGGATACAAGGACAAGGTGGCAGACGCCGAGCAGGCTGCCAGGTATTGGATATGATTGTACAACTGTAAACACGTACCGCGGGACGACCGCACTGTACACAGGTTACAATGTCAGGCATGGCAGCGCGACAGACGACGGCACAGAAACAGAGCACGCAGTTTGTCACAGATGGGCCGAGTCGGTCGCAGTATAACCTTGTCGCGCATCTAATGCAACAACTGACCATCTTCCTATTCCCCCTCTACATTAGCATATCAGCACATCAGGGTCTCCGCCGTCTGCTTGACAACAAAAAGAGTACAGTGGTCAAGTACAGTACCGCCCCAATTGCCCGTATCGCGCATCCAGAGGCAAGCAAACAGTCATTCTTATTCTCCTACGACAGACCAAGCCTATATCTTTCATTTCCCTCCTAACGATTCCCTTGACAATTCCCTTGACAATTCCCTTGGGCTGGTTCACACCCCACTTAGGCGTCATCCGTTTCCTTGACCTCGGTGCTCTTAAACTTGCGAGCAGACACGCGGCGCTCAAAGAGCACGTCGAGCTCACGGAAAGTCCTGTCCTTGCATTCGGGAAGACGGAAGTAGGCCCAAACGAGGATGAGGAAGCAAGAGCCACCCTAGACATGTTAGCCATGCAACTCGATCGTTGTATCACTGCACCGTCTACTCACCCAGAAGAAGCCAGCCTTTCCCTTCCAGTTCCAGGCGGTGGGGTTAATCTGGTAGGTGCAGATAATGCCGACAACCACACTGGTAATGTTGTAGGTGATACGAGCGAGCCCGACCGTCTTGCCACGAAGACGAGTGGAGGAAACCTCGCCCACGACGCAGTAGGCAATAGGACCGACCGTTAGGTCGTAGAAAAGCACCCAGAGAATCACAAAGGCGGCCTGTACCCATCTGGCGGTCTCGCTGTTCTCGGCGGGGAACGCCAGGCCGCCGATCACAAACAGCAAGACACAAAGCACCGAAAGTCCCGTGAGGTAAATCGTACGTCGACCAAAGTACGTAAGCGTAATCCATGAGCTGCATGTGCCGACAAAGGCGATGGCCATGGTGCCCAGACCGAGCTTGAACGCGTTGGCAGCGGAGAGGCCAGCTTGTTCAAAGTAGTAGGTGGGCATGTTGGCAAACGACGATCCCGAGAGAATTTGTCCGGCCCAGCCAATGCACGCAATCTCTGTGCGGCGAAGGTCCGTGCCTTTGAAACAGTCCCAGTACGACGAACCCGTCTCGTTGTCGATTTCGAGCTGGTTGGTTCTGACCATCATGGCCACAGTGTTTGCGGGGTTGAGCTTCTCCGACTTGCTCTGCAGGCGGCGAACCGAGTTCTCAGCCTCGGGAAGGCGACCGGCACGAACGTAGAACCAAGGGCTCTCGGGAGCCATCCAAGCCAGAATGAAGAGGGGGATCGGCCAAACCCACTGGACAGCCCAGGGGATCTTGTACGACCACACGTCGGTGCGGTGCTGGATTCCCTGGAGCACACCACTGGCGATGAACTGGCCTAGACGACGTCAGTGAATGCTAATGCTTTAACGCTTACCGATAACCCAGCAGAGGTTGATATAGGTAGTCATGTAGCCACGAAGGCACAGCGGAGCGACCTCGCTGGCGTAGCTGACCGCCGACTGAGGCATTAGAAAGGTTCGAAACGCTGGGAAAATGTTTAAAAATACTCACGCTCGAGAAAGCTCCCCAGGGGATACCACACAGCAGCTCTCCAACAAAGAGCATCTCAATGCTGGTACTGAAGAAAACGACAAAGATGAAGGCCGTCATGAGGACGAGTGAGATCTGGATGGTGTGGCGGTAGCCGTAGCGGTCCTGGAACCACGAGGCGATAAAGATGCCACTGCCAGGTGTTAGATACAGTACCAGTTGGTTGCGACCAAGGTACACTTTACTTACATGACATTTCCAATGGTGGGAGCCTGGCCGACAGCAGTCTGCCACTGCACGGGGAGCTGCCACCCATGGGCTTCTGTGTAAGTTCCAAACTTCTGGCGATAAGGTTCGAGAGCCAAGATCGAGCCAAGGAGGTAAGTGTCGTATCCCTAAATGTATGAGCATGACGTGAACCTTGTATTCATGGGACTAACCTCCATGATGATGACAAGACTCATGGCAAAGGACCAGAAGATGGCAGTCGGGTACAGGCGGAAAGCCTCCCGGAGGCTGATTTGGTGCTCGGCCTCTTCGGCCGCAATCGCGTCCTCACGGACTTGATTCCACCCCTCAGCTACCTTGAGATCGTCCATGTGCTCCAGCTGCACATCGTGTGCAAAGGGTTTCCCGGCTTCGTTGTTGTCGACAATGGGATTCGTCATGAGGCCTGCCAAAGTGGTTGTAGTCTGGGGAAATTCTCTCTCGGGCCATGTTGCGGGGTCCCTTTATGGGCTTGCAGATTGGCCCCAGAGGGCCCCCAATGACTGGAGCCCTTGTGCTCCTGCCTTCTCCGCGATCCGGATGGGAGCAACGGCGTAGAGGACAACATGTCGCTGTGTCTTCGGTCAAGTGTTAGCATCGCTGCCACGGCGAACAGCGCCGAATTTCCCAATGGGGCAACTTCGGTGCCGGATCGGCGCGATGAGAGTAGCCGAGACGCCGATGTTCCACAACACTCGGACTGGGCCCGACATTCTCTCATGTCTCCACGCGCAACTCTTCCCCGAACTTTGTCCGTTCTACTCCATCCCTCACTCATGGATCAGATTACTAGGCTCACTCTCCGACACTGCCATCGACGTCCTGAAGTATGCCCTCTGACAGGCGGCCCGCCGCCCCTGCCAAGCGCCCGTCCTGCCAGCTATGCCGAATGCGCAAGGTCAAGTGCGTTATGGAGCCAGGGAGTGGGAGATGCAACTCGTGTATCTCGCTCAACCGCGAATGCGAACAGTCACAGGCCAGAAAGCGTCCAGGCCCCGTCAGTCGGTGCGTCTTCGCTATGGGAGAGGAGACTGACGACCTACATAGCTACGCTCGTGAGGCCTCATCCAGTCGCCAACGTACCAGTCCCCGGTCCAGCATTGGACCTGAAGAGCTGGCGACTTCTGCTGGACCAAGCGATTTACCATCCACTGCTCCTGGCCCGATCCCCCTGCCAGGTCTGGCGGACTGGCTGCAACCATCTAGCGGAGCGGACCTGTCGTACTTTGAGCAGGAAGGGGGGTACGACTGGCAATGGCTCCAGATCATGCGGGCGCCTGCAACAGAGCAACCATTGCAGGACAGTCCCACCACAAGCACGTATGCGATCGGATTGCCTTCCGATGTCGCCCCAGTGCCACGGTTGTTGCGAACGGTGAGCCAGACAATGTTGAGCACGCTGACGATAGTCTGTATCGCAAACATCACATAGCGGAAGGGACCCACACATCGAAGACTACATCCCGTGGAACGGTGTGATGCGCATCCTAAACGCATACCATGCGTACCTCTAGTGAGTGGTTGTGTGTGACTTTCATCACTGACATGCTAGTCCTCTGATGCCGATCGTCCATTGGCCCACCTTTGTTCAGCAGCTCGTCGCCCGGCACGATGAACGCGACCGGCGATGGCGAGCGTTTGTGTTTTCCTTGCGTACGTCAGCGTACACTCGGCAGTCGCTGACTTGCACAGTGGCATACTCCATTGTCCAACTACCACGGGCTACGCTGTCGTTTTTGGACATTACGGAATGTGTGCGACTCCACCAGGAGTGTTTTGCATCGTCCAAGGCGTTGCAGAACTGGAGTTTGAAGGACATTGCCATCATTGATATTGCGTAAGTTACTGCGTTCTGACGTTGGCTAACAGGAACAGCACCCTGTAGTAAGAAGATACCTGTGCCATTCGGCTCAAACTAACCACATACTAGCTGCCAGCACATCTATCTGGCCACGATCATGCGAAAGCACCTTGCCAACACCACACTCACCAAGGCGATCCGGTTAAGCTTCGAGTTGAAGTTGCACCTGGACGAGCCCCCGCCAGGAATCGACAGTGTGGAACAAGAGGTGCGCCTACGCATCTTCTGGTTACTCTGTGCGCTGCAAGGGCAAATTTGGCCATGCTAATACCAACCCAGACGGATCTGACAGGACCATCACCGTTCTGGACGAAAGCTTCATGCTCATCTCGGACGGAGACGTAACTGCGCCCTATCCAACGGCAGTCGACGATGAGTACATCACCAGGGCAGGTTCCTTCCCGCAGCCGGCTGGGAAAACATCAGTCCTCGCCGGCTTCCACCATATCTCTCGACTCTTCCATCTCCTAGGCCTAATCCTGGCCACATTACGCTCTCGGCGATCGCAATCACGGCCAAGGCCTGTACCACCTGGTCTCTTGGATTTGTTGAATGCTCCCTCCCTGTCGTCATCGGTCTTCACCGAGTCGTTCAACCGCATCCTCGACGACCTGCCACACGAACTGCGATGGCAAGTGGGCACCGACTACACCCCAGTCGGCGGCGACGGCAAAGTTGGCAGCGACGCATTTGCAATCTGCCGTGTAAACTTGTTAATCACCCAGGCCCTCATACGGAGCGCTATCCAGCAGTACGCTTTTGCAAATGGAGAGGATGACGCCGCGTTGCATGTCTCCCCGCGCAAACTTGTCCTCGACATGCTCGACTCGATGTCCACCGAGAGTCTCACTGCCAACGGCGACTCGTTGCGCATGAAGGTGCTCTACTTTTTCTTGTCCGAGACACAGCAGCAGCCCGGGGCCCAAGATGCCAGCACCACGCCGTCGTATAACTTTGAGCTCCTCTCACAGGTGAGTGTGGTCCCACCGTCCCGTCCTTTGCCGCGCCGTCTGACAGAACCCCAACAGTACCTTCGCTTGCGAGAGCAACAGGAAGCGAATATTCTACATGAGGCCGCCAACAGCTCAGAAGGTAGCCGAGCCGCATCGCCGTCCGTTGCACCCGAGACTACCTAGCTCTGCAAAACATCCTATCTATGCATAATGCCTCGTGTCGTCGCTGCAGCTGTTACCCACCCACCTGTACCCATTTGTGCGTGTACGCCGTCACTTTCGGTGGGGCCCCCATGTCGGCAACCTAACCCTGACTGTCCTTCGGCCATCGGCCATGTTCCGTGCTGCCCGAGTCCAAAGACTGCGCTTCGGACTCCGACATACGGACAGGGATGCTGCTGCTGCTGGTGCTGAATTGCATCCTCTTTGCGGTGGAGCCATTCATGGTATATATACCTGAGGTGCACGTCGACGACCAAAGGAGACATGGACGTCCCGTCACCCTCTTGAGCACACACCCAACCACCCCGTTTTTCGTCCCACCATGCCTGCCGTCCAGCTCTCCACCTCGTGGCCCTTTGCCGCCCTGGTCGGTGCCGTCTCGGTCGGCTACACCTTGCTCTCTCAGCCCATCAAGACCTCGGGCGGTCAGAGCACTGCCCGTAACTGGGCATCCTGGTCCAAACGCTTCGACGACGTCGACTTTTGGATGAAGATGGCCTTTCCGATGTACATGCTCCATCAATTCGAAGAGTACGGAATCGATCTTCGCGGCAGACACTTCTTCTTTATCGAGACGCTGTGCGGACAACTGGTAAGTGTTCGTGGGTCATGTCAATCGACCGACCAGAGGACAGCTTGGCGTCATATCACTGCGCATGTTTCTAACGCGTGTCGTAGGGCTACCCTCTGGCTTCCTGCCCCATCAGGCCTTGGCACCTCACCTACGTCAACTGCGGTCTTGTCATCTGCAGTGCTCTTCGCTGCCGTCTCCGCAACGCTGCTCCCGTCCTCGGCTCCAACTTTTACGGCATGTGCACCATCAACGCCCTGATCCACATCTCGTTCTGCATCCGAGCCGGTGAATACTACAACGGCGGACTCGCTACTGCCATCCTCATGTTGTTCCCTAGCGGTATCCTGTGCTTCCGCGCTCTGCTCAAGTCGGGCCAGGTTACGCGTGCTGGCGTCGCGAGGAGCTTGCTGGTGGGAGTCGTCGCACACATTGGTGTCCTGGGAGGATTGAAGAGCAGGGCTGCCGGCTTGCTCACCGACGTCCCTTGGATGATCGAGGAGTTCCTTTCGCTCGTCGTGTTGATGAACTTCCACCTCCCTGGCTTTTGATGATGAGGCCACAGACATGATGACCATAAGAAGCATCCTGGGTTGCTGGTCTGGTGTGCACAACTGCCAGCTGCGGGGATTATTTTATCCGTAGCCTGCACAGTGGCACACGTATGCACCATGAGTAACTATCCTGCAGCAGTGGATTTGCTGTGACGACGGAGTGGCGGACGGTTGCAAAATACCCCCCTACGCTGCCTACGCTCATTGCCCACCTCGGACTGTGATCCACCCGGCCAGTGCACACAATACAATCCACATCCCCGTCTGACATCGCCGTTACCTCGGGCCGACTACATATAGACGCCGCAGACGAGCACCTCGGCCAATCTTCGGCAGCGCCTCTTGGCTTGGCGTTTTACCACTTGTCGATGACGTTTGTATAAAGATGGGGTATGGGGCCCCTTTGGAAACACAGCAACTCCCAACGATCCCAAACCTTGCCATGCGGTTCCCTGTCGTCTGTTACTTGGTCAGCACTGTGGTCTTCGCTGTCTGCCAGGCAGCCACCCTTCCTCGCGGCAACCGGACAGTCGCCAACCAGCATCTACAGACTTGGTGGCACCCAACTGGCGAGATCAACCCCAGCACACCCGTGCTCGATGGCAACGTCCGGCAGTCCCACGTCTACACCATCCAAGTCGCTGCAGACAAGACATACTACGACTCGTTTGTATACGAGTCTATCCCACGCAGCGGGTATGGCCAGCGCCTCAGCCCGACCAACGATACCCTTGGTGGAAACACCGACGGAGTCAGCATCGAGGGTGTCGCCGGCATCAACATGGCATGGACCCAGTTTCTGTATGCCACCGACGTGACCGTCAAGATTACCCGTGGTGACGGATTCGCTCCGCCGGACCCATCAAAGGTGGTCATCCGGCCCACGACACTGACCTATCGAATGTCGACAGACGGCCAGTCCCTGTACATCAAGGTGCCCTACTCGGACCGAGAACAAAAATTCTCAGTCGAGTTCCAGGACGACCTCTGGAGCTACCGCGGCGGTGGCACGGACGGCCTGTTTGTCCAAGACGTGGACCCCAACGGTCCCAACTTTGTCCTCAGCTACAACTCTAGTAACCCTGTCCTGGGCATAGAGCCGACCAATGCCCTACTCATCTTCGCTAGCCCGTTCCCTCCCTCGTCTGAGGTTCCAGACAAGTCGCGCCACAGTACGTATGTTGTCCCCAAAGGTCATGTTGCAAGCCTTCAGAACGTCACCCAGTCCACCGTCTATTTCCCTCCCGGAGTGTATTGGTTTGGAGGCGCCAACCACGGAATCCTGTCACCCAGTGTCGACTGGGTGCACTTTGCGCCGGGCTCGTACGTCAAAGGCGCCATCGAGTACAACACGACAGCGAGCCTTGTTAAGGCTACTGGCTACGGCGTGCTGTCAGGTGAACAATACGTCTACCAGGCCAACGTCGCCGACGGCTACACCAATAACAAGAGCGACGCCACCTCTCTTAGAATGTGGTCTGGCAGCCTCACTGCCAATCAGACTTGGATCTGCCATGGGCCCACCATCAACGCGCCCCCGTTTAACACAATGGACTTTCATGGAGCACCTGTTTCTCACGTCTCCGACTACAAGCAAGTCGGGGCCTTCTTCTGGCAGACGGATGGAATGGAAGTGTACCCAGGCAGCACCTTCAGCGATATCTTCTACCACGTGGGGGACGACTGCGTCAAAACGTACTACTCGGATGTCGACATTCGTCGCCTCGTGGTGTGGAAAACGACCAACGACCCCATTTTTCAGATGGGTTGGGCCCCTCGCAACGTTACCAACGTCACGGCGTCTGACATCAACATCATCCACGCTCGATACCCAGGAGCCAACATGGTGGTCCCGAGCGCCATCATTGGCGCTTCGCCCAACTACCTCGACATTTCGGCCACACCAACAACGCCGACCTCTCTAGCCACATCGCAAACTTTGAACTGAGAAACCTGCGCTGTGAAGGGCTATGCCCGTCCCTCGTTCGCCTCAACCCCCTCCAAAACTTTGACAATTTCACGGTCGACGATGTCTCCATCGAGTCATTCCCTCCGTCCGACACGGGCATCGGAATGAGTATGATCAACAAGTTTACCGATGGGAGCGGCGCACTCGTTAGCATCGGCGGACAGTCTCCAGGCGGCGTTGGCCTGACGATCAAGGATTACTATGTCGGAGGGGAGAAGGTCAGTTTCGCTGCCAACAACTGGCAGAGCACAAAGGCGGGAGAAATGAACATCGACGCGGCGTATTGGGGCCACTGGACCATTGAGTAGATGGAGGATGGTGATGAATCGATTAGCCGACGCACCACTCATGCACGTGCACCGAGCCCACAACAGGATGTTGTTGTTCCATAGCGTCGTCTGGGGTCACCACTTGGGCTGTGTCCCCGTCTTTTTCCCCCTTTCTGTCCCAAACTCAGAAGGTTTTGCCGTCGACCGCTTGTCACATCCGAGGGTTCTCCGCCAGGTTCAATACACGTGAACCAGTAGTGGTGGATGTAAGTGCAATCACTTCACCAAGCTGAATGCGCGCTGGGCACATTGAGTCAATGGACGGTGCCTTCATGCCGTGCGATGGGGGATTGGACCAGAGGTCGATGAGGCTGTGTTATTCATCTTCCGCCGGAGCACAAATACGACCGTATGTAGCTGCCACCCTTTACTGGCGGCCAGCGCTGGTAAAGTCAATCCTCGGTATGATGTTGTCGCACACTCTCTGGTGATGGTCCCCATCTATTTTCTGCTTTAATTAGTACATGGGCGCTTGCAGTTCACGTACCATATACCCCACATGGGACCGGGTCTTCTTCATCGAATACCAGGCGATGGAAGACGTGCCTGTTTGGCGCCAGTCGGCCACTCCAACGAGGCGACCAACTATGTATTTCAGCTCTTGATCTCGAAGATACATACAGTACGGTGTGTAAACTTCCTGCAGAAGAAGGACGGTAAGACGGTAATTGGATGCGCACGACGACGCTCCGTCCCGTGACACTTTGTAAGCGCCAACCAGTGCCTTTTCCTGCAGATAGCGGTTACAGAACAATACCGGCGGAAACACGAACCGAAACACCCAGGCAGGCCACCAGGTCGAACTAATCGAAACGACCCGGCGGTGGACACTGCCTCCGATAGGAGACACGCAGGACAGCCCTGTCCTACGACGCACCCGCGGACAAGATCACAAGATCATGGCAACCCACGCACAAACAACGTGATTCGGGGCTCCACGGCGCCACCTTCCGAGGTCTTCAAAGAGAGGCCGAGATCTTCTTCGGTATTTCCATAGAAATGCCCCACGGTCCTTGACTGGAGGCTACGTTTCCTTCGAGACCCTCTCTGTTACCAGACACAACTTTGTACATGACGCTGATCACTGACTACAGGCGTGTTAAGCTACAAGGGTGTAAGCACTTCTGCTTCTGCCTTTTCGTGGGACCGGCCGAAATCTCGGCACCACCGAGCTTGAGAATGTGTTCCGCTGGAGAGCCCCTGGCATCTCAGCGAGAAAACAGGAATGGGTGCTGTTTCACCAGCATCCAATTTTTCAGGAGGTCCTATGCTGTGCCCAAGTTGTAAGACTGCATACACGAGATGCGAAACAACGCGTACCGCGGTCAATCCTCATGGCTTGTACACATATATAAGCAAGCAACATGACAAGCTTCTCACGTCGTCGCAGCGCTCGACATCACCATGAAACTCGTCTCGCTACTGTTGGTCCTGGTTTGCCAGAGTAAGCTCTTAGGGTGGTAGGTGATGCGGCTGGGCTAATACATGTAGACCGGCTTTTCAGCCACGCCATTCCGTATGGCACAATAATTACACCCACGACCATTGAGGGGGCAACCGCCGCTTACAGTACCGTCTACGCACAATGTGCTCACGACGAAGGTGGGCCGAATGGCGGGAGTGTCTGTCGGTATTACCCAACGACCATCACGCCCGCCAATGTTTCCCCCCAGCCTGAGGTCACCAGCCCACCGGAACCATCAATGGAGGAGCACACCACCGTGTATCACTCGTGTTGGCCGAATGGTATGGACCATGGCCCACGTGAAGATTGCGGCATGGTCACAAGCGTGGTCACCGAGCCAGCGACCGCTGCACAAGAGACTCCGACGGCCATCACAACCCCCATCGAGTTGCCGACCGTCGCGACGGATGTACAGTATGGCTCGGCCGGCCAGACGGCCCCATCCATGGACCCACCCTCGCCCACGGCGCCGTCCTGCCAGGCAAATTCCAATGGCATGGCAGGAAGGGCGGAACCGGCATCCTGCAGTGCAGCTAGTGGAGGTAATCTCTATGACCCGACGACCAAAGAGCCGGCAAAGGGTGACGTCAAGCAGAAGCTACATGACTGCTTTGCCATGGCGCCCATACTCGGGTTCGTTATGGTTCATCCCAAAGCGATTCCGCCAATGATCGAAATTGTGACCCCTGCCGGTGGTGACAACTTTGCGTCTGAAGTCAGAGTCAAATTTGAAGACACCTCGGCTGTCGTGCGTTTCGACGAGATGAAGGACGGGATGTCGGCTGTCGAGCCAGGTGGCCCATGGTGCGCAAACACGTTACAGATAATCGGGGACTCAAAAACTAACCAAACCACAGGTGGCCTGGCGCCCTGGAGCATGCAGTTCTATACGCCCAGAACTTGACACCTCTACAGGTCTGCGACCCTAAGCTAGGAGGATATGTGTTCGAGGTGAGTAACTGCACTGTAAAGCATGCCGCTGCGACCTCTGCTGAATGCACACCCCGCCAGTCCATGCGCGCTTTGTTCGGACACGACGGTGCGAGCTACGACGTACCTGCAACTGTTGCCAACAAAGCGGAAGTACTGCAGGCATTGAAATCGTGCCAGTCCCGCGTTGTCGTCTGGTGCACGAGCCCCGAGGAGCCCGGTATTACGCTGCCACGAGGCCTCGTAGGGGACCATTGCTGGGCGGTATCAGCCTACAAGGAATTCATTGGCGGAACGTGAGCTGCACCACCAGGATACATGTCATCCCCAGCTGACCTCACAGCGTTCAACTCGAAGACCCCAACGGTGGTCAAGTGACCGTGACAAATGTCGACGCCATCTTCACTTGTACCGACACCGAGGCAAGCGTGTTTATAGATTATGAGAAGGACCCCAATGCTCCGCCACCGCTCCCAATTGCATCCCCCAGCGCCACTCAATGTGACCCATCGTCCTCCTCGGAAGCGACAACGTCGTCTCCAACATCAACACCCTCCACTACACCCACCACCAACCCCGAAAATGGAAATGAGGGCGCCCAGAAGGCTGTAGAGGCTGCCGCAGCTGCCGCCGCTGGCACTGGTCCTGGTGTAGTGGCTGCCATCGAGACCGCTACTGCAGGGTTGTCCGGCCTCGCTCTTCTGGTAGCTCTCTATCTTTTGGACATTGCCCGAAAGGCAAGTGATGGTGGCGGCAGTGGGCAGGACGTCTACGATGCTGTACAGAAGGCAGTCAGTGTGGAGGAGGCCAAAGGCGGTACTGCTGTGCCAGGCGATGTCGTCACGGTCACCCTCAATGGCAGTGAGGTGCCGGTCACAATCACCTCAGAGTCAGCGGCTCAGGTAACCATGTCTGGTGATGGTGCTCTAGTCCCCGCCACTGGTGATGGTGCTCTAGTTCCCGTCGCTACACCCAGCACGAACGACACGTTGTAGGCCTTTAATAGCCCTGGGGGAGGGCGACCTCGACTGCCGCCACCCAGCTACCAATGCCGATTTTACAAACCATATCCGTTGTAGCCATACGCCCCGCACTGGCTGCGGGGGGGTCCATGAATGCGAATCGAACGAGCTTCGGCAACCTGCTTGTTTCATCACCTCAACCTGCTGTCCTCAACATGCTCAACAAGGGTTTGTGCACGTGGGGCTTGAGCGCAGGGGGGCCAACTAGTCCAACCACATCGACCCAGACATCGACACCCGACTCACATTGTCTCATGCACAGACGATAAGTGTCGTGAAACCACAGTAGGTCACCCTCAAGGCCACAGGCCACAGGCCACAGGGCTCACGGCTGACGTGATCGTGCCTGGAAATGGTGTCAACTCGTCTAGACACTCCGATCGATGCTTCTTGTGGCCAGACTTGCCCGGCCAACAGCTCGGAAGAGTCGGTGATATTACAGAAGCGGGTACGCGGAGTGGCGGAGGTCACAGTGACCGATTTGAAGCTCGGATAGGCATTAGCGTTCTTTCACCCTATCTGGTGGGGTTCGACAGGGTCGAGGTGCCATGGCACGTCATTTGTGGACACCATGACCTTTTTACGGGGTTGCGTGTCAAGGCATACTTGGTGGTGTGTCGACAGAGCATCTTAGAATGAGGATTGAACTCGTGATCACGATCCCTGGGGCAAAATCCGGTTCGTGGCCCGCGTCTGATGCGCCATGGTATCGGCCGGCAACCAAAGTTCAGAGATAAAACAGAACAGTCTCAGAACACGTCCCCACCCACATCCCTTCAAACGACACCCCATGGCTGCCTCTTCTTCACAGCTCGAAGCTGGTGGTGCAGCCCCCATACGGCCAGTATGGTACCGATCTACCATCTTTGCGGCCTTCATCCTTGGCGTGTGCAATTTTGGAGCACCAGGCGTCTGGGGTGCCATGGCTAGCCTGGGTGCCGGCGGCAGACAGTCGCCATACCTAGTCAATGCCGCCAACGCGCTCACTTTCTGTCTCATGATCTTTACGGCGTTCCTCGCTCCCAGCATTACGCGCTTGGTCGGTGTCAAGTTTGCTCTGTTTCTCGGCGGCATTGGCTATGCTCCTTATGCCGCAGGCCTCTACTGCAACAGCGTGTACGGCACCAACTGGCTTATTCTCTTCGGGGCCACGACTTGCGGCTTGGGGGCTGGCCTTTTCTGGGCAGTCGAGGCGGCTGTGGCCATCTCGTATCCCGAACCATACCGCGTCGGCAAGTGTATCGGCATCTGGCTTTCGTTCCGCGTCGCTGGCTCAGTTGTAGGTGGCGCCATCAACCTCGGCATCGCCCACAATCAAAACTATGCTGGCTCCATCAACCCAAAGGTGTACCTCGTCTTCATCGCCTTGCAAGCCGCTGGTCCATTTGCCGCATTCCTTCTGCCATCCCCAACCCAGCTTCAGCGTACAGACGGCAGGACTTCTCAGCTGTACGTCAACACTACCCTGGTCCAAGAGGTCAAAGCGACCGCCAAGGTGTTCTTCAAGCCGCGCTACCTCCTGATCGTCCCTCTCATCGTCCAAGCTGTCTTCCCAGAGTCCTATACCAACACATACCTCGCGGCTCACTTTACAGTTCGTTCCCGCGCACTGGGTAGTCTTGTCTCGGCTTGCGGAAGTGTAATTGTCGGCAACGTCCTCGGTCGCTACCTGGACTGGGTCGGGCTTAGTCTCAAAACCAAGGCTCGCTGGGCATTCATTGTCATTCTCACGCTCCAGGGCGGTTGGTGGATTTGGTCCACAGGTTTGTGCAACGGGTGTCAACAGCTGTTAACTATTGCACAGTTATTCAATCAAACTTCCCATCCGAGGATGCAGTAGACTGGAGTTCCTCGCTCTTTGGCCGCACGTTTGCCCTTTACGTCTTCCTTTCAGCCAATTTCCAGGCCAACTACATGTTCCTCTACTTTGTCTGCCAAAACTGTACGTCTCACCACATTGCATTCTCCCACGCTGACGGTGTGCAGTGACCACGGAACCTCAGGATGTCATTAGAATCGCTGGACTGCTGCGGGCGACAGAATCGGCTGTGAGTGTTGTACCAGCTGAATATCCGCCGGATAGGTGCTAACCGTCTCCGAAAGGCCCAGGCAGTGGCGTATGGCACAAACTCGATCGAGTCGTTCAAACTCATTGGCTCGTCGTCTCTCAACTTTGGTCTGTGGGGACTCGCGCTCATCCCCGCTTGGCTCGTCATTAGGCGCATCGGCGTCGACTACATTGGAGTGGGTGCACTCCAGCTTGCCGAAGCGGAAGATTCAGAGCTTGGCGATGACAGCGGATTGTCAACTCCCCGGTCCAATGACTACAAGGTGAATTCATCGGACGGTGACGAGAAATTCTAAGGTCCAGATTAAGCTACGTACTCTACATACAGTACACGTCAGTCGTATATGTGAATGGCCTTTAGTCATCCATGGGCCTGAAGCGCGTTCCACATCAACTAATGCTCTTCCTGACGGTTGCAACAAGACGGCCCCCGACGGGTAGTGTCAGCCCATAGCCATAACCACATCCATAACGTTAGCTATTGAGAAGGTTGACTAAAGTGCAATGCGCCAATGCGGTCAATAATAGTCATTGGCTGGCATCCAAATCTAGGTTCTATATCCATCTTTCACCGACCATGAAGCTGCTAAACGGTCAAGGCTTTTCTCGTGTCCGCGGTCAAACTTGTAGCGATCTCGCCACAGAACACAGGGGCCGTGTCACCACAAAATGGGCAACGCACCGGGATCATCTCCTCAAGCCCACTTGCCGAGGAGGGCCATGACGCCTGCACCCAGCAGGGTACACACAATCATAAAGGTCAACCTGCCATTCGAGTCGTTCATCCTGTTCGAGTTGAAGAGGAAGTCACGTGCGAGTAGCTCGACCAGTCCCGTGTAGATGAGGATGCCCGCCGAGATCGAGTCGAGGACACCGCTGACAATGTTGGCAGTGAACGTGCTGTCCGAGTACGTGTGCCTAACGCCGAGTCCCACCGCAATGGCGATGGGAGTGGTGAGGCCGTATGCGGCGCACAGGACCCATGGCAGCCACTTGAACGATGGGGGCAGCGGGATGGTAGACAGCCTGGCGCCGATACCGAGACCCTCGAACGTCTGGTGGAAGACGATGACGGGGAACAGTGTGCTGAACTCGTCTCCAGCGGTGCCCAGCGTAAGGCCAATGATGACGCTGTGGAAAATGACGCCAAACTCGAGGATGAGGAAGGCGGCAATCTGTTGACGGAACGAGCGCTCGACTGCCATGGCTTCCTTCTCTTGCGCGATGGAGTCCTTGTCAAGGGACTCTGTCGGGTAGTACGAGTCGACAGTGTCCTTGGGGGCATCCTGCACCTCTTGGTCTGCCGAGTGGAGATGGCCGTGGCCGGTGGTGATGGCCCCTTCGATTCCATCATGCGAACACTGGGGCTCGTGGTGCAGGTCGTACTTTTTAGCGACGTACCTCTCGGCCGCAAAGTCCATGAGGAAAATGGACATGACGGATACGAGGATAATGGCGGGGGGCCAGCTGTACGATGCCCAGTTGCCAGTCATGCCGACACAACTGTCGGGTCCGATCTCGCCATAGGCAGGGTCCATGAGGCTGCAGGTCGTGTGTCAGTCACGTACAAGTACTAGCTCTCATGGACATTGGACTCACTGAACAAAGGCCGTGGCGATGATGACGCCGGCGCCAAAGTACCTGGCAAAGAGGTAGACATAGTGGGGGATCCGCAGTTTAGGCATCTTGACCGCAATGACCGGGAAGAAGGTACCGGCTGTGGAGACGACAAGAATGACAAACAACGCGGCGACGCGCTGCCCCAGGCGACCGTCATACTCGTTTGACCCGAGTTGAAGGTAGCATACCACCTCCGCGGGGTCGGCCGAGGTGAGGTTGACGTTTTCGGGGTCGAATGACATGTCGAACGGGATGAGAGACTGAGGTAGGGCTGTTGGTTTGGGAAAGCAGTATGAGGGGGGAGAACGCAGCAACTTATATGGCCACAGCACGGATCGCCTCATTGCCACGCTCAGCCGTGGCGCGCCGTGGTCTTGGTCAGAAAATCGTAAATGGTGAGCCAGAGAGGACCGTGTCGGTCAGGGAGCCGGCGTCCATGTGACAGCAACCCACGTTGACCCCTGCAATGGGAATGCAGTGCGATAAGCAGTAACTGGGGTGTAGCAATGTCCTTGGCGGCAGACTGTTTGCCCAAATTAGACGAGGGCCATTTCGACAAGCAAGCGACCGCGCGGGTCCTCAAAAGGGACCCGTGTGGGATTAGAAAAACAAACCACCGGTGTTAATGGCCAATTACAAATGGCGCGACTGGCCAACCGCATGCGATTAGAAGGGGATTTCTAATAAAGAATGATTGCCGACAGGAAAAGCACACCATAGAGCGGTCCCTGCAAATCTCGGTCATCTCGGCTCATCGGTGACCGCGAGGGTGCACCATTGGCGGCCTTGCACGGACCGTCAACTGTTGTTGCAACATCCTACACCCCGTTCATATCTGTGCGCAGGGCACCACTGTACTCGGCCTCTGACCTCAAGGTAATTTGCATAGTCCCGCGGGGCTTATCCATCTTCTTCTTCTTCTCCCCTCGAACAACCTTTGAACAACCATAATTACGTCTCCGCGACCTTGACGCCACCCTCTTCGGCCTCTTTACCGGCGTGCTCGTGATGGACCTTCTCCAGCGGGGCATCAACCACCCAGTCCATGCGGTCGGTGGGATCTTTGATGAACACAATGCCAACGAGTGCAAGAACCACTGCAGGGATCGCAGCATACCAGGTGACAGAGTAACCGTAGGCACTCGCCTGGAGGTTGGCAGTGTTGGCGGCGGCAAGGATGTCGGGCGTGATGCCGGGCACCGCGGTGGTGTTGCCGCTAACAATGCCACTGATCAAAGAGCCGAGGTTGTTGGAATCAAACCCAAGAGGGATCACCGCCTGGGCAATCTTGGAGGACCGGCGCGAGTCGTACACGTTGTTGTAGATGACCGTGTTGATGCCGTAGCCCACAGTTCCGCCGAGCGTGCGAGTAGAGATGGCAAGCGCGGAAGCCACACCAATGTAGAGGGGCGGGGTCGAGAGCTGAACAAGAGTGACAAGCAGCATGAGGATGGCAGCGAAGCCGAATCCAGCGATTGCGTCAAAGACAAGAGCGCGAACCCACGAGTCGGTTGTGCAGGTCGCCAAGCCAATACAGGCAATCAAAAACGAGACAAGGCCGGCAAAAACGGGCCACTTGAGTTGTTTAAACTTTGTAGTGTCTGGTTTAGAGTCAGCAACGTTCAAACCTGCTCTCGGGACCACTTACAAAACGCAACAAGAGGTGTGATGACCATGACGCCACCGAAAAATGGCAGGAGGGCGGCACTCTGCTTCATCGCCGACACATCCGAGAACCAGAAGCCGTAGGCTGCACCAGAGTACATGGTGTTGATGGCGTAAAACATGTGTCCTTCGACGGCGATGGTGAACATGAGGAGAGGAAAGTTGCGGTTGCGGAACAAGGCGTGGTGCAGGAAACCAGTGGCGGTACCCTTCCACTCCCACAGGAGACACATGATAAAGCCCAGCACGCCGGCGACCACACAGCCGTACGCGTGGGGGTCGGACCAGCCAAGGCTGGCAGCCCAGGCGAAACCCATGAGAAGGGGGACCAGACCACCCGTAAGAAGGAAATAGCCCATCCAGTCCAGGCTCTTGATGCGGCCCCAGATCGAAAGGTTGGAGATGGTGCGGGGCGGGGGGAAGTAGAAGAGTGCAAACCCGATGATCATGACACCGTTGCACACGAGCTGGGTACGCCAAATCCAGCGCCAGCCGTTCTCGGGGTCGTTACTGGTGGCCGCGCCCATACCCAACAGAGCAACGTATGCACCGCCTATCGAAAAGAAGGAGAGGAAACCTTGAACCATGGAACGGTAGCGGCTTGGGACAACCTCGGACGGGATGGCAAACAGGAGACCCGAGATACCGCCCGAGATACCGTTGAGCGTCTGTCCAAAAATGAGAACGTCGACGTTGTGGGTCGTCATGCAGATGATGCAAGCAATCGCTGAGAGCAAGGCGAGGCCAATGATGGCGCTCTTGCGGCCGTAGACGTCGGCAATGACTGAAATGATCGGTCCCGATGCAATGGAGGGAATACCCTGAGCCTGGATAATCCACATGGCCTTGTCCGAGGCGTTGAGGGCCTTGGCGATGAGTCCGACACTGGCAGGTGGGGCGACACCAAAGAACACGTTGTTAAACAGGCCAATGCTCATGAGGATAATAACAATGTAAGCCTTGAGGGGGATGGCCTGTGGTGTGTCTGGGTCCTGGCCCATGGTGTCGAGGACAGTCACCGGTCCCTCGCGGGGGTCGACCGCATAGGAGAGGTCGCCATGTTCGTTCTCTACAAACTCGATGTGGTCAAGGTTTTCCTTGCTCTGGTTTGTCATGCTGTTGTCGTGATGAGGATGGGCAGTAAGGACGTGCAGGGTGTCACCTTTAATAGAAGCGCTGTGTGGGGAACCTCTGTGTGGGGAACCATGGCGAGCCATGGACTCCCGAAGATACCGCCAGGGAAGGGCCGGGGAGGTCGAGCGCATGTACCTATGTGCCCATGGAAAGAAAGAGAGTAAGAGGAAAGACGGAAAGGCGACTGTTGCACGAAGAGAGGAGTTGGGGGCCTGGGGGCCAGGAATGCTGAGGGGAGCTTTGGAGATTGCTCGGAGTGTTGCTTTTTGCGCCACTGGCCACTTGTGGCCTGGGCCAGCCCGGGGGACATGGGGCCGCGAGGGGGGATCGACGGAATCGCGGGGGGATTTCCGTCTGTGTTGTCTTTTTTTGGTTCCGATAGAATGGAGCCCCCCACCGACCACCATACACGAGAACACACACGGAAACAAAAAGAAGAAGCGCACAACGGAAACGGAAACAAACGGAAACACGGAACACGGCGGGTTGGGCCGTGGGGGGAAAGGCGTATTGATCGCATCGACGGAAATGCTAACGGAACACAAGCAAGAAACATGTCACCGTCGTTGCCCACATTGCAAAGAGGAACGAGGACACTCACCCACACTCACCCACCCACCCCACCACACAGCCAACAGCGCCACAGCCCCGCAATCAGACAAACGGGCGCGCGGGTGACACACCGTGGGTGACACACACACGCTCACACACCCCCGCGCTTTGCCGCTCGGCCCGCTCCCACCGGGGCTCCGACGCTTCTTGTGTGTCCCTCTCACCGTATCACAGCTTTGCTGTTGGACACCACAGACCCCCAACACCCAACACCTCAACCACCTGCAGAGCCATGCCATCCCCGCGCGGCCAGCCAGCCAGACACTCGCCGCCATCCCCTCCACACAGCCCAAAGGACAGAAGGCCAGGCAAGAGACAGAAATATGCGCCCAAGGCATGGTAGGTGCACAGACATGGCGTCATGGAGCCTGACCATCTACTAGTGAGCGATGTCGGTATCGCAAGATGAAGTGCTCCGGAGAGCGGCCGTGTCCCCGATGTGTGGATGCGGGCCATCCTTGTTCGTCACTCGATGATGGCGAGCCTCCTCTTCGCAGCACGTCACAAGCCATCGACGCACCAGCACCAACCGAGCGGCAGGTACCACCACCACCATCACCTGCCGACAGCCGGGCCATGACGATCATTATGGAGCGCCTCGAAGGCCTCGAGCATCAGATACGCCAGTCAATGGTCGATGGCAAGGAGACGTTGCAGCGTAGGTCACCGATTCAGTCTGTTGCTGCTGCTGCTGCTGCGCCTCGTGTTCATCCACCTCGTCTTCATCCTCGTCCTTCTACTCCTCCCCCGGCCAACATCCACGACGTGGATGGACAACCCGGTCGATGGCACTTTCCGGGACCGTCTACCATGCCCAGCCCAGAGCCAGACTCGTATGCAGGTGAGAATGTCCTGAAACTGGCTGTATGCTGATGATGCTCAGCGGATACATCCATGATGCAACCCGTTTCTGCCCTCGAGGCAGTACTGGCCAGTGAACTCGACAACGCTGGCGTCAGCATTGAACGGCATTCAACCGTCGGCTCGAGTTCAATGCAACAGACGGCTTGGTCGCCAGAGGACGACATGTATGCATTTCACGGTTTCCCGATGCCCGTTTCAGAGGAGCTGTCAACCCTGCGCTCGAGCGAGCAATTTCTCAAGGTCAAATGCGGGCCAGTGCTATGCTTGTTACCCACCCCAGAAGCACACCAACGGTACCTCGACTTTCATTTCTCTCACATCAACCCGTTCCATCCGTGCTTGAACGAATCGGAGACGCGACGACGGAGTGTGCGCCTATACGATGACGCGTTTGGACCGCCATCGGCGCCGAACAGGGACCCGACTCTTCCATTCTCATCGGCTCCTCTCCTTTCCCTGTTGTTTTCCATCTACTCGTGCGTGGACGTCCTGCGGCAGCCCCACGTCGCACACGAGGCATCACGCCTGCCTGGGTTTATCTGGTACCGACAAGCTCAAGAGTTGGTGGGCAAGCGGCAAGTTACAGCGACCGGTACAGACCTCACGGGCATTCAAATCCTCATTTTACAGGTGCGTGTTCATGGATACCCATGCAGTGTGTTAACTCCTAGGCCCTGTACCTGTGTCACCGTGGCTACATTGGATCAGCGTATGCCGCCATTGGACGCGCTTGTCGGCTTTGTTTTCAACATGGTCTCAACTACTCGGCACGCTGGAACAAGACCCCATTTCAGACTGTAATGGCTCAACGAGTTCTGTTTACGACGTACTTTATGGACCGACGCATCTCGCTCACCGTTGGCAGACCCTACGGAATGCGCTGGGAGGACATTGCAGTGGCTCAACCACCTGCACTGGATGATGCGGTGAGTATACAAACACTCCCTGCTGTTGGTTGGGCTGATGAAATAGGCCATGTCCCCCGATAGGCCTCTCCCAGCTCCTACTCAGCTCAGCTGTCTCCAGCCCTACTTGGCTGGTTACATTACGCTGGCACATTTTGAAGGACAGGTATGGGACACCGTGTCGTCGCCCAACGTCTCTCCCATGGCGCGGTCAAAAGCGGTTGAAGTCTTGGACGTCCCCATTTCAGAGTGGATCAGTGATTTCGAGCGCTCTACAAGCTTTGTTAGTCGCCTGTCCACATTCGGCACGTCGACCAACATTCGACAACATCAACGGGTCATTGTCAAAACGGTACGACAGTACTCCTTTCAGCCACTCACTGACGTTCTAGCTCATGCTTCAGTTGCGGATCCTCATGCGAATGGGACAAATCGTCTCACTGACTTACGATGACCATTGTGGAGAAATTTGCGGCGCCGCGTCGTGCGACATTGTGGATGAAATCCACCGGGCCACGCTCGAGCCGACATGGCGTGAGGCATACTACCTCAAAGCTCATGCACCCACCAATCTCTTTTCGCCCGTCATTGTTCTCTCGACCCTGATTATACGCCGCCAATCATCGGGCCACACGAGATACAACTTGGACCATTACAAGTTGTGCTTTGAACGTGCCGTGGCAATAATCAAGAGCATCTCGCGCGAGCTACCCATTGGTAGCTTTGTCGATGGACAGGTGTCGGAAATCGTGCGACTCACCCTTGCGAGCCTTGCCGTGGGTCAGAAGGACCGGCCTGTCGCTTCAAACGAGGGAGATGCCGTGGACATTGGCGACCTCTTTTCGACAGAGATTGCCAACATGGCCAACGACATTTCAAGCGGCCCCACCGTCGACTGGTTTAACATGGCGTTCCCAGTTGGGGGAGACAACGCCAACCTCGAGCTGGAGGAGTTTTCCTGGGAGGCACTGTTTGACACACTCGGCCAGTCAAAAATACATTTTAGTAGTTAGCATGTACATATTGTTGTTGCCATGCCATTTTGTTTGAGCGAATTACCACTGTGCGAATGCGCGCTTGACGTTTTTAAAGTCGTTCGTGCGCGTGCGCTGCGGCGAATCGCTCGGTCGATGGGGGGCAACTGGTGTATTCGGTGCATTGTCTCGCCTGCTCTACCGGTTTCTACAGATTGGTGAAAGGAAGGATAACGTGAGAGGGATACTCGCCTCCAAAGTGAACCTTGTGAACGCCCTTGTTGGTCTCAAATGGGGCGCTCTCGTCGCCGAGATCCGGCCACAGTCCGCTCGAAGCAGAGATCTCGACAGCAAGCGACTCGCCAGCGTCATAGTGTACGCTCATGGCCCAAATACCAATCTCCAAACGCACCACAGTACCAGGGGTGACCTTTTCCACACGGTCGTGAGGGTGGAAAGGGTACTGCGGGTGCATCGACTTTGTGTGGTCGATGTGACGGTGGGAAGCGCGCAGGAGACCCACCGAGCCGTGGTGGATGATCAACGTAGAGTCGATTGCCTCGTCGGGGTCGGTGAATGGCACCCGGGAGAACGGAATGGTACAGTGACGGAGCACCTTGCCATTGGCGTCCAGCTTGCGCAGGCGCACCCTCACGCACAGGTCGTCGAGGTCGTCGCAGGACATGTACACAACAGCTTTGGGGAGGCCGACAAGACGAGTCTGCTTGTCAAACTTGATAGTGAAGGCAACCTTGTCGTCCTTGTTTTCAGAGTCGTACGTAACAATGGAGGTGTTAGATGGAGCTGTGGAGCTGAGAGTGCCGTTTTCGCCAAAGTAGAGTGAACGGTGGTCGGTGTCCGGAATGGGAAAGTCGGGAACCACCATATCAATGGGCTCACGTTTGCCGAACTGGAGAAGCGACATGCGAACCTTGGGTGTCTTCTCCTTCCATCCATTCTCCTTGCCCTGAAGGCGTCAGCCGGAAGAACAGCCTCCTTTACATACCTTGAGGAAATGGTCAAAGAAGTCCATGAGGTCCTCGTTGGTCTCCTCAATGCTCCACAGGTCATGCCACTCTTGGACTCCCGCTGTGCAAACGTCAGCTCGGGGTACATGTGGCAGGGTGGATGTGGCAATGTGGCAGATGGGGCGCAGGGGAAATCAATTTGTCTCCGCCGATCCCATCCCCTCTTGCAATCACTCACTCCATCGAAGCCACTTGTCTTCTGTGCCGAGCTGCATCCAGCCGCGCACTGCACCCATGGTATGGATAGCAGAGAATTCGGACCCAGTAATGTATGTGGGAACCCGAATCTTGGACATGTCCGGTCGCTTGTCGGCCCAGTAGGCGTCGATAATGCCTTGGTCAGTGCGGCGATACATCTCGGTAAAGTCTTCGACACCAATCTTGCCACGAATGTTGAAATCGATGATGTTCTGGAAGTTGCTAATGTCGAAGATGCCGCCACGCACAAACTGCTCGCGATACATGTCACTGCACCCCTCCCAAGGGGCAATAGCCTTGAGCGATGGGGGGTTAAGTGCGGCGATAAACCACTGAATGATCGCCAAGTGCGAGTTTCCAGCGAGAGCGACTGAGCCGTTGCACCACTCCTTCTTAGCAATGGCCTCAATCACATCGTAGCCGTCTTCCGATTCTTGGCTGCCCATGATATGGACGACGCCGTCGGAGGAACCAGTTCCACGCGCGTCGACACTGATGACAGCGAAGTCGCGAGCGCACCAGCGGGCGGGATCGATGCCTTCGAACTTTTCCAGGCCAGAACTGCCCGTTAGCATGGCCATGCACTGTGAAATTGCGACTTACACATCCTCACTGGTGACGCCAACACCGTAAGGAAGCTTGGGCATGCTGGACGTGGTTAGCAGAGTTGTGAATGTCGGATGTGGTGACTTACAAAATCAGGCCGCTGTACTTTTTGCCGAAGGGGCTGTAAGACAGGATAGCGGGGACGGGGCCGCTGGCGTTGGTGGGGCGGTAGACATCGACGTAGAGTCGAGCACCGTCGCGTACTACAATCTCCACGTCATGTTCAATGGTGATATCGCAGTCGATGGCCCTGGCGCCGAATGGCCGATCGCCCTTCTTGAGCAGTTGGGTGTGGGGGTTGAAGTCCTGCCACCCGTTCTCGCCGACGGTGGGGGTCTTGATGGGGCAATGGGCAATGTTGAAGTTAGGGGCCATGGTGGTTGTTGGTGGTTACGTATCGGCAGTCACTGCCTTTATGCTTGGTGACATCGCATGGCGCCTCCTCCCTTGCACGACGGACGAACGCATGGAATGACGGAATAGTGGAAGGGGTAGACGGAATGGCGGTTCCGCCTTGAGCCGCAAAGTGAGTATGGGCACTACAGTGCGGTAATCACCGATGGCACCGACGGAATGAGTGACGGAACAACGGAACCCATCGCTCTCCCTCCCGTTTTGTCGTATGTCCTCCCGCACATGGCAATGTAACACGCCCCACACACGTACATGCCCATGACATGTATGCTATTTAGATAGCAGAACCAGTCGTGAACAATGTCACATCACCACCCACCCACCTCCTTCACAACCACCACCACCAACCTTCCAATCCTTTGCAATGCCTGACGGAATTACTTCTGTTCCTACTCCCGAGCCCGTCTTCCCACCTTTCGAGTACTCCAAGCTGCTCGACAAGGCCAACTTTGGCGACTGGCGAGACGAGCTTGTCACCAGTGGATACACTGTTATCAAGGGCGCCGTCCCACGCGAGCGTGCTCTTGAAGCCCGTAACCAAGCCTTTCAGTGGCTGGAAGACTTTCCTCTCGGCTTCAAGCGCGAGGACCCCAGCACATACAAGAATGAGCACCTTCCCAACCACCACAAGTAAGCTCAAAAGGCGTTATTTACAGCAACGCTGACCATATCAGAGGCGGAATGATCCACGGCTACGGTATTGGCCACGAGCAGTGGGTGTGGAACCTGCGCACTGAGCAGGGTGTCATCGATGCGTTCGCCAAGCTCTGGGGCACCGACGAGCTCATCGTGTCCTTTGACTCGGCTGCCGTCATGCTTCCCAACCGCACCGACGTCGTCGACGCCGGACGCTGGGAGCACATTGACCAGTCGCCCTCCCGCCGCGGCCTGTACTGTGTCCAGGGCATCCTCAACCTCAACGAGTGCGGTCCCGACGAGGGTGGTCTCATGATCCTCAAGGGCTCGGCAGCCCTCATGGAGGAGTTCTTCGACCACTTTGGCCGCGGGGAAACGCGTACTTGGGGTCCCGTGGACTTTTACTCGTTCATGGACCACCAGCACCAGTGGTTCTTTGACCGCGGATGCGAGTGGGTCAAGGTTTGCTGCGAGCCTGGTGACCTCATTCTGTGGGACTCGCGTGCCATGCACTACAACGTGCGCCCCACTGGCAAGCGCGACAGGACTTGTGCATGTGAGTGGCCTAGTGTATCACTGATAGGATCAGTTGCTGACGATGGTGTAGACATTTGCATGGCACCGGCCAAGCTCCTCTCCGACGAGGACCGTGCGGCGCGTAAGCTGGCGTTTGAGGAGTACCGCGGAACTGTAAGTTGTGGCCAACGCCAATATCTTTTGCTCGAAACCCTTGCTCACATCCCACTCAGACCCATGTCCCATTCGCCGCGCTTCACGTCCGTCCTCATGTCCCCGGCATCCGCGTCGACACTGGTCTCCCCGACCCCAACGACACTGGCATCCCTCGTGAGCCACGTGCCGCCTCGGACACGGTGCTCAAGCTTGCGGGTATCAAGGCGTACTAGGTTGTAAAAGCATCAAACATGAATACTATGTGACATACCGTCTTGAAGGTTTGTCAATGGCTGCCTTCACGGTCTGTGTTTACATTTGGTCGATACGTGCTAGCTCCCCATTGTCTGCCATGAACAGTGTCAGGATAGAGGTCAGTAGTATCAATATCGTCCTTCGTGCTACATGTGTTCCAAGCTCCTATACAGTATTCAACACCAATCCCCAGTGCCACCCACTTGTAGCCATTTGCGCACTGCAAGCCTCTCGTTGGCGACAGCCTCTGGTGACACCTGGGCACGATCCAGGTCTATGATGCGCAGACCGAGGTCATCCCCTTTGCGGCGCGACCAGCCGTGGTCCTCGTCGTGGCGTGCGTAACCGTTGCCCAAACGTACGTGTCGTGTTTCGAGGTCGCCATGGGCGATCCCGGCTTCGTGGAGGGCGTCAAACTTGCGCAGCACGTCGCCAACCAGTATGGCGGGAATGGTGTGTCCATCTGAGCCAGCTGCAGGACCGACATCCTCTAGAACACTGACGAAGATCCGAGAGGTATTGGCAGCGGGGTTTGACATAAACAAGCCGTACCATTGTGGCAGGACTGAGCCTTGGAGACCCTTTGCGGCGGCACTGTCGTAGAGAGTGGCCTCGTGGATGATGGCGCGCTCCAGGGATTCCGGGGGGTCCGAAGAGTCCCAGGTGTTGTCTGGGACGGGGTGGTGCTCGGGGAAACAGATGCGCACAACAAGGGGCATTGGGCCATCCAGACTGGTGTCACAAGACGCGTTTGGTGACCCGTCGAGGAGGCCCGGTACAGTGGAAGCGGACGGCTTTGAAGGACGTGACGGTGGCTGTTGATTAACGGGCAGGCGCCAGTAGTGGGGATCCCAACGAAGTTCAATGGATTCGAGTGACGACGGCCCGGAAGCAAGGGTTGCCTGGAACGCTGTCCAAATGCGTCCAGAACTCAAGCGAGCGCCCAGCTGGAGGACAGTTGTGGATGTGGGGCAAGTGACGTTGTGATGGGATGGAGGTGACGTGTCAACACGGATGAAGTTACCGCAATGAGGGAACGGCGGCAGCCTTTGGCCTGAGCTCGATGGACTTAAGTTTGGTGGATCGATAGCCTTCCTGTCAGATATTCCGTAGCCACAATGTTTACGTACTTTGCGTTGACACGTTGACATTGTCCTTTAGCCACCGGGTCGGTCGGGGTATCATCGCGATGCCTCGGTTCCAGTGCATCGACCTCTTCCTTTGTGATGGCGAGGAAATCAAACGTCTCGGAGACTGAGTCATGTTGGGGGGGCGAGAGGTCCTTCCGAGCGATGCCGATCAGTACCGTTGCTAGCGTCGTACTACCCTCCCCGTCGTCTGTTCGATGGATGACAGGAGACATCAACAGTCGCCGCTGTGAGGCGAGGTAGAAGACAATGGCGGCTTCCGTGTTGAAGAGAATCGCCCACCGGCACTTGTTGAAATGGCATTGGGATCACACTTGAACAATGGCCTTTGACATGTTGCCAGACATTCTGCGATCTTTGGGGTCGATTTTGCCATTGGACTGTTGGAGTTTGAGTGGGGGAAGCCGCCTCTCAGAGCGCTGCCGGACCACCTCCTCAGCCAGGGACATGGATTCGGTTCGAAGAACGATCAGTCTCTTCCATTCCATCATCGCGATGGTTGGCTCCCCATCCTCGTCCATCAGGTTGCACACCCAACGCGTGATGCCAAGGCTGTTTGTAACTGGAGCGGGTCGTTGCCATCTGGGTCGTCCACGGGACGCCAGACCATGCTCGAATGCTTCAGGATTATTGAGCAAGTCGTTGATTGGTAGGCCGACCATGGCCAAGGCCGCTGCGCTCAGATCGTCCTTGTAACCGAGTGGCGCGCGAGGAAGAATGTCGTATGAAGCCACGTATGAGCGAGTCCAGTCGCGCACAACGGGCGAGTCGATTGTCGACTCTGTCGTCAAGAATGAATCCACTTGATCACGTATGTCGGCAAGCATTGAAGGGGCATACCCCACCTGGATGGTATCGCCGTCAAGTGGGGAAGCAGGGTCTGCCGATGCAGAACTGGCTGGAGAAATGAAGCTCGTCAGTCTGTCGGCGTTGGCACGCAGGGGCGGAAAGGTGTACGAAGAAACAATCTCCTTGACGATGGTGGGGTAATGGCTAATTGCGGCAGAGACAGACCTGCGACTCTCCTCGCTGTCAAGCCTCGATACCAGAGCCTCTGCGAGGTGTCGAGCCTTGTTGAGGTCTGGTTGTGTAGCCGTCAGACATGTCACAATGTTGTCGACGGCTTGGCGATCGTTCCGGTTCATGGCGCAAGGTAAGGTGGAGGCACGTCCATGCCAATACCATACAGGACCGTACGTTCTGGGTACGCTGGCGAGAGGCGACGAGCCGTGCGGGGGTGCATACGAGTGATGGGATGGACAGAAGAGAGGTACAGTCACACCCAAACCAAAACAACCTTACGACAACAACAAAGAATAACACGGAAGCAATTGTTGAATACACGTCATTATAATCCTATTTGGCGCGAGAGATAAGTCATGTTGGTTGGTGCATATGCTAATATGATTTCTATGTCTAGGCGCTCTAAGCGGACCATGCAGACTTGATGTTCTCAATGACCGGCGCCCATGCCTGCAGCCGGCCGTCTTCTTCTGGCTCTACCACACGCATGACACCGCCATTCTCCTGCGCCATTTCCCGCAGACGCTGCTCGGCGTCACACCAGAACATCTTCCAGCGCCCATCCTCGGAAGTGACAAAGCCGTTGCTGCGCTCAAAGTACCACTTGTTGACACCGTTGTCGGCGCGAGAACGCCATACCAGGTCACGACCGCGGCCGACACCGGAAAGCGAGCCGACCGAGGGGTTGGCGGCATCCAGCAGACCCAGACCGTAGGTCTCGTCGCGGAGGCCGACCCAGAGGAAATCGACGGTTCCGTCGCCTTGGTGGCTAGGCAGAACGGCAAACTTGTCCAAGTAGCAAATGTGCTGGCCCGTCTCGCGGCCTTCAATGGTGCAGATGGCGGCACCGGCATAGTCGCCGACGACAATGACAAAGTCGAGGTCCTTTTCCAGACGGGCCCAGTAGGCTTCTTGGTTGAGGGTACGGCGGAAGGAGCGCTCGAGCAAGTTGGTGAGCTTGACCTTGTCAATTTCATCCGTGGAGCGCAGGATGCGGACAGGGAGGCCGCGGCGGATAAGTGTCGGGGTGTCGCGGGTGACGCGGCCTTCGCTTTGGGTGAGGAGGGCATGGGGGAGGGAAGCCGAGTGAGCGGGCTTGTTGGTGATGAGGTTGGATATGAGTGCAGCCGGAGAGCGGTGCGACACAATGAGTGCGGACGCGCTGCGAGGCATGTGGGAGAGACACTCGTCGGCGAGGGCCAGGTTGGACAAGGCCGTAGGGTGTGTGCTGCGCCATTGCGGCTGCCATGTTCCAGTGATATAGTCATACTCGGACGCAAGGTTGATGGACAAGTGTGGGAAACCCTGACGAGCATAACTGGGGATACCGCCCTCGCGGTTAATGACCAGCAAACGAAGCGGTGTGAGGTCCATACGCCCCGCTGGCGCCTCGGCAGACAGGGGTACGCTGCCAGCAGAGGTGGTGCTCATGGCCTCGGCGAGTGCGCACAAGACGGCGTTGGCGCTGATACGGCGAGAACGGCAGCCCTCGTCGAGGGCGACGGGCATGAGGACGGGGATCTCACCCTCTGCGACAGCACGGCGGACATGGTCGAGTCCTTCAGCCTCGACGTAGACGTCTCCCGTGTCTCCCAGTCGGGCAACAGTGGCCAAGACGGGACGGGCTGGAGCCTGGCTCTTGGCCAGGAAGTGGACACAGCGTTCAACGTCGCGCAGCATCAATGTCCGTTGGGCCTCGGCAGCGACACTGTCCAGGCTCTCGGTTGGTGGAATGTCATCGCGGTCAATGACGACCACCGAGACGAGACCGAGCTTTTGGAGGTGGTGGATACCGCGAGCGATGGAGAAGAGCTGGTGGTCGGTAAACGGACCTTGGATCTTGACCAGGGCCGGACGGCGGACGATGGGGTTGAGCATGGTCTCGACCAGAGGGTTGGGCTCGGAAGCTGCATTCGCAGCCTCTGCAGCGCCAACAGCCATGTCGTCGGCGTCGGGGGCAAACGACGCCATGTAACTGCGGCTATCGCGCACAGAGGGAGACGCTTGGAGGATGCTGAGGACAAACTCCTATGGGAAGCGTCAGCATGCAGCACGGGCAACCTTTTTTTTTGGCACACCCACAGCGTCGCTTGGTCCGATATCCTCCTGCTGCTCAATCTGCTGCATGCGTGTGTGGTAGCCACGGGCGTGGACGCTGGCTGTTGGGGTGGGAGCCAGGGACCGGACTGCCGGCGCCGCGGAGGGAGTTGGTGGTTGGTTTGGAGCTGTACATGCTGCTGCTGCAGCCGCTGCTGTTGCATTGTGCGCACGCCATGCTGCACGGGATGCCCCGCGCAGTGCTGAGAGGGCTGTCATCCGTGGGTTTGGGTGTGTGAAGAGCGGGGGACGGGGGAGTGGGAGAGAGAGAGATAGAGAAATGCAGACACACTTCCCCCTCAGCAAATAATAACTCGTCGCCCACAGTCGTTGAATTCAACCGTCGGGCGGTGGAGGTAATATTAATCTCTATCGACTCGTCGGCGCGGGTCGGAGCGAGTGACAAATGGCGTCAGATGCGGCGGGCGATGGTGTGTCCACGAATAACCGGGCGAGGACGACGACGGGGGCGTGGGACGTGGGACATGTATTACGTTTCTCTCTCTCTCATGATCCCTCTCTAGCTTTCTCTCTCTCTCACCATGTGTGCGCAATAGACTCTGCGAGCGCGACACTGGCACACTGGCGCACTGGCACACACTGGTGACCCGCGGGGGGTTTTGCAGAAGATGAGGTGTTTTATTGATTACGTAAACGCATTTTGGTGTTCGCCACCCACACACACACGGCGGCGGCGGCAGCGTGTCGCCAGCGTCCAACAACATCCTACCCCCCCCTTGTTCTCCATCCTCTCTCCATCCATTTGCCTATACGCTTACTCTCTCTATCTCTGGTCGATCTCTTCCAATTTGATACACCTGGGACCCGTCGGCAACATTGTCCTTGCCGCATCTGAAGTATAGTCGCCTCAGACCTCGTCACCCCCTCCCCCCCCCCCCCTCCCCCTACACAACACACCCCGCCTTCTCCTTCACACCATGAACAGGGTAAGCTCCTCCCTCGCGTGTTGCAGGTTGGCAGCCATGGCTCACTCTCCATTGCAGATATTCGGCACCAACAAGGCCAAGCCCAAGCCGAACCTCTCGGATGCCATTGCATCGGTAAGCCTCTGCACACCTGTTCTTCAAACGCCGCAACTAACCTCCCCGTCTCAGACGGACACGCGCGTCGGCTCAATCGAGGTCAAGGTCAAGAAGCTTGACAATGAGCTTGCCATGTACAAGGCTCAGATGGCGAAACTGCGTGACGGACCAGGCAAGGTGCGTTATAAATGTTGGCGTTGTGTCGCATCTCTGACTCTCTCCAGACTGCCGTCCAGCAACGTGCGCTCCGCACGCTCAAGCAGAAGCGCATGTACGAGGGCCAGTTGAACCAGCTCCTGCAGCAAACGTTCAACATGGAGCAGGCCGCCATGACGACCGAGAACCTCAAGAACACGATGGCCACCGTCGACGCTATGCGTATCGCCAACAAGGAGATGAAAAAGCAGTACAAGGGCATCGACATTGACAAGATCGAGGTAAGGTGTTGCTGCCACGCTGGCGCAGACAGGACGACACTGCTGACGCGGCCCCTCAGAGTATCCACTACGACATGGAGGACTTGATCGACCAGGCCAACGAGATCCAAGAGTCGCTGAGCCGGACGTATGGTGTGCCTGATGAGCTCGACGAGGAGGACCTGCAGGCCGAACTGGACGCGCTCGGTCTCGACGACGAACTTGTGGGCGAGAACGAGACGCCGAGTTACCTGCAGGACGCGACGGCCTTGCCCGACTTTGTCGACGCCGCTCCCGTCGAGGAGGAGACCGCCAAGGAGGCGGAGGTTGCCCGTTAGAAACACACACACACACACATTCACAAGACACACATTTACGAGACAGAGCGAGAGAGAGAGAGAAGTTGTGACAACTGTCATCATGCATGTACACTATTATCCCATATCTATGCAGGATCCCCCGTCTATGAAAGCCAAAACAAGCAAGGATGGCGTTTGGAGTGCTTGAGTGGGTGTGTGCCGATGGTCCTAATCCTATGAGCCCGGAAAGGAAACGAAAACGCAAAACGGCCTAGAACTTGAGCTGGCGGGTGTCGACGCCCTTCATCGGTCCGTCGATGCCCTCAATGACTCCCGCGCCGGCGCTCCTGCCGTCTGTGCCATCCCTTGCCGCAGTGACCATGCGGGGACGGACACCGACGCTGGTGCAGAGTAACCTGTACCTAGCGCGGATGCTGCTGAGCAAAGACGCGAGGTCGGGGCTGGCGTCCGCTGCCTCTTGGATACGCTGCTCGGCCTGAGCCTTTGCGTCCTCGTCGTCCGAGTCAATGTCGATCGGCTTGTCCGGGACCGGTGTGGGGTTTTCGGTGGGGAACGAGTCGATGAGGCTGAGGAGGGTACGAGCATGGGCGACGCTCTTGGCGCCGCGACGCGCACCGCAGACGTCGGCGCACGAGTCGCCCAGCTTGGCGAGATAGGTGCGTGCAAAGCCCTCGTAGAAGCCGACCTCCTCCCACAGCTCCCAGGCCTTTTCCTGCCCCAGTTGGCGGCCCTCAAACAGGCCGTGCAGGCGGCCGTGGGCAAACCCGTCGTCGTAGCCTGCGGTATAGAACCTGGAGACACGGTGGGTCAGCTTGGGGGGTGACAGCGGGAGACAGTCTACGGGCGAGACCGCGGCACGTACGTAGACTCTAGCTGGTTTGCCTCGTCCATGAAATCCATGTTGAAGGGGTCGTGCATGTCAATGTCGTCGATGGGGGGAGCGTCGTGGATGCTGTTGCCGCCCATGGTATTTAAAGCTGCTGCGAGTCGTGACGGTCCGGGTTCCATTGTTCTTATTGTTCGCGGGTCTTTGTTCCGGTCGGGCGTTGGCTCTCTCGCTCTATTGTCCGCTGGCGGGGTGGGAGAGAGGGGTGAGAGGCGAAGGATAGGCGGTATGTGTATGAACACGAGGGAGATGAGAGCGGGAGCGAGATTGGGTGCTTTGTGCTTTGGGATTTGTGGTGTGCTTACTCATCTACCCATGTGGCCTGCGGTGTACCCTGTCGACATTGCTGCTGCTCGTCGGCGGCGGCGGCGTCTCGGCGTCGTCGGACAGAGAGTGGACGGGGGGGGGATGGATGCGAAATTGTAAAGTGGGTGGATGGATTACACAAAATGTCCAGAGCATATTCACCCAAACAGAGTCTTCACTCCACGACTCGAGCGAGCGACAGCGGGCACTCAGGTAAAAGAGAGCGGTCACAAAGATAACATATTGCTGCTATCCCCCTTGTAACCCCCAAACACTCTCCTCCCCTCCCCCCACCACACACCTTGCCCAACATGGCTGCCGAGCAGGACTTTACCAAGCGCAAGCTTTGGGGGTGAGTTGGCCTGTATCTACAACCTGACAACAGTGGCTGACTGCGTCCCTCCTCACAGCGGCCGCTTCACCGGCTCGACCGACCCTCTGTAAGTTGTCCACAATCACAGACCAGCACGCCCATCCCCCCTTTGCACTCACTGATGGGCCGACAGCATGCACGAGTTCAACCAGTCGCTCAAGTACGACAAGCGCATGTACGCTGCCGACGTCAAGGGCTCGATTGCGTTCTCCAAGGCTCTGCTCAAGGCCGGCATTGTCACCGCCGAGGAGCAGGCCGAGCTCACCCGCGGCCTCAAGCTCGTTGAGCAGGAGTGGGCCGAGAACAAGTTTGTTATCCAGGCCGATGACGAGGACATCCACACCGCCAACGAGCGTCGTCTGTCCGAGATTATCGGCAAGGACATTGGCGGCAAGCTTCACACTGGCCGCTCGCGTAACGACCAGGTCGCTACCGACATGCGCATCTGGCTCATGGACGAGACCGCTGCTGCCGAGGAGAACCTCAAGAACCTCCTGTCGGTCATGGTCTCGCGTGCCGAGAACGAGATGGACCCCATCCTCCCCGGCTACACCCACCTCCAGCGCGCCCAGCCCGTCCGCTGGTCCCACTTCCTCCTCTCGCACGCCTCGGCTTTCACCACCGACCTCAACCGTCTCCGCGAGATGGTCCCCCGTATCTCGGTTCTCCCCCTCGGATCGGCGGCTCTTGCCGGCAACCCTTACGGCCTCGACCGTGAGCTCCTCCGCGAGGAGCTCGGCTTCCAGTCCATTGGCGAGAACTCGATGCACGCCGTCGCAGACCGTGACTTTGTCGTCGAGTGGCTCCAGTGGGCTTCGCTCATGATGATCCACATGTCCCGTCTGGCCGAGGACCTCATCATCTACTCGTCGGCCGAGTTTGGCTTTGTCACTCTCTCGGACGCCTACTCGACCGGCTCGTCCATCATGCCTCAGAAGAAGAACCCCGACTCGTGCGAGCTTCTCCGCGGCAAGTCGGGCCGTGTCTTTGGCCAGATGGCTGGTTTCATGATGTCGCTCAAGGGTATCCCGTCGACCTACAACAAGGACCTCCAGGAGGACAAGGAGCCCCTCTTTGACGCCGTCGACACTGTCTCGGCCGCTCTCCGCATCGCCGAGGGCGTCATCGCCACCCTCACCGTCAACTCGGACAAGATGGCCGCCGCCCTCTCCATGGACCTCCTCGCCACCGACGTTGCCGACTACCTCGTCCGCAAGGGTGTGCCCTTCCGTGAGACCCACCACATCTCGGGCCGCTCCGTCGCCCTCGCCGAGGCCAAGCAGTGCCAGATCTCGGACCTGTCCATGGCCGAGTGGAAGGACCTCTCGGAGCACTTCACCGAGGACATTGCCGACGTGTTCAACTTTGAGACCTCGGTCGAGAAGCGCAACGCTATCGGTGGCCCCGCCCGCGCCATGATCCAGCGCCAGGTCGACATTGCCCGCCAGCGCATCGCCGGTAAGCAGTAGAGACGGTTGGATGGTAAAACTAGAAAACAATGCATCTGTTGAGGCTTGACGGGGGATGTGCAGACGAGAGGGAACAGATGGCCGTTACGACCAGAAGCTGCGCATGAGGTTCCCCAAGCCTACCTTTGGCATCATGTCAATGGCGACGCCCAACGTTCAACCTCGGCCTTCGTGTGACTGACCACGACTGCACTGCAACAGTCGCAAGCTAGGACATGGTCATTTTGCTGTTTATTTCTCCAACACTGTCTGTCTGTTTTACCCTTTTGTTCTACTGGAGATTTCTGTTCTCCATGAGTCCCCTTAGGACACCTGCGTTATCTTTTAACAGATGTGCCGCCCCAGCCAAACTCTCCACCTACCAATGTCTTGAACCCGGATCAGCCCGTAAAGGACCTTACAGCCAACAGGTGGGACGTTAATTCCAGCAAAACGATAGAGGTGCATAGTGGTATTTCACCCGAAGCTCCCACTTATTTTACACCCTTCATGTATGTCTCTTAAGTCAAAACTAGAGTCAAGGTCAGCAGGGTCTTCTTTCCCCGCTGATTCCCCTAATCCTGTTCCCTTGGCTGTGTGGGCCTCAGTGAGAGGTTGCGGGAGTGCAGAGCAAAGACTTGTCACGGCTTCTATTCTCAGATTTATTTAATCATTTTGCCGGCTCGTTAACCCCCAGTACGCCTCCAATAGCGCATGCATTTCCGGGGAAGTGCCCACATGCATGAACACATCCATTGGCATGCTTAGTGTGAGTATTTCACCTTTTATGCATACCAATGTCCTCAAGGACGACACATTGGCGGTGGACGGAATATTAAAACGGCTACCACCTTTCAACTCAACTGGTCATCTCCGAGGCGACAAGACGGCACTTGCTCGCCATCAAACATGGCCTCTTCGCTAGTACATCGGTTAGTATCCCCGCTTTTCAATAGGTTGTCATCTTGACAGCTCGAGGATCGCGGTAGAGCGGGGTTCGACTCCCCGGCGGAGAATGAGATCACAGCGTCAGAGTTAGCTCGAGACGCGCAATCCTTTTGGTACCTTTGCCGACCTGGCGACGGGCACGGCAGCGGGAGCACCTTGGCACCAAGGATGCAATGGTGGTCGCTCGGTTGTCAACCGGCCGTGACATCTTGGTGACCTCGCGGCAGTGCGATCCGTGACGGTGTGAGCGATGAGCGACCCCGTGTACCATGCTCCACCTTCAGAAGATCAGGAGCGATGTTGCGGCGAAACTATCTATCCCATGCCCATGTACCGTACCATAAACTACAACTTTGCAAAGACACCTGCACACGCGCCGCTGCCCAGCTGCACAAGCGTGCTCTTGGTACGCGTGTACGCGCGGATGCCCTCATGGCCATTCTCCACGCCCACGCCACTCAACTTCCAACCACCTACAGGCATTTCCGCCGGCGACTCGCCCCAAGTGTTAATCCAGGTAATACCTGCGTCCACCTGGTGGATCACATAAGCCGCCAGTCCAACGTCCGTGGCAACCACGCCGGCAGCGAGTCCCATGGGCGTATCGTTGGCCCTACGGATGAGTTCGGGAAGCCAGTCATCTTGCTCCCGCCCCTTGGCAGAGTAGGGCAGGATGCACATGACGGGGCCAAAGATCTCTTCGCGGACGACGCGCATCGAGTCGGTGCAGTTGGTGAAGACGACCGGTGGGACCCAGTAGCCGTCGGGTGTGGGGCGCTTGCTCTGCGCGTCCTTGCTGCCATCGTACAGAACCTTTGCCCGGTCGACCTCTTTGCCATGCTTGATGTAGGCCTCGACCTTGCGGCGGTGTGGGTCGCTCACGAGGGGACCAAAGTTGGTGCTGTCATCCATCGGCAGGCCCATGCGGATGCCCTCGCGGCACTTTGCGACGATTGCGCGCTCAAATTCGGGCAGCAGATTGTCGGGGACGAACACACGGGTGCCATTTGTGCACACTTGGCCCGTGGAGAAGAAGTTGGCGACCATTGCAGTGTCGGCGGCGTCGTTTACGTCGGCGTCGGGAAGGACAAGGAGCGGGCTCTTACCGCCAAGTTCCATGGTGACACTCTTCATTGCTGCTGCGGCTTCGCGTGCGACAATGGAACCGGTACTGACCTGCCCGGTAAAGCTGACCTTGGCAATCCCAGCATGAGCAACCAGCGGAGCTCCCACGACACTGTCACCGTAGACGACATTGAACACGCCTGGTGGCAGGCCAGCCTCGATGTAAATCTGTGCCAGAGCGTTGCCGTGCAGAGGGGTCACTTCGCTGGGCTTGTAGACCATACAGTTGCCTGCCGCAAGGCAAGCGGCCGACTTCCACAGGCTGGACAGTCAGTATCTTTTTCAGAGTCCCAGTCTGGCTCACGCAATCTGGATGGGATAGTTCCATGCGCCGATACCAGCACACACGCCAAGCGGCTCGTGTGTGGTCCGGATCTCGGCACCGCTTGGACCCGGGCGCAGGACCGTCGACTGGCCGTCCAGCCCGCCAGAGGCGACGTGGTAGGCGTAGTACTCGAGCACATCGGCGCCAGTCACAATGTCGACGGTCGAGGTCTCTGACCATGCTTTGCCAGTGTCCAGCGTCTCGGTGTGGGCGAGGGCGTCATTGCGTTCACGGAGCAGCGTTGCGGCCTTGAGGAGTACGCGGGCGCGGGCAGCAGGAGGCGTACGTGACCACCCTGCAAACGCATCCTGACCAGACTTGACAGCGGCGTTCAGCTGGTCTGCCGTGGTGGTGTAAATTGTTGCCAGCGGATGGCCGGTGCTGGGGTCGATGGACTTGAAGGACGCCGACGACGACGTCTCTGGGTGTGGCTTGCCGTCGTAGAATGTATGGATCTGGTCTGCAAAAGTCATGGTGGCCGGCCGTAGACAATGGTGTTGGGTTGAGGAAAGAAAGAACGTGAGGTCCGCTTGTGGTTATCGACGTCGACCGTGGTGGGGGTGGTGGTGGGGTCAGTGTCATTTGGTTTGAAACCATCACCTGACCGCCTGAAATCGCAGCGCGTTCTGGCACGAGAGGCACATCTCTCTGCTGCAGAACCCCTCTCCGTCAAGCAAGACAATTGCCATGCACATATGCCAGGGCTGTGAAGGGATTGAGAGAGTGGGTCCTGTGTCTAGCCTGTCTCGTGTGGTCGCTTAATGGGCACCTTGACGTCATCACGTACGGGGGTTCGTCGTTGCTCTGCTGCCCTCTCTCTCAGCCACCGCTTCTTTGGTCTTTGGGGTCACTCTACAATACGCCTCTGCTCGTGTGCGCGCAGCCGCAGGCGCGGGGGGGGGGTCTTTTTCGCGCCGTCATTGCTCGCCTTGGCAGAGGTGCTTGGGTTGTGCATTCAAGGTGTGTGTGTGAGCGTTCCACATGCCGCAACCCTTCCGCACATGCTCTCGGCGCCCAGGATGTTTCACCAGCCACATGATCTCCCTCTCTCTCGCCGATTACGTCGTTTACGTCGTCCGCCCCCGCCTTACCGTGCTTACCATTTCCTCGTCAACCCCCCGGGTCACCGCACATTGCCTGCAGGTGTTCAAACGAGGGGGGGGGGGGGGGGGCAGGGGGGCGTGGCACGAGCGATTGGGTTGGAAACGAGGCTCTCTCCCATGTCACTGATATGATATAGACAGCGGGCTACCATGCTCACACAGAGCGTTCTTCCACCTTCGCCCTCCTTCCACTCGGATCCCCCGCTCACCATGGACACGCAAACCACTCTTCCTGCGTCGGCCCTCGATGGCCACTACGACTATATCATCGTCGGTGGAGGCACAGCCGGCTGTGTTATCGGCTCTCGGCTCTCGGCATATCTCCCCCACCACCGTGTGCTCATCATCGAAGGCGGCCCCTCCGACTTTAACAACAACCAAGTGCTCGACCTGCGCCAGTGGCTGACGCTACTTGGCGGTGACCTCGACTACGACTATGGCACCACCGAACAGCCCATGGGCAACAGCCACATCCGCCACTCGCGTGCAAAGGTCCTCGGTGGCTGCTCGTCTCATAACACGCTCATTTCGTTCCGTCCGTTTAAACGTGACATGGACGCGTGGGTGAGCAAGGGATGCGACGGCTGGGACTTTGACAACATGATGCGCTTGACCGACAAGCTGCGCAACTCTGTCCAGCCCGTCCACGCCCGCCACCAGAACGCCCTCTGCAAAGACTGGGTCCAGTCGTGCTCGACCGCTCTTAACATTCCCGTCCTGGACGACTTCAACGCTGAAATTCGCCGCAAGGGCAAACTACACGAGGGTGTCGGCTTCTTCTCAGTCTCGTACAACCCCGACAATGGCTTCCGCAGCAGCGCATCGGTCGCCTACATTCACCCTATCCTGCGCGGTGACGAAAAGCGTCCCAACCTCACCGTCCTCACCGAGGCATGGGTGTCCAAGGTCGTCGTGCGCGACGGTGCCGCTACGGGCGTCGATGTTACGCTCAAGTCGGGCGACAAGTTCACCCTAAAGCCGTCACACCGCGGAGAGATTATCCTGTGCGCTGGTGCTGTCGACACTCCTCGCCTCATGCTGCACTCTGGTCTCGGTCCAGCGTCCCAGCTCAAGTCGCTGGGCATCCCCGTCGTAGAGGACATTCCGGGAGTGGGCGAGAACCTCCTCGACCACCCAGAGACCATCATCATGTGGGAGCTCAACAAGCCTGTGCCGCAGGGCCAGACGACAATGGACTCGGATGCGGGCATCTTCCTTCGCCGCGAACCCGTGGCAGGCGACGTCGACGACGCTGCCGACATTATGATGCACTGCTACCAGATCCCGTTCACTCTCAACACTGAGCGCCTCGGCTACCCCGTCATCAAGGACCGGTATGCGTTCTGCATGACGCCCAACATTCCTCGTCCCCGCTCGCGCGGCAAGCTGTACTTGACCTCTGCCGACCCAAGCGTCAAGCCTGCCCTCGACTTCCGGTACTTCACCGACCCGGAGGGATACGACGCGGCTACCTTTGTCGCAGGCATCCACGCCGCGCGCAAGGTTGCTCAGCAGAGCCCGTTCAAGGAGTGGCTCAAGGAGGAGGTCGCCCCTGGCCTAAAGGTGCAGTCGGACGAGGACATCAGCGAATACGCTCGTCGCGTCGCGCACACCGTCTACCACCCTGCAGGAACCACCAAGATGGGTGACGTCAAGAGGGACCAGTACGCCGTGGTCGACAGCAAGCTCCGTGTGCGCGGTATCAAGGGCCTGCGCATTGCGGACGCGGGCGTGTTCCCCGACATGCCCTCGATCAACCCCATGCTCACAGTGCTGGCTGTGGGTGAGAATGCGGCCGAGATGATTGCTCAGGAGCAGGGCTGGAAGGGTGACAACGCTGGTAGGCTGTAGGCTATCCTCGAGAGCCAAAACAAATCAAAAGGCAGCGACAATAGTGTCCTCGCTCGATGACTATTTATAGTGTGATGGATATGGGTGATATGGCTCACAAGTTGGTAGACTGTACTCGCGCCTCGCAAAGCATCAGCGTAGACGTGGCCTTGCCAATTGCCCATTGCCAATGCTTCCCCAGCGACGGACATCGGAACCGTTGGCTTGAGAATTCCCGAGTGGCACACCGAGGAGGCGCAGATCTCGTATCATTTTGACAGCAATCTCGGAAGAGACTGGCGCCGGCTGTACCGAAGTGTGGGAAACCGGCGGCAACGGAATGTGGCGGCGTCCAGGCGTCCAAACGTCCAGCTTGCAGTGGTTGGACACCAGCCATGGGGCCCAGCACTTGGCACGCGACAGACAGGATCTTGTGTCTCTCTCGCGGCGCGCAATGGCGGGTGGCAGTGACGAGGATGAGTGCCGTGTAGACGAGACGCTATCCTTAACAGACTGATTCGAAGATGACCTAACCACCTATTCTTCCCCTCAGCCGTATTGCCAGCGGAAATATTCCCACTGCATCAGCTGTTGTATCACGGGCCTCTCGTAAGAGCAACAGCCAGCAGGCACTTCCTCTACTCTGACACCCTCCCCTCCACCCGGCTCGAATCAGATTTGGGCACTCAGAATTTCCACGCCCGACAATGCCCAGCCCTTCACTGGGAACACCCCTGCGGGACTACACCAAATGCAGCTCAAAGATTTCATCGGAATGTGGTGCGGATAACAACGTTGGGAGCCAGTACGAATGCCATTGGTATCTGTGTAGAGTCAGCGCAAGTTTCTCAGACGAGTAGTGCTTTTCGAGCATGACCTCACGGCACAAGGGTGCCAGTCAGAGTCTAATTAATCGGTCATCACTGAAACTTACCATCTATGAAGAGACCTTGTTGTTCGAGTGTAGAATGGATGGACAACACAGAGATGACAACACAGACAGCTAAAAGGTTGCGGCGCAGGACGCGGACAAAGTTTTGGTGCGAGGTTGGTTTGATACTGGGAGACCATAATGACGTGTACAGCATTGTTTGGTTCCAGGCGTGCCTATCCTCGGGAAACACTCACAGGGAGCAAACTGTACGATATCTCGACGACGACGACGACGACGACAACGGTAACGACGACAACGACGCACTGAGACCCTTGGGGATGCGAGCATTCGGTGGTAGACGGTACCTCTTCCGAAAGTGGTCCGCACCCTCCCACATGGGCCCAGCACGTGCGGGCGGCCGCTCACGTCCGGGTGGATCGTGTTGGGCACGATGAATCTCCCGTGTTGCGCTCGTATTCATACGTGTATGTAAAGTGGTGTTTCCCCTTCTGCTGAATGATGCGGGCACCGGCGAGCCTATGCGTCCTGTCCGCGTGCCTTTCATGAACATGCGCGGCAGGAGGTCGTTGACCTGAAAGTCACAAACGGTACTGCCTGGACTCACCTCCCACTTGGACCATTCCATTCCAGTCACCTGGCCGCGGATGAAGTGGCTCCACCCACCTTCTGGCGTCTTTCTAGCCGATCTTCTTCCGCGAGTCGCTGACGCGGAGATGGTACGGCTGCGAGTCGTGGTGCTGGAAGGAATCCTCTCAGACACGGGTCTCATCTGAATCACTGGCTCATGTGCCCTACCACTGGGCTGATCCCTCTCACACCAACGTCGAACGCTTGTATGGCCAACGAAGATTGGGGTGAGCTTCGGTCCATAGGCTTTGTCCACGGATATGACAGTAGACATACATTCTCGACGAATTTCAACTATATTCACCCATAAAAAGGCAACAGTACTACTTGGCCTCAGCAGCCTTGATTGCGCCTTCCTCCGCGGCCTTTCCACTCCCATGGACATGTTGGACCTTTTCAAGTGGCGCGTCGACAACCCAGTCCATTTTGTAAGCCGGGTCTTTGATCAACATGATGCCGACCAAGGCCAATACCACGGCCGGGATCGTCGCCCACCAGATTCTGTTGTAGGCGTACGAACTGGCTTCAGCATTGGCTGCGCTTGCCGCTCCGAGAACCTCTGGAGTGAGACCGGGGACGGAGGACGTGTCGTGGCTGAGCAGACCGACAATGAGTGCGCCAATGTTACGCATGTCGAATCCAAGGGGGGCAACGGCGGCAGCCACTTTGGCCGGCATGCGAGCGTTGTAAATGTTGTTGTATATGACAGAGCTGATACCATAACCAACAGTACCGCCAAGGAAGCGTGCAGAGATGGCGAGGGATGAGGCGGCACCAATAAAGAGTGGTGGAGCGGACAGTTGAACCAGTGTCATGAGCATCATGAGAAGCGAAGAAAAGCCCAAGCCGGCCACACCGTTAAACGCCAGCGCGCGAATCCAGGATTCGGCCGTGGTAGTGGCCAGGCCAATGGTGGCGACGAGGAAAGCGAGAATACCAAACACCACGGGCCACTTGAGGTCTTTGCGGAGGGTGGAGTCTAAAGTCAGGTTCAGGCCAAACGGGATGACGACTTACAGATCGCAAACATCGGCGTGAACACCATGGTGCAGGCAAACATCGGGATCATTGAAGCTGCTTGCTTGAGAGCCGGGGCGGTCGCGAACCACACCCCGACTGCCTCCGCAGAGTACATGTTGTTGATGGCGTAAAACATGTGGCCCTCGACAGCAAACGTGAAGATGAGCAGCGCAAAGTTGTTGCCTTGGCGGAACATGGCGTGATGGAGGAAACCCGTAGATGTACCCTTCCACTCCCAGACTAGGCAGGCAATGAAGGCCAACGGGGAAGTCAGTTAACGGGTCAAGAAGATATTCGGCTACGACAGTGCCAGACGATGTGGATACTCACGACAGCCCCAGCGACCACGCATCCGTATGCGTGGGGGTCCGACCAGCCATAGTTAATGTCACTCGCCCAAGCGAATCCCATCAGGAGAGGTGCAAGGCCGCCGGTGAGCAACCCGTAACCGACCCAGTCGAGGTGGGTAAAACGTTGCCAACGTGTGAGGCCAGAGTGTGTGCGAGGGGGAGGGTTGTAGAGGAAAGCATAGCCAAGGAACATCAGGCCGTTGCAAATGAGCTGCGCTCGCCAAGTCCAGCGCCACCCATCCACCGGATCGTTGTCCACAGCCAGAGACACAAAGATTAGGGCACCAATTGCGCCCATGCCAGCGAAGACGGATAGAATGCCTTGGATGATGGACCGGTAGTGGGTGGGGACGACCTCGGAGGGTACGGCGAACAGGAGGCCAGAAATACCGGCCGCAACGCCATTGAGGGTCTGGCCAACGATAACAACGTCAATGTTGTGGGCTGTCATGCACACAATGGAAGCAATGGCTCCCAGGAGGGAGAGGATGACCATGGCGTTCCTGCGTCCGTAAAGGTCTGCGATGATTGCCACAATCGGGCCCGTGACAATGGATGGGATGCCCGCGGCCTGTACGATCCAGATTCTCTTGTCGTTGCCATTCAGAGCGGCGGCAATGGTGTATGCGTTTGAGGCGGGAGCGACGGCGTACCAGGTGTTGTTGAACTGTGCAACGGCCGTGACTAGAATGACAAGGATGGCCTTGAGGGGGATTGCCTGTCGCTCGTTCGGGTCCTGACCCATCGAGTCCAACACTGTGAGTTGTTGGGCATCGACGGGGTCGACGGCGTACGACAGGTCGCCCTCGTCGTTTGTCACGTACTCTATGTGGTCAAGTTGGTGCTTGTCCATGGCGTGTGGGGATGTGTGTGCAAAGCCAATGATGGTCGCAACGTTGTACTTTATAGACGGACGACCTGGAGTCCCATGGGCGGGGCCACATGAGCACCCCGCATCGTGTTGCAGGGCATGTACAGTACATGTGCATGTGGGTGTTGCCGGCGCCGACCGTTTGCCACCTTTTGATGCCTTGACGGAATGCCACAAACGGACGAGCCTCTGGTGGTCCCTCGGAACGACGCGCCGTTCAATTGGACAGACGTATGTCCAGCGGCCCGCCAGCGGAATGACGGATCGCCGGCTTCACGCTTTCCGTAAAAATGGTGCGGTGATAACCTCGGTCGCGTCGCGTTCGATCAGGTCAGACACTGGAGCCAGAGGCCCCCACACCGCCAAGCATGCGGGGGCAGCGGGGGCAGCGGGGGCCGGCTGGAGCACCCCGGCTCGGGAAGCTCGCAGCGAAAGGATCGGGTAAGCGTTCCACACACGATAGCCATTCAGTTTGTTATTGTCCGTCGATGCAGTTGTACTACTCCCCACACCACGTACTGTGCTCAACCTCAAATACCATGTCAAATCCAAGTGACCAGCGGGGGCCGCCCACCAGCCCCGGGGAGGGGCGTCCTATGAAGCGACAGAAATATGCCCCAAAGGCGTGGTACGTCCATGCAGCACCTCTCCCCGCTGACGTTTCAGCGAGCGCTGTCGAAAGCGCAAGCTCAAGTGCTCTGGGGAGCAGCCATGCGGGCGGTGCCTTCACGTTGGACACCCTTGCTCGCTTGTTGATGAAGTGGTGGTGCCAGGCGACAACAGAGTGGCTGGAGCACCGTCATCGCCAGCAGACAGCCCGACAGAGACCATGAAGAAGCTGCTCGCGCGCCTGGACAGCGTTGAGCAGGAAGCTGCAGCCCTTCGTCTATCGATTGCAGCGCTGGCCACTGGCCATCTCCAATACACCTCGGACTCGATTCGTTCCATTTCAGACTATTCGGGCGGCTCCCTGGTGGAGCAGCTCTCGCCCCACAAACAGCCCCGCTTGACGTATGAAGGTGGGTCTGGGTCATCGGGTCATGCATCACTGACTCCCAAAGCTGTGCGCTCCCCGTCCGGCCTGGAGGTCGACGTCCGTGAAAAGGCAACCTCGGTCCGGGGCCATTCACCAGCGAGCACCTTTGCCTCCACTGCACTTCCTGGTCAAGCAAGCTTTCTCAGAGTCAAGTGCGGCGAGGTGACCTGTCTTCTTCCTCCCCACGCGACTCACCAGCGTTACCTCGACTTCTTCTTTACCTACCTCAGCCCGTTCCACCCTTGCCTGAATGAAACCCACTTTCGAAACCGCTGTGAACGCCTCTACAAGGAAGCGTTTTCCGATCCCAATGACGATCTGCCGATCCTCCGGTCCACGGCTGCCTTGTTCTTGGCTCTCCTGTTCTCAGTTTACGCCTGTGTGGATGTTCTCCGGCTGCCGCCGACTACTCATGACGACTCGCGCCGCCCAGGTTACATCTGGTACTGCCAAGCTCAGGAGCTAGTGAATAACAAGGACGTGACGATGATAGGATTCGACCTGGCGCCAATCCAACTTCTGATCCTACAGGTGAGCTTGGCAACACCGTTCAAGACTGACTGATATCCAGGCCCTGTTCCAGTGCCATAGCGCCAACATCGCCTCGGCGTATGCAATCATCGGCCGCGCTTGCCAGCTGTGTCTTGAACACGGCCTAAATGATTCAACGCGCTGGGCTAGGCAGCGGACGCCATTTCAAATCCACATGTCTCAACGAGTCCTGTATACTGCCGTGGCCGTGGACCGCAGGCTCTCGCTCATGCATAGCGAGCAGTATTCAATGCGACTGGAAGACTTCACCATGGTTCAGCCAGCAGCCCTGGATGACCGCGAAGTTATTCCCGACGAGCCTCTACCGCGTCCCACCGAGAGGAGCGCTCTTCAGCCGTACCTCACGCAGTTTGTCGAGTCTGGAGTGTACGCTGGAGAGGCATGGGATTCGGTCATGGCTGCGAATGCGCCTTCTCTCGGTCGTTCGGCAGCGGCTGACCTCATGGATGCACGGCTGGTGCAATGGCTGAAAGACTTTGGGCCGTCGGCCACCGCTACAACGACCGACACCCAACGTCAGCAGCGGTTTATCCTGCGAACAGTATGTCAACTGCGTGTTTAGGTTGTCGGCTAACTAGGGCAGATGTGTTTGGCACTTCGAATCATGCTGCAACTGCGACACATTGTTACCCTGTCATATGACAACCAATGTGGAGAGTTGTGCGGAACAGTGGCTTGTGAGCTCGTCACGGAGGTGTACGAGGCCACTTTGCTGCCCACATGGAGCACGAGTTATTACCTCAAAGCGCATGTCGCCTCCATCATTCTTTCGTCCACCATCGTGCTTTCCATCCTCGTCATTCGTCGTCGGGCATCTGAAAGGCAACACAACTACGAGCTATGCTTGCAACGAGCGGTCAAGATTGTCAACGATATTGCGGCGACGCTGTCGATCGGCGCATTCTCTCAAGGCTACTTGGCTGGTCTCGTTCGTCTGGCCACCTCGAGCATGTCAGGCAAGTCTCCACATGACGTCGGAGCAGCATCGGTAGATGATCTGGAAGACCTCCTTGCGGCTGAGATGGCCAAAATAACGACCTTGGGTGATACCGATGCTCCAGGCCTTCTCAATGTCCATTCCTTCATCCGTGTTTCGCCAGACATACCACTGGAGTTGGACGAGTTTTCATGGGACTGGCTGTTCGACACATTTACTCAAGAAGGCTTAGCATAATGTATGCATGACGCTTTGGCTTGGCAATTAGTGGTCAGTTGGGCGGTAGCGACCTAGACACAAACCACTTCCCGCTGCGCACCACATGCCGATGTGGACTGTTGAGACCATTGCATTGACCCGTGTGTATCACACCCCACACCTGCCGTAGCTATTCTCTGCTGGGTACGGGAGTAAGCATTTCTATTCCCATCCTCCCCGACACCGCAATTTGCGTGGTCGTTTCTATTGATGTGGCTGAAATGGTCACTGCCGGGTGCTGGCCTGTGTCGGCTCGATCGGCTCGACAACTGGCCTGGGTGCCCGAATTAGGCGGCTTGTTCGTGCCCAGCGTGCAACCACCTGTCACGTTACATCGGCGACCGTGAACTCGCAGAGGCACCCAACGGTCGTGGATGCGAAAGAGGAAATCCGGGATCGGATGGACTGATGTCACTGCGCGGGGACCCTCGTCGCTCGTCGACGTCTGTCCTCCGTCAGGTGTGGGGGACTCGGCTATAACCCACAGTGGCCGTGCGAATCTGATATCTGGTGAGATATAAACCGGCGTTGGGGTTGCTTCAACTGCCTGTCACTCATTAAGTCATCTCCTCACCACAGTTATGCATCTCCCCGACGTCGAACAGAAGAGGTCAATCCTCGATGACCGCAGGGCTGCGACCAAACCACCGGTGTGAGTTAGTTGTCTGTAACGGAGATCGATGCGTCTCTCTGACAACCCACAAGGCCTCAGCCTCGCCGAGGCAAGTATGGTAATGACATTCTTGGACCTACCAACCCCGATCGTGCTCGCCAGGTGCCCGACATGATCCGGCCCCCAAAGACGGACGGGGGTAAACTGGCCAACATGAAGTGGTCGTTCACCGACTCTCATATGCGCCTCGAGGAAGGTGGCTGGGCGAGAGAGACGACGGTCCGCGAGCTGCCCACCTCGGTAGAACTGGCTGGCGTCAACATGCGGCTGGGGCCTGGCGTCTACCGTGAACTGCACTGGCACAACGAGAGCGAGTGGGCATACATTATCGAAGTGGGCACACGCGCGACCTTGTTCAGGCCGATGCTGACGTCATAGGGCGAATGTCGCATTACCGTGCTCGACACCAACGGAGGGTCGTTCATCGACGACCTGAAGAAGGGAGACCTGTGGTACTTCCCCACAGGCTTCCCGCACGGCATCCAAGGTCTTGGCGACCGGGGTGTAGAGTTCCTGCTCATATTCGACGATGGCAACTTTTCTGAAGACTCGACGTTCCTCTTGACCGACTATTTAGCCCACACACCCGTGGACATTCTCGCCAAGAACTTTAGAGTCTCTGAAGACGTGTTCTCGACCTTGTCCAAGAGGGAAAAGTACATTTTCCAGGGCTCAGACCCTGGTACGCTGTCGGATGCTCGCAAGGAGGTCATTCCCTCAAAGCTTCAGTTCACACACCGGATGCTCGAGCAAAAGCCGGCCAAGTTCCCCGGCGGTGAAGTGCGCATCACGGATTCCACCAACTTTACCATCTCCAAGACCACTGCTGCCGCCCACGTCGTAGTGTATGAAGGTGCCCTTCGTGAGATGCACTGGCACCCGAACGCCGACGAGTGGACCTTCTTCCTCCAAGGGCATGCCCGCGTGACAGTGTTCGCGTCCAACGGAGTGGCCAGGACGTTCAACTACATGGCCGGCGACGTGGCTGTGATTCCCAAGAACAATGCCCACTATGTGGAGAACATTGGCGAGGGCGACCTCGAGTTTCTCGAAATGTTCAGAGCGGCGCGGTTCGAGGACTTTTCGACCGAGCAGTGGCTTGCCCAGACGCCTGCTCTGGAAGTTGCCGAGCATCTCAACCTCGGCGGCGCGCGGTACGAAGAGTTCTTCAACAGCCTCAGCAAGAGAAAGGTGCCCGTCAAGGCGTCTCGTCGTAGCTCGTTCTAGGCGTACGCAGCAGTGTCTATATGGTCTACTATATTGATGCATGCATGACCCGTTATCCGTGAACCGTGCTGTTACGACCGGTCCGGCTCTTAAAACGCGTGCACGGTGACGTCATCTATAGCACACCCCACCACATCGGCGTTTCAAGGCAATGTCAATCAATCGTCCGAACGCACGACGTTTCATCCCGTCCCCCCAACGGGCCAACACGACACAACAACGGCCTGTATCTCCATTCCCTCCATCTCTCTGTCGCTCATCAACATGCCCAAGGTAAGCATCGTGGAAGCCAAACCATTTCAGCCCAGGCCCCGGTGGCTCTACAGTGTAATCTCTCTGCAACCCAATCTGACACGGCGTAGGTCACCACTCTGCTTTTCGACTGCGACAACACGCTGGTCCTGTCCGAGGACATGTCCTTTGCAGGCTGTGCAGCACTCGTCAACGAAATGTGCGAGGGCAAGCACCTCGACCTGCCCCCTTTCACTGGCGACACCCTCATGCGACAGTTTGTCGGTCAGAACTTTCGTGGTATCATGAAGACTCTCCAACAGCAGTACGGCTTCACGCTCTCGCATGACGAGACAGAGAGCTATGTCCGTCGTGAGGTCGATAACCTTGTCGCCAGGATCCACGTCGAGCTCGAGCCATGTGAGGGCGTTGACGCTGTGCTGCGCGATGTGCAAGAAAAGTATACGCTTGCTGTCGTGAGCTCGTCCGCGATGCCAAGGGTCCAGGCCTGTATCAACAAGGTCAACCAGGCCCAGTTCTTTGGCGACAGGGTGTATTCGGCAGCCACCAGCCTCAACCCGCCCACGACCAAACCCGACCCAGCCATCTACCTCCATGCCATGAAGGAGCTTGGCGTGCATGCATCAGAGTGCGTCGCTATCGAGGACAGCCGCAGCGGCACGCTTTCCGGCACCCGCGCGGGAATCAAGGTTATTGGGTACGTGGGTCCGTACCCGGCCCACGAGCGCGAGGATATGGCCAAGGCGCTGAAGGACGCCGGGGCGGTGATAATCATGGACGATTGGCGTGATTTCGAGACGGTGCTGGCCAAGCTCGAGGCGGGGTCGGTCTAGGTAGTCTCCATGTGACACTGTGGGTGGAGGGGCGGCCGAGCCGTTGCTGGTACCGGGTATGAATCAAGTGTTGGCGGCTTGGCGGCTCTCGACCTCGGCCCGCAGATGCCGAACAGCGATGGGCCATTGAGCAGCGCGGGGAATGTCACCCGCCGCCACCATATGCCATATGCAAGCAGCCGTCAGCCACGACGCGGCACACTCATGCCCGCGTTGCCCCAGCCTCAGTATGAGCGCGTGAGCTCTCGGGGCCCCGAGAAGGAGCCCACAGGCCACATGCCCCACATGCCATGCAGGCCGTCTCTTACGCGCTGCCCGACGAGACCGTGTTCGAAATACCCGATGACCGTCCCCGAAGTCGCCACCATATAAAACACACCAAGTCGTCACCCATGCATCGGTCTTGCTCTCGTCAGCCAACCCCACGGAACCCCCAGCTGGGCCCCACAGATTCACCATGTCCCAAGCACAGCAACTTGTCGATGCTGTCCTCGAGTCGCCCACCAAGTGGCTCGCTGTCGCCGGCGCCGTCAGCCTCGTCACATACACCCTCTACCTAGTCTTCCTGAGCCAATATTTCTCCTCGTTCTACAACCTCCCTGGCCCACCATCCGCACACTGGTTCTGGGGCAACAAGGGCGACGTGTTGAAAGGCATGATGAGATCACAGATGTTGTGGGGAGACACGTTCGGACGCACATACCGCACACACTCGCTGTTGGGTAACCTCGAGGCTACCACCTCGGACTTCAAGGCTATCACGTACGTTCTGGGTCACCCGGATCTCTTCATCAAGCCAAAGGGGCCCAACCTCCTGCTCAGCGACGTCTTGGGCAAGGGTCTCGTCACGGTGGAGGGACACACACACCGTCGCCAGCGTCGCGTGTTAAACCCAGCTTTCGGCTGGATCCAGGTTCAAGGCATGGCACCGATGATCCTCGACAAGGCGCACATGCTCCGCCGCCGCATGCAGCGCCTCTTGGATGACGCACCAGAGCCCGGAGTTCGTCAGATGGAGATGATTCAGCAACTGTCCGACGTCAGCCTCGACATCATCGGCGCCGCTGGCTTTGACATCGATCTGCATGCACTTGACGACAAGCCAAGCGTTCTGCGCGAGGCCTACACCAAGACGCAGGTTATCGGCGGCAAAATGTCTCCGTTGGTCATGCTCCACTTGCAGATGCCAGCTACGCGCATGGTCACGCCCAACAACCGCAAACGCATTGTCAAAGCCAGCCGCGCGGCCGCGTCGGTGATTGTGGCGGATAGGAAACGCCAACTGGCTGCCGAGGGGACGTCGCTGGAAAAGGCTACTCCGGGCAAGGATGTGCTGTCGCTGTTGCTCAAGGCCAACATGGCGTCCGACCTTCGTCAGGACCAACGCCTCACGGACGAGGAAGTTGTGGACCAGATTGCAACTGTTCTCTTTGCCGGCCACGAAACCACTGCCACCGCCATGACGTGGTGTCTCTACCTTCTCTCCCTCAACCCCGATGTCCAAGATCGTCTGCGAGAGGAGCTCCAAGGTGTTTATGAAGACGACCCCGACTAGTAAGTTGCTCTTCCTTTACCGCGTACTCAGACACACCGCCAGCGAAACTCTGCACGGCCTGCCCTACCTCGACAAGGTTGTCCACGAGTCTTTGCGTCTCGAGGCTCCGGTTCCGTTCTCCTCACGTGTCGCCACTTCCAGCGCTGTAGTCCCTCTGGACACCCCTGTTAGGGGACGCAACGGCAAGCTTATCACAGAACTGCAACTTTCCAAGGGCGACCTTATCGCCATTCGTGAGTAGCTGAGCGTTACATGCGTTGACAGTAGCAGCGATTGCGTACATTAACCGAATGACTGAAACCTGGGGACCTGATGCGCGCGAGTTCAACCCCGATCGCTTCGACCGCACAGACAAGAGGGCAAACGTTCCCGGTGTCTGGGGTAACATCATGACCTTCCTCGCCGGACCTCACAACTGCATCGGCCACCGCCTCACCATTATCGAGATGAAGGCTATGCTGTTTGTCTTCCTGCGCGCCTTTGCCTTTGAGATCCCCCCCAACAAGCCCGAAATTGGTCGCACTTGGCTGTGAGTGAAATACCACTGCGAAGCGTTTCTGACTCGCATCAGTGTCATTCAACGCACCATTGTTGTTGGCGAAGAGGCCAAGGGTCCGCAGATGCCGCTCGTTGTGCGCGCACTGTGAGCACCGCCTCAGCCATCCTGTATGTACACTTTCACCTTCCCATAGTACTCGTGCCCGCACTGTACAAACCACACGTGTCTGCCCCGTGTTGAAAGGTCCAACCGTTCATATGTGTCAGTCAAAACACATCCAAACCCATGCCGTTCGTCGTATGCGGTGTGTCAACGGCCGGGGGGTAGTCGCATCCAAGGTGCAATTGCTGCTTATTGGATGCACACTTTGAACGTCCACTGGAAGACCTGTACAGGCTGTTGTTCTCAGAGGGGACACTGGAAGGTCGTCAGAAGACCACGGGGATTCTCATCGGTCTCGAAACGAGCCGGAGCCTGTTCGACACCCAGCTCGTCATGCACTCCTGCGGCCGTTCCAGCTTCCTGTTGCTGAGCTTGCTCTCACGTAGGACTCCAAGCATCTGGCAAATGAGCTGGCGCATGCAGATACCCGCACGTGGCCGGCCCTAGCCTCACGTCTCACGTCCTTACGTCTCACTGAGGAATGCAGCCTCGCGTTGAAGTGGGGCAGGCACCGGGAACGCTAACAATACGCCGTGGTATGGTACAGCACGTCCAGGTCACTGGATGTCACTGGTTGGGGGGTCGCCGTGCCCTCAGGTTGGATGGACATGTTTGACCAGGGCTGGGAGAGAATGTGAAAGAGGGCCAAAAGGAGCATCCTAGGGCCTGTGAATGCTGACGAAGTAAGTCCTTGTCCATGTTGCAGCGAGTGGTGTGTGATGCATCTGTTTGCCGGTAGCTGAGACCCTAGTTGTCCTGGTCGTCTTCGTCCTCGCGCCACTCGAGGAACTGCGCAGCAGTCTGGTAAGGTAGGCTCTCAAGGAACGCCGTCATAGTCGTGTTCAGTTGCGCGAGCGTCACGGGCCGAGTGGTCTGCAGCGAGTAGTGGTCGCCACGTTCGTGGACGACGCAGAGGTCTTCGGGGAGCCTCGAGCCCTCTTGAAGACCATACACCATGGGGCTGCCTGGATAGTTGCGGAGAATGCGATCCATGTTGGGTCCAATGGGACGGAGGGACATGCCGTTCGGGGTCGTGTACGAAGCTCCAACAGGCATCGGGTGGACCAGGCCGTCTCTGCGCAGCTTGAGATCAAACGAGGTGCGGCCCTTTGCCATCTGGTCGGCGTGGCTGCGGAGCGTCGCAGGGAGGCGAGGCTGAATGCGGAACAGGGTCATGGGAAGCTCGGTGAAGCGCTCGCTGCATCTTGAAGAGGCTGAGGGAACAGTACATGGTGGACCAAAGACGTCGAGAGAGGCGGTGACACAGACGACACGGATTGAGGAAAGATTTCAAACCTAGAGAACGACAGACCGAGAGCTGAGGAGTGAAGAGATGAAAGGAAACTGTTAAACTGGCCGGATGCGGGTGCGTTCAAGGGGATACAGTAAATGGCCCATTCAAATCTGTAGATGATGACCATGTAATGGCATTACAACTTCGTTCTAATACCAGAAAGATCCCGGAAAGCAATGTCAAAGGCCATCTCCTTGGCCTCCAACTGGTACTGGGGCTGCACTCCTGGACCGCATGACGCCGTACCGATACCGTGGACAGCGGTGTCAATGTTGAGCCACATTGTACCACTGTCCTCGAGGTCGATCGTGTGTTGTGCCGCCTCGAGAGCCTCAGTCGTCCATGGCCTCGCGGCGATCGCGAGACCGTGGCGGTTGCTGTCGTCACCCACGTACTCTACGCGGAGACCGGCACCGCGCTCGGATCCATGGAACTCGGCCCACTGGACGCCAGATCGAGACCCGTTCTCTTGAGGGTAGACGTATGGCGTTTGCCAACCGTCGAGGGTGCCGTTGAAGAGGCCGACGCGAGCGGCAGCACACGTGTCGGGGTAGCTCTCTCCAGGTCCGCGGCCAAACCAGGAAATCGTTTCGAGCTGGCGCGGAAGACCGAGTCGGACACCCATGCGCGGGAGCGGGACACCCTGCCAGTCGCCCGTGGGCACAACGTGGACACGGAGCTGCACACTTTCCTGCGCAGTTGCCGTCCAGTGGTATGTGGCGACCAGACCCCTGTCGGATGAGGCCGATGCAACACGCGTAAAGACGACTAGCTGCTGGTTGTCCACTTCAATGCCGTCGACGCGGTGGATCATGCGATGCAGGCCCGCATCGTGCCACACGGAACCATAGTTGCGGCCGTCAGCGCGGTCGCCGCCGCGGTCGTTGTCGGTGGGTGCGCGCCATATGTCGAGGACACAGCCAGACGTGACAGGCAGTTGCGCTCCAAGGGACAGGAGTTGTCCACGAGCTGAGAACCGCGCGTTACCGAGTGAGACAGTCCCATCGTCGTGCTTCCTAGGGGCGAGGGCGACGGGTGTGATGGTAGGGATGGTGCGAGGAGGAGCAAGAGAGAACTGTCCCCACGCAACCTCATGCCCGGCCGATGCCCAAGGTGTAGACTCCGCAAGCACCACTGCAACGGTCACCCACCACTGCTTTCCAGCGTCGACGTGGAATGCTGGCAAACGGACTGTCGTGCTCTTCCCGGCTGGGATGACAGGAACATCCAAAACACCTTCCCGCACAATAAAACCGTCCACCTCCAGTTTCCACTTGAAGTGGAATGCCGACGTATCGACCATGTCGTACTTGTTCTTGATGAAGACTTCCGTATTGGTCTCCAGCAGAGTGATTGAAACTGGCTCGACGACCTTTTTCAGTTCCAAAAGTCCAGGGCTTGGCTGGCGGTTTGGGAACAGAAGGCCATCGCAGACAAAGTTGCCGTCATGGATGGTCTCTCCAAAATCACCGCCGTACTTGTAATATGTTTCGCCCTTGGGGCCAGTAGCAGGAATGCCATGGTCGATCCATTCCCAGACAAAACCGCCCTGCAGTCGGTCGTAGGTGTCAAACAGTTGCTACATGGTCAGCAGCTGTCCAGTAGGGTTTCGAGTCCAACTCACCCGGTACTCTTGCAGGCCGCCTGGTCCGTTGCCCATTGCGTGGGCATACTCGCACATAACGAATGGGGCATTCCGGCGTCGCTCCAGAGCTGCTGGGGTGTTGAGGTCCTCGACAATACCGCGGCTGTCGGCCTCGTGTTGCGGAATCTCGCCTTCCTCGCCCTTGCCGATGGCCTCGACCAGCCCCTGGGTGGGGTACATGCGGGAATAGATGTCTACGCTCTCCATCGCCCAGTCGCGCTCATAGTGCACCAGTCGACTGGGGTCACGCTCCTTGATCCACTGTACCATGGCGGTAACGTTGCAGCCTGTCCCCGCCTCGTTTCCGAGAGACCAGATGACGACGGACGGGTGGTTCTTGTCGCGCTCAACCATTCGCTTTGTGCGGTCTACAAGGTTGGCCCTCCATTCGGGTGAGTTGGTGGGATTGCCACGCCAGGATACGGCCTCCCATCCATGGGTCTCGAGGTCTCCTTCATCCATCACCCACAGACCGTACTCGTCGCACAAGGAGAGGAACAGAGGGTGTGGAGGATAATGAGAACACCGTACCGCGTTGATGTTGTGTTGCTTCACTGATTGTCAGACCTTGTTCTGAACGTGCAAGGGTACCCACTAAGCAAGATATCTTGGACCATGGTTTCGCGGTCCACAGAGCGGCCCTTGTCGGGATGGAACTCGTGACGGTTCACTCCACGGAGGAGGATCCGGCGGCCATTGACCTTGATCACACCATGGTCAATCTTGACGCTCCTGAATCCGATTCGAATGGGAATGCGCTCAGAGCCAGTATCGAGTTCGGCTGTGTACAGCTTTGGCGACTCGGCAAACCACGGTTCCACGTTGTCAATCACAACATCTTCTCCTGTGGCCGAATCGATGCCAAGATCGGGTACACGAACACGACCTTCTGGCTGGGAGTCGACACGAAAGTTGCCTGTACCAGTTGTGTGGTCATAGGAAGCGTGCACAAAGTGGTCGCAAACTGCGCCTTTGGGTCGGTGCAGGATGGTAACGTCACGGAAGATTCCCGGTAGCCACCATTGGTCTTGGTCTTCAACATATGTGTTTGCACTCCACTGGTGAACGCGAACAGCCAGGGCATTGGCTTGACCAGGGGGTGTGAGAGCAGCAGTGGCGTCTAGCTCAAAGCCGAGTCGCGACCCTCCAGATGTCCCGAGACGGGTGCCGTTGAGCCATACCTTGGCAAACGACTCGACACCATCAAAGCGGAGAATGGTCTAAATGTTAGTTGATACACTGGGCGATAGGGGGGCTCTCACCTGTCCATCACGAGGCCAGTTGGGAGGCAATGTGAAGTTGAGTCGGTAGTCGCCGGTGGGGTTGGCATCGGGCACCCTGGGAGGGTCGATTGGGAAGGGATATCGGATATTCTGATAGGCTGGGGCACCATGGCCATGCAGCACCCATGTGGAGGGAACAGGCAAGTCAGACCAGGCGTCATCGGTGCTCGAATCTTCAGTGCTGTCTTGGGATGCGAACGTATCTGGGACATTGGCCGTTGCCGAAAGTCGGAAGCGCCAGGTCCCATTGAGGGACACTCGGGGTGCGCTGGAGGACTCGTACCAAGCTCGCGGCGGCAAGGTGGTTGTCGAGGGCTCCGGCGACTCGTGTTCTGCTGGGCGCCATGTAGACTTCATGGTTGGGATGAAGTTGACGGCCTCTCCCCCAGTCAACAACGTGCTTTAAGCACAGTCAACATCAATCGCGTTGTTCGACTGTTGCCGATCTTCCTACTCAGATTGCCGATCAACACCCTCACGGCTCAAAATTCCCGTTCGGTGGAGGGCCTCCAGTCGCTGTCACGATGCGCATTGGTCATGAACCTATGGCCGCGGCCCGACGTTGCCGACATGCCGAGAAAGCACCGAATGTGTATGCTTGGTGATGAACTGGGGGGCACCATGTCCGGGTGTGGGGAATGTGGAGAGGCATGGGAAGTGGAGGAGCAAACACCGTCCATGACCGGTGAAGGGCCCCAATGGCCGGTGATGCACATGGCGAGTGGAATGCGGGTTCTCTCCAGACCAGCGTGCACGTCTATCAGCCTCCTGATTCTATGCATGTACATACCACTCCCAACTGCCCGAAATGTAGATCGCTTGCTCCCTCTCGTGCGGTACGTAGTAGTGAACAGCGACCAAAGAAGGCAGGAGAGTATGTCAGTCAGTTCAACACCGGCGGATGTGGCACTTGGTCGTGGTCTTTTCCCTGTACCCGGCCCACTCATTCTCGCAGAGTGGACTTGTTTGCCAACAGCTGCCAAGGATTCCCGTTCGTCAACCACCGGGCCGCTCGGAGAGCACGATATTGCTCAAAGCATCATCATTCTTCCCGTTTTGCGAGTGCTTGGCCGCTGCGGATGACCGTTCAATGGTACTCCTCGGCTTATCTCTTGTAGCGATCGGACTTTATGCACCGTAGCAGTTGTGGGAACCCCACGGGACGGAGGTGGGACACCGAATGAGCCCCCCCTTCCTCCCCAGCCCACCTTGTTTGCATGTACAGCTTAAATACAGCCTTTTGGGGGAGGTCGTCTACTCAGCCCAAAGCCCCATCAGCAACATGTCCCAGGTTGAACGTAAACCGACGCCGCCCCTACACGAGGAGATTGAAGACAAGGCATCCATCAATGACATCTCAAAAGGGGTCGCCATTGCGAACAAGCAGGGTCTTTCGGTGAGTTGCATATGCCTGTCCGCCACTGACGCAACCAGGCCGAGCTAGCTGTGGCAATCGCGGGTACAAACATCGATCCTTGGAGTAGGAACTCATTCAAGCTGTACAGTGAGGCATCCAGTTGAGCGAATTCTGATGTTTCCCAAGTGGCAATCTTCTGCTCCGTCTGTTGCGCATACGCAAACGGTTACGATGGGTCTCTCATGACAGCACTTAATGCCGTGGGTATCGTACAAAAGAACATTCAACTAATCCCTCGGCAGATGAAGCCTTTCCAGAAACAATTCAACATAGGTACCACTGGACCACTCGTCAGTGTCATGTTTTCCCTTTACAGTGTGTGAGTATATCCCACCTCCGACGCTGTTGACATTCTCAGTGGCAACTTCATTGGTAGTACATTTGCGGCCGTAATTACGGACAAGTTCGGACGTCGCAAGGCAATGGCTTCTGGAGCCTGCGTGATTATTGTCGGTTCGATCATCGGCGCCACTGCCAAGCACATTGCGCAGTTCATGGTTGCGCGCTTTATCCTCGGGTTTGGCATCTCGATCATGAGCGTTTCCTCCCCGGCGTACTCTATGGAAGTGAGTGGCAACAGTGGGCAGTACAGAACTAAAACCTCAGATTGCTCTTCCTCAGTGGCGTGGTCGTTGCACCGGCATCTACAACTGCGGATGGTATGCTGGGGCCATTCCATCTGCCGCCGTGACATGTGAGTCGCGTAACACGAGTCACCGGCTGATTGCCTAGTTGGCACCAATTACCTCGCCAGCAACCTCAGTTGGCAGATCCCCGTTGTGCTCCAATGTCTTGCCTGCACTGTTGTGCTTTGCCTGTTTCCATTCATCCCTGAGAGTCCGCGTTACCTGATGGCACAAGGCCGTGTTGAGGAAGTGCACGCTTTCCTTACCAAATATCGTAAGTGCAAATCTCTCAACTGAAATCTGACATCAGACGGCGGTGGGGATGCGAACGCCCCGCTTGTGCTTCTCGAACTGGAAGAAATGCAAGCCAGCATCAGCACAGATGGCATGGACAAGCGCTGGTGGGATTACAGTGGTCTCTTAGCCACTCGTCCCGCACGCTGGCGCACCCTCCAAGTAGCGATGATGGCAGTCTTTGGCCACTGGAGTGGAAATGGACTCGCCTACTTTGCCACGACAATTTACAAGAACATTGGCGTCACCACCGTCACTGCGCAGCTTGGCTACAACCTTCTCTACAGCAGCATGAGCGCTGTAGGAGCGCTCACGGGTGCCCTCCTTACCGACCACATGCCCCGTCGTTACGTCCTTTCGATCGGTTCTCTCGTCCTCAGTGTTATCTTGGGTGTCTTCACTGGGCTGAACGCCATTATCACCGGTGACCTCAAGGCCGGTCGTGCGATTGACCCCAGCCTGGGACGTGGTGCAATTGCCGTATAGTAAGTGTAAACACGGGGTTCTCCGACTGACCAGCAAGTGTTCTATTTGGCATCTCCTGTGCTTTTGTCTACACCCCTCTCCAGGCAGTGGTGACTGTCGAGGCCCTCAGCACACCTATGCGTGCCAAGGGCATTGCGCTCAGCAACATTATCACCCAGGCGATAGGATTCATCAACCTCTTTGCCGGCCCAATCGCCTTGGCTTCCATTGGATACCGCTACATCTTTGTGTTTGTCTTCTGGGATGCGTTTGAGGCGGTGTGCTGGTGGTTCTTTGGGTGAGTCTTTGCGTGTTGCTTCCAGATGTGAACAGAAACTCACAACCGACGCAGTGTGGAGGCCCGCGGCCGCTCGCTGGAGGAGCTCGACTGGATCTACGAGCAACCCAACCCAGTCAAGGCCTCCAAGTCGATCTGAACCAACTCTGGCGAGGTGCGAGGTGCGAGGGAGAACCCGATAGACAAGAATGAATGCAATGTATGGTGAAGGATGGTTATCTCGGTCATGTCCGAGCAGCACTCTTGCATGATTTTGAAACCCGGGGGAAACGACCAGTCGGGTACCTAACAGGGCACACGGCCGTCTTGGCGGCGCTGCCGAGGACGATGCCGATGACAAACGATGCCGAGACGGCACAGACAGACAAACAATCCGCAATCCGAAGACCGATTTCATGCAGATATGCAGCCCAGCTGCTAGCTTCAGCAGAACCTGTAGACGGATGCGCAGGGTCAGGTGACTGGCTGATACGTCGCCGTCGTGCGGTTCCAAGCCATACATGTCTCAGGTGACCGACAGCATCACGTAGGCTATCGCTCGGCCATTCCCGCGGGTGCACAATGGGGAGATGGTGGCCAGGTGTGGCTGCGAGGCACACAATGGCAGTCAGTCACTGCTGCTGCGGAGTTGTGGGGGGGGTTGTGGGGGGCTGGTGGGTCATTGCTCGGTATAAATAAGCGACACTTGGGCCCACATCAAGCCGTCGCCCTCGTTGGTCTCACCCCACCCTCGCCAGCTCCCTTTGCAAACCACCGACTCACCATGGCTCCCATCGAGTACCTCTCGGCGTACGAGGACACGCACAAGTACCGTGAGATACAGGTGCCCCCCACAGCCACTGTCCCCTTTACTCCTCTCCCGCCTTCGCCTTCGCCAGACGCCAAATGCTCCGTTCACATGGTCAAGAACTCGGACCTCACCATGTCGCTTAGCGTGTTCGTCCGCACCAGTGACACCAAGGCTCCCATCGTACTGCCCGTGTATACTTTTGTGGTCGAGGTGAGCCACCCACTACAGCGCCATGTGGTCTGTCTCTCCAGAGCTGACAAGGCAGCACTCATCTGGCCGTCGCATCGCCTTTGACCTCGGTGTCAAGCACCACTTTGAGGACTTTTCGCCTTTCACTCAGTCGGTCATCAAGGACATGCCCATCACTTGGCCCCGTGCGACAGTTCCGGAGATCTTTGAGTCTCACGGCGTAGCCGGCGACAGCATCGAGGCTGTAGTCCTCTCGCACACTCATTTTGACCACATTGGAGACATTGGCCAGTTCCCGACCAAGACCAAGCTCATTGTCGGTCCCGGCACAGGCAAGGCGTCTCTGCCCGGATACCCAACGTTCAAGGACTCGAGTGTGCTCGACTCGGACCTCCCGTTTGGCAGTGACCGCGAGGTCAAGGAGCTTGGTCCCGACGACCCGTGGGTCCCGATCGGTAGCTACAAGGGCATCGACTACTTTGGCGACGGATCATTCTACCTTCTCGACGCATACGGTCACATGATCGGCCACATTGCTGCTCTGGTCCGCACCACCACCAACCCGGACACGTACGTGATCCTAGCTGGCGACTCTGCACACGTCCGCGGCCTCTACTCGTGTTGCCCAGGCTGTGCTCAGCCGCCGTTCCGTGCGGGCCTGTACCCTGCTGCAGACGGTCTCTCGCCATCTGAGCGTGCCCGTGGTGGACTCCTCGCCATCCACTATGACCTCCCGGCTGCGTACGCCAACATGGCCCGTATGGGACGCATGGAGGAGGAGGACAATGTGACTGTTATCCTGGGCCACGACTTGGAGTGGGAGAAGATTCTGAACGATGAGCAAGGCAAGGGCTGGGAGTGGGTGGAGATTACCAACTGGAAGGCGCAGGGCAGGAAGGAGGCTGTGCGCAAGGAGTGGGTGTACACGCCCACTGGGGTCAAGGACAGCAAGGAGACGTAGGCGGTGGATGGGTGTTGTCGGCGTGTATTGTAACCAAGCAAAAAAGAAGAGACATGAAGACACAATACTGTATTACCAACGCCCCATTACAAAATCACAAAACTTGAACCTATGTTTATTAACAATGTTTTTCTAATGTCCCGCCCCGCCCCCCACGCTGTCTCCTCCCCCTCCACATTCCGCATATGACGGCGTCGGCGAGCGCCGCCAGCCCACCATCTGCCGGTTGGCTTCGCACACATCCGCGACCATCTCTCGCTCTCTGTCTCTCTCTCTTGCTCTTTCGCTTTCTTAGCCATCTCCCCATCAGCACTATCCCCATGGATTCCCAACAGCAAGTACCCCCGCCTGCCATGTTTGCTCCAGGGCCACGGCAGATGCGCAACTGCCTCCCATGCAAAAAGCGCAAGATCAAATGTAAGTAACGTCCTCCTCTCCCTCTAACCCTACCTGGCTGGCAACAACAACGACGCTGCCCTCATCCCCCCTCCGTCCAAAGGGTGATGATGTACTGACACTCCTTCAGGCGATCGAAAGATACCTTGTACGTGTGATCCACTTGGCCCCATTGCGCGACTGTTCCTCATCCCCCCCTTCCAGGCGGACCATGTGCGCTCCGTGACGACGTCGACAGCTGCACACCGGCTGTTGCCCTGCTGGAAGAGTACCCTGCATACGCTCAGGAAGGAGGGTGAGTCACCCGGTGACCAACAACGTTGCTCACACTTGCCAGATCGTTTGTGTCGGCTGCAGCGTTCAAGCTTCTCAGCGAGACCGTCGAGACACTCCAGAACCGGGTACACACTCTGGAGGCTCGCGTGTCCGCAGCGGCCGATGCCTCCAGCCAGCCAGCATCCCCAATACAAACCCAAACACGGCGCGGGAGTGGTGGAGCAACTGCATCACCTCCTCCCAGCAGTGCGGCGTACGCTGGCACCTCACGTCGCTACGTTGCGGATGACGAAATGATCTTTGAGCTCGAAGATCTCCACCAGCAGAACCGCATCAACACGATGCGCAACTTGAACTCTCCCCAGGACAATACTCTTCCCTTACACTTGGGACGCAGCGCCGGTGGTGCAATGTCCACGGACATTGCTGTGGCGCCAAGGGTCAACTTTCTGGGAGACACGCATCCACTCTCGTTCCTCCTCCCTACTGGCACCGACTACATTGCTGCCGCTCTCGCCACCTTGCCCCAGCAACACCAATGCGAGCTGCTTGTCAAGCAATACTTTGACAGCGTGGAATGGTTTCAGCGCTGTCTACATTACCCTACATTCATGGCTCAATGTCGCCAGTTCTGGGACAACACCACAACGACTCATAACCTCTCGCCCGACTTCGTCTGCACCTACGTCATGGTCGTCTGTCTTGGTCTTCGGATGATGGTCCCCGGAAGTCCCGGAGAGGCCGAGGCACTTGCCCTTGCAGAACGTCTCTTCCACGTTGCCGAGGGGGTCCTGTGGTGTTCCCGTTTTCTGCAGCGGCAGACATTCGAGTCTCTCCAGGCCATCTCGCTCATGACTGTCTACGGTTTTGGGATGGAGGACGGTGCGGATGCGACCTGGGCGCTGTACGGTTCCGCTATCAAGATTGGCCAAAACCTGGGTCTTAATCGCCTCGAGGAGGAAGCTTCTGATAAGACATGGGCCCCACTTTGGAGCAGCCGGCTACAGCGCGAGATTGGTCGTCGTGTGTGGTGGACCTTTGTGTGTCTGGACTGGTCACACGCCGTTGCTCATGGATCCTCTTGTGAGTAGGGCCTGAAGTTCTCTGCTAAGTGACAGACTGCGTTCACCCATCCCAAAATCTCACTGCGCTTCCTGCCAACCTGCAAGACCACGAACTGGATGACGAAACTGCCATTCCTCTGCCATTGGACACATACACGGTATGATTTTCCCCGTTGGGACTATGCTGACGCCTATAGCCCATTAACATGCAGATCTTCAGAATCAAGTTTGTCCACCTATACCGCGAAATCACCGACCACATGGCGACGTACAAGACTCCCCAGTTTCCGTTCATTAAAAAGTACGCCGTCCATCACACGTTGCACAAGCTAACTGTCCAGGATGGACAGAGCCATCATCGACCTGGCCAACAGTCTGCCGAAACACTTTGCGGAACCTGAGAACCTTCCAGAGGATGCTTCTCCTTCGGTAGGCCCTTCCTTCGCCTGCCCCGCTAACGAACTAGTTGGTTACAGACGCCATTTTCCTCAATGTCATGGCCAATGTTCGCTTGATCCGCCTCCACCGCTCCTACTTTTTACGTGGCTACCACGATGGGCGTTTCACCATTTCAAAGAAGCGATGTCTGGAATCTGCACAAACGCTTCTACGTCTAATTGACTTGGCAGAGAAGAGAGTGCCGACGCTGCTCAGCTTTTGGGTGGTGCTGTTCTATGCCTTCACTGCCGTAGGTCTTGGGTGATGATTACGTGCTGACGCTGGACAGGCCGTACCCGTGTGCATCGATTTTCTGTTTGAGCCCACCCCGCAGAAGCACAAATCCGTGACCCAGATCCTGGAGACATTCCGGTAAGTGCTCCATTAGCTGCCCTCGCACTGACTATCATCGTAGCAAACACAGTGTCACTAATACGTCTGCACGCCACAGTGTGTTTGTTATTGAGAGGCTCCTCGGCAAGTTTTGGCCCCGACCGCTTACTCGTGCGCGCCGCTGACAAGTTGCAGAAGTCGAGAATACCTTCCAGAGTCCCGCGCCACCGGCCCCCGAGCACCCGGCCAAGAGACGCCGTTCGTCGGAATCAGTATCGGGACAGCACGACCTGCATCTCCTACACAGAACGATCAAGAACATTATATTTGCCATCAACCGCCCTCAAGGCAATGAGGCCGTCCAGTTTCCAAACGTCCTCGACATGGCAAACACCAGGCAGCCCGCGGCTGTCCTTGACCTGTTACCCACTGACCAGCCCATCCCCGACGCCATGGTTGCTTGGGAGCTCAGCGACCAACTTTTTGGCATGTTTGAGGCCGGTGATATCCTCAACACCCTGTGGTCGCAGACAGAGACCGTATGGCTGTCCCAGTAGCGCACTACTGAACTGGTATCAGTTAGTGCTTCGGTTCCTTCTGTGTTGTATGTATGTCATCGCTTGTGCACGTTTCTTCTTATGAAGTTCCAGAGAGCTAGAGTGACATAGAGAGAATTAGTACTGAGACATAATCAGGTAGGGACAACGCCCACCAACAAGTGCGGCGCTCCAGCATCGTTAACGAACAGAGATGCTTGAACTCGTCGCTCAATGTGTGCATGGTATGCGCCGTGGACCGGACCTAGGCAATGTACAATGATTCACATTTCGCTTTCCAGCTATCTATGTACTGTACAATGTCGCGACTCTCGCCCGGGATCACGCACGCCTTCCAGACTTTCACGCATCACAGTCGTAGTACTGGCCCAGCTTGAAGAGCTTCTTGGCATTCTCCCTGCCAATCGCCTTGTAGGCCGCCTCGCCTCCAACGGCAGCAGTGATCTTGTCCGCGTCACCATCATACCACCCGCAGCCGACATCAATGTGTTCGTAGGGCGAGTCGACGGAGAAGAGGACACGCTCTGCACCGACATGGTCGACGCAAAACTTGAGGGTCTCGGTGCTGAAATTGCCACTTGTCGTGAGCCAGATGTTGTTGCGGAAGTAGTGGATAAGACGCTCTTTGGCAAACAAGTCGCCGCGCGACTCAGCGAGCGGACGCGAACAGTGCTCGAACCAGTGATCGATGCGCCAAAAGTCACCAGGGATGTGCTCGCCGAGGTGGCCAAGAATGACCTTGAGCTTTGGGAATCGGTCGAACACGCCGTTGACGATCATGCCGAGGACGTGAAGGCTCACGCCGTTGGCAAACGAGACGGGAGGACCGATGAGGTACTTGCGGCCGGCGTATTGTTGTTGAAGGTAACTGCCGACGGGGGGCTCGGGGTGGAGATAGAAAGGTACGTCCAGGTCGACACACGTCTGCCAGAAGATGTCCCACTCAGGCTGGTCGTAGAAGATGTACTCTTCGCCCTCGGGGCCAGCGTGCTGAGCGTCGTTGACAAGCGCGCCAAGGAAGCCGTACTCCTTGACACAACGAGTGAGCTCGGCACTGGCCTGGTGGGGGTCGTGCATGCTCAGAGCGGCGAACGCGCCCATGCGGTCCGGGTGGGCTTTAATCTCCTTGGCAATGTAGTCATTGCACTCGGTCGCGTACGCCTCACACTCCTTGCGGTCGGTCCAGCCTTGGGGGCCCGGCGAGTAGATGGAGTAGATGGTGTAGCCAATACCGTGCTTGTTGCTGAGCTCCAGGCGATTTCCGCACGGGTTGAGAATCTCCTCAAAGTAGCGCTCGCGGTTGTTAGGAGCAATGTAGAGCTCTGCCTTCTCCTTGGTCTGAGTGGCGAAACGGGGAATCTCAAACGCCTCTTCGAGGGAAACCTTGCCGCGCATGTTGTAGATTGGATGAGGGTAGGTAGTGTGCAGGAGATGAAGAAGGGGAGAGAAGTGTGGGTGGGATGTTGCAGCAAGACTCGTAACTTGATATGCTTTTGTATGGCAAGTGGCATGACGACGTCGTGCAAGTCACATGGCGTCTGGAAATCACCGAGGCATGCCCACATAACCGGATCACCGGTCCTACCGCGGGCCGCGGTGTCACCGCGGACGCTCCGTGATCCGTGACCTCTGACTTGGTCGGAAGGTCCGGGTGGGCAAACGTGCCGACCGCCCAGCATGTCGGGTGCATGCAGTGCCGGCCGGTAACAGCGTGGTGGCGAATCCCGCTCGCCGCTGACCCCTGCACTCATACGAGCCCAGACCGCATGGTGTGGCACCCCATGCTGGCCGATCCATGGCCCAACCTTCTGGCTGCCGTTCTATGCGCTGGACACGATGACAGGCCCCTTACGCGCGTCACGGCCGTTTCGGCCCCACGGGAGCCCCGCCAGTCCCGTACCAACGCGCCAGCACTAAGGTCTGCGAGGAAGGAAGTGAGCAGCGGGGCGGAACACGGGTCAGTAACCAACGACCTGCGCCACTCCGTCCTCCTCCCCGCCCAGGCCTACGGGAATTAGCTTTGGGTGGTCCCAGCCTGCACGCTCCTGAATCTCATCTCAAGAGAGGCACTGTCACGAATGCGATTTACGCAGATGGGGTCGGGAGATTACGCATGTTACCAAAGGGAAAGCATGCTGCAAGTTAGGTAAGTGCTGACACTCATCGGCAATCGGCAATCAAAATTCAGGCACAGCTCCTGTTCATGCATCCGCAGCCCATGTTGTCTTCGACGCTGTGCATGGCCGCTGATCCGCTGATGTTAGGTTATGAATGTCGTACGATTTTCAGAACTGGCAATCAAGTAGCGGGCATGACGTGCGACCATGCCTCGTACCACGAGGGAACCTCGGCATGGGTGTACATAACGTAGCAAAATTCACCCTTTTCCCGTAGCGCAGGCAACAACAAAATGATTTCGCTTCCAAAACCAAATTCATTCTCTGTCAGAATGTACAAACATTTTCCAGTACAAACAGCAAACCGATCCGGCTTCCAGTGGCTATTCAAACATTCTTTGAGACTGGGGAAACCGCATTCAGACACCGGCAGCGACCTGGGACGTAGCGACCGGAGCCGCGGGCTTGGGGAACGAGGTCGAGGCAGCTTCGCTCCTGGGAGGTGTGTGCGGCTCGGCAGCAAAGAGGTGGCCGTATGCCTTGGCCTCCTTGGCAATATGCGCATGCATGTCGTACTCGTTCATCTCGTTGACGGTGAGCTTGCCCTCCTTGGCAGCGAGGGCAGCCTCGGGAGCAGTCAGGCTGGTAAAGCCAATGCGCTCGTTGAGGTTCTCGGTGGCGCGGGCGCTGGCCGCCTGGACGCGGGTGGCGCGCGGCTTGCGAATGTGCTCGTAAAAGTCGAGACCAGCCTCGACGTTGGCAGCAAAGTCGTAGTTGCGGCCAAAGATGATGCCCAGGGCAGCGGCGTCCTCAATGGCAGTGCAGGCGCCCTGGGACTGGTGGGGCATCATGGGGTGGGCAGCGTCGCCGAGCAGGCAGGCCTTGCCCTTGTGCCACGTGGGATAAGGCTGGTGGACGTAGAGGCGCCACGGCATGCGGTCGACCGAGTTGCGGATGAGGTCGGCGCACTTGGGGTCGAGACGGTCGTAGCGGCCGGCCATAATGTCCGACACCGGGACCTCAGCGAAGCGGAAGCCCTCCTGGGTGTGGTTGGTGAGTTCGGTTGGCATCTACAATGTCAGTTTGACCATATGAAGGCTGTCGCTTACGAAGCAGTAAAAGGACACAACGTCGCCACCAGAGCAAGGGCTCATGACAATCTTGTAGTAGCGGTTGAGGTCGCCCTTGGTGAAACCACCCCAAAACTGGATGGCAGGGTCGGTGGCGTCGGCCATGAGACCAAGCTTCTCAATGTCTGAACGGCGGACGTTGCAGCGGTAGCAGGTTTGGTTGGCCGAACGAGTCTGGGGAGTGACCCCAATCTGGCCGCGGAGAGCGGACTAGAAATGTCAGTGAACTGCTACATTCACAGCGTCTCAGGGAGGTTCGTAGACTTACGCGAATTCCATCGGCACCGATAATGAGATCCGCAGTGATGGTCTCACCGTTCTCAAAGGTGACAGTGCCGTTCACGTAGTCGAGCGACTTGGCAATGTGGTCGACGACGACAGTGCATGGCTCACCCTCGCCTTCGGGAGAGGTAGCCACTTCAAGAAGCATGGCATGCATGTCTTGGCGGTGGAACATGTAGTAGGGCTGAGGACGTTAGGCTCGAGAATGATGTTCCTCGACTCACAATTCCCCAGTCTTGCTCGTAGTGGTCAAGGTTGTACTGGTTGAGGATCTCTCCCGTGTCCCAGTCGCGCATGACGAGCTTCATGAGGTTGACAGGCTTGCCCTTGCTGACGTCGACGTTCCACTCCTTGAGCCACTGAAACGTTAGCAACGCTGCTGAAAACTGGGGGGATACTCACCTGGCCACCGTTGGCCGCACAAGAGATGGAGGCACCAACTTCGACCTTGAAGTCACGGCGTTCGTAGATGTGTACTGCAAGTCAGACGTGCCGTGAGAAAGAAACCCACCCTTGTGACCGGCACGTCGGAGGGCCACTGCAGCGGCCATGCCGCCAAGGCCACCGCCGACAACCGCGACGTTGAGGGGCTTCCAAGCAGGGTTGGCGCTGGTGTTGGTGTTGTTGGTCATGATGTTGGACTAACTCAAAAGTGGGATGAGATGATCTGCCGAAGCTGCTCTGGCCGACATCTTTAAACTGGCCAGACTCCACAGGTCACAAGCACTTGTCGTGGCCTCGAGATCCGTCCGGACCGCGGCCCTTCCATACAGAGGGCACCAAAGCTGGCAGGGCATGTGACAACACCGCGGCAATGCCGCGGGTTGGTCGGCGGGATCTGATAAGAGGGGGTCTCAGGTCACCGACCTACGGAGTTAGTGGGGGGCACCGGGGCCCAATGTGGGCAATTGCATCCGCAGTGTGGCAGTCATCCACGGCCGTCGAGTACACCGTGCTTGGCGACACACTGCCTCCGAGGTTCTCAGTGGACCAGTGACCAGTGGAACCGGAACGTCCGTCCATTCCTTCTCGATAGGGGCCTCCACGGCCCCGGACAGGGAGTGGCGGCTCCGTGCGATCGCAGCGGGACCCCACTCTGTTCGTTGTGGCGGGTGGGCCCGCTGTCAAGAGAAACCACCTCTCGCCGACGCCATATCCGTGGCAAAGCCGGGAACCATGCGGGCGAATCGGTTATCGGATGACCCGAGGAGGCGTGGCACTCGTCGCCAACCAATGCACTCCTCGCCAAGCCAATGAGGCGCTGAGAGTAGTGTCAGGGTGGCGACTCGGGTTAGTACTTTAAGTCACGAGGTGACAACCAATTGCCAGCCAATCTTGTACAGTCTCCACCCAACTTGCAAAGTACATACAACTCGACCCAATCAACACACTATACACACCATGGAGCCAACTTCGGGCAGCGGCAGAAACAGCCCTCACTCGTCCGAAAAGTACCACGTCGACCATGTCGAAGCTCACAACGTTGGTCACGAAGACGTGGTCACAGCTGCCGAGCGTGGCCACGCTGCGACAGACGAACATGGTAAGTGGCACATATTCAGAGCGACTTTATCTGACCCTCAGGCCATGTTCTCGTGGATCTTGATCCCGCAGCAGAGAAGCGTCTCTTGCGCAAGATTGACCTTTACGTTGTCCCGACGGTGGCCATGATTTACTTGTGGTGTTTTATCGACGTGAGCTCATTATGCTGGCTAGGATCCCAACTGACAATGCAGCGCGCAAACATTGGCAATGCTCGTATTGCCGGCATGGAAAAAACACTGGGGCTTGTCGGCTACCAGTACAACACGCTCTTGACCGCCTTTTATGTCAGGTGAGCGGCTGTTCAGCGTCATGGAAGCTGACACCTAGCTATATCGTGTTCGAAATTCCTAGCAATATCCTCTGCAAGCATGTTGGGCCATCAAAGTGGATCCCCTTTATTAGCTTTGGCTTTGGCGTGAGTCAACCCCGGACCCCTTATTGGACAACGGCTTACCGTTTCCCAAAGCTCATGTCCATGGCCACCGCCTTTGTTAGAAACTATGGCGGTGCCATCGCCGTTCGTTTCCTGCTTGGCGTCTTTGAGGCGGGAGTCCTGCCTGGCATTGCCTACTACCTGTCCCGCTGGTACCGCAAGCAAGAGCTCATCTTCCGTCTTGCGCTCTACCTATGCACTGCTCCCCTCGCCGGTGCATTTGGAGGACTCCTCAGCGCCGGGATCCTCAAAATTGGCTCCATTGGTTCGGTCAAGGGCTGGGAGATGCTCTTCTTGGTCGAAGGAATTATTACAGTGAGTCGCAAGCGTGTTATTGTTCCTCCTGCTAACTGCCGGCAGATGGGTGTGTCCTTTATTGCTTTCTTCACCATGCCCGATCACCCATCCACCGCACGCTGGCTCAACGCAGAGGAGAAAGCCTTGGCCATTGCGCGCATCAAGTCGGAGAATGTCGCCACCACTGAAGTCACGGACAAGCTCGACAAGGTCAAGCTGAAGCGGGGCATCTTCAACCCGAACACGCTGGTCGTCTCTTGGACCTTCCTGTTCGTGAACATTACTGTGCAGGGAATTGCGTTCTTCACGCCTACCATTATTTCCACCATCTATCCCCATTATTCGACTATTCGCAAGCAGCTTTACACAGTGCCACCATACCTCGTTGGCGTCGTGTTCAACCTACTCATCCCCTTCCTGTCTTGGAAGATGAACCGCCGTCTGGTGTTTTTCATTGCCAGTGCAGTCCTCCCCATCGTTGGATACACCATCTTCATCGCAACCACAAACCCGCACGCACGTTATGGAGCAGTGTTCATTGCCATCTCCGGCGCGTTCCCCTTTGGCCCCCTGTGTAACGCTCAAGTCGCCATCAACGTGTTGTCCGACAATGCCCGCAGTACCGCCATTGGCTGGAACGTCATGATTGGCGTGAGTAAAGCAACATCGATCGAGGCCGTTCAAAGCTAACTGTCAAAGAACTTGGGAGGACTTATTAGCACTTGGTCTTACATGCCGGCTGATGGACCAAACTACCAGTGAGTACGAGGTGTGTTTTCTCGTACTGAACAGCCCGCAGCATTGGAAATGGTCTTAACCTGGCCGGTAACTGTACCATCCTTATCACTTCGGCACTTCTCCTTCTTTGGCTGCAGCGCGACAATCGCCACCGCGAGCAAGTCGAAGACGAGAAGACCGCCGAGCTCGCCAACCTGTCCGAGAAGGAAATCCAGGAGCTTGACTGGAAGCACCCGGCGTGGCGTTGGCGGACCTAGAATGCGGCCTGCATCCTGTTCGGGCCTCTGCAAGTTAGTGTATATGTACATGGCGTACGTGGAAATGGTGTAGCCTCCATGTCATTTGAGTTGTCACTGGATTCTTTTATCCCGCCACATTTTCAAGATTTCAGTTATCCTCCAAAGCCCATCCCAATGTGTAATGCTTTATAGTTTCTATTAATCTTTCTACGTCAACAGCCACCATGTCATGCCTGTGTATTTGCAAGTGCACATGTACCAGAAACCACGCTGGCCCCCAGAGGTGGTGCTCTGGGCCGACCAGCCGATGGAAGTAGGACATTATTGACACCTCCCCTTTTTACTGCCTATTAGGAAATCATCCAATCCATTTGTCCACCCGATCGCAACCACCCACTTCTCCTCGTCCCTCTCGGCGCGCACAATGATCACACCGCAACGACAGGCCATGGTCCACCGGATCCAGACCACAATGGCTGTGGGATATTCAGCCATGGGGGCATGGTGTGTCTTGGCCCCGGCATCAGTCATCACTCTCTCCCTCACCTCAACGTTTGCACGTGTGGACGCCACCACAATGTTGCTCATGCAATGTTTTGGTGCCCAGGCCGTGACCACTGGCCTCCTCCTCGGTACTGCGACGATGACGGCGGCCAGCTTCAAGGCGTTTGGGCTGGCAATGTTGCCGTACCTGGGATTCAACGTCTGGTTTGGCGTCGGGCCAGGCAAGGGCATGTTCACACCAGTACTGGGGCTCGACTTTGTTGGCAACATTGTGTTTGCACTCGGCAGCGCGTGGTGTGTACGGCTCCTTGAAGAGAGGGAAAAGGGGCAGTGACACAAGTTGCCCGGCGTCGCTGCAGCACAATGATCGTAGTAGCCTGCCCACAGCCTACATGCATCCAGATATCTAAACAAACAGTAGTCCTCCGACACAGGTCACACCGAGGCGGCCTGGACCTCAGTCTCCACCTCTGGCGTTGCTACCGCAGCATGCGACTCAATGTCGTCTTTGGATGTCTCAAACGACCCCAGTCCCGCGTATGTTTCACGGACAACACGCCAGTAGCGCTCTGGGTCTGCGCGGAGATGGCCAACGTGTGTGCCAGCGAAGAGTTCGAGACGGACGTCTGCACCTTTGGTCTTGGCTTCGGCGGCGTGCGCCTCCACATCTCGATAGTCGATGAGAGCGTCCTCCTTGCTGTAGATGTACGAGCGACGAACTTCACGCGCGAGGCGAGCAGGGGAGTTCTGGGCCGCGGCGGTCAGGTACAGTGGGTCCCTGTTGATACGCAGGACTCGCTGGTCAAACTGATAACGAAGCCACCACCAGCAGCACAGTGCATGGACAGCAGGCGCGAGGATGGTGCGGAGGAGCGGCGGGAGAACCGCGAGAAGCGCCGTGACGGTTGAACGGTAGCGGAACTGTCCTGGAGTAGAGTCGTACACAATGGTGTATGGGGGAAGAGGAGGGAGACGGCGGGCGATATGGCAGAGGCCGTTGCTGCCGCCGTTGGACCAGACGTGGACGAGGAGAGGGGGGTAGGAAGTGGATGCAGTAGACGTCGTCAAGTGGTCGGCCATGGGCTCCATCGACTCGGAAAACTCTGCGCGGATGGCGTCGACGGCTGGCTTGATCTCATCGATGGTACCGGGGCGTACAAAGTGACGCATCTCGGAACGGACGAGGACGATTGCCGAGTGGGGGTAGAGCTTGGTGTACGGTTTAACGTACTTGCTAATGTGCATGGGGTGGGCTCCCATCCACGTACACATCAGGATGAGGCGGGGGCTCGCTGCTGCTGGTGCTGGTGCTGGTGCTGCTGGTTCGGCTGCATTGGTCTTGGATGGGCGGTGGATGTACACGCTTTGGTTGAGGCGTGTCATGAACGCGAGCGGGTCGGGTGTTGGGGTTGTTGACCGGCCGGCACCTCCGTTTGCCGCTCCATTGCCGTGTGTTGCTGATGTGGAAGACATGAGACGAGTTGTGCACACCAGGCGACGGGCAATGTAGTGTGGAGAGATGAAGAGGAGGTGCATGTGCACGGATGAGAACAGACGCGACGTAAAAGACCAACTCTGCCGGCCCATCCCCGACGCGCATGCCCCGTCACCGGATCGTTTGTACCCGTGCCAGCGGCCAGCGGGGCCCAGTGCGCCGACCGCCCCAGTGGCCAGTGGCCAGTGGCCAGTGGGTGTCATCGAACACATGGAACAAACCAACACCTTTTTGCATCCACACTCCATTCCCATCCTATATCGTCATCCACTACTCTGCAACCTCGTCTCTTGGACTTCGCCTCCACATCGGAAACTGTCTAAGAGTCGCGCCTCCGTGGCCGCAGCGGCAGCATCCGCAGCGGTAGGCTGTGCACTGATACCGCCGCCCAGACTCAAACCAAAACGCTCCGCCTTGGCTCGTCCTTCACGTCCTCCATTGGCAAGCAAGCCAGCTACCCTCACCACTAGTGCGAAAGCGACGGCTTTGCGGGCACTGGAGCCTGAACGGTCTGACCTGTCTGCCAGAGTAGGGACACTCTCACTAGACGTATCCACAGAGGACAAAGGCCGGGAGGATGAGCCCGCTCCAGTCAAACTGTCAGACGTTCGGAAACTCGGTGGATGCCCTCCGCGAACAATGTAGTTTAGTAAAGAGTCGTCGTACTGCACTAGGGGGTGGGGATTACGACAGTGCATGTTGCCTGAATGAACGTGATATATTAGTCACACATAACCTACGCGAGCAGCTTTCCAAAGAGGCCCTTGCGCTTGGGTTTATCCGCTTCGTCCTGGCTGTCGAGCGACGAGTCGATGGCGCCGAGCAGCATCTTCCTGAGCCACATCTCAGGCGTCAGAGCCACACGCGTCTTCCTCATCATCTCGTCTTGCTCGTACTCGAATCCCATGGTCTGGTCGACAAGGTGCCCAATCTTCTTGTGGTCGTCCAAAGACGACAGGAAGTCCTGTGCTGGGACGCGTTAGTGGAGTGGTGGTGTTGCGCTTACCTTCTTTGTCGTCGCCGACCTGTGCGAATTGGTAGGCCACGGCGCCGCCGCCGTCTGCAAGAGTCAGGCTTCCTCAAAAAGGACAACGGATGTGGTGTATGACTCCGCCGCGTAGGCAAAGGTTTTATATATGAGCCGCCATCGGGTGCGTGAAGATTGAAGTGGACATTTACGACTCACATTTGGTTCCCTTGAGCTCCTTGTTTGCGTCGACAATGACCTTCTCAACTGCACAATAGTGTGAGCAATGATCCAGTTGCCTTCCACCACTACTCACGCTTGTTGGCGGGCTCACCCTGGGGAGCGCCGTCCGTAATGACAAGAACAAGAACGGGCTTTTGCAGCGCCCTGCGCCTGGCTGGCTGAACAACCATGGGCTGCAGGATTTTGGCATCGAGAATAGTGCCCAGGCGCGTGTCGTAGACGTACTCGAGGTTGGACACAAACTGGTGCGCACCCGCCTCGTTCTTGACACCATCGGCCTGCGTTTTGGTGTTGAGGGCGCGCAAAGAGCTGTTTTCGGGCTCAGCACAGAGCGTACAAGGCAGGAAGCACTCACATTCCGTCGTCATCGAAGAGCGAGCAGGCAGTGGCGATCTTGCTGAGAATTCTGGGGAAGAGTCAGCTTCCGTATTCACGCTTCCCCAGGGCATACACTTTGAGGTCCTCGATACGGTCACCGGCCTTCATGCTTCCAGAGTCGTCAGCGAGGACAACGGTGTCGTACAGTGCGAGACGGCAAAAGCCAGTCGCAGCCTCAAGGGGGAGGTTCCAGGAGCGCGCCAGTTGTTCGACTGCCCCGCTGCGCACTACACGCTGGGCGATGGCGTCAATCGAACGGGCATCTGGGTAGAAGTGCTCGAGCTTCTGCTGGAATGTCAGCGTTGCGTGGTCATGTGGACCGCGGCTTACATCCTTGACAGCGTGGGTGAGGTTGAACACGACTAGCTTGGGATCGACGGTCTGCTGCCTGTGCTGCTGAGCGGAGGTTGCAGCGGCTGGGTGGCCCGGTGGCGGTCCAACGGGGGAGGCAAACTGCTGCTGCTGCTGCTGCTGTTGTTGCTGGAAGGCTGGGGGAGGACCGGTAGGCGACGCATACCCTTGCTGAATGGGAGGGGCAGCTCCGCCTTGCGCGAGACGGGCGGCTTCGGCGGCCTGAGCCTCCTCTGGGATGGCGGTGAGCATGCCTGCCGTGGCGTGGATGGATGCTTACTCATTTTGCTGGCGAGACCCATGGTGGTGTGTGTGTGTGTGTTCGGTTTGGGTGCTGTGGATGATGGTGAGAGAGCGATGGAGTGATCACAACTGTCTGCAACTGTCGAGGACGTCGTCGTCGCCGACGAATATGTCTTGGCTCCAGCTGTTTGTGTTGGGTGTGACGCAAGCGGAGCTCCGCGAGCGAAGGGGGGCGGTGCGTGAGTAATCTGCTCCCGCCAATAAGCCAATAATAAAAAGCATTACAGGTCGGTATATTCCGTGCCGCAAACATTAACCTTTCGACTAATGGTACTAATCATACATCCGCCTGTGGAACGGCCACTAAACAGCCCTCTACCACACCGTCCTCATATCGCCCACCCACATGATGCCGCAGTGTGCCATCACGGGCTCCTTTCCGCGCTCCGACTGGTCCAATGTCGTTTTCACCTCGCCGCCGTTCGCACCAGGCATTGGCGACACGTTCCACCTCGTTGCCGCCGCGCGAGCTGCGAGTCAAAAGTGGGCGCTGGCCCAGTGGGAGCTGGAGTCCCTCAGCGGTCTGTCCCGCTGCGAGTACCTCCCTGGCTACGGCTGACAAAGCCATGGAAATGTGCGTGTCTGTAGCGCGCACCCTTCTGACCTCCCAGTATCGACTACAAACGCATGCACGGGTACGACGATGATGACGACATTCCGCCCACCGTGTCCGACTGGAAGGTCATGGTCAAGCCTGTTGTTGCCATGGCTGTTGAGCTTGTGAGCCGAATGAACGTCTCCGTGTGTCCGTGACTGTCCTTGGCATGTGTACATCTAGTGCGGGGCTTGGACCGTGACGCCACGGGCAAGGGCAGCGTTTTTCTGACCGCAGGCCGCACAACATCATCCATGTCCGCCTCCCTCTGAGCACGTCTCGCCGTTCGTGCAGGCCTCGCTAGAGTCAAACTTCCGCTACTATGTCGATGCTTACGAGAACTTCCCGCGCGAACTGCGTTCGCCGCTGGACATGGCCGTGGTCCGTGCTGTCCGGCTTCCAGCCCCCGTCAAGCCGTTTTCATCGGGACGCATGTATCATGGCATGAACCCACAAGACGCAGCCGCCATCTACCAGCACGTCGGTGGTCATCCCGGCGGATATGTCCACTCCACATCCAGCAGCGAGCATGATCAATCGGACATGAGCAACCCGGACACATCCATCACCACCGAAACTCATCTCACCTCCTCGGACAGGAGCTTTGACGAACAGCGGCCTGATTCTGGTACCCTCAAGTAGTCTCGTGTTGGAGGCCGAGCGCTCCACGGGGGCCCTCTGCCTTCAATGGTCATGCCCCGCCCTGTATTCATTTCGCCCGCCCTGTATTCATTTCGCATGTACAGTACATCTATCTCCTCCTACTGGCCGTCGCAAAGATGGGTCCATACGGTTCAGCAACCGTCAGGCCGTGAGCCCATTAGGAAGTGTAATCAAAAGTCTTGCTCACACTAACCACTGGCCAAGATATCACCGCCTGGGCTGCCAGCTGGTGCAAGGGGTCCAGAAGTGGGCTGCATATGCCCTGCAGTGGTGGCAACACTAGCGCTCCTCGAAGGCCAGGTCCAAGCTCTTGTCGTCGCCCCGAACACAGCCTGCCCAGTCTGCAAGCCAGAATGCCATTGCCGGCGGGTGAGCAGGTGCACCAGTGACGTTTCGCTTAGATGTTTCGTCGTACATGTGTACTCGCTGCGCCTGCTGGGAGATACCTTGTCGATCCCGTGACTGTCGACCAATGCCTTAAGATGATTCTGATCTTCCAGCTTGCAGTTAACGGGAACGGCGTGTCGAGGCGTGTCGAGGATACTTCTGACCGCCGCGAGCTGTTTAGAGCTCTCCGACGGCCGGCAGAGTCTATCAACCATCCGTCCATCTTTTCGTCCCACAGCGGCAGCTGGTCCATATATCCACATATACGAAAAACGGGAACCGGGGCACCTAACTGTTCAAGACAACCGAGACCAAATGGCGGGCTCTAACGGGGCCTCTACCAGACGCACTGACCTAGGTCAACTGTTCGAAAACACAAACAGCTGGTTCAGTGTCAATAATAGAGACTGTTCGAGTGTTCTAACATGTTCAGGTGCATTTCCCAACTTCTTGGGTGCTCTCCATACGTCAAACACCTTTTCCTTTTTACGCCGCGGCCGCGGCAGTGGCCTGGTCAACGGCTACTTTACATAATCGATGTGGGCACAGGCCACCCACAGCCTGCCAGCATGGGTGCCACCGGCCGACGCGCTCATGGCAGCCGCTGACAAATGCGGGCAAGAACCAAACTCAGCACCGCTGCATGGTCGCCCATGAAGCAAGCACCAGCACCGAGTGCATGTATACGTTTCTTGGCAGTGGCTACGTCGCCGGGGATGACCCTTCTCGAGCCGCTGCGCTGTCCTCCGCCTCGGCCGACCGCGGTGTAAACAGACGGATTAGGTTTATAAGCGGGCCGAGAGACATCTAGAGAGAGAGGGAGAGGGTAGGGTCGCCCAGGAGCCCCAGTGTGTCAAAGTACATCAACGTCACATCGAGAGTTCCGACGGTGGGGGTGGCTTGGTGAATGGTTAGGTTTGGAGGCGTAGAATGAACAGGTCAGGTCAGTTGATCAGTTGATCTACTTATGGCTGCCTGCTGCCTGCTGCCCGCGCAAAGGCAGCCGAGAATGAATATCTGACCGAGTCGATGGACGGGTTAGGCGGTGATGGTGTGCGGGCTGGCTCGAGCGGCAGACCTAGCGGGCAGACCGGAGACTGGAGAGGGGAAAAGAAGACACATGATGGAAATGCATGTGACAGTCGGTCTCTGTGGAGTGGAAACAGGGCCCCGCACAGTCGGTCCTCTGCCAACCCCTGGCGCCTGGGGGCACGGATCCATTGGCGTTTGTCTTTTTTACCGAACGAGAGGAAACATGCCACTGCCATTGACGGTGCGACAGTGCGACAGTGCCGCCTGGCGCAACGCCAAGATTCGAGAACAAGAACACTACTGGTACACTGGTTGGGGCTGACGCATAGGCCCCCCATGAAACCTATCGGGCAGACCGCACCAATTCAGTTCGGCCCGAAACGCGCTCTAAACCATATATGCAAATTGTCGGAATGGGTTCATTCGGTCCGTGGCACGTCGGCAGCCATGACACGTAAACCGTGTGTGTATAAAAGGTGTCCTCCCATCATCGCCACTGGGATATCCCATTCCTAAGCGTGGCTTTCACTTATCCCTCTTCCATTGGTCCGGTACCGCACACAAACACATTCTCTCCTTTCTCCCATCATGAAGGTCTCCTCCACCTTGCTTTCGGCTCTTGGTGCCACAGCAGCAGCAGTCGCAGCCGCTCCTCTGGAGAAGCGATCGGGATTCCAATTCGGTGGTGTCAACCTTGCTGTAAGTGATGGCTCTTTGGCGCCCACTCACACTACATATAGGGATGTGACTTTGGCATGACCACTTATGGCTACAGTGGCGTCACGTGGTGTCCGACCACCTCGCAGATCTCCCACTTTACCAACCAGGGTGCCAACCTGATCCGTCTTCCTGTCGGCTGGCAGTACCTCGTGGGCAGCAATGTCGCCTCAACTTCGTTGGACCAAACCTACCTGGCGACATATGACGCCCTCGTTCAGGGTGTTCTCAACACGGGAGCGTACGCCATCATCGACATCCACAACTATGCGCGTTGGAACGGCGGTGTTGTCGGTACTGATGTCTCGGGCCAGTACTTTGCCAACCTCTGGTCTCTCCTTGCTGCCAAATACAAGAACAACTCGAGGGTGATCTTTGGTATGTACTGCTGGCAGAGGAGGACGAGCACTAACTGTAGCTCTCATGAACGAGCCCCACGACATCTCGGGTACACAGTGGACCAACTGGGTGGCCGCCTGCCAGCTTGCCGTGAACGCCATCCGTGCCGCCGGCGCCACCTCACAGTACATTGTGCTTCCCGGAAACTTCTGGACCCACCCTGAGACCTGGACCGCTGGCGAGAACAACGACATGCTCGCCATCACGGACCCGGCCACGAGCGACAAGTCGCTCCTTTTGCTTGACGCACACAAGTACTTTGACTCGGACGGCTCGGGAAGCTCCACCACTTGCACCACCAACGCCGTCAGCGTGTTTGAGGCCTTTGTCAGCTTCCTCCGCACCAACGGCCGCAGGGCGCTCCTCACCGAGTTTGGAGGTGGAAACAACGCCGGCTGCGCGACCTACGTCTCCCAGGCTCTCAGCTACTTGTCCGCCAACTCGGATGTCGTCCTCGGTTTCACCGCTTGGTCTGCTGGTGCATTCGACACCACCTACGAGCTCAGTCTTGTCCCGAACAGCGATGGCTCTGACCAGTACCTCTGGACCAACGCTATCCAGGCCTACCTCCCTGGAAACAGTCCCCAAACTAGCTCGTCAACAACCCCCGTTCCGTCTACGTCCGCGACCTCGGCAACCTCGGCAACCTCGGCAACTTCGACCACCTCGACGACGACGAAGACGACGTCCTCGGCACCCGCGACTTCGACCACGGCCTCGTCTTGCACTGTTTCCAAGTGGGGTCAGTGTGGCGGTTTGTCCTACTCGGGGTGCACCGTCTGTACGTCTGGTTCCACCTGCACTTTCCAGAATGACTGGTACTCGCAATGCCTCTAACGCAGCGACATCTTTACGCTGCCACGTTTTTGGCTCATCGCCATTCTTCGTTCTCTCGGTGCTGCGCACTGGGCAACAACCCAGAAAACTATGTATTACTGCGTGGGGCTTCATTTCCAGTGCTCATGCAAAGCTTCCTTTTCTGTCCGTTCACCTTCAAGCGCCGCTACTGATACAAAAACATGGTGAAATCTGACAATCTCTCGCTGGCATGATCGTAAATGAAGCTTTGTGCAGCACAGCCAGGTGTCCACCCCCATATTTTTGCCACTGTGTATTGGACAGGTCCCTCTTGTGGCACCGACTCTAGACACTGTACGGTCTCACTGTCCACCACTATGTACATGCCAACCATTAACTCGCGTGCTTCGTCGCCCAAACAGGCTTCCCACGTCTACACCGTCGCTGAAGAGACCACGAGTGTCACCCCGGGATATAACCATACGATACTGCATTGTCACCTGTGGTGACAGCTCCTCACTGGATCACTGGATCGGGTGCTTTGTCAAAAGTGCTACATGGAGTCTGGTCTGTGGATCGTATGTACTTACAGTACTTTTTCTGCCGCACTCTAGCTTCACGCTGCGGCAATTCACCGGATATCACCAGCGCCGGCCTGCATTGCCATCGCTTTCCACCGGTGTTTTGCACGTGATGTACCAAGCACCCGCCATCACGTGTGATCCGGCATGCGTCATGCGTCTTGCGTCATCCGTAGATCTCCCTGCCAGGGGCCTTGGTCATGTAATTAAACGCGCAGGCGTGTTGTGTTGTGTCCTTATGCTCGTTCGCGGGCAGGCACTTTGCTCTTTTGACAATCGCACTGTTCTTTACAATCATCCTTAATCAACGCACTGTCAACCTGCCTATCCCTCTGGTGGATCGTCGCAGGCACGGGCGCAACAGAAGCCGACTCTTCAGCTTCACATTCAATTCGCCGCCAGTGTCCTTTTCGACCCCAATGGAACAATGTTTGTGCTAACCGACAGTCAAATTAGGGTGTGTACTGGACGTTGACATATGCTCACCCTAGGCCAACGAGATACAGTCATGTGTCGCCGCAGGATGCTCAATCTTGGCGTGCTCCACCATTCTGCTCACCTCGGCATGGGTCTACTCGGTCCCTTCGGCGCGAAGCTTGCTGGACCGGGTCAGCTTTCGTCTCCTACTCCACGCTCTCTGCTTTGAGATCATTTACGACATCAGCTACATTGTTGTCGTCGCTGTACGTGCTATAACGTCTGGATGGCACACCTGACTCCCAGCCTGGTGTCACGGGTGGGCTGGCGAACGGAGTGTGTGTTACAGGAGTGTATTTCATGATGGCCACCATTGGAGTGTGAGAAAAATGAGAGCGTGAAGTTAACTGACCTCAGTGTCAACTATCACATTACCTTTATCGCCGTCAACCTCGCCGTCACAATTGTCTTTGGCCTGAATCCCATTCGTCTAAGTGTGTAACCCCAGGGTGACTGTCAACAACTGACTACAGACCTGGAGTTCTGGTACGGCAGTATCTCCATTTTCGTTGGGTTCTTCGTGCCCATTGTCCCGGCCGCACTTGGCCACTTTGGTTGGGACCCTGTCCTGGATGTATGGTAAGCGTGAGAGACGTTACCATCCTAAACATCTCAGTTGGATCCAGGCTAGCGATGACAGGTCCCGGATGCGAAACCTTGTCCTCGACCTCGTGGGTTAAGAATCTTTGTCTACACTGATACATACCAGTACCTCTGGCAACTACTCTCGTGCTTCATTGCTACAGTCGCAGTCACGATGGTAGGTCGCTTACCGCGATCGATCTGATCCCAGACTCTTGTGACCCTCTTCCGTCAAGGACGTGCCACCGCCCGCGCTCTGTCCAGCGGTGAATCTTTCAACCTCACCATGAGTGGTGAGGAGACGCTCACCGATGCTGCCGGGAATGATCTACCGTCACCAAAGATTGGTGGTCCCATCGGGCGGTGCCTCGTCCGCCGGCGCATCTCTAAAAACCGCAGGAATCAGTTTGGGCATCTAGAGGATCGCTTTGTGGGCATCGCAGTGAGAATTGCCGCATACCCCGTTGCCCTAGCTATCGTGAATGGCATCATTGCAAGTAATTGCCCTACCAGAAACTTGGGGTGCTGACAGAGACAGTCGGAGACTTGTACATATCCGCCACTGGTGGGGTTACGAGTCGCGCCGAGTTTGGCCTCTATGTTGTGTATTACTTTTTCTATGGCGCTCGAGGTTGTGTGTTTGCCTTTGTGAGTGCAATTTCAAGCTGTACACATTCTGACTGCCAAGATCTGCGTCTTCGTCGACCCTTGCCTGCGGAACGGTGTACGTGAAGCGTGGACGGCTACATTCCCCACCCAACCGGACCCCCACGCTCTGTCGACAGATGACGCGTTGCCTCCCTTCGTGTCCCTCTTTGAGCCTTCGCCGCCAAACACAGCCACTACATCCACAGTTGACAATGCTGGGGGTGATAGGAGCTCTGGAGGTAGCATGGGGTTTATGCAGGCGCTGTTTGACCTGGATACCGACTCACCGGAAGAGAAGGACGAAAGGGTTGCTGCGGCAGCCGCGAAGTCCCCTTCAAAGTGGACATTCTGGAAGCAATCGAGACCTGGACCACAAATCTTGCCGACGTCCTCACCGCGCGCCTCCGAACAACAAGGCTTCTCTAGCCAGTTTGCCGGTGTCCCTGTCGATGCCCTACCGTCTGGCCTCGACGACGTTGCCGACGATATTGTGCAGCCGGCAGTTCTCGCAGAGTCTCAGGCAGTGGACGCCATGGAGCGCATGCTCGCCGAGCCATCACCGACAAACCCAGAGCCAACGTCTCTAAACTTGGCGGATCGGCTAAAAGCTATAGACAAGCTTCAACGCCGCATGGGCAGTGTTGGGGGCTCGCCCAGTGGCACCCCGTCAAGGGAATTGTCGCGCGCACCGTCCCGGGCCTACAGCGTGCTTCCAGGACGAATAATCAGTCGTGAAGAACCATTGGGACTCACTTCACAGGCGAGAAACCGCAGCAGACAGCAGAGCCACGGTGACCGCCGTCGCCCTTCGGTTGTTGGGCCCACGGGTGTGCGTACACCTCGAACATTAGAGCAGCAAAGGCTTGAGCGCCGCGACCGCGCACACCAGCTGGCCGAGAAACTATACAATGAGATGCAGTCACAACTGTAATGTACCTGCACGTTTGGTATCCACTGGGTCAAATGCCATGTATTTCAACACCAACACTATGTATTCTTTATTTTACGCATGTGGCTTGGCCTCCTTGTTTCTAGACGTTATCGTACTGGCAAGTCACACGCATTGCCATTTGACAATCTGACAGCCCTTTCATATCACTAGTCTTCAACAAATACGGACGTTTACAGCTTTGCCACCGCCTGTCTGCTCTTGATGAGCACACTCGATTCCGGACGGGGGTCAAACGTGAGGGTATTGACTGGGTTGGCAGCCGCCCGACGAAACATGCTCTCGTAGGCTTTGCCGTCGCTCCTGCCGAGGGACGAGTTGAGGACGAGATCGCTGAACGCCCAGCCGTCCATGAGGTTGACTGCGTGCGGGCGGATCTTGGACAGCAGGTCCGCAATGGCTTTTTGGCGTGAAACACCATCGCGCAGGGCCGCCGGCACGGCCTGGGCGTCGGCAAACTCGGAGGCGTAATTGTCAAACGTCGTAAGGGCGTGTAGGCGGAAGAGGTCTGCGAGAACTGCACTCGTTTGGGTGGGCACGCCAGCGGCAGGGAGACGAGCAAGGGCATCATGAAACTCCCTCACAATGATGAATTGTGCGTAGGCGGTACACAGGCGCCAGAATGGAATAAGAAGTGCGTTCCACGTCGACCCGGTATCACGAAGGCGTATGATCTGGAAGGTTTGGAAGGCGACGCGGTGGCCGTACGCTTTGATAATGTCGACATCCTTTGCAAAGTCAAACTTGGCAGATGGGTTGTAGTCCGCAAACATGGCGCTCTTGGCCTTGGCTCCCTTGATTAGGGCACGGGCTACTTGCTTTGTGAGCATGTAGTTGTCGCCCTCATACGTAACACTCGGGAGCATTTCGCTGTACAGGTGGCCGATGCCAGAGTAGTGGCTGTATCCGTGACCGCCGCAGGCGCGGCGCGCAGTCTCAATTCCCTCGACGGAGATGGTAGTTCCGTGAGACTTCAGCGCGCAGGATTGGACGTGGAGCTCAGCCAGGAGAGCTTCAGCACCGGCCTGGTCTCCACCGCCGAGGAGAGAGTCGTACCGACCATAGAGACCGCGCAGGCCTTCGGCAGCAAACTGAAGCCCGTACGCTGTGCCGATGAGAGGGAGAAGACGATACTGCACCATGCTGTAGTTGAGAACGCTTGTTTCAGCCTGGGATGCCGAGTCCTCATCTGCAAACTGCTGACGAATGGCGGCATAGCGAATGGCAATTGTGACAGCGCGTGCAAGAGTGGTGGCGGCGTCTGCTGCGATGCCAACGCGCAGAAAGGTCATACCTCCATACACCAGGGCCTGTGATCCGCGGCGCTTGTACTCGCTGGTCTGTGGGTCGACGAATTGGAACCGAGCGAGCATGTTGATGTACGGGATCTTGACATTGTTGAACAAGGCAAACCCGTTGTCCATTGACCTGGGGTAAGAGAGGACATGTTGAGAGTCTACTCACGAGTAACCAAACTTTGGCCCAATGTCGCCAACGTAAACTCCTTCAAGCGGTTCGTGCGTTGCGAGGTCGCGAATGGGCACAACAAAAGTGTGAGGACCATAGTTTTTACCCTTGACGATGAGCTGGGCCATCACAAGAGCATGGTTGGCCGTGCGGCCCATCGTGCCGATCCACCATTTACTGGCAGTAAGTGACGGTGAATGGACGACAAACGTCTGATCATGGGGCGACCACGTCGCGGTTGTTTCGAGGCCGCGGACGTTGGAGCCATGTGAGAGCTCTGTCTGCGCATAGCAGCCGATAATCTTGTCCTGCTGTGCCGGAACAAGGAAAGCCGCTTTCTGCTCATCAGTTGTTTGGTCCGTGAGGCACTTGATGAACGCCTTGTCGTGTAAGCCGTAAACGTTCATCTCGCCGGACGCTGTGGACGAGTACGAGTACTCCTCTGGTGACCAGCTGTGCACCTTCCGGAGGTGCTTGAGAGACTTTCCGCGAGCAAGCGACTGCTCAATCTTGTGCATGCGTCCCAGCGATGGCAGGGCTTCAAGTTTGTCGTCAAAATGTTGGGCGATGAGGGTCGCCTCCACACGCGAACGCATCGCCAGAACATCGGGCCCATACAGCATGTTGGCAATGGCGGCAGCATCCACGACGCTGCCTGCGCGTTCCGCAGCCAGCAAGTCGGGGCCGGCCACCTTTGGCGGAAGGAGATCGCGAACCCAGGTAGGAGCCGTCATGGTGAAGATGCGAGTAGACGAACGGGTGACTGAGCGTTGTGGAATGGCTGCTCGTGATGAAGAGGTGGTACAAGGGGCCGAGGTTTATCGGCTATGCCCGAACGCACTGGGCCGGTTGCCGGTCCCGGAATCCGGCATTTTGAATCCATATGTGTGTGGTTCCACCCGAACCCTATCCGACAATCCTGGGTTCGGCCTCTACCACCTGCAGTGAAATCCGAAACCTTCTAAAAACCAGTCTAACGTAAGTATGGTTGCCGCAATGGGTATTGCGGCATGGGCCAAAAACCCTGCTATTTAGAAATTTAGGGGGTAGGGGGCTGCATCGGTTTTGACTACTAAGAACTATGGGAAGAGGATACTATAGTAGACATGGCAGTTTCTTGGCTCAATGGGTCCAGAGATCAAAGTTTCTCACTCTGGCGCGAAGGAGGGTGAGACTGAGTCTGATACAAAGCATCCTGTGGGAGTGGGGAGGTAGGACCTCACCCCAGGTGTGGAGGGCTTGGGCAGTCCTTTGTTCCATGACACCACCCAAAGAAAAGATGAGGGGAGTGAAGGGGGTGGCAGCAGAGCTAGGGAGATTTCTGAATTTCTCCCTAGATACAGAGTCAAGGAATTTGTGGACAGTGGCAGAAGCCCTCTCCAGGGTGGATCCAGTGAACCCAGGTGGGGAGACAGTGGTCCTGGCCTGGACAGAGCCCAGTGACACAATGGAGATGTCATACTCATGGTTGGCCAGCCCAGAGGCATGGGAGCCAGAGATTCTTATGTCATTCCTCCTGTGTGTTCACTGTTTTGGGGGTTGACCCCATGGGATTTGACTGGTTGCTGACTATTACAGTGTTGCCTGTCGAGTTTTGGGCCTTTGTGGGGTCTGCTGGGCCTGCCTAGACGTCCACAGTGTGCCTCTGTAAGTTGTAACTGACCCCCAAATTTTATTTGGACTTGGCATTTATTATTCATTACAACTGACATTATGCAGTGCATGTTCTTGTAATGGACCTTGAAGTGTAAGTTCTAATGACCCCCAAATGTTTCTGATCATTGCCAGACCCCCTGCAGCGCTCCCTTGTGTCCATTCCAACCCCCAACATTTTGCTTATGGTCTGGTGCTGACTGCCCCAGTGTTTGTGACGTCTATGGGCTGCTGGCAACCCCCAAACAAGTTTGGGGGTTGACCCCCAAGCTTCAACGTAAGGGTTAGGGGGTTAGGGGGTTAGGGGGTTAGGGGGTTAGG